CAAAACCCCGGGATGAGATGGTGATCGTGGATTGGCTGCTGTAACTGTATGTATGTATTGCATAGGATGACGTGAGTTATTGCTGATAAGTATTGATATTTTTAAAATAGCTGACTGTGAAGATGGAAAAAAAGACATAGAGATAGGAAATGAGACACAGATAAAGAGACCATTGATGTTGTACAATTTACAATTAACGATGAGAATGGATATCAATCATGATGTCTCGCATAATAATAGGATAAAAGGGGGGAGTGAAGCCCAAGACATATTAGTAATAATTATGGGCTATTCAATGGAAGGTACTTCAAGTTATGAAGGCAGGTACTAGGTACAGTACATATGTACTTCTACTTCATATATGTACCTAACCCAGTACCTTGCTAGACCTAGATTATTAGCTCAATTCCTAGCACATGTGAAACGACGTGTAAAATACTATACCTTACATAGTAGGTATAATATCTACATATACCCTTAAGGCTAGTACCGATTTACTAACATTAATACCTTTAGGTAGTCTGTACCTATTCAAGTTATCCATGGATGTAGTTATGTGGAATAATAAAGTTTCACTAATGATAAACTTGAACTAATACACCGTAGATAGAGAAGACATGTATTCTCCGATGTACCTGTCACTGACGGTTGCATACATATGTTCTTAAGGTGAAAATAGTGTAGAGGCAAGATTTAGCGGGCCATATTCATCGTTGTAATCTAGATTCGATCTTCCCTTCACTTAAATCTTTAGTCTGGGTAACAAACATCAATATGCCGGCGATAGTAATTGCCTACCTAAGTAAGCACTTCACATTTAAATGACCTATTTGATCTAATTTATCTATTCTTATCTTAATTTCAATGTTCCTAATCCTTAACTGGTATACGATCACTGACATTTCTCGTAACATTGAAAGTATTACTACGTAGTACGTAGTAGGTGAAGAATAGAAAAGACTTCGAAGTCTAGAAAATTTTTGATTGATAGTCCCATAATTAATACAACGTAAGTGATCTTAAGGGAATTACATAGTACTACATAGTATACATATGCTTGTATAAGGCTGCGTATTCGGCAACATGGTGGACGTAATCATGCTACCACGCGGTTCACGCCTACTACATAAGGTATCATAGAATAATGAAGTTATTGACACAATTCAACTAGGCTTTGTGATCTACACAATATATGCGTACATGGCGTGTTGATTGTAGTATCAGCACCTATTTGTTTCTTTCAAGCTTGTTTTGTTAGGTTTCGGGCAAAATTGCATTAATGCGCATACTGAGGAAACAGCAGAATTTGCATATTAGCCTTACGGTTGAAATTGCACGCCTGGATGCCTAGGTGAATCCCCAGTAATTATTCCAATGCTTAATATTGTAGTTATAGGGGCTAACTGATGCCATAGTAAGTCCTAGTAGGCGTCATTCATTCCTTCGTTGAATCATCAAGTTGAAATAAAGTGTCAATCGGATGAAATAAGGTTGAAAATAAGCAGGTAGATGCAGGGCGGCATTGGTGTGTATTCTTCCAAATCTACCCTTAGAGTACACCTCGGTAGTTGCTTATAAGGGTGTAAGATGGATGAGATAAACTTCAATCATTGATGCTGACAGTTTGATAGCGGTACATATTAGGGAAATATTCAATGCATAACAGACTGTAACTGGAAACATGAACCCGGTCACGTTAAAGGATTGTACCGTGTACCTTTTCTCAGATATTGCTTCGCAGATTTGACGGTACTAGCAGAGTACACAAAGACTCGGCAACCTACAGCCGCTCGTCCCCGTCAAACTCTCCCCACCTGCTTAAAGTAAAGGCAGTCTTCGACGGCTACTACACTGGTGACTGGACTGTTAAGTACATAGGGCGCATAGGAAGGGATAGCCCCACAGTCCCATAAATTCCTAGCAAGATCCATCTGGATCCATCTAACTATATGTAGTTGACTACGCGAGCTACGTAGCTGCGTACTCTGTACAAGTTGCCTACTAGGACTACATAATATGTAGGTATTCAAGTACCAAGTACTAGATACCACTAGTACCTAGTACCATGCAGTACGTATCCTACCTACAGGGAGCATGGTACCTAGCAATAATCAAAACAATAGCCTCTTGCGTTTTTTTTATTCTTTCTTTCCTTCCGCAGTACATCAGACCCTTGCAAAAACACATGCTCGCCATGTTCTTTCGTAACTCCATCCCCCCCGGTCCCATGTCCACCCTGTCGCCCGAATCTCACATTGGGCCAAACAAGTAACGATGTTCGCATGCAGTTCCATTTGACCTTGTATGTCTACTACATTGTATTATGTATGTATACAAGGTTAATAGGGCACCCGCATATTCCTAGTTGTTGTTCCTACTTACATGTATCCGGTACATATAGCAGGTAGTTGTGTCCAACAGCGGAGTCCTATCCGACTTTTGACGCTGTGAGACTCAACTCAGTGCTGTTACCAGCTTCAAGGTGTTATGTTTTGGTCAGATCAGACTTTCCTTTACCTGCCTAAACATACCTCTATTTATATGGAGTATTATGTAGGCATTATGGGTATGTTCTATGTATCGTAAACGATGCGTAGGCATGTACATGTTCGAGGCCTTGGCCACCCCTTACGAGGTACGAGGGTTTGTCACCGAGAGATCGTCATAAGGGTCGGGTCTCTTAGACGTACCAAATCTCCCCCAATCAGAACCGACTTTTTGAAGGAACCCCCCGGTCATTCTACCGCCCATCTCATCTTCGATCTGAGCTGCCAAAGGGTTGGCGACGATGCTAGTCGATGGGTCCTTATTGGGTCCCTATCGCCACCATGGGCCCTGGTAACCCTCACCGTCTAGCAGCCCTGGATTGGCAAAAAGTGGTGCCACCTTATTTCGCTGTGAGGATAATGGCGTGACCTGGCAGGTTTCGGGACTCGTCATTCTCATACAAACCAAGTGCTATACCTATACCGTACAGTACCCAAGTTTTGGGCTGTCGGGAGCGATCCGTTCGCATTCAGATTTGCCCAGAAGCCCCCAGTGACATGGGCTACCTGCTCTGCCAGCCTGCTACTGTACCTACCTAGGTAGGTATCTTTAAGGTTGTTTTGAGAAACAAGAGATCGTCATCTAGGCGATCATACCCGGCTGTATGCTATGTATTATTACCATTGCCAGCTATTACCTACCTAGGTCAGTACAGTCTACAGTCTATGAACCTTGCTCGCATCGGCCCAAGGTCTGTTTAATCCCTCTACATAACCCTTTTAACACATCGTGCAGGACCTTGTATACCGACAACGGGCGATAGGTAGAGACCTACATGCACATGTATGTAGTCGTCACGTTCAAATGCTCAATGCTCAATGCTGTAACAACTGGTCACAGTATGTGGGTAACAAGCTTAAATGTTACATAGGTTAGGGTGTTTATCTACGATATTACGATATTAAGAGATCCAAATCCCAGATGCAGATGTCTTTTTCTCGAAAGGTGGGGAGAGCAGTGCTCCCTCTAACCCTACCGACCTACCAGCTGCCTACCCCCAGGATTCTATCAGAACCGAAAGTCGCAGTACCAACTGACTGGCCGTGAGCCCTGACTTGTGAGATTTCGTACCCTTGTCCTGACTACATACCTGGTAGTGTATGTATTTCGTCCCCGTCCCCCCCACTTCAAGTGACCCAGGCCAAAGTCTCCGTACTGTGGTTGCTGTACATTCAATAACTAGTACTAGGTAAATTGGTAGAACAGGGGTATCTAAAGTTATGTACACGACAGGCTTGGTGTTCCTTATTACACATATTTGCCCATCTACCTACGTATGGTGTTGTACATTATACAGTAGTAGCATACATTTCGCTGCAATCTGCGGTGCTTGTTTCTCAGAACTCCCATAATACAACACATCACCCACATTCTCGTCATTTGCTTTTTTGAATCTTTTTTTTTTCTTTCCTCCTTCCCAAACCAATGTCACGAGACTCAAGTAACGTTTAGGAATCGAACAAATACCTAGAAATCTTGGCTCAATTACGACACCCTACGTTTATGGTACATGTAGTCTCTTAAAACTACTTACCGTACTACTCGTATCTCCAACAAATACTTCACTTTATCTTGTATTTATTCCCCTCGGAAGGTCACTGCCTCGAGCGTGCTGTCGTAGTACCCAACAACGCTTGTTGATCCGCTCATAAAAGAGTACCCTCTTCTCAACCACGGCCCACGATTTGGCAACCCGAGACAGGTCATAATTCATAGTAAGAGCTGCTTAGCGACTTGCGCTCGCCTACAGGTCGAAATCCAAATCCCACGGTCTATTTCGGTCGATATACTAGACCCACTTTGTGGTTACGTCAAAAGGTAAGAATTTCAGGAATGTCTTAAAGGGAAATCCGCGCCGCCACTATCCAAGGCTGTTTGGTTTGATGTCTCGTACCTATCTATACAAAGCCTTCTTCGCCTTGCTCCAAGGGAAAAGACGAGAGAATTCTATACCGGTCCCAATAAACCTCCTTCCCATTCCGCCACAATCATGCCTAATCTGAATTTTTTCTAATCAACCAAAACCCGAAGACAGAATTTGATATCCTAACGCCACATCTACGTGACTTTCGGTTGTTGGATAGGAACTTTCTTCGAGTTTGTCGTAGGTGCATGTCAACTTAGCCTCGATATAGCTCGTGGTACCGAAACTCGCCTGACTCGATCACCTCCTCCACCATCGTCCCTCACCCACCCCCCCTTGCGAAACGTCTGCAACAGCTTTACCGCCAGTAACATAAGCCCTTGAAGCTACGAGTAGCCTCGGGAACTCAGATGTATGAGCCGTTCTAGCTGATCGGTTGGAGATTTTGGTACCGCCGTTGGTAGTAGTCCCGCTATGGAAACGGGAGAATCTGGCACTAGGCAAAGGTCCGTTCTTATTTAGAGCCACTCGGCTCTAGTGTGCCCGGCATCGTTTAATCGAATTCAAGTTGATCAGTATCTCTATTCTCAGTGGTTTTACCTCCGCTGGCAAAATTGACATCTACGGTCAGCGTCTTCCAGGGCCAACAGATCGACACAATCGCGAAGTGCCAAGTATGGCAGCTACGGCTCTAATGAATCCAGCTCCGGCATATCACAAACCGCCTTTTCCACCTTATCATCAACCACCACCCACAATGCCTGGCATGATTTCGCCTGGAGAGAGTAGGAGGACGCCCAACGAGACGGAACCTTCGCAGCGGCAATCTCTTCCATCCATATCAGAAGTCTTCTCAAGTGCCAAGCCCAGTCACTACTCACCAGTAACCCCCACAACATTAGCTGGTCCTCATAATCTCCCTCCTCCCCCGTTGAGGTCAGAGCCGCCGCCCGACTCGCGATCGACACCACAACACGAAGACAAATTTTACCGTTACCCGCGGTCAGACGTTGGGCCTCCGCCAGGGCCTCCAGGTCCTTCAAGCTCGGCGTATGCATACTCTGAGCAACGCGATCCTACTAAGCCTCCAGAGCCCATACCAAATAGCGGTCACACGAATCCGCCTCCCCCTCATGTTTCTTATCCACCAGGCCAATACCCATTACCCCCGGCCCCAATTTCACCACATCACTTGGGCCATTCACTTCCTCCATACGATCAACACCGACCACCATTACACAGCGATGAAGATTATGGGATGCATCGGAATCGTTATGATTCCAACACTTTGAATCGGCATTTTGAGTCGTGGGGTTACCAGGATTGTCTCAACAAGGTCAGTTTCTCTTGGTTCAAAATATCTTCTTCTCCGTAGCTGACGGATACAGCAGTTAGTGTGGACGTCGAGGACGGTTTGCAATTTCGCCGAGGCATATAGTAAAATTGCTTCAGAGCAACACGGCGGGCAGCCTATACCGGAGCGACTCCCCACCGACCAAGAAGTAGCGAGCATGCTTGGGAACGTAGAGTTCATCAAACGTTCCTTCGAAAATCTCCGAGAAATGATCCAACATAATATAGCGACTGAGAAGGCACGAGAGGGTCGGGGAAAAGGGCCATACGAAGGAGATGATGACATGAGTATGTACGGCGATGGCATGAAGCAACCGTACGGGCTCAGTGAGGTCAAGAAGCGGCGAGGTGTAAGTGATTCCCATTCAACTACACAGATGCACTGGAAAACTCACCATTCGCAGCGCGCAGCACCCCCCGGCCGATGTCATAGCTGTAACAGAATCGATACCCCAGAGTGGCGACGAGGACCGGACGGTGCGAGGACATTGTGCAATGCCTGTGGGCTTCACTATGCCAAGCTTGAAAGGAAGCGTCAGATGGAGTCACGTTCAATTCGACCGAAAGCTGTAGAAGAGCGAGTATGAGCTCAATGTGTCTAGCAGACCTACTTTCTAAGGGACAGTAGTGTACGGCACGAGCAGTCCTGGCTTGTATAAGAAAATCAAACCAAGCGGCATACAAGATCAATCTGGAGGATATATGATCCTGGCCAGACGGCATCTCGTCATTATTTATTCACCCGATACCCCGACATTCATCGAACTTAGCATCGGCAAGCAGACATCATTATGTCTCATTCCGAAATATATATAACTCTATTATATATATATACATACACCTATATACATATATAAATATGTTACGTTATCATAATATCCGACTCGAAGCCACCTTCAAACGTTTTTTGTTCTCGAAACGGTCAGATTTCGTTGTATATACCCCATCTGGACTGAAGGACTTGGGAGGTCATGTCAGGGCATTTTTCGGCGTCTGGCTGTTTCGCGATTCATTTTCACACTATTTTTTACTCATCTTTTTTGGGCTTTTATCGACATTCTAGCGAAGAGGACTGGCTAGGTAGTGGGGGTTACACATCTATGGGAGTTAACAACATTTTTTCGCACATGAACAGCGTAAGAGGTACGATTTTGCTCGAGGCACGCCCTTAGAATTGCAAGAAAAAATCAACGCATTTCTATGGTGAAATAGAAAGGGATGGATAAGGAGTTGATTTTTTTTGTTTTGTTGTTCATCCACACAATATTTCTGGAGATCGCGGACGGAAAGCTCTGGCTTTTTTCTTTCTTTCTCTTTTTCAGAACCCACCCAGTACTGTTAGAGACGAGCTCTGAAAATCCAATCACACCCACCCCTATGATCACCAAGAAGTGGCACGATTATCTATATGAATATTCATTTCTGTGCTAGCTTTCCTTGCATTAGGAATTCTACGTTTTGAGTCTGCTATTTAATATAAAAAAAAACTTACAAATAAAGATGATTCTTGAGTCAAAAGTTCTCCCGTTGTGGCTGGCCTCTTGGGTTGAAGCCGTTCGTGCACTTTTTGAGCCAGCAGTTGGTACAGCGACTCCAGTCCGTAGCTTGAATTGATTATCCACATAGATACCTAGTAGGCACCTAGCACTTTGCTAGACAGCCTAGACTATAAATAGGTACCTACATGTACTAGGTAGGGTAGGTCTGGTAGGTATATAAGAGGGAACTCCTCATGTATCCATGGATGTGTATGCACCACCCACATATTCAAATCGTAGACCACATGCCTACACAGATAGACGTTAGCGGGCAATCATAACAACTAATGACATGATCAGTACATCAAACGTAGGTAGGATATGTAGGTTAAAAAAGGCTTAACTTCCATTCCATCCCACAATATTTCCCTTTTCGCCTAACGTCTATTAATGTACATGTAACTTATGTAGGTTTAAAAAAAAAAGTCTCCCAGCATATCGCTATCCGTGGTACAAGGACGTTGGGAAACCTGTATGGCTACCTAACGTAACTGGAGCCGTGTCAACAATATGTATGTACCTAGGGTAGGTAGGTAGGCATGTAGCAAAATGCCTATCACCGTCTCTTTTCCTGAGATCTCTCTCTTTCTTTCTTTTCTTCTACCTCTATTTCTACCTTTCTATACATATGCATATAGATCTCTCTCCTTTACGCTCTATTGTACGTAGGTAATGCGGTGACATATAGCAACACTCCCCCTGTTTGCGGATCCTATATACATACATAGAAGCCAACAAAACGCTTTGAAGGGAATTGAAGGCACTTACTTACATGCCTATGTACCTACCTAAACATACATACATGTACACGTATGTGTACCTAGAAGAAGGGAACCGGGGGTACGTCCATAGAAAAGCACATAACGATGATGATATGTACATACATACATACATACATACATACATACATACATACATACACACATACATACATATGTATCTGGGTTGAGGCGTTTCTGGGCGATGATGGCAAGATGCAGCTCCTAAAGCACGCACACGACGCAGGCGCACCCACGCAGCGGGAGACCGGGGTTTGAGGGGATGGGGAGGGGACCTCTCACACTCTCTCTCCCTCCCTCTCTGTGTGTCTGTCCTGCTCGCTCTCTCCACAGATGCCGTGCGACGTGACCTGTCAGATTGATGACATGCGTCTCGAGCTGCTGCTGCTGCTGCTGCTGCTGCTTCGGCCGGCGTCGCTATGTATTGTACGTACTTGGGTACTTACGTAGGCCAGCTACTAACTATGTAATTAGAATCAGATTATGTAGGGTATGTAACTATTGATCTAGGTAGCCCTGAAGGTACCTGTCATAAATAACATTGAAATCCACAAAGCGTTGATGGTCTTGATCCGATGCTCCGAAACCGAGGTTCTAGATGAGTATACTAGGTTAGGTATAGTTATACGTAAACTAACCTAGTATATATCAATGTCTATGTAGTTAAGTGACTGGTCGGATGGATGGATGGGATGGGATGGGTGTATGACTGACTTTCTTAAGATCTACCTCTATCGCTAGGCAAGACGTCGTCACATCAAAGATTAGCGGAATAATATTGGCCAGTAATTGAGAGCGCTGCTGATTCCCAACCTATAAGTACATACATACATACATACCTACCTGGTATACATGTACATAGGCAGCTAAGGGTTATGTACCTAGATATGGTAGGCCGATTTGAATGAACTTCAATATTAGGGTTGGCAGAGGCTGTGAGACATGTGGACCTGACCTGAGACCTCAGGGTCCTGCCCGCCGACCCTCCTACCCTCCTATCCACTGCACATTATGTAGGTAGGTCAGTATGTACATAGACGATAGGTCTTTCTTGCGTGCGTGGCTGGCACGAATCGAATTGGCACCCACCCACCTCGATATGCCCACGCCACTCTCTAACCAAGGTAACGACTACATATGTAATTATTGGCTAAGAACGGGGGCTGCTTGCCTGCCTGTTAGCTACACATGATAATATATGTACCTAGGTTAGGTTCGTCGTAAAACACCCATCAGAAACCTCCCACCTCGCCGCAACCCTGCAGCAAAGAAAAATGCCTAGGTTAGTGTGTATCTAACTGGATAGGAGATTAGGAGATGAGATGATCTTAGCAGAATCACCATTATCGAGATAACCTTTCGCCAGCACAGCCCAACAGGCGTTATTATGGGTTATCTGTTAGGCCCAATCTTTACTAACGAGAAAAGGGGAGAGAGAGGGAGAGATGTGTGCGTGCGTGGGAAACCAAAAAAAAAAAAAAAAAAAAAAAAAAAAGAGGCTGCAGGGTCTACGGTGCCGCAAGCCTACCTACAGGATCGGGACGAAAATGCGTTAGAGAGCTCATTCGCGATCGAGCCAGTCGGTCACCTGTAATTTACATACAGCGACCTCGCAGTACAACCACCAGACTGAACGAGCCAATGATATTGCCAGGTACCTACCTACCTATATATATCTATGTACATAGGGATGAGATTTATTGTACATATATTTTCATCTTTCTAGATCAAGAGTAAGAGAAATCGAGGAGGTAAGTTATCTGCCTACCTATGTATAGCGTTTTCATCTTTCAATTCACATATACATACTTATTTTTCAGGACCTAGGTACTAACGAGGCAACCTGTAGGTGTGGTTTCCCTCATGTATATTTATGTATGCACGGTAGGTATGTATGTAGGTTGTGGACCCTGCGGCTCATATATATAACACTGCGCGGGGGGGTCTTGCGCCTGAGCCTCCCATGCAAGACCTCCCAACCTACCTTAGATATCTACATTCATACATACCTAGATGCCAAGCTAGGTGTGTGAGCGCAATGCAACAAAGACTAGTTAGCTGGAAAGCCGTTGCTACACAGCACACCACAGCACACCAAGACGCCCTGCCCGCCGAGGGCTATTCCGGGGATGTACGTTAAAAAGGGTGATTGCATCTACGCCCCCCACTCGCTCGCTCGCTCGCTCGACATAGTTTCTTTCCTTTTCATGCGTTGGATGCGGGAAGACGCAAAGGGGGGTTTGTTTTTTTGGTGGTTGGTGGTTTCCGGTGGGAGGTTGATGTTGTTAGTTAATCAAAATCAAAAAAAAAAAAGCATCGGCGGATATATGTAGGTGTTGAGAGACCGAGAACTTAAAAAGGAAAAGAAAAGGTTGGAAGGGGGAAGAGGGCAAAGAAGGGGATAAAAAAAAAAAAGAAAGGGACGATGTCACAGGCAGATCGCTTGATCGTTCGTCGCTCACTTTGCCTCCCCATCCTCTGGCTCTGTTTTGTTTCACAGTGTTCCACGGATGCACCGACTAACCTACCTGCCTACCAATACTTACGAGGTAGCCTAGTAGAGAGAGGGAGTAAAGAGAGGAAGGAGGGAGGGGTGCTTTGGTCTGTTGGTTATCCAGTTGGTTGATAAGAGAATCAGGTTCAACGTCGCTAGGAAGTTTCGGATCTACCTACCCACGAGTGTAGGTTTAGATCTCGTCCGACGTTCCAACAAACAGCCCGAGACGGTGAACCCATACCTACGGTAAGTCCTTTCTTGGAGAAAAAGGAGGCGGAGGTAACTAGCTGCCTAGGTAGGCGGCCTCTTAGGCAGATTCGAGTGATTCTTTACCAAAGATGATGAAACAAATGGCTTTCTTCCCTCCCCTTCAATGTCGTATAGGCCGTGGTCTAGTTAGTATACAACTCCGAAAACTATCACGGGATACGGACTAACAGATCTGCTGTATACCTAGATAGTAAGTAGCTAGCTTCCCAGCTACCTACATATGTAGTAGCGTGCTTGGCTGAGGCCGGCCAGCGGCAAGTCACATGCAGCGGCGCCAATACTACCTACTACCTACCATGGTATCCTTCGCCCCGTGCATTAAGCCGCATCGTATGCCGCCTATCTACTTCGAAGTCGGCCTCGATGCAACGTCGGGTTTTGTCTAAGCTAAGCTCCTGTAGGTACTAGGCTAGGCAGGCAGTGCCCAGGAGGAGCTCGTTGGCGCGGGATCATTTTGTGTGTGTGTGCGTGCATGTGTCACGGTAAGTAGGTAGGTAGAAAAAAAAAAGCCACCATCTCGAGATCGGTCACTGGCTGCATGTATGTGTGCGATCTCTCTTACCATCCTATCTATCTATCTATCTATCTATCTGTCTTCATCGGTGTAGCATGCCGATTCGCTAATGCGTATAATTTGAAACCTTTTTCGTCGATATATGTATACCACGCATCTTCCTCTGGTTGCTATGACCCACGCCGACACCGAGCCGAGAAAATCTCGAGGTTACGCTGCCTTCCTACCTACCTACTACCTAATTAGTGAGTATTCAAAGAAGAGTGAATGAATGAATCAGCGTTACGTGGCTCTCTGCCTATACCTACCTACTTGCTACATGTAGGTAAAATACCTAATATCAATCATTGATGCCATTATGGTTATACACATGTACCGTAGATAGGAGAGAGAAAACGTCACCGAAGTTGTCTCTCTCACGTGGTCACCCCCTATCCCCGCATCATCAAGGACTAACTAACTAACGCATTGCATGGATAAGTTGGCTAGATATTAGTACTGGCAGACTAGTATCTATGACTATCTAGATTGCAGTCTCTCCATCTCGGTCATGTGTAGATCAGTCCGTTGCTCGGGCTAGATACAGTTAGGGTTCTTTTAGGACTCAACTTAACCTTAGGTACCTATCTAGTCCCCCCCCCCCCCCTTTTTCTTTTTCCTTTTCCCCACAGCCGTTCGCCGTTAGATGTCGTCCGATCTTACAGTATGCATTGCCGAGATACCTTATGTACCTGCTAGCTTGATAGTATCTACATCAACCTTTTTCTTAGCTTACCTACCCGACACACAGAAACTCTCCTTTTTCTATTTATTGCTATATTTTTATGTTGTATTTTATCTTCTTTAAATTTAGGTTATACGCTATGCTACGTGTGCAGATGCCACTGTGGATGTTAGATTAGGTTGGGTAGCAAAGTACTCTATGACCCTTATAAACAGCTGAAGCTGATGACCCTTTCACTCACCCCCTGAGCGCACGCATGCCCGAGAAGGAACATGAAGCAGCACAGCGATGTCCTCGTTCATCCATCTACATATGATAGCTCTCGGGACTGGCAGACCCGGCGACACACGGCGGCTGCTGGTAGTAAGTGCCAAGATGATATTGAGCTGTCGATGTAGGTAGGCAAGTTATGTGTCGTATAGTATTGTAAGTCATGAGTGAGCCCCTTTCCCGCACATCTCGCATCGTACACATCTAAGACACAATCGATCCGTGACTCATCCTCACGTCAATTAAGGATGATCCTGTCTTGTGTCCAACGTAACGCATACATTTTTTTCTTTTTGGCGTTGGGAACCTTAAGTTGAACAAACATTGGATGGGGCTATGTATGCACCTATCTATGTATGTTAGATCGGGGGTTCCTAATTAGCTTCCTGCTATAATACATACATGATCTCCATCTACTATATCTAGAGTATCATCATTCCGTTGGCCGGGCTAATCCAATGGGCTAATTAGGTAGATGCTTTGCCAGGGGTTACTGATGTAACCCCGACTTACATACATATATCTCACTACATAATGTACCCGCTATGTATGTACCTGTTTATGAAAAGGTATAGAATACATTTTATTAGTATGTGCCCCATTAGACTTTAAGTAGGCAGGTATCCGGGCTGTTTATTCGTAGACACCCCCCCTTTGTGTAAGCGTACTTAGACACGTATAGTTCGGGGCGGCTCGTCTCGAGCTTCCCTTATTGCCCTCACTACCCTACTAGGTTGAGTAAGTGTTAGGAGCTATGCGAGATGAGCCGATGCTATCGCCCGATCTTTTTATGCTTACCTACGTATAAGTCCAGTTGTCTAAGATCACGAGTCACAAAAGAGGGTTCAGCGCGTAGCAATGTTACAGGAGCTAGGCTAGATACCTACCTCTTCTAGGTAAGTGAGCATACTAACCTACCTAGTAGGTATCTTATCTCAATATCCGACAATCCGAGGAAAGACGCGGAGGATGGCTTACATACATACATGTAGTCAGATAGAATACTGGGTACGTACATATATCTCAAGCAAAGACTCTCCAAGTACAGGTACTAGTAGTACTTGAGAGCCACGTGGTGTAGCATGAAAACGGATTCTTCCAATCGAGATCCTTCCCAGATCCCAGATCATCCCCCCACCCTACATCTCGCATGAATAAATATATGTACCGTAAGGAGGTATGTACCTAGATACCTCAGACGATATAGGCAAGTACCGTACTGTGCTAGTATATGTACCTGGAGCATTGGTAGAAGGTAGTTAGGTGCTTACCTGCCTGTAAGTGTGGTTTGCGAATGGTTCCCGAGGTCTAGTTACCTACATACATGATTCTTCGTTAGATGTATGTATGTAATTTGAATCCTACCTGCCAAGTCTCCCTTTTCGTGACTCTGCCAATCGTATCCTCGTCCCTCCATTTCGGCACAGCCTTTCTTGGGAATAATTTTCTATAATAGAACCAAGACGCGTACATACATACATACATACATACCTGCTGCATGTACGTCTGTTAGGTATGTATCTACCTGGGTACATATAATAGGTAGCTGCCCCCCCCCCATTCCTTCGTATTGCCGTCTGTTCCGTTGCCAGCTGTGATTTGGCGCACCTGGAATGATGTATCCAGAGAGTTGGATGACTTTGATGTCCTCGGCTTCTTCAAATGCTTCTTTCAAGCACAGCGCTTAGGTACATATCTAGGTACCTACTAACCTATATGCAACCTGGAGGGATTGGGATTACCCGATCGCGAGCGAACGACATACATATTTAGTTACTAGGTAGCCGTAAAAGCGTTAGCGTTTTTTTTTCCCTCACTACACTAATCGTACCCGTATTGTATGTACCTATTTAGACCCTGACTCTGACATTGTCCACTCATGTACAAGTACCTACGGATTCTCCAGTAACGGGCGGATACTTGCTATGTAACCTGTGACCTGTGCCAAGATCAATGCTTCAGATTAGCTACATCTACATATGTAAGGAGGATTTACAGTTTGCTAGGTAACGAACTAACCCTAGACATGTACATACGGACAGATACCCGACATCATGATCGAAGATCTAGCTCCGATACCACTAGCTAGCTACTAAACACCACTAACCTAACCTACTGGCTTAGCTGAGCTAGGCGTTAGACAAGTTTAGCCTCTATGTAGATGCTACTAGGTTAGGTAGGTATGGACGTATTCGTAGTCGGCATATTTACACGATATACTTAATAGACAACGGTAATAACTTCAAGTTCCAGGATCCGAAGAGTAGATGAAGATACCTACCTAACCCAAGTAAGTAGGATTAGGAGTCATTGACCTATTCCATCATAAACCCAGTCTCAGCTAAGCAATCTCCGCCCCGGCTGATCGCAGCTTAAACGGTGAGATTGAAGTTGTTTGCCGCTTACATGCCCATTGCCCACCCAGGCAGGTATGTACGTCATGGTTCGCCAGATAGATACAGTACTGAGTAGGTATCTAGGCAGGCAAGTAGCTAGAGCTTACCAATTCCTGGGAAGGAGGGTTTGCAATGTGATATATCACTTTGAGAAGATTCCAGAAAGCGATAATCGGCTCGGTTCCCAGGGATATTAGTCGGCCCTTTTTCTTTTTCTCTTCATCCCGAGGAGACGGTAACTATCCCGATAATGGGTTCCGTGGATATTAGGTATGTGCATCTCAAAATACATACATACCTAGCCAGGGGACGAAGATGAAGGGGGAAAAAAGGCAACAGTTAGTTATTTCGTGGCGGTGCAAAAAAAATAAAAAAATACATATCAATGATGTTCTGGCCGACCCATAATCTATATCAGTTGGGAACCGGTGGGCTTCAGGCTGTGTTGTTTGCTGTTTGTTGATAAATGACACCGGAGACTTCCCCGACTGTCATGGCCATGGTCACCTGGGCATGGTCAAGCTATCTATTGCTTTTGACTTACCTACCTACATACCAGGCCCCCTTGGGTACAAGTGCGATCGCCAGTAGCTTCGAGATCCGTTCACGCACAATCAATGTCGCCCTGTACTTGTGGGAGGGGGGTCAGGAAGGAGGTAGACTACCTAGTGTGAGTAGGTATATACCTACTTAATGAAAAAAAAAAAAAAAGAGATAGGGAGAGAGGGAGAGAGGGAGAAAAAAGGGGACGGTCTTCTTCCCTCATCAAGCATATCACCGTCGTTTGCTGCTTATCTCTTCTTCGAAATGTCCCCACGCCGTGCCGACCCTTTCCATCCGGCCCTATTCGAGCTGGGATGATTAGCCGTGGCGCGGGATGATGGGAAAATTTCTCCCACAATCGCACGGGGCCTACACCACGGCAGATGGGAACTGACCCGTGGGGTGTGGTGTGTGGTGTTGTCTCAACTACACGTCTACACACTAGGGACCCGGCGAAGAACGGGTTCGAAGCTGGGGTGGGTAGGTAGGTCGGTAGTCAAACATCGGAGATAATAGGCTCGAGCACGCGGACTCCCGTGTCCCGCTCTAGACAACGTATCCTCCACAATCTTACTCCGTGTCGCCTCACTTCAACCCTCCACCCTCCACCCTAGGGTTGATAAAGTACCTACCTAGCATCAAAGGGGCACATCTGGATAGACCGGTGGAAAGGGCGCTCACCAATACCACCGGGGGAACGCCCCGCTACGCTCTGTATCGCCCTCTCCCCCGTATACACTGAACACTTGGTGGTGCAACGTATTAAACATCTGCTAGATCTCGAAACCAAAATGTGAGATCCGCTGTTTGCCGAGACCAACACCCCGCCCCTTTCACCCGCGTCGGACATGGTGTTTCTGTTTCTGATCCCGGGACCGAGCCCTATTAACGGTTTACTTACGAAGTGGGGGGGAGCCATACCAGCTAGGTATTGAGAAACACCTGGGAAGGGGAATGGGTTGGGAGAAATGGACGTGTACCTAACCTAACCTTAGGTATGTCTTTCCTTCCCCGTAATCTCAGACCTTCCGGCAGTGACACTACGTCGTTCGTCTTACGTGATCAGAGACATATATCTCAGTCAAACTTTATGTTACCTAGAGGAGGTAGGTAGGTACCTAAGGTATTGAGATCAAGACACTCTGCTGAAACATACATACATACATACATACATACAGGATTATATGGCTATGTAGGTCGGTGTGCATCAGGCAATTGCGTACATATGAGCCTCACGGCAGCGAACCGACAGCTAAGCCATCTAACCTAGTGCCTACGCTACCCGCCTTGGATCTTCTCTCTACGCGATGCTATCCTGAGGCCACAACTGTCCATAGGTACAGGTGTAAGGCCATAACGCCTGCTGGTTGTTCTATACATACCTAGGTAGCGATGGACGTCTAGTAGTTGTCGATAGGGGCTGATACGACACGGGAAATGGGCTTGCCTTGTGAAGAGGTATGTATGACCAAAATGTCTGACCTCCGGGCCCAGATGTTAGACTGACCCGTCGTGTTGGGTCAACGCCAGGACAGGTAGAAGACCAAGAGGGAAAGCAAAAATAAGCAGGAAAGAAAAAAACGAAAGAAAGAAAAAAAAAAAAAAAGACGTACAACACCAAGGATTCGCTGGTCGTCACCGACCCAACTACTAGTTTGGCGGTATCCGGCTTATCTATGGGAGAGCGGACGGGATCCCGAGTTTTCCGGATCCTATGGCCGTACGTGAAATATTTAGCTACTATTAGAACTTATATACCTAAGGTAGTTAGATACCTATCAAACGCCCAGTTGTGGTTGTGGTTGTGGGTGATGGGGGCAGGTGGGCCTGCCTCTCAGGGGCCACACACACACGCACGCATACACACATTGTTATTTAAAAAACCACATAAATCGATAGCTGATCTTACTTCGACAAAGTGACCTCAGTTCTCTTTCGCTTTTGGCAATCAATAAATACCAGTTACCTAGTAGGCATCTTATTAGTAGGTAACCTACCGTAACATCATATACTTCAAATAGGGTAGGTAAGAGACCAACGAACTAGGACCGTGCTACAACATAACATCAACACTTCAGTAAAACTAAAAAATAAAATTGCTACATACTAGGTATTTACCTGTTCTAATATCCCTATGCTCAATGTACCATACAGCTACTTGTTCAGTCGGCGAGAGAATCGCCGTCGTGTATGCAATTCGGCATGCCAATAACGAATACATCACTCCCTTTCTTTCTCCCATACAAACTGGTCTGTCGCAGCCAATCTGCCGCTTTACTACTCTATAAGCCTCCGCAGCCGCTGCTTCTGAACCGCCCGAGCAGGTGCCCCACATCGGGGACCGGTAGGTCCCTCCAACCTTTGCCTGCCTGCTCCCTTTCGCTTATGTCGATGACGGCGCCCACCAGATCCTTGTTGATCTCATCCGTGACGACACTGTCACGTCCGTAGCCGGGGTGCTTGGCGACGAAGTGTCGGATCCACTTCGCTGCGGTCCAGAGCTCGCCACTGGCGCGCATGCGGATGAGGTCGAGGTAGGTCGAGAGATCGCAGCGGGTCTGTACATCGACGTTAACAGAGTCGAGGTAGCTCTCGACGATGGGAATTAGGCCGGGGAAGTCGTGGTCGTCAGATTGCGAGCCATTGATAATCTCGTTGACTGTCATGAGCGTGTACTCATCCTCAACGGGCCCGAAAGGTGTGGCGGGTCTGCTGACCGTGGGAGAGCCCGATCGGGACGTCGCGCTACTGCGCATTGGCCGATTGGGGAATGGGTTCTTCCGGAAGTAGAATTTCTTCTCCAAGACTGCGTCTCGGGCGTGCGCGGTCTCCATGTTCTCGTCCACTTTAGCAATAGGGATGTAAAAGTTGAGATCGAAACTCAAGATCGCGCGCGTGATTAGCACCATGAACACGGCGAAGGCAGCATTCTCAAAATCTGTAATTTGTATTTCCATGGGCCGGAACTCAACACGCCAACCGATATCGGATCCCGGTGGCGGCGGCTTGAAACGCATGTGTTGCCAATTGGTGCTTTGAATGTTTTCGAAATGATCGGCTTTGGTCAGGTCGAGCTCTTCAAGGTCCTCGTTGAATATTACGATAGGATCACGGATAAACAAGTGCGCAAAGTGTGTCGCCAGGCGATCATCCATGCCACCTTCTAAAAGCTCCTCTTTTATAGCCTCGTCGATGATCAGGTTCGGGTCAAAATATTCTGGTCGAAGACGAGTATCGGTACTGATGTAAGTGGAGTTTGATGCGTAGCGGGATTTTGGTATACGCCAACGACTAGTTTTCAGGGGCTTGACACGACTTAGCACTTCTGGAGCTGGAAATAACAAAGGTATTGGGTATGGGCTTATAATAGATGTACTCACTTTTTCTCCTAGCTCTTCAGGTGTCCGGTCATCTACAGCACGACTGATTTGATTCCACCGGACGTCGGTATCAGCTAGGAACCCCTTATAGATTGGCGTTGCCGCTGTCAAAGCCAGCATGATGGGGCCAATCGGACTGAGCTGGTCATACATCCGTCTGCCTTCGATAATGTTCTTCGCTTGGAATGTGATTTGCAAGCAGCAGCTTCCCATTCCAAATGCCATAGCATCCATATGGATAAAGTTATCCGGGGCCGCGCCATTTCTCACATCGTCATCCTCAGGCCAATTGTGGAGATCGTAATTGACAGTGGGATCCTTCCATGGATTTGGCGTCTTCTCGTCATGGAAAACTGGGACGTTCACTTGTACCTTCCTCCCGCGCCTCCAGCGTATGTTCGCCGCGAGGGTTGGGAAACGAATGTGTGGGTTAGCAATCTCATCCGGCACAAACTGTGACCGAAGTTTAGATCCAGATGGTGGGTAATAGGGGTCCGTAAAGACGCCTGGAACTCCCAAACGAGGAAAGGTCGTCAGTGTGAGTGGGTATTCTTCAGGATGCATGTGCTCCTTAGCAATCTTCCTCCTAAGCTCTGGTCAGCTTAGCTCATATTTGCATGATGGAATTACTCGTACCTGATCTTCATATCTGGCTCAACACTCAAAAGTTCTTTAAATCCGATGCCCCATGGCTTGCCTGGGGTAGCTTCAAGCATAAACCTGCCAAATTCAGGGTGAAAAACTGGTAGTGGATTCGATCTCTGTGCTTCAAGCTCCTGGAGCGCTGGAACACAGCCGCCCTTATCGGCGAGTTCCTCATCAGCTGCCAGAGCATTCAGAATATCGGCTTGTCGAAGCGATAAGAGGACTTTAGGGTCATCTTTGGAATATTTCACAACCAGATACTCTATCTGTAAAGCCGTGTTAACGAGGGTTTATAGCAAGTAATGGAAATGCGTTGCAGACGATACCTCATCACCCCATAACATAGCATCTCTCTCCTTGTGCTTGGCCTTATTCCATATCTCTAGCAATTGCTACTATGCGTCAGCCCAGAGACCAAGAAAGTGCTGAAGAATGCTACGATAAGGAAATTACCTTGATACCCCATGCTCTGACTTGTTGCGCATGCTTCTGCGCATCCGGCCAATCAAGGGCCGTACCCAAAGCTCTGTAAAGAAGCGTCAGCGACCCTGTATTATGATATCGGCTCTTATTATCTAGATCAAGGGGTGACGTACAATAAGCCCATCCTTGTAGGTTAACAATTCGCAGCCGCGCGAATTGATAAGGCAAGAATAGTGTTGTTCTGATAGGTTGATAAGTTGATAGGTCGATAGGTTGACAGGTTGAATGATCTAGATAAAGTACTTACATACCTAGGTGAGTATGTCGAATGATTCGCAAGTGAGGCACAAAAATACTTTCTTTCCCTCGAAAAATGCCAATAGCCAAAGTAGATCAAGCTGAGATATGCCCAATAATAGAAATGAAACAAATGGTAAGAGCTACCTATGTATCGTAGATAGGTACTATAGTAGGTTTTATGTATGCCAGGTGCACTAGATACTGGGTAAGCAACATTAGTTACCTAGGTAACTTGAAGTAAGCAGTAAATAACTGGAAACTTGAAAGGCAACCAACATTGAACTCGCAACGATTTACTTTGCTGGTTACGCCACCAAAGCAGTACCTACTAAACTTTGACGTCTTAGTGTACTAGTAGTAGACTTCTAAGAAGAGGCCTTTCGGCTATCGCAATAATGCGTAATAACTCAATACCTCTCTATAAGAGGGAGTGGGCAGATTGCCTTCGCCGCGCGGGAATCAAGTGCGGCGTCTAATTCTGTCTCTCGCCGAATATGGTGGCCCCCACGAACTCAGCTCAGGGTGTCGAAACCATGGCAGCGAATGAGAATATTGGCACAAGCTGAGGGTGGTATAATATGTCAACTGGAGGTTGAAGCACGCAATCGCTAGATGATAGCACAGTATTGGTAGACAGCTGGGCGTTGTGACCTTTTGTGGCAATCCCTTCGTTTCCCGATTAGGAACAAATTGATGAGAAGACGTATGAACGGGATCGGGAGCGGGAGCGGGAGAAGAGCAAAGATTAAACTAGCTCCTTTTTTTTGAGAAATAAGTAAAAAGAAGATTTTTGATAGTGAAGTTCAAAATATCTTACTTTTTTTAATATTTAGGTGTGTTTTTAATCCCTCTTACTTACCCTTTTCTATTTTCTATTTCCTGTTTCCTCTTTCCCTCTCTATCCCCTTCCTTTTCTCCTCGTTTGCCTAGATCTTCCATTTGTGGGGCCTCTCTAGATTGATTAATAAGGCCAGATGCCGACCGAACCCGCAACTGGCTTAGAAATACACTTGAATCATTTTAGCATCAAGGAAACTTTCGAGACTAAGCATAGTAGGCACGCCTTTGATAGCACGCTGCCCGGTCTGTTTCGGCAAGTGAAAAAAAAAAAAAAACTTACGTTAACTACTAGGTTAGCATGTACATACCTTCCGATATCAAACACCTGCCTACTAGAGATTGTGGCTTAACATGAACAGCCACATCATCCAGAGTCTCCGATGTCTACAACATTGAACTACCCTAGGGCCTAGGTACTTGTAGGGGCCTATAACAGAAAAACGAAGTTCAGATTCTTGTTGATTCAGTTCAATATGCGTGCCTCAAATCATCTTGAGACTCATTTCATCCACCATGCCATGGTTCAAATACCTTTGGCAGGTACATATGGTACTAACTCACTCACTCAGCGTGGTATATGAATTTCAATAGGTTCTACATGTACGTATAGGTAAGTAAGTGCTTATCTACGTTCTGATTCCATGATACTTTATAGGTACTCGCCCCTGTCCACACTCCTCAGTCTTGTTTCAATGTCTTCGAGTCTCGCCGATTATCCTTTCCACCTAATTCAATATCCTCGAAGCTTTCGTCTGCTGGTTTCACTTTGCTCCCGCTCATATGACTGCCATGTTCTCTATCTTTAGCCGCGTGCTTTACGCCAGCCGATCTTACCTTACTTCCTTTGTGTGAGCCGTGCTGTTTTCTATGGTCTGGGCTATTCGCGTCGGCTGGTCTGATCTTGGGTTCCATATGGGAGGTATGCTCAGCCCGAGAGCTCCCCATATTAACTGCATGATCCCCTGTACCAAATCCCCTATTTGACGGGTCTTGATTTAAGCTCGAGTAGGGCTGGACCTTGGATGTCATATGAGATGAGTGGTCTTGTAGGTGATGCCATTCAACATCATCATCCGATTCCCCTCCCACCGAAGAGACTTCTGCCTCCTCTAATAAAGTCTGTCCCATGACACACTCACGCTCAACGTAAACCTCGCGAGGTATCGCGGTGTGGTGATGTTCAAGTCCAGATCCCGGTGGTCCCAGTGGTCCAATATCTTCTAGCTCGATTCTGGGTGCCTCGTCTAGATCACTCTCGTGGCTCCGTTTGCTTCTCATACTCCTCTTGCTTACTTTACGGACAATGTCGCCAAACTTTTCCGCGCCCTGTTGAATGTCCCCTATAAATTCGTTACCTCGCCGCCCAATCTCGTCCCGAGCTAGATCTACCGTCTGTCGGTTAAGGTGAACGCCTTCGTCAATTAGCCGATTTTTCTTGCGGATCTCGCTCCATCGAGTCAAAGAGCCTAGTTCAAGAACATTCATACGACGGAATTTCTCTGATGGATTCCCAAGAATCACGGGTCTCTAGCCAATGTCTTCTTCAGGGATTTCAGACACGTCTTGGAGACCGTTGGCTTTCGCGGCAGCAATTGCTGAGGCACGACGGCGGAGGCTGTCCCGTCGCTCTTGTGTCCATTTGTCCATTTCCATGCTCTTCGAGTTTGGAATGATTTGCAATCTTCGAAATCGAGCAAATACCCCCAAAAGTAAAAGCGAAAGCATGAAAAGGATGGATGCAACGACACCTGTCGCGGCCCTTTGACCTAGATTTCGAGTAGCTATACCCCCAATGCCAGTCGCACCAGCAGCGAAAATGAACCCAATACTGTGGATGGTGTTCCATCCGGCGGTCACTCGAGGGAATGATGAATAGTTGATTCTTTTCATGCCATCTTTTCCTGACCTGGAGCGACCCGTCATGCCAGGCTGGAGATCAGAACAATCCCATGCCTCCATCAGCATGCCATTGCATTCAGCTATGGCGAGGCATGATAAGAAGCCAATGATTGCTGCAAAGCTGCAGGGAAATACGAGATGAATGGGTGGGCCAGAAGAGACGATAGTGTACAAAATTCCTGCAATCGGAAGTACGATCACGAAAATTGCTCGGCGGACAAGGTGGGAAGTCCAAGTTACTGCTTTATCGAAGGTCATACTGTTTGTCAATGGACCTGTAGAGCGGGATCGAGAGAAGAGATTGGCCTTCTGGAACGGCACTGCTGCTAGCGCACCGATAGCAACGGACGATACTGCAGCGCCCACGAATGGAGACCGAAAACGGTAGTGTCTAGATGACAAAGATCCCAGAAGCTAGGTATATAAGTTAATAAAGACCAGAAGGCTGTCTGTAATGACCTTAACTTACGACAATGATCAGAACAACTTGGGCATATATCCATGCGGAGTACACAGCCATAACTACAAAGCCAGGCTGGCGGAGCATTTCTAGAGAAAGTGCAACACCATGATACATTTCTTGACCCCACCATTTCGGGCCATCCTTCACACGGTGCATCATGATTTCACCGCGAGCCACTCTTCGGGATATTACTGAACCGACCTTGACTTCGGCTACAGAACGCCTCCAGGCTGACCGTCGGACCTCCGGGCAGAGAACGTTAAGAAGAAGGACGGCAGCAATCAGCATAATGCTGATGTATAGCCCCCACGATGGCTTCAAGCTATCAATGACCATAGCACCGATCAAGAAACCAATGCCCAATGAGCCGATGAAGCACCATGTCCAGATGCCAAGCCAAACGCCGAGCCCACCCCCGTGTCTCCTTGCGTCGCAATGGTCAACGATTTCTTGGTGCGGGTTGCTACTCATTAAAGAAGCGCCAAAAAGGTCAGTCAGCATGGAATGGAAATTCATATTGGCAAACCCCAGAGCGCAGCCCATGATAGCCCTGGGAAGAAGTAGGGCCCATCTCCACACGTCGGTGTACGGAGATCGAGGAGTACTGACCGCAATTGCTTGGGGAAACAGTAGGGGCATAGCCACGCATAAGCTGCACACGATGTACGGCTTGCGACCATGTAGTAAAGGTAACGGCCAGCAAAAGAATGTTGAAAGAGCCATTCCAAGATAGAAACCGACGTTGCCAAGAATCGAATAGTGGTGGAAATCTGCAATATAGTACTGGATAGACGGAACCAGCCCTGCATAAATTCCAACCAAGACGCCGATTAGGGCGGTGCTGATGCATGCAATAGAAGCGACAAATCTTTTGCGGGCGGGCGACCAGTCGCGGGCGATTGTTGGTTGTCGTTTCACGGATTTAGCAAGACTGAACCGTTGTCCATCTCGAATACTGACATGCGACCTTCTTCGAAGACTGATGTTACGTACCTCGTGGGTGCGTTTGACCGGTAGTTGTCTTTGAGTCGTACCAGTCTTCGTAGTCGTGTCATTCTGCTTGTGGCCACGCATCGACTTTTTGAAGTCTAAGCGTTCGATTCCTGGCCTACTGCTGGGGTTATATTGCGTGGAAAAGTCTATCACATCGTCAGATGTGCCCCCGTTCAAGCTACAGGCATCGACGTCCAAGCGGCTAACATCACAAAACGTGCAATGAGGCTGAGCATCCTTCTCCTCGGCTTCGCGAAGATTCCTAGAGCTCTGTCTAGGTGCGATGGGCGGCTGATGGAAAACACGAATATATTCTCTAACTTCTCTGCTATTAGGGACGTCTCTGGTACGGGGCTTAATAACTCCTGTTGGATCATCCTCGTCGTAGGCGTGAGGTAATGGAGAGATGCATTCTCTCTTGAGCCGATTCCCAGGTGGAGGCATAGGCAAGACGCAATCATCATTGGTAGCGTGGTGTCGTGTCTTATTTTTAGTTGTTGGTTGTTTCTTAGGTTTTCGGAGGCCACGAATATTTGACACTTGATCTGGATATGGTGGTCCTCTAATATTTCCGCTGTGGACATCCGGTTTTATCAGCCCCCGATATTTTACTGGCTCGGAAGGCAATATCTCATAGTTATAACCTAAGCCTTCAACCGCGCCTACATGAACATCAGGTGGTGTTCTGGCAGGAATGATCGTATGCATATTCTCGCTTGTGTTGCTTCCGACGCTTCTATGAGCACTTTGGGAGATGGATGATCCCTGAACCGCCTAGGATGTGCTCTTAGAGTCAAGAAGATCATCATCGTGCTGGCAATGATCCTGTTCGGTCACCTTGTTTGCCAAAACTAACGCCTCGCTTAGTAGTCTCTCGAGCTCATGCATAGCTGTATCCATCGTCCCCACGTCAGCCTCATTCTCCTCCGAGAATGTTGTCACTTTAGATATCATCATACTAGTTTCATCGGTAGGGTAATCGTGATGTTCCTTGTGTCGAGGATGAGACTTCTCAGGTAATTGGGTGAGATTTGGACTACCTGGCTCTGAATGCCTAAGAAATTGGCGAAGCCAATTCGCAGCACCCCGGGTATCAAATTTCTCGGACGCCACACTCTGTCTTGTTTGGTCGCCCTCCTTTTGCTTGGGGTGAGGATGAGAGGCTGGGGAAACACAAGATGTTGATACCACCGTTTCCTCATCATTATCTCGACAAGTGAGTTCCTTTTTCTGAGTGGTGTCGTATGGCTTCAGTGGTAGTGCGACCTCACCCTCATGGCTGGCACCCCCCTGGATGTCAGTCGACTCAACAATTTTTGTAACAGCCTTTGATATAATATCAAAGCTTTTTTGGGAAGTTGAATATTGACTAGCACTTAACGAAGGCCGATTTTCGCCACGAGACATAACAGATTGATCCCGCGATTTTGATGAGAGTCTATGAGCCTCTGCCTTTTTGGCATAGGCGACTGGCTGGCCTTGTTTCTCACTCCTAGTATTAGCCTCCTCAGCCCTTTTCTCTCCAAATCGAGGTAGGAACCCCTAGTACGAAGCTGTCTTCGATGGCTCTTCATCTTTTTTTGTAGTTTCAACCTCTTCATCTACAGCAAGATTTGGGGCAGAGGGCTCTTGTAACTCGAACGTAAGGGATGGCGACTCATGATACGGCTGTACTTTCTGCACCCAAGCGTGTCCTGAATGATTGTCACTGGAGCACATGCTTTGTATAGAGCCTGAGAGAGAGGTGTAATCTTGAGATGGACGGACCTTCGGGGTGACGTTGTGGCCATGGTGGCGATGCTCCAAAATAGAGGACCTTTCTTGAACAGGGGTTGAGCTATGGTGAATGATCATTTTTCCATCAGTGACAGGTTGCACTTTTGAGATGGTGGAGTGGCCTGTATGGCTTTCGTTTCTGTGAAACAACACTGCGGCTGGGCGAACCTTGACAGCTGAGCTATGATTTCCATGAATATGGCCCGAGACGTCGACTACTTGCTCACATATATCTCCCCCAGTCAGACGGCGACGGGTTCGCCCAGTTAATGTATGATCCTTCGGGTTGACAGGAGGAATTCTGGTTGGTGGTGTTCTGATTGGGGAGTCACGCTCTGTGGCAAACCCAGCGTCACAAAAGTCTGCACCTGAAACTAAGCCAGGATGGTGGACCATCGCATGTGTCCCCGGAGGGTGTATTGCAGGATCAATACACACTATGCCGGGCTGTCTGCCTTCGTTACTATCTGAATAAGTGTGATGTTGGGGTACCAGGTTGGGTGAAGAAGACATTCTCGTGGGAACCGAAACATCAGAAATCCGGTGCCTCATTGTAATATTCCTTCCCATTGATTCCGGTGGCCCAGGGGTTAGAATAGGGGGCACCGGCAAGTCTTTGATTGACTGGTCCGTAGAACTGTCTCTTTTCAACAATCCATGGCGACGCAGCCCCCTTGACTTCGTGGAACGAAATGATTCAGGACGATCCCCTACAATTCCCAACGAGGGAGTCGAAAGGCTGGGACGCAGGTGAAGATGTGGCTTAGGATCCATGGCGTCGGTTATATTATGGAGACAAGAATACCAACTGAAGTCGTAGTTAGAACTGTGTAGCTATTGGGATGTTAGGGGGGGGAGAGTTGGTTATACAGAGCTTCAGCCAACCTCTGTTTATGATGTTGCTATGACTGTAACTGTCACCAAAGTATCTAGTGGAGAGGAAGTGGGTGCACCCAAGTGCGAATCATGGACTCTTACAACGGGGGCGAGAGAGGGATGAAAGCCACCCAGTAGTATGCCTAGATAGATAGCACAGAAACTTGGGGGAAACCCGAGCAGGAAGCAAAGGTGAGAAATAGGGGTAGCTAACTGCTGCGAAAAATACGATTATTTCCGCAGGGTAACGATATTTAGGGAATTCCCAGGATTATTGCAAGAGGAGAAATTAATGTTGCGAACAAGATGCTCAATAACTCTGAAGGATTAACAGGTATCACCTCTATATACGAATACTTTGTACTATGTAGTGGTCTGGTTCATTATCACCTGGGTAGCGGTTACCTACTCGATGCCTACATATAATAGTCGAAGTCGGGCTATTCCCTGTACACCACCCTCACTCTTTCCTGATCAAAATAGATATTGCTTAGCTAGGTAGGTACCTCAGGTATTTATTGGTTTGAGATGGAAAGCACGATTCATACTAAGGGAAGTCAGTGGAGGGTTCAGCCTTGACGGTTGTTACATACCTACTATGTAGGGTATTCAACTCGAAGTTGCGAAGTTCTACCAAGTACCAGCCAGGCACATCAATGTCACCTAGAGATTCAATGTCACTACCAAAATACAGAGATGTCAACTGTCAACAAATTTGATTGATGTATCAATATATTGAAATAAATGCTGTAATAACTTAGTTGATACCACCTTGAATGGCCCATACTACATATGTATTAGGTACCTAGGTATGAATAGAGAAGTGTCATGCTATTCGTCCAACGTTTCTGGCTCGCTTGTAGAAGCCACCTTATGTAGTATCTAACTTAATACTTACATAATACTAATGGATAATTCTAAGAGTACCTAGGGATATGACCTAATTCGAGCCGAGAAAGTGGTGTTGTAGTATTGTAGTTGAAACCAAGATTATTTGGACGAAGATGGCATATGGGTGTATTGGGGCGAAAGAGGCAACTTGGAACTATACCCAAAAAATCTCCAAGGATCGTGGATAGTCTTGCACATGTGTGGTATGGTTGGGTGATTATCCGGATTGGACGGATCAATATTTCTGGATAATGAGCCTGGGGGTTCCTTAACGCAGCAACAACGCATTCTGACGTTAAAGCCATATGGCCCGATACTTACTCTGAGAAAGGGAAAGGGACTGTCTAGACGAGTTTAGCTTACGCAACAAGGCAGCACATTTAGTGAAGGGTGGGCGAGATCAGATTTGGGTCAACGTGAGCTGCGAAATGAGTAGGTAGGTAAGTTGACGCGCAAGTCGCTAATCAAGTTCTCATGATATATGAATTCAATATTTCCCATCCTCGGGATCTCGAAACTAAAAGACCGAAGTGCGAGAAGAATAAATCCATACTTCTATATGTAAGGCTACTTTGCAGTACGATGTACCACTAAGCTGACATTGCCACGGATGAATAAGTATTGACGGTGGACGAAAAGGTCAGCTGAGGTTTCAGCTTCATTCTATTCCGCACCAATATGACGATAAATATCGACTCAACGAGAACGCCTTTCTAGGGGCTCATATATTTGAAATGGTGCTGGTAATAATTAGGTACCTGGGTACATAGTACGAGGCATCGATGTCGGGCGTTGTTGTTTAACATTGGAGGCGCCAACAACATGGTACATAACATGAAACCCCTGTCAATGATGCAGTTGGTATACTTCAAGTTGGTAAATGGCAAGATAGACTGAGGAGTAGAAACCAAATCTTGGAAGTTATGTGTCTAGAATGAACTGACAGGCAGATAGGGATCCACTATAGAATATGCCGGTAAACCTAGAACCGTTTGGGCTAATCTTCTCGTATAAATGATGACGACATAGGGTCCCTAGGTACCTAGTATTTGAAGAAGTTCTGGGAAGGTGCTAGACAGAAGTGCTACATGTAAAGAGAAGCCTATCTGCACGAGACCTTCCAGGTGCAGGGCGCAGATGCACATAATTCCCTGTTCACCAATTAAACCCCACTAAACCCAAGACGAGAGGCCATCACAGCCCCGGATATGGTCACAAGGTGTTGGGAAAAAATAGTCTCATCTCTTCTTATCATCGTCAGCGACCACCTGGGCACCTAGAAAGGTCCTACATATCATGTACCTAGGTGTATGGTGTATACATTGTATATTCTTTTTGACGTTGTTAGGCTTTTCCTTCTATATCGTCAAATCATCACTGGTGTTTATTAAACCAACAACATCATCGACAGCAACGTTGAGCAGAGTAATAAAAATGAATACCACCATACCTACCTAGGTATTGTATGTGTAGAGGTGTGTTGACCGGATCGGGGGACCCCGCAGAGGGGTAATGGAAGCTGGGCGAGGACCCTCCTTCATCTTTCTCACATATTTTTCATACGGGAAAAATAATAACACTTTACACAGCAGCAGGCCGTAGCACACCGCCTGCATGGTTTCTAATCAATCAAGGAGCAACCGACAGTTGTGGGAAAATATGAGAGAGAGTCTGCAGACTAAATAGCCACGGGGTGGCAGGACAATACAGGGTTGATATAAGAGACAACAGACTAGCAGCAACAATTAGTCACTCACACCCTCCACAAAAGCCCCGAGCGCCAAGTAATAAAATAGGTACCCTACCTGGGTAACTAGGTAGGTAGGCTGGCTAAGATGGCCTGGATGGTTAGAAGTAGGTAGAGTCACAATCGGCGCCCCTCGGCAGCATCTCCCGTGTGCCCATCTCCCCATTGCGCAGCGCTCTTCGCCCGTCGCTCGTCATTTATCGTCTGTCGCTCTTCTCGGTCATTCCCTGAGTCCCCAAACCCCAAAACTTGATGGCTAAAAGTTCTGCGTGACACCATTCATCATCCCACATCATCATCACCAGCTTGACTTTCTTTGCTGCGATATATACATACTCAGTTATACTGGGAGCCTATAATTCCCCATTTTCCTCTCAATATTTTGCCATTTACCTATATCCATACCCAATAGTTTACCCCTCCGTTACATAAATCACTAAAATCAATCTTCTGTGCATTGTGACGTCACTGTCCCTTGGCCGTCAAGATCTACGATAGCATGGCTCAAGTTTATCGTGAACGCGATGTGCGCTACACAAGAGACCAAAGTCCCTCGACTGACGAGGAGAAATATACAACTATAAGACGATACAAGGTTAGCGGTGGAGGAGATTCTGGCAGCAGGGTTGTGGAACGGGATCGCATTGAACGGTATGAAGAGGATGATGATCATAGATCAAGACATTCTCATTCCCACGTTGGCCGATCGACCGGCGATACTCTAGAAATTGATCGTCGCGTGGAGAGAACTTCCTATCCAGAACGACCGAGATCAAATCTCGATCCTCATGACCGGTATAGGAGTGTCGAGTACGAGCGGGAACGTGAGGTTGATCGAGATCATTACCCCGAGCGACACTCCCGTACCAGAGTCGTAGAAGACATTAGGGAGACATCGAGTTCGTCACCTCGCGACAATTATTGGGAACGTCAGCAGAGAAGTCCCTGGGATGAATCTCGGGAAGTCGATGTCCGCCTTGACAAGCGTGTCGTGCGCCGAGATGAGGGTGACCTGAAGGTCAAAGAGAAGTATGTGGAGGAGCGTATAGAGGAGCCTCGCGAGTACAAAGAGCGTGACATCAAAATCGAGCGTCGCGTCGTCGAGGAAAGAGAGCCTCATGATGTCGATATCGAGCGATACCGGAAGGAAGTCGAATATTATGCGGCCCCCTCCCCTCCCCCTGCACCTGTTGTGATTCGCCAGAAGGCTCCTGAACAGAAAGTCATAATCCATGAAGCGCCTGCTGCGGCCCCCGTAATATTTCCCCGCCAGGAACCTACATTTATCGTCCTAAGGGATGAACATCGCGATGTCGCCCGTCGGGAGGAGGAAGACTATTACCGCCGGGAAGACCGTCGGGATCGGGAAGATCGTCGACGTCGCGAGGAACGAGAACATGAAAGCGATGGCTATGAGGAAGACTATTATGTCAAGAGGACTATCATAACACGAGGACGAAGCTCGAGCTCCGATCGCCACAAGAGACGCCATCTCGCCGAAGGCGCGCTCGCTGGGGCCGGCCTCTCGGCCTTGCTTTCGGGGCGTAGTGGCAAAGAAGTCGATCATCGCGGACATAGGGGAAGGAAAGTCATTGCTGGCGCTGCTTTAGGAGCCCTGGGCACAGAGGCTGTACGGCGTGCGAAGAGCGCATATGAAGAGCGGTACGATGATAGGTACGAACATGACTACGACGACGATGTTCGTCGACACCGCCACCGCAGCAAGTCTCGTAGTAGGCTAACAACCGGGTTGGCTATCGTAAGTTTCCCCAAGCGATACTCAATTTGATGTTTACTAATATAACATATTAGGGCGCTGCTGCTCTAGCCGTCGCTGGCGGTCTGAAATATATGCAAAACAACAAAATTGAGAAAGAAGAAGCCCACCGTGGACGCGCACCGCGACGCCGATACTCTGACGCCAGCTATTCGAGATCTCGAAGTGCTTCAGGTCACGGTCGAAGTCGTAGTCGCAGTCACAGTAAATCGAGCATAGCTAAAGCAGCCGTTGCAACTGGGTGAGTATTAATCAGCTTTCAAGCCATATCTATCAGATACGGGTTTCTCGATCATGAACTGCTCATAGGTATCTCCCCAAGTGCCTGGCTAATTACTAACCATCGGTACACTAGTGCTCTCGCTGGCTTGGTGAAGCATTATAGATCAAAATCTCGAGGGAAATCCCGCTCAAAGTCCAGATCAAAGTCCAGATCAAAGTCCAGATCAAAATCTCGCCTCAGAACTGGTGCGTTTTACATAAGATGCTTAAATAGACACGTCACTGACTCTTGCTAGGTGCCGAAATTGCCGCCGCCGGGCTGACCGGAGCTGCAGCGAAGAAGATTTGGGATCATCGCAAGGAGAAGAAAGAACATGAACATGACAGGGAAATTGATGATGAATATGACGATAGAGATCGAGGCTATTCAAGAAGCCGATCTAACTCGAGGTCTCACAGTCGCCATTCGCACTCACGAGACTCTACGGCTGATAGAGAATTAGGCCTGGTTCCCGTCATTCCCGGAGTGGAGTACGGAAATGACCCTGTTGAAGGCTACGAGTCTGCCTCCCAAGAGCCACGACGCCGCCGTCGCCGTGACAATCGACATCGGTCATCGTCCGCATCCGATCGAGAGGCTCGGAAGAAGAGAAGTCGGAGCACACTGCGAGATGTTGCCGCTGCTGCATTCGGCATTAAGAAGTATGCGGATCGCCAGAAAAGTAAAGAACGAGGCGAGAAGTCCCAAGGCACGAGTCGAAACAGGTCACTTGACAAGGAGGAACGAGACCGAGACAGACATAGAGAAAGGCGATCTCGTGACCGTGAAAGAAGGCGTATGCAGGGTTAAAACTTCTCGACATAAGACCATTAAGTTAACTTGTAGAGTAGGTTACGAAGAAGAAATGCCTGACGCACCATATTACGGTTACGATGTCGAAGCACCCCCGTCTCCGCCCCATGCTTCTGGCGGATATCCGCCCCCGGGGCCTGTCCCACCAACCGGACCGATGATGCAAGGCCCGAGTGGCTTTACACAACATTCTAACCAGTCTACAGTCAATATTAACCCATATGCTCCCCATCCGCCCTATAACCCTCAAGACTATCCCATATCAAACCTCCCCCCACCACCACCCGGCCCACCACCCGGCCCTGCCCCTCCAGGTTCGGGTACCCGTTATGGGCCAGAATATGTGAGTCATCCACGCTCCGGTGACAACCAATCCCTTCCCCAGACCCCTCGGAGCATCGCTACTGAGCAGGGTGCGTCTCCTTGAGTTTTATCTTTCTATGCTATGAAATACTTCTAGATTAAACGTCATGATCTCACGATGTCTAACCCTATTTTTAGATGGTATAACATATCACAAGCGATCGCCCTCTGATGACTCTTTAACACACTCTGAACTAGACCCGTCTCCTAAAGTGAAATTCATTCCCCTCTCCCCAAAGTCATCTCAAACTCTCCGTAGACATCGTCGGCAATCGGGCGATCGAGCAATGATTAATGTTGATAACACACACGAACCATCCTCTCCTAAACAACCCCAGACTCTTCGAAAGCGATCGGATTCAGACACGTCATTCAATCGTCCGCAATACCAAAGACACAAACCACGTGGTGATAGATCACCGCATTCCGACGACGGTGAAGTTGAATATCTGCCCGACCGCTTTGATTCCTCGGGTCAACCGCTTGAGGCCGACCGTACGCTCAATGGGATTCCCAGACGGGGTAGTTTCGAATATCTCCCGCGCGATGGGAACGACTGGCACATCCGCGGAGCGTGGCGGACTATCGGCGATCCAGATCCCCTTTCTTTCAGCGAATTGGCGCAAACTTTCGGAGGCCTTCTACAACCTCGTGGCGGCTTGGTGGGCATGCTTGGAGACGTGTTAAGGGATATATGATTTACGACAACGAATGTGGATAGATTTTCTATTGGAATGGTTTATTGATTTATGTAAAGACGACCGTTATGAGTTACAGATTCGTTTTGTTATAAGTCATAAGAGCCTTTCTCTTTCAAGTTTTTTGTTGGCGGTGCACAGGTTCGGAGTGTTGGATCTCACTACTCTGAAGTATAAGCGTTTTAAGGGGATCTCTTTGAAGGAGAGGAGGTAGATGTAATCTCTTTTGATCTCGTTTTTTACGACTTATGATAGTTTTTTGTTTTCATTTTTATATCTCTTACACTATTAATTCACTGCCTGTGTTTCTGTGTTTTGAGAGTGCCCATCTACCATTTCCTCTAATGACCCTTTTTCATGTGATAGGTATCTAGGGTAGTAGATGGTATGTGCTCTAGAACGTCACTGCCGCTCTACTTGCAATTGACTCGCCTACCTAGGGGGCGGATGCATGGCGAAGCACTCAATATCTTTAATGCTCGTCTACCAACCCAGTGTGTTGATGAACGTCCTGGGCTGCACACCTTTCGTTGTGGCTTTTCGTTCTCGTCGTTCGCATCGTTGCCGGCACGGCATCTGTTACCTACCCATGTAAATATACCTAGGTAGTTGGGCAATCAGCGGTAATTACCTAGGTTAGACATATGTTGTAATGATATGAAATGCAGTGTAGCAGGAAGAGATGAGTAGGTAGGTACCTAAGCTTTAGGATTACTGCGAGTCTCTTGGGTAGGTAGATATCTAGTTTCCAAATTACGCGCCCTCGTTCGAGAGTTTTGTGTCGATGATAAATGTCCGAGGTAATCCTGTCCTTGAACCCCTGAGCCCCCTAACCCCTGAGTGGTTGCTCTTGTAAGTACCTAGGCGTAGGATTTTTGGATGGGATCAGATGGGAGTAGGGTAGGTACATAGCTCCAAGCCGCAGTTTTATCGAGTTATTTAAACACCTAGGTTAGGTAGGTAGGTAGGTAGGTAGTCGTGGGTATTGTATATCACGTTGTCCATGAATGTGTTCAAGTATACCGTAGCGGGAACCACCCCGTCCATGAGAATCATTCTAGGCTCGATGGAATAAAAACGATTTTTTTTAAAAGAATGCTATGTCCCGAATAAAATCATTGGGATGCATGAATTGATTCCATCGAGCTTAGAATGGTTCTCGCGATAACTGGATTATTTACTTACCTACTGGTACAGGTAGTAGTGTAGATCATATCTGGGGGTTGTCGTTGAACCTCCCCCTCTTTCTTGCGGCCGCGGGTGCAGTTGAAGCGGCTGGGATAGCCTCAGCTTAGAGCAAGGACCGTAATTCTATGAGAGACTTTCCAAATGGAACAATAATACGAATGCCTCTTGTAGTTCGTTCGTTTTCGACACCATAGGCACAGTCATGAGTAAAGCTCCCCGGCCCAAGCCTCGGAGATATTTACGTCCCAAAGGCTAGAACCTTGCACGGACTAACTTGGTCCCCTATTCTAGGTATAACTAGGTAGCCAGGTCTTGATAGGTGATGCGATTGGTCTTGCTAGGATGAAAAATGTCTTCGAGTCCAAACTCGCTGGCTGGTTTCAGGCCATTCGACGACGGCATTAGGTCGTTAACGGCTACGATTCATAGGGGCAGGCCTAAGACGAAGTCCGGTTTGATAGATTTTGCTGGTAGTATAGATGATTGATACGTAAAACTAGGTACCTAGGTAGATGAACATACCTACTCTAGATCACATAGCACTTGCTTATCTGTGAGCACCAGACAGCTTTGAAGGTTGTGGTGGTAGCTTGCTATTGGCACTAACAATGCTAGATCTCACCAATCTCACCGAGGTGGTTCCTTGCCCAAGATGATGTCTAGGAGGCTATCTAGCAAGTCTACCTGACTATCTCGAAATTGTTGGATACTAGGTGGCAATGCTTGAGATTGATTGCGTGAAGTTGTAACAGGAAGACTTCAAAACTGTCGAGGAGCCTTGATAGTTAGGGGGTGAGCTGCAATTGAATAAGCAGGCCAAGTTGAGAAAGACTCCCTAGCCTACGATACATTGCTTTGTTAGTTAGTGGATTAACCACAATCCAGTTCTGTTCGCGTCATACTTTACCTGAATGTCTGTCTACCAGACCTCATACTCTTTGCCACCTTTGGTTTCTTTAACTCCGTCTCGGATCACGATTTAGAAGTTGAGCCTCACAGTGTTAGTTTGGGAACCAAGATGTTGATCTTAGTGCGGACAAGTCAAAGGTCCGAGTTGGAGTATGAGTGTCTTTGGACGATGTATACGAGGCCCCTGATCCACATAGCTTTGAAATCCACATTTTCAGGGGATAATAGGAGCTAGCGACGACCTGTATGTCTCGCGGAGAAGCCTCCGGCGAGTGGACATGGTCATTTTTGGCAAAGTCCTACGAAACGCTTGATATGACCGAAGTCACGAGAGTCATTGCAATTAGTGTAGACATAGGTATACGACTTGACATATTCCGTGACCGAGCGTTGACGAGGTTCTGTTCGGAAGGACCTATTATTGTCATGATACTCCACCCGAATAGCTCGGCTATTGCGTGTAAACTCGTTGACTATATCAATACGCGCTTGCTGATGATACCCTACGTACAGTCTCCTTGTCCAGGAGGGGTTTTGCTGCAGCCGAGATGGAGTGTGTTCAAAACCTTGCCGGAGAAATATGGAAACTAATAAACGATAGACGCCGGAACAAGGCCAGGAACTGCAGCAAGCATGTGAGATCCTTGACTAACTAGTAGAATTGTTACCTCTGGCCCTGAAATGTGATAGTACTGTAGTATGTAGGTTCCTAGGTAGGTATAGAGGATAATGCTCACGAAGGGAGGGGAAAGGTAATAGGTAGAAGTTGTGGCTAAAGTGGAAGTTCAAGGTTTCCCAGTCCAATCTGAAATGGATCTTGGTGGAAGACTCGGCTGATTGTGGGTACCTGTTTCCTAGCACTGCACCTGCACCTGAACTTTGACCTGCACCTGCACATGTGGTCGATCACCCCAGTTGCATTTCCCATAACCTTTGCATCCATGCGCCATGCCAAGGGCGATCATGTGATTTCTGTGCGATGGGTAGTACCGGTAGCTAGCTAGGGCTGGCCAGTGGCTACATGTAATGTAGGCAGGCAGGCAGGGGCCGCAGGGCAGGCAAAAAACAAACAAACAAGGCAGCTGCATTGTCTAGGTATATGTTCGTTCAAAGTTTAGGTAGTTACCTAGGGACCTAGGCTAGGGTATGTCAGACTTTCTTCACCAACTTGCCTCTTTACTACTAACTAGTAATACATACCTACATACCTCACAACCTTGAAAAATATTACTTCACCTACCCGCCGGAGCTAGTGACATGACCTGCATAAGGCTCAATCTTCGTCGCCCGGCTAAGGAGCAATTTGCCTCAGTGGTGATAGCGAGCCGAACCCTAAGCATATGCATGAACTCATTCTAGCTAACTCATTCATATCAATGATCGCTTGAATCCTTCGAAGGAAAGTCGGTATTGGAGTGAAGTGCTTAGCTACTCTCTCGCAGTCACTTCCGATTTGTCACCCCTCAATTTCTCAGCAGGGTTAACTAAAAGTGACAGGTAAATACAATGGTCTCACTTCTCGTTAGTCAACGACATGTCTAGTCGCGTCAATGGACATCATTGAGGGCCGCGGCCTATCTACAGCACCATGCAGCAATAGCTGGCCGCAGCTTCTAAACCTCAACTCGGCTCGACTCATGACTTGGGATATTCCATTTCGGGTGTAACATTAACTTGACGTATGGGCCAGATCAAGTCAAGTTGAACTCCCCTTCAGGACGCGGCCTTTTTCGCAGAGCTTACACTGACATAACCTTGGAAGTTTGTTGGAGGGGTGGATCGCATTATTCGCCAATAAGATGCTCAAGATGGCCTGCAGACGAGCATGCAATATTCATCTATCATAGAATTACCATGCAAGCCCTTTTGTTGGAATTGTACATCCGCGAGGGGGGATTGGTGTCGTCTTCCGCATTCCGCGTTCCTTAAACGAAGGTCGTCCGTAAAGAGGGGAGTTGGGGAATTGGCTTACCGACCCTTTCATTCGTCCGCTGCACACAACCAACAGATGTGATATGCGATAACCATGCTGGTTATTGGCTGCAGGACGATAGCCAGCTCGCCAATCATCTCCAGAATTTAGACGCCCAATCGCCTTTTCCCGACTAGCTTGGCCATGTTATCCGCCCTAGTTTCTATTTATTCCTCAAATCAAGCAAAGTCTTGTACTTTGGTACCGTTCTTCTTTAGTTCAGATCATTGATGTCCCACTCCACTCTATTGCTTAGCCGCCCAATATGCAGTACCGCATACATCAGCTTCTTCCTGGGCCGATTACTAGTGAGATGTGCTCAAGTGACATTACGTTGGACTAGGTGAGTGTTACCAGCCAAACAGAGGCCGCGATCTTCTCCATGACGAGCGGCCCCGCACATCAAGTTGCCGTAGTGTGTGCTCAAGTCCTTGCCGGATGGGGAGTTGCTGGCACCGTACGCTGGAAGCCGAACAAGATGGCTTGGCTGAATACTGGCCGCACCCTGGCCTCACATCCGGCCGTTGTTGATATAATACTCCCCATCCTGCTTGTGTTCCTCTTCCTTTTCTCTCTTTTTTTCTTTAGCAAGCACTCAAACACCAAAGCTAGTTTCTGGTTTCTTCTCTCTTCCCCCTTTTTTTTCTTCTTTCCCCTTTTACTGACTACAGAGCTGTGCTCTTGCGTCTTAATTCCAATTAACAAAAATAAAAAACCAATATTCAAGTTGCCGGTCAACTAATCCCCCTTAATTCACAATCACCAAATTCCCCCCTAATAGTAACAAGAAACTAGCTTTCCTTGCTCAAAAGTCCATTGAAAATTTTTAAGAAACGTCAATTTTTTGCAATAACAACATTAATCAAAATGGCTACTATCCAGCTTTCTTTCGCTCTTCGCGTTTCTTCCGGCGTTAAGTCCGTTCATCTGCTTGGTTCTTGGGACAACTACAATGGCCAAATCCCCCTTTCCAAGGACAAGTCTTCCAGCAAATCTGGTTCGTGGAAGGGCACTTTCCGATTCCAGGGCAACCTCGAGGCTGGCCAGCGATACTGGTACTACTACATCATCGATGGATACCACGTTGCGCACAACCCCAGTGAGGCCTCGACCGTCGAGCCCACTACTGGCCGAGAACTAAACATCCTCGATGTCCCCAAGGACAAGTCCAGCAAGTCTTCATCCAAGTCACACAGCTCGAGCAAGAGCTCGTCAAAGCACTCCTCTTCCTCGTCGCGAGAGAAGCACCGGTCCTCCAAGCGCTCTTCTACCTCTGACATCCCCAAGGGCCGCCCCCTCTCCGTCTCCCAGATTGTCGCTCCCAAGCCAAGGTCGCCCCACGCAACCCGTCACATCCTAGACGCCGACTACTGCGACCAGGAGAGCATCGAGGAGCTGACCGCCCGCTTTGGCAGCACCGGCTTCGACGAGGAGGACATCATCACCGACTTTGCCATCTCGCCCATCTCTTCCACCGGCTCCAGCAACCTGTCTTACCGCTCCGACAGCTCCTCGCCCAGCTCATCACTCTCCGGCTACAGCACGCCCGCCTCTGACTGCAGCAACTGCACCTGCGAGCGCTACGGCATCACCCGCAAGGGCGACCGCGTCAAGATCGACTGCGGTGGCGCACGATGCGGCGGCTACAGCGACAGCGACTGCTCCAGCGGCGAGGAGGAGGAGGAGGAATGCTACGTCCCGCACAACTCGCGCCGAAACGGCATCGTCGTCCGCGCGTGAAGACCTGCAACCCCTATCTTGGAGAGATGTGTTCCACTAAGCAGCAACGCATAATGAACGATAATACCTACTTACAAACTAATACACGCCAGAAAAGGCCGAAGATAATAAATAAGAGAAAGCCGTCTTCCAACCAAGGCTAGTTCACTCATTTTTACGGGCATAGAGCAAAAACACACCCCCTTTTGTTTCTCTTCAAGCTCTGCCCCCCGTCTTCGTTGTTACATTGCATTCATTGTCCATGTGGCGGACTGTTGATCGAACAAGCTGGTTCTTGTTTTCGATCCTTTCCAAGCCCACGACAAAAACAACTCCCCGCGCACCCCATCTTTCAATTTGGGTCGATGCTGCGGCCCCCACGACTGGGGATAATGTATTCTCGTCTTTTAGCCCTTTGGCTTAACGAAATACGTATTACCCATCGTGCGATGGTTTCGATATGTTTTCCCCATAAAACATTACCGGAAGCCCCTCCCCACCCCTTCTCTCTCTCTCTCCTTTCCTAGGGCTCTAGCGAAACACAGTGAGATCGTCTGTCCAAGGGGGGTGAAATAGTCAAAAAAAAACCACCCCCTCGCAAACAACACCGACGACAACCAATGACAGCTCCAGGGGATGAAAAGAGAAGAAGAAGAAGAAAAATCTGTCAAGATACTGGCCTCGGATTCGGCCCGTGAAGATGAATCCGAGCTTAGCCATTTGCAAATCCTCTACCTACTACCTTATATATCCCACCACAATATACTTAAAAACACACACACAAAAAAAGAAGAAGGGATATATGAGAATGAATTGGACCAGGAGAGGATACAGGAGGGCAGCGAAGAAGAACAGGAAAAGAACTCATGATGTACCTACAAGTAAACCTACCTACCTACCTACCTTAGCTGCCGCCGCATGGTGGATAGAAGACTATTGAATCTATTCATCGAAACTGATACCTATCTGTGTCTACCTGCCTTTATCGTGACGTTTTGCGATCCCGGTTTGAAGTGAATGTCAACAGCTGCCGTACCTATTTACATAACATGTTGGTCAGCTAAATTTAGGCGCGCCAGTAACCTGGAAGATACAGAGCCTAGGTATGTAAATACCTACCTACCTACCTACCTAGCTAGCCGAGGAATATAGGTACATAGACCACGGGAAGAGCGTTTCTAACCTACACAGCGCAACGCCAGTAGACGAGGGCATGACCGATTCTTAAATCGAAGGAGACGAGGAGACGCATTCCAAGCTGAGCGAAACCAGTCTATTCGCCTAAGAGTTGTTCTAGGTTAGTTTAGGTAGGTAGGTAGGAATTAATTACCTACGTCCGACGAGGAATAAATCCATGCATCCCAATGGTTTCTCCCATGTCTACCTAGGTATCTATCACTGGGGGTGCATGGATGGATCCATTGGACGAAGTTCAGAACAATTCTCGCGAATAGGGGGGGGGGGGGGGGGTTCCCGCTACGGTAGTCACTACCTACCTACACATCACCATCAAAAGAAGACACGAAGCCTCAACAAATTTCTAGAATTACTATGTATGTACCTAGTTACTCACTACCCATTCGGTACCTTTGATCTCCCCTTAGGTAGTACATCTCAAAATGCAATCAATCAATCACCCATCGTAAAAAGAAAGAAAAGAAAAGAATTCCTTCGGCAAAACCATTATCAATTCATCGGTCACACTCGCAACAAAACGCGAGTCTTCCTCTTTCCTTCTTCCTCTACCTATCTGACATATGTAGAGGGGTGTAATTTAGGATATCAACCCAAATGGTATCGGTACCTATCCATGAATCCCTTCAGCCACCACCCCCATCACCATCACCACCACCAACCTGAGGAGCTCGTGCTAGTTGATTCCCCGAAGCATGGCCCGACACAAAAAAAAAAAAAATCCGCCCCCTTCATTTCCTATACCCTTAATGCCTTGTGCCTTGTGCTTCTTTCGTACTACTTATGATTATGTAGTTCTGTAGTCAACTCTGCCAACTTAAGACGCCCTGATGCCCTGTTACCATATTTGTCCAACGATGGACCCCTACCGAACCTAACGCCCAATGACCGACATTTGGGTCATGATGCTATGCAATAATGAGTAGCTGTATAGTTTACAATCGTGCTAGTCGTGAGAAGAAAAGTGTCAATCACATCCCAACCGGTGGTTGTTCGTCTCCGGACAACCGATGCTATAGGAATATGAGAAAGTATAGGTTCATAGCTCCCGATAATCGCTGGGTCGAACCCTGCGTTGTCGGTTCTGGTGTCGTCCAGGATTGACAGGCTTGCGGAAGTAAGCATCATTATCATTGTTAGGTGTTGTGAAGTTAGGTCTGGGTGGGTGTTGGTGCTGATTTTGATTTTGAATTGGATTCTGATTCTGGTTATTGAAGGCGCCATTCATACCCATGCCGTTCATGTTACCCATGCCAGCGCCGCTCATGCCCCCAAAGCTACCGTTGAACATGCCGTTACCATTCATGCCTTGGAAGGAGGCCGGGTTGAACATCCCATTCATGCCCATCATCGGGTTCATCATCGGGTTCATTCCGTTCATACCCATCATCATAGCCATGTTCATGTTAGGTGGGTTAAAGCCATTCATAGAGTTCATAGGAAATTGCATCATGTTTGGCATCATGCCCGGCAAGCCAGGCATGCCAGGTTGCATCATGTTTTGCATATCCTTGGATCCTTGTGCTTGTTGCATAGCCTTGGGCCCTTTCGGGATCTTCGGGTTTTCCAGCAAATCCTCGGCTGGTCGCTTGTTGGAAGTTGTTTCCGATAGCTTGGGGGTATCACTAGTAGAACCTGATGAGGGGGCAGGGGTGGATGACTTCTTTGCTCCGTTAGTAGGTAGAGACTTGGTCGCCGTGGAAGATACAGTGGGTGATTTGGATTTGGTCTTCTCAGGAACGACTGCCTGGCCGTTAGGTAGGTCTGCGGGTGGAGTATCTGCCTTGTTAGAAGATGTTTGAAATGGTGACTTCACTGGGGGGGGACTCTTCGATCGGTCCTTGGCCTTGATCGATTCCTTTTCTTTGGCATAGTTTTGAGTCTTAGTAGACATCTCATCGTCTGGTTTGAGGTCATCAATTAGCACTCCATCTGTTTGGCAACCAGGGCAAATGAAGTCGCTCTCAATGAGAGCATTGGTGATGCAATCATTGCAATACGTCTTCGCACAGCATGGGGTCTTCATTGGATCTATGAACATCCTTTTGTCGATGGAGCACAACAGTCCCTTCTCCTCAAGTTCCTTATCCTCGGCAGATGCTGCCTTCTGAGCAGCTGCCGAAGATTTAGTCTTGGCTTGGTACTTGTCCCATGCAGCCTTATCAGGCTCTGCAACTACAAATTCTCCATCCGCATTGACCATGACACCAGTTGGCGGCTTGACTTCCTCGCCGTCCGTGCCAGTCTGCTGCAGTGCTGATTTGTCCACTGTTTTCAAGAAAGAGCGAGGGATTCCTGTCGTACGCTTGACACGAGGGCGGTTGTCGAATTCAGGATTGTCGTTCGTAGGACAGACTTGGATCCAGTGTCCTTTCTGTCCGCATCGATAGCAGATGTAACCATTAGGGGGGTCATGGTCTGGAACGTTGACTGGCTTTTTTGAACCTGGCTTGAAAACCGCAGTTTGACTATGAATAAGTTAATATATTAGGACACCTAATTACCCTTCTAAGGCTTGACTTACTGTGCCATCTCCTCCTGCTGGACACTCCACTGCTCCGATTGAGCTTGGAACATTGCCATCATCTTTTCTTCTTCGGTCATGGCGGCGCTCATCTGCGCAAGAGCGGTAGACGCGGGTTTCGCAGCCTTTGTCGCGTTTTCACGGCGGGAGGAATTCTTAGCGCTTGCTGGCATCTTGCCCGAAACATAGCGCGCAGCGCGGCCGGCGCCCGGCTTCTGGGGGGGTAGTCGTCGTGCAATCACAGTTGTAGAGCGTGGAATGATGGTAGTATCATCGTCATATTCTAGACTTGGTCAGTATGTCATCGTCATGTGGTTCCAAAGACAAGCTTACCTTCACTACCATCTTCGGAGTAGATGGCCAGGTCAAAATCGGTGCCATCACCCAAGCCACTCTTTACAATAATGTCACGCTTGAGTTCGAAAACCGATATTCCGGTACCATCAAATTCAACACGCGACGGTTCCTTCTGGGACTTGAACTTGAAGAACACAGAGGACGTCATGTTGACGGTTTGATAGGTAATATACCTAGACGTATTACAAGAGTCTGTAGAAAAAGGTTGATAGGTTGTGACTAGTTTATCACAAGGCCTGAAATGATGAGGAATACTAGAAAATTAGAGATGAAATCTGATGCTGCAATTCTGGGGTGAAAAGGTTGTTCTCGCAAGCTTTAGCTGTGGAGTTTGTTTTGCAATACTGTGACAGTGAAGATTTGTGGCTATTGTGACTTGTGATTTCTTGACGGATGCCTCTTTTTGTTTTCTCTCTTCAAGGACCAGTTGGCAAAAAAAGATAGACGGGTATCAATTTAGTTTGTACTTGAAAGAGTAGTCCAAGTTCACACTGCAATAGAAAGAAAATGGGGATTGATGTACAAAGCGAGTGGTGGATTTGACCACCAAATCAGCTCAAAGTGATGAAAATGGCAGAATCCCACCCGAAAAATCCACACGACGACCACAGATCACCGTAAGAATCTTGTCTTTATTGCCCAAGACCTCCTGTCTATCCCACCAGCAATACCCTATGAACAGTTTTGTTAGTTAACGATGGTCAACGCGACCATGGCTTGTCTCAAGTATGTAACGGCGAGTAGTGCTGAGTCGTGGATGAGGAAAGCTAGTAGGTATTTAATTGCTCCAGGCTGAAGCGCGCGGTCGCGAAAGTCGAATCGAGCGCGGGCGGAGATAATTACCGATCGTAGTATTATGAAGTCGCAGTTGTAGTCGCGGTCGCAAGAAAAACCACGTGAACGTTGATGAGAAATGTGGCAAAAATGATGGAGAGAGAAAGGTTGATGAGGGATATGGGTAGAAGGATTAAAAAAAAGAGGTGATGGGAGTTGTCGGCAGAAATGGAAGGAAAAGTTCCAAGTTGCTTGTGAAATGGAAATGGGAGAAGTGCTGGAGCGGAGCTGCGGAGTCGGTCCCAAAAAGCTTAATACACACAGTTGGGTACTTTATGTATTAGTCAGACAAAAACGGCGCTAAGGTTGAATCTAAAGCACGTGACTCATAGCTTATTTAGGTATTTATCAAATCAATGATCCTTCAAAGTTCTAGTGCCCCACTTGGCTCTTACAATTCAACAAAAACGGGATAAAGTAAAAAGTCTGTTTTTCTGTGTTTTTTTCTGTCCGACAATACACCGGATCAGAGATCTTATGTAATGAATCTAAAGATTGAGACCAGGCAAATTAAGTACCTTTGTAGTTAACTCATATGCACCGGAACAAATTCAAGATGAAGAACAACTTCAGCAACCAGACACATTTATCATATGGACGTTTCGCATCCAACCATTATATACATTTTTGTCAACTAACTACCTAGCTAGGTCCGTATTTATCTTATTCCAAACGCCAATCCTTAGTCTAGAACGAAACATGATTCAAAGGCATTGTCTCTCACTTTCATCCCTTGTTTTCCCCTTGTTCTCTTAGTATTAATTCATTCAGCCGCCTTGAAGGATTACAACCTCTTAAGATTAAAGGGCTTTGATCACCAACAATCAGCCTGATGTCTCTGTCTTCTTAGTAGACTTAGATCTCTGAACACTGCCACCCTTCCGTCCCGTCCGCATATCTCGGCGTGATGTGCAGAAGCATCCTAGACAAGAGTGAATAATGAATGCAAAGAATGTGAATGCAGTTGCTATCCACATGAATGCAAACATCTTTATACCCACATCCGCACTGACATTGAGATCAGGCTGTGATGTTAAGGCGTACTTGAAAATAAGAGACATAGCTGTGCCGAGGATTGAGGCTATGAGAACCATCAGTGTAGAAAAGAACGCAATAATGCTAAATGGGAGGCTCCACCATCGAGAATATACGACAACAGGTGCGAGGAATATCAAAACAAAATTTAGAAGAAGTCCGGTGAGGAAAAATCCAAACATGATATTGGAGGCAATGCGCAGAATGTTCAAGATGTTGTTTACTTCCGAAGGCAACGCTATCGAAGCACCCGAGAACAGCTCCCCCAACAGAATCTCTACGGGATTAAACCAGTAGAGAGTCGCTGGAGTCGAACAGTAGGTGATACCACTACATCTCATTAGCCAGCGCTTCTTTTTAAAAAACGTGATTTGCACGTTGCAGATTTGGCCACATACTCGGTTTCATATCCTTCGCAAAAGTTCCATAAGCCAACCTGATAGAAGTCATGGAGACCCAAGGTTCGCGCAATCGAGTTTTGTAAAGTCAAACTGGTTGGCGCTGACTGGGGAAGGATATCGGAAAGATCGAGCTTAAAGAAATAGATATCATTCAGAACTCGGGTATTTTTCGTGTTGCCTACTTCGATCTACATTGCAGTGGTTAGATGAATATAGGCCGACAATAATCCAAGAAGTAAGTGACAGCTAGGAAAGTCATACTAGGATTAGGAAGACAACGGCAACTAGGTAACAGAAACACGATATTCCAATCGCATTACGTCGTGTCTTCGTCGCCCGTTTTAAGACGGCCGGATTTTCAATACTCGGTTCGGAGCTCGCATCGTGGGTTTCGGCAGGAGAGGACGGCGCCGTTCGCTTTCGGAACCTAGGGATGGATCCGAAAGCCATATTCACAACGGGATGCAACGTTGGATGAGTTTGAAATCCGTCCAAATGTTTTCCACGATCCAAGATTCTACCCCAACAACAGCCTTAGATATGGGTTATCCGTAAATGGTGAGGAACGGTCCGGACACACGTAAGTTGATTTGAAATGTGGGAAAATCAGGCTTGAGTCGTTGAGACGGACAAGTAGTCAGTTCTCCAGAGGACCAATGCACGTGAAAGTAATAACTATGGCTGCTATGGCTGCTATGTAAAAGAGGGAAGACAACGAAGAAGGTATTAGACAATTAGATCAACAGCTAGTCACCAAGGTTACGAGTACACACATGCTGTAGATCCTGATCCGAAGGAAGGATCATCCGACCTATTGAATTGATTGGACTTCGATAACTAGATGATCTTAAGTTGGTAACAGAATATTATTATAGTGTACTGAAGAAGTACAGTCAAGTACTTATAACTATTCTGTTCTGCTTTAGCATTGAAGGCGCTTGGAGCCTCGACAGCTTTGGCATTGAGTGCTTGAAGTCTGTACATGCATGTACCTGGGTAATATCCCCACTATAAAGTATAAAACTGGGTACTGGGTACATAGTAGGGATAGTACCTACTAGGGATGCCGAATGCCGGTCAACATAGATCTTGCACTCACTGCCACCATGCCAAGACATTATTGAGACATTTTATGGGTACTATAGCCCTGAACAGGCTGAACCAGGCTGTGGGTACCTATCGAGTTGTTCTGTCCTGGGGGTTCTTAAAACATAGAACCTAATTAACTTGATGTCAGGGTTATTAAGGAGAATGATGAGAAATGACATTTTATTATTAATACGAGCTGAAAACAACGTATTCGTTATGTGGCAGTGTAATTATTACAGTTGTGTATAACATAACTGTAACATATTTTCAACAACAACATGTTATAGTAAGAAGAAAATCACGCAAGCAGAATAATAATAGGTAAATATCTTGCAAATATTTTTATAGGAATGAGTATAATAGTTAATAGAAACTAAAGAGATGGTTTGATTCTGATCAGCCAAGACTAGGAAGCTGCATTTGATAATGAAAATCAGAACTTTTTTGCTACAACAAGCTCCAAATGCCCCAAATGCCCCAAATGCCTGCCGTTCAGCCTGCTCAAAGCTTTGATCCACAATACGGAGTACCGCTGACATCATTTTGTAGCGCCAGGTCGAGACATAAAACAGCTGTTGATCTTTCATTCACCACACGGAACTCTAATAATTTTTTTAGGATGGCCCACATTCATGTAGACCTTATGTACTTGTAAGTATTTCCATGTAGCGAACATCATTCAATGTTGATGGTTACTCAACATTGGTCCGTGGGGGTTCGTAGACTTACGTACTGTACAAGTTGCTTGAATATAGCATACCTGCCTCTTACTAGCAGCTTAGCACGTAAGTTTAACTCTTTAACCTGACACTTTTCAGATGAAGCAGTAGAGGGCCCATACATGACAACCTCTTTCTCCGTTATATTTATTTATTTTCTCACTTCACATAATACTCCATCCCCCCATCCTTTAATACGTTGGATACCTACCTAGTACCCCAGGCTTTATGTTGGACAACATAGCCTTAACCATCTCCTTATACTGGTAGAAAGCCATGGCGTCCAGATTTAAAAGCCTTTTATTACTAGGAGCAGTTGCCGCCAATGTGCTGGGTCAAGAAACCATTAGCGATGATAGAACCACCGCAACTGGGTCTACACTCAGTATTAGCGAAGTCCAGACTCCGACAGGCCCCTATCAATCGCCAACCACCCAGGTAACATTGGGAACAGATATGGGATCTATGGATAATGGAGCTACTTCTATGGCCTCCGACAATGCTACTTCTAGGTCAACAATCCAGTCAACGAGCGAAACAGTAACCTTCCTAACCGGCTCCGCTGTATCGACGACAACCTTGGCCGGAAACTTCTCTTCTAGCTCTACGTCTTCAGCCACACCTCAAGTAACGAATACGCAGCCGTGTAATAACTATCCAGAATTTTGCAATCGGAAATATAGTAACATCACCCACGTTGCTTGCCACAACTCCCCTTTCGTCACACCCAACAACCTTGCCGCGAATCAACAGTACGACGTCACGGCACAGTTGAACGATGGTGTCCGGTTTATCCAAGCACAAATACAGTGGCCGACTGGTGGAAATGAACCGCACTTTTGTCACACGTCTTGCGATATTCTTGATGCCGGTCCCATCACTGATTGGCTTACCCAAGTCAAGAACTGGGTCGCATCTCATCCGTACGATGTTGTCACTGTTCTCTTAGGGAATGGAAACTAGTAAACATACCTCATAACAGCATCCCTCATAGCTATCACAACTAACTTATTGCTACAGTTCTGTGCCTAGTCTCTATGTCCCATACATAGAACAAACCGGTATATTACGTTATGTCTACACGCCTCCGTATGCTCCCATGACTCTAAATGATTGGCCTACCTTGAGCGAGATGGTCTTGATGGGTAAACGAGTTGTGATGTTCATGGATTATATGGCGAACCAAACAGAGTACCCATGGCTCCTAGACGAGTTCTCGCAGATGTGGGAAACTCCCTTCGACCCCGTCGACCAGAGCTTCCCCTGTACCGTACAACGCCCACCAGACTTGTCCAGCGACGATGCCAAGAACAGACTATATATGATCAACCACAATCTGAACATTGAACTTACCATCCTCGGAGCCGACATGCTAGTGCCGGCCCGAACGGAGCTAAACGTGACAAACAATGTCACCGGCTTCGGCAGTCTCGGCGTCTCAGCCAACAACTGCCGCAGCGACTGGGGCCGCGCCCCCAACTTCCTCAACGTCGACTATTACGAACAAGGAGGTTACGCTGGCTCCGTCTTCGAAGTCGCCGCCCAGATGAACAACGTCACCTACGACCGCGCCTGCTGCGGTATGGCCACAAACGGCGCCGAGAAGCTCCTCACCAGCGGAGGTATATACTCGTTACTTATGATGGCAATGTTCTGGGCTTTTCTATAGATGGTAGTTGGTAGTTGGTAGTAAAATAAGGTTAAGCGTCTTATAGTAAGCATCAATTCCCTAGGGCAGGTCATTGCAGCGGCGGTTTGACGGCGTTTTTATATATTTTATATTTTTAGATAATTTGTTCATTGAGATACTATCTATAGACGGGGACGTATACCTACCTACCTAAATACTCAGCTACGTTATATAAGAGGAGACTTCCAAAACATACATTGGTTAGAGAAGGTAGTAGATATTCTGGAATCAGTTGGCTCGCGACTTGTGTAATGCTTTTGCTCTTTCTTCTTTCTTGCCTTTCGGTTTAGACAGCTTGGTATTAGGGAGGTACCGTAGTGGGAACCCCCTACTCGCGAGAATCCCTACAAGATAAAAGAAGAATCATTCTTCAGGTTTGAGATCATCTCTCTCGGTTTCCATCATTGGGATGGAATGGATTCACTCCTTCATTGATAAATGGAATTGTTTTTTTTACGTAACTGGAATTATTCTTAGGCAGGCAGGCAGGCAGGCAGGCAGGTTGGGTTTAGGTACGTTACGTTACAAAATACATACATACATACATACTACTAGGTAAGGAGAAGAAAGATTTCCTGGCAGTCAAGTTCCAAGTTCTACTCGTTCTTGTGATCTCGCCGACTTACATACCTCCCTAGGGGCCTCGCAATTTGGGTGTATAATATATGTAGGTACCTGCCTGCCTAGTAGTTGACGATGACCTCGGAAGGTTGAGGTTGTTACTAGGTATGTACTATGTACCCTAGGTAGGTAGTTTGTCTGCTGGACGTACGCACATACCTATCCAGATATGTGCCTCGGTACAACCAGTCAGATAAGAATCTGATTGTAGGGTGCATGTGTCAATGATATGAATAGGGGGTGAGTACTTTGTAGTGTATGGCAGTCTCAGCAAAGAAAACAATTGCACACCAAGGAGTAAAAATTTGATACATGCTACTCCTAAGATACGTTATTCCGTGCATATGCTAGATATGATTTTCTTATCCCGCAACCAATCAGTTGGACGATGCGATGAACATCCCCAAGTAGGTACTTGACTGACTATTATGTAGGCAATAACTAGGTCAGTACCTAAGTAAGCGCGGATATATCCACGACGTATCTGTATGAGAAGAGGTGGGTATGTAGATAAATATCATGCGTCGTTCATTTTTTTGATTATATATTCGAGTATGCGTAAGATATGGGGCGTCATGGGCGCGTGTGAATGTAGAAATTTTGCATCGCTATTTTTCAACCTCGACCTCTTTCTTCCAGAACCATAGTTTGGATAAATAACAAACTCTGGATTTTAGATTTTGATACCGTAAGCCTCGACTGCCGTGCCACCGAAGATCAACCGCTTTTCCTCGTCCTCGAAGGAGGCCATCCAGCACATGCGATCGACAATCTTTTTCCATTTGTGCCAGGCATCCTCGCCGACGCCAACCGTGCATACAGGCCAATCGCTAGCAAACATGATGCGGGAGGCGCCGAAGGCGGCCAGGGCGACGCTAAGCCACGGGCTTATGGCATCGAAAATGTCCTCAGGCGAACGCTGTCGTAGTGACTCGGGCATTTCCGAGAAGCCACCTGATAGCTTTAGGTATGTCTTGCTGCACTTGCTTAGTGTGAAGATGGCCGTGCGCCACGCGATGAAGGATGGGCTCGTTTGTACGTTATAGATGGACAGATCTGGCTTGCATAGGTGGTCTACAAAAAATTAGTTCGACAGCCTCAGGTTGCAAGGCTGCTGGCAACTCACTGATTATAAGGGTGACTCTCTCCTCCTCAGGTACTCCGTCATGTGCGCGATCAATCATCTCGACAACCTCTTCTAGTTGGGCCCTGCCGCGGTTGTGTTGGTCGACGCCCAAATCAAACACGAGACCCTTGCGACCAAGGACCTTCAAGCTCTCGATGAACTTGTCCGTTAACATGGTCCCGCTCGGCTTATCTTGTAGTAAGTACCTGAAGCCCCTGACCTTAGGCCAGCTCTCACCAGCCTCCTGCTTTACTAGATCGATATACTTCTCCATGGCAGCAGCGCCACTGGGCATGGGCGCCCACGGAATGTAAGCCAGGCATAAGGAGGCGTCTTCTTCAGTGTGGCCCTCACCCGGTTTGGGCTGACCAGTAACGATGCGCTTCAGCCAGGCAACCTCCTTTAATGGGTCTTCCCAGCCACTGCCGTCTTTCTCTCCAGCTTCCAAGTCATTCTTCCGATCCGACTCCAGGAAAATGAAGCCCTTCGGCGTAGAACCTTCTGTAGCAGCCTTGTACTGTTCTATCGAGTACTGTTTCGCTAACGGACTCTCTGGCTTGTACCAGGCCAATGTTGGAAGCTCTGATTCGGGAAAGAGATGGATGTGAGCATCGATAACGGGGATATCGGCGGCCATGTTTGTTTCTGAGTGTCTTCCAAGGTTCTCTTCTTTTTTTTTTTTTCTTTCTTCAATGTTTGCCTACTCTTTCACATATACTATTCGGTACTAGGTCAAGCAGGTTCTTAGATACTTCTAGTTAGTAGATAATAGATGGTATACGTCCTAGTGGTATTGATATAGAAAAGGAGAAAAAGCAACGACAGAAACACTTTGAGTCTGAAACGGTCAAGGTGTAACGAAAGCAAAAGTTCAATCTAAGGAAGTTCAACACACCAGATCTACCTACCCCGCCATAGAACCCCTACCTCTTGTACTACTACTAGTAGTACAATAACCTAACTACTAGATACCCACTATTTCCCCTGAGATGGCTTGGTCCTGCTTTGCATAGGTACTACTAGTAGTAGCTGCCCCACCTGCCACATCAATACGGCAGACATCATTCGCCTAACAGAATCGATAGTTGATATAACTGCCCAAGTAAGTTGTTATGCCTACCTAATACGTATGTGCCTAGGTGTGAATCCAATTGCAGCTTGACAGTCTTTATCGAGGATATATCCTCACCCAAGTATATAATTTAGTTGCGCTGTTAAGAAGTTCAATGCCATGTTGAAGTCGAAGTACCGATTTAATATCAAGAAGCAAAAAGCGGTAAGCTCATGACTGACGTCACTGTCACATGCGATAAAAAGGGGTATGTAACACTCTGTGTTCCCAGCATAACTACATACATGTATGTAGTAGTTATCTACCTACATATGTACATACACTACATAGTACTTGCACACACACAAAACAGAATACCCCTTCAATATCATGACTTTCCTACCCCCATAGACTGCCTATACTCCGGGATCTGCCCGGCGTCCTTCTGTCTCTGCACGACCTGTATCCCCGTATCCCTCATCGTACGTATACACTCCTCTCTATACTCCAACACCTTCCTCGTCCCCTCCCGCCTCAGCATACTCGCGTTCCAGCGATAATACTCAGGGAACTCCTTCTCGACCCAGTCGGCGGGCAGCTCGGGGAACAGGGTGACGAGCAGCGGGTTCCACGCCGCGAACGCGAGGTCCGCGTACGTACACTTGTCGCCCACGAGCCAGACCTCCGCGTCCTCAGCCCCCTCGCCTCCTAGCTTCTCCCGCTGCTTGCGGAGCGTCCCGCTCACCACGCCCATGATCCGCTTCACCTCGCTCCCGTACCGCTCGAGCACGGATTCTAGGTTTCGCTCTTTGTGCACGTGCGTGAACCACACTGTTTTCTCGCGGTTAGAAGGGTTGTTAATAGTTAGGTAGGTACTTAGTAAGTACTTATGGTAGGTATACATAGATAACAGAACATTGAAGTCTAAAAGGGAAAAGAAAAAAAAAGCAGCGCACGTACTCTTCTGCCCGAACATCGGTCCCTGCCCGCTCATCTGGAGCATGAGCCAGCTCTGCAGCAGCCACTTCTCCTGCACTCTGCCATCCCCGTACGTGAGCTTCAACTCTGTATCGTAAGTCGCAATGAGATAATTAATAATCGCTCCCGTTTCGAAAAGCGTGATGCCTTCCGGCTGGTTGTTGTTGGGATCGATGAAGGCCGGCAGCTTCCCGTTGGGGTTGAGCGACGTGTACGGCTCGGACTTGATCTCGCCGTAGGGGATCCAGACGATCTCCCAGGGCAGCCCGAGCTCCTCGAGCACGATCAGCACTTTCCACGGGTTCGGCCCTTGCCCGTGCGGGCCGTTGTAGACTTTGAAGGGTTGCATGATGCGGATGAAGAAGTGATATCGAAACTGAATAACTAGGTACGTGGCTATGACCAAAGCACTATGCTGAGCTCTATGCATGTAGTTATCTTCTTCAAGCTAGAAAGAAACACCACGACCTTTTTTATACCATGATTGATACATACACCAGGACATAGAGTTAACTAAGCCTGGATACCGGCCGGGTTTAGATTTAGTAAAATCCGCAAAGTCCCCGGGACCTGCATATATGATTTATAAGTCTTCATGGAAATATCAAGTATTTGCAACTCGGATCCTTACCTAGTCACCTACCTAATCATGGAGGGTAAAAAAAAGCAATGTTCCTGATGTCACGGGTTGAAACGTCGCTACCAGCATACACGATCGATACCTGTAAATACGTCGATTACGCACCCACTTATGTCTAATTCTAGAAGCTGTGGACTTTTGTCTACCTACTACCTAGGATCGACTATGCGCCTATCCATGCGATGAAAATCCCCTCGCAGCATTATTCGGAGTTTAGAAAAACTTAGGCGATCTTTTTATTGTTTAATCGATTTCATTTCTATGTCTAAGGCGTAGTAGTCGGCGGTGAGGTCTGAGATTGCTTTTCCATTACAGTATTTCACTGTTGCTAGTAGCGGAATTAAGACTCGGGCGTATTGGTTTATGTACGTGCTTGCATATCTTGTAAGCATGTATACCGTCCGTATGCCATTAAAACCAGAGCCTTGATTAAAATTCCTAGGAATCACCCCCCTATATTACACATTCACACAGCCAAGAGCATCAAAACGCCGCGCTACTAGACTCCACACAAGTCAATGGACTGTACTGATGCGAACTACTCCGGGGGTACATAGGGCTGGATCAGCATTTCGCTGAACCGCTCCAGCTTCTCCTTGCCGCGAACTTCTTCCACCAGGAGCGGCATCCTGACGACGTTGAACTCGTCGTACAACTCCTCGATCTGATCCAGGTATTTCTTCTGCATCTTCCGTCGTGCGTTGCATTGTTCGCAGTTGCTGCTCTGCTTAGGAAACAGCAGCTGGTTCACCACAATGCAGTGGGTGTCGATGCCGTAGCCAGCCAACTCCTGGATCATGCGTTCTGTCTCGTATAAACTCAAGAATTCGGCTATGCAGACGCATACGAAGGTGGTCAAGTTCTCGTCCTTAAATTGTGTGTTGACCTCAGAAATAGTCTGACGAAGGCTCTCGAGCTTCTCCATCATCTCGTTCAGGTTCTGGCCATTTGGAAGGGTGCCTTGGCTGCCGAGGAAGCCATTTAGCAATGGGCCGTATTGGGTAGAAAGTTGGGAGACCTTGGCGAGAGCCTTCTCCAATACGGACGGAAATTGTAAGAAACGGAGGGTGTGGCCGGTGGGTGCGGTATCAAAGATGATGACCTCGTATGAAAGTGACTTGACTTGCTTCAGGACCTCTGCGAAGGACATGGCCTCGTCTATTCCGGGAATCTGTGTTCATTAAGCATTAGTTCCGGTAGCCGGTAGGGCGCAATGTAAAATCATGTTTCTGCACTCACTGCAAACGCTAGATCTTGCATCATGCTTCCCATACCACCCGTTGGGTCGTTAGTGTTGTCATCAGCCTGTCCAGCTAGTAGGTCTTGTATGCTTCCATTCGGGTCGATCTCCATGGCACTTAAGTTGGTGAAGCCATCGATCAAGCGCGCCTCCTTGCCGAACTTTTGCGAAAAGGCATCGGACAGATTGTGGGCGGGATCGGTGGAAATGAGCAGGACAGAGCGGCGGACTTTGGCGAGCTGTATGGCCAGGGAGCATGAGGTTGTCGTCTTTCCCACACCACCCTTACCACCAACAAAAATCCATCGCAAGGTTCTCTGATCTAGAATAGACTGTAGTGTTGGCTCAAGGCCTTCGTCGCCGTTGACTAGAGTGGTGGACATGATGACACAGCACTAGGTAGATGAGGGACGAAGAATGGAGGGGTGGCTCAGGAAGATATGAAGATGCAGTGCCAAGTGGAACTTGAAGGGACTGTGGCAGGTACAATGGTTTATTTTGATTTATTTTGGTTTGCGCAAAAAGAAGTGAAGAGGTATCGTGGCACAATGTAATAGTAGTTTCTGGAAGGTCAAAGCCTGGTGACCTGGTTAAGCCTAGAAGATGGAATGTAATGAATTCAGGTTAAGCTTCTCACCATTAGGTACATATTCAAAATGCCCCGCAAGTATCTATGTATTTTGACGTGGGGTTTATGAGTGACAGCACTTCTATTTATGTAGACTATGTGCATGTTTATGTAGATTATGTGCATGTTTATGCAATGTGTGCAATAGGGATCAAAGGCATTAAACAAACAGTGATGCAACTTACAAACATGGCTCAACAATTTGACTTTCACCCTTCACATTTCAGATTTATAATAACTACCAATAGCAACAGATATTATTACATGGACAAAACTACCAACTAATTGACATGATCTATAGATCTCATAAATACCATCCACCTCGGAATATCTCTATTTATCTCCAGTGTCATGAATGATGTTGGGTATAGCTCTCTCAAGCTTCTCGGGAACCTTCTCTTGAACTTTCTTGGGCAAAATAGATGCTTCCCCACCATCCTTAGCATGTGTCTTGTCAGATCCGTCCGAAGTTACACCAGTGGGATGAATCTATAACAAAACAACGAATTAGTACATTATATCATCAAAGAACCCCCAAAGGCAAATAAAGACATGCTGGCTCACAGAATCAGGGAGGCTTTCTTCAACGCCCTTGGGAACCTTCTCTTGGATCTTTCCAGGAACCTTGGATCCGCCTGTAGCGTGCGACTTGTTTGTGCTGGCCATTCTAACTGGTACGATAGGATTCGATCGGGCAAATATTGAGATTCGTCTAAACGGCGATTTGAGACTGCGAATAGATTGCGTATACATCTTTTTATTTTACTCAATAAGTTCTCTATTGTGTTACTTTCTTCTACTCATATTCTATTTCCACCCAAATTCTAAGCAGGTGCAGGGTCCTTATATTCACAATATGAATCACTAATACCCGGGCCCGAGAGTCAATGATGGCTAATATCGTTGTGATGCTTGATTCATGACGAATCTATGCGTTACGTTAGGGTCATCAATAAAACGCCACAGATTTTCCGAGACCTGGAGTATGCACTACATAGAAGCACGTCAACGAGGTCAACTAAAACCTTATACAGGTGCAATATGTTTACGACGCGAGTAATCATCCATTCTCTATGCATCTACGTGGTTAAGTACTAACTAGGTAAATACAACGCCTGACACCCCTAAACGCGTCATGCAATCACATGAACCTCAGAAAGACCAAGCAATACAAATGGATTATTAACTCCCCCTATAGATATCCTGATCTGTTGATATGGGTGTATATGTCTACATGTTTATGACAGTGTATCTGACCGAATAAATATACCCAGTGTACAAGCGTGGCTCTAGCTTTGTTACGTCCAGAGCCTCCCGAGCCTGACCACAGGACATCAACGTAGGTATCCGTAGGGTTAGTATTATTCCCTTGGACAACTTTTCGAATCATTTCAAACCTCTATGACAGATATGCCTACCACTTTATCAAATTATGAGTTGCCAATATCAGGTTATCCGGGCCTAGACTCGAACCAATCACTTGATGGATATCTATCCCCGAAGCCGACGTGAGTCCTTGTCGCCCAGCACTCGAAATCCGCTATCTGAGTATCCTCGTGTCCCATTCCGCGAGAATATCCTGTGTGGGTAGGGGCAGCCTGTTCAACAACCACAATATCTGTCTCCCTCATGATTTGGCTCTTCCCAGGCGGAATAACCTCGCATCCATCCGTGCGCGCCAAATATCTTGCATTGTTCCCCAAATCAAATGTCTCGTCCTCAGAAGGAAGGCGGGCTTTCGTAAACCTCCGGATGTTAGCCATGTTGCAGGGGCAATTACCACTCCCCCGCGGCGATAACGGCGCAGACGACACTGATGTGCCCTTGCTGGATCCCTTACGTTTCTGCTTGAATAGAGGTGGAAATACGGGTACACATGCGACCATTATACCCAGATTTACCTCTATTATCGACCATAACAGTAGAGGCGCATTGTTGGGATGACTAGGAGAAAGGTCCTTGACACATTGAATGCGGATAATTTGAATGGCGGTAATAAAGAAGCCAATGGCAAAGAGGCCAAGAACCATGACCTTCCGGCGCGTTTTGATCTTGGTTTTGATGAGGATTGGGAATGGAAGAAACATACTGCATAACAGGTTAGACTGTTTGCTCGTCGTTTTGCGAGAAAAGACCTTGACCACAGTAGGTAGGTACTTACACGTTAAAGTCAAAGACAATTGTTAATGCTGATGAAGCCATATAGAATGGAATCACGTTTATGCATTGGCCAGGGATATTCGGATCCCAGTGCCTCGCAACCTACTCGCGTTTAAGTGTCAACATAGTTGTTCGTGGAAAGATCACGCTCGACGCGTCTTACCGGATGGCAAATATTTAGCTGGACCACTAGACACGACAAGTGGAAGAGTGTGGTGGTGACCAACACGCACGTTATGCCTTTTATGCACATGGGCTGTCCTTGGTGAACGAATCGAAGGTATGAACAGAGCAGACTCAGTTTGAATCCGAGGACGCTAAGAATATATCTAGACTTTGGTTAACTCATCTCAGAATAAACAGATAGTTTCCATCCCAAGCAGTGCCATGCATACAAGGGCCAGCTCGCATAATCCAGCTGTTCTGCGTTAGTGTGTACAGGCAACAAATGACGGATGAATGGCTGGGCGTCATACCATTGCAGAGATACGGGCATTTTGATCCGGCATATCTTCGACATCTTCCATCCCTAGGCCCCACGTGGTTTCTATATCAGGTTTACGTTAACGACTATTGCGAAGTGATCGAGTGGTGAGTGCATGCCTACCTGTTGCGGATACTATAAAGAAAACAAACGAGAGAATCTACCGAGCTTAGTTAGGGAGATGATCATGGGCAAGAGAAGCCGCTAAAGGGGTCATTACCCAAGTAGCGAATATAATCCAATCGTCTGATGAGAGATCCATTGTCAGCACCAAGGTCGCGTCCAGGGGAGTTAGCCCAGGGGGTAGCCATACCAATTCCGACATTGCGAACAAGCCAACCCCTGACGTAGCCTCGAAGGCATACGAAACACAGAGATAGTCCTGTCAAGACAGCCCCGACTGCTACGATCTTCGGCCCCTCCGTCAAAGTGTCGCCTGGTACATTGTGCACCCAACCCATCTTCCCCGTATAGATTCAGGGGTTTTGCCGTAAAGAAAATTCAAAGAGGCAAATATCGACACGCTGCTCTTGATCTATCCAAACGAAGAGATATAATAGGGAACACAAAATATGAAGGAGAAATAGCATTACAACTCCTTCAATAGAGCGGCTGGCTTTATATTTACACGAAGGGGGTCCAACTCGAATCGTGAGGCTTACCTACCAATTAACACAAGGCTCTAAACAGCATGTAGGCCACTGCCACACCATGCAGCAGCCATGCCAGACTCACTTTTGACCTAGGTGAATCTGGCGAGGCAGCATTTCACATCATATCTGACACAGTTACAGATTCCTACGAACCCAAATTAGGCAGAAATCATCTTCAACCATCTTACTTGTGCAGATTTTATGTATATCCATTGATTATTCTTCATAGTAAGCAAGCTGCTGTGTAACGGCTTATTTAGGGTAGAGGTAGGCTCTCTATTAAATATATGCATATATATACATCCTATATGACTGATCACTTCGAAGTTCGGTTCCGTCCTGTACCGCCATTCCAGGCATCCTTCGCTCCGCACATATGCCGGGCGATGGCAAGCCATATTCACAAGAGACCAAACCTATCATGTTTATCTCCGATGTTTCTACTGTCTCTTCAAACCTTAGAGTCGCAGTAGGATTTGTTTCTGATCACATGTTTGAACATGATAAGCTATATAATGAAACATCAAACATGAAGATGGCGATGCTACAAATCAGCACTTTGGGCCCAGAACTACAACTCCCGGACCGGGAATAAAAGAGCAAAAGTGGAATCTGCTGATGCCGCTTCTGCAGATCTAGGTAAACATGCTCGAAAATACTGGCACGAAGGAACAAGACGACCCCAAAAGATCACCTAGGTGATGGCTCCGTTTGGTTCACGGTCGCTTGAGTTAGCCTAGGTGGTATTCGGAGACAATACAACATCAGCTCCAAGCCCTATTCTACCTATTCTGGGCAAACCGCAAGAAACCATTGCGCTCGGCAGACGGTAGTCTGAATACAGCTTACCGATAAGAAGCCCCTGATCGTTAATGTAAGTGAGTTCTGATAGGGGGTGTAGGATGAAGGCTTTACTAATACAGCACGATTAGGTCGGTAGGTAGTTCCGTCATATGTTACGGGCCACGAGAAGCATGAGACCTTTCACAGCATACAGAGCCCCACGCGAACGAGCAAAATAGGGTATCACATTGTTTTGATCTAGGAATATCTAGATATATCGATGATATGCAACCTTGAGCTACTTAGGTACTTAAGTATTTGCCTAGTGTTATTAACAATTCGAGCCTGGGGGTTCGAAGGTAAATCATATGAAGATAGACATATTGCATTCACGCGTGAAGTTATAACTAACTGATGTTATGTACATGACGATATCTCGTCTTGAGACCCGCCCATTCTACTGACAGGTCATGAGAACTAGCACCAGGTGCCGATACCCGGGTAGAACCCCCCAGATCTGCAAAATATCTAACATACTCGACTTGGAGGACGCAGGAGGGAAAGACGTGGGAAGCTATTTGACTGCCTGTTGCCATTATATACCTAGGTACCTGCTATGCGTATGCTAGATGTCTAGAGCTGAAAAGTCATGGACAGAATATTTACATAATTGTACAGCTTTGTCGTATGTCGTCGTATTCGTCCGAGTCCTCAAAACCCAAGACCTACCGAAGCAACATTCAATCGAAGTCGAGCTGGTCTAGATCTATCAAGCCACACTTGAAGTAGTTTGGTACCGACAACAACCAAGACTTGATTAGGTAGGAGGTAGGCATCTTATCTTGATCTATAACTGTCTAGCAGATAGTTGCACGCGGCGATCCGAATGCGCGCCCCCTAAGTATCACGACAGCGTGGGCCAAGCCACTCCAAAGCAACCAACCTTGAAGCATGCATACTATATGTAGGGCCTGCCTACCGAGCTATCTGCCACGCAACCCAGTTTCTTTCAAATGACGAGATCGAAGGTAAAAATGGGTATCATCCATCTTATTACCAAAGAGAGAAAAAAGGAAGGGGAAAAAAAGTAGATGCTCGCGAATTAAAAACAAAACAAAACAAATACAATCGGTCCTATTTCTACAAGCGTAACTTCATCTTCAAACTCACCCAGGCTTTTGTTGACAGGCCCGAATCCAGGGACTTGGGAAAATGCCCAAGACACCGGAGGTATGTTTCCCTACACCCAGAGCTACTCGCTTTAACTGGGCACCTCGAGGGCATACGCCATCGACGATTATGTGACCATTATGCCATGCATTGCGAAAGAGCGGGTGTTGGTAACATTGTGGTTTAGTGGTATTGAGGCCGGTAGGGGGTGGGAAAGAGAAGGGGGAGATAGAGGAGCTCTTAGCCCACATTCGTGATAGAAGCCCAGGAATGGCGTGCTCGCTGCTATCAACCAAAACCTCTTGTTTTTTCTTCCCCAATCCCAGCTTTTTTTACTATGGTGTACTTTTCCTCGGTCTCCAAAAGCTCACTCACCTACTACGTCGTAATTGTCTCCATTGAGTGGCCAATGCGACGGATACCAATTCCTAAAAGAGGGAGCTTAAGGATGGCGAGATCGCGCCAAGAGCTCGCCTGCGGGCCAGCTTTTCGAGCAGGAGAAATGACATAAAGAATGGCTGCCATCCATTTGACATAGATAGGTATCCTGAAAGTTGAAAGTTGAGCGTGCCAATTTTCCGAGTCAAGGTAGCAAAAGCAAGTAGTAGCATTGATTTGTCGCCGCCCACCCCTCGGTATTTTGACGCCATGTCAGACCTAAAGGAGTCGACCATAGTCCGCCCCGAGTCCGTGTCGGGGTCGGAGACGCGACAAGGAGACGACACGGCCGCCGTGAAGGAGCGCATCCTGCTGCAGCAGGAGCTGCAGAAGACGGAGCCCCCCGTCCTCCCGATCATGACCCTGTTCCGGCGGAAGCAGCGCCAGGACCTCAACGAGATCGCGACGCAGCCTTCCGTCTTCGACGACCCGGAGACGGCCAAGCACTTCAAGCCGACGGAGAAGTACGAGAACTTGCATCGGTTCGACCCGGCCGCGAGGTGGACGTGGGCTGAAGAGCTGCCGCTTATCAACAAGCTCGACTGGAAGATCACGCTGTGGGCGTGCATTGCCTTCTTCGCGTTGGACCTGGACCGAGGGAATCTTTCGCAGGCTAACACGGATAACTTTCTGGAAGACTTGGGCCTGTCTACCAATGGTTAGATGCTTCCTTTCTTTACATACCTTTATTTTTACCTTCACCGGGAAGATACTAACCCCTGGCCTTAGACTATAACCTGGGAAACACCGTTTTCCGACTGGCCTTCTTATGCGCCGAACTGCCATCACAGTTGATCAGCAAGAAGCTGGGTACGTCTCCGAACCGATCCCAGCCCCAACACCCTTTACCTTTAACTAATTTTACAACGTAGGACCCGATCGATGGATACCTTCAATCATGTGTCTATGGAGCGTTGTCGCAGCCGCACAGTTCTGGCTGAACAGCAGGGAGACCTTCCTGGCCTGTCGTGTGCTTCTTGGTCTGTTGCAAGGCGGATTCATCCCGGATATTGTCTTGTATCTTGTGAGTCGGCCTATATATATAAAAGTCCCTAATCGATTTTTTAAAAAAAGAAAGAAAACCTGACCCGTTTCCTCCCCCCTATAGTCCTACTTCTTCAAAGGCACCGAGCTCCCCTTCCGCCTCGCCCTCTTCTGGACGACCCTCAAAGTCGTCGACATCGTCGCGCCCCTCCTCGCCTCCGGCATCCTACAACTCCGAGGCCACCGGGGCCACGAAGGGTGGCGCTGGCTATTCCTGATCGAAGGGGTGTTCACGCTCAGCGTGGGCATCTGGTCGTGGTTCATGATGGCGCCGTCGCCGACGCAGACCAAGGCCTGGTACCGGCCCAAAGGGTGGTTCAACGAGCGCGAGGAGACCATCATGGTCAACCGCATCCTCCGCGACGACCCCTCCAAGGGCGACATGCATAATCGACAGGCTGTTGATCTGAAGATGTTGTGGAAGTCTATCACGGATTATGATTTGTGGCCGATTTATATCAGCGGCTTGTTGTTCGGGATTCCTGTGGGCCCGCCGGACCAGTATCTAACGCTGATCCTTCGAAGTCTTGGGTTCGATACGTTCGACTCCAACGTTCTTTCGATCCCTAGTCAAGTTATTGGCGTTATCACGGTAAGTTCTTATATTCGTGTTTCCGTCTCCCCCCACCCCCCCCCCCCCCCCCCTTTTTTTTGTACCACCGGGACAGCCACAATTGTCTAGAAGAGAAAATACTAACAAACACCAAGATGCTCACCCTGACCTACCTCTCCGAAGTGTGGAACGAGCGTTCATTGATGGGCCTATTTGCACAGGTCTGGATGTTACCCAACCTCATCGCCCTCGTCGTACTACCAAGCGTTGCCTCGCCGTGGGTGAAATACGCCGTGTTGACAGTTCTACTCGGGTACCCCTATCGTACGTACCTACCTACCTAAAGAACCCCCTTAACTACACCTATCATTTCTAACACAGAAGGCAGCCCATGCGATCCAAGTCGGCTGGTGTAGCCGCAACTCGAACACCGTCAGAGCGCGAACCGTCTCCGCTGCAGTGTATAAGTACGTTATATCTACCTATTCCTATAAAAAAAGAAGAAGAAAAACCTTCACACAAATACAAAGCTGACAACCTCGACAGTATGTTCGTGCAAGTATCCGGCATCGTGTACTCGAATATATACCGTGCAGATGATAGACCCGAATGTAAGCCACCTCCCCCCAACCGTTACCCCTTTTCCCCATCATCCCATCCCATCCCATCCATATCACGCCCCCCCACCCCAAAGGGAAAATCTCCAAACACTAACAACCAACTACCTACCCCCAACAGACCGCCGCGCAAACAAACAACTAGTCGCCATCTGCTCCGCCAACATCGTCGTCTACTTCCTCATAAAGGTGTACTACATATGGCGCAACAACAAGCGAGACCGGGAGTGGAACGAGATGTCGCGGGAGGTAAGCACACTCTCTCCCCCCCCCCCCCCCCCACATACCCCCTTTCCCCCCCTTATCCCTCCCTACCTAGTAGCCCCGAGAGAAAAAAAAAACGGGGAAAAAGGGAAAAAAGGAAAAGTTAACTCACGCATATACTTGACAACAGCAACAACTCCACTACATGGAAACGACGACCGACCAAGGGAACAAGAGGAAGGATTTCAGGTTTGCTCATTAGAAGCGGTAGGTAGCCGCCTTGTTATTATTATTAGTATTATCTTTAAAAAAAAAACCGTGTAAAGACGGAAAGATGGGGGATGTAACTATATGATGTATTCAGGTAGGTACCTACCTGGTACACAACCTGTATGTAAAGTCTCGTGGATAGAAGAAGAGGAAGACAATTGGAACCTACAAATTAAAGACCGTGAAGGTTAGACTGGTCAGCTGCCTTAGTAGGGAGTATAGACAGACAGAGACAGAGCCATTAAGATGAAAATGCCCTCGAAAATAGGTTTGAATGAAGAGGAAAGATATTGACGAATGTATCGTCTTATGAATTATCTCTAGTAGACTAGCTAGTAAACTTTCACACAATACTACTACTAGTACGTGAGCCATTCCATGAATGAGCACCCAGTCAAGAAACCGAACTCGGGGCTTTACAAGTTCAAGCCGAAAACTACGTCGATATATCCCTTTCAAAGTTCAGAACACGCACAAGAAAACCGCAAAGTCAGCCTTAGTAAAACTAACGAAGAAAAGAAAAGCGTCGTTGTCTTGTCTTGAGCAAAAGCCACCCCCTAACTAGGTAAGCGAAGCTATCTCCATCTCCGCTAATATGAAAAATCTCGGCATCATAATTCTGTGTGTGTGTGTGTGTGTGTGCTACCAGGAAGATGCTTTCCATCAGAAAAAACCCCACCTTTGTTTCTCGTCAACTTTTCCTTTCCTGCCCCCCTATTGCCTAACGGCCATTATATAAAGCAGTAGGCACGCAACGCATTATGCAGTTATGGTACAACGAAATGAAAACAGTGAATTTCTCATGCCCAACTCCGAAATACTCCAGTGCATTATTGTCCTCGCGAGGACTCCATGTGCTTTTCAATACCAAAGCTCTCAATGTGTACCGTTTTGTCCGTTCGTATCCTCCGATGCCTTTATTTGCTTTCTTGCGGGCCCTGACTTAGGTGTAGGTGAGCTCACCGCTGCGGCGGTAGTCGCATCATATTGTTGGTCTACCGCTTCTTCAGCATACTTTCGTGTCTCCTTGGCCCATTGCTCCAATCGATGTTTTTCGATGTGCTTCAGGAGGTTGTTATCTTCCCATTGCATCACCTCAAGTACCTTCTCGCGGTAACTCTTCTCCATGTTCTCGAATCGTCGATCCAGGGTCTCTGTGTAGACCCCGGCGACTTCTGATGGCGATAATCGGCGATGTTCGTTCTTGTCGCCACCGGTTTGTTCTGTTCTCATGTTAGTTTCATATTACCACTACAATTTATGGTTGAGATACTCACGATTCGCATATAGTGTGCAGTAGAACTGGAAGAGGTCTGTCTGACCCAGGACTTCGACAATATCATTATCATTCTTGAGGGAAGTGTTGTTAAGCTGTGCCCAGTCTTCCCTCAGGAAACACCTTCGCCATATGAGTCGCTCAGCTTGTACACGTTCAGCGCCCTTGAGGCCGTTGTAGGCGACTCGAATAGCTGCGAAGAACTGGTCGGGCATGTGCTCCCTTGTTTCTGGCGGAAGGGTAATTAAAGTCAGAAGATCGATTAAGGTGAGTGGGTCCAGAGCTTCATGATTCAAGAGTCGTCGTAAGGCGTCTTCGAATATTTGTGTAAGAATCTTATACTTCTTGGGGATCTTAAGTGCAAAGGTTTCTTGTACGAGACTGAGCTCCTCTCCCTCAAGCGCCACACTAATGACGGGTCGAATTTGAGTATCGTAGAGATCATCCTGAACACTAATGATCGCAAGTTCCTTATCAATAGCCTCTATTTGTGCGTCCTCTGCAGCCCCGTTCGCGTTGGCGCCCTGGATGCTCATAGAAGCCTTGCTAGAAGGTCGAGAGGACTCGGCCATCCTAGCCAGCTTACCTAAGCTAAGCTCGATCTTCTTGTTCCAGACCTGCTGCTCACGCGATAAGCCAAGGCTCAGAAGTGTGTCCGCAGCATGATCAATGTCTTCCTCACTAATGACGTCGTTGATCCAAGAAACTTTAGCGAGTTCGGGCTTTGTACGGAGATACATTGTCTTATATTTTCGATCGCCATCGTACTCGAGAAGGGCGTCGACTCCGAAAGTGGCGAAAAGGTACTCGTAAAAAGGGAAGGCAAAAGCCTTGCCATATGTTACGAAATACTCCCGTACTTGTTGTTCCTTTGCCGTCATCTTTGTTTCTACCTTCTCAATTTGATCCGGGGAAAGGCCGGCGGTATCAAGCCGGGTCCGAAGCCCATCGATTTCGCGGGTCAAGATCTCCGCAAGGGCAGGGAGTGACTCATGATTCTCGGCAATCCTGATTGCAGCCTCCCAGTTCTCTGTCTGAGCGAGGAGAACAACCTTTTCATAACGATCTTTCTCGTAAATGCTCTCATACTTCTGTCCATCAAGAACTTTCTTTGGGTCATCGCTTGCGAGGTATGACCGAGATAGCTCTTGGACGACAGTGAGATACACTTCCGTCATCTGTGGTAGTAGTTCACGAGTCTTGAGGACCAATACATTGGGCACTTCAGCATCTGCTGACCAATGCTGCTTGACCCATTCTGTGGAAAGTTCCACCTGTCTCTTCACGTTGTTGGCGATGAAGGGATGGCAAGTCCAAGGCGTTGAGAGACCAGTATAGTCACTAAATAAAACTCCATGTTCCAGCAGTTCACCAGCTAAACCATAGAGCTCCAAGTTCCTCGAGCGGAATTCGAACGCGTCTCGTATTGCGCTGTTGTAGATTTCAGCTGCCTCGTAGATCAAGCGGGTTAAAGACCCCTGGTCTATGTTGGCCCGAGAGTTGTGTTTGATGACCTCGTAGGCCCAGGCGATGAATATTTCCATACGATCGACATCACGAATGAACCAGTGGCGCAATTCATCAACCTCTCCTTTCGCAGCGTTGGGTTCCGACTTCTCCTCGGATCGGATGTATTCAACAATTTCAGCAACAATGCTCTTCTTGGAAGCTGCTGGCCTCAAATGCGTGAAGTCTTCGTGCTTGTGCCAAATAACATTAGCCACATGTAGTTTCTCCGCATTCCAAAGTAGCTTCCACTTTGTAGAACGATCCAGGTTGACATTCAAACTCTTCATTTGCGTCATGATTTTCTCCAGATATTGCACACGTTCTTTAATGTTGGTGTCAACCCTAACGGCGAGAGACGAGAATTGCTTGCCGGCGGAGGTGAGAATCTCCTGACTCAATTCCAACGCAGCTGCACCATATTCTGCGTCGGTAAAACGCAGACCATGCTGAACATCGAAAACAAGGGGGTTATCCTCTTTAACGCCAAAGAACACAGCTTGCTGGAGTTTCGTCTTAGCTGTAACCTCTGGAGGTTTCTCACTTGCGAAACGCTCAACATCTGATGTGGCAACGCGCAAAGTACCTGCACCTCTAACTAGCATCAAAGCGGCCGGATTCTTAGGCCGAATACGAGCCGATCTGCCTTCGCCGACTTCAAAGCCCAGAGCCTTGGGCTCTTCAATGCCCGAACCAACAATCTCGAGTGTAGGGTCTGTTCGTAAGTCAACAACGTCTTCGAACAAGGCGGGTAGTAGATGGTTGTCCTCGAGGATCTGAGATTCGGGCGAGTCGGGGGGTTGGGCTATCGAAGCTACCACGGCAGCATGGTCGAAAACGAGGAACGCGATGATGTTGGGCCTTGGGAGATACAATCGTGGTTTCGCGGGAGCTTGTGGCTCTGGTGCCGTATGATAGGCGGATATTGGTCGAACCATGCCAATCTCGATCGGGTTCTCCGATGAATTGGCAGTAGACAAAATAACCTCCACGATGGTGTAGCACCACGTTTGCTTGCTAGATAATGCGGCAAGAAGTAGCAGATGTTGCTGATCCTCGGACTCTGGAGATGGAAATAATTGGGTCATTTCGGTGTACTTTCGATCCAGGCCTCTGGACACGAAACAAAAGTCGAGTATCTTGAGCGACTCAGCAGGCATCCTAGCGTTTGCGTTGTTTGCTCGTTGAATAGCTCCGAGGAGAGTATTACGAGCATCTACTTCAACTAAGATGTCATGGTGACCTCCACGATGTACTCTCCAAGAGTGTAGCCGACCCTTAGAGGTTACAGCAACGACAGTGCATTCGCCCTGTTTAGAAGATCGTTCCGAGCGTACTGCTGCGATGTCTCCTTGTGAGGCAGAATGTGACAGCGCATGTCGAATACTGCCAAAGAAACCGCTGTTAGCGGGTCCAAGGTTGGTTCGCAGGTACTGTGTCGAGATCTTGGGGCGGCCATGAGCGTCTCGAACACTCAAGTAGGCCATACGTCCACTACTGAAAGCGATAATAAAACCCGCCGCTGATTCGGCATGGATAACTTGAATGGCAGACTCTCCAGAGAACATGCCCGGAATGGTATCCTCAATACCATTTCGCTGTTGTCGCATGAAGTCTAGCGTCGTCGCGCTCGATATTGATTCCCAATAGGTAACTTTTCCGCTAGTAGGCATGACTACCACTAAGCCTGGCTCGGAGGAAGAAGCGGATGGAGGAACGAGAGCGCCTAGCGGTAGGGGATCGGTCGAATGTGCCGATGGGTAGGGTAAGGCGAAGGTGAATGACTCGGGGGATGTGGTAGGGGTCGCATATGGCCACAGGATAGCATGAGTATGGGACAAGCTTAAGGCATAGCCTGTATTACTGTCGATGGAGCCATGCTGGCGACCTACAAGTAGAGGTTAGTTGAAAAAAGGCGAATATACGAGCGGTGAAAGGGTAAAAAACGTACTCGTAGCATCCAGCTTCAGTCGATCAGGGAGAGCTGGAAGTTTTCTGACTTCGAACGCGATATTGGTTGACTACGGGAATGTGATCGCGTTAGTAGATTATACTCGAAAGATGTTGTATATTTAAAACTTAAGTACAGAATACAACTTACGAGAAGTATGCTACCATCCCCTTTTCCAACGCGCTCACCAGTACGACCTTTCTTGGACCTCAAACTAAGCTCCTGTTTCGAAAGAGCAGACTCCTCAATTCCATCTTGTTTCTGTTCAATAATCGGAGGCCTCGCAGACTTAACCTCGTATGTTTCCTGAATAACAGCAGAATTCGCGAATGTTTGATCATTTAATGGAACCCTCTGTCGCTTCGCCTTAGGTTGTTGTGGCAAGTTTTCTGAACTTAATGGACGTTGGCGTCGTCGGCTACGAGTTGTGGCGATAGCAGGGGATGCATTCTCGGCGTCGTGGATGATCGAAGCCGAGAACATGATGCAGAATTTTTGCACTGCAATGACTTAAAGGAATGTAATCGAATCAGGGATGCAATCGGGTACCGTAGCGACGATTGAGAAATCGAAATTAACGATATGTTGATTGAAATGGAAAACAAGTGCTCATCGTGAGCAGGTTGTTGGGGTTGTAGAGTGAGTCTAGTTTGCAAATAGAGATGTTGTGGTGGTGAGAGGTGATAATGGTGAAGGTGAAGAAAAAAGAATTGAATAGGTTGAAGGCATTCGTTCGCGAAAGAATGACGAGGCCGTCAATGTTTGGCAACAATTGATTGGGCCTTGTTGACCTTGGCTTGGTTGGTGCTGCTGAGCTACTGGGGTATTATATTGAGTGGGAACTTGAACCTTGGAAAAAAAATCTCAAAAAAATCAATCCATAACAATGCTATTTACCTTCAGCGGCTAGCTATGCACTATTGGAGGACGCACCGTTGCAGTGCACTGACCACATGCACCTACATAGGTATCGACTTACCTTGAACATTCACTGGAATTTAGGTGTTACATAGCTATGTCTACCTATTAGTACCTAAAGCAGTAGAGCTACATACCTAAGGGTTACCTGCACTACGTAGCGCGGCTGAAGCTAGGCCATTTTAGAAACGATAGGTCCCTTCCACGTTTAAGATCCGCATCTGTACCGGTAGGTAGATATGGATCCCATGAATTGATGCTTTAGGCTTTTACATAACTAGTAGGATATTACATAACGGCCACATGGCCTGTGCGCTGGCACGGTCCACAGACTTCAAGTTTAATCCAATCGGCCACATGCAGGTGAACGAACTGTGGGGCACATGGCAGTCTCTCAAATACCTAGGTTAAGGTAAGGGTAGATACTTCAAAGTCTTTACATATCACATTCCTGGCATAAAGTTCTTGACTTCAAGAATGTCTTGACCCTTGACGATGACTTCGACCTTGAACAACTATAATATTATATATCGTTTTTTCTGAGTGATTGGAGCATCTAAATTTAAACACTTCTCATATTGTATACGGTACAATTCATCAATCACACGATATCTCTTTGTTTGCTCTTTACCGAATCACTGAATTACTACTATGTAAAGATTGATCCATCATATACTCACAACCTAAGTTCCATTTTTTTCAGCCTTTTCGGTTCCTACAAGCAAAGATTATATCTCTTTAATATCTGAATACATGGGAAATCATTGTACATCACGACAAGGCCGCCGTTCTGCAATGTCTACCCATCGCAACCACAAGAGTCACCTAGGATATCCATGTGTTCTATCATAACATACTTTGTTCTTGATATCACTTCTTGTTGCGAGAAAATGCACTATTCATTTGTGACCTATTTTTATTTTTATTTTTATCTTTATACTGGGCTGGCTCATCTTGGAAACACGGTCCTTTGAGAGGTTTTTGTGTCCTAGAAACACAACCCACCTATATCTTCGAAGACGCCCAAGAAGGGCTGAACCATAGTCTAGGATGAGTTTGAGACGAACCTTCAGTTCGGTTACTATAACTGATCCCCTGGTGAAGTATCAGTCATTAGTAGCAACGGGAGTCTGCAGCCCTGACGGCGCTCAGCATAGGCTAGCTCTTCACCTCCAAAAGGTCTATCATCGTCTCAAGGATTATACACCTTCAACCGAGTATCGCGCGAGACTGAAGGCTATCACTGATGCCCTTGACCGAACCAGGAACAAAGATGACGACTCGTCGCTTACTCTCGCAGTCAAGAGTCATCCCATTCGGCGCAATCCCCTTTTTGCTCGCTTCTTTGCGCGCAACGAGAGTAAAGATGCCATGGCTCTGATAAAAGTCATCACAGGCTACGAAGAAGCTATCCACATAGATTCTCCTCAAGGCCTGTTTCTATCGGGAGAGGTAGGTACAGGTAAATCTATGCTTCTTGATCTCCTCGCCGACGGCTTGCCTACGAGCCGCAAGAGGAGGTGGCATTTTAATACATTCATGCTACATACACTCTCCCAATTAGAGCGATATAGGAAATCACACCAACATGCCGGTGAGCAAGAATACTCGCTATTGTGGATGGCCAAGGAAATGGTTGAGAAATCGCCTATTCTCTTTTTGGATGAATTCCAGTTACCGGACAAGGCAGCGAGCAAGATCCTTAGCAATCTTTTCATTGCCTTCTTTCAATTAGGCGGTGTTTTAGTTGCCTCTTCGAACCGCATGCCAGAAGAATTGGAAAAAGCTACCGGTATCGAGTATGTCCCATCTACGGCTGGTGGCCTCTTAGGCCAAGTATTGAGGCTAAGGGGATCACGCGGGAAGGGGGAATTATTTGGCTCCACAAGCGATTTTGCTTCTTTCCTCGAAGTTCTCAAAGCGAGATGCCAGTTCTGGCACATGGAAGGGGGAAAAGACTGGAGACGTCGTGAGGCTGACATATCATTTACCAAAAGTGTAATGGCATCTGCTGCATCTCAGGACTTGACGAGTTCGCCTGTATCTCACCTGACTTCAAGTGAAGAAACGGAAGATATTGACAAGCCAGACGGTACCGTAGTGACACCGAGAAATTATTTCCTCGTAGGCGAAATCGACGACGCCTCATGGGAAAAGACAACAAATAGCCTGGCTTCGCCTTCGGAGGAAGTTGATTGGCAGTCCTTGACACTGACTGTCTATGGCCGAGCTATTACAATACCACAACAGTACGATGGGATCGTGCACTGGGACTTTAACGATCTGGTATCCTCCTTTGGACCAGCCGATTACATCACAATGGCCTCGACCTTCCATACGTTCATCATCAACAACGTGCCAACTCTGACAGTTCTCAAGAAGAACGAAGCCAGAAGGCTGATCACATTATTAGATGCTCTGTACGAGGCCCGGTGTAAACTAATAGTGCGAGCGGAAGCCGGCCCCGATGATCTGTTTTTCCCGGAAACCAAGGCCACCCCCTCCACGCCCACGAAGCGAAATTCCTCCCAGCAAGGAAGCGAGAGCGAGAGCATGGAAGACGACGCCATCCACTCCGAGACCATCGCCGAAGCCTACCAAGACACCACCTCTCCCTTCCGGCCCAACATCTCCTCGTACACCGAAACGAGCAACAACAGCGACGAGGAAACCGACTTCGACGCCGCCGCCAAGCCCAAGGTCGACTTCAGCAACACGGGCGCCTTCACGGGCGAGGACGAGCGCTTCGCCTACAAGCGCGCGACCAGCCGGCTCTGGGAACTCTGCGGCGCGCAGTGGCACGCCCGCACGGGCGCGTGGTGGCAGCCGCTGCCGAGGGAGGCCCGGCACTGGGAGCACGCGCCGGCGTCGAAGCCGAGGCCGTGGTCCGTTGAGCAGAGTGTGCGCGGCGACGATGCGAAGATGGGGTCGGCGGTGGAGCTCGAGGAACCGGCGGGGCTGCAGAGGTTCAGGGTGAAGCAGTTGGTGGAGGGGTGGTCGGAGAAGAAGAAGAAGGGGTAGGTAGTAGTTTGACCTAGGTGTATCGTAGCATATATATATACATGTAGATATGTACAGTAAATACGTAGATATTCATATTAGAGTTTTAGGTACCTACCTACTTAGGGAATCCAAAAAAAAAAGGGGGGGGGGGGGGGCTTGGTGCCTACTTTTGATATCATGATTTGATTTGATTTGATTTGCATCATAGAGCGCGTACACTACACTACACTACACTACACTACAATACAATACAGGCATTGCATGTAAAATAAACCTCACTCCCCTCTCCATCCCCTTCCCCCCTACACCCCCTTTTACCGGTAGGTGCCGAAGTAGTAGTAGTAGTAGGTACTAGTAGTAGTAGTAAGTAGTACCTAAGTAGTAAATAATAAACGCCCGAACACCTAATGCTCTATACCGCCCCTTAACGCCGTCCGTATATGCATATGCATATGCATAGGTACCTAGGTAGCCATCTACCTGTCTACCTACCTACCTACCTACCTACACGCACGCTCGCTCGCTCCAAGGCAAGAGGCAGAGAGAGAGGTGTGTGCTCACATCCTCCTCCCCCCCCTCCCCTTTCCCTCTACAACATGCCCTCACAAAACAGTAACCCCGGGCGCCCACCCCTCCCCAATCCTCCTCATCTCCTCCGCAAACCTGCGACTCGAGATCCTCTTCCCCCCCACTCCCCCTCCCCCCGCCGGCGGCAGTATCAACGGCGCGTGCTCATCAGGATCATAGAACGGGTTCTGCAACAGCCGCACATACGCCGTCTGCATCGCGCGAAACACGACCCGCAGCTCCGCCTCCCGTAGGCCGACGCCGGTGCGCAGGCCCAGGCCGCCTACCGCTGCTGCTGCTGCTGGGGCTGGTCCTCCGGAACCGCCGCCGGCGAGGGTGGTGTTGGAGGCGGATGCCGAGGTATTATTGTTGGTGTTGGTGTTGCTGCCGCTGCTGTTATCGGAGGGGAGAAAGCGCCCCCGCATGTCGACGACGGCGACGAACTTGACGCCGGTGTTCGTTTCGAACCCGTAGGCGGCGAGGCGCTCGTCGACGGCGTGGAGGAGGCCGAAGTCGCCGGTTACGATCGGGGCGGTCGCTGCTCCTCCTGCCCCAGCGGCACCGGGTGTAGTGGGAGCAGGGGAACCAGAAGAAGCGGTGGTGGTGGAGGTGGTGGAGGCGGTGGCGGCGCGGCGGGCGCGGGTCTCGAAGACGTCGAGGGTGCTGCTGAGGAGGAGGGAGAACTGGAGGGGGGTGCGCAGGGGGGCGCGGGTGTTGGTTGTTGGGTCGTGGGAGGCGAAGATGGTTATGTGGAGGGGGTTGTTCTGCCGTTTACCTGATGCGTTAGCTAGTTGTTTCTTCTTCTTCTTCTTCTTCTTCTTCTTCTCCTCCTCGTTTTCTTGCTTTTTGGTATTTAATCCATCTATGTAGGTCGGTACCTAGGTATGCGTGTGTGTAGTGCGAAATGGAGGAGGGGGTGTGAAGGAAAGGGGGGGAGGAAAAAAAAAAGAACACACGTTTCGACCTATTACGCCTAGGCAGGCTATAGAGGGTATTGCGGTCGGCATCGGTACATGTGCATACACGCCAGCTTCAATCTATTCCAAGGGTTCTGTTCTGTTCTGTTCCGTTTCGTTTCGTTTCAGTACTATGTAAAGTTGAGAGTTGGTTTTCGTCTAAGAGTTAGCAAGGTTGGGGATTGAAGCTTGTGAATTAACTTTACATACCAGTAACATTTGAACTACTAGGTTAGGTACGTAGTTACCCGGTACCTAAACTTTCACAGCGCCCAGGTGCCGGTTGTCAATTTAGTGCTTGCGCAACTTGGGATAAGCTCAAAGCCGACCCACTAATTCTCGCCTTAGTGAATCAGGGGTCCAGTTCCCCCCTTGAGCCATATGTCATATTTACGGTACATGCATCAATAAAAGGACGTCTTCTAAAGCATTATCCAAGAAAATGTTGACAGTAATATTTATTTTATTTTTTTATTTATTTTGAATTTACATGTAAATTCTTCGAGTTATATAATGATTCAATGATTCCAATAGAATTGTATCCAAATATTTAATGTCTAGTAGTTAGGGAGGTACACTATAAGGGTATGACTTACAAGTTCGAGAACATCAGAAGCTCTATCAGGGAATAGTGTATACAACAATATGACGTGTCGTCGACACCAAAAATCTATATGCAAGACTTTATAAATGATAGTCATCTTCATCATCTACCAAAAGCTCAGTCTTCTCAAGACCTTTAAGCACGTCCTCGATCTCAAACGGATCCGTGATAGCCCAAACGCCGCCTCCCTTGACCCAATCCGTGCCGCGCATACCGACCTCCTTGCCTACGAGGTTCCTGCCAACCTTACCGGGTCCGACACCAATCCATCTCCGGACCCTTTGTTCTTGGTCTAGATACTTGATGCTGTCCCACCACCTGACCGTCTCAAGACACTGGCGCGCCAGGAGGTCTTTAACTTCTGCAACGCTCCCGAATGGCCTGGCGCTCACATTGCTTATACACTCTAATCGCCCCGGGAAGGTGATCACGTCTTCGTTTTCGCGGCCTTTCACCCTGCTCTTTCTCGAGACCAACTCCTTCACCACATTAACCGCCGGCTTCATTATGGGGCTGTGGAACGGACTATCGCTGTTTAATCGAACCGCTCTTGGGTCGTGGCCAAGGAATTGTCGAACATGAGCCGTTAATTCTTTGATCCTCTGTACGCTACCGCTTAGGACGATTTGGTTCTTGCTATTGACGTTTGCTATCAGCACCTGGTCAATTGGCTTCATAGAGTCGGCGCTCTCGCTCCTCGCACCCGCGCTGCGGTATCCCACGAAATCGTCTATGGTTTTGATGAGCTGGTTCAGGTACTCCGGCTCCGTGACCAGAGCCACCATGCCGTAGTCGCCGCCGTATTTCTCCCGGGCCCTGCGGGTAGCTTCCGCCATAGCCTCTGCCCGCTTGCGCACCATGTACAAAGCGTCCTCGAATTCCAACACACCGGCGGCTACTAGGGCGGCGAATTCACCTAGTGAATGCCCGAGGGAAACGTCTGCTCGTTCAGTAACATGGAAGCCGAACTCGCGCTCGAGAATACGAAGGATGAGAATCGAGGTCGACATGATCGCAGGCTGGGCATTGGGTGTCGCAGTCAGCATCGTGCTTGGCCCATTTTGTATTATGTCAGATAGCTTGAAGCCCATATAGCTGTCGATCTCGTCGATAATGTGAGCGGCGGTGCGCGGAAAGGCTTCGATCCAAGGTGTTAACATCCCAACTTTCTGAACCCCTTGGCCTGCGATCATATTACAGCTAGTCAGCTCACGTCAATGACGTAATGTGCTACAACAATAATGTCTAACCTGGGAAGAAGATGGCCGTCCGGGGCCTCTTGGCTTTTGTTGACGCATAGTACCGAGCTCCCAATCGCTGTATACAAGGCGACGTAGTAATTGGCGTATCGGTAGGAGAAAGCCGGCAGCACACAATGCCAAAGCTGCGGAGCGGCCGGCGCAACGGGGAAACTAACACGCTCATCGCCAATGGACAGCTATAATTGAGCTGCGGCGATCGATTCTCACAATCATTACAGGTTGCTAGTAACCTATTCTTACAAGTATTGAGGAAGCCACATGCAAGTTAAGAAGTTTGGTAAAGTATAGTTAAAAAGAGGTAAAGAGGTAGAGAGGTGGAGAATGGGGAATTCGGGTTAAGGGATTGATTGAAAGTTTAAAAAACGCCGTCAGAATGTTCGAAGCTTACAGTAGATCCATCTATGGTATGACTGTAAGGCACCTCGGCCTTTGTTAGTGGGCATCCCCCACATCTTCCCCGGATTACTACACCCGAGAGTACCCGTTGAAAGCTTAATCAATAGGTACATACATGTAGTTACATACATATGTAGTTGCGAATAGTTCTACGTAAGTACCTAACCTTAGGTACTTATAATATCAATGATATACTAGGTATTTCCTACTAGGTGTGCAGTTATATTCGATCTAGAACCTCAAATAAACATATTCAAATACCTAGGTAAGCCATTGGTTAAATGCTAGTTGATAAAAGCTGACCCTGTTGATCTACATATGGGTAACATTGAACATTCATCTCCCTGACAAGCGCACCAGAACGCCAATCATGCATTGCATGCAATCCATACAACTTCACAAGTATACTCCAACTCCTAATCTGCTAATGTAACGTCTAACCCAGGTGCCAGGTACCTGTCTACTAGGCACACATGTACGTATGTGCCGCCCCCTATTAGCACTAAACTCCAGCTAACATCTAATTTCAACACCCCCCTTACTAATAGTCAGATACTTGACCCCTTTATACGGCTTCAAGCTCTCGCCGATACCACGACTCTTTCTGGGGTCGATTAGAATACTTTCAACTCGGATTCCGCTCGATAGCCATCCCTTGACTGAGAAGCTCACTGACGCAGAACTCGGCATCAATATTTTGTTCTGCGCAATTTTCTTTGCGTCCTTCTCCCCTGACGAAACCCCTTCGTTATCTTTTGGCTTATTATTTATACTGCTTTGATACGGCTCATCGTAAGTATAGTCTTTGCCGAAGCCGAAGCCGTTAGGATCATCGTCTTCTTGGTCATCCGCCATGGGACCCTGAACCGAGCATCGAAGACTGAAATATGATCCAGCCGAGAGCTCTTTGGTTGGTATATGCCATTCAAGCACCTTTTCTCCTATACTAAAACTGGCGTCTCCCTTGGTCGGCCGAACATCCGATAAGTTCCTAACATCGGCAGGCAACGGTACCGAAACAATGAGATCTTGCAGTAGTGGTGCGGAGGCCGAGCCCGGGTGGGAGGCTCCGAAGCTCCTTCCGCCTGGACCTCCTCCCCTCCCGGATGACCCAGACATTGAAGAGCCTGAATTCCCAAAGTTCTTTGTTGTGTTAAGTCGAACCTCAAAATCAGATCCAGTTGATCCTAGGCCAGTCTTGACCTCGATGCTCACAGGGAGCCTCAGACTATTCGAACTCATGCTTCCGCTCTTCCCATTGGTAAAGGGGAGTAGATCCACCTCGTAACCTGCTAGAATGAAACGTCCGTCTGGAGGGATAAAGCTAAGTTCACCGGGGCAATCCTTCCACCTGTTTAATCGCACGCATGGATGAAATACTGGCAGTTCCATAACACTCTGCAAGTTGTGTTTTCCAGAGGGTCCCGTAATGTTCACGAGAATATCTGGAACCCCGGACACTTTGGAGGTAAAGGCAATGGTCCCATTCGCAAATGCAGCAATCGGTCTCCCAGATGGTGCTAGTGTAACGGATAGAGTCTCAACAATGTCGGCATAAAGCTCGTTAGACGTATGCCGCACATTGGCTCGCCTCCAAGGTAGAGCCGGCGCACTTTGAGCTAAGAGGGATGGCACAGGTGCGGCACTCGGAGATTTGCCAGGTAGGTTAATGCTTCCCAGTAGTTTCCCTAGCAGCCCCTCCACTTCTACCAAGTCTCTCAAAGCATTCGGCTCGGTGGTGTTAACGGTGCCGGCATCGCACATCTCAGTCAATAGTTGGGCGACGACATCGTAATTTGCTTCGATCTTATGCGCAAGCACGGGGGCGCCGAGAAACTCTTCGAGGGCATCGATGACGCGATGGAGAAACTCGAGGACGAGAAGCGGTTCTATTTCGGACGAACTAGTGGCTAAGTAGAGTAGGTTCGCGTGTGTAAGACTAAAAACAAGGGTTGGAGGGTTGGTGTTTGGTAAGTAGATCAGGTTCGGTCTCGGTGTTGGATGCTCGAGGTAGAGTGGAAGAAGATGGTTTGCGGAGAGCGGCCGGGAGGTGTAGATGTTGGAGAGAATCGCACGACTTAAGTCTATTGTCAGTATGTTTGCAAGGACTTGATAGCTATTTTGGGTACTAACTTGTGCTCATCGTAGATGTGCAATGCTTCTATTACACCGTTCATGGTAGATTACTTAGCATCTCGTAGATGCTCTCACATAATTATCGGTGCATTGTTTGTATAGGTATGTACATGAAAATAAAAGAGTTGCATGTGGATTCAAGTTTAATGCCGTCAGTTGAAGTATCGTCTTATCGATAAAGATTGGGTACTAGGGTAGCTCCAGGCTTTTGTTCGTGTGGGGTTAATCATTTGCTGATCCCTCTAAAGAGCTATGCACCATATGTACATACTCGTACTTCGTACACATGCTGTTGTCTAACTCTACTACTAGTAGTATAGCAGTTAAACTCCTGACAATCGGTTCAGATGACCAACATTAGTTTTCAGAGATAAGAACTCTCCAGAATGTATGTAGCTTACCTGATGCTTGCCCTTTTTCTCACTAAACCCTAGTATTTTCTGTTGCTGAGCAATGTCTTGAGATGGCTTTCTAGATCCCATATAACCATTTATCTCAGCTACTCAAATTTAGGCCAAAGTCGATATCCTCAGCAGATAAATATCAATGAAGTGAATCCCGCAAGCCTCCGTTTCACTCTTAGCCGTAAGGAGGTGAGTTGTAGTAGCGTATGAAGCTCTCAAGAGTCAACGAAGTCTTCAGGGGTAGTTTCCACGACAGACACCATTCAAGCACTAATCCTCGCACGTTTTATCTACTGTGTAATACCTACGTAACCAGGTAGATAGTCAACTGGAAGTGAGTGCCTAGGACTGCAAGCTAAATCAACTTCCATCCAATGGTTCAACTGCCATGTGTATAGGTATTCGGCACAGCTACTATCGACCGGCACCTACGGCTCGACTCCGATATGTAGGAATGACTACTATGGCAAGTTGAAGTTCAGTAGATGCAATTAAGAAGAGCGATATACCTATAAAGAGCTTCGAGAAATGCATACATTCCTCTATCTCAATCTTGAAATGTATTTATCGATATTTTAGGTGGGGTTCTATACATGGGTGGATCCAAGTTAACCTAGTACCAATGATCGGCAAGCTAAACCCCGACAAAGAAGTTTTAGCTGAACCTTGGAAATTTTTCTGCAAAGCGGTTCATTTTTTTTTTCTTCATTTATCGTCCATTGAATTGCGCGAACGAAGTATCCATATATTTGCCCGCTTCCGCGCCCAAAAAAAGATAACGAGCAATGGCAGGACCTGCTAGTACCACGTCCTCTATGACCTCAACTTCTCATACATTAACACATGCCCCATCTGTAGGCTTTCTGTCTTCTTTCGCCGATCCCTCCAAACCTTCCAGCGCCGTAGAGATGCTGGAACTCTTCGAAGCTATAAAGTCGGGAAATCGACACAACTTTTTACAACCTGCATCTTCGATTCCAAATGCCTCTCTTCAACTTGCCAAAGCAACATTAGACGCATATGCGGGACAAATATGTGACGAGCAGCAGCAGCGCCAAAGAGAGGAGAGTAAAAAACGAAAAAGAGTCGAGGCCCGTCTAAGTAATGGCGAACTACTGAAAATCAGGAAGCTTCATGTGGACGGTTTTGAAAGTGGCCAGGTCTGGCAGCAAGCAAGAAGGGTCATCACAAGCGCCTTGCATGATTCGAAAGGCGCGCTCCAGGAACTAGAAGACCGGGACATGATATTAGTAAACGGCGTCAACGGAGACTCTCACGCCGATACACTTAAACCAGATGAAAATATTTCGAAAGCCATCCCGGATAGCGATGGATCTGCCTCAGAACTAGACGATCCAGACGATTCGGAAGGATCTATAGATATCGATGAAGACCTACTAGACGAGGAGGATCTTGACGATGACGCAGAACTATCCGGAGAGGAGATGGAGGAGGGCCTTGAGGATATCGATGAGGAGGAGGGGGAGGAAGACTACGATGACGAGGATGAAGAGGATCAGGCCTCACAAGAGCTCGTTGAAGATCCGAATGGTCTCAACGATGGATTTTTCTCGATCGATGAATTCAACAAGCAATCTCAACTGTTTGAGGATGCGGATGCCCGCGGAGATCCAGATATTGATCAGGCGAGTGACGATGAAGAGATAGACTGGCATGCCGACCTACTCTCCGCGAAGCCATCTACGAATAAGAAGAAGCATCCGAAGATAGCTGATAAAGTTGAGGATGAATTACTCTCTGACGTGGAGGGTGATGAGGATGACCAGGACGAAGATGGAGGACCTACATTCGGTGATATGGACTTGGATGCACCGGAAGGAGAAAGTGAAGATGAGGAAGACCAAGAGGATGACGGAGAAGATTTCAATGCTAATGAGATCCAATATAAGGATTTCTTTGCACCCCCCCAACGAAAAGGGGGCAATCCCCGCAGAGACAGAAAGTTTAGGGGGACTCAACCTACGGAACCAGACAACAATGATGTTGACCGAGCAATGGCTGACGTTCGTCGAGACTTGTTCGAAGACGAATCGGAGCGGGAGGACTCGGAAGATGCTCTATCTGATGCTTCGGCGGGCGACCCTAAATCTAGAAAGTCTGCACATGAAAGACGACAAGCTAAACTAGCACAAGAAATTCGAAAGCTCGAAGCCGCAAATGTAGCTAAGAGGGAATGGGCAATGTCTGGTGAAGCCAAGGCTATCGATCGACCAATGAACTCTCTGTTAGAAAAAGAACTCGACTTTGAGCATGTGGGCAAACCTGTGGCAATTGTTACTGCGGAGATGAGTGAGAGCATCGAGGACATGATCAAACGCCGCATTCTAGCCCAAGAATTCGACGAGGTCATCAAGAGGCGCCCCGATGCCTCCGAGTTCTCATCCAATACTAGACGTGGACTTGTCGATCTAGAGGACACCAAAGCCAAGCAGTCATTAGCTGAGATCTACGAGGAAGAACACGTGAAAAACGCGAACCCGGATTCGTACGTTAGCAAAGCTGACGAGAAACTTCAAAAAGAGGAGAAGGAGATTGAACAGATGTGGAAGGACGTCAGCTCAAACCTCGACGCTCTCACTAGTTGGCACTACAGGCCAAAGCCATCTGCACCCTCACTTACGGTCGTATCAGACGTGGCAACGATCAGTATGGAAGATGCCCAACCTACAACTGCACAAGGTGTGGGTGGTGGTGATACCGCTCTAGCGCCCCAGGAGATCTACAAAGCGGGCAAGGACACAGCTGAGAAGGGCGAAGTGGTTGGCAAGAACGGGCTACCGGTTGCGAAACAAGAGATGAGCCGGGAAGATAAGGCCAGAAGACGTAAAATGGAGAAGGAGAGGACACGTAAGGCAGGCGGTCTCAACAACAAACCCCAGAGTGCCAAAGCACAGGCACAGAAACAAACACTGGGAGATCTCAAGTTGGGCGGTGTCAAGGTCATCAACAAGAAGGGTGAGGTTGTGGATATGGAGGGGAATAAGGCGAAGGCAGCCAAGGTCGCGTCGAGCAATAGCTTTAAGCTTTGATGCGGTGATATGATGAATAGCATAGTAATACAGTTTATACAGTTTATGATCTGTTAAATCTTCTTATATTTCTAATTTTTGTTTGGTAATTAGATGCATGTGAACAGCGTGCCGTATGAAATAGAGGTCAAGTATGAAGTAATGATAATATTTAGAGTACCTGATAGGCACAGTACTCAGTTCGGGCCTGTTCGGTATAAAATAGTGCACGGGCCAATCAATTCAATTCTACACCGGACCCGAGAGAACTTCGGCAACTTTTGGAGGGGCCAAAAAAAAAAAAAAAAAAAGGAAGCCGACAATTCCTTGCTCAAAGCTTTTAGTTAGCTAATATACATAGTAACTGGAATCTCGTCCTCGTCCACAAGCAGCCAAACTCGACCTCCAGGTATTCCGGGGCCAGGTACGTTTTTGCCATGGCCAAGGACAAGGTGCCCACAGTCGGCACGCTCGACAAGCCGGAGAACCTGCAGGAGCTGCTGAAGCAGGATCGCGGCGACGATTGCATGCCGTGTAGAGTCGTAGGTGAGTAAAGCCAAACCGATCTATCTGTCTGTCTGTCTGTCTGTCTGCTTGCGAGAAAAGAAGTCAGCCTAATATAGTTGTGCGAAATCTAGGGGGCAGCGCGTTCCTGGGCCTGGCGGCGTACAGCTACTACTCGGGCCAGCGCGAGCTCGAGAAGAACGAGGCGCGCATCCGAGCGAGCAAGTCCATGTTCGGCCTCCGGAGCCGCCGGCTCGGTATCGCGGCTACGTCTTTGGGCTTGGCTTGGTTGGGGGTTTGGAGGATGTTTTATTAGGGGGCGCAAGGTGTGGGATATATGTATGAATGAATATAAGGGAATATGATGAAAAGTCAATATGGAGGAAGGGTGATGGGGAAGGGGGAGGGGGAGGAGGAGGATACGCTGGGTACTCTTCTTCAGCAATACCTACCTCGCTCGTAATCGGTGGCCAGCGCCTGGGCTTGCGACAGCTCTCGTTCACGCAAGCAAGCACGCTCGATCAGTTTCGTGTCTTGTTAGAAATAAGAGGGCCGTTCGACTAGTATGGAGAAAGGTCGAAGTGAACAAAGCAAAAAAGCACCGCTATAAGTCCTACCGCGAGGGCTTGTTTCTCACTGGTCCTGGTCCTGGTCCGGTCCCGAGAGGATGGGGTGGTAACACAGCTTCGCGATATATCCCCCAAACACACATCACAAAGACTGTAGGCTGGCAAGTTCGGAAAACTTGTGTCACGCCAGATGTATGCTACTGAGTGTGAAGTGGAATCCACCAATGCGATTCCAAGCAAGAAGTTTGCGATATCATTACCTAGGTATCTATATGAGACTCCTACATCATCACGGTATCACGTGAGACTTTTCTACTACCATTAAGTCAAATAAGAGCCTATTATATATAAGGAGTCACACAAGGCGCCAGCTATTTAACTAAGATTCCCAAAACTGTCTTGCATATTATCGTGGTTGGCTAGAAGACGTGGCGCTGGCCTGCTATATCTCCTGAGTGCATATGCCTAATTCTCTGATTCCGAGAGTCAAATCTCCAGATCTGCAGCCCAAAAGGGGTGCATGGTTCCTTACACGTATCGCACGCTAGTAGCATTTTAGATGAAAATGAAGCTCGAAGCCGTCGCGAGCCATAATTGCATACCTGGGCATATATTTAGGTAAGCAAATGGGAACGAAAGGCATGAAAAAAAACAAGTCGATAACCTCGATCAAGGGACAGGGACCAGGGAAAGGGAAAACCAAAATAACAACAACAGCCCAAATGCTTGCAGGAATGATGACAGCTATAAAAGGGATTATATAGATGTATCAAATTCACGATGTTTCCACCTTGTCGCAAGGCTGGGATTGGTTCAACTCCCCCTTCCCGACCAGTTTTATTTCAACCCAATTCCGAATCGGGTATGCGGCAAAACCACATTTTTGCGGTCGTTCCTGATCCAAAAGAGAGAAAAAAAGGGGGGGATAATAGATAGTTCACCTGCTTTGGCGATTCTCATAGGCTGACCAGACAATAAGCCCCTTGAACGTGTTCATGCAGGCCTATGCATTCGCTGGTTGCCCACCCTATCTGGGTACCTAACCATTTAGAGGCTGAGGTACAGTGCACTAACCTACTGTATTTTATATTTTATAGGGCTAGCTGCAGGTGAAAGAAAAACATGATAAGAAATAAAATAGAAAAGGGAGAGAAAGACATTCAAATCAAGGGAGACAGGAAACCAAGTGGTGGGACTAGCCGATGGATGGGATAAACGGGACGCCATGCTTTTTTAAACCTTGTTTGGGCTGTCAGGTAAAAAGTAAAAAGGTTCAAAGTTGTCTTCAATGTTCCGTGCTAAAGTGGAAAGCCGTTTGCCATGTGCGCATCTGGTGCTACAGTGGCGTTGAGATGCTTCATTCATAAGGCTTGGGGTTAATGCGCTACTAGAGTGGTATGGCTGGCTACATGCATTGTAGATGCTTCTGAAGTTACATACTACTACTAATAGTAGTACATAAGATCAATCGTTGATTTTTGCCAATGATTTAGTTAATGACAAAAAGGGAAAAGAAGAAAAAAAAGAATGAATGAAATACGAACATCAATTCCGCATGTTGACTGAACTCTGTTGAATGGAGACAAGCTGACGAGTACAGACATGTTAAGCAGGCAGGTCCCTACCTAGTAACTATGTATTTACCTACTAGGTAGGATTGACGTTCCTTCATCAAGCGCGATTCACCCGGCAACTACCTAGTATCAACCCTTCGCGTGGCCAGGGGGCTATCCGTGGTTATCAGGGAATATCAATGCCAAGTACGAAGTTATAGGAGAATTTTAAATATTTTCAACTACATCATTAATAATTGAACATGAATTTAAACCTTGGAAGACTTGAAGCAAGCTATAATTGACAACCTATGAAAAAACATTGAATCTCAGGTACAATACAATACAACACCTACTATGTAATACCTACAGGGCTATCATATATTTGAAAAGGCAGGTATAATGCAATCGGGCAACGCGAACCAACCAGAAACAAGACAGCGGTCATTCAATGTGGCCCGCTGATCTTTTCTCATCAAATGAGTAAATAAAACCTCCGAGCCTGTGATACTACCTAATGTTAGTACCCTTTTGGGGTTCAGCATCTTTATATCTGTGCCTTATGTAGATGCATACTTGCATATGATATTGGTACGGTACCTAGTATGTCATTTCTCACTTTTCTCCCATCTGATGAATAAACAAATAATTACCTAAGTACAAAACCTGCTACGTAAGTAAGTACATAGTTATATTAATGCTACTAGGAGTCTAGGTTAGGACATTGAATACAATAGAATCAACTTCAAAGAATCGATCGAGGGGCAGGTATATTATATTTCAGATGACCCGGAAATTAGCCCCGTGGTACAACTTAGTTGCTTGCATATTATATCAATTTGATATGTACGAAGTATTACCAAGGTAATAAAGATATTGACTCTGCAGATACATGATGTATATCCACCTACCTAGGTACACACCTAACCTACATGGTTAAGAACTTCATCATTGAAGTTGATATGTAGAACATAGATATGGTTAGGTACAGCTGTAACAACTTCAATGTTGAGCAATCGAAGAAAACTCTTTAATATTATGATGATACTACCATTTGCTCCTGCCAAGTGCCCGCCAACATTCAAATTCTCCATTTACTTACACGCGCACCGCGATACCTACCCTGTTTAGACTCTGTGCTCCTATGCAGGCACGGAGGCAACATCAAAGTAAGTTGGGTACTTAAGTAATACTAAAAACCAACCTTCCCCGTACTTGCTTCATCTGCAGCAAAGTCCTATGAAAATGGTCAGTGGTCAGTGGTCAGTGGTCTTAAACATTAAACACTGAGTCCCCTGACCGCGCCAAACTCATTCAGGTAGTTTTCTTTAATGAGTATGTAGCAAGGCGACGGATGGACTGTGCCTTAAAGTGGCTTACCTTATCCTGCACTAGTAACATAATTAACATTTGAATGTGCCAGGCGTTGAATGCACCTGCCTCCTTGCCTCCCAGGAGTCAGGACCTCCCTAATTACACATACATGTACTGTTAACTACTACTGTATGTTACCACTACTACCTACCAACACTAGTACCTAACGTCTAACTAAACGTCTAACTAAACGTCCAACTAAACGTCTTTTAAACTCAACTGGCAGCCTGGGCAACATTGAACTTTTTGACCGGTACATGTCTACTACTAGTAGCAGTTAACTAAACTAAACTAAACTGATACTGGAATAGATGTGGATCGGCCCCATTGGACCTCTTATTTTCTTTCCCTTAATGAAAACAATCCACCAACCCTTTTTCGTGATCCTCACATTTGATTGATTGACAGCTTTCTCTGTCCACTGTCGGTCAACAACATCTGTGCTCAATCATTTTATTTTTTCTCTTCTTGTTTTTCTTCTCAATCCCCACCTCCCGAATTCGTCGTTCCATCAATTTTTTATTCCCATTCTGCCATTTTGTGTCCCGGAATGCGGTAGCAGTATCGTCGCCCTCAGCTCCTTAGCCGGACTGAGAATTGATCGCGAGCCTTTAGGATAGGTCAGATCAGGTCCACGTCTCATAACCTGTGGAATCCTACATACCTGCCCACTTTCGCCTTCGTGTTGGGGGGGGCCCTGGAAAGGAAATCTCGTTTGTCGCAATCTTTGGCCTCGACGATCCCCTACGCCCCGTCCTCAACCACCAATTCAGATTCACGACGCCACGCTGGACTTCTCCTTATGATTAGGGATCATAAGGCACCTGCTGGCCCCAGACCAGCCGCGCAGTCTCCGACTCGATCGTGCGTCTCCCGTTAACCTAAAACGCATCTTATAAGCTATAACAGGACGAAAAAGATGTTTTTGTAATCGCTTGCTGACTCCACTTGTTTCGTTTCAGGACCAAGGAGAACGTCCCCATAAACCGAATCGACAACGAACCAATGCTCCATGCGTCGTCGTCCAACAACCATTCGCTCTTCTCTTTTGGTCGGAATGGGGCCGCGAGTGACATAGGCGATAGTACTACGAGCTCCTTCGAATTCTTGCCCTCCGTCAGTTTCGATGATCTCCAAAGCAGCCTCGAATCAGCCTCCACCGAGTTCAAACTGACCCAGTTTCCCTCGCCATCCGGTCACGGCAGCATTCTTGACGAGAAACTACCGGATAGGATGGCCGGCCAGTCCTCGGGTACCGCCCAGAATGGCGCAACTTCCCGTTCAGCTGCTCAGCCGAATCCTACTCCTAACATAGGCACCAGGCCATCGAGGTCCAGTTCGATACTGAGAAGGCCCAGTACGTCAAGTCGACAGGTTAGCAACGGTTCTACGATATCCGTGTCTTCTAGTATCACCGACGCGCCAACCGCGCCCGCTGCCATGAGAAACCGGCGACAAAGTCACTACCCCCCGGTTTCTAACACTAACATCATAAAGCCACCAAGGAAGTCGATTGGCCCGGGGGTCATTGATACTGATTACGGGGCCAGAGGTGGTCCAAAAAGGCGGCCCAGTTTGGTGTCTAACTCTGATAGGGGCGCAACTGAGTCAACTCGAACATCAATGGATATGACAAGCGGAGAAACCACAAAAGCGATTGCCAATTCGCGAGCTACAAAGGCTCGTTCAGTGCAACCGGCGCCGAGATTATCAACAAACATTGCTGCTAGCAGCAGTAGTAACAATCTCGCTCCAGATCAGAACCGTACCTCAGCCGCGTATCCAAGGTCACCAAGGGGTGCTGGTAAAGCATCTACGCCTAATTCAGCAAGGAGAATGTCTGTAATGCCGGGTACACATACCTCTCACGCCACTGGACTTGGTGCAAGGACCATTTCGCCCACCGATGCACAAAGGATGAAGCGTATGTCAATTCATCCATCCCAGAGTATACCACAAATCACAAGTGTACCTCCACCACCTATCGAACTCCGCCCTACCTCGCGTTCGCCTTCTATGATACCCCGAAAAACATCTACACCATCGTCTTTGAGGACAACCCCGGAAGTCACCAATAGGAAATCCTATAGTTCAGGACTATCCGTTGGCTCGACGAATAGTCTCAATACTCACCGAACCTCGACTGGTTCCATACAACGAACCTTATCACAAGGCGGGCCATCGTCGAGGCTTCCGGCCCCAAAGACGTTGAACATTGTTAACCCACCTCCTGGTGAAGAGGATGAAGATGTGCCGCCTGTGCCGGCAATTCCTAAAGCCTATGAATCGCCCAAAGACTCGCCAGCGGAACTGCACTTCCTTGACAAGAGAAAATCTAATTATACTTTAGACTCGAGCAGCATGCATAGTACTTCTACGGGAACGCCTTCGGGTACTCCATCTTTGGAGCCGGCGAAAAAATCTCAACGCAAGCCCAGCTCTCGAAGACACGCACCGCGAAAAACGCTCGCCGGCCCTAGCGAGATTGATCAGAAAATCAACGCGGCTCAATCAAAGAAGAGCCTACAGCCACTACGACTCCCGCCGCTTAATCTTGGCCCGTTGAATTTACCTACGGGACCAAAGTCTGCACCTGTCCGAGATTCTGGTGACGATGGTAAACAAAGTCCACCTCTCTCACAGATGATTCCTAAAACGCCTACCACGCCCATGACCGCGCCGAAAGGTTCCTTCTTTTCCAGAGCTCGTGTCGCCAGAGACCTCGAGAAGTCAGTTCCACGAAGCAGCAGTTCCATCCACCATGCCCGGTTAGACAGTCCAAATGAAGACACAAGTTCATCTAACTCGCCTCTGGGTACTGCATCCAAGAAAAGAAGCCGCAAAGTCAACGCCTCGCCCTTCCTCTCGTCGTCTGCCCCTAAGGCCGCCGACACGTTCAATGGCCAGTTGACGAAATCTAAGACAGTTGGGGATATCAATCATATGGTTTCGCTCGAAACCACCATAGATACTAAAACTCAGCAGAAGCCATCCGGCCCGCGGGCACAGAAATTGATAAAGCCAGTTGCCAAATCACCACCGCCTCAGGCCAGTCCCGAAGAGCCCCCAACACCGTCTTCTATAAGCAATTTGAGGAGAAAATTAAGCTTATCTTGGAAGAGAAGTACTTCTAAGAGCAGTCATCATGCGTCTGTCGGATCTATTGATAAAGCTGCTGAGAAGCAAGCCCGTCAAGAAAGTATGCCACCGCCGCGAATCCCCATCTCGGCGTCAACAAATATAAACTCGGTGAAGACATCGAGCTCAAACCATGCGTTGAAGACTGCGGGGACATACTTGGAATCTAGGCGCAGGAAGAGTTCCGCGTCCAGTCTAAACACTACGTTTACACAAAAGAGTCGTAGCGACGCTTGGACGAGCTCTAAGGAGGACATTGGTAACAGTTCAATGGTAGAGACGTCATCGCAGCTTCGAAACTTAGCTACACAAAAGATAATCCGCCCCAGGCCATCGACCGCTTCGATAAAACGACGGGATTCCTACACCGCCGAGCTGGACAAGGACGATCTAATCGCAGAGGATGAGATGAAGAGGTTAGCGATGAGAAAGAAAGAGACTGAGATAGCTGCTCGAACGCTTGACGCACTCCGTAAACGGGCGACGCCCAAGGAGCGCGTTGGGCCTCGGGAAGCGATTCAGATAGCGATATTGAATAGATATGAGAAGGGCGAGATTGTCGACTATAATGATGTTTACTTCTGCGGAACTCAGAATGCTGGTAAGGTGGTGGGCGACATCGAATCGAAGTTACCGAACTTTGGCTACGATGATGAGCGCGGCGATTACACTATCGTCCCAGGTGACCACCTTTCATATCGCTACGAAATCGTCGATGTCCTCGGAAAAGGAAGTTTCGGTCAGGTGGTGAGATGTATCGATCACAAAACTGGTGTGCTCGTTGCTGTGAAGATCATTCGCAACAAGAAAAGGTTTCACCAGCAAGCTCTTGTCGAGGTTAATATCCTGCAAAAGCTTCGTGAATGGGTAAGTAATCGTTGACCTGATCGATGGAGTCTTGCTAACCAAAATTACCAGGATCCCCACAACCGACATAGCATGGTCAACTTCACTCATAGCTTTTATTTCCGAGGACATCTTTGCATATCAACCGAACTTCTCGATATGAACCTCTACGAATTTATCAAGTCGAATTCCTTCCGCGGCTTTTCTCTCAAACTCATTCGACGATTCACCAAACAAATGTTGAGTTCGCTCAATTTGCTTAAGCAACATAAGGTGATCCATTGCGATCTTAAACCCGAGAACATTTTGCTTCGCCATCCGATACACTCTGAAATCAAAGTGATCGACTTCGGGTCTAGCTGCTTCGAGAACGAAAAGGTTTACACCTACATTCAATCCCGGTTCTATCGATCTCCTGAGGTCATTTTGGGAATGACCTACGGCCTACCCATCGATATGTGGAGTTTGGGTTGCATTTTAGCTGAGCTGTATACCGGTGTTCCTATCTTCCCTGGCGAGAATGAGCAGGAACAACTGGCTTGCATCATGGAAGTCTTTGGACCCCCGGAGAAGCATCTCATTGAGAAGAGTACAAGGAAGAAGCTCTTCTTTGACTCGATGGGCAAGCCCCGCTTAACGGTATCCTCGAAAGGCAGAAGACGCCGTCCATCGTCGAAGACCCTTCAACAAGCTCTCAAATGTGACGATGACCCATTCCTCGACTTCCTTGCCCGTTGCTTACGATGGGATCCCGACCGTCGTCTCAAGCCTGAGGAGGCCATACGTCACGAGTTTATCACTGGTCAGAAAACCTCTGTTCCAGTTCCTAGAACCCGTGAGTCCTCGCCGATAAAACGTCACAACACTATCTCGACGCCACGACCTCTACCGGATCCGCCAGGAGTTGGCAAAGGTGGTCACAATTTGCGCCCCCGGGAGGCGAGTAATACTAGTCCTTTGAAACCAGCTCCTGGAGCAAGACGAACATCTGCTTTCACCAGCACCACAAATGCCCCTGGCGCGAAGCGGGTCAGTGCGGGAACATCTACAGCAGGCGGCAGCAACCTTCCTCGCGTGGCCGGCCGAACAGCTAGTGGCAAGCAAGATTTGGCCTCGGTGGGGGCAAGTGTTGCTATGAGTCGACGAGCATGAATGAGTTGAATATTGGCGTACGGTACGATAGGAGCTTGAAAGCGAGTATCCTAGATGTGTTACGAGATAAATTGGGCATTGATTTCCGGCAGCATTCCACGGTGCAGGCGCATTGACCGATGGGTCTAGAACTCTGCTTCAGATATCGGTGCGATGTGTATTGCGCATGAATTTTAGGACACGAGCCTCAAGAAGCAAAGCGTGTCGAATTGCACCCGAAACTGAATGGCTATATCATTACTGTCTTTTTTCTTCTTCTTTTCCACATCATCCCTTTGCTATATACATCGATTAGGTCTACTTCAGCTCCCGCTCCAATATGAAGATGGCTACCTAAATAGAAAACATACCATATTTCTGCTCAGAAAAGTCGTGTGCCTTAGTAGGGTTTTTTTTTTTTGAAACGTGTCTACGAGAAGATCGAAGATTCGAGATCGAGTGGAAAAAAAACCTTGAATGATTAAAAGCATTCTTAAGAACTTTTTTGTCTTTTTTTACATCTTCTATTTCACTTTTATTTTAGTATTTTTATGTCTTATTCTTGGGATGCATCCATGTACTATATTACTTAGGTACCTTTATAATGACGGGGAGTAGTGAGTTGGCGAAGGGGGAAGAAGGGGAGAGGGGGAGAGGGATGGGGAAAAGGGGGGGGGAAGGGGAGTTGGGACAATTACAGTAAATGCAAATAAGAAAGAAAGAAAGAACGAAAGATACCTAGCCTCGCCTACTTACCTAACCTAGATAGTTACCTAGTACCTACCTACCTACCTACCTAACCTAGATACTTGGGGTAACTCGACTCCTTTTTTTTCCTTCCGGCTTTTGGCTTCTTGATAAAAGGAAAAAAAAGGAAAGGAAAGGAAAGGGGAAAAGGAGTAGTCTTAAAATTATCTACCTACCTACCTAACCTAGGTGCTTGCCTATGGTTGTGTATTATTCTTTATCTTCATCTTCGTCTTCTTCGTCTTCTTCGTCTTCTTCGTTTTTTTTGTCTTTTTCTTCTTCTTTTTCTTCTTCTTCTTTTTCTTCCTCTTCTTCGTCTTCATTGTCTTCATTGTCTTCGTCCTTTTTGAAATTCTTCTTTCCACGCTTGCTTTCTCATAGGTAGGGCGGGATTTGATCGTTTCATGTCTAACTAACTAACTAACTAACTAAGCATAGGAAGGGGTTGGCTGTTTGGTGTTCTTGAAAAATAGACCCCTTTTTCATGAGTTTTTTTTTTTGGGGTTTGGGGTTTGGGGTTTTGCTAACTTGCTGGCTTGCTCTGTGTATGATGATGTGTTAGTAGCGGTGGGTGGTGATGCTAGTTAAGGGTGGGGGGAGAAAAGGGGGTAATAGAGGAGTTGAGGTAGGTAGTAGAGAAGAGAGGGGGGGGAGGAAAGAGTTAAAAAAAAAGGGGGGGAAAGTTAAAGTAAGTGGAAGAGGAAGAGGATAAAGAAGAGGATGAGGAAGAGGATGAGGAAGAAGAGGAAGAAGAGGAAGAGATTGGTGCGTATGCTGTTGTTGTTGCTGCTGCTGGTGGTCGTGGTGGCCGTGGTGGAAGAGGACGAGGACGAGGACGAGGACGAGGACGGCTAGTAGGAGTAGGAGTATGGGAAGGGGGTAGAGGAGAAGCATAAAGGGAGAGTGGAAGAGAGGAGAGTGAAAAGGAGAAGGAGCAGAGAGGTGTATATTCTATCCATCTTGCTCAATATCAAGACATGCCCAGGTGTATGCACACATCTCTCTATGACTACCTACCTCGGCAACCTAGGTAACTAGCTACCTCTCTTGCTGTCGGTCTACGTGTTCTATATGTCCCAGGTATTCGCTTAGGTAGGCCGAAGCCGTACTGGCTGGAGGCCTACGAAGTGACGTAGGTAAGCGATATGTACCTACCTACCTAGGTAAATGCATGCTTTCTTCAACGAGCTGTTTGCTGTGCGCGAGGGGATATTCAAATTGATGCGGCTGTGTAGGTAGTTAGGCGACTATCATCGCCGAAGTTCATATTGATAGGGGGGTGGGTACTAGGTTTCTCAGAAGCGTTCTACTTTATATCACAATATTAGGTCGGTATTTGGAATCTATGAAGCCTACTCAGTTGCGTGCGTACGTGCGTACGTACGCACCTATCGATGGCATATGCACGCGTACTGAAATGTTGACATCTTATTCTCACGATATTTCATCCATCTCCATTACCTATCCATCTTTTGTTTCCGTTTCCATTTCTGTCTATTTCATTCTGACCAGGCATTTACTATTTTTCCTACTTGCCTATCTATACGAGCCTTGACTCATACAGCTCAGGTGTTCCCATCGCATGGGGAAAAAAAATAGATGGTTTTTGTTCCTCCGAGGGAAAAAGGGGAGATGCCCGAATTCCATGCGTGCGTAAGAGTAGAGTAACCTCATCTACCTATGTACCCAGAGCAACGCGCTTCTTTAACTTCTCCTCGGTGTCCTGAGCTGAACTGAGGGTTTGCTGTTGTTGTCGTTGCACTGGCGGATATACATACGCACACATACGCACACATATTACTACCTAGTAGGCAGGTCCGCAGAGTTTGTGTACGTGCGTACGTAGTGTAAGTAAGTCAGTGGGTAGGTTAGATAAGCGCGACGCGCATATACGAACGGACGGGTGAAGTCATCTTCATCTTCGTTTTCGTTTTCGTCTTCTTCGTCGTCTTCTTCTTCTTCTTCTTCTTCTAAAAAGGATGACTCTATTTACTAGCTCATAACGGGTAATCGATGTACGTCATAGATGGTTCGAGAAGGAAATGGAAATAGACGGTACATACATGCATATGGTAAGGTAAGGTAAGGCAAGGTAAGTTGTTGGCAGGTTACCTAGGTGAAGGAAGTTAGTGAAGTTACATAGGTGGTGAGATAATCGAGCACGCGAGTGCAAATGAGCAAGTAACTAGTGGAGGTCATATTCTTTTCTTCCAATAGGTAGTCTACCCACATCTCAACAGCCCTGAAGAAAAAACTGTCAGCTCTTAGAAATTTCACTTACCCGTCTAGGTAAGTACCTAAGTAAGAGATGCATGTAATGCCATGCCATGCCATGCCTATGATTTCATCTCACTCCCGTACCTACTTTACTTACATCTAACAAGAAAAGTGGCGGCGTGAGGTAAGTAAGAAGTAAGAAAGTGAGTAAGATATGTATGCGCCACTCCCCGCCCAACCTACATATGTAGTCTAGGTTAGGCATGTATGTAAGTACTTTTGACTACTAGTTATCTAACCTAGGTGTCTAGTCTAGGCACCTACATGTAGTTCGTCGGTTCATCTCCCGCGCGTCGTCCAATGGTGGCGGTATGTAAGTAAGTAAGTACCTAATCGTAAAAGTGAAAAGTGAAAAAGAACAATACATACATACAGCCATACATACAGCCATACATACAGCCATACATACAGCCATACATACAGCCATACATTTCTAGGTAATCATCCACCTTACCTCCATTAAGGGTAGATCTTATCTCGATCCACGACAGGGGGGCGAGGGAGGGAATCTGGGGGTTTCATGTCTCAGCCCTAGATACCCAAGATTCTTTCTATTCTTTCTTCTTTTCGGAGTTCGAACCTATCGACCATTCTATTTTCCTTCCTTTTAGACTGTTTCAAAAAGTGTCTTCTGCGCCCAGCTTACCTATTGTGACACCTGTATTTTTGCCGTGCGACAACGATGTCAAAATAGCTTTTCGTCTTCAGGTATCACGTGAGGCTGTGGTAGCTGAGTTACAGTAGCTGTGCCTTGTAGTGTATTGTAAATAGTAGGCGAGTAACTAGGCGAGTAGGCAGGTAGGTTACCTATTCAAATCATTTTGAAATCAATATCTCTTATTGGGGCTATATAGGATGAATAGACGACCAGGCTACCTAGGTACTTACCTACCTAACCTGCCCTTCGCTCTTCGCTGCCCGCCTATCTCGCCAAGTAGCCGCCATCTAATTTGTCGTTTGTCTGCTTATTTATGTAGACATTGAGGCTTTGCGTTTCAAGCTTACTGGTACTGTAACTAAACCCCCCTATTCGTTGTTTTTCTCCCCACCAGCTCCAGGTCCCCGGTATTGCAGACTCGGGTATCTCTTAGGGCTGAGAACAAGGGGTGGCTATCTCTATTCTTATTTGACTCTTAAATCTAATCGCACCCCCTCTCCCAATCCCATTCTTGTAGGTAGCAATGCGTGTGCGACCTGAAACTGGTATTAGGTGGAACAAAATGCATGGGCTGACAACCTTATGCTTGAGATATGTACGGGCTCAAGATCATCCTTTCCAAAATTGTAGTATACGACGTCTTGTATCCCTCGAGCTCGTGTGACGTGTAATGCTGTATGAGGGTGACATAGAATATCTGTAACACGCATACATGGGGCACATCCTACTGCTCTCTCGAAGTAAACCCCCCCGTTCAATAGGGGTTTTGAAGGCACAGACAGCATCAACTTTTAACAGGTCGATTAAAGCAATGAGAGATCATCGACGTGGCTATTGCCAGGCAGTGTTGGTATTAGTATGGTTGGCTGTGCATCGAAGCTACCGACCTACTCATGTACCATAGGTAAGCAGGCGGTCCGGAGATCGTGTAGGTACACACTAGGCGATTAAGGTGGAAGTTAATCTGTAGCATGTAATGAGGTGCTCTGCTGCTTTGCCGCAGCCAGACATTGAGAAGTATACATGCGGAAATCCTTCGCTGTTCTGTTAATACCGCCCGGCAGCCAGCCAGCGGTATACGGATTGTAGAATCCGCCGCATACGTCCCAAAAATGGGCGTGATTGTGCATGTGCCCTCGCGTAGCATACACATGTCATCACTGCATGCCTGCATATATGAACGTGGGATGTGCACGGGGTCTTGTGGTTGGGGGATGGGGGAACACAAGAAAGTTGCATATGTAGCACACCGAGGAACTTTTACCCGCTCCCTGTTGCCCGAGTCAATGGTTATTGTGACCCGAGTCCGCAATTATAAAGACCGCGGCTGAACGCAAAACCCGTTCCTAATCGGGATTGGGATCCGGAAGAGGCTGGCTTCTCGATAAGTCGCCAATAGCGACGGAATTGCGAAACAATATTGTTCGTAATTTGGCATGTCTATTCTCGATAAACTGCATTGATCCCTAATCTATCAAGGCATCCCATATATTCCTTCTGTCACCTTGATGGGGGCAGGGGGGAGGATGAATACGAACACTACTACCTATCTGATCTTTAGAAAGCTGTGACCGATTTTCGCTTGGGGGGCATAGGGAGAAACTTACGACTTGACGACATGCGTTACGTCACGCGCCTGCAGAAACCCTCGTCACATACGGTTCTTCTGTCATTGATTACGATACTGGTAGATATATATGTATACACAATGGTTGTGCGGCGCCATCAGGAGCCGCAGGCTATAAAAATTAGCTCACAGCAGAGTATCCGTAATCGTTGGAATATTTACCCCTGACTGATTAGATAGAAGGTATAAGTTCGGATCAGTAGCGATATAGTAGTGCACTCGATGATGGTACCCCTTATTTGTCGTGACTAGAATCTAAGCTCCTCTCTGTGACATTCCTGTAAAGGCTAGATCATTCTAGTTCGTGTTCGAAAACCACAATATTTTTGCCTAGATACCTAGTAGGTTAGACGCCTGAAAACCGACGAGTGTCTGCGAGGTTCTGTAACACAGAGGCATGAGTAACCATGACGAGGGCATTCAATATTATAAGGGACTAGTGCTAGTGGTAATACTGGAGGCTTGACATCATAAGCCTCTGAGGGACGGAAACAGCTATAGCTATAGAGCCTCTGACGTGAAGATATTCGCACTCAGTCGCTGGTCGAAGCCATTGAGGCTGACGCCATTAATGATCTCGTGGATACTTGGTACTAGGTAGGCAGAGCCACGCGATGGAGCGCGTAGGAATCTAGCCTAGCTGAATTTGGGCATATCTTGCAAAAATACAGGTTCGGTCTACCAACAACTGCTCGACTAGAGAATGGGTTTTGGTGCGATACTCGGTGCAACCCTATTTCTAGAGTTGCAATGATGTACAGGAATCTCGCATAAGTACCTAGGGTACCATCTACTGTGTATGGTTATTGGAGAGGTGTGTAATCATTGTAATGCAACTAGTGCATGTCAATGGTAATGATTTGAAATTATGACGATACTTACTTACCTACCTACCTATGTATGCATATTGCTGCCTGAATATCCGGGGCTTCAACTTGTTTTCGAAAGCGTTCCAAGGTTAAGAAGGAAAGCTTCCGGCTATGCCGTTTAGTAATATGATAATTGTTAATGACTCCGCCGGTGTTGCCGTTTATACGGTGGAGTGATGCTAAGTGCAAAGCAATCATGTAATGGTGAAAGGAAACATCCCGCTTCATCCCGCTTCATCCCGCTTAACCCTGGTCGAGAACTCATCACCTGATTCCCCAGGCGGTTGTGAGAGAAGATGCGCTATTGTAATCGGTAATCGGGACCACTTCTTGGCCTATCAGACAGCCACCTTCGAGGCGCAGTCGTGGACGTTGGGGTCAGGCGATGCCACATTTGTAGACTCATCTCATAACATTGAATTGGGTATAGAAACAGTGATCTGAATGCCGTAAGCACCTAGGTTAGCTAGGCCTATATTCATGGGTAGGAATAAGACAGTCCGAATGATAGACCGGAGGCCGGGGACGGGCGATGAGAGATGAGAGATGAGAGATGAGAGAGATGGGAGATGGAGAACATACGATTGGGCGAGTTGCGACATACCGAGCCTAGGGTAGTAGGGGTACATACCTCCCTAGCACCTAAATTCGAAGAATCCCCCACAATCGTGACCAGGCATTACCAAGACCCATACATGACTCTTAGGCCGGGGGGCTTACACTATCGTTCCAAGACTTGAAGGACCCATCGGCAAGGCTGACTGCCATCTGTGATACCTAGTAATAGTAGTAATAGGAGTTTAGTAGAATACCTTTAAAGGTTAGGAAGTTAGAATAGCAGCCTAATAAGTACCCTAGGTAATAGGTAGGGACCACCTAGGGCCCTAAGGGACTGGCCGCCAACACTAGGTAGCGTGATAAAGTGGATGATGGTGTTCAATGTTGGATGTCGATCTTGAGAAACCATCGGCAAGGCAACGCCTGTGCTCATTGAGATCTGGGTTCGATGTTAGGTTGTACATGCGCGGGATGTGTTGTGCATCGTTGCCGATCCTTCTGTTCTACTGATCATAGTACATAGGCGTGTAACAGGAGTCATACCAAATGTATCTGTTGTGAATGCCTTACGCCTCCTACAAATTGCTATCCTAGGTTGCCATTCATACATACCAAGCTTAAGACTAGGTAATACTTTGCATCTTTGTATGCAATTTGCATACCTTTCTCTGTGTAGCACTTGGGGTTGTTGCCCTCTCGGTGAAAAACAAGAGCCCAGATGAGTCCTGAGCTGTGTGTGAGGCAAGGTAGAATATAGATATTTACAGACCTACATGTAGGTATGTGATGTAGGTATGTGATGTAGGTATGTGATGTAGGTATGTGACGGTCAAGGTGTGTAGGTTGTACAATACGTTAAATTGAAAAGGTAAGGCGGGTGAAGAAACGCGCGGCAAGGCGTCCAATGTGGTACAACTCATCGAGAGTGCAAAGAGCAAGTTTTCCTCGAAATCAATTAACATCTAACCTTAACCTTAATGGCATGAAGGGACCCAGGACAATGGAATTGGTTGCAGCCACGATGATCAGAGTCTCGGAGAGGTACCGAAATTCGAAAATTGGCAAGACCCCGTCTGCCAGTTCAATGTTTCAGGTTCAGGGAAAGCAACTTGAACTTAAAACGTACTAGGTACTGGGTACTAGCGATCTCTAGGCATTGCACTGTAGCTATTAGGTATATACTACCAGTAGTATGAACATGACTACATATCAGACATACATACATGCCTATCAAGTGGATCTGAGACATGGATGCATGGTGGGTGGTTGCAGAAGAAAGAGGGACACCCATGATGGAACGAAGCTTCTTGAATGGATTAACTTCCGTGATGGTTCAAGGTTCAAGCTTACATACTATTAATGTAGGACCATTGTAGGTAACTACGATCAATGATGTGCACTTCTAAGTAGGTACTTACATACATGTAATGCCCATTAAGGCAAGTTCAAGGTCCAAGTTTATGTAAGACTGCATCCACATACATGATGCCTGTGTAGTACCTACCTAATAGTTTATTGGGCCGTGCTACGAACACCCATTACAGCTTCTTGAGGTATTACGAGTAGGATTACGGGACTTGCTATGGATATTACCAGGAGCCTACCTAGTACCCTAGGTAGGGTACTATGTACAGTACATATACTACAGTATTTGGTATTACATAATGAGTCAACATTGAACTTGAATGATTCAAGTAACAATACAGAGACTGATAAAGGCTAATACACTGCAAAAGCTCCGATCATCACCTAGATAGTTATAACTATGATTTACATAGTAATATCCTACCTACTACATACATAGTATGTATCCTCACGATACTACCCAGGCTTTCCAGATACGAACATTCAAGTGGCAAGAATAGCCTAACATGGGTGTGACAAGCGGTCGGTTCCAATCTATCAGTGCGCCGTCTCCAGGGCACCGGGAAGGAAAATTCCGTCATCATCCTGGAGACCTCACCAGCAATAAAGTCGTATTACTGATCACGATCACCTACTATGGGAAAGTGAAGAAACCCACGTTTATGTGTATGTTAGGTACTAGGTATATATAACTTCGTACTAAATATTTTATAGATCACCCACTTAAGCGTCTGTGTATTGGCAGAAAAGCTGATACATAGTATACTACTATGGACGTATGTAGGTACCTACCTAAGTCAGTAGGCACGAGCATGTAGCTAGTTAATACACACGTGCGTACTACAGCCAATCGTCACATATGGATGCATAGACGCGAATTGTTCGTCAGCTTCGATTCAAGATCATATCTAAAGACTTGATGTTCCTAATTGACTCACTTTCCGTGCCGAGGTCAAATTGCAAGACGCGATACAGAATACTACAATGGCATTGTATATTATCAATGATTCTACTATGCATACCTACGTAGGTATGTAGGATTTGACGTTTGCTGACCACCCACGTTCGATAGCCCGGTAAGAATAGTTCACGGCACTAATATCCAGCCGTTCCGGCGCCTAACGCCAGACCACTAACACCAACGTCGCAATGATTAAATCCGCTTATATCCCAACGCACGAGCGTTACAATAGCTGTTACAAGAGCCGACCCAAGCCATCCGAATGGGTCGTACATCGTTGACAACACTACCTTCTATCATTTATTGGGAGGTCATTTCTTGTATTTCTCGTTGGTAAAGACTAACCCTTGAAAGCCTCACAGCACACATTCGGCACACATTCGGCACGCTTCTAGAAGATGCGGCCGGTGCTCCTGCCGATGCTCGGTTTAAGGTGGCGAGGTCGCGATTGTAAGTCGGCGTCCCGGCTTTTCGCACATTGAGTTACTATGTATACATATATGACTCTAGGTACGGTCCGTCACGCTCCAGGCCAACCCCTGGATGCGTACGCATGTATGTACCAACTAAAATAGAAGCTTAGAATTCGCCTACTAGGTAGACCGTAGGCACAGTCACTACATCATTTACCTAGTTCTGAATAGACCTATTCAAGGCCCAGTACGACTATGTTGGCGTGTCGAGAATATTCCTTGGAGGGCATTTTCTTATACCAAACCTCCCTTTAATCTTGGCCGCCGGAAGTTATAAGCGCTTAAGGTATCGTAAGCATCACATATATCTTGGCCAGTTTGCCTGTTGCTATTATTCGAACTGTCTCCCATATACCGTACCATGTAAGCACTCCTGATTATCGGCTGTTGGCAGTACATCTGGGAAGCTCCAGAACCGACCCCAATCATTCGACATGGATATCTTCAAGCCAAATACAGAACTTGGACAGATGAGCAATCGGTTTCTGCCTTCGAATCCGTCACTGTCGGATGTTGTAGAAAGGCACAGTATCCGTTGGTTAGTTGTAGGCCGTTTTTGTTGCTTCCTACAAGATGTCAGCATCCATAGATGCGTATAGCGTGGCATGCGTATACCATGACCATATAGCAGATTTGAATATACCTAATTAGAGCACTGATGCTACCATTTGACTTATATGAAGGGCCGGCACTCGCGGCACCGGTTGTTTTTGTTAAAGTAAGGCATGTTCAAGTTCGTATGTATAGAAACCAAAATGATGATGTTGGGTACATAACATGGATGTGTAAGCCTTCATTACGACATTAGATGCTCCAGCTATCTATGAATGGATCGATCCTTACTTGCGACCTAAACTCCCTGCGCTAGGTACAAGCCTACCTACCTCCTAGTAGTACCTACCCTAGGTAGACTAAGTACTAACTATGTCCTTGGATCAGCCCTGCAGGGACCAGGACCAGAGAACAGGGGACAGGACAGGGGATAAGGGAACATGGTTGGTACCTAGGAAAGGTCGGCTCATCCCCCGACTCCATTCCCCAATTTGATTTCTTGCTCCGAATGCGAGTGAGGTTAAACCAAAAGAAAAAAAAGAAAAAAAGAAAGAAGAATAACAGAATTAACAAAAAAGAAAGAAAAAAATTAAAATAAATCAAAAATCCGTTAGGCTTTTTTGTCATACAAAAATGACCAACCACGACCATAATTGACCTTAATTTTCTTAACTCATCAATCTTACACTAAACATACTCCCTCCCATCATTTCAAACTGTTACCTACATACTATAATACCTGCACGTATACAATGTATCCTCTTACTATTACTATAAACTACTAATAACTGCTAATTGCTATATGTATTCAACATAGCCCTGGAGCAGACACCCCCTGGCTTAGACACCAGCAGAATACAGTGAACTAAGCTTGAGTGACTCCACTCTCAATCGCTTCACCTGACTGCCCAGGAAACGAGAAAAGTAGAGGTTGCAGGCCAGGTACCTCAGGACCTCAGGACCTTAATGGCTTAGTTAGGACCTCATGTGTTACTCTTCGTCGCCTGCTTACACTTACACTAGTTCACTGGGCCTGGGCGGGTCGTTTCCGGACGACATGTACCTGTTCCTATTCTTATTTTCTATTCTCATATGGATACCTTCACCTTTTCACCCTCCTCCTTCGCCCTCTCACAGATAACATCCCGCAATACCATACCTACCAAATCCATGGCTGCGCATTTGCTCATCGTGGCAAGGCACCTGCCGGCCCCCTTTACCCCTGCGCCGCCTTTCCTTATGTATTCAATGTTGTATGTACAGTACCATATGGATCTCAGTATGTTCAGGTCCACGTCCCGTCGTCCTGCATATCAGTATGCAAGTTAGAGATACGGACTTAGTCGACCCCGATACATTCAGTCAGCTTTTCTTCCGTCATTGCTGCCTCTCTTCTCTCTTCCCTGTCGCTCGCTCTTGAGGGCACGCGGAACATGTCCAGGCTGCAAACCCTATAAGGCTACGATGTCTCCTGCGCGCCATAAGTCGCAGCAAGAGTTCTGTCGACTCATCAGTCACCTGAACACATTCACTTCCCGATCCTTTCCTTTTGCGTCCTCTAGGTCTAAGTCGACTTCCTATTTCTATACCATTTCCTTTGCCACTGCTATCTAGTTCGTGCTATCTTTTACACTTCATTCTTCTTCGTGAGCACTTACATACCAAAGAGATATTGGATCAAGGCCAACACAATCAGAGAAACACTTATTCATATACCTCACACTTACACACCAACCCCTTGTCAACTTAGATATTCTATCTTCTTTGCTGCCTTACTTTGGGAACCATTGATCCACACATTGTCGTCGTCTCGAACCCCTACTATCTCTCATCATGTGCTACCAATTGGTTGAGCGATACTCTGCCTGCCGCTGCCTCTACTATCAGCATGCGGTAGATCGATGCCCAGCATACGGCCAGTCAGGGCATGGCGTCACTACCCGTACAATACTAGTAGGATACGCTTGTTCGAAGCACGCATCAGCCAGCTATGGTGCGTATGCTGGGGGGCAAACATATTCTGACTCCGGATATCATAGTGGCCATTCCACGGATAGCTCCTATCGTCAACGCCGATGAAAAGTCTTGTCTTCGGTAATGGGCTGCTGTGCATGGCATTCTCCGCCATTGTCGATGTTCGAATTCAGGGATTGGGTTTCCTACCTCCACTCCAGACCCAAACCAAAACAGTTATCGCCGTCCCGCCGGCCTTCGCAGCTATCCTTGCTACTCGTAGGCGAAGACCATATCGTGTCAACCTCGGCCCCCTCCGTCCCCCAGTAAAGCAATTGGACCCTTCGGCACCCTGTCATGCGATCTGGTACCGAATGGATGTCGCAAATGCCATGGTACACGCATCGAGTTATCGAAGACGCAAGGATGGAACGAAATAGGATATTCCACACATTAATGACCCCAATCGACGACCTACCCTGTTCTTTGGCTGTTGTCACCCTCGGCAGCCACATTTCCTTGATTATTGAGTATGCTTTCGTCAAGCATCCTCACTGTTTGTTTCACTACCCTTTTTTTTTTTGGTTGATGCAGCATAGCGTTGGCAAGGGAAATTTTCTTGCATTAGAGACAGGGGGATATCAAAGAGATGAGATTAATGTGGTTCTGATCCCTTAGTCACTTAACATTACGACATACTTGGAACGATCATTTCACGGAAAACGATGGATGTCACGGCAGCAATTGGGCTAAACATGTTCTTCTTGAGGGTTGTTTTCTTTTTCTTTTTTGGGATTCCATTGAGGAATGGGCGGGATATACCAGGCGTTGTTTAGGAGGAAATAATAATTGGATGGGAAAGAGGGATCTTCTTTAGGACAGGCTTTCCGATTTTGGCATTGGGGGTTGCGCATCTTTTATTTTTCGGGTCTCTTGGGTGGCTTCTTCTTCGGCTTTTTCTTTTGCAAAATCCCCTCTTCTCTCGTCGAGTTTATTCACATTCATCTGCAGGACAGCTCATTTTCACGTCAAGTCGGCAACGGCCAATCCATGCGCAGGAAGCATTGGCCTTGTATTTCTAACATTTTGCTATTTTCTGTTGAGACCATCACTAGCTGAGCTAGAATTTGGAATATTGGGAAGGAAGGGCGAACTGATATTGCGCTTGCTGGCTGGACCAGGTGGTCGGTTCTGAAGACCCTACTTACCAGGTAGATTCCTACCGTTTATTTCTACACCAACAGCAACATTATTCTACGCTTCGTCTGGCTACGAAGAAAGATTAGACATTACTATCTAGATTAGAACTCCCAGCGAGCATAGAGAGGAGGAAAGAGGCGCATGCCCGGGGAGGATACACACCAATGGGACGTTGCGAATCAGATAGATCAGATAGAAAGTCACTCAATTCACATTGATTATTTAGCTGAGAATTACCTAACCTAGTAGTACCTACCTACCTCGGTACCTGTCATACTCTTAATGAATAAGCAGCTGCCGATTTCTAATACTTACATGTGCACTATGTACTATCTAGTAACAAGTAGGTACATGGGTACATATATCAGTGACAAATCTACGGTACTACATATGTAGGTAGGTAGTATGTATACCTAGTATATTGCCATATCTGCAACTTTGTTTCTATAAACGATGACACTAGCTGGCTGAATCGATCCGATTGCTAAGTACAGTAACTTGGGAAACTGAGCTGGTATTGGCCAGAGTCCTGAAGGTGTTTTGTTATAACGGCATGATGATAAATATATGGATTTCTAAGCCAGAACCAGGAGGGATGAATGATTTGAATATGACGAAGCTTATTGCGCTCTGTATGTTGATTGCTACATGATAGGTAAGTAGGTAGGCAAGTGGTTGTGATTTGGCCCCCAACACAGTGGTGAGCAAGATAGCCTCGCCAGCCTCGCAGATGAGGCCACCCATCCAAAATCGTATGCATGTACAGCTGTAGATATGTACCTAGCATTAGTAGTTCACCTGGGCAGTCATTAAAACCTCCATCAGTATCCCGACCTTAGATAGGTGCTAGGTAGGCAGCTAAAGGTGCATGTACGGATGCACGGCAAATCAGCATCGCATGTGCTGATAGGCCAGCAGTAGACCCCGCCCTCCCACAAGTAATAAGAGTAAAAACGTGCCTGGGTGAGCACTACCGCATGCCGAACCAGTCATGGTCGTCTAACCAGAGAGTTCGAACTATATGTACATTCACATATATGTACACATTTGACATACTTAGTACTACCTAGTAGGTAGGTAGTAACCTTAGGTACATAGTACTAGGTACCCAGGCAATAGGAACTACATATGTACCTACGACGTACAATACATATGCACTGAGTACTGCGTATTGCCTATGTACAATGCCTACATAGGTTAGTACATACATATGTAGGTACGATAGCGTGTAACCTACCCGAGAATTTGGCCGAGTATATTAGTGGCTGCTGTCCTTTATAAGGTCAAAGCGACTTGCACTTTTGGCTATACGTCATGTGAAATGACTTACATACCCGAATATTACAAAAATGTAAATATCTTCCTCGTACCTACTAAGGTATATACATAGATCTAGAATTTCAGCTCCAGGTGGGGCTTGGGTGAGCTGATAAGAAGCGTATAAGAAAAAAAAAAAAAAAAGAAGCTGGTAAAGCTGGACAGCTGGACAGCTGGAAAGCGAGATCCGTATTCCGCAGTTGTCAAAGAGGGCTCCTGCCATTGGTCGACTAAAAATAATCCCGACTAACAGGGGTAGGTACTACTAGTAGTATTTAGTCTTTCCAGAAAAAGTCAATTCTCTGTTTATTCCGCATCTTTCCCGCTTTGGGGCATTTCCCGGCTGCCTCTTTGAGCATCAAGCCAAATCTACTTTCAACCAACCACCTCACCATCTACCCAGGCATCAATCTAATAGGCTGATACTTTGTAACCGGCACATACCGCACATACCGTATACATATATGTATTGTACATCGTATGAATTAGTGCACATGTGGCATTGTGCATGTGTGTAGTCGAACTGCATACATACTACATACATGCACCTACACTAACTAGTATGGACCCTACATCAACCCGCAGTCTCAGACGTAAAGTCCCGATGTACAACTATATTGATGCGGAATTACGGCATGGTCCAGAAAAGCTGACCAGTCTAAATGTAGTGCCGCACACCATCATGACACCCGTCATCCAACTGAGATAAGCGGTCGTGCGACTTGTCTCCTGCACATCGGAGAAAAAAACAAAAATACCAGAACAAAAAAAAGGAGAGAATTCTTACCCATAGTTCCTAATTGGCACCCACCACTATCCGCCTTGTTCCAGTTCTACCACAGCTGTTCCACGTGGCTACCATAGACGCCAATTCAGACGCCTCTGACGCCGTTTGGCGCGAGGTGTTGGGTACACAGCATATATCAGCCGTGGCTTACTGCCCATCATCTATGTACCGCACACCCCGAGTTAAAGCGGAGTATCTACCTAGTTGGGTAGGTTGGCAATTCACGTTGCTGAGGCCAACTGAAAGCACGTTAATAGTAGGTACCTACTATAATGTTGTTCGTAAACCGAATTGTGAACCCGGAAAGGTACTTAACAAGAGATTTAAGACGGCAATGCTGACTGGAATCCACGTTTAACTACATCTGCCCACTATCAATGCCAATCGTATTACATCTATCCACTGGGTCTTACTAGAGTTCGCCAGCAGCTGCGAACATCTTTGGAATCATCCATGAGTAACCCCGACAGCCCCGAGTTAAATGTGGACACTTTGGAGGCTGAACGATCCTGCAAGGGGCAGGGTAAGAGAGGTCTGGTGGCTTGTGAAGGAGGGGGGAGAAAGAGATTCTCGGTAGAGAAAGATATGGGCCCTTCCTTACGTATGGCAATCTAATCAGCTCTTTTAGAGGCTTTACGGACTCCTTCGACATTCGGCCGACTGACAGTCGGGGTTACATTGACTTCCGCCACCGCCCTGAGGGTGCGCCTTATTCTTGTCATCCGGAGCGGAACGGGGGTAGCTGCTGACAAAGGATGGCATGGCGGCGTTTTCGGTAGGCAAGGAATTTTATTCCTACAAAGATACTTAAGGCGATATCTCTTAACGCCACGGAGATTCCCACACCCAGAGGAACAGCCAAAGATTTTGAGGGGATGATCCACAGAGCAACAAGGCATCCATTCGCGGGGAAAGAGAGAACCAGGTTTGGGATATGCTGAACTTTCACCATTCCCCGTTCCCCATCCTGAGTCGCGTCATCCAGCCTCTTTGGCTGATGGCACCCACGACTCAATCTGAATTTAGAGGATGGGATTTTGGGTCTTTACTACTGCGCCTACTTGCTAACAACACTAGATGGTGGGTTTGACCCATTTTACGCACGATATGCACAAATATTATTACCCACCCGCGGCGATCACGAACGACAAATACGCTTTGAAGAGACAGAGGGGGGAGTAGTAAGAACCCAAAAGAGGAGCGGTAGGGATATTGACATCCTTCAAGCCCCGTAGCGGAGCTAAGTAGCTGGCTCTGACTCCATACGCTTCCTTCCGTATCACCTACAGTGCCTCATCCTGTTATACGGCCGGCACGGCAGTAGAAATGGAGCTTCCCGGTCCGGTTGTATGGGTAAGTTGGTGTCTTCGTTGTCGTCATCATCATCACCTCGTATTGCGATTGAGATACGGCGGGCACGGTTTGGGCTGCTTTGCTATAATTATGTTGTCGCGTCAAACTTGGAAAGAATGTCCGAATTATGTCTACCTGGTGGTAGGCATCAATCTGGTGATTCTGATTCTGCCTAGGTAACCAGTAGGGATGTACAGTAACTACCCACCTACCTAAATTCAAAAGTACGTTTCAACTATGTACGCCCATTACCAAAGATCACGAGTTTCCGCCCCCGCGATGTCTGTGCCGCATCTGTTACCTACACTACTTACCTACCCAGGCCGTATCCTAATCGCGATCCTTTTTGACAGGCTTACAAACCCAGATAGGTTATATAGATTCCTGGCTATCTAGATAGGGTGTGATTGTAGCTAACTGTGCCTCTAGATATCATATACCCTAGGTAGGCAGTCTACCTTGTTCTTTTGTTAAAACCTTAGTTAGATTATTACCTAATTACCTACCTAGGGTATTGAAAATACCATATCTTATGATTTTTGGCCCCCGATTATATCTTACATGCCTAGGTAAAGTTACATCGAATATGTTAGATTTGAAAATCCTCGCTTTGGCCAGGTTTTTACGCCCTGCGATGCGATGCGATGCGATGCGCCAAGTTAGGCAACGATCAAGCGTGTTCACATCCATAACATGTTGGGAATGCGAAGGTCGAGATGAAGGGGACCTAACCTAACCTAACCTAACTAAAATAGAATATGTATGTATGTATGCTAGACGGTTGACGGGGTTCAATTGTTTGACTAGGTAGGTAGGGTGCTTTGGGTAAGTTGGTAAGGTAGATTGACTATAAGATAACCTACATATAGGTAGGATTCAAGCTGCTATCGATGTATACTACCTGGGGAGGTATGTATGTTTAGGTATGATCCGACTTTCTTGCTTCTTTCTTGGTTTCCTCCTTCTATGCTACTTCGGTTTATCTATAGTTTTCTTGCATCCAGATGTCTATATAGGTTAGTTGTTGCTACGGTACTATTACATGTGTTACTAGGCGGGCATGCGTACATATGTATGTTAATCACAACATTTAAACCTTGAAACATTGAGCATTACTCATCGAGTGCTCCTTGTCATGTATGTATCTACTTACTCAGGGTAGGTAGTACCTAGTACAGTATGTATAATATGTACTATGTAGACATGCGGCGATGTATGTGTACATACATATGTAGTATGTGTGTAGACGTATAAAGCTTACCTAAGGTATTGTACTTACTAACATTGAAGTAGGTAGGTACAGCGTATAATGATCCTTTACTAATGGAGCAGAATAAGGTTAGGTAGGCGAGCAAGCAAGTGAGCAAGCAAGTGAGCAAGCAGATGAGATGATGCTCTAAGAATACATACCTGATGTTGGCTATGGAGGTTTGTGGTGTTTGGTGAAGGTGAGATATAGATATAGATATAGATATGTCGTTGGTTGATCCAACTGACGAGAAGGAATAAGTACCTATTACCTAAATGCTAATTATGTATTGTATTGTACCTATATATTATGCACTTAGGCAGGTACATACCTGTATCTATCTTTACCTGCCTGGTCCTGCCAATTTACTGCATCAGTAATAGTAGCAAACAGTAAATATATTGATCTAACCTATCATGCGCTCGGCAATCTCAATCGTTGTTTCCTTAACACCTGCGGCTGCACATGTCACCCTAGACTAGACCCCCCGCTTGCCCCGCTACCCCGCCAAACCCGTAAGTGCACAGTGTTGAGGTACCTAGCGTACCTACCTACTTTACGCGTCTAGGTTGGCGATATGTGATTCTACAACGCGTAGCTGTGTTAATTTAAACCTTTCAATCGACAACACTTTTTTTATTTTTTTTTTTATTCAATCTTCGTTTCTCATTACCACCACACTTCTCACGGCGACAATCGCAATTGACATCCACGGCGATATAACTTGGAGGAAATACGATCTCGAGGTACCTTCTTGTCCTGCGTTTTCCATGACGTGAACTTGGAGGGCTTTCTTTCGTTCGTTCAGTTTTCAATCTTCACCAGGAACGATCGTTTCCCGATTTTCATTTGTCCATATCTTTCTGTTAACACATCCAATCGTTTCTTCTTGACCTTCTTCCCCCCCACCCCCCAAGCATTCTCCCTTATTACAGATACAAGCCCACTTGTACCATGGCTGCCCTTGCACCAACCCGAGCTACTCGTGCCTCTGCTGCGATTCTCAAGAGGGGACAAAAGTTTTATGAGCAGAAAAAATACCGTCATGCAGAAAAGGCCTTCTTGCAAGTGAGTTTATTTATTCTCCCACCTTGATCTAGGGCTATCAACTAACACTACGGTTTCTTCACTAGGCCATGAATTTGTGCATGTGCGGCGTTGCCATCGAAAAGGAGCCATGTATTGCAGACGATATCCTGGCGAGCATCTCCCAGAGTAGCCTCAAGGACGGCTTGTCAAAGTTGTCGGCGTCTTCTAAACGCTGTGACAATCAAGTTCACGTGGATTCCATTGATTGCCTCATTGCTACGTATGAGCAACAAAATCAAGTTCAACTATGTCTTTCATTGGCAGCAAAGATGGTCAATCTCTGCCCACGAGAACCAAAGGTTTTATTGACCACCATGCCGTTGATATGTGCACTAAATCACTAACGACTCCTCTTAGGCCTACTTGCGTCTAGGAAAGATCCTCCGCCTGAAGCAGAACCCAGTACTTGCCTACTTGACATATAAACAAGGCATTGAACTTGTCCAAAGGAAGAACCCAAATCATGTTATGCTGCCTGTAAGTATGTGCATTCATTATAAATGGCCCAAAGATAGCTGATAATGCTGTACAGAAACTACACAGCCAGTGTAATAAGATCAAAGCACTGGCCGTGTTTTTTGATCCTATCACTATTCTTCCCATTGAACTTGTGCGGCACATATTCAAGCTTTTGGACTTCAAGACGTTATGGTATGTACCTGCCGTTGCATATTTTAAATGACTTATTAACTGTAGTTATAGCCGTTCTTTGAGGGTTTCTCGCACTTGGAAAGCCGCTTTGACTACGCGCGATGCACGAGATCTATGGAGTGTTCAGTCGTACAACCCTTTCAGGTCGCTTGCTGCGCCCAGCAGCAAAGCACTAGAAAGATATGCTCGTTACGCAAATGGTGCCATCCACGAGCTCTATATTGATGGCCTTTATTTCTTTATGCAGAAAACAGAGCTTTCAAAAATCTTGTCCCTCTCCCAGTCCCTCAAGATACTCAAGGCCAGAGAGCAACACCAACACTTTGGTAGGCCAATACAGAACCTGAGCCTTAAAATGCCTCTTTCCCTCACGGTTCTTTACTTGGGCCGTGGACTACGGCTTGATACTAGTGTCTTGACTAGATTAGTCAACGCATGTGCTGGGTCATTGCAAGAACTCTCCATATTCGAAATCCCGGAGTGCAGGCAAGACAATGCACTTTGGCAATGGTATGATGGTTGGCCAAAGTTGGAAAGCCTCAAGGTGGTTCGGGTTTCATGCTATAAAGTCCTTAGACAGACCTCTCTACTCAACGATCCAGTGACCTATTTGAGCATGGTAAGTTGACTTGATCTATATCATTGTGATACACTTCTAACGATGCATATCTAGTCTGACTTCGTAGACCTAGCGCCTAACGTTGAGGTGGTCTGGTTTGACTACTTGAGGTACGACCCCAGAAAGCTATTGCATGGCTGTCCAAAGCTACGAAGCATATTCATCGGAGGTCATGCTTCGATGCCAAGACCACTACCAAAAATGGAAGTAGAAGTAACGCCCCCCGAAGACCTACGCGAATTGCATTTGGAGGAGAGTAGAATCGGCGAGATTACTGAGCGCTTGGGACTCCATGTTCATTCCGGCGTTACTAACTCTCCGCCATCGATGACTTCCAACCCCTCCCCCCTAAAGATCCCGCAGTTTCGGAAACTTGAGAAATTATCACTACTTTCTCTGAGAAGGCTATCTGATTCCGAATTCGAGTATCTAGTTCGGCCTAGTATGGAATCCGGTACCTTGCGAGAGTTGGACGTCAGACCCCTTCCACTCGCAGCACTCTTCGACCCTGCTCAATCTAAAAAACTGGATTGGTTCAAGAGCGAGGCCATCACGTTCCTGAGCCTGACAGGGTTCTCCTCGGATAATCTGCACCAACACAAGCTGTTCGACGAAGTCATGTCCGGTATTTTCGACCGCTTTCCCAACTTGAAATGCATCGACGTCTCAACGGAGGTGTTCCCCGACTCGGTACTTGCGAACTTCGTGGCGAGGGGTGCCAAGAAGATACACTACAGGCAGAAGAATTCAGTGGTAAGAGCAGACCTCAGGGAATGGGCCCGCAAACACCACGGGGCTGATATCATCGGCTCTGCCCCACCCAATTTGCCGTCAATGCACCCGGATCGGGGTGCGACGTACAATGGGTTCATTGACGACGCTATAGTCGTCCCCCCATTGTAACTGCGGACGAGAAATGGGTCGATGCGTTCGTTGTTGGTTCGGATAGGAGAGGGGAAGGGGGAAGGGATAGGGAAAGTTGTGAAATTTGGAACCTTGACGAAGGGGGTTGGGGAAGAATGAATGAATGAAACGGTAGTTATTTGCATTGGGGGAGATTACTCAAAGATACCCGGCTCTTTCTCTCATGGAGAGAGCTCTCGCAGGCATGGGAGTTTGGGAGTTTTTGATCTCAACTTGCCTACTACTTATGTAGGGGCCTAGGTTAGATGGCTACATACCTCTAGACTACTTACTTTAGGTAAGCTATACCACTTATTACAAGTGCTTTTGTTACATCATGGAATGGTGACTCTGGCCCCTCACTTGCTAGTTACTAGGTAGTCAGTCACTACCTGGGCTACTTGATTTTATATGCTTACTAGGTAGGTAGGTATGTACACAACAGACTAACGCATCATACCTACAACTTCAATGATGTTCAGTGATGGCCTATTTATTACTTATTACTTATTACTTATTACTTATTACTTATTACTTACTATGTACCTACCTGGGTGGCATGCCAATAATATTCATCATGGTAAGAGTAGTAGTTAATAGTATGTATGTACCTAGGTTAGGTAGCAGCAACAGCAGCAGCAGCAGAAGAAGATACATAGTATTGTTACCTAACGGCGGTATGTATGTATGTATGCATGTACCTCCCTCCCTCTATCCTCTCCTCCTATCCCTTTTTTATTTTATTTTATATATATATATATCTTTTCTAGATCTTCTATCCATTTCTTTTTTTTTTCTTTTTCTCTGCTTTCTTTGTGGCATTTTCATTCTTGATTTTCATTGTCATTTCATTTCATTTCATTTTTGTTATATCTATCATGACATGACATGTAGGGGTCGGTTGGTGATGATGATGAAATCATACCTACTGATAGAGTAGGTAGGTAGGTAGGTACATAATAATCAAAAAGCAAAGACGTAAAAAAGAAAAAGAAAGAAAAAAAACATCAGACGTAAAAAAAGGAGAAGTAAACGTAAAAAACATAAGAAACGTAAAGATCGTAATCTACATCGCAGGTATGTGCCTAGCTAGGTTAGGTACCTAGGTAAAGTGTCCAGGGATGGCTCATGTCTGGTCTGTCGTGGTTGAGGGTGTTGTAATGACGGTGGTGATAGCGGTAGCGATAGTGGTATGGTGGTGACGGTAGTGGTACTGCTTGGTATGCTAGCGGTAGTGGTGTGATGGTAGCGACGGTGGTAGTAGTAGCCGGTCCTTAGTATCCGGGCTGCTAAGCCGAAACATAAAAGAAAAAAAGTATAGCTCTGGTCTGCTGTGATAAAGAGGGGGAGCAGGAGGTATGTGTGTAGGCATGCATGTATAGGTATGCAGGTTCTGTTTGTAAAAACATCGTGTAGGTAAAATAAAAATAAAAAAGAATAAAAGAAAAGTTATGTTCATTGCATAGCATTTGTAACAAATCCGTTATCGTCATCATAACTTAGGTAGATTACCTAATAGGTAGGTAAGTAGTAAGTAGGTAGGTAGGTAGTAGGGTAAAGCGAGGCTAAAGTAGAGGTAGAAGCGTGTAAGGTAAAAAGGTAGATGGTGAAAGTGGTAAGTAGCTGTTTAGGCGTCCTCCCCTCCCCTTTTCCTCCCCATTCTCTTCTTGCCTTTCTGTTTGATTTTACCTATGTGTATAGGTATAGATAGGTAGGACAACAGAGAGTTAGGCAGGGAGGAATGTAGATAAACAGGGTGGAAGGGAACAGGTATCCAAGACGTGTAATAGTCTTGATAAAACAGACAGACAGATAATATCTCTCAATCCATCTTTCTCAAGAGCACCCCATCCAGACAACCAGACAACCAACTGAGCCAAACCAAACCAAACCACATCCCTTTCACTAACTCACTCCCTCCCTCACTTAGCCCACTCACTCAACTCATTCATCTCAATTCAACTCAGCTTCATATCATCAATTCATCATAACAAAAAAAAAAAAAAAAGGAACCAAAAACCCCTCCAACCCCATGATTATGCCCTTTCCTCCTTTAAGCCCCTTCTCTTCCGGGAAAGTAGTAGTAGTAACGTCGTTAAAGTTCATCATAATAACTCGTGGGTAGATAGATAAGATACCTCGGTGTGTGTGTCCATAAAACCATCCATACGCGCACGATCCCCTTTGGAGGGTACTGTTCTTTTTTCCGCATTTTTTTTTGTGGTAAAGTTGGGGTTTGTTTGTTAATTTCATTTCCATTCTCTCTTTCTCTTCTCTTCTCTTCTTTCTCTCGTTTCAAATATCCGTCTCAAGTTTTCCCTGGTGTTGGTACAACCCGATGACGCCGTAACTTTTGTTTTTCGTTATCCTGTTGTACACCTGTTGAACCTAGAGAGACAATATGGATAGGCGTAGTATACAGGTGTAATTTTTAAGGAAGATAGGTATGATAAGTAGGGAGGAAAGAAGGGTGTAGTTTGGTAGCTAGATAGGTGAGCATGGCCCAACTAACATGCCCCTGGTGTACTAGGAGCCCCTTGGATAAGCGTCTCGAGCTCCCAAGGGCTAAGCGTGCTTCTCCGACGGGAGGCCGCTTTGCTCGTGCGGCGTGTCGGGTCACGCTTACGCCTAGGCTTGCTGTTGACACTGCTATTGTCTTCAACATAGTTATCAGTGTACGACAACGCCTCACCTGCTTTCGGCGCTGCTATGTTATCGTACTGGCCATTTTCTTCTTCTATCTTGGCTATCTTTCGCCTGCTGTCCGAACGAGAAATAACCGGTGATGGCGCTAGCTCTTTGGCGGGCGTATCCCTATCTTTCTTGACTGGATCGACTGAGGTGTAGCTATTCCTCTCCCGTCTCGTTTGAACTCCTTGCGGAGAAGGGCTAGAAGGTACCGGGGCAGGCGCAGGGGCGCGCGATACAGCCGTCGCTGTGGCGGTTGGTGTTGTTTTCGTGCGCCTCTGTTGGCCGCTATTCCTTACGGCCCTGAGTTTGGCTCTTACACGTGCGGCATCCGCCTCACGTTCAGAAGCTTCTAGCTTAGCAGCAATGGTAGCCATCGTCAGAGGGCTTTGCGGAGGATTCATGCTATTAGGGCGGGGGAGACGCGACGAGGCGTTCGCAGTGACCACATTGATAGCCATCCCTTGTGTAGCAGTGCGGAGAGGGGAATGGGGACGTGATAATGACTGCTGCTGTTTCTGAACCGCGGAAGTCGGTGATTTCAAAGACGATGAGGACTTAGGTCGTGGCTGCGTTGCGGGGGACCCTTGGCGACTAGGAGTGGACGCACGTTGTTGCTGGTTTGGTTCCGATGCCGTACGTTTAATGTCGGATGCTGACGGATCGGGCGAGTCTCTTGACGTGGTCGGCCTCCTAGGCCCGTTGGGAGTTTGTTTGTTCGGGGTCCCTGGTTCCGGCTGTGACTTTGCGTGCACTTGTTGGCCTAGACTCGTGGGTTTAGAGAAGAGCTTGAGAGCAGGGTCTGATTGTGACGGTCTCTGTCCGGATTTGCCGAATAGCGGGCTATCATATGATGTGATCGAGCTGGGTCGAGATTGATCTTGGTTCCACGGCGGCGACCGTCTTACGGGCGATGTCTTCTGTTGTTGTCTAGGAGACTGAGGTTTGGATGCGTGGGGAGGCGGAACTGGCCCTCGTTCTTCCTCTTCTACCACTAGATCACAGGTCTTTTCTTCTATGATGGTCGTGAAATCCCCAGTGCGCTTACGGGTATATTCACGACCAAGGGAACCCCTATTTCCCGAGGAATATGAATCCTTGAGCGGGCTAAGCTGTGGAGGGAGCGGTAGAGGTGGTGAGTCCATCGACGTCGCATATGTGGATTCCTGAAGGACTTGAACATTGGGTTCCTCGGCGTCCAACTCGTCTATATCTATGTCGTCGTTGAACACGCTACTAGAATCCGATTCGGAATTCTCGTCTTCGTTTTCGGCGTCGTATCCAGGTGCCGAAACAAGGTTCAGCGACTCGACAGGACTCGGTGATCGCAGTCGTTGCAGTTCCTTTCGCTGGGACCGTTCCTGTTTCGCTTCTAGCCGGCTTTGGTTTTCGTATCGCTCATGCTCCTCCTCTTCTTCTTCTTGAACACAAGAAAGTCTCATCGGGACAACATCCGCGGTCTCCGCAACATCCCTGACCTTAACAGGGCTGAGAAGGAGACCCATGCGTAAGTCATCCATGTCGACAGACTTGCCGCTTGACACCATGCGATTGCGCCAGCCGTCGATCATGTGCACGGCATCCTTCCAGCGGGACTCCATGGTCTCGAGCCCAGCGCGAAGACGGCTGATGACTTCTTCACGCACCTCGACTTCCTCAATAGGGACGAAAGAGGGGTTAGTGAGTATCGTCCTAAGATGCTCCATAATCGTCTCTAGCTCAGTTGCGAGTTCCTCTGCGCTCTTTTGGGGCGCCCCGGTCATCCCATTCCCGGTTCCATTGCCATTCTCGTTGCTAGCATCAGTACGGTGACTGGCTCGAGCTCCGTTTACACTCTCCGCGCTGCGCTCTAGGCCGCTCATGTCCCTTAGACCATCAACTGTGTGTCGGACGAGTGCGAGTAGGCCCTCGTTCTCTTCACTTAGGCCTCTTGCGAGCTCAGTGAGAAACTCGTTAGTCTCAAGCCGTAAGCTGTACCCTTCGGATTCGGTGGCTCCAGCTGGTAGTCCACGGTCGTCGCCACCAATCTCGCCAGTGACACTGATGCTCACAACGTCCCGGCTCTTGTTGCCGCCTCTGACCCTGCTCGCATCGGAGACGGCCTTCTTGAGGCCATCAATTTGGCGATCGCGCTTGCGAACCTCAGTAGCGCAGGCGGCGCGTGTTTGGGCGATCAAGGTTTTCATCTTGGCAGCCTCATCCTTGAGGCGGTGTATATTTTGCTCGGCAGCCTTGAGCTGGGCGCGCAGGGCGCGTTCAGTGGCATCTGAACAATCGACCCTGCGTTCGGCATCCGCCAACTTTTCGTTTTGGCGGGCGAGTTCGGTGATGTGGCGCTGGGAGTCGGCGCGCAGAGTACGTAAGGTTGCGGATAAGGATTCGCGGTTCTCGGCATCGCGCTGTTTTGGAAGAAGATTAATGTTAGCTGATCCGCTTTATGATTTTCCGCCTCTTGTATCGTAGGCTTTTGTGGCATTTTACTCATGCCGACGATGATAATCGTGGCGATGTGCAATGGTAGAAGGAGAGCGGTGATGAAGAAACACGTACGTCTCGCCTTAGAATCAAGTCATTGATGACGCTCATCACCTTGCCCATTGTGGCTTGCAGCCCCTCGCCGGACTCCGGGTCGGCGAAGTCAATATTGTGGCCATCGCGTAGTAGGCCGCGCGACAACAATTGGTTGTTGATGTATAACGAAGCGGTACGGAGGTTGTCCGACATCTTTGCCTTTTTCCTTTGCCTCGTGGCCAGCTCCCCCTTTTACAATCTAAGCTTATTCAAGCAAAGCTTTGTAACCCCTTTCGTCAATGCCCACGGGAAAGGTAATATAGGATGGATGTATCAATTGTTGTCGGCGCTGCCCGCATTGGGCGGTGCGGGTTGCTGCAGCTTTATGTGCTTTGTGGATTTTTGTGTACCGTCAATTTCGTTGTGTCGTCTTCAACCTTTGCCTTTTTCTACTCAAGTGCAGATTTGATCTTTTTGCTTTTTAATATTCTTCTTCTTCTTTTGGCATTCCCCTTTACCACAATCGATGAATCCAGTACTTAATGCAAAGCACAAAAAAAAGTAATATGTAATGGTTCGTTGAATTTGAATAAAATGAAAAGCTGAAGCTATATGCAACTAGCAAGCTTAGCTTTCATTGAAAGGGTTGTTCCTTTTCTTCCAGGTTCCCTGTTGATTTTCTAGATACAGATACAGATAGATACCCGTCTAGGTATGTATTCTGCATGTTTTTTTTTCTCTTTCTTTTTTTTTTTTTTTTTTTAGCTTGGAATGTTTTATTCATCTGGTTGCTATGCGGGGTGGTAAGTTCCCAAAAGTAAACAAACCTTAATGCTACCCACCTACCTCAAAATGTCACCTACCTACATTAACTTTGAACGATTGAACGATTTTGAACCCCCAAGCCCCCCAAACTAAACCTAAGTCATCAGTTGAATCACACAGTACTTTGTACTAACTCCCATTATCAGGTACGTACCCGCTCGTACCCGCATGTACCGGCCCCATATTGACAGGGATCGTCACATTGGTAGCAAGTCAAAGACTCAATTGCCGCCCCACATTCCCCTAATCCTACTCACGTGGAAGCTTTTTATTGAATCCCGCTCTTGACCCTCTTGACCGCATGCATATGTAACTGTCGGTGTGATATTGGATTTCTGATACTTTTATCTATGTGCTATGTACTCAAGTTCGCAGAAATCCTATTATCCAGCCCGATACCGCCCCATCGACACCAAGTACCTACATACCTAGTACCTAGTAGCCTTGAAGGAATACTAGATACATACCTATGGTACTAAGCGGCAAGCCTCCAGGCTACATTACTACCACTACCACTACCACTCACTACAAGTCCCATACCGTGTCTACTGAGAATACTTGACAGTGACGTAAGGGGCCGTCCTCGTATGCCGCTACCGTTGACCCTCCAACGAGACTCGTAAAAAGGATAAAAAGGAGGAAAAGGCACCGCCCATCGAATTCCTGGATATAACCTAGCTAGGTTAGAACCTAACCTACTTAAGTAGGTATAGATAGATGGAATCATCCGAGCGAACCAAAGCTCCCAAGGTCTGCCTACGCCGGTTCGCATATCCGAAACGAAACCCTAGCGATCACATTTCCCGCCTGCTCATCAACCTGCAGCTCTTCATATACTGCTATTTCTCCTGTTTCAACTGGTACATCTTACCAGTCTCCTACACCCCTGTGTTAATCTCATCTAGTTGTCCGCCTATTGGGAATCCCCCCCTTTTTAGTCTAAAGAGAAATCGTCATTTTGTGCCTAGGTAGGTTCTGTACGTAATCTTTTAACGCCATGCGGTTGCAATTATGTTCCTGTCTCGTCTATCAAACGTTCTTCTTTCGACCTAGGATATTTGTGCATCGTCCGGTGTTTCGATGCCACCGCGAATGCGCCGATGTGCTTCCACCTTCTCTGCATCTGTCACGTCCTTCTCATCCTTGCGCATGTCCGGTGCAAATTGTGGCACTTGCGGTGAATGTCCAATGGACATGCCTGCTCGAATCTATGAACATGTTAGTTCTCCACCAGGATCTATACGGGGGTGGGGAAGCCATCATACCAGGGTCTCCACCGCATTGGTTGAGTTGGCGACGAGGTCGGCGTCGTATACCATCTTGCCAGGTTCGAATAAAGTGAGGATGGTGCTGCCACCAAACTTGAAATATCCAAGCTCTTCCGCTCGTTTGACATTGTCACCTTCGTTTCGTGTGATAACCGTGCTTCCGACCATCATGGCACCAACGCAAATCACCATAACACGACCGAAAAGTTCGGTGTCGATAGGACAAATGACACGGACATTTTCGCCATACACATCTAGCGCCGATCGGATGGCCATCGGGTTGACAGTATAGTACTCACCAGCAATGAGTTTAGGTTTGCGCAGAATACCGTCCACAGGAATGTGAAATCGATGGTAATCCTGGGGGGCCAACCGAAAGATTCCAAGCGCGCCATTGTCGTAGCGTTTAGCGTCTTCCGGATATGCGTCACCAAGTAATCGCTCAATCGAAAATTCGCGCCCCTTGACCCAAACATTGGTTGCCAGATCAATAGTATTGAACACGACAGACCTGCAGTCGGCAGGGGATACGATGAAGTGAGGGTCGTCGGGTGCCGAACAAGGCCGAGCATCCGGCTTGAGCGCACGGTAAAAGAACTCGTTGAAGTTTTTGAATTCCTCAACGGGCAGAAGAACCTCGGACATGTCTAACTGATGGAATTCGATAAAAGGTAGGATCTGAGACTTTGAAGCGGGGTCGTCGTACTTCTTGCCCTGCTTGATGCTTAGACTCTTAAGAAGCTTGCGAACTAGAAGGGTTTTCGTCGTTAGTTTTAACTCCCAATTACTGGCATCGAATCAATACTCACTTTTCTTGTTCTCCATATCCTTCGACTTCAAGCCCTTGTATAGTAGTCGAATTCCTAGCCGTACGTAGACACTCATCTTCTCCTCATTGATTTGCCCAGTAAGTCGATCCTGCACCAGGATGTTGGCTGAATTGGCACCAAGTTTGTAGCCACCGTATGAGATCTTCGTGATGACTTTGGAGTACCATTTTCGTTGAGCCTGACTAGCTGTCACGAATCCACTCATCATGAGGGAATTGACCTGGCGCCAGTCTTGGCTGGCACATGTAGCAATATGTGTGATAATGTCGGCGTCTTTGCGCTTGTTCAGCCGAGGCTGATGGCAGATTGGGCACTCTCGGATCTCGACGACGTGTTCTTCGCCTCGATCGATGTTTAGGTCATCCTTGTCTAATGCTTCACCTTCCTCTCCAGGCGTGCTGAGTTCAGGGACAACGATAGTCGAAGTCCCTGATTGCGCCCCCTGTATGTTGGAGTCCTCTGCGCTGAGAGTGAAAGCCCCTTCTTCTGTCGGCGTGACGTTACTGTAGACGCTACTGCTTCGACTTGTAAGATTTAGCGCATTTTTTACCTTATCTGTGTCCGGGAGCATGCTCTTCAGCTTGTCGGTCACTGGCGCCAGTCTACTCTTGGCATCTAATTGGTCTTCTAAACAAATCACGGCTTCGTCCATTGTGAGTTCGTGTTCGCCATTCGTTGCCTTATGTGGGAATCTTTGGAAGAAACTGTCGATTGTGGACTCGCGAAGGGTTGAGCCCAGGGTGTCGAGCATAGTAGTGAGCTCGACTTTACTGATCTCGCCGCTTTCATCGGTGTCGTACTGTCGCAACATGGCTCGCCAGAATTGTTGCCTCAGGGCAGGATATGGCACATATTTGGCGCGAATAGTCAACATCGGACTATGCTTGGCCTCCCACTTTTCCAAGTTCTTCATCTTTAGAGGAATCGCAAAGACATTGAAATCAGGATCATCGAACTCATTGCCCTCGCCATTGCTGTTGCCAGTGCCATTTCCATTTCCATTTGCGCTGTTCAGGTTTGGCAATTGGTCAGCTTGTAGTAGCGTAGGGTTAGGAGCAGATGTGGGAATGGAGCTGGGATCACTCTGTCCGTCGACGACCTGTGGCGTGTTTGAACCCGTGCTAGAATTCTTGGACAATGGCGGCCGACCCGTTTTCAAGCTGTGCGTTGAAGATGTTCTTGATATTCCTAATCTTGCTAGCCGTGACTGTGATTTCTGTATCGGCACGTACTCAGCGGGCTCCTTCAACTCATAAAGTCCCGTCTCAGGATTGGCCTTGGGACTCTTCTCGATAAGCTCCTGGAGAGGAAAGGAAGTTGAGGCGATGAAATCATTTCCAGAGTACTTATCACGGTCGATGACAGTGAAAGCAAAAGAATATGATTGCTCATGACTTAGAACGTGGAAGAGCATCTTCTCGTTGAACACTGGGTTCAGGTTATGGCGAACAACCCTTGTGCGGTACGTCTTTTTACCCAGTGATGCTACGACGAAAGGATCCATATCAAAACTGGTCTTCGTGAAATTGGATTCAGGCGGTAGATCAGTAATGTTGCAGATTTCGAGGAATATTAGGCCGACTACGTCACTGCCACCATTAGTAAATTCGTATGGATCTTGTCTCTTCTTGCGCTTGAGGCCTTTGACTCTGAGCCTCCTCTTCCGCTTTTCGATAGCCTCGGGCTTGGTCGGATCTTCATCTTCAGGAGTCTCATCGTCGTCAAGCATTTCGTCATCGTCCTCATCATCTTGGGACCCATCTGTAGTGTTCCGGCTCAGCTGGGGAGACGGGCTTGGACTGGATTTTGATGACGTTGGGCCAAGCATGGGAGTGGCAGTTGGCGTGGGATTCCGCGATGCATTTTCGGGTAGTGCAGTGGCAAGTGAGCGCAGCTTCTCTAGGATCTGGGCGTCTGTCGCATCTTTGTTGGTTGAATCAAACAAAGTGCATTGGAGTTGAACCTCGCCAGACACAAAGTTCGACTTTCTGCCTCGTTTCTTGCTCTTTAGTGGATACCAGGTTGCACTTTGCTCAGTTTTTTGGTTGGAGAAGATCTCCTCAAGGGCCAGATCGAACTCGCCGAGGTAATCTTTGCCGAAGCGATCCTTGTCCCAACAAACGCATTCGAGGAGTAGGTTATCCACACCAGTGATGGGTACAGAGCAAACAACATTCCAATCCGGATTCAGTGTCTTCGGGACATGATGAGTCAAGAATTTGGTTTCGCCGCAGGTCAGTTGTAGGTACTACAATAATTGTATATTAGAACGGTCTTCGTTTGATTGATATTTGTTTTGGAGTAAATCAAAGGGCTTGACTTACAGGATCAGACGTGCCTCCACGATCTTTCGCAGCTAGATTTCTGGCCTACGTTGAGAGATTGGTTAGCACCAGAAGCCAAGACTTATCATCTGGCTGACCCCGAAAGTCGATTGACTGCGCTCACCTTCAATACAACAATTTTCAAAACCAACCCGGTCTCCTTTCGCCCCTCCGGGTTGCTCGTCTCAGGCTTCAATGACATAGGGCTGGTGCTCCGGCTGTTGGCGTTGGAATTGTGGGTGGAATTGCTACTGTAGGGTTTTAATCGTTGAGGTACCCTAGGTATGATGCGAACCATGGTGGAGGGCGGCGCTCGGGATAAATATAAACAAGGAGCGATTTATTCAGGGAATCAGAAGGGGCAAAGACGGGTGTGACGTTAGCTGCGTTGGACCGTCTTGGAACCGTCCTGGGGATCGTCTTGGAAACTTCTTGGTAAAGATGGTTTGGACCCCCCCCTTTCTAGTCCGTCATGCACTTGTTGCTTGTTGCTTCCAGGTTGTCACTTGTTACTTGTTACTACCTTAGGTAGGTAGTAGACTTGTTACTGGTCGGTCGGATTTAAGCGCTAAATGCTGATATGATGTCAAAGGGGGCCTAGGTCGATTCGAATCAGGGTTAGTTAGGCGTATAAACACATATACGACCGAACACTAACGTTAATGCGTGGCGCCGTAGAAAGAAGTGAAAGTGAATATGTAAGTTTCCCTTTTTATATAGGTGACCTACCGAGTAGTAGACCGTTTGGGAATAAACAGGATTAATAGGATTAACAGAAACAAAGGTGTTAGTCTAGAAGAACATTGAAGTCTTGATTATTATGTAGGTATGTAGGTAAATAATGGCAAATGGAATAAATAATGGGAGTAGTAGAAGTTTGTAGGTGTTAAAGCTATTATACGAAAAGGGAAAAAAGGAAAGAGAGCTGAACTACCAAGATTTTCTCTTTTGGAGGGGCAGGCAAGTCAGCTATCCAATCACATCGATTCATAACATAGTATCTGCTATGTACCTAGTAATAATGTATATTATGTACCCTAGGTTTGGTACTTTAACTCTCTCTACCTAGGGTACATAGTTAATAGGTAAGGTTCAATTAATGCTGCTGGGTGATCCTTGATGGCTGCCGCTGGGAAGTAACCCCGCCTCCACCACGCTGGAACAATGCGCTGAGATTGCCAGATCATTGCCATTAACTACCTAGGTATGTACCCAGCACCTCCCTACATAATGCATAATGTATGCACAGATGTAAGTATAATGTAGGTACCTAATGTATATCAATCTGGAATATTCTGTTTCAATGTTTCTTCAACGTGTTAATAAGCTTGAAGTTAAATGATATCCCTGACTCGCTATTTTATTACGATCTTTAGTGCAGAAAAGGGGCATTAATATTCTTTAACATGAAAAAGTGAACCATGAGGGGCATCCACGCGTTCGAACCCTCACTACCTACACACTAATATGTACATGTAGGTACTGATATGTACGCAATCCCCACACGCATGATGGAATCTAGACCCTGGAGCTTCAGATGTTCTTCTGTAGCCGCTAGCTACAGCCTACAGTACCCTACCTACCTACCTAAGTAGTACTATTACTACCGTCTACGTAGTATGTAATGTACAAGTAGTTACGTACTACTAGCAGTAGGTACTCAAGGCCAAGGGGTTCTAGGTCTATCACCAGCACTAATATCCTGATTCTAACAAAGTAATAGTTTATAATAAGGATGTCCGCCGATAGTAACATCGATGAGATTACCTAGAATTTGGAATACATACCTACTTATGGATGTGGGATGTACACCATGCATTACATCCTACATACATATACACATAACTACCACTGGATATGCGTACGCGCATAGCTGCAAGCCGAGGATCGATCATCGATGATCTCGCGTTCCAGCAGATCAATTTTAACAGGTTAATAAGAGCGCAAGTAAGCAGATGTTTCAGTAAAGCATTGCGGTCTACCTACCTACCTCTTCCTCCGTTATCGACAAGGACACCCGCTCATCTTTCATGCCATGAATCGAGCCCCTTAGAGAAGAGCTAGGCACCTTTATAAACACAAATAGAAACACAAACAGAAAATCACTTCGAAGCGTCCGCTTGAAAGGCCAGAAAGTGCCGTGTCTGCCGCAAAAGGATGCAAATAGTTGCCGAGATTGCCAGTTCCGCTTCCTTCCTTCCTGGCGTTCGTTTACTCTACCTATTATCTCGCATCTTATAACAAGAGAGCATACATACATGCCTGCCTAGGCATGTACCTACATATAGTGTAGAAAGAAGCAGGACGATCCGAAAGCCGATTACCCGCATAGTTGTCATCATAAGGCCCCACGAAGCGCATATCACACTATGTATACCATCCATCGTCTGATGTTTCAGCCCTCTCGTCTCGAGTCTTGTCCTTCTTACCTACATACATAGTATTTTCCATCTACTAAACCTACACTATCCATGTAGTCCGTATCCGTATCCGATGCTCCCCAGTCCCAACACATAATATGTACACAGAATACCTACATAATGGGCTGATCTCGCCTTTACTTTAAAGAAAACGAAAATGTCGGAGACCGCGGGTAGGGCGGGCATTGCAATCCCAACACCTCCCATTGGCTCGATCTTGTACATTCGGGCTATGTACGGCTCAGTCATCTATGACACTATGTACCATAAGTGTCCTATGGACGTATTACAAGTTGTACGTATTAATCGAGGTGCATACTGTACATTCGAATAGACCGAGTGGATGTAAATTGTAGTTGTGCAAACATCTAATTCTCGAAGCACCTGACTAGCGCAGGTATAGGAGAAGCATGTGATAGGTAGATTTTAAATTGATTCTCTCTATTATGTATATTCTCGAGCAAAATCCATGTAGTTTATGAAGCAACACCGTCTCCGTGCCTATCTAATGATGGCATTACTTACTCTAGGCCCATTCCCCGTGGCCTCTTTTAACTATATACCACCATCTTGATCTTGTAGGTAGGTAGATAATCCAACAAAGAATCCCAAAACGCCACCGTTGATCCTCGTACTATCAGTAGTGTATCGCTGTATAATATAATGCTCCCAGATCAATACCCCCCCCTTTCCCCCCCCGTAACACCCTGATATGCTAAAGAGAAGAAACCACAAGGTCGAAGTAGAAGAGATAGAAAAAAAAAAGCCCGTTCAGCTTAAGCAGCGCCAGTAAGCGAAGTCTGCTGCATGGCCGCCGCCGCCGCCGCATTCTCGTGGACCTCGGAGAACGCCTCGGGCCAGAGGAACATCTTCTCCTCCTTCGTCGGCGACATGAGCACGAACCTGGGCACGACATTCTTGCTGCTCATGCGCCTCCACATGTTCGCGCGCGGGTTGAAGCCCGCCGGCATCCCCTTGCCGCCCGTCTTCTGCGCGTCCTCCCGCCGGATCCTCTCGATCTCGCGCTGGATGTCCGCGAACGTGTCGAAGGGTATGTACTTGATGGCGTGCTCGACGCAGTACTCCTCGAGCCTGAGGCCCCGGCGCGCGAACAGGACGTCGGCCTCGCGCGCGGCGGGCAGGTCGGAGACGCCGTCGCCGATGAAGACGACGAGCGGGATCGTGCCGTCCTCGCACACCAGCTCGGCCTCCCGCCGCGCCTCCGTGATCGACAGCGCCTTGTCGTGGCCCAGCTCCGTGTCGTGGCGCCAGATCGGCTTCCACGTCGACCCGTCCGCCGAGATCTGCGCCTCGTTCGCCACGATCTCGATGTGCGACGACGCCTCCTCGCCCAGGAACGTGTCCAGCACTCGCCGCAGCACGGGCTTGAGGCCCGCCGAGATCACGTTGAAGGGGATCTCGTTCGCGATGCAGAACTGGTGGAACTGCTGGAAGGCCGGGTCGATCTCCAGCGTCTTCTCCATCATCCGGAAGCCGTCCTCGAAGGGCACGTTGAGCGACCCCCACATTTCCTCTGACACGTCCCGGAACGAGCGCTCGCCCGTCTTGATCTGCTCGTCCAGGACCTCGCGCCGCTCGGAGCCGCACCCGTGGTTGTCGAAGAGGACGTGCCCGGTGTCTTGCATGAAGATTGTGCCGTCGAAGTCTAGACGGTGTTAGTGTATGGCCTTGCGAAGTTTATCATGGGAAACCCATGTTAGGCGTGTGGTGCAACATACCGGAGAAGCAAACAATTTTCCTCTTGTTTTCGGGTTGGCTAGTGCCATCTCCGAGATTCTTGATCTCGGGGACGGGTTGTTGAATAGCGCCAGGCATGTTGAATAGTTGCTATATGTCTATATGTAGGGATTTAAGACGGTCCAGGAAAGTTGAGTTGAGGGTATAATAAGTTGGTAGTGGCGATAGAAAAATTTAATGGTGTGAAGTGAAAAAAAAGGAGCCATCGTGAAGTATGGCGGGATAGGGAACTTATATAAGTGCCAGTTCACCGTGAAACGCCAAAAATTGGGCACTTGGACTTAACCCTCCGCAATGACGATACCATCGTAACCAACGAAGATTTTTGTCATACATACATACATAACTACTACCCTACCCAGGTACTGAAAAGCAGGAGCGGATTCTAGTCCTGCGATTTTGTACAGGGGGGCTGCACATAAACCCCATCTTTGAAAGCGCGCGCAGGTTCAGTCCGGCAGCAAGAAGAAAGATAAAAGCCACCGATGCAAGTTGGCATAGTCTAAGTAAAAGGCTAGATCCCAACCCGTTCAAGACGCCACCAGGCCCACCCTAAGCACATTCCGGAATCCGACCTAACCTTTGACAGTCATAGGCCCAGGGGCTTACAGCGAAAATCCCTTCCCCCTAGAACGGCCTTGGGCTTTGCTGGGCGAAAGGCCTTCGGATACGGCCTGGCCAGCTAAAGCTTTTCGGCCCTGTATACACGGTCCTTTGCTCCCATCCCTTCTTCGTTCCGGATCAGCGCTCAACGCATATCTCCCGCAGTCTAGAATTCCGATGGAAACGGGTGGCAAAGCCCATCAGTATAAGATCTTCACTTAAATTCGATGTCCTCCCCATCGATATTTGTCAAAAGCCCCTATCTATCGAATGCACTATGTTACATACCTAGATACTAGACTGTTAGGCTGCTAGGCAGGTAGGCAGGCAGGAAGATGGACTTGAAGACCATTGCAAGGTCTGCTTAGAGCTGGTATCCATGAATTCATTCCTTCCGGACACTACCCAGTTTAATTGTATATGCAGCGCTAGGTTGCAACCTTGACGATGGCTTCTATTTGCCAGGTCACATAATATCGATCTTAACTCGGTTTCTCGGGGCATGTGTAATCAATGGTAGGTTCTGGGTTGATTGTTGGAAAAATAGGCCCGAGTGACGGAGTGATGTCATAGACCACTTTCCATTGTGAATCCCACGATAAATCGACTGCCGCTCTAACTGGATAATAGCTTGGGAATGATGTGTGCAACCGACTAGCGGGGCGGTGATAACGGAAACCTATGGAAACCATTGTGCCGGAAAGAGGTTAGTTGGAAGCGCGATGAGATCGTCAGAGGCTCTTAGGTCGATGTAACATGGGCTTATAAGCGGTGAAAAGTACTGAATAAAGAACGGGATCGAGATATAAGGAGGGGCTCAGCACATGCATACGATCACGAGAATGAGGGGCATTGTTGTCTAAGTCTAAGTCTGGCTGGTCTGGTCAGAGACATCTGGCTTCGAATCCACTTCGTACTTTGTAATTCGTAAATTTCTTCAATACTAGCGTCCATTGTTCGTTCTATTGTAGTTTAGCAGTCAGCCTACTAACGCCTGTACATGACTGCAAAGGGCCAAAGGCATCTGAGATACATTAGGCCGGTAGGTAGGTAGGCTACGGTTCCACTCACCCTTATAGTTCTTATCTGTTGCATCGAATGCATGTGGTCTGTTATGTGACAATATCCTCGCTATCAAGCCATTATAGAATCCTGCCATCTGGGCAGTCTTTATCACGTTTCCGCATGTTATACTCCAGAGGCGTCATTGTGCATTTGAACAATGTCTCATACTCCTGGAGATCCCAAGTCTATAGATATGATGTCAGACAAAATTGAGTGTGTATTTGATTTCCAATATCTCGGCGTCCCGTTCTTTGCAACAGCCCCACGTGTTAAAAGCGGGTGCAACTGGTTGCGCAACCATCAGTAACGGTGGACTCAACAAAAGTATTAGGGTCAGGTTGCGGGTCTTCATAGCTCTCAGGGCTGTAAATAATGTCATAGATTTAGTAAGGTGTTGCCTCCATCATACTAACCCCTGAGTATCAACTGAAGTGGACCGTTAGATTCAGGCACCGTTGTTGGGGTAAGATATTCGTCTTGTTCATGAGTTATCGTAAAAGCAGTGTTCCGCCTCGACTGCTTTATTTTTATCCCTCGTTCCTCGAAGTCTACAAGTAAACCAACCGCAACCACCAGGCTCCTGTTTTATTGTCCCATTCTGCTCCACGCTTACGCCGATAATTTGGCGCTGTATTTTGCTGCAGCCTTGTCAAACAATTCGCTCTTCTCCGCTAGGTCTACTAAGAAGGTGTGTTGAGGCGAAGCCTTCTTTAGGGAACTGTATTCCAGTTGATTAGCATTTACGAAGCATCACAGCCCTTATTTTTCGGGCATCACGTACCTCGTCAATTCGATGGGGTCATTGCCAGTTATGACTGTTAGGACTAGTAGATTGGCAATAGCTGCGGCGTAATTAGGCTCCTTCTGAATTGCTTGCTCGAGAGCACCTTGCGCTTCTTCCACACGGCCTAGATGTAGCTCGCATATTGCTTGGGAGACAAGGGTGGTGATTGACGATGTCGAAGGAGCCTGCGCAAGTTCTTCAAATACATAAAATGCCTGCTGGTATTTGTCCCCGCCCTAAATAGAAGTTCGCGCATTAGCCACGCCCGTTAAGTTTGCAAATCGATTGTAATCCATACTATTCGTAGGCCAACCCATGACTCTGCCAAGTTGACAAGTAGGCTATCTTGTGCCCAACGTCGTGCCGCCGTGATTTCTTTAAGGGCTAGATCGGTGCGATTTTGTTCGAGATGGATCTGTGTGATTAGAGCAATGGCATCAACTAGATCACCACATTAGTACGTATATTTATATATATATATATATAGGCACCCATCTAGGTAGCTGGGAGAACCATCGATGCTTGGGAGGTAGACATACGACTACCGGTGTGTTGCGACAAGAGCGCGAGTGCCTCCTCTGACTTGCCGGCAGCCTGCAAAACCGTGCCTCCAATGACCTGAACGGACTGGTTATCAGCTGCTGACGAAGCTAACTCCTCAATGGTCTCGACGGCGGCATCTGTCTTGCCAAGAGCAAGTTCTGCCAACGCACCGACCGCAGCCAACTCAGGTCCTGACTCTCCCTGCACATCTGCGAGGACATCTTCTGCTTGTCCTAAGGCAATTCGAGCTCGGAGGATGAGAATTCGGGTAGGTAGCGCATTCTCGGCTGAAAAGGCAGAGGTGTCGAAGTCGATTACTTCTTGATATTGACCTTGGTGGAAGTGGTTATGGATGTTGATCAACTCGCCTTCAGCTGAATAAGGGTCCATATTCGCTGATTTATGTGCTGTATTTTCTCGAAATCGGTCGGGATATACTTTGATAGTTATATGGCGTATGTGGATAGGTGGGCAGTTGGTAAGGTTGAATTACAGTAATAGGTAGCGACTACAATTTACAATTTACGGACAACTTTAATGTTTAAGATTCAATGTTCAAGATTCATCAATGTGCCAAGTGTATTTGTTAGGTACTTGGGTACTGAGCAAATCAGCCAGCTGGCAATTCAATTGAGTTTAAGTGACGTTGAAGCTAAGCATATGGCCTGTGCGTTGACCCCTGTACTATCTACATCTACACTACCTAGTAGTAGTGTCATCTGCCGAAGCTATTCCGGAACTTGTGCCATACCATGCACCATCAATGGCCATGATGCCTCTCTCCTCTTCATCAGACAACGAGTTCGAGCTACATACATATACATAATGTAGTCATTTCCATACCTCGTACATATGCACTTCATTGTTCAAAGTCGTTGTATCGTAAAGGACTCCTAACACTTCGTACATCATCAGCTTGCTAATCGAACATGGTCCTCCTAATTCATTGCATCTCGTTCGGGTCGTTTATCATTCATGTAATGCTTGAGCATAGTTTGCCTCTCACATAACTGCTCGGGCGTGGTTGGTATTGATCTATTCCTTTTTAGTGGCGAGTTCGATCAACTTTTCTGCGTTTGAATCGAGAATGTCGATGTAGTGGATGAACGTGCCAATTTTTTGGCTCACATCTCCCATAACATCCGCCATTCTGTCGGCATCGTCTGCTACCCCACTGAGCATTTCAATCATTGCTTTAAAACGTGCTCCCTCATCAGATGCGGCCTGGTTGCTAGCCGAACTGTCGGCTGCAGTGGCTTCCTTCTCAGCTTTGTCGGAAGCAGCACTGAGCTTCGGTGAGCGTACTTGCTTATCCTGTCCCAAAGCTAGACCTTCAAAGCCCTGTATAGTGGGCTGAATTCCCTGAAGAAGCTTGGGCTCTGGGCGAGGGTTGTTGGGTACTGTGGTTCGAGGTTGCTGGGCAGCTAGTCCTTCGTATTCCTGAATAGTCAACTTAACATCATTAATGCCTTTGGGCTGTCGATTAGCTTCTTGGACGCGACGAGATATGACGCGGCGACTCTGAAGACCGACGGATCCTTTACCTTGGGGCGTTGAGAAGAGGCTGCCATAGCCATATTCCTCCTGCTCAGAGTCGAGGGAGTCACCACGCAGACCTGCGTGGCCCTTTGCGGCTAGCGGAGAGTCTTGTGTGAGATCTACGCGATCTGTGCCATGGCGCTTTCGGAGTTGCGGAATAGTACTGGAGACGGTACTGGAACTGGCCGAAGATAAACTCTTCTTTGCTCGTGACCTTCTGTGGTCACTGTCCTCTGGAGGGGAGCCGGTTAAGGCATGAAGCGCATTAAGCCGAGCTTTGAGAGCAGTGGCTGTTTCGTAACCCTTGACAAGGAGCAAGGAATCTTCAGTGGAGGCTCTGGATGACTGCTGAGGGGGTGACGCCAGAGGCGTCTTCGGGAGAGGCTTGTCTGCGACTGATCCCTCGTACTTTTTGATGTGTAGCGGGCTGCTCTTCTCATGATGCTTGGACATCTCATTGGTATGGAATCGCGAAATTTTATTTTGCTCCCGAGCTTCTCTTAATTCTTGTATTCGATTTTGGAAATCCTTCTTTCTATCATAGTCGTCATTGAATAGACTATGGGGAGTAGATGCCTTTAGCCGAGAAGGAGCACGCCGCAATGGTTTCGGGTTTGTCCAATCATCTGATTCCGGCGAGTGTTCGTAGAATAAGTCGCTCGCACTCTCTTTTTGGGCTTGGGCTTCGGCGTAGGCCTTGCTCCCGGCGGCAAGGGCGGCATCGATCTCCGAACGTCGCATTGCTTGAAGTGGGCGGGCGTTGTGACCTACTTCAAGATTGTTCTTCGGACGATTGCGCGCACGCTCCTCCATGCGAATCGCTCGTTCCACTCGATAACGTCTCGTTTCCTCTTCGTAGCGCATACGATCTTCCTCGCGACGCTCCTCTTCGCGTCGCTTCAACTCAGCATTCTCTGCGATTAGCTGGTTTATCAGCTCCCAGCTTGGTGCAGGCTCGCTCGATTCGCCTTGCTCTTCTGAATCATGATAGACTGTTCTCAGATCGTCAGACTCGGATGGTTCGTCCTTGGTGTTGCTTTGGCTGGTGAGCCCTAATTGCTCGTCCTCAAAAGTGACGACTCGTGAAGGAGGATGATCGGCAACATTGATGGCACTTGACTGGCGAGCTTCACTGTCGTTTAAATTGAGAGGCTCCGGATAAAGGGGCTCTTCGCTGATGTCGCTCATCTCACTTGGGGTTGGCTTCTTATCGGCAGTTGAGCCAGCGCCGAATAGGTTCTTGATCTTGGTAGACACCTTGGTGGACATCTTTGACATTGCGCTCGGCTCCTGATACCACGGCGGGAGTTCGTCCGTTGCGAACGGCTCCTTTCCCTTACTTTCCTCTTGCTCCTCGCCGGTCGGGATGGTGCCGGCGAGGAAAGGGTTCTTTTTCATTCGATACGACATTTTTTGATTGAAGTTGTTCGTTCGAATTGAATATTGGGCATGAGAGGACTCTAGAGCTTTGGCTACCTCACAGGCGGGAATATATTTTTCGAGGCTGAATTGTCCTTCGTTGATACTTGAAGAGAATGACAATTCCGACATATAAATCGCCTTCCTAAGGCTGTTGATTGGGTGCCCGGTTCTGAATGATTGAACAGGACAGACGATGAAGTGATTTTTATAGAGGGGGGAGGGAATGGTGGGAGGGGTGTGGGTAAGGGAATGATGGCAGGTGTGTGGGTAAGGAAGGAAGGTGAATGGGAGAAGGTAAGTATGGGCAACTGAAGATGAAATGAAAAGTTGTGGGTGGTCGAACTAAATCAATTAGTACCCTCAGATCAGAAGAAAACTTGAAGGACTGGATATATGAATTCGCAATTAACAGGGCAGAGTCTGGTGGTTGGTATAAGAGGATGCCGAGAGGCTGTTGAGAAGGTGCCGAGTCGACGATGAATCGATGATCGTCGCTGAGGAAGGTGGGACAACTCACCGAAGGCGCGGCTTGGTCGTAAACAATCACGATGGCCGTATTCAGGACAGAGGTGAACATATTCACGAAAGGAGCAGACAATATCCATTGTGAAAGGTGGGTGATCAAGAAGTACCCCTTTCCTAGGAGCCCCTTTCTAGATGGAACACTGAGACTGTGCGTTTCTAGGCACATTTACTACACAGGGCAAGTTGAGAAGGTTAGCGTGCTTTATCAGAGGTAGGTTCTACAGATTATATGCCTTGGGCTTGTTGAGGACTGGTTATGAGGCCTATTGCGTGGTTATTTACATATACACAGTATGTGATGGGTATTCATGATGAATTGTCATAAGGAGACAGACATACAAGAGACTACATCTTACAAGGCATATAGGTACACAAGAATGTGTGAAGACTCGACTACCTACTGGTCTTTGGACTTCCCATTACATGTCTAGGTAAAGTACATGAGCTATAGATATAGATGCTAGCTATGCTATTTTTATTACTATCGCAAGTCTCATTGTGCCCTACTCTCCTACATAAGGAGGTAAGTATTCTTAGGAGATGGATGACCTTGGTGGTTTATATTGACCCGTCAGATGATCCTGATTGGATATTCATACAATAGGGACCATTATATAAGTATGTGGTAGCCATACCATACACCTGCCTACCTGCTTACCTTGGTAGTTTCGAGAATGAGAGTATAAAAGGCCAATCTCCTGGGCAACATTCAAGATCTACTATGCATCCACACCATCATCTCGTCGAATTGAAGTCAAAGTATTGTATATGTAGAACACGGCAGGTCTGCTGCATTTCGTAGATTTCTATCGCCCAATGTAATAGCCTTGTAAGCATTACATAGTACCTTACCACACTGCCATATACTATGTAGTATGTACCATGTAGGTCAATGTTGACTGACCTCCTTACAAATTGTTACGTACCTGCTGGAGCAATTGGTGGTCCGAATCGAACATGGATTGAACGGGTTAAGGAGATTGAAACCGGGATAGTACGGGATAGGGAAATAATTTTAGGTACTTCCATTTGGTGGAGAAAGCTTAAGCGATACATTTCGCTCAGCTAAGTTCACTAACCCGATATATGGCGTCATACTACCTCCATACCTGGGTTAGTAATACTAGATATTCAACGTACTAAACACTCTTAACGCGCCGTCACCATAGAACCTTAGAAGCTGCCTGATTAAACCATTTCAACTAACTTAGAATCATACCATCCAAATGGCACTGCATGCCGCTACATTTATTGCATTGCTATTTAGTAGTATTTGAGGCACAACGATAACGACGATAACAACATTCAGCGGTACGGGTTAGCATTGAACCAGACCTCTCCTAAAATAGCAAGTACCTAACTAGTACTAAGTACTGGAAGAAACCTTGAATTCATCAATGCAACCGAGACATACCTACATGTCAACAGTGCATGTAATTCACCATCTCCAGTATGCCGAGTAGTCAACGTGCCACAAGCCCCCCTAGACGGAAGCGGGCATGCGCGCCGTGCACCAAAGCCAAGGCGCGTTGCTATTTTGAAGGTGATAAGGCTGATGATGGTTGCGAGAGGTTAGAATATGCCCTCCTGTTTAAGTACCTAGGTACCTGCCTATTTATACTTGACGTATATAGATAGATCGTGTATTGAATGAAGATGCTGATCCATTTAGATGTCGGCGGATGAATACCGCTTGTATTCCACAGGCAACTAGGATACTGAGGAAATCCCGACAATTAAAGGGTGTAAGGTACGCTGATTATCAGTCTATCCCAAATCTACCTGACCTAGTACATACCTAACCATATTTTTTATGCTCGACATGTAGACTAAAGCAGTCATGTAGCTCAGCACCTCCCTCGACTTCTAGCCACAATGGCCACCATCCTTCGCCAGTCCTTGGTAGATATGGGCATGTTCTGCCAGGGACTAGTCCTTTTGGCGGAGTTGAGAACCACACCTCTAGTGATAGCACGACATCTTCTCCTGCCTCTATTATAGCTCGAGAGGGTTCCACGCATAATATAGTAGCCACGATTGAGCCTATATGTGGCTATCGGAGTTCGTCAGGACAAGCCAACCCCGTATCTCATCTACCGCCAACCCCGCCAACCTTCTCTCCTAAGAAGCCACTGCAACCAGGCTTTGGGATAACTTGGGATCAAGCTGAGCAAGCAATAGCTGACTTTAGAACCAAGTTCACACCATTCTTCCCCTTTGTCGTTCTCGACCCACGAGTTTCTCCCCAGGAAATATTATCGAAGAAGCCTCTCCTTTTTCGAGCCATCATGCTGATTGCTGTTCCACTCACTCTCGCGAAACGAAAGGAAATTGAAAGAAGCATGCTTGCCTACATAGGCCAGCATTTGCTAGTCATGGACGAGCGGGACCTGGGCCTGCTCCAAGGTGTGCTAGTTTTCGTGGCCTGGTAAGTCTCTGCGTGTCTACCTACCATCTGCAAGGTACATGCGCTGACACGACTTAGGAACATCGAAGACTTTTACTTAGACCAGAAACATACCTCTTTAATCTATCTCGCAATGGGCTACGCTCATAAACTCGGAATAAGTCGACCCCCACTGACAATGCAGCAAAAGATGATGTTAGCAGTCGATCCAAGAGACATCAAAGAAGCTATGATAGGGCATGCCTTGACTTCGGTCATGGAAGAATCACATACTCCCGAAGAACAACGTATTTTTCTGGGTTGCCAGTTTCTCTTCTCAGCGTGAGTAGAATATAGAGCGACTATGGTACTTGAGTGTTGTCCTTCTGCTAATAAAAATAAAGGAACGCGACACAGTTCTTACGAAATGGGGTGCTTAAGGGGGATTACCTCAATTGCTGCCTCAATTCACTCACCCGCCCTTCGGATCCAGGCACGGATTTTATGCTAGAAAAAATCATCAGATTTCAGCAAATTGTTGAGCAAATATCGGAGATCCGTATGGATCGCTATCGGGAATTCACTATGTCCATTAGCAACGAGATGCAATCTATTCGGAATCAACTCGACGGGCTTTTTTCCAACGTGCCTCGAGAGCATCAACAATTCGGTAAGTGTTTCTTCATTTTTTCGCTCTGAAATCTTCAATTTGATAATCCGCTACTATTAGTTGCATAGCTAAACATCATCTCAGTTCTTTTCTCAGCTATTTATAACCATGCCCTGGTCCGGCTATATCTGCCAGCATCGAACCTATCTCCGCCATCGGATATGGTCGCCGCGCAAGAACAACGAGGATGCATGCTCTATTGCCTACAAGCAACAAAATCATTCTTGGATACAATACAGTCGATAAGCCCGGAGGGCTTTCTATATCGAACCTTTTTGACATTTTCTGACATTTTCTTCGTCCTAGTGGCGGCCTCGCGACTCCTTCTCGTGGAAATCGAGGGCTGGGATCTTGACGAGGCGCGAGCAACGATCGACTTCCCATCGACCTTAGAGAGCATCATTTCCAAATTCATGGTGGTTGTTAGCGTGCAGGAACAGAAGGTGGCGGAAGCGGCGGCTGCGCAGGGAGTAAAGCTGCCGCCAAAAAACCCCAAGGACGAAGAGGAGAATAGTTTCTCCAAGTACGCGACGAAACTCGAATGGATAAAAAATTGGTTCGAGATCCACGTGTCTACGGGATGTGCTGTCTCGAACGACACCCAGACGATGAATGGCCCCAGCTATTGGGCCCCTGAGAACCAGACATGGAATCCGTTCATGTTCGGATTTCTGGGTGATGACAATTTAAACATAGAGTTTTAGAATTGGCGTTTGCTTTTATAGATTTATAACTAATGCTTAGATGAATCATACCTACGAGATGCCTACCTAGAAGGTATGCTCTACATGTACATATAGACATCCATCTCCAACGACGTCGTGGGTAAGTTCAATAGCATGCCTGACATAACTAGTTTGCGACCTCGGGGAGCTAATATATATGTGTGTGTAGCACAAATATGTGCCTACATATGTGAACTTCGGCGGGAATACCTGTATTAAAGCCAGGCTAGAGGTTATTGGGCAATTCGGTTTGTATGATCCACCCCCTTGGAGTTTAGGACCTGCCGATGGACGAATCAGGGCTTCGATGATTGAATAGGGTGTGGTATCATCGGACCTACGTTTGTCTCATGTCGCCTTTCCCAGGCCAGGAGCTGAAGTTGGGTTCGGGAATGTCGGCCCCAAAAGATCGGCCTATAATGTATGTACAGTAACTATAGCGCACCTGACAGATAAAAGATTTTCTTTTCTGCTTTCTTTGTTGGGACGTCGTAGATCGATCGGCAAACGCTTATTCCATCTGATTTCCTATCCTACCTATCTAATACATAATTTTTACTACCTACCTACATACATACTTCTTCTTGGAAATCTTACGGGTTAGGCAAGCTAGCTGACTTTTTTTTTTTTTTTAATTTGTACTTGGCATTTGAATTTATTAGATCTACGTACTAAATCCCACTCATTTTTTTGAACACCATCTTTTCCAAATAAATAAGCCCTCTACTATTAAGGTTAGCGAGACGACGGTCAATGAGTGATCGCAGGCATGCGGGGACAACCGAGGACGACGACCACGGCCCTTTGAATGAGCTGGATTTCGATTCGGACGAGGAGGAATCTATTAGCGATGATGATGGTGAGCCAAGACCCGGCGCCGACTCCACGCCGTCCCGGCGGACGTTGAACATCGACACCGGCGTGGGATTCCCCCCAGACCGCGAGGCGCGCAGCCGCAGGTCAAGTGACGCGGCGAGGAAGGTGGTCGCGTGGAGGGATCTCCCGAAGAAGAGGCAGTTGGTTGTTATCACGTTGGCGCGGCTCAGCGAGCCTTTGGTCCAGACGTCTCTGCAGTCCTACATGTTCTACCAGCTGCAATGGTTCGATCCGAGCCTGCCCGACGCCGTCATCTCCAGCCAGGCGGGTATCCTCCATGCCAGCTTCACCGCGGCGCAGTTCTTCACTGCGATGATGTGGGGTCGGGTGGCGGACTCTGCGTGGGCTGGTCGCAAGACGGTTATCATGATAGGGTTGTTGGGGACTCGTATGTACCTTGACCCCCCCCTTTGGATTGAGGGTTTCTGCTAACATGGGATTAAGTTATATCGTGCATTGGGTACGGGTTCTCCAGAACCTTTTATCAAGCTTTACTCTTTAGGTGCCTGGGCGGTGCCACGAATGGCAATGTAGGCGTTATGAGGACGATGTAAGTGGAGAGGCCTCAAACCTGGGTGTACTATCGACTGACGAAGATGCTTTAGGATAAGCGAGATTGTCCGCGAGAAGAAGTATGCTCATCTGAGATGCAGCTGCGCTTGTGTAGATGATGTCTAACTATTTCATAGATATCAGTCCCGCGCATTCCTGATCTTGCCCATGACCTTCAACATCGGCGTTATTATAGGGCCAGTCCTGGGCGGACTCCTGTCTGATCCGGCAGGTTCATACCCTGATACCTTTGGCAAGATAGCCTTTCTCGTAAAGTATCCCTACGTTGCGCCGAATCTCGTCAGTGCTGGGTTTTTATTCATAGCGTTGGTAATGTGCTGGATGTTCTTGGAAGAGGTATGCTCTCATCCCACACGCTACCTTGCCCCTTTGATTACTCACATAGACATGATAGACACACGATGCTCTTCTAGATAGTCGAGACCTAGGTATCATCCTAGGACGCAAGATAACGGCATTGTTCAGGAGACGTGAACCTTCCATAGCATACACCCCTCTTCACTCGCGGAACACAAGCATTAGCACAGATGTCGAGATGTCTCCAGTGAGCCCACGGGATTCAGCAGAGGACATCCCCGTAACATCCAAGAAGTCTACCTCCAGGCGACGGTACACTACTCGGCTTCCCTTCCGCCGCATTTTTACTTCCAACGTGACTTTCACGTTGGTGGCGCACTTCTTCCTTGCGTTCCACGTCGGTACATTCAACTCTCTGTGGTTCATCTTTCTTTCCACACCCGTGTACAACCCAGCAGACCCGGACCCGCCTGGCTTCGTCCCGAAACTGCCCTTTAGATTTACCGGTGGCCTCGGTTTGCCTCCTCGATCTGTTGGAATGGCGATGGCGATACTGGGTGTAATTGGCATTACGATGCAGCTGTTCCTATACCCACGCCTCTCGTCACGATTGGGCACTGTCCGCTCATGGCGCATGTGTCTGTTCCTCTTCCCGCTAGCGTACAGCTTGATACCGTTCCTGTCGGTCGTCCCATCTACAACGGCGCCACCAAGCCAGAAGACGGGGTTCTTGATATGGGCTGCCATCGGCGGCGTGCTGTTCATCCAGGTCACGGGACGTACCTTCGCGCTCCCCGCCCAGACGATCCTCGTCAACAACTGCACGCCTCACCCCAGCGTGCTAGGAACCGTCCACGGCGTCGGACAGTCCGTCAGCAGCTTCGCGCGAACCATCGGCCCCGTGCTATGCGGCTGGCTCTACGGCCTGGGACTCAGTCGCGGGTTGATCGGCGGCGTGTTCTGGGGGCTGGCTGGCTTGGCCGTGTGCGGATTGATCGCGAGTTTCTGGGTCAGAGAGGGGAATGGGCACGAGATTTGGTTAGAGGGGGACGAGGAGGACGAGGTTGGGAATAAATGATTCTAACCTTCCCGCCACTGTAAGTTGTTATACGGCACCGCACTAAGAAGGCAGCGGCAGTGTGGCAACGAGTGAGGCACCTGTAGCCCACCAATCACATTTCCCCCCCTTCCCTATGTGTCCGAGCGGCATGGTCTATGGTGGGCTATGATATACCTAGGTATGACGGATTTGCATGGATAGGGGCTTGGCTAGACTAGACGTTGGGTAGATATCTATGATACCTAGATGAAGACATGTGTGAAAGATCAATGAGCGTAAGAAGTGCATAGCTTAGAGACCGGCGTAGGTTAGAGATTTATTCTATGTATAGACCCCCAACGCCCCCTTTGCTTGTGGCGTTATCGTGCTATCTACGGCACATTTCGTCAAATCAAGTTTAAGGCCTTGATATTCACAGTCAATATGTACTCTCGCCGCTTTCTACGGGGTGTCGATGAATATATGGTACCTAGTTAGTGTTCTTCAGGATTTCCCGGATTTCATTCCGGACCTGCATATCATATCTGTCTACCCTACCCGAGACGATGCGGGGAAAGTAAAGTCTGATATTTTCGGAAAACGTCAAGAGACCGGGCTTCGGTATTATCATACCTACCTAGTCTGGTTTCAGGGCCATCGGGCCGTGGCAAAGGCTACCCACATGCCTCCCTCCTTTCGCGGCAAGCTGCATGCCTACCTACCCACCCATAGACTGCACGGCGAAATGAAACTAACCTGGCCCGACATCCAACCCGCATGAAGGCGCGCGGGATACCTACCTACCTACCTAGGCCGCAGCAAGAAGACCAAGCCCCCCCCCTGCCATAAGTAAAGAGACCTTTGCTTGCCTTGCGCGCGAAAAAAGAAAAGAGATATCGGAAGCTTCGGCAGCAAATCGCATGACCGGCGTGGAGATGGGATCTCGCGTCTTCGCTTTCGCGGACCCGGATATACGACCGCAACGCTGGCACGAGGCGAAGGGTGTAGTTGGGGAGGGGGGAAGCTCCACTGTGGCCGCGTCGGTATGTCGGAAAGCGGAGGAGGGTGGATATGCGCGACGACAGCGAGTGGTGGCCGGCAGGCGGGGTTGAGGCGTGGATGTGGATGTGGATGTGGAGGCGATCTACCTACCTAACCTAGGTACTTACAAAGAATACCTCCTATCAACTCGACATCGACGAACCCATGAATCTCTGGCTTTTTCTTGGAGGATGTAGGTACTTGAGAGCCAATGAAACTACATCTGCTACCGTGGAGATAGAGATGGAGATGTAAACGCGAGTTCTCGGTAGTGGGGGCAACGGCACTAACGAGTGGTTCTATTATTGTCGCCCCTTTCGGACTCTTGGGATAGAGGACGGATGCTCGTTCGGACTGCAGTGCCACTATCTCCGCACGCAGTGCCGACGTTTCATTCTAGGGATCTATCCCCCCCCTTGCATGGATGTTGATAGATAGGTTTAGCATTGTATACCTAGTATGGTAAACTGGGTATTTATACTCAAGTATTGTGAGTTGAGGTCTTGACGATTTGTCACCCCTTGCATCGTGCGCATTTGTGTTTGATTGGCCAGAGGCATCTTATAGTCGACAACACTCATCTACCTAGGCAATATACCATCTAGTGAGTATAGCAAGATGACCTGCCAGTGTCCGAGTAGTCTAATAGATCCAGTAGCCACACACAGAACCCAGCAACCAAACAAGATGCCCTCCCTAACGCTTCCCCCCGAATACCCTCCCCGCGCCGATCTCCGCGCCGACATCTCCAAACCCCTCCCCTTCATAGCCCATCCTTTCTCCTCCTCCTCCTCCATAACCCCCGCCGAAGCCACCAGCTATGCCTCCGCCCTCCTCGCCGCGTTCAACGACGCCACGCACGCAGGCGATGCCAAGAAGCTGGCTGACTGCTTTTATGAGGGGCAGGCGTATTGGAGGGATATACTCGCGCTGACGGCGCATTGGCGGACGTTTGAGAGGCCGGGGGTTATTGCGGCGGCGTGGGTGGAGATGGTGGCGTTGAGGGGGGTGAGGGGGGATGTGGAGGAGATGACGGGGAATGGGAATGGGGGAGCGAGGTTTGTGAGGGCGTCGGATACGCTGGTGAGTGAGTATTGGGGGATTTCTTTTAGAGCCCCTTGATCTGTTGCTCGTAGTTCGATGTAACGGTCTCATAGGTACCGACCTGGTACTGTTGATAAAAAAAAAGGGGGGGGGGTTGGTTTTAGGAAAGTAAAAGCTTCTAATACTAAGAGGAAACGCAGCAATTCATCGAATGCGACATCTCCTTCACGACCATCCAGCCCGCGGCAACCTGCGGCGGGAAGCTGGTGCTCCTGCCTGTGAAGACGACGGGCAAGGAAACGCTGGAGTGGAAGATCTGGGTGTTGCGGACGTGGATCGAGAGCCTGGGCGTGCAGGCTGAGGACGAGAAGTTGTTGAAAGCACCGGGGCTGGAGCTGGATGATTTGAAGACGATTGAGACGGATGTTGTGGTTGTGGGGGGTGGAAGCGCGTAAGTTGTTGACCTGGAAGTTATACTGCTGCCATCCACCCTTTGGTGAGATACGGCATGGGTGAGTTTGGTTGACTGACTTGGGCCCCTCGCAATAGGGGAATCACGATATCAGCGCGCCTCAAAGCGCTGGGAGTGGAAAGCGTCGTGATCGATAAAAACCGCCAGGCTGGCGATAATTGGCGGTCGCGGTATGATTGCTTGAAGCTGCATGTGCCGACGTCGAACTGCGAGATGCCTTACCTCGGTACGTGCTTGCCTATCCATCTACTTACCTACTTACGAAGGGCAGTACACGATATGCTCCCGTTTCGAAACTGACATCAAAACACCAACGCTTAGGTTACAGCAAAGAGCTGCACACCCCCCACCTCCTAACCCGAGAAGAACTCGCAGACCACCTCGTGAAATACGTCGCGGAGTTTAACCTGAACCTCCTCAACTCGGCCGCGATCCAGACCACTACGTACGACACGGTGACCAAGCGATGGACGGTGGAGATTCATACGCCGAGTGGCAGGAAGACGATCGTGGCGAAGCAGCTTATACAGGCGACGGGAATTGGAGCACAGAAGCCTTACTTGCCGTCTATAGCTGATGCGGACAAGTATAGGGGGATTAGTGTGCACTCGGTGGATTATAGGAATGCGGAGGAGCTGGCGAAGCGAGGTGCCAAGGCGAGTTTGCTCCTTTCTGGCGTGGCTCCTTTTCGCCGTGTTTCTCCTACTTCTAACGCAAAACCCCATAACAGTCAGCGATCGTAGTCGGCTCCGCCAACACCGCCTTCGACATCATGAGCGACTGCCACCGCGCCGGGCTGCAGACGACCATCGTGGCGCGGTCGCCCACCTATCTCTTCCCCGTGCAGTACATCTTCAGGGCATTGGCCCTGTTCGACCAGATACCGCTCGAGCAGGCCGACAGGGCGATGGCGACTTTCCCGACGGCGGTGGAGGGCGAGCTGATACGGGCGTTGTTCGCGCGGCTGGCGGAGGCGGAACCGTATGTATCTGTCATCCATCCCCTTTTCTGAGAAGAAAAAGAAAAGAAAAAAAACAAAAACTCACTAACCCCTTTTGCTTTTCATAAAAATAGCGACCGCTACACCGCCCTCGCTAAAACCGGCTTCCCCCTCATCGACAGCCGCCACCCCGACGCGAACCTCCAGCACTACCTCGCCGAGCGCGCCGGCGGCCACTACATCTCGTTCGATGCCGACGTTGCGCTCTTGGCCGAGGGGAAGGTAGGCGTAAAAGCTAATGTGGAGCCTGCTGCTTACACGAGTACGGGGTTGAGGTTTAGCGATGGGACGACGGTGGAGGGGGATGCGGTGGTGTGGTGTACGGGGTTTGCGGATAGGGATGTTAGGGGAGTTTGTGGGGATATACTTGGCGGCGGTAATGGTGGCGATGGTGACAATGGTAGCAATGGTCATGGTAATGGTGATAGCGGTACTGCGCCAACGAAGCTAGGGCCCCGAGACATCGCGGCCCGCGTCGACGCTACCTGGGCCGTCGACGCCGAGGGCGAGATCCGCGGCATGTATAAGCGCCATTTGCGCATGGAGAACTACTGGGTTGTGGGAGGCCCGTTGGCGCATCAGCGCTGGGGGTCGCGGGCGCTCGCGCAGCAGATTAAGTTGGCTTTGGAGGGGTTGTTGCTGCCTGCGTATCGGGATACGCCGAAGGTGGTTGGATAGGTAAAGGGATTCGAGGTGGTTTTGGAGCTTATTTGGTGTTGTGGATGTGTTCGTGATAGTTATTTATCATAGGTAGAAGGGAGAAGTGACGAAGTCATCGTATTCAAAAAGGAACAGAAGGAGGTAGAAAATAATAAAAAAGAAAGAAAAAGAAATGAAAGAAATGAAAGGAAGGACAAAAAAGCTCAGGCGCAGGTTCTATCCGAAAGGCAATTGTCCAGAACAAACCAGCCAAGTTTGTCGCCATGCCGCGGAATCGAACCCTATGCCTTACGAAAAACCCGTGAGGAATTTTTCATAGCCCTGTCAGGTCTCATACCACTGCGCCAAATGGCTATTTGGAACCGTGGAGTGGGATCGGGGGTACTAGGGGACACAAATTTTAGGTCTATAAGTCTTACTCGGGGACAGTGTGGGTGGTAAGGGTAGGGGGGTGGGTGACGACGGTGAGGTTTGGGATGGCTGCCTGAGGGAGCAAATTTATTGTGGGTACGTGCACGCAGTAAACTACCTACCTAGCTAGTGCCTACCCCTAGGTACCTTGGTACCTTAGTAGGTACGTATGTTTGTGGGCCTTGGAGAGTATGACCTTGAGTGGTGAAAGGTTCATCAGTTCGACAATTACATTCTGTGGACTTGCATTGCGTGTTCATGGCGTTGAATAGATATTTGATCATATTCCCACTTAGGTAGGTATCAAATTAACTCTCGACTTCTAGGCCATGGAGAGACCCAGTAGGCACCAACTACCTACACAAGGTACACCTACCTACACCTTCGTGGCCCAGAGGTCGAAAGTACTACCTACTACCTACATCAAGCTGTAGCTGTCACCGGCCCAACATCATCAGCACCGTACCACCCCCCGAACCTCGAACACGCCGTGGCGCTTGCCTTGTTCGTCGATGTCTTGTACTTGGTTATCCTAATCTTTGTCAGCAAAACTGTAAAGACACATGGGGGAGACAGGGAAATTTTATTATTTAGGGGGGATACTCACTCGAGCCAAATCGTAGCTTCTACGTGCGTCGTTGAGTACCCGACATTAGTCTGCGTAAAGGTGGTGTAAGGCGCGGTGAGGGTCACGGTAGGCCCGTTGTCATCGCAGACGGTTGAGGGAGGAGGTGTTCTGTGAAGTGGTTAGATTTTGAGTTTTGATATGAATGATTCGATCCATCCAAGAACTTAGGTATGCAAATGTGATATGCCCAACTTACATAATAGCTGTGATAGTTTTGAAGACTACAGTTGAACAAGGTTGTCAGCATGTGTAATATCTTCTTTGCTCGAGATACTCTTTCTGTCCAGTACTCACCTTCCTCCGTAGTCGTCTCTGCCGGCACGGTAGTCACACTGGTTATCGTAGCGGTATATGTCGTCTCAATGACAGTCACAGTCGTTGTTGCCGCCACGGCAGCCACATCCCGCTTCCTAGTCTCTAGCACTTCGTCTGGGACTGGACTTCCACCAGTACCCGGTGGGAGGCAGAGGAATCCGATACATATGGAAGGTTGAGGGTCGGGTACGCGAGTGATGATGTGGCAATAAGCCGTCTTGGTTACCGTCGTGGTCGTCTCACTGGTCACTTCTTCGTCGGTGACGGTTCGCGTGATCGTATATGTGCTCGTCACCGTGGGTGCCTTTGGTGTGAAGGTTGTTGTATGGGTTATCCCTGCGCAAGGCGCGGTAACAGTTCCTGCGGGTAGAACGATGGTTTTTGTCTGGGCGATGGTTTTGTATACCGCTGTGAACGGGTCAGATCTCTATCAATGGATCGATGGACATGATATTCATACTTGTTGCATTGGGTGTACTAGTGATACCGACGGTCACAGTTGGTGTTGCCTTTGCTTAGATTAGTATGTGCTAGAGTTGTTAAACGTCCACATCTCGTGTCCTTACCGTGATGATAATCGTGGCGGGCGAGCCGACGGTGAGGGCGACTGTTCTCTGGACGCCAATCTTATTCCCTGATATTATAATCTTGTATAAACCAGAGGTCATGGCAGCATATTCAATTTCACTAGAAATAGTAAGATTCCTGTTCATTATAGGCACATATTGGGAGTCTTACCATGTGGAAGCGACCTGTTCTCCGGCGGGCGTCGTATTGATCGCAGAGCATGGTATTCGATCGCCATTGGGATTTACCAGTACTGGGTTCACCAACTCCTGCTCGCACCCTATAACATCATTATTAGTGTCTGGGTACCATATACATCGGATTGTCAGATTGGAGGTGAGTAAATACCCTGGAAAATCGTCGAAAATGTAAAATTCTCATGTGAAGATGTATCGATGTCGTATGAGCCGCCATTCACGTAGTCAACGCCGTAACTGCTGCATTGCGCAACAGCTCCTAGGGCGAAAAGCCCTATAAAGAACAAAATCCTCAGAAATTTGGAAGCCATTCTCCTCTGTTTGAACCCCAAAGTTCTGCGCACTAGTAATTACCTCGAATTGCGAAATACCAACTCACGATACGATGTACTGCTTGCTATCCTTTTGTACGTCTGGTCGATACAACATCAATTTTTAAAATTGGTCTAGTACGTCCTAATAGTATGAGGATCTCATGGTTCCTAATAATAGAGAGAGAGGATGGAGCCCAAGACGTTGCAAGCTCCTACGATTACGTGCGATGGAGTACTAGACCTACCTGGTAGGAACCATATACCAGGTACTGATATACATATCCGGTAAAGAGTCACACAAAATGCCGTGAAGCTATATAGGCTCAATTCAGCCGGCACCACGGGCGTTTCTGGACCTTGGAAAACTCGGCTAGACCACGTAAGGCGCCCGCCTAGATTCAATGGGCAACTGGTAGGATGCAACTCAGCGCCATCAGCTGGAAGCACAATGGTAGGCCACTGAATAAATATAGCTTGAATACTGGCTAGGCGCGTCCATTTATTCTAATAGGTGCGATGACGACGTATGCTTTCTTTTCTGGTGCATTTCGGTGTTGTAGTACCTGACCCAGAATAGGGGTAAACACCGCCGCTAATGTTTGAGTTGAAATAGGGCCAACAATCGTATGTTAAGACTAAAAGACTGTGTTAAAATACTCATAATATTTGAAACAATATCATTACTTAGGTAACTAAGGAGAAAATATGACCGGCCCGAATTCCTGTAGACATTGGTAGAAACCTATTTTGCCAGAAGAACCCTGGCTAATAGTTTTTTTTTTTTTTTTTTTTTTTTTTTTGGTGTACTCATACTTATCTAACGAAGTACTATGTTGGAGAAAGTTAGGTTAGGCGCATGTTACCCGCGTCACGCGAGATCTTGTGGGCTCGATGATCCTACAATCCACAAGTTGATATATCCATAGAACAGACGATCCCCCATCGGCTGTTGGTTTTGGTGCCGATCTCGTTCTGAATCCTCGTGCTAAAATCTCATATCAACCGCGAGAGCTGAATACCCATTGGCGCTCCATTTCAAAAGGAAAGAAAAAGATAGGCAAGTAATGTAGATAATACCCAGCATATAGGTATGGAGGAGTTGGCGGTGGCCTATCGAGGAAGGGAAATCGAACGGAAAGGCAAAATGCGCATCGAGGGCTGATGACCCTCAGGCGAGACAGTCTTTATAGTGTACGTAAAGACAGTTGAGATAAAGTTGTCGATATTGTCTCAGATTACTACCTAGACACCTAGGTCTCTAGGAGGTTGCTATTTATTCGTACTCTCTGCCACTCCCTAACCAAACTCATTTTGTTGACTGCCAAAGTGCCCCGTACCTAATTTCCCTGAGGTGCCTTACATAAACCGTGTCTCGAACACCCCTCCCAAAACGCCGACAATAATGCATCTCAAACCTACCCGGTAACATGAACCCTTCGTAAAGCCTCCCCATCATCACACATACTCCCGTGCGTTCTGCTGCGGCCCTAGATGCGCTCCGCGAAAGGGCGCATATGAGCTCATGGCGGGGATACTCTGGTTCTGGCCCGGCCTTCCCGGACCCCCGCTCCCAGCTGACACTGTAACGCTGCTGCCGTGCCCGGCCTGCGCATCCGGCGCCCGCCACGGCTCCATCGTGTACCCGCCGCTCGGCTCACCAGCAGCGCCGGCCTCCTTGCTCTTCTTCCACCGCTTCTGGATGAACTTCTTGGTCACGAGGATGAGGATCATGGCGGGGAAGAGGAAGAGCACGAGTCCGGCGAGGACGTAGTTGTATTGGGGTGATTGGGCGAGGGGGAAACCGCTGGGGTGGGTTAGTAAGAGTTTTTTTTGGCATTTTTAGGAATAGGAGGAATAGGGGGAGGAGAGAGGGGGAAGATGAGAGTAGGTGATAGGGAGACTTACAGAAAGCCGTTAGCAACCCCCATGACGACAATCACGCGGCCCAGCCAGACGTGGATAGGGGCCATCTTAGTCGTCTGCTGCAACTTCTTGAAGTTGCGATGGTGCAGGTATCCCAGTGCGAACTGGACGAAGATGAAAATGAAGATGAGGATGCCGATAACCTGGTGGGCGGTGTTGAATTTCTTGGACTATCGACGGACGAGTTAGCATGCCGAACGACCTTAAGACAACCCCCCCCCCCCCCTCTTCCACCTGGTCTAAATTCCTCATGTAGCATGGAGCGCAACTTACCCGATTATAAATCTTGCTGACATCAAACCCAAGGCCTGACCCAATGATCGTAAAAACAAGCGCAACCCCTTGATTGATCCCATGCCAGCGCACCCAATTCCCCAACCTCAGCACAAACATGCCGAACGGGTACATGCCCACGAACACCAGCACCATGACCACCGCGTGCGCAACCGCCACGCTATCCTTCTTCCCCTCCTTCGCAAACCCCTGCACCGCGCCCACCAGCGCGCTGTCCTGCGAGCGGTCGATCGCCGGCACCCCCGCGGCGCCCGTCGCGCGCCGCATGTCCAGCGTGAACGACCCGTAGCTGTAGTGCATCCTGAGCGGCGCGTCCGGCGCGTCGCTCTTCAGGCGGCCGCCCGCCTCGCCCGTCGCGTACACCATCGGCTGCGCCGCGCTCTCGACGTCCACCTTCCCCGCGGACCACCGGCGGCAGTTCGCGCATCGCCCGTTAAAGACGTACGTCGTCCCGTTGTCGAGCCCCGTTCCCGGCAGCGCCTCGATCCTGATGTCGGGCGCGAAGACGGGCTCGGAGTGGCCCGTCGCGATCCGCGGGGACAGCGTCACGTTCTGCCCCGAGGCTGACGGGTACGCGATCAGCATTAGCGAGCTCGCCATGTGCGCGGAGCCGAGGCCGATGGCGCCCCAGCTTACGTCTGTGGGCAGCAGGAGGGTGAAGAATAGGTCTTGGGTGGTGGAGTTGTCGTCCGGGACGTTGAGGGCGAAGGCGAGGTCGCGGGTTGGCGTGATGAAGACCGAGGCTGCGGTTGTGCTGGTGTTGGTGCTGGTGGGGATGACGGTTACGTCTTGGGCGTGGGAGGATGTGGCGAGGAAGGAGAGGACTGCCGATGAAGCCAGGCCCAGCCGGCTGAGTATATTAGAGATTCTCATTTTCAATAAGTGAGTGTTTTGGTATAAATAAGGAAATGTATAGGTATGATTGTGAAATGTCTAGCCCGGCGTCAAGCCCAAGGTATAGGTAGTATCTAGTATATAATAAGGACTGTCTTGTATTAAGAAAATATCACAACCCCCAGACCAGGACGAAGAAAACGACAAAATGAAATCGTAACGCTTTGATGATATGTAGAATAGAGAAGGAAAAAGTAGAGAAAAATGACATAGAAGTAATCATTCCCTCCTCCCATATTTAATTCATGGTACACGCATGCTCCCGCGCCTCAGGCCCGAACATCGTGATGTATCTACCTATTGGATATACGCCAAGCCCACATCCCAACCCGGCGGTTAGCTACAGATCTCCACTCTTTTCAAATTCACTAACAATGATTGGCCAAACTCTAAAACTCTTTTACCGTAATGCAACGACCTCCATTGGCTATGGCCGCGAGTTTAAAGGCTTCACCAAGCCTACAACCGCCTAGATCCATGCAAGTGGCCTCCCCTATTTATAGCCGCCCGTACATTTTACACGCCGCTGAAGAGATCGGGGTATGACACAAACGCGCCCATTCCCAATGTGGAGGAAATATCTGTATGCTCTGAAGATCATCAAAACGATTGGGTTGTTTTGTTACAATAGTCTGCTAGGTTAGATATGTATGAACCAAATATTTCCCAATGTTACCCTTTTGCTCCAAATGTACAAATAAATGCCGATATATCCTACACCTGTACCAATCAAATCCCAGCTAAATACCAATATTGAAGTATGTTCACATAAGAATAATATCGCGGGGGCGGGGCTCAGCTGTTTCAAGCCCATGGCAAACTCATAGTCCGTTAAGTTGGGTTTGGGCTGCTATCGTGTCTCCTACGCTTACGAAGTCAAGCTGTGCAGAACGGTTAGTGATATTTGAACGGCCGTTAGATACTTAGTTCTGTTAAGGCATTACTAACCAGTACCACATTCGGAACCCGGCCATAGTTTTTCTTGCAAATATCGACTTGTGCAGTGATGGATGCTACCGAGTTAGTGTCCCGAGCATGAATTGCATCTGGGATTAAAACATCAGGGAAGATCTCAATATTCAAGTTGTGATTGACAAGAAACATCCGACCGTCAGCCGAAGCCCCTGAGGGCCTGTCAATGTTGCACTGAGAAGTGAGCTGATCCTCTGTTGGGTCGAAGGGAGTCTCGAAATAGTACGCAAATTCATCTAAGATGTATGGGACCTTGGAAGTATCCATGTTGTAGTCTGCTCAAGTCAGTTAGCTTCATCAAATCCGCATTTTCACAGTAGGAGCGGCCCGTACCCATGAATACCACTACTCTTTTCCCGCTGGAGATCATATCTCCCAATGTCGGCCAGTCTGCTAAGCTTAGTAGCTTTTCGGGAGTAAAAACGTATGCATCTAGCCCAGTCGCCTTGAAGATGTCTCCGTATATATTGATGTCAATAGCATCAGGATTTGTAATGAGTAGTGTAACAACCTCATTCGCGTGACCATCGACCCAAGCCTTTATGCTTGCCAAGTAGTCATGTAGCGAGCCTGCATCTTCTAGGATGCAGGACGTGTGGCACATCTCGGGAGCCCCATCTTTTTCTTGGGTTTGTGCCTGAAGGAACCGCACGCCTTGGTCTAACTGTTGGGTCGGTGTGGTGTATTGGTTGTCGGCTGGGCCAATTCCAACGAAGGGAGAGTTGTGAGCTCCCACGAAAGTGACATTGCTATATGGCTGGCTGCACAGCTCGGCATGGCCATTGCAGTCCACTGCTAGAGAGCCTGCCACAAGGGCAAGAGTCAATAAAGCGGCACGACGCATACTGCGATTAGGTACTGGTGTGAATAGTGATTAAGTAATACAATAACTGTTTAACTTGGGTGACAAAGAATGATATGAAATATAGGTAAATACAAACAGGAATGTAAACAATAAAGAATGAATGGTGAATAACCGCCTCCTATTTATTAATAGATATAGATTAGAACGGAGCTCATCATGAACCTTCACATCGGCGTGCCATGCCCTTGATTAAATAACAATTGCGATCATGTTGGTAGGACGCATGAGAGCATTGACAAGGAACAAACGACAGACGAATGAGGATCGTAGGATGAATGATTAGGGTCCCGAGACTCTTTCACTTCAAGACAAACCATTATCAAGGTTCCTTTCTTACCACGTGCCTATAACATGCGGACGGCCAACCCGATAGAGACATTGTGAAATCCAAGACTTCCAAGGCTATGAATAAGTAGATACCTACTACTACTATGTAGGTAGGTGTCAATCTGCTGTTGTCTGAGGGGTTGTCTCGTAGCGAATCGGGCCTTGCAAATTCGAACAATAAACAGGCCCAGATAAACCATATCGAATAGGATGCTGGATCTGACCCACGATGGCAGGGATCCCCCACCACCGGCGTCTCTCAAGCAAGGCAACCAATTTCTTATGTCTGGCGATGTTGCAATGATCTGGATTGCAACCTGCGAGAGAGAGAGGGATGATTCTACTTTAGGAAGGACAATACCAACCTATGGCATTGTACTTTTATACTTTTAGGCAATCATGGTTTGTCGTTTATGAGCCTCACCTGCAGTGCTCTTGACTTATGAGGAATTGAGGAAACCTCAATGGTGAATCAGCTGCGCAGTTGTGAGACCTTATGCGAATCAGGCAATCATGGGTGATAAATAGCTCGTCTCGTGTACTTTTCACGATGATCCATGATACTTGGCTTTCTGTAGTAATATATCCTGCATGGCAAATATCATATTGTCTCGTCTTGTTAAAATAAAAAACTTGAAATTGTTTGAAAAGGTAAAAAGGCCGAACAGCTGGCTCGTAGATTTTATTAGGGTTACTACTAGGCACGCTAGTAACTAACTAAGGTTAGTTATGTAAGCAATCAAATCGTAGATACAGATCTGTTCAGCGTTCCCTGGTCTGTTCCCTGGTCTGTTCCTGGATTTACTGCCTCATGTCACCGCCAAAAAATATTAATCATTGCTGGTTTGTCCTGCAAGGTTAGGACCCCGCAACGATCGCAACGAGTAATCGACCCCCGAAGTGTGAAAGGCGACTGGCGACCACTGCAATGATTTACATGTACAATACATGACTTGTTACTTTATCACAATTCACTATAATCTCCTAGACTTATATGAACTGCATAAGGCAGGCATTTCGGCAAGTTCGGCGCATCATGAGTTACATCGAGGAAGCTTCGTCGACGATGCCTTCTGCCCCAATCAACCCAGCCAATCTACCCGAGAACGAGCAAATACCCATTACTAAGAAAAAAAGGGCCCCCAAAGGAAAGAGGCAAGACAAAAACCTCATTCAAGATACTTCATTCGAAAATATACGACCACCACCTTATTACTTTGAAGGTGGTCTGCGACGTGTTGCTCCCTACCATTTTACGTATAAAACATGGTGCAAAATGCGATGGAGAGGCAGAAAACTTCTGGATGTTTTCGAGAGCGAATTCAGGGATCGTCCGATAGCATATTATAAGAATGCCATGGAGACGGGTCAAATCCGCGTCGACGGTAAACCCACTACCCCAGACCATATTCTCCAGAATGGAGAATTGGTATCGCATACAATACATCGGCACGAGCCACCCGTTACAGCCGATCCGATAGGAATAATTCATGAGGACGATGACATGATTGTGGTAAACAAGCCTTCTGGCATACCAGTCCATCCTGCAGGAAGATACAGCTTCAACTCGGTCATCGAGATTATGAGGGCCGAGAGGGGCCCGGAATGGATTGCGTATACTTGCAATCGGCTTGATAGGCTGACTAGCGGGATCATGTTTGTTGCGAAACACCGCAAGGCAGCTGAACTTCTAGGCAATCAGATCGTGCAAAGAAGTGTGCGCAAGGAGTATGTTGCCAGGGTAATAGGTAATTTCCCTGACGAGGAGGTGGTGTGCAACCAACCATTACTTCAAATATCCCCGAAGCTTGGGTTGAACCGTGTACGAGCATCTGGAAAAACCGCTCGGACTGTCTTCAAAAAGCTCGCTTATTATCCACCGCGTGAGCCTCGGAAACAAGAGAACAGTGAAGATCTCGTGGTATCGGAGGAGGGCACCGAGGACAAGAGTAGGCCGTGGTTGCAGAAAGAGGGATACTCCATCGTACGGTGCCTCCCGGTTACGGGTAGGACTCATCAAATACGAGTCCATCTACAACATTTAGGACACCCCATTCAAAATGATCCTATTTATGCTAATCAAAGAGTGTGGGGCGCTAAACTTGGTTACAATGATCCCGATGCTCTTGAAAACACAGACGACGATATCATCACGCGCCTTGATCGTATGGGAAAGGAGGAGGTCGCAGATGCGGTTGCTTACCACGACGAAATGGTGGATGAATATTACAAGAAGAAGGCGGAGAAGATGTCTGGTGAGCTCTGCAAAATTTGCGATACGCCGTTATACACAGACCCGGGGCTGCAAGAGCTCTCCTTGTGGCTACATAGTCTGCGATATGAAGACGCAGGTGGTAGTTGGAGTTATGTCAGTCCTCTTCCCAACTGGGCTCTGCCTCCATCTGGCGTATCGGGACCGACAGAAGTAGGAGGCATGGAAGAACTAGTGTCAGCAGTAAAAGACGTCAATCCAGAGATTGCGTGATTCGCAGCTTGCTGTCGACAGCTTGCCAGCTAGTCGGATAAACAATGTCACGCCCAGCTGGTTTAAATGGAGAACACGCCAAGGCATCTTACCTACTACCTTTCCCGTGCTCGCCCACTATGAGAATATTATGATTACTCTAGCGAGACACTTAGTTTCGGCTGCGGAACTATGCGGCCTAACTCTCCCCAAGTGCATTATAAATGCATTACAATTATAGTGAGCCCCGTATCTCATAGCTAGCTGACTACCTAGTAGAGTGAGACTTATGTACTAAGGTATCTTAGATATCTACCTTGGTACTTATCAGCTGCAACGACGGGCTTTTCATCTCTATCAACTTATGGGGATGGGGATCACAAGATTCCACTGAAAAGCACATATATACTCGGATTCAAGTCATCGTTACGCACGAAGGTTCTTCATTGACTCCCATCCTGATCACTATCCGATGCAATTCTTCACGATACTTCATAGAAAGGATGGGGCCATTACCTACGAATGCTTCCCATTCATGACTTCCTAGGCACGGCATACGCGTATAGATAGATCGCAATGATGCATCCTGCATTTTATGCGCACCGATTACCTAGGAGGGTCTGTGGCTAGCTACCGTTAGAGGCATCTGGCATGAAGGTCCCTTAAAAGCTTTTAAATTTCTAAGCCTCTCGATTTCTCCCAGCTTATTCTCCACTCTAATCTACTATGGATCGCCATTAGATCTCGGATGCGAACCGGATTGTCGGTATTCGGCCCCTCCCCTATTCTCAAAACGTCTTGGTAACAAAAATGCGAAATGCCTAACTACAGTCCATAACCTTTGGAAAGTTTGTACTGATGTATACATCCCCTTAGGCTTGCTGGGTAGTATGAGGCTATCGTCAACCATTTCGCCCACTCATATAGCTACTTACCTAGTTGGTACAGCATCATATATTTATATACCGCAATCATTTAAGATTATATTTTACCAAACCTTCGTTAACAGCCTGTGTATAGTAACATCTATCTCTCGCTGTCGGGATATCTGATAGTCCCTATCAAAATGACTATAATTTCTGTCACCACAAATATCACTACCCCGGGAACAAGATTCGTTCATGTGCCAACCTCACTCCGAAGCATGTCTCGCTTATTATCTTTGAGCTATACTCTGAGATTTCAAACGAACCAACTCGATATCTCCCAGAATATCAGATAGTATCATTAAGCGTATGCAGTACAGCCTAGCGGGATGAATTTGATGTCATTCTTCTCTCCATTATGTGGATGCTTATTCTCTTTGAGGGGGGGTGGTTATTTTTCTTCACTTTTTTCTTAACGAAGCTAAAGAACTAAAGATGTCTAGTATCTAGATGGATCAGTAGGGAGAATTCTCCGGTAACATATCTACAAATCGTTTATCTCCGTACAGGGATGCCTAACCGTAACAATTCGGCTTCACCACATCTCCTTTTAGTTACGACCCTAGGTATAGCACTCTGCTTACTCATATCTAGGGCGATTTCCACCGGTACATATCGAGTGGCGTAGCGTAAAGTCTATTTGGGACCCCTGGCCTTGTTCACAACATTCCTCCTTTACAGATCGAGTCGAGAATAGCGTCCCCCCTAAGCCTCAGTACTATGGTGTAGCACTAATTGGCCATTCCGATAACTAGAATAGGACTGTCAACATTACATACCCATCCCATGCTAGGAAATAGCGATGCTTAAGGTTCAGACGGGACATTGTCCGGGGATTTAGGGATGTGGCCGTTAGCAACGCCACCAGCGAACTCTCCTATTCGTTGTGTCTACCCGTAGGCATTCTGTGAGTGGTCCGGGAGGATGCTAGCTCCCTTGGTGCTCTTTGGGTATCCATGGATGTGCTGTATTCCTGTAACTCATCTGTAATCAAGTCAACTAAGAATACCAGGAGCTCCTCCACTCATTATAGAGAGAATGACTCTATGATCGAAGCTATGGAATGGCGGTTATATGCTAACAGCATTTTCACCCAATGAGTTCACCTGCTTGACCTTCTCCATGTCTATATAATAACTTCCCATCTGGCCCAATTCTTTATATCTGGGAATGTTTCCATTTTATATTACCAATCACATTATTATATCTGATTCTTAAGACTCACTACCATCTTAACTACTATTATTCAGTACAGTTGTTGCTGTCAGGCATGTCATCTAGCACGCCGTCTAGTCCCAACTATACATCTTTCCTAAGCTTTGACGCGGGAATGTCTAACTCTTCAAAACCTACGGGGGATATCACGAACAAGGGAGGGAAGCGCAAGGGTAAGTCTTTTTGCTTCCATCTTGCATCTTTAAAGTCTCGCCCTGCATGCATGCATGATCAAAGCAAGCTGCTGACCCAACAGTCTTAGGAAGCAGAAGTGTATCGACTCTCACTCCCTCGCAGCTCTCACGGAAGCGCGCCAATGACCGTGAGGCTCAAAGGGCCATTCGGGCCCGCACAAAGGAACACATCGAGAGCCTCGAGCGAGAAATAGAGGACCTGCGCAGCCAGCAGAGCCGTGATCAGATCGTCCAGAACCTGCTTCGCAAAAACCGAGCGCTGGAGGATGAGCTGCGCCGCCTTAGAGAGTGTATGGGGATACGTCATAGTGATGCCAGCGAGCAGTACCAGTCTGGTGTGTATTATCCCCTCAAGAACCGTTTTACAGCTTCCGTACCTATTTACTGACACTGCTGGGAAATAGTGTTCGACCACACTAGTCCCCGCCAGACCATGGGACAGCCCATGGCCGGCTACTCGATGATGCAAAATATCCCTTCTTATGACTCCATGCCGGATGCGACAGGGGGCTGGTCGACGGCTGTCCCTTGCTCCATCTCCTCTACCGTTTCCAGCCCGTCGTCATCGGGAGGCACAGATGACTTTGCTGGGGGTAATTATCTCTCTACATCCGGCTCGCCTACGGTCTTCGAGCGGGGGAGCTTGCCGCCTCACGCTCGGTCTCCCGTCATCTCTGGTGAGAACGGTGACGGTGGTTTTGATGATGTGAAGCCTGGTATGTATTTTTCATTCAGCCAACGTTTAAAAAAAAATTGATAACTAATGAATTCGCCTTAGACTTCGCTTGTCATCAGATCAATATGATGCCACTCACTTCGAACTACTCCTACCAACCCTGGAACCTCTACCCTACCATGCAACACTACCAAGCGCCGATGCAACTAGACCACAGTCACCAAATGCCGCAGATTGCACGATGTCAGTTTTGAGCGCCATGCCACATTGCGGGACTGGCATGTTTTTGTAAGATATGATATGGTTTAGGAGTTTTTGGCGAAATATGGCAGGAGAGCAACTTAGCCTTTGATTTTTGAAGGCTATACTTACTACAGCAGCGAGCTTCATCTGACGATGTTGGAAGGCTTTATTCAGCCCCCTTTCAATCTACCACTACACGTTTTATCTAGATGCTATATTTCTCGATAGCAACCATAAAATGGTTCGTCAGATTTGCAGATAGAGAGACAGACTACTACTACTACTACTACCAACAGAGAAGCTCATAGATTTTAACATTTTCTTGGCTTTTTTCACCACTAAAACGACATAAATCTACTTTGATGAAGATAATAAGGGGGGGGGGGGGGGGGGGGGGTTATTATTCTTCCCTACCCACCCATCCGCGGGGGTCCTCCAGCTTCTGATTTAGTTTTCGACCGGCCCCGCTGTACACTCACAGCCATTGACCGCTGCGGGTGCGGAATAATTTCATTTGGTATGGCGGGATCGTGAAAAAGAAGGGGCGCTAAGTAGTGGGGCGATCGATCTATAAGGCGGAAATTTTCCTCCCAAGCGCCATACCATATTTGGACGGCTCGGAGAATAGGGAGTTGGATGGGAAAGTGATGGATATTGAAGACGCAATTGTTTACATTCCTATCCACAGTCTGGCTAGTCTAGCCAAAAGGATATTTATTACCCAGGTACTAGAGAAGAAAAATACTTCTTGAGGAGGGGAGGATACGATACGCAGTTCACGGCGGAATGAGACGAGTTACGACTACGATGAGAATTGAAGCTGGAAGGCGGGTTTTTCCTGGTCCTTTACCAGTGGGGGGATGTTGATCATTTGGATTCTGAGAATCACATTTGAAAATAGGTAGTTTTACTTCTATATAATTGTTTCAATGATAATACATATCAATAATTTGAATTGGTACTCAAAAGTTTGCAGTAGGTATTCCAACTTTTAAGCCCCTTAAAAACTAACACACATATCCACATCTCCTTTCTAGATACACCGAGAATACCTCACAACCACTGTGTAGGAAGGTAAATCCCTTCAATACAGTCAAATTTCTACCCTTCTATGACGACATTTCTAAATCACATTCCTTTCTTTTTACGGGTCGGCCGATGGATCTGGGGACTATGGAGGCTTCCCACCCATGAGGAAAGCGCCTATCTGCTGCCGTACTTAACTCATCAGGAGGTATGTATGTGTGTTTCTGGTTTTCTAAACATCGCACTTCCTGATGTTGTAGGGTACTTGATTCAGTGCCAGGCGCCCACAGTGCATAGTAACACACGAACAGCAGAACCGTCTTTCTTTCTTTTCACTACACTCGAAACTTCAAACCCAAGGGTCCAAGTGAGGGAAATATCTGTACCCGCTAAAAAGGCATCATCCCGTCCTGCACCGTTGAAAAGTCAAAAAATGCTATATGTTGGAGCGCGAGGTTTGGGATTGGCGGGCTTTTATCTCCGGTTCGAGATTTTGATGGTGTAGAGAAACGTTTATCTTCCTTTCTTTTCCTTTAGGGGGTTGGTGGGCATGTTGAGCCCTCTTGTTTCATTATGGCATAATTCGTGGAGACATAGGTTGCATACATGAACGACGACTAAACATTACTTAGTTTGAGGTGGTTGTTGCACGTGGAGGGGGACTAAGTCTCTACCTCCTACCTCTAGGTACTTGGTAGTTGAGGTAGTAGGGCAGGTATGCAGGCAAGCCCCAAGCCTAGGAGCTCACTCAGGATGACTTACTAACCTCAGGCCCACCGAAGCAAGAGAGCTGTACCCCATGTTATGCTCCCTTGAAAAAGATATACGGATATAGCCTTAGTCCCTACATACTACAAGTGAGTTGTATACCCTACTAGGTCACGGGGGCAGCCTCGGTTAAAGTGAAAACCCCTTTTTCTTCTGCATACTTAGTACATGCGTACTTGCCTACTGGGCAGTCAGTTAGTTCACCTCACCTAGGCGTTTTCCGCATACTCGCCCCAATTCTACCTAGCCGTAACTTTATATCCGAGAAAAACCGCGCGCTACTGCGAAGCTGCCGCCATTCGAGGTAGGTACTATTTCTTAGTAGGCATAGTCTATAAACGAGTACATACGTACCTAGGTAGAGAAAGAGAGGGAGGGAGAAAGGGAAGGGAAGGGAAAACTACGGACGAAGGGTAAATCCGCTTTCGAAGTTGAGGTCTAGAACAGACAGGACAGAGATCTTTACCCCTTCACCATGAGCTCAAAAATACCTCATTATACGCGTCCAGCCTAGGTATGTGAGCTTTCCCACTTAGAGCTACTGTCTAAGATAGATAGAGATGTGCGTGGATTATGCATCATATTTTTCTAAATCTCCCCCATGGGGGATTTATGTATCAGTTTCCGTGTGTGTGTGTGTGTGCGTGTGGCACTCCAACTTGTTGTTGTATACACCCTTTTTTCTAGCTTCCTAGCGTTTGGGTGCGTGAGCATGGTGAAATAGTATCGTCAAGTTGTGACAATTTCGAACGAAGGTTGCTACTATACACCACCAGGAGTTCGAAACGGACACTGAACAGAACACAGAAAGAAAGAAAAAAGTGTGGCCCAGTGCTTTGAGAATTCTTCCGTAATGGTCCCTGGCTAGTTCCAGTACAGAGGTGTGGTGATGAAGTCATCCCACACAAAACTGAGAGGGATGCATGGGTTCGAAAACCAGGGGCTAGTTGAACTCTATTCATGTCCTTGTGTGCCCTACGAAGAGAAAATAAACAAAAATAAGAAAATAAAGAGCCCCGTCCCTGCAGGATGCCTACACTAACTAGGGATATTTCTGGTAACGGGATGGGCGAAACATGGGCAAGGTTCTGTTACCCCAGATCGCCGCTATGCGTGTGACTGCCATGCCTGTCCCTTCCTTACCTTATTATCGTCGATCCGGGAACTAATAGACGATCAGTAATAAATAAGGGACTTTAAAGTAAAGAGTGGACCCCCTTTTTCTCCATTCGAGGCTGAGAGGTTCCGCGCAAACGAGGGTCTGCTAGGTTAGCGCGGATATATCGACACACACACATTCAACGTAAGATCAACACATGACCTACCTACTGATATAGCTCTATACACCTGTTAGACGGCTCACAGACAAGGTGAAAAAATTATGTAGAATATGTTGGTCTTGAGGTATAATTCTCCTTTCTTGGCTTGATACCTTTTACTCCTATTATCTTCCACAATCAACCGACGACAAGGATACGAATAGTAACTATCTAGAGTAAATGATTCGGTACCGAAGTGAACAGACCCACCACCACCAGTACTTCACTACCTATGCATGAATATCTCAGATATCGATGCCCGCGGGAATCCCATTCCCATGTACGGGTACCTACCTACAAGCCAGCGTCCCCCACTCTTAAAAGGCCGCGATGGCTTCCTTAGTCTCTACCCTTAGTTTCTCCCCTAATCTAGTTCCAACACAACAACTCCCTACCAGTATTCTGCTAACCTTCATACAGGCTTAGTCAGTATGCAAACCCGCCTCCTAGCGCCGTCCTACGGAGATATACGATCTACCCAGCCCATCGCTGAGCCCGCTCCACTCGCTTAAACGAACCGATCCCGTCGTTTTCATTGGCTTTGCTCCAGAGAGACATATACATCCTAGGTACAGAAACAGTGCTTCGGTCCCGGGTGTCACATACCAAGACGCCCTTGGCATTCTTTAGCAACTTACTTACCTATGCTGGATTGCATTAGGTAGGAGGGGGAAAGAAAAGAAGCTTTTCCCCAACGGATGCCAAGGGAAACCGAAGGGAACGACAGGCAGTATAGCAACTGTGGGAAGCAATAGCTATGGATGTAGCTACGCGAGCAGGCATGGGATAGGTAATTCCGATGTATCTACCTATGTATCTGTCGGGCGTTCCGACACCCTCAAGTGCCTATTCAGGCGAAATTGTTTCCTATAGGTACTTGTCGGTAGGAGTTACATACATGTAGTATTGCCTCCCTCCATTTTCAATGTACTTCAGAACCAAAAAATACATCAGTAGGTATATAGGTACCTCTACTATACTACCCACCAGCCCCAAAGACAATTGGAGCTGTTTAGAGCTATTTAGCTATTTCGCCCTCGATCTAAAGTAGACCTTTTGCCTTCTCCCCTTCACCTTCATGACTGGTGACTCGCCGCCAGCATTGTTCCAACGCCTACCTAAATACCTGTCTCATGACCTCTAGTTAGGTGGTTCCCCCACACATACCTACTCTTTACCTTAGTAGTTGGTTGATAGATAGTAGGTTAGATGGGTAGTAAGTAGAGCAGTAGTCAGTAGTAAGTAGTGCAGAGAGGAGATCAGAGACTTGTGTGTTTTAGCCTCACTTGACGAGGCAACAATCTGCGAACTGGAGACGCACGGGAGCCAATAGGGACCGTTATGTTGGTAGGCTGGTAGGTAGCTTAGTCAGTTGATATCGGCCGAACAGCCTCCAAGGTGCTGACTACCTACTAGGTAGTTAGAGTGAAGCGTGGGGCAACTTATCATCTGGGGCTAAACTCTGATGTTTGATTCATGGCCTTATCTAGATGCTATAGCGTATCTAGTAGATTATCAGATCTTAGATGGGGGGTTTTGGGGGGGTCTTGTCGTTTAACTCACCTTCGCTTCGTCATATCGAACTAGCAAAAGAACACTGGGCTTTGTGGCTAGTTTAGCATACCATCCTTTAGTAAGTATACGTCGTCACAACAAGACCTCTGTGTAGATAAAGTTACGAAGATGGAAGATTTCGAACTTGCGATATGCTTCAGGGGGGTCGTTAGTAGATCTAATCTCTTGGTACTACTGAAACTTATCACTCGTCGACTCGGTCGAGATGGATCTAAATAGATCTATACCTACCTATGTGGACAGCTTCCTAACTATTGACGAATGCCAAAAGTGTTTTTACCCCCCACACGACTGAAGTAGCCGAAATGGATGATGATATATGAAAGACTTCATCAAGTATCGAACCTAGAGTAATCGGCAGGGGAAATGCTATGCCAACGAATACGTCAAGGCTAATCTCCACTTCGTCTACCCCCTTTATCATCTGGTAATTGAAGTTGTACTGAAGACGATCAAAGCTCCCTTGTTAGTATTCTCCCCACACGAGTACTATATGTAAGATGGTTTACCATGCAAGTTGGATACTTAATACAACGAAGAATTAGAATGAGTTATGAGATCTAGCCAATAACCTTGGTCAAGGTTAGTCACAAACTTGAACCTAGCTATCATTTTACCATGGTTACCTACCTAAGTATAGGTAATCTATAGTCTGTGAATATAATTCTAGGTCAGCTGATAAAATCTACTCAATGTTATAGGCTTCTTAGTTAGATTTAGTAAATATGTAGCCATGCGCATCCAATGAACAGAACAATGATGGGTACAACAGCAAGGCTGTGAGTTGAAAGAGGATTCAAGTTAGCAATTGAACCACCCTACTTACGTACCTAGATAAGGGGTCAACAAAGGTAGAGAGTAAAGTGCCACCTATTTCACCCTCAGGCATATTGTACTATATACAAACCATAACTAATGATGTCGCAGCGCCTCATGTATTCTTCAAGTTACGGTCTTAATATCTCTAGTCATGGATACGTTAATGGGCTTCTTTACACATGAATCAAGCAGGACTATCAGGAATAGCCTCACGAACAATATCACTATGATTGTGCCTAAGTACCCAGGTACCTATTCAATATCTCTGTAATAACAATATGAACCTATTGCGATTTCCATCATAACCCAGCTTCGCGTACCTATCAAGATCAACTCGGCAACCGGTACGTCCTCGGGGATGATTATGCCCAGCGCAGGTTAATCCCGAGAGACCGCCAAGCATATCAATCAATCATCTTACAATTGCAAGAGTACAAGAAAGAAAAAAATCTATAAAACCCGACCAAGGAAAAAAAACCGAAGTCAGTAAGAAGGGGAAAACAGCTAACTTCTTGGCTCATCAGCCACTTTCACTTAGGTCTGACGCGGCCCGCTGACAAACCGCATACCTGATACTTGTGAGGTCCTAGACTATTATCATCACGTACATACAACTATAGGCTGATGGGAAATCCCATAGAAGAGCCACCTAATCAGCCAAGAAGAGCACACGACGCTGTCATCCCAACGGCCAAGAGGGATAAGGGCAGAATCACATAGCCTGGCAATAATGCCCAGCTAGTTAGTTAGTAGGCAACCGCCCCCGTCTACAGCTAAGACGGAAATATGGCCGATTTGCTCCGCGGGCAAGTTTTTAGAAGGAATAAAAAGCAATGTCATATACTATGGTAGGTACGTGGAAGCCCGTGGCGTAGAGCTGAGCAAGCCGTGTAATCAGTTTAGGTAGTAGGTTAGTTAGTTAATAAGTGAGAGGCAGAACAAACGCGCCGACCGGATCGTTTGCCCGTTCGGGCTACACGAGACAAGACCCGGATCGCCGAGTCGCATGCGCGTCCGCGCAATCTATTTTCTAACCGCTATTTCCATTAACGGACCTACCTACCCACGTAGTGGCTGAGACTGGTTGACATTTACCTATGCAGCGAAGTAATAACATTTCGGGTCTTCGCAGTACGTTAGGTAGGTAGGTAGGTAGGTATGAATGCATATATATGGGCGTTAAAGTGATCCAAAGATCTAATCTCTTTCATCAAACGCCTCCACGTCATCTAGTTGACCTGTGTGAGCCCCCCCCCCCCCCACGATATGTACGTAGACGAAGCCCCTGTGCTACCGGCACTTTACACGCCGGGCATGAGGGCATGAGGGCGAGATGGCCGGGATTGCGATCCTGTCAGCCGCCTCCGCCAAGGGACCCCCTCCCTTCCTCCCGTCCCGTCCAATCCCGGCGTGTTAATTACATAGTTACCTGGTCAGTCAATCAGTCAGTTGGAAACGGCGTAGATTTGGCAGGTAGTTACTTAGTCATCCATATTGTACATTCCTCGCATTTAAGCCAGCAGGATAGGATAAACCCGAGAGAATACCAAGGCCCGCCCGAACAACACGTACAAAAACGGTGAGAGCGGGAAAGATACCCAGGTAGGTTCTTTCTTTATCCAATTTTTCTCTGTGCTAATGAGATGAGATGACTGACATAGGTGTAATCCGCGTAATGAAACCACGTACGTCTTTCCACTGTATTTCGTTTCGTCGCCCAAGAGAGGTTGATGTCGATGTCGGTGTGTACATACCTAATGCTGATCATCATGAATAACAAAAGATCCCATTACCTTGCGTCGTCGTTTCCAACGCGTCATCGCGCCAGTGAACCTCTTTCCTGTAGAGCTCTTCCTGTAGCTGTGCTTCACTGTTATCACCGTCGATGGAAGCTAGGTGCACGACACGACGCGTATCGTAAGTAGATAGTATTATCCATCTGTATTGTTTGGTACCTACAGTCGTTGCATACCCTCGGTACCTAGGCAGGTAGGTATGTAAATCTGACTGTGCCGCATGTCTGTCCGTCTGCATGGATCTACCGGGGACCGAACCAATGTTCGTCATATCGTATCGGCCCCAACCTTCTCTTCCCTCTCTCTGCTCATCTAATTCCCCTGACTTGCGATAAGCCATCTCAATAAGCTCTTGATAATCACCTAACCTAACCTAGGTATGCATTCAATAACAGGAAAAAAAAAAAAGGGGCGTGGTTAGAAAGAAACGTAGGTAGCGGATATAAACACCCCCATCCCTATACGACCACTACTAAGGCACCAGATAACGTAAGTAGTAGGTACCTACCTACCTACCTACCTACTTTGTATGCATCTAGAAGCAAAAGCCCCCTTAACACAATATCTATACCTCCCCTTTTGTGACGACAACACGCCCATAGATAGATCTTGATAACTAAATACCACCGAATCTCATCTCCCTTCACATCCGGCTCTTGCTATCTCGACGACCGGGGTCCCCTTCCCCTGCCCTACCCCAGCCCCCGGCCCCAAAAAAAAAACAAGCCTTCTTATCCGCCTGCCGGAAGAGAAAAATGATGCCATAGCAAACAAATATCAGCGAAGCGAGCGAGCACATGTCAAAACACCAAAAACCTTATTATTGTTAATACAATATATATATAGCTCTTACTATAGCAACAAACAAAATAACCGGGTCCGGCCCGACTGGGGGTAGATGGGGCTTAGCGGGCTGGCCCTAACGGTGGTACCCAATTAGGCATGTGTGCGGAGTGTGACATCGGGGCGTTTATAGTATGTAGTTGGGAGTTTGGTTTGGTATAGGGTTTCCAAGGCTAGTGGCGTGATTCGACGTGCGAGGTAGTTATTGTTGGTTTAGGTAGGTATGTATGTATGTAGGTTAGGTGGTTTTTGCCTTGATACAAAGGAGATACTAGATAGGTATGGAGTCGTAGTTTTGTAAACGTGCTCTATGAACGTGCTCGGCGGTATAGTAAGGAGGCCACATGGGATATGTCACATGTACACTATCAGGTCGGTTAAGTAGGTGTGTAGGAATTGCGCCGAGTGTGTAAATGCTCGTGCAGAAACAAGAAAGGAGACTGATTTATTAAGCGGCGAACCTCAAGGTGACCGCACATAACATGAGGCAAGGCAAGGCAAAGTAGGTAGGGGCTAGTAGATAGGTAATAGATGTAGTAAGTAGTATGTTCATATTCAAAATAGTTTAAGCCAAAGAATTATCTATAATAAATTAACCCTATAGTAACAAAAGCTCTAGTAAGCAGCTGACATCTCCCGGAACGCCGTCTACGTTGAGTGACGCCGGTCGTGACATAACCCTCTGGGTATTACCTAGTATCTAATGACCTAGTATCTACATATCTAACCGAGAACTCATAGAACCACCAATGACGAAATAGTTGTTGTAAGCGAACTACCAACCGAACTGCTCACAGTGAACCTCGACCGCAGGACCGTTGACACGAATGCAACTAGCGGCGGTATTTCGCACCACCGTAGTGAGGCCGCTAGGGCCACACGCAGCAATGAGAACCCGCTGGTTGCTACCCATGGACTGCACCGCGGTTCGGATCTCCGCCTCTGTATCGGGCCTACCGTGATAGACGGGGAAGTTCGTCGTACTCGAAAGCGCCGAGGGGATTTCCACCTGCTCTACCGCATCCTTCTCGTCCTTGTCAGATCCATAATGCGTAGCAGCAGAAGATGCTGGGCCGCTCGTTGTGACATCATCGACACCCTTTTCAAGCGCCGACGGCCCCTGGTCTTCTGAGCGCCCTGATGTTGAACTAGGCGCTGCAGAATCTTGGTTGACGGAGGGACTAGGAGACAATTTGGTAAGATGCACTTTGAAGGCAATCTTTGGAGCATGCACATGATTCCGAAGATTGTTTAGATGTTGCGTGAACCACACCAGGTTGTCTAGATGAGGGTTAGTGCTCGTTTCTATCCATTTTGAGGGCCGATAAGCCAGAATGACTACTCACCATGTTTCTTAATCGCCCAAATGAAATCAATTTGCTGCTGTGAGTTCTCGGCCATTCGCTGGAGCATGTCCGCTGCAATTCCAAATGTGAAGGTCGCACCAGATCCACCTGCAACTAAGATCACTTTGTCGAAGTCCATAGGATCAGGAAGTGTGCCATACGGCCCTTCCACTGACACCTTGAGACTTGCTCCAGGATTCTTCGCCGCGTAGTCGTGAAGATCTCGGGTAAACCCACTATACGTATTAATGACCAGTTCCATTGGGTCGCTGGCAACGATGGTGAACGGGTGTGTTTCAAACTTGCGGATCCTGGGAAGCCAGACAAAACAGTGCTTGCCAGGTCGAGCGCGCAAAATAGGCTTCTTGAGTACTATTCGAGTGCCGCCATTGGGAAGAGCATAGATACTGGCCTCATTGTTGATGCTGTTATACGCTAGCCGACAGAATCGAATGAGACGATCTGCAAACCATAAGGCGCCCATGATTACGGTAGCGTATAATATTTTATCCTCGTCGAAGCTTGGGCGGTGTAAGCCTAAAGTGACCACAATGACAACGAATAGGGCAATGTGTAAGACGTAGAAGAGCTCATAACTCAAGCGTCTTAGAAAGGCGCCGGCTAATACCGTAGCAAGCATAGCAAAGCCAAGAATGATGCCAGCCGTGACGACATCCTCGTGGAGAACTTCAATCCTTCCGGCAGCGATAAAGTAGTGTGTGTAAATGGAGCTGTGCAGAATAGCATACAGCATTGTTGTATACCCAGCGATTCTATGCAGGACATTGAGTCGTTCGTAGGAATAAGCTGTTAAAATTGCCAAGGGTGTGTTCTTCAATGCTAGGAAGACCACCAATACCGTATTTCCTGTAGCCATCCTATATCCATGCATGTCAGCGGAAAAACGAGAGGAGGCGTTTGTAAGGACTCACCAGCCAAACCGAGCAGCCAAGTCCGTAGGCCTACTATAATCAATACGGTAAAAGCTGAAAAGTACGTTCATAGCTACGTAGATGGTGACCACGATAGCATGCCCAACTGATGGGAAGCCCAGAAGACTTCGTATGAATATCTTCCTGGCGACTCTAGAGGTAATGTGTTAGCTTCTTCACCAATGTTTCTTTTGAAAGCGTCCTGGCTCACCTTGTAACGATAGTGAAGGGTAATGATATCGGGTTACGCGAGGCAGACCAGCCAAGTCGGACAAGTACGAAACGAAGCCAATGAGCAATTATGAAAAGCCCAATAAGAGCACTGAGCGAGGCTGCGTAGTATGTGCTAATTTGTACATTTCCCCTTTGCCGCTGCTCGAAATACGCTGCCCTGGCGGCCGCGGCGGATGCGGCAGCCGCCGCCGCCGCCGTACCGGAAGCTTCTGGGCTGATAGAAGTCGACGACATTATGGCTTTGGGTACCAAGGTTGTATTTAGGATCGACGATCCTTAGATAAGTGAAGGAGGAAGCTGGGCTTTATAAGAGGCAGTGATGATAAAGCCACAAGCTATGCGTAGTGAACGTTGGAACGCGCAGCATCTACGTCAGAGGACCTTTATTGTACGTGGACAGAACGGGACCGATTGGGAGGGAGAGTAGACTGAAATAAGAGTCTTCAAAGGATGAGACGGACTAATAGTACACCGCGGGTGGTGTAGACGTAAGCTGTTATCTATTCATAAGTCAATCCTCTTGCTAAGGAAAGCGAAGAGACATGGCTAGGATTAAATCATAACTTTCCTCGAGCCATACGGCTTGGCATAGCACATGTCTATGTTGTCATGTCCTGGTACAGTAGGTAGTTGAAGATTCTACTTGAAATGGATCACGAATCCCTGTCCCTAATAGAGACTTTCCAGATATGTACCGATTTGCCCAACGGTCTAAGACATCTGCATGCCGTTACATATCGGACAGGGGATGGATGTGACACACCGGTAGTGGTGATGCACGATAGGACCACTCGGGTTTTTGATATCGTTGCGAGGCAGTTGCATCTTGGAGTGGCATCCATAGATCCCAGAGAGTAGTATTTAGCAGGCTTAACCAGACTTAACTACCCTAGGTAGGCTCGGAAGCCAGACTAACTGGGTCTTTGACTCGAGACATGTCTGATATGTAGATAGGTAAGTTTACCATTGTAGGTAGGTAGGTGGTATGTATGTACGAGCCGCTAAGGAGGATTAGGAAGATGGACGACATTTTTGGTCGATGTAACTCCTAAAGCTTCAAGGCCAAGGGTAGTGGTATATGGTGTGATGCAATTGGAGGCTACGTGCATGGATGATAGGTAAATCCGAGTCGGCGGAGCTGTAGAGTAGCCTAGGCCCTATAGATGTAAAGAAAACGGAACAATTGCGGTAGTTAAGTAAACGCTAGGTAGGTGATGCGTATATACGTGTATATGTGAGATAAAGAAGCATATACGTGTATAGGTGAGATAGAGAAAAGAAGAGTAGTGACGTTCTGAATGTTTCAATTACACTGTTTGAGAGAGAGGAAGGGGGGGGGGGGGGGGGTCTCATTAACAGCCAGACAACCTTGAAGGTTAGGTAGTACCCGGTACCTATTAAACTACTAGGTTAGGTACCTACCTAGTACTTGGATTACGTTATCCGATTCGATGTTATCAAGGGTTTAATAGGTTAGTAAACTACCTAGGGTAGATTCAATTGGTCCGCAATAATTAATCTACGAAGGACTTCCCCTTTTGGTAAATATCGTTAAGTAGGAAGTACGAGATATGCATCTATCGCGATTAGTAGCAACTTGTCGAGGTAATCTCAATGCTCGCTTCAAGTTCTTCTTCTTCCTACATCTTTTTTCTCTTTTTCTGGTTTTCTTTTCATTTTCTTATTTTCTCCCTTGCAACCCCAAACGAGAACCTTGTCCGTCGTCCCAAACCAGCCATGCTACTCACGGTCGGAAGCTTTGAAGTTCTGTTAGAGGTTAACAATCTGGATAAAACGGCCGGTTCTTTTAAACCCTGGTCAGCCTTCCGGACGATGCACGACCGTCAACAATTTGCTATCCCGATTGGGTCCATGAAATCACCTCCACCTCGTCTTGGTGGGGAATTGCCGTACAAATATTAAATATTGACATCTTTGTATCTCAGAGTTCAACATAGGAGAATTATCTGAGATCTTGCTGTTCAATACCCGATATCTCATTTGATTCCCGTGGGTGGGTGATTGCAGCTTGCGATTCGGGTGCCAAGGCATCGGTGAGACTGACGATAGTTACTCTAGTCGTTTTGCGTGGTCGTATGCTGCTCTCGCATTCGATTCTTACGATATGAAGAACAAGAATCCCTTTAATCATTCCTTGTTGACCAACGTCAAAACTGGCAAACGGCTTCATGATTGCTCAGTTTAGACGAGAATATCTGCAAGGCGATTTACGATGTTACGAAGCCATCTCGAACCATGGATGCTTTGCTATCGGGTCCATACTCGGAACGGCAGGATCAAGCGCTCGTCTGTTTTGCTCTATCATGCCATGATTTGAATGCAGAGTCGTGGGATTTGAGTATTCGCGCTCCGCTGGAGGCAAGTATAGTCCGTGATACCTATACCTTCAGTATTTGTAAAGTCGCAGGGGCCGCAGGCCTTGGCATTCTCCACGTGTCATCCTCATTCCTGTCGGGTTCTATGCACATCACTGTAGGAGTTGTGATGCACCGATTATAGGTCAGCTTCAGCCCTTTTACCTAAACCTCCGAAGGCCTTGTCTTGTCTAGATCATTCGATATTATTATCGTTTATAGCAGGCCAAGTTCAGCTATGTCAGCGACTTGTCAGCACATACATGATTTTTTTTTATTCGCTTCGCCCACATCTGAAGAGAGCGCGTCTCAGCCTTCCCGCCGCAGCTGAGATACCCCGAAAACAGGGTAGATAGGTAAGACCTTGTCTTGGCCGTTGCTAGGGGCTCCAGTACTTCCTAGAGAAACACTAAGTTGATGAGGTAGGCTTTCAGTTGAACGAGAAAATCGTGGAACGGAAGCTCACCTTCCAGCCTTGCAATTCCAGGAGAGTCAGCCTCTAGGCAGGTAGTCTTCGTTCATCAACCCTGTATATGGCATCTTGCCCGTCCCCACTATGGATCTGATAACAAGCCACCGAGTGTCTCTTTTAGGCAGTTGACCAAAAAAACACAAATACTGACAACCAGTTATCATACAACAGCGGTCCTATGTATGTAGGAATAAGAATAGGATCGAAATAGGAAGGATGGGTTATGGGTTATTACAGCATCTCGTGATTTTAACACCAAAATGCCATGTGCTTCGATATAACGAACGATATAATGCTTAAATAAGCAAAACGTGGTGTGCTAACATACCTAACGGTCATCCTGCCCTTCCCACCCTTCCTCTTTCGCCAAAAGGCGAGTTGGCTTACCTTAGACTTCGACTCATGCATAGGTAGGTCGCATTCATCGTCGATTAGCTGCCTAGAACTTATGATCTTAGGAATCTGAATTTATAGAACCCGAGGTAGCTGTATCCTAGTAATCGCATCTGCAACTCCCATACCCCTTGAGCCCTATATTACCTTGTCCTAGATCTACATAGACCGCAAGCCCAATCCTTCATCGAAGCTTGAGATGCTAACAGTTGATAAAAGTTTAGTTCTAACATGCTGGGTATCTTTGCCTACCCCTGACTACGCCATTGGGTTGGGTTACATCGAGGCAGGATACTAAGACAAAGCTTGTTCTCAAGTCAAAAAGTATTCGGTCCATTCGATCACTCTCCAATAGGTTAGGTGTTTAACACCACTAGGTTAGGTTACTGCATTCCCGTTGGAGAAACACAGCTAACATACTCCAATGAATTACTTAATTAATAAATTATGTTAGGTAATTTTCTTCAACAGCCGGTAGGTCACATCCGAGCGTCACACAGATCGGCGCTCTATATTCTGCTAAATGAAAATCTGGGGAAGCCAAGCCGTTTGTTAATGCTTATCTCTCCGGATCAACGACGCTTAATCCCAAAGAGGTCCCTTTTCAACGTCTTTCGGTTTGCAACGGTTGCAACAATGCTCGCTGATACGTAGGTAGGTATAGACAGAAATTAAGCTCATCGGCATGTAATGACAGTTACTTGGCTTCCCGTCGTCCCGGTTGCCCTGATTTGCCAAGTTACCGGCGTGACGGCGTCTCATCCATGCGACATTGATGTACTTATTCGAAGCGAGATCACCTCTACCAAAAAAGAAACTCTCACTGCAGCCTAGAGACATGTCCATGCTTACTACCGCAAGCAGCCCCTAAGCTTCATTCAATACGGTGACTCCGAAAGCATTGCCAAGTTCTGATAGCTTTATGACAAGTAGCTGGAGAAGAAAAGGCTCTAACTAGAACTCGCATTGCTGTATTGGCTCATATCGAAGTCATGGATTCGGTTCCCCTGATGATCGCCCCAGGGGTGCTCTCTGGCCAGCCCTGAGGATGACACCTAGCCGACGGACTCAAACGTGAATCAATTAACTACACAATTTCGTTTTGAGCTCCTTGCTGACGCATTCATCCCACTGCAACATCGCTAACCTAAGTATCTCAAAAAGAGCCCATCCTCCACGATAATATTCATACAGCTGAGAAAATAAGCTCCATCCGACGTCCAGCTCACAGAAAAACAGAAAAGAAAACCTGTTTTGAGGCGGCGGTGCCATCACAGTTATTTCATATAGGCGCTTGCTTAGTATATAGGAAAGTTATAATATGAGATCGGAGATATACGCGAAAGGGGTGTGTCTAGCTCTAGCCTACTATGTAAGTTGGCAAAACTTATCATACACCTGGGCACGAATCTACTCTACCTACCTGCCTAGGTAAGTGTCAACTAAACTTTTTTTATTTGAAGCATATCCGAGAGCCCTTTTTGAACGTTAACCTAGATACTGCTGGGTACCAGGATAATGAAATAGTGGTCGCTCTACTTTCATGCGAGTTTCTTGAATGGATCATTTAGCTCAAAGAATTGAGTTCACAACCGATACAAGACGTTTCTTTCTCCTTTCAAAAGATAAGAAGATTAGAGCTTTGCTGACTAGGTACTTACCTAAGAGGCAGAGAACTTGGTGGAAGTAGTATAAAGTTGTCAAAACAAGACTCGGGGTCGGGTTGTTGCGCCCTAGGCATAAACTACTAAGAAAATCACCTCCTGTCAATAATAGTAAGTCCGTTCCTAGGCCTTTACTCGTGATCATAGCATCAGTCCATGATTCTTGCACTGTTGCTCCAATCGCTTATGAATGCACGGTTTGCATAGGCCAGGTACCTACCATGTGAAGTTCACGTTGACGTTTGTGTAGATAGCAAAAGTTCTGAAGTTAAATATCACACGAAAAGAAGAATGTACTGAGGTAGCGATGATTAAATTGCAACATTAACTCTTTTTTATCAGTATCAAACAATGCATCCATGGATAGGAGAAACATCCAAACAACCTCCCCCCCCCCCCCCCCCCCCCTTTTTTTCCCCCTTTCCCCTAACACCACTGAAATGATAGCACTACCCAAAATTCCAGACTACATCTATCTATACTATACGTAACTACATACCTATGTTTAGTTGGTTTACTTTGCATAACCTCCAAGTCCCAACCTAGTTAAGTCATTGCATCCCACCCGAACTTCCCAAGCCTCGCCTCCCCCCTCAAGGTTTCGGCATCGGCAGCGACATCGCATTCAAATACTTCGTCCTGACCGCCTCGATGTCCGCTCTGCTCTGCGGCGTCGTCGTGGTCCGCTGCGCGATCCGGTGCAGCTCGTGACTGGCCCCGAAGACACGATCCAGAATGGCGCGGCGCTGGTCGCGGAACATCTGGGTGCGCGCGTCGACGCGGCGGTCGACTTCGGCGTCGTTGTGAACGCCGTAGCGCATGCGCGTCTCCCGCTCCAGCGTGTCCGTCGTCTTCGCCAGGTCCAGCTGCATCTCCAGCGTGTTCACCCGCACCAGCTCCGTCCGCGTCCGCATCCGCTCCGTCTGCGTGTCCCCCGCCAGCTTCAGCGCGTACACCTGCAGTCTCAGGTCGTCCCCGGGCTGCTTGTCCACGTGCGCGATCATCTCGTCCAGCGCCTGCTCCCCCGTGAGCGGGCGCGCCGGGTCGTCGGGGAACCCGAGCTTGTGGTATAGGGAGACGATCTTCGCCTGCAGGCCCCCGCAGTCCCTACGCATCGCCTCGACCGCCGCCCAGAAGTCCCGCAGGTGGTTGGCGTCGGCGACGTCGCCCATGTACCGCGCGAACACGGCGTCGAGCCAGTCCGCGACGTCGCGGTTCGCGGCCTTGGCGTCTCGGATCTCCTGCATGAGCTTCTTGATGTCGAAGGCCTTGGGCTTCCTGGGCTTCCGCTCGGGGCTCGACTTGGGGCTGGGCTTGGGCTTAGTACCACCACCACCAGCTGCTGGAGTTCTGGAACTGGAGACGGTGCCCTGAAGTTGGGCGTTGTGGTCGGCTAGCTTCTTGTTGAGGTCGTCGACCTGCTTTTGGAGATCGCTGACGGCTTGGTCCTGCGTTCGTTGCTGGTCCTTCAGCGCCGTCTCCCTACCTCGCGAGTCTTTGAGCTGCTGGGTCAGATCATCGAACCGGTCCTGTAGGTCCCTGCGCTGCTGATGGGCAACCGAGATCTCGGAATCCAGTCTTGTCCTGTGGGACGTGCAATCGTCGAGGTGGGTTTGCAGCTCCTTCTTGTCGTCTTCAAGCTGGGCTTTCTCGGTGCGCAAGAGATCAAGCTCCGCCTGGAGAATATCGTTGTTCACTTGAATCTGCGACACCTGGTCCTCGAGGTGCGTCATCTGCCTGTTCCGCTCCTCGTCGTTCGCCGTGGCGACGTCCAGCTGCTTGACCCAGTCTGCCCTCTCCCCCGCCTGCGCCTCCATCTTCTGCGCTATGTGCGTGATGTACCGCTCGTTCTCCGCCACGACGCGGTTGAACCAGGCAATGGGAACGCTGTCCTTTCCTTCGAGCTGCGTCTTCGCGCCCTCCAGCCATCCGCTCTCCCGCAGGCTCCGTATCGTGGTCGTGATGCGGTCCCGTTCCTCGTCCGACGCCGCGGACCCCTTCGCTGCCTCGAAATCGGCGATGGCTTTGGCGATCTCGCTCTCGATGTCTTCTTCGATCCCGTGCGGGTCGTCGTGGATCCCTGTCCCTCCGGTTCCCACGTAGTGCGCGCCAATGGAACCCTTGTTCGCGGGGTCAAAGCCAGGATCGGCAACGGAGAAGCCGGCGAGAGTGCCCTGTCCATTGTCGGTCGAGTATGGGGGGTTGTATGATGGAAAGGGGGAAATCGGCGAGTTATGAACTGGGCTCGGCATCACAGTCCGAGTGTCAATCACCGGAGGTGTCGGCGGCCGTGAAGGCGGAGGATTCCCTGCTGCCATTTTTGTCTATTATCAAGTTTCAACGAACTCGAGTGGGTATTCTAACTGAATACTTGCTTCGATATCTGATACAAACCAATGCGTATTGTAAGTCTATCTTATCACCTCGTGTAGAGAGGGCGCGCGTGGTCTTTGAGTCCCAGAAGCAGGCTTTAACAGAGGTTGATATCATCTTCTTAACTGCCTTTTCATAGATTTCTACGCTTCGTGAAACTCCTACCACAATGAACGAGTTCCTGGCCAGAGAGAGTTGTTCCAAGCCGCTCTATTTTGATCACTGGAACAATGGGATAGAAGGGGCTGGAACAATAATAATTGTTTTTCTGAATCAAATTGATTTGCGTCTTTGTTGGAAGTAAGCAAACATAGGGATGTTATGGTAGCCCAATAAGACATCTGTGCTAAAATTTATCTCAGCGAGCTCAGACTAGAAATCAAAAAACAATCGGGCTGCGCCCGCCTGTGCCACAGGCACATCATTTTCTGGCCCGTGCTCATGTACATGTGGGGCCAAAAAAATGATGTTTTTTAATTTCTAGTCTAAGCATAAACTGTAGAACGCTAATCGGAATGGCACTCCAAGCCATTTCAATTGAAATTGTCAAAATGCCATCATGCTCGCCAGCAACCACGCCACAACAACCGGACCAAATCGTTTCAAAATAAGTTACCAATAGAAATAATTACAATATCTAACCCTAAAGACCTTTTTCATTTAGGTGCAACGTTTAAAAAGCCCTTAAAAGCGCGACATTTGGAAGGCTTTTAAAAGGCGCGTCGATTGGAAGGCTTTTGAAAAGCGCAACAATTGCAGTGGCGTGAGACGCCGCGTTAATAATAATCCGATCCGGCCCGGCCATAAAACAACTTGTAACCTGCCCTACAGACGTTCTTAGATCCTGCGTTTAAGTTAATTAAGAGCTTAATAATTGATAAATAGGACAAACGTGATTGAATATTTTTATCTAATTAATTGATTGATTGATTAATTGAATTAGTTGTGTTTTGACGAAAATTTGACATTGTAGGCTCAGACCACAAATTTGTGTTCATCTTTTTAGCTTGCCTAATCGTTATGATTGGCTGAAAGCCAATGTGGCTGGAAAGGTACATAAGCATAAACTTGTGGTCTGAGTTCACTGAGATAAGCTAAAATCAAAAATTAAGATTAACTATTCCGGATTTGGAAATTAAAAACAATGCTATAAATACGTGAAAAGAATAAATCGTACTTAAGAAAACGTATAAATAAGTTAATATCTTTATATATATATATAGCTTATATAAAAAGTATTTAAGCTATTATATTATTTTATATAATAAGTTAAATATTAATTATATCTTTTTTTCTTATATAATTACTTAATAATTTATATATATAATATATTTATAATTTAAACGTAACTTTTATTAAGAGTTTTGCTATGTGCATTATCTATTTTTGCTATTAGGGCCTTAGGTGCACTACCAATAAGTATTGTACATCCCATAAGTCCACTAAACCTTAAAAGCCAGGGCCCGTCCAACCCATCCATCCCATCCATCCAAATAACTCTTCAGCCATATGTTGCATCACGATGCAACCAGATTCAATTGAAAGAGAATCCGGTTGCCAATTGATTGATATAGGTCTCAAATTGAAGCGATGCGTGGTCGCAAAGTTATTCAAGTAAGTAGGTGGCGGAACGGGAGGCACGTGATCACCCTTAGAGCCACACTATGGGCCCTTAGCGCCCTTGGAGCCCTTAGACCCAAACCTTATTGAACAGTTTCAACCCTGAATAACTTTCCAACCACATGTCGCACCAGGATGCACCCGGGTTCAATTGAATGGTAATTCAATTGCCAATTGATTGGTACAGGTCTCGAACTGAGGCGATATGTGGTTCAAAAGTTATTGTGGTAAATGTATCGTGGGAGGTCACGTGATACTACTTAGCGTAACCCCAGGGGCTTTAGGCGGCTCTAAGGGCCTTAGCGTGGCCCTTACAGCTCTTAGTGTGGCTCTAAGGGTAGTCACGTGATGCCCGGACTGCCACCTTTTTGCTTGAATAGCTCAGCGACTACCCATCGCCTTAATTTGAGACCTACATCAATCAATCGGTAATTGAATGCGCTTTCAATTGATTCCGGTTGCATCGTGCTGCGATATATGGCTGAAAAGTTATATGGATTGAATTGATGTGGGCAGCTGGGGCCGCTAGAGGCGCTAGATTAGGCCCGGATTTGAAGATTTAGGGCATGTACCGGTACCTGATGGTAGTGCACCTAAGACCCTAATAGCAAAAATAGGTAGTGCACATAGCAAACCTCTTATTATATAATTATATAAGTTTATATATTTCCCTTAATAATTAATGAGTTTTGCTATCCGCACCCCATAAAATTGCTATCGGAGCTTATCCGCACCCCAGTACATGACAAAATGCTTAGCGCTCAAACGCCGTTGGTCCGAGCTCTCCAATTAGCTTCAATCAAAAGATCTATCATAACTTCCAATCCAGGAATCGGATTGAGGTGCATCTTATACCATTCGAATCAGCTCAATAAGACGGTCCAAATGATATATGTTTCAGATTGATGCGACCGGTGGCTGCAAAGTTATTCAAGTTGAAAGATTGCAGTCTACCTTGAAGATGGTACAAATTGAAGTGGTCCGTGCATCACGTGATGCCCTTCGCCTAGCGCCAGGCTAGCGGCAAAGCGTTTATTTCACTCTTTTCTAAATAACTTCGCAACCAGCTGTCGCATCAATCTGAGACATATATCATTTGGACCGTCTAATTGAGCTGATTCGAATGATATAAGATGCACTTCAATCCGAGTCTTTGACTGGAAGTTGCGTTGGATCTTTTGATTGAAGCTAGGTGGAGAGCTCGGACCAGCGGCCCTTAAACGCTAATTTCTTATGTACTGGGGTGCGGATAAGCTCCGATAGCAATTTTATGGGGTGCGAATAGCAAAACTCTAATAATATTATTAAGAAAATATTATTTAACTATTTAATATAACTAGCTAAAATACCGATATACATGCTTTTCTTTCTTAAAAAGTGGGACTCCATATTAAATTCGGACTAGCTCAATCATTATTTTCATTTTGGCACAGCTGTTTTATTGGGCCACCGTAATGTAGTTTGCCCTTTCAACGGCATATTAAAGGAGCTAACTACCTACTACCTACCTAGTAGACAGGAGGTAGGGTTTCTTTGTCCATATGATTCGAGTTCTTCGCAAGTGCCGGAGTTTCTCACCTGCTAAAGACTGCATGATAGGGGGGCTAGGTGCCTCATATTCTGAACAGTAATATCACTATTGATTTGTACATCGAGGTCTACCATATAGGGGTACCAGGTACAAGTAAATATATATCATGTTTTGGAGGTTGTTGTCATCAGCTACTGCGTACCAACTCAGGTAGACACCTATAGGAGCAATAGGGGGCGTGCTTACCTAATATCTAATGTCTACCTATTCATCACAACTCCCTTTTTATTGCTCGTCACGAGTCTCTGTCTTTGTTATCCATTATTTACATAGTAGCAGGCGTTTTAGTCTACTAGAACTTCCACTGCAGATTCATAATCCCTTTTTTCAAATTCCGAGTTTCTAACTACATACCAACCAGCCTAAAATCACCAGTACCGACCTTAGTAGGTTAAGTAAGTAAGCCGTCAGCTACCTAGCATATTATTTATCTATGTGTATGACTCGACAGCCTCGAAGTGTGGCACACACACACACAACACACACACACACACACATACCCCATACAATACTTACCTAACCTACATGGATGCGCACCCACACACCGCTGCCTCCCACCACCACCACCATGTACCTACCTACCCAACTAAGCAGCACGACTACCAACGCAAGGGATGAACTAGCCCACCTCAACCTCCCCATCTCCACCACCACCCGACAACTGATACCCGCGCTCCGGCTTGCGAGTGGACAGAACCGAAGGCAAGCCAAAATATTACATCGCTAATATTTGCTCGTTCATTCGCCCGCCGGTATTTGGTTTCTGCATCTCATGGGGCACCCCTTACATGTTTATATCTCTAACCTAGTAGATGAGCGGGTAGGCAGGTAGTATGTAGTTAAGTGGATGCCCACGACACAGACAGCACAACTGAACTTCAATGCTGCTCATTGCAGCGCGATCTTTCGTCCCCGTCGGTAGTGACAGCAATATAGCTAGTCCCTGGGCGCTACGGGGTACGGCATCGCAAAATATTGCCGATGTTAGGCGATCACCTACATACATTTCTAGGTTAACCTAGTACATGCCCATATATCAAGGCACTCGCTAGGATACCAACGTTAATTAGCTGCTAAGTGCAGCACCAATCACCTTTGATACCTACCATTTCGCAGTCGAGCCCTCATCTCCCTCTCTTTCTCCATATACCGCGAAGCTCTCGCAAGCGCCGTGTATATATGATAATCATTTTTCTGATTTGAAAATTATATATATATATGATATCTGACGAGACAGACTTTGATCCCTCGCCTAGGCAGAAAAAGAGATGTAGATGTATCAGGCCCGACCTCAACGTTAGAGGCTGTTTGGGAGCATAAGTTTTGCTTATACTTATGGTCCGTGACACTTTAGTACATAAGTATGCTGAAGTGCGTTTTGATTGTGGGGGTTTTCTCCACTAAAACCACGACCAATCAACGCATTTCTCGATGTCGATAAGTATTGAGATGTTTGTGTGTGTTATTTATGAATTTGAGCTGGACTGTAGCAGTGTAGCTACCTATTGTCCAGGCGTTAACAGGAGGTACGATGGGCCAAACCTAAATTTTCTGTACGGCCATGTACCTGTTGATATTCCACAGATGTTACCTTTTTTAAGCTTTGCAATTGAATAATTTCTTCAATACTATCTCAAATCAATTGATCAAGGCCCTATTTGAATCGCCCTATTTGAATCGCATTAATTGACTGATTAAGAATATCAGTTTGCAGTGTTTTAATTGACCCGGTGCGGGTGATATTTGAGGTTGAAGACCGAGAGCAGTAGTAGCCGCCGCTGTGTGTTAAGCTTAGGGCGTCCACGTGACCCCCTTTGGAGCTGCCACGCCGCTACATCGGGCCTTGATGAATTTAGGACAAAGGGCTTTAGAGCCTTTCAGGGCCATTCGTATATTTTAAGGCCCCTGTGGCCCCTGTGGCCCCTCTGTAAGTAAGGACATAAGTAGAAATAAGCATCCAAATAGCTGCTCATGAAAAGGCAATAAGCATAAGCTATTTCAAGAAAGATGATTGGATAAAAAAAAAAGTATTATGGTTCGATCCACAAGCAGAATTATAGTGGGTTTCAGAATAATTATACCTCACAAACACTTTACTTATCCTTTTGCTGAAAACCCACTAATTCCCCATAAGTCTTTTTTTACTTATGCTCCCAAACAGCCTCTTAACGCCCGAGACATCGAGGCTTCCTTCCCGCCCGCCTCCTGTATCGCCCCACCCCGACCCAGGTCCTGCTCACATGTAGGTATGTATGTATGTCGTGATACATGACAATTTCTATCCCAAACGGTTAGCTCACAACACGATCGTACTACCACAGCAAGAAATCTGGCATCTGTGGAGTGTGGTATGCAGGTAGGTAGATGCTTGACACAAGACGCCAGGACCCCTTATGTTAGATTTGTTCCTCGTGTAGGTACTAGGGACTGAGACGTTGGTGACATGGGCTTCTTGATGAATGAACAGGATTGTGCGTCTGTTTTCTAGTGAGTCTCTTCATGTCGTAATAATATTCCGTACCTACCTAGGTTAGGTAGGTATATTTCATAAACTACCTACGAAGGTTGTGGCCAAAAGTTTAGACCAAGATATACCTCAGCCCCACAGTGCGCCACTCTTTTTTGGGCCTCTACCAATAATAGGTATACATTTAACGTCAAGTCCCCTACAACCCTTAAAAGTATAGCACCTTATAGCACACTTAAACGCTATAATGTGCTATAAACTTAAAGCCTTCAGTCTTAAACAACCTTAAATTATTATACAAATATGTACATTAATTCAATATAGAAAAAAATTACAAAAATTTCTATTATTAAATAAACTAATTAAATAACGTAATACTATATTTAATATTTATTAAATAAACTTATAAGGCTTTATAAGTAGGTAGGTATGTTGGCGATGATATTTCCTACAGTGGTAGAAAAGTGGAGGAACTGTGGGGCTGAGGTATATCTTGGTCTAAACTTTTGGCCACAACCTTCGTATCTCTCTATCTTATGTAAGTGCCAGTGGATACGACTACCTAATAGCAGTCATGATATCTAGGTTAATCAAAATTCCACCGCAATATTTTTTTTAAAAAAACGAGCCACTTCAATATTCTCAACGAGGGTACAATCTAGTAAGTAGAGATAGCCTACAACGCCGGCCGAAATCAGAAATGACAATCTTTCATAACCCATAACCCATAAGCAAACCTCCAAGCGCCTAATTAAACCAAAGAGAGGATTTTAACGAACCACGGTGGATTGCTGTATACCCCGAGGTCGATGATTCGCTTCAAAGTAGGAAATTGTTGTGTACTAGGTACCGAAGTAATGAAGATCCAAACCACCAGCTTCTGTAGAACGTAGTACGATATCTTATTGCTGCAAACCTCGCCTAGCCTAACAGTCAGTCCCACACAGCCAGTTCTTCACCACAAAGTATCGCTATCAACCAAGTTCCTCTGCAACGATGCCTCTCTTTGCTGTGACCTATTGGCAGGATGAGCCATCGCAGGATACTTGATCTTCGATTTCGATTTGTCAAACGAGGGGCTGCTCTGGGTCGACGGTAACTCGTACGGGATAAGCTGTATCGACCGTGGTATTTTAGCGGAGTGTTGTATTTTAGATTTTCGTCGGGGCGCCGGCCTCGGGGAGGAAGGCCCTAGAATGCGTCCCGGGAACCAAACGAGCAAGAGCAAAACGGCGAGTAGTACCGTCAGCCCATCTAACGCGAACATCAATGTTTCAGACTGTGCGATCGAGCTGTTGAAGCCCTCTGCGATCGCAATGATTCGGTAAGCGGTTCGAATGATAAGGAGTAAAGTTGCCAACGAGAACGCTGTGTAGTGTGTGTCAGTTAGCGTAGCTCAAGCCGTGATATCTAGCCCTCAGCATCACATACCAGCGATGAATGCCTTATATGGCCGTTTGCTGTAAATACGGACAAACTTTGTATCTAGAATATGATGCCTCGTACGCACGGCGATCGCGAATAGCATAGCGTGGCCAACGAAAGCCACCAGGGCAACAAGTTGAATAGCGAGTCCCGCAACAAGAAGCCGGATACCTGTATTGATCTTTATCCCGTGTTAACTTGATGAATCGTTCCTTATGCAAGTTGCCCAACTCACATCGTCGGTACCATCTCGCATCACGGCGATAATCCCCCCTGCCAGTTCTAGCATGACGACCACCGTCGTCACAACGTAGAATAAAAAGCGATACCATATCGGCCTCCACGAGCGGAAGTTGTCCCCATATATAGCGACAATCCGCGGCATGACGAGGAACACCGCCACGCAGACAAACGTCGGGCCCAGCACCGTGCCGACCAAGAACAGAACGAAGAAATTCCTATCAGCCGTGTCGCTGTGCAACAGCACGCGGCCGATATATCCCACAGCCTCCAGGGCAAGCCCCGTCGTGATCGCGGTGGCGAAGAACGGGCTCCTGTACTTGAGTCCCAGGCCGAAGGCGACGGGGACCAGAGCGGCGAAGAGAACGAGGAAGATGGCGTTCCCCGCCAGCGAGGGTTCGTGTGCGAGGAAGACGCGCGGGCAGCGGCTGCCCGTAGCCGTGCAATTATCTACGAAACTGGCCATGTCGTAGGGTAGCCCTCAAACAACTAAAAGCAAAAACAAGGACATAGAAAAAAGCAGTCAACAGGTGGGAAAGGAGGCAAGATAACTGATTATTGTAGGGCGATATGGCATAGATATATACTGCAAGTCACAAGACGCCATGCGGCCCGGCAATCTGGGAAGGATGCTTTCATGGCGCTTGAGGGGGAATATATTGGGTAATGAGATCTGGAAACAAATTGGGCGAAAATCGCATGCACCGGGCCGAGATGGATATCTCCCACCATAATGAGTCGAACGAATGTGAGGATCAACCACCCCTGCCGGTGCCACGAGTGTTGTTGGTGACGTTGGATTTGGGTAGGCACTTTACTCAGTGAACTAGTGGCTGCTATTACGGGAAGAAGAGGAAGAAGAAGAAGCAGTGATCAACACTTTACAAAAAAGATACATCAGCCACTCTCGTGAGAACCCCGAAAGCATCACACGAAAAGAAGCATTATCAGTCCACGTTTCCCAGGGCCAAGACACCAGATGCCTATTGGAGCAAGGTGTAGACTGTCCCGAGGCTATGGTTCACCCAGCACCTCCATGTCCATCGGGGCCAATCACGACGATGGCATCAGCACATCGCGGTTAAAGCCAGCATATCAATGGTCGTGCCGTTGTCAGCCTACTCATGTTTACCAGGTATACAATATACTCGACGTCGCACAAACGTCCATCGTATATGTATAGCAGCTGTGTAACGTCGCTTATGGTGTTGACCATGTGGGAGCCTATCGAGTGTTATTGATCGGCCGAGTACATACCTAATAGCTAACAGACATTGCAAGGTATGTAGGGTCGCCCATGAGTCAAACCCCGAAGGTACGACTTTATATTCGCACCTTCATAGTTGCTGTCGTGCGTTTGCTGTGATGCGTTTACAGTAAAGATGAAGGATTTATGAAAAGGGGAAGTCAAAGTTAGTACTTAAGTACAGTTAGAGATAGCAATTGATGTGCTTTGAAGGTACTACTCGCCGGGTACTTGGCACTTGCCCAAATAAATGAGTGTTGGTTCAGTTGAAGTTGAGGTTACACAAGTCACAACTAGTACAAGGATGTGGCTGATATGAAACCTAGACTAAAGATATACCTAGTAAATGCATAGTACGCTATCGCATGTATGGCATTGATGTATGACGTACATCGATGATCCTCGCATACTCAGACACTTTGACGGCTTCATAGTTCATACCATGTAACTTAGTCTCTCCAACCCACAATGAACAGAAAACCCTCGCCTTTATAGCGATGAGTTTGCCCCCATGTGCTATACGCAATCGTAGCAGACTGTGCAACCACCTTCGCCCATCAAGATCACTTTTTTACTCGGTTAGGACCACACAACCATCGCGGTTCGGAAGCCTCGGGAGCCATTACTCTACACAACATGATGCTGGTGATGACCCCAGATTCAAGGATCTTGGAAAGCAACTGGTTGACGAATATGCCATCTTAAGGGAAAAATATGGTACGGGAGGGTCCTTTCTTCTATGAACGCAATTGCGCCGGTACCTGGGAACTAACCTTAGCCTCAGCTACCCCTAAACACCCCATTGTGCTCGCCCATGGTTTGCTGGGCTTTGCCGAACTTCGCCTTGTTGGCGGATGGTTCCCAGCTATTCACTACTGGCGAGGAATCACCGATGCCTTGAAGGCCAATGGCATCCATGTTATCACCGCAACAGTACCCCCATCTGGAAGCATTGAGCAACGGGCGCAAAAGCTTGCGCATGGGATTGCCGAAGTTGCACAGGGAAAGAGTGTGAATATCATTGCTCACAGCATGGGAGGGCTAGATGCTAGTAGGTTTCGACCCCATAAACCCACGCTGTCTTAACTACCCGCGTGGTCTAATCTCATACCCTGCGAAGGATATATGATTTCCCACCTTCAGCCCAAGAACGTTGATGTGCGGTCCTTGGTCACCGTCGCCTCCCCGCACCGGGGAAGCGCATTCGCAGACTATCTGCTCGGCGAGATTGGGCAAGCTCGACTTCCGAGCATATATAAGTTCGTCGAAGGTGTCGGCATGGACACGGGTGCCTTCGAGCAACTGGGTCGAGCATACATGACAGAGAAATTCAATCCAGAAACTCCAGACGATCCCGATGTTCGCTATTTCTCGTACGGGGCGAGGATGGATCCGCCACCTCTCCTTTCCCCTTTCCGTTACTCGCACAACGTCATCGCGAATCAAGAAGGTCCCAACGACGGTCTAGTCAGCGTAGCAAGCTCCAAATGGGGCACATACAAGGGGACCCTAGTCGGTGTTAGTCACTTGGACTTGATTAACTGGACGAATCGCCTCAAATGGACGATGTGGAAAATGCTGGGTCAAGGACCAACGTGAGTCGAACAAACACATGTTCGGGTACATAAGCCCATGCTGACCAACATATAGTTTCAACGCCATCGCCTTCTATCTCGACATTGCCGATATGCTTGCGAGGGAGGATTTATAACTGTAAAGACTTAGATGCTAGATGTAAGAACGCCTCCACCGGGTTGAATGTATTAACAGATAGATCAAGGAAGGGAAAGTCATGAAACATGCTCACCTTGTTTCCTTCCTCGAGCTCTTGATACCACGAAACCATAATGAAAGCCATATTCAACTCTCAAAACTCTTGTATAAACTTAATGTGCATCTAGGGATCAATGTACACGATCGCGATCAGTGGAATAATACGAAATTTGAAAGAGTATTCGCTAGGCCAAGGCAGGCAATATGATCATACTCATGAACTTCAGCGATTGGAAATACGCCCACAGCTGGGTTGATTCCTGTTGATCTCATAACCAACATGGCAAGGAGGAGAAATAGTCGAAATCCTTCATCCGCGATACTCATGGCAGGGCGTCGATAGATGGCCTAGGAGTGCACCATCAGCTACGACAACCACCCAAATGCGAACATAGAATCACATGATTACTCTAAGTCTCACAATTGAGGTTTCGTTATCGCCCATTCTATGAACCTTCCATAGAACGAATCTTATTACCGATCATCTTACATTTCATATAGCTACAAGCCTATTACATCAGCAAAGACATAACTCTCCAACGTAAGTATCGTTCAGTTAGTTCTACATACCCATAACATGACCCCACCTATATTTAATGACATATAGGTATCTTGAGTTATAGGATCTCTATTCTTATTTTTATTATTGTTCTTTGGTATGGGATCTGGTTAAGGGCCACGTGCTTCGACCGAACAGCCATACCAACATCCAACCGACTTTCCAGGGATTGAATTCCGTTGAAGGATCTAGTTAAGGGTTTATTGTCTAAAAAAACGTTACCAACCCAACTATACGGATTCTAGAATAAGATTTATGGACGAGCAAGACATCTTCTTTCAACCCAACAATAACATTTTAACAAGGTCCCAGCGATCCAACCCTGCGGCACTCTTCCCACCAAGGACTCAAAAAAAGCAACTTCACATGGCACCTAGTAAGCACCTACATACTTACCCCGCCACAACTGGAGCCACCCCTTGAAATAGGCCCCGGCCGAGATCTTGATCACCTACATACATAATACATACTTGCTCCACCAGATAGCTATCCTACCTACCTACCCAGTCTGCCAACTTACAGGTTCCAAGGAAAACCAAACAAAAAAACGCCAACGTGCAACGTGCAAGGGTGTTCCACACATTGGATCTTGATCGTGGATCTAAGACCGTCCGGTCCCTGTTTATCAAATCGCGATGATCGATCAATAAAAAAAAAAAAAAAAAAAAAAAAAAAGATCCTTGTCCCGCGTCGCGTGGACGCTTTCAAATGTTGGCCAGGCGCGCCACCGGGAGCCACCGAGGTTCTAGGTTAGCTACCCATCAGACGCCTGGCCGTACATAGTCGGTTATTTCTATTGTTATCATCATTATGATTCTAAGACGATAGCGACATATCTCACGACACCCCAAGCATGCTACCTCCATCGTGGTCCCTGAATTTCTTCTTTTAGGGCACATGTAGCCGGCTTACTAAGCAACGCGAAACCCCCTTTACTCACCACCTCTCAGATGTTTCCATAGGGCGTTTAGAAGAAGTACTACTCAGTAGCCCTCTGGATTAGATTAGCAAGGGGTTTGGCTACTCCAGAGCGGCTCAGGAAATGTTCAACCACAAGCGCGCTCCAGTGACTGAGGAGTGCAGCTCCCTACAACACCAGGATTCGGTACCGATCTTGGGACCTGGGACCCTGGTCAGATTGGTAGGTGGGTAGGTTCTGAATAGCCCATGCCTCCCTGAAGAAACGATATCGCGACGAAGTGATGATGGACAACTGAAAACATCAATAAATATCACCAATTACCCTGATGCAGACGATAATGACTTCGATATCTACCTACACAAAGTGAAGTGTCGTTCTTACCTACCTAAGCCCTGGCCAATATCCCCTCCAGATATCCCCCCCGGCGCACGCATTTGCCGTATTTTACGACTGTATCTAGGTAGTATTTCGGGAAAGAGTTTCTACGGGATTTTTTGCCCCTGAGCTTTCCAACCCCCCGGCGCGTAGATAGGCACCTACCTACCTACCTACCTACCTACCTAAGCATTGCATTTCTCTCATCACTCATCACATCAATATACATAAACCCAAGAAATCCCGAATGCCGGGATACTACTTTTGGCTACGCGAAACCTGATAGTGGACTGACTTTCTTGCTTCGTGTAGGCAGATGTCGTTAACTGCCTACCAACATACCTAACAAAGTCAAATATACCTACCTACCTGCTTGCCCGCCTGCCCGCCCGTCTGCCTGCCTGCCACTCTATGTGAGTACCAACCCCACGGCATACGTACCAAGCCTCGGCCCGCATCTCGATAACGCACGGCTAGATTTGCACTTAGCCCATAGGGGTAGGTAGGTGGGTAGGTATACTCAATCCTAGTTGACGGAGGGTTCGTACACAAATATATCCAAGGTCTTTTATATCAAAAGGACAGGATATATTTAGCATATTTAGATAGGTTAGGCACGTATGTAAGGGAGACATGTGTGTAATATATTTCGAGATATTATCACTTAGGTGCCTTACCTACCTGGGTATATATACCGTTATCAGCATACTTACATGTAACATCAAGACGCGAGGGTTTGATGCTCTACGTTACATATATATACACACTACATGTGTAAGTGGGTATGTATACGGGAGACAGCCTTTAAGCGTAGGTATGTATGCACCTGTATTGATTGTTGTTTGTTACCTACATACCCACATGCACCCAATATATCTACCTACCTACCCACATACATGGATGAAGCAAAGCCTCCAAGACGCCGTATCAGTAAGTATGTATATATGTTTCAACCATGCGGGATTCATACATATATACACACATAAGTACATACCCTACCTATATATCTAACCAATGCCTTCTACAACATGTAAGCCATGCGAATGAAGCAAGATAACACGAAGAATGGAAGATGGGAAGAGGAAGGGAGCTAACATATGTAGACAAAAACGTGATGTCTAAGATATCCATCCACACTCTTCCCTACTTACCTAACTACATACCTAACCTACCTTCCTATGTAACGTAGGTAGGCAAATAGGAAGGAATGCAAGTCCACCTAGGTACATACACACATACATATCATGAGATACACACTTACACAAACACACAGCCAGCCAGCCATATTCCACAGCATACCTACTAACTAAAAACACGTGGCTTACCTGAAAGCTTGTCGTTTGGGGCTCCCGCATACATACCTACATACATACATACCTACCTACATACATACATACATACATATGTTAACCCCCCCCCCCCCCGAGAAGGAAACAAACGCAAGCCACGGTTGATTATTACAGATAGACGTGCTGCGTACCTGTGTACTAGCTTACCCTCGTACATATATATGTAGGTAGGTAGAGTAGGTAGGTAATGTACGCCGGTCACAGAGAGAGCGATCTGGCCACGAGGAGGCTCATTCTCGCTTATGTACATTACATTGCATTACATGCGGGTGGCTTGTAGATATGTACCCTTGGTAGGTAGGTAAGTAATCAAGTGCGTGACGAGAAAGGGGGGGGAAGGGGGGTTCAGCTACGTACAATACATACATGTATGAGCTACCTACATATAACATGATGACCATGACCATGGATGGATGGATGGCCTGAATAGGCAATAGGTACCTACATAGGAAAGTCTGTATGCAGGTATGTCTGTGCGTATATATAGGTATGTATGTATGTGCCTACCTAACCTAGGTATGTACGTAGATATGTATAACATGTAGGCCTAGGAATATAAGTATGTATGTATGTAGGTAACCAGCACATGTCACACTCCCACTCCCACTCCCACATTCCACGCCCATGTCAAAAAAAGTCAATGAACTTTACATGCGAGAGCGATTGTGCGACTCTAATACCCTGAATTGCCTACCCTACATATCATACATACATGGCATGAATACGTGAATTAACTATGTGTGTAGCACATACATATATACATATGGCTACCTGCCTAACCTACTTACTTGCTTGCTTGCTTGCCTGGCAGGTGCTTATATGTACCTACCTCTTACCTACCCAGATGACTAACTAGTAACTAGTACCTACCACTACACACAGGAAACATGTATGCGGGTATAGATAGATAGATTGTTCGAGTCTCGGCCATACATTACATTAGATCAAAATCAACCTCGAAGCTCGGCTCGGCTCAAGGCGGGAGGGCGGAGTTTTTTTTTTTTTTTTTTTTTTTTTTTTTTTTTTTTTTTTTTTTTTAGTTGTCGGGCCCTCGAATAGCCTCACTCACCCTAGACCCCGTATCCTAACCTAGAGATAGATCCTAGATCCCAGGTTAGGTTCAATCAAACACGGGACGAGACGCCTTGCGTAGCGTGTATGTAATGTAATGTAATGTAATGTACCTGCTACTGTAAGGCTACGCGTTCTTTTTTTTTTTTTTTTCTCTTTTTTCCCGCTGAAGACTTTTTGATGCCTACCTAACCTAGGTTATATTATGTATGCATGTATGGCTTGTAGATGGATAGATAGACAGGTATGTAGTGTAGACAAGGTAGACTAGGTGTAGGGATACAACAATGCCTGCCGACATCTCGACTCGGCTACTACCTCCCTCCTAACCTAACCTACATATAGCATGCCTACACCACATACGGCTGCAACGTTGTTCAGCCGGCCTAGCGAGCGGGCTACTAGGTACCTAGTTCCTTCGTAGGTAGTTGCATAGTTCGTTAAAAAAAAAAAAAAGGCCTTACGGTACTGTACCTGCGCAGAATAACCAGCCAGGATTACAGGCTGGGCTTTGTTCAATATCTCCTGATAGCTGGTTCTGGAAGGTTCGGCCATCTGGTCCCTGGCTCTTAGTCTCCGTAACTAGGTATGGTAGAGTAGCTAGAGTCCCTCGATCAAAGCTGATGCCAAGAGCGTTCTAACTACATAGCCGTCCGAGCTGGTAGTTTGACGTCGAGGGGCTACATAGAACCGGGCTGGAATCGAGTTCGGTTCAAGAGTCGTGTTTTATCAGCTCCAATGCCCTCGAGCCGATTTGCTAACACATATGTGACTAACTGCCTACGTGGTAGGTATTCAACGGGGTGGCTGGAATGTGATCTGTCACCACATATGTAAGTACGTAGTACGAGTAGCACACAAACCTTGAAACACTCCTAGCCTTGTATACATAACCGTATTTATTACCTATTATTGGTCTCTGTATACGTTGTGCAAGCCCGCCACATAAGCACTGGACGTTAATGGGAAGGTTTATAGCATTGTGGGTTGGATAGGTAGGTATAGCAGACTAAATAGGCACCTATATGTATATAGGCAAGGATACCAGCTTTGTATATTAGGTTGGATGTTTGTGGCGTATATATCAGATGAGAATCAGTCTTGGGCTCTCTACCTGATACAAAGGATGGCAAAACAAAACCATGTCAAGGCACTACCTCTAATTGTAAATTTTGCGCGGCCCCGAGAAAGACTGAAAATTTCCAAATTAGTTTGAGACGCGGGCTCGGGACATCTTGGAAATCATGATGTGGTCGGGAGATGAATGTGTTCTGTGTTCTTGTCCATAATGTCTCGTCTTACTGGATAAGACCAAATACAAACCATGGCGCGGTTTCTCTTAACTCGTAAATTAATTGTGAGCGCTTTCTGAGATGTGATATCAAAACATATCAACATCAAGTAAATGCCCCTCCAAGGCTTACGTACCTACACAGTATGTAGTCGGTAGGTAGGTAGGTAAGTACTAGGTACGTTAGCATGTAAGTAAGCGCTGCCTCTAACAACGGGATGCCTTTCAACTAGTAGCATCGGTTCCAACTTGGGCATTTACTAGCTACCTCCCTAGTACTAGGTAGGCCGCCTAGGTGGCAGTGCTTTCTTAGGCCAGTGCTAGTTCTGATCAGCTAGAGAATTTGCCGTCGCCTCGCTGTGACTGCTGGGATATGTTGCCAAAAATGAAGTATGCCCATACCCATGAGGCCAAGTGCTGCTATTACCTGACATGATCTTGGACCCATTGTGTCGACATAACAGATTACAACGTTGCCATCTAGAAAGTCATGAGACGACTTCTCCAGATAAGATATTATCTAGCAGGTAGGTAGCAAACTAGTACCTATGTCTGTGCTTCCAACTTTGTCTTCAAGACGCCCGTGGACGTCGAAGTCTAAGACATTTCTTGAGAGGCTTGTCCACCTTGTTAGCCACTAATGCAAAGTGAAACCTCCAAGGCGTACACTAGTTCCCTAACTACTGTATATAGTCATGGCTATCCGTATAATTTGAGCGCGGGGAGCGGTTGTTTAAGAGGCTCTTAAGGTGAGCCGGCATATGAATGGGGGATGTCTCTGTCACGAGATTCGCCGACAATTCACCCCGGCCGATAGTACGTACTGGCCTTGTAGCATCAAGCATCTCCGATCTGCCAAGAAAGAAGACGCGGAGAGATCGCCGATGATTGCGGATTCGTCTACCTCTAATGGAACATACACATTTGGCACTATGCATAACAATATATCGTAAGAAGGCGGAGAGACCGAAAGAACCGTGGTGTCTTCTTCAGTCAAGTTAAACTCCTGATTGCGGTAGCCTGTAGGGTTGGCGTTGGTCATGTTGTGTCTTGCTAATATTAGTGAAATATTAGTGAGGCATTGTTCCTCGGCCTGATTTGACAGTTTAGCAGTTTGGCTAATAGGCAGGAATTTGGAAACCTGACAGTCGTGCTCGGCCGTATTTGATAAATCATGGGGTTCGCTAACGTGTAGATATATGGAATACCTAAGTTAGGTAGGTACTAAACCAGCTATCACTTTCAAGGATCACACAAACCTTTTCCCTTTCGACCTCAGGGGATCAACCGTTTGAATATCTACCTAGGACGAAGATGAATACGTTAATCGGATCGATAGCACCCAATCGGCCAATTGCAGGAATGTGAGATCAAATCGTATGAGTGATCGACAGCTGACATCCAAATTTCATGCTAGACCCAAAGTTGGGTGCGAAAGTGTATCCCTAGGTGGGCATGATGTGCGCGTACCGTACCTTGGACGTATCTTTTCGCGTCCGTTGTGTGTCCTCTTCCTGGACTTTATGGAAGGGAATCCTAGCTTTTGCGAAGGCGCAAAAGTTACGACGGAGGTGATTGTGCCTAGTTAAGGAGGCATAAACCAGGTATTCCTTAGATAAACTGAGATTTTGTCAAGTCGTCATAATGGTATTGAAAGATTTGGAGGTTTTGGTCCATGTTGTATGTATAAAGGTTCGTGTTCTTGCGATCTATTCCCGTTTGTCACCTTTTCACCCGAAACGTTGCCTAGGTCTAGAACGCTCTATGGGTCGGGCTGCATACCTAATCCATGCAAGCCATTCTAGCCATCTATGCAAGCCTGTCTAGAAGAGACAACAGGGTTACAAATTACCCTGCTGTACGTCTGGGCAGTAGACTCCACTGTCCGTTCCTTTACTCGTGCCCATCGGTACTAGGTAGACCTCTGGCTTTGTGCAAAGCAAACCCTCGGTGTCTACAAGTGTACCGATTTGTGGGCTTGGGAGGAGGGGGAGGAGCCGAGTCTGTAAAATCATAGTGATCGTGTGCATATTATATCACCTTGATCTCTGAAATTAGACAGTTTTCTGTACATCGGAGAATAGTTTTTTTGGTGTAATTGTCATCTCTTACCGGGATTTCCAGCGAGCTCGGGGTGCTGTATGTAGGAATGAACTAGGTACCGGCCGGTTTGCCTTCTGTACCTGGGCAAAGTGGGCGTCTCTGTAAGGCCTACCACTATTACCACCACATCTTTTTTGACGTGTGGGTTAAGTTTTCCGTCCTCTCTGAAAGCCTCCCATAGATAGCGACAAGACAAAGAACCGTGCCCCCGTTCGCGTTGCAACAATCAGAACTTGTCGCGACAAAGACATATCATCCATTGTTGACTTTTGACCTAGAACATGGTCTAGTCCACAAGAAGACAAAGATAAACTCTCTGGCCGCCGCCGCAATCTTTTCGAGGATACCGTCGAATTTTGAGGTCTATTCAGGTCTTTCATTTGCGCTCACCTAATGCTCAAGTCTCCAATGGGTATCGTTTCAAGCACATCCGGACATGGTGATGGAGAACGTGATGAAGTCCAAGAGCAGCAGCCACCGTCGGATCGCCATCAGGACGGCTTGGAGGGCGCCAAACACTCTCAGACCCTGTGGATCTTAATCTTCCGGGGTAGCCCTCGCGATATCCAGAGCGCCCGACGCACAGAGTTGTACATTGCCTTCGACGACAACGAGAAAAAGAATCTCACAATTCGAATTCAGGGCGACCACCCAAGCTTCAGTGTGGGTGAAGTGTGGAACCAGCCTCATCCACGATCGAGACCACACTTCTTTCGACGACTTGCAGTTGCGACAGTGGAAACAAGTTCGGATCGTGACATGCAACTACGCGATGCAGTCCTGGGAACCCACGTGAATAACATCGAACCAGATTGGACATGTCAGAACTGGGTTGGAGATGTCTTGACTACACTGCAAGATGCAAGACTGATAACCGTCGAGGAGGGTGATAATGCATTGAATGGCATGGTTAATTATATTGCGCAGGCCCCTTGGCAATAGGGTTGGAAGGCCTCGTCGTGTTGGTCCCTACTACCTATCAAGTACAAAGCGCATCCAGGTGCTTATACGCTGGAAGGATAACGAAAGAGGTAGGTAGGGACAAGTTGATCCGTATCAGCGAACCAATAGTCATGTCTTTGGTGGATTTCTTTCAGGTATCGTCGCCGAGTTGATTTTGCACCTGATTCTTTGCCGCTGATACTGACTTAGTAAATACCTCAGCGGTAGGAATCGAACATCGAAATCGCTTTCCATATGTGAATATGGACCGTGGGCATGCTAGTTTTTTTTCCAGCATAAACATCGATGACTACTCGGCGCATCGACATACTAGTCATTTTCCCCCACATAGAACAGACAGTCGTCGTTATAGGATGCAGCGACGTGGGCTGCTTTACGCAAACGAAACAAATTATCTCCGACAGAGGTATCCAGGAGGACGCGATGAATTCATGACAGTCCTCGGTATAGGGCAACGGATTTCAAGAACGTTGTATAGGTCGGGTTCAGACCATCTTTTCTCGTGGTTAAGGTCCGGGTTTTGTGCGGCATACACGGGGAACATATACCGCGATTATATTCGTAGAACAAAGGCAAAGACGTTTAAGAAACATATGCAAAGTTGGACAGCGACCACCGGGATGGTTTCAGGAACCGTCAAATATATGATTGAGGGTTCTTTGGTACGACATGATACTTAGGCTACGTCTTGTTCGGTATGAGATTACACGAAGAGGGTATATAATAAGAAGGGAGGAAAGGAAACGAAAGCTCACTACTCCGATCCGAGAGCCCTCCCCTTCCCGGTTGATACAACAACTTTGTCCCTGGCTTGTGATATTAGCGTTTCGGTTGTGTAATCGATTCGGTGGAATCTGGCAGTGGACAATGGCAATGAGCAACATTATGAGATTCCCGACGCAGGCGATTTGTGTCGAAAACCAGAATGTACATGAATATGTACAAGTAGGAGAGCTTCAATGTTGATAGGTGACGGTTGTCCCGGATTTATCGAAGCTAAAGTGGGATGGAGAGAACTTAACAAGACGAAGCTAGGAGCCCGGGTTGGGGAAAGTTGGCATCGTTGACATGATCAGCATGACGACATGACGACATGACCCCTAGGACAGATGAACTAAGAAGGGAGAAAAGAGAAGAAAGAGATAAGAAATAAGTTTGGAAACTTGAACACTTTGAGTTTCACTCTCTCATAATATACATATAATACTGGGAAGGACCGGAAGGTACTATACTATACCTATACACATAGTAGTTAGTAGTTAGTACCTTGATATGGTGATCAACATTGAAGTGTTTATATTTCTATTCAATTAGAAATCATAACACTTGGTTAAGAAGGATAAGCTAGGCCTTATAATAAGTGAGGGATGAGGGAGGAGGGATGATATCAGGGCCTGTATTTTTAAACTTTCGGTAATCAAAGACGAACATTGAAAGGTAGGAGGTTAATAATAATAATAAAAATGTTAAGGTTTCCTCCTATTTCTGCTAAGATTTGTAACATGAGGGTTTATTGGACAATCGGGGCGTAGAATTCACATAAGCATATTGACGTAAGCCAGCTGCAGGTTCCGAAACTAACCTTGGAAGCATTGAACCGTAACGACCTAACCTTAGTAACTTGGTACCAAAATAAAAATAGCTCCAACGCTTTTTAGCCTGTCCTGGAATCCTTGATCATACAACTCGTCGCACTTAATTCATCCAACATCCAATGAACAGAGGCCACCATCGCCGCTTTTCGTAAAAGTTCAACATTTTACATCTTATAACATACATCTTGCATGATTCCCCGTTCTACCTAGATCTATCCAATTTAATCATCCATCCGATGGATACGTGAAATTTGCATGTCACCACTGTAATCAGAGTCGAAGACATCTTTCCGGCGCTTCCAACCATGTCTTCTCTCACTCCGTTCCGGAGCTCGTTGCGCGTCGTTGCTGGTGCACTCCTTGGCCTAACCTTCTGGCTCTCGCTAGCTAGCGCCGCCGACAAGACTGCTGCTGATTACTATGTCCACTCCTTACCCGGTGCCCCCGATGGCGATTCTATCAAGATGCATGCTGGGTAAATAAACCAACCTCCCCGCTCTACATTCATACCCCCTTTTCAAGTGTCGATCAGCAGCTTACTGACTTCCTGAATTCTAATCCAGACACATCGAGATATCGCCGGACCACAACGGGAACCTCTTCTTCTGGCATTTTCAGAACCAACACATCGCAAACCGACAGCGAACTGTCATCTGGCTCAATGGGGGCCCTGGGTGTAGCTCCGAAGATGGCGCATTGATGGAAATAGGTCCGTATCGGTTAAAGGATTCAAACACCCTCGAGTATAACAACGGAAGCTGGAATGAGTTTGCCAACTTACTTTTTGTCGATAATCCTGTCGGGACGGGGTTCAGCTATGTCGACACTAATGCGTACGTACACGAACTTGACGTAATGGCCAGCCAATTCGTGACTTTCCTCGACAAGTGGTACAAGCTTTTCCCTGAATACGAGCATGACGATGTAAGATTATATTAGGATACTCTTCCTACTCGCAGTATGCTGAACTTTACTAGCTTTACATTGCCGGAGAATCCTTCGCTGGCCAGCATATTCCGTACATAGCCAAAGCTATTCTCGAACGCAACAAGCTACCTCAGACGAAAGTTGCATGGAAACTCAAGGGCCTCCTGATCGGAAACGGCTGGGTATCCCCCCCAGAGCAGTATGAGGCATACCTCTCTTTCGCTTACGAGAAGAACCTTGTCACGAAAGGCACCGAGGTAGCGGGCACAATTGAATCTCAGTATCGTGAGTGCCGCAAGGATTTGTCAACGTCAACCTCTAGCCATGTAGACAACCAAGTCTGCGAAAAAGTGCTCCAGGATATCCTTCGTTTGACGCAGGCTAGAAATTCGGATGGCCAGACGGAGTGTTATAATATGTATGACGTTCGACTAAAGGATGTATACCCGAGCTGCGGTATGAACTGGCCTCCAGATTTGTCGTACGTCACGCCCTACCTTCGTAGACAAGAAGTAGTGAGCGCCCTCCACATCAATGAGGGCAAGAACACAGGATGGACAGAGTGCAATGGAGCTGTTGGTAATGCGTTCAGTGTCCAGTCCTCGAAACCATCTATTGAATACTTGCCAGACCTGTTGAAGGAAGTGAAGATACTTCTCTTCTCGGGTGCAGAGGATTTAATATGTAATCATCTAGGAACTGAGGCTTTCATCAGCAACATGCAATGGAACGGCGGTAAGGGCTTCGAACTATCACCCGGTAATTGGGCACCGCGCCGCGATTGGACCTTTGAGGGCGAGGCGGCGGGTTTTTGGCAGCAGGCGCGCAACCTGACGTACGTGCTTTTCTATAACGCATCGCATATGGTGCCTTTCGACTATCCTCGAAGGACTCGCGATATGCTTGACCGTTTTATGGGCGTCGATATCAGCAAAATCGGTGGCGTTCCCTCCAAGAGCTTCCTCGATGGCGAAAAACTGCCCGACACCACTGTCGGTGGCGCTACCAATAACACGGAGTCGGACCAAGCAGCCAAGACCAAAGAGCTCAACGACGCTAAGTGGGCCGCTTACCAGAGATCAGGTGAAGTTGTTCTGACTATCGTGGCCATCGGCGCCGTTGTCGGTGGCTTATATGTCTGGCGAACACGTCGTCCCTCATCATCGGGATACGCCGGTCTCCCTATCTTAAGAGAACGCACAAGAAGTGGACTTGAGGGGTTCCGGAACAAGAGGACAGACTTGGAAGCCGGTGATTTCGACGAAGGTGAGCTCGATGATCTGCACGTAACCCGGCCTAGGGTCTCGGGCAGAGAGCCCTACAGCGTAGGCGACGCAAGCGACGAGGAAAGCGATAGCGACGATGTCTCGGACGGCCCCCGCAACGAGAAGCCCGGCAACAGCACTAGCGGCATCGCAAAGGGCCAGTCGTCTAGTACTAGGAGCTAGAGCGGTCCCCCTCGGTCGACTAGCATTAGGACGAGACGAGCGAAAGTATTTCGGGCGTTCTAGGAGGAAGGCGAGGAGTATAATTGATTAATTGGTTGATTGATTGACTTACTGAATCATGAGTTTTTTCTCTTCTTCTCTTCGCGTCGCTTGAAAAGGAGGGAAGAAAAGATAAGGGAAAGTAAACAGAAAAGCAAAAGAAAAGTAGAAGAAAAACATGGGAACCTTGGAAACTCTGGGATACTACTACAAACCATATATACATAACTAACTATCTATCTATCTACATCTGCATACATACCTACATACTCTAGGTTAGGTCGGTGCGTAGGACCGTTGGTGCTTACCTGCCTAGGTAGACACCGGACTCGAATCTAGGGTAGCGAAAAGAAAGCGTTAGCGAGTACCGTTTAAGGGGGGGTTTTTTTTTTTTTAATAATTGTTCATCATGGCGTTTTCTCTGGAGTTGTTTGTACAATGCAATACAGTATCAGGTAACTAGATAGATACCTAGGTTAGGTAGGTAGGTTAGTGTAATGGAAAGCGGAATAACTAGATATTAAATACCTTATACCTAGCGTTTGGTATTCATGTTGAGATTTGATGTTAATATGGAAAGATCTAACTATTAATGTATGTACAAATCTCTCGCATGGACGTCTTGATCGTAGGGATAACTTGAAGCATTCACTAGGTACCCATGGATGGTTGTATTGGTCTTCCTCGCTACATACATACCTACCTAGGTCCTAGGTTAGGTATCTAGGTACTAGGTATATAGCATAGGAGGTTTCCTACATACATAGGTATTTAAGTTCCTACTGATAGTTGGTGTTTGGCTGATACCAAATCCCATCGCTTCGATTCATTTACTTACTTACTTTAGGTACTTACCTAGGTAGGTAGGCAGGTAACTAACTACCTAGGTTAATTGTCCATCCATTCACTGGTACAATGCATACCTATGATCATGGCCTTATGGTTGGCCTTATGGTTGGTTTACAGATGGTCAATTGATAGGCACCTACCTACCTACCTATCTACCTAGTACATAGGCAGACGAGCGAATCTTGTTCACTGCTGTTAATTAAGCACCTACCTACGCACGCAGGTATAAATACTTCGTACTTGGCATTACCTACATTGGTCTTTATTACAGTTTAGTTAATTGCAGTTCCCCCCCCCCCCCTCCCCCTCTCCCCGTTATGACTGAGAAGAAGAAGAAGACAAGCCGGAGATGAGATAGCTCTTCATATTGCCAATAACACCACTCACTTCAGTTATCAGGCATCCGCCATGCATCACTACTTGTGAATAGGTAACACGAATAACAGCCTCACCGATTCGGACATTCATTGTTCATTCGAAAAATACCTACAGCTTGCAAAGCACTTCTGAGGGAGGCACCAGATACTAGGAATGTGAATATGTAAAGCTCCCACAACGAAGCCACATTACCGTAGATGCCATTTGTATGTACACGTATGTACTTTGTCTGCTCTGCTCTGCTCTGCTCTGTGTACAACATGTAGGTATGTAGGCATCTAACCTAGCTAGGTACATAAGTTAAGTAAAGTCCAGCCGGTAGTAAAAAAACACACTTTCATATAACCCTTTTACTCCCCTTTCCTGGTTTGTTACCTTTCCTTTCCTATCCATTCCCATCCCCCATTTCCTATGCCTTTCCAGTTCGGTATCATGTCATGTCATACGTTCAATGCCCCTAACAATCTTCATTGTTTTCGACTAGGAAAGAATAGAAAAAAATATGCATTTTCTTTTTTTCCTTTTCCTCCATCGGGGCGCCAGGAGTGCCAGATGGGAAAAGAAATTCCTCATATTTAGAGGAGGAAAAGAGGGGGCGAGTGAGTATGTAAATAAAAGGTTTCGCCATCTGTCCTAAACTCCGTGCTCAAAGGAAAGCGAAAGACAAATATCACAAGTATGCCGGGCTCAAGGGTATATGCATCTTGGGGGCAAACGATCTTTCTGTTAACGCCGGCTGAAGTCCTTAAATAAAGAAAAGAGACGGAATAATGAAATGATATGACTTTGTCTATAAAACTAGTCACATCTTTTGGGTCGGAATGAAGTTAATCTGATCATCCACTATCATTCATACCTGGAGCATTGGTATTTCGCGTGCTGCTCAATATACACACTAGGTACCTAGTACCTAGTATATATGTGCGATGATTCTCTAATCATCATCAATCTCAACAATTTCAACGTATGATTTATCGTGTTGGAGGGGCGTGGTAGTGGATCTAGAAGGCTTCTTGGTAGGCGAGGCAGCAATGCCCCCCTCGTCACTGTCAACGTCGCTTTCATTATCGCCAGGTTCTTCTTTGGGTTTCCAAGTTCCATCGGCAGAGACAAGGATACACTTGGTATGAAGTTTATCCTCGCTCTCTAATCGAGAGCGCACTCGCATAAGAAACTCGTCGACACGTAAGCTATAAGGGCGTGCATCACCGTTGCACAATGGGCACTTCCACTTGTCTACAAGGGACGGCTCCTTAGGGCACTGTGTGCACTTTCCGGGAGTGCCGCAGTAGCATGACTTTTTGCCAAGTCGTGTGTTGAGCCATAATTCAAGGTCAAAACACTCAAGATGCGTACAGCTTTCCCCCCGGACAGGAATGGTGAATATAGTCCTGCTAAAGGGATCCGCAAGATCGATGGACAGGTAATCGGCTATGGCTAGCTCATCGTCGTCTACCCTTCTGGTTGACGATCCACCCAGGCGATTTTTGATGATTTGTTCCGTCACACTAGCTGGGGAGAGCCCGTGTTCCTTTACCATTTGGATTATGGTACTGTGACTCAGAGTCTCTACAACTTCCACTGCAATGTAGGGTACTTGACCCTGGCGTTCGTAGCTCCCTTGAGTGATAAGAACGTCGAGCGAGTTCTCAACTTGGATGAACGATGAAATTTCAACTGGTAAGTCCTTCGAATGGTGTGCTTTTCGCCTGATTCCAAGGGTGGACTTATTCAGCTCCATGAAGATATGCTCAGGCCAAATCGTCTCAGTTGTCACCCAGTCGCTTTCAGAAAAAGCAGGCAAGGAAGTCTTTCTGTAGCAACATCGCACACGGAGACGTAGAGATCCATCGAAAAACACATTCACCGGAAAAGACTTTGATGAAGCCATATTTGACATCGCCTCATCCTTAGAAAGCTTGATGAGGTCAGATTCCGGTACGGTGAACTTGAAATGGTGCAAGTAAGGCTGAACCGGCGTCGCAACTGGGCACAGAGCAAAGCATTTGACTGCTTGGTAATACCTTTCCGTTGAGCGTAGCTCTCTAGGCCTTCGCACTGGACTTCGAAGCTCAGCTTGATGGAGAGAGGATATGACAGACCTTCGATCATAGTGACTGTGGGGATAGTCTTGTATGCTAATTCGCATGTTTGGAGATGGAAAGAATCGATCCTTGTCGTGTACGACGGTCCTAGCGCGGAGTTGGGGGTCCATGGAAAGTTGAGGGGAGCCATTTGGAGGCAGGGCATTATTTACCAAGTGAACGGGTTGCCGAGCTGGTTGTGCATTGGGTACACTCCCATTTAAGGGAAAGCTGGCATTATACTGATTCACTAGGTTGGAAGATTGTTGTGGGAAAACCTGGGGCTGGCGTCCAGATAGTGGCATTGGGTAAAGAGGTCTTCCTGTATTAGAAACCGGCTGGGGAGAGGCTGAGCCTGGAGGATATTGCTGATGTTGCTGTGTCAACAAAGTCAAGTGCTGTGAGTACCCAGCATGTGGTAGTGGGACTGAACTGCCGTGTTGGCTGAATTGTGTTTGATGAGGATGAACATTAGCCGGCTGACGGAGTGAGGTGGAGCCTATAAAAGGTCTAGGGGTCATGGAGTTGATAGAATCTCCACGATGAGATGGCACTATAGATGGGTTTGCATTCGCAGGAAAAAAGAGTGAGCCGGAAGACTGGATGGACATGTTTGGCTGAACGTTGGTCGTATGTTGCGTATAAAGAAACTGTGCTCCAGAAGCGCCGGGTGCGGAGTTGGTAGGTAACTGGGGAGAGAAATGGTTGAATTGGACTATTTGATTGGGATTTTGCTGGGCCTGGGAAACCAATCCCATATTCATATGAGGGTTGTATGATCCTTGCTGTTGAAAGCGCACTGGCTGGGGAGGGATAGGCTGCTGAATACCTTGATAAGCCCCTGGTTGCTGTTGCGGCTGTTGTTGCTGCTGTTGCTGTTGTTGTTGGCGTCGTGCATCATGAATGATAGCCTTATACTTTTTCACGAGGTTAAGGTTGTACTCTTGATATTTCGGAGACGGGGTTGTTATTATGAAGGAACCATCCGGGTTGAGATGCCTTCTCTGGTCGGCTTTAAAAAGCGATTCCATCTGCACGGCAGCATTCCCTTCATCGACACCGACACTTCGCCTTGATGCCCGAAACATTATTGCCTGTAAAATAGGAGAGAACAGTCGAAAGACAGCAAGGAATTCGGTCATAAGAATGGGATGACCATTCATCTGATGCTCATGCTGGACAATTCCCCATTTATGACCCACGCACATGAGAAAGTCAAGAACTTGTCTCAGTATAGTTGTATACAAAGGATCATCCATCAAGTCATTAAGTGGAGCTGGGAATGTAGAAAACCATTGGATATGTGACGGGCTTAATCTCGAATTACTCTTCAAGATAGTCCCCATAGTACCAAAGGCCATGTCTACGAGGGACGGGTTATGCCCAGTGGCGTCACAAAGCCGATGAACTATGATTTGTTGTGACGTCCAGGTGCAGAAGAGCTGGTGTAACCCAACAAAAAATAGATCACCGTCTTCACAAGCCTGTAAAAGGAGTAAAAACCGAGGTCGTTCAATCTGTACATCTAGAGCTTGCTCGCCACCACTGGACCGGATCCTTTCTTGAATATTTTCCATGGCACCTTTTGCGTCTAGAAATAGGCGCAATGCATTCCTGTGACACACAATCAAATCAATATACTTTATCCTCGCCGACAATAATTTTGAAGTGAAGGGGACCAAGAAGTTGTATACATACATGACACGTCGTCTCTTGGCAACAGGCTGCTCTGATCGCTCCTGCGGCGTAATGTTGACATGCGTTGGGAGCAAGTTGGGCGTCGGGGGTGTGTTGAGTGCCATATTTGGATTTGTAGGTGTATTCGGAGAGGCCGAAGTTTCTCTGCCTGTTCGCGAGCTCCGAACGCTTGACACTCGAATGTGGGGTCGTTCCTTAGGTTTATTTCCTGTCTTATCGTCGTCCAGTGAGAAATAGGCTCGGGTCACTGGTATCGCGTTTTGTGCCTCAGGCACGCCTGGACTAGGTTCGTCGCTGGGTGCAGGTGAAGGAAGGACGGTATTTGCAGCTGCAGTCCTGTGGAAAGATAGCAAACACATGGTTTAGCAAGCAGATTTGGATAGGTAGCAAAGTAGGTGCAATAATAGAGTGATCGCATAGGGCATGTAGTATTTTAAATAGCAACTTACGAGGATGGTGTATGAATGGATGGACGGAGATGGGGAAGACGGTGAGATTCGGAAGTTGGAGGTGGCGAGGCTGAGACGAGGTCGGGAACAAACACTGGCGCTGCCGTGGGTACTGACTCTGGGGTAACAGAGGTAGTTTGAGTGGTTTGGGCAGCTTGGGTAGTCTGGGTAGTCTGGGTAGTCGTGACAATGGGGGGCGTCGTCTCTATTGTTGTAGTTGGTTGTTTGGGTGGTTGTGAATGACGAGGAGATGGCTTGACGGGTTTCGCGTTGGTAAGCCATGATGGCTGTCGACGTCCAACCCAAGTATTCAAGGTGGAATTAGATGCCGCAACTTGCCAGTCCGACGATGCCTCTGTGTTTGGATTCAACCCTGCTGACGATCGTCGTCCACCAGTCGGCGCCATCAGTCATCAGTGATGGATGGAGTTATTAAGGCTACAACGGTTTATGACTTGGTCCTTCGTATCCCCGTTGGTATCGCCAGCGACAAAGTGCGGGAGACTGTGATTAGGATTGACAGGTTAACATATTTCAACTAGACTAAGTATGAATGGGTCTATCTTGCACACTATGGAAGACCGACAACTAGGTAGACTACGCGGCTCGAGAAACGCACCATATGTATCTAAGTCAAGTAATCTGTATAAGTGCGAATATTCTATAGCGGGATTCGTGATGAGATTATGAAAGTGTCGAATGTCAAATGCGGGAATTTACACAAGAGGCGATAATGAATGTCAGGTCGATCGATTGCGGATGCAGATGAGAATAGATGGACATGGAATCTTTAATCTTCAAGGTTCAGTTATTAATATTCGTGGCGGCTACCAACCATACTACGTGCTAGGCAGCCTTGACAGCCGGCGTGTATGCAAGGATCCAGCTTGCCAGTCGCGTCTAAGGTGTCTGTAGTTTCAATGTTGGGACAAGATTGATCTTTCCAGTTTCAGTTATGCCCCAGAAGCCTTGGAGGTAGTGGGTAAATAAATAAGGATACGCATTTAGTAAATACATATTGTGCAATTAGGGATGTATCGATATGAGAATATACCATGTAATAAGGTTGGCATTAGGTACTTACCATAGTTATCTGTTCGCAATCGAGGTTCAAATTATTTGACCTACATAGCATGGAAGGTACTACCTTACGTACATGCAAGTTGCAACAGGCCTGAGGCTACAGATACTACCTAGTATACATGTATTGTACATCAATGATTACCTATACATGTATGTAGTAGTTAGTATGTATTTGAGATCAGGTTCAAAGTTGAACTTGAAGTTACCTTAGGTGCTTAGGGTAGTTACATTGATGTAACTAATTAACTACAGAGCATCTTATGTGCTGTGCATACATAACTAAGTAGTTAGAGCATTAGAAATAGTTAATAGGTCAGTATAACTACTGAAAGTCATGGCAACGCCAAACTTTACAAGGGAATGTATTCATATGAAGCAAACAAAGCAAATACCTAAAATATCTCGTAGAGATAACCTTGAACATAATGCCGAAACTACGTATACACATGTACATTCATACCTTGGAGACGTTTAAACATTTGAATGTCTTCGGGGCTGATATGAAGCATAACGCCGGTCCTTGGCATCCCTCGAAAATACTCCAGACTTGTAGATAATACCCTAACCTAGGGCCTGGGCCTGCATTGGGATATGTAGTTGGCTATCAAGGTTCAAGTTAAAACGGTCACTGCATGCCCATGTGTAGGTTGTGAAAAGGAGCATCGGCATACGAAGATGTATAACGTCTCTTAGCCAGAAATCAATAATGCTCTTTTCAACGTTCAAAAATTACCTACATAGGTTAGGCATAATCTAAAACTATCAATAGGGAAAGTTGAGACTATCCACCAGATTCCACATACGTGGATGCATGTACGTGCAAGGGGCCATATCTTTAAGCACTTTAAGCACATACATATGTAATTAGTACATTAGGACTAGCATTGAGGTAGATGAAAACATTGAATATCAATGAATATCGAATGGTCATAAATGGTCAGTAATTAATATTATGTAATGCTCGGGTAGATTAGCTGTACATGCAGTCTCGACTCTCCAGATGTACATCATGTATATATACTTCTATGTAACTACATAGGACTATGTGACTTGAAGCATGATCGTAGATGACCCCTGTGAATGTAACAAGGATACAAGACGTTAATTATGTTAATCAATCCAAATAGGTATCCCCGTAACAATACCCAGTGACTCCAGAGTCCAGTCCTCCCGGATGGATAATTACGTACCTATACATACATAACACCCAGGCACACCCCTAAACCTTTCCAATGCAGTTAGTGGCAGTTTAGTACTATGTAACTAGTTTGAAAAGAAAAAAAAGAGAAGACCCCTCTCAGCTCACTCCGCGATCCGTTCGTTAACGGACGGCTCCTCATCCCATCCATCCGTTCTCAATCATCCTGTCATCCTAAGTTCTAACAAGGTCCCGGCCAATTCCATATTTCGATCCAATCCTATCAAGAAAATAGGTAACTACAGTCAGTGCCTAATTAGTAGGTCACAAGGGAAAAAGACGACATCATTCGCCAGATTATTGTTCTGTACTTCTCTCTTCTCTTCGCGGCACATATTAATTGTATTCTTTTTTATTTATTTCCATTAGTACGCTCAGCGGTACGGCTTTCTGCAGATCGCCATACCGAAGTGTTTGTGTCTGTGTCTGTCTATTCTATCTACCTATCTATCCGTCTGTCTATCCGTCATTCATTTTCCCTTACCTACATATGGTCTCACGATTCTAGTGTTACGTAGACAGCAAAAACACAAAAGGGGGGGAAGAAGAAACATCCAATAGGACCTTTCGAAAGTTCTGACCAAAACTCGAATTTCCAAACCCCGAAAGCTGTGAAGGCGACGGCACAATTGACATAGGTCGGCCGGCCGCAAAATAAACAAGCCAATAAACAATACGACGAATCGAGAACGAAACAAGAGAACTGTTTGTCTATCAATTATCATCTCGTATATATCATCTGTAGTTTTTCTCGTTATAAAAAGGCCAAAAATTCGATGCATTTCGTCACAACCGAAACCTTGATCGAGTCAGGTATCCGATAGACTCCGCAACTCCTTCGGATTAGGGAGCCAGTGGCTTGAGATCGCCACCCTCCTGATTGCACTTAGCGATTTTTACAGCCATTCTTCAATGCCACTTCTGTTCCCACCGACCGCGATCTCTGAATCCTATTGCATCATGGAGAAGTCAGCGAAGCCAGAGGTGGGCGATATACTGGTAGTCATTCGTAAGTTCAGTCCACTTTTCATTATCCATACCTACATATGTATCATAACATGAATTGCATGTTGTATCGCATTTAACCCTCAGCGTTTACTATACTGTTTGTGCGAAATATGTTGATGATTACGGTTTTAACTAAGCAAATCTTCAGATGACTTCCTGGCCCGAAGCTCCGACGAATTGAGTTTAAAAAAGGGCGATCGCGTTGAATTGATTGAGCGCGACGACGAATTTGGTGACGGCTGGTTTCTAGGTCGTCATTTGGTAAATGAGAATAGTGGCTTGTTTCCTGAAGGTAGGCGATATTTTTACTAGGCAAAACAGCCTTGAGCATCGAGTCCGAGTTAATCAGTGCCTCTGTAGTTTATACACGATCAGCCCCTAAAGGGGGTGTTGCGCCCAAACCGATCGCAAATTCAATATCCACCAATGGAGCAGATGCTATTCCCGGTCAAAGTCGAGATCGCAACTCAATTACACAGCCTATTTCTGCGATTCCAGCCGATGCTAATCCCATAACCCTGCCGTTGAACTCTACCAAATCTGAAGGGAAATCAGCGCCCGCATCTACTTCCCTTCTTACTAGCAAATTCAATTACGGTTCCAGTAACGAAAGTCCAAATCGCCTCGGGATACAGAGCCAAGAGAACCCAGTCCTCCACGAGACTCTGACAGTTATCGACGAGCATATCACCGACTTGCACTCAATTCCTCCAAATGGCGTACTTCATCATGCGACAGATTCTGGAAGCGAATACAGTTCTCACCACCCCGATCGACTTTCATATATTCAGGGCGAAGAGACTGACGAAGAGGAGGATATATTACATACCCGCTCTGAAGTGGAAAGCTGGAATGCCGATAATGTAGCAGAGTATCTATTTACGGTTGGCGTAGAGAAGAAGCACTGTGAAGTTTTTCGCGACCAGGAAATATCAGGTGAAGTGATCCTAGGAATGGACCAGTCATCGTTGTTTCTTAAGGCGTTCGATCTGGGTTCCGTAGGACGAAGGCTGAAGACGTGGCAAAAAGTAAAGGCTCTACAGGACGAAGTGAATGGTCTTGGAACGACCACAAGACGAAACACGCAGACGTATAGCAGCGAAGCAGGATCAGAGAACGGTAGAACGAGGAGCAGGACGAACACCCTGACAAATTCCCAGAGGTCTATTCCAACCGAAAGTCGACCAGGCTCTGTTCACGCAAAGCGCCTATCGCAGTCAACAAGACTAGACCCCTTGGCCCCACTGTCCCCCATTTCGCCCAAAAGCAACCAAGACAATTCCGCTTCACACTACAGGAGACCCTCAGCGGCCTCCGTTCGAGATCTCCATCACTCGCGACGGCATTCGTCAACCGATTTTAGACTTGCGCCACCAGGAAACAACGGGACCCCGAGGCTTGCATCCTCGGGTACATTTCCGCAGATCGATTCTACGCATAGAAAGCAGCCATCATTTGACCGTAATTGGACTATGGGTGCAGCCTCTGCACCCCCACCACGACCACTTTCATCGACTGGGCTGCACGACATTGTAAACACTTCTGATCCAGAGCTTATGCAACATACACCTCCTGACTTTGATCGTGGGTATTTTTCTGGCACCGAAGTTGATGGACGAAAGCGGAACGTGCTTAAGAAGCGCGACAGCACCGCATCGCATTCGCACAAGTCAAGTTATACGGAACAGCAAAGAGTAAGAAGTGCAACAGCTATCTCGCGGCGCTCCAGATTTGGTAGCATGGATTCTACCAGAGACGCAACCCCCCCAAGCGCCGCACAGTTGTATTACGGTCTCGCTGGCGACCATCGGCGGACAAATTCCACAAATACCATAGAATCGTTACGGCCTATTCCTCCTGCCAAAGACGGTCCGAGCCCAACAGTCACCAAGCTAGATCACCCTTCCACGGCCTTACAGCCAAACCGGGGGGGGATTCACGGCGATTGGATCTCAAATGCTGGAAGCAAATTAGGCAGTCTGAGGGCTATTTCTGATGCTATGGTCGGCAATGGAAAACTTGGTTCCCCAACAACGGACGCCCCTGCCCAAGCTTCGCCGATGCGATCACCATCTAGGGCTGGGTCAAGTACGCCTTCTGGTAACCTGAGTTTCGAAATTGATAATCCAGACATAAATAAAAGCCCATATTCTACCGCTACTTCTGCGAGTCGTAAAAGTGCAAAGAAAACAAAGAAAGAGACGAGTGCTTATCAACGTGGGTTGCTGAAGATTCCACCACGAGAAGCTATTCAAGGTGCCGACTATAGTGGGTGGATGAAGAAGAAGAGTTCTCACTTGATGACAACGTGGAAACCGCGACTCTTTGTCCTCAAAGGACGACGTCTCTCATACTATTACTCAGAAGACGACACAGAGGAGAAGGGCCTGATCGATATCTCCTTTCATCGCGTTCTACCAGCAGACAATGAAAGACTGACAGGCCTGCATGCTACTCTAACGGGTGCTAGTAACACCCCGATAATGCCGGCGGATAGTAATCTCCCAACCCTTGCGGACAACACTACTGTCTCTCCTGCTGAAAAGGGTACCGACTCGATGTTCATCTTCAAGCTCATGCCACCACGAGCAGGGCTTTCCAAGGCCGTCAATTTTACCAAGCCCACCATTCACTACTTTGCGGTTCCAAATCTGCAGCAAGGACGAACATGGATGGCTGCTCTGATGAAGGCTACCATTGATCGTGATGATGCTCAGCCTATGACAAGCACCTACCAACAAAAGACCATCTCTCTCGCTAAGGCCCGTGCGATGCAACAGCGACCACCGGCGCTTATGAATCTTGATGAGCAGATTGAGGAAGGCATTAAGAACGAAGAGAAGAAGAACGGCTTGGGAATCTCGTTTGGGGAGGTTGATAGTGCAATCTCTGGTCTTGAGAAGCTTGGCCTCTCACGAGTTGATACCGCGACTACCAAGTCAACTATCGACAGTGAGAAGAATGATGGCCGCACATTCGTGTCTCCTCCTCAGAGCGCTTAATGATACCCTTTTTTTTTTCTCGCGCCCTACGAATTAGACAATCTGTCACCTAATTTAGGCATTCCGAATTGAACCACCACTACATCGTCGTCCTTATTGCTTTACCCTGAAGCTGCTACTAAGCTATTCATACTTTGCATGAGTTACCAGTCTGAAGAAACGGTTTACCAACATTATCTATTTATCAGATTCTTTTGGCAAGGGTTTGGCAAAGTCCAAGCCCACAATCTCATACCAATTTTCCTTTGCCTTTAGCGTGTAATTGTCATTTCTCCCCCTAATTAACCCCCCCTTCCCCGCATCGATACCTCAGCTACGCGAACGAAGCAAAGACATGGATTCCACGATTAGCCTAGTTCTCCTTTATTCTTTTCTTTTTCGATCATAAGTCAAATATGCAAAAGAAAGTGGAGGAATCATTTATCCCCAGATACACAAACCCATACACGTACGAGAGAGACAGACAGAAGGACAGAAAGACAGAGAACCCGGAAACTGTTGTATTCTAGGCACCGGAGAAGGAGAAGGAGAAGGAGAAGGATAAAGGATTCAAGTCCTTTTTTTTTAAAGAGGTAGAGGAGGGCCTCCTCCTCTCTTCCTCTGTCTATCTATCTATCTAGGGTCAGGTTCAGGTCGGTTTATATTGTTGTGCAATGTATGTGCAGAGAGAGAAAGAGAGAAAGAGAAAGAGAAAGAGAGAGAGAAGAGACGAGCCCGAGATCGTGTGCGCAAAGTGAGAAGTGAGATATGTAACTAGCTAGCTTGAATTCGTTACTACTTACCCACAAGTAGACGATGAAGCAGCAATAGATAAAGCTTTAATACAAATGTAACTCTTATGTATAGTATAGTATTCAATGTTGTAGGTAAAGGAGAAAGGGGCTTGTGGTGTTAGCGTGTTGTTTAGTAGGTAAAATAGATATAACCTAAGTAGTAAGTATAGGTGACACAGTATTACTTAGTTGATGTTCCTAAAACTACGTAGATGTAAGTAGGTAGGTAGGTATCTTAGGAGGTAAGTAGACTGTAGTCTATGGGTAGGTAGGTAGGTAGGTAGTGTTCGGATCGTGACAGCTACCTACCTACCTACTATATTCACTTATAGCCGCCCACAACCACAGACAGCTACTTATACACATACTTACATAGAATCCATACATAGGAAGGAAGGAAGGAAGGAAGGAATGAATCAACCATCAGCATTCCAAAAGAACAACACTAAATTTAACATCACATCCCCGTTACATGCGCACCCACGATACCTACCTACCTACCTACACTACATACCTAGGTTAGGTTAGGTTAGGTTAGTCAGGAAACAGAGAAATAGTTATTAGGTACCTACAGAACATGACACAAACGCCACGAAAGTTTATTATATACCTAGGTCATATATATTCCATCTGTCTGTCCGTCCGTTGTCTTACCGCCTTATCTATGTAGGTACTAATGCGTGTATACCTTACCTCGGTATGTATGTATGTATGTATGTATGTATGTATGTATGTATGTATGTATGTATGTGGTACCTACAGTAGGTAGGCCAACTATTAGGCTACCTAGCTACCTACCTAGTACCTACCAGGTGAATTACCTAGAATACCTAACAGGCGTAGAATTCCTAGTAGGATCCTTACCAAGCAAGCCTGGACGAAACAGAAGAGAAGAGGATGGGGATGGGGATGGGGATGGAAATTTAGTTTAGTGTTTAGGGGGGGAGTATCATGAATCATATCCAGCAACCGATCCCTTGTTTTTTTTGGTTTTGTTATGTTTTGTTGTTATTGCTTATAGCCTTGCGTCACTTCGCCTAGTATATTCATCTCGTTTGATCCCATACCCTCCTATACCATTCCGGTACCGAATCATACCTATCGATATAAGTAACCTTAGGTAATAGGTACTTGCCTTGTACTAAGTAAATAGACATAAGTAGGCAGTTAGGTATACGCAGCACCCCCCTTTCCCACCCAGCCATCCACCACGCAGATACCTATCTATCCATCGAGCTTATGCCTGATAATCTCAATCCACGCCCCAATATCCTCCATCGTCTCGAGCGCATTCGCCCAGTCCCTCGGCTCCCTCTTTCTGTTCTCAAAGCTCACGTTCGCCTTATCAAACTGCGCAAAAATATTATCCGAAACGATGTGCACTCTTCCGCCGGGCTGGATCTCAAGCATGATGTTGGCGGTGGCGTCGCGGAAGGGGAACACAAGGGAGAGGCGGGGGACGGGGTGTGCGGTTAGGGTGATGTCGACTTTGAGGACGTTGGGGGTTGGCGGGGGGCGAGAGGATGAGGTCATGAAGTCGTCGAACTCGTCGCGGGTGGTCCGCGGCACGCGGCTGTCGTTGTCGGTGTCGGCGTCCTTGACGGTCGGCTTGCCCTCGCGGACTTTGAGGCTGTTCGTGAGCAAGAGAGAGAGGAACGCGTACTGGCGCAGCAAGGGCAGCATCGCGACGAGATCTTTCGGGTGAGCGAAGGGCACGTGGGTTAGGACTTGGCCGTAGACTGGCTTGTATATGAATAGTGTGTTCCGGTGCGCCTTCAAGACAGGCTCCTCCTGGGTCTTGCCGTGGAGGACGTCTATGAAGGTGGGGACCGTTTGGGTATATACAATTTCACGAGGTTCGCTGGGGTCGTAGGCATTTCCGTCGGTGATGGGGAACATCAGTGCGTCGAACGTGATGTTGGAGAGTGGCGCATTCGTGGCCGTAATCTTATATATCTCCTGCGCGACGACATGAGGAACGATGACTGGAGGGTCAAAAGTTGCCATGAATACAACCTCCGGCGACTTGTGACCAGACACGCCTACGACGCCGTCTAACCCCTCTGTTTTCATATCCTCCGATGGAGGCAAGAAAGTGTTGGGGGGCTCCAGCCAGTCCAAGACAGGCCCCGTAGCTGTGACCATCTCCTCGTCCGTAAGGTTGGCCTTCTCGATGTAAGGTCCAATCCACTTATCAGAGACACGTACAGGAGTGTATACCATGCCGTTCGAGGGGGCGCATTCGATGAGAATAGCCCATGTGGTGGCCTCTTCGGTGTCTACCGTGGTGGTAGCCAACTTCCTCGTCTCCTTCCAATAGTCAAAACTCAAGCCGATGCGGCCTCGAGTGTGCATGAGAGGACACCCGTGGCGAAGGCAGAGGGCATAGACTCGCCGCCTCTCCTCAGACAGGTTGACTAGGGCCGGTTCCTCAAGAAGTTTTTGCACATCCCATCTATGTAGTCTTTCCAGGCTTTCCCAGATGCCAGCGATGGCCTCGTAGCAATGAAGGTTGGGAAGTACACTGAGTTTGTCTAGTGCAGCCAAACGCTCAAGATTGGCACGGAAAGCGGTTAGCTTCTTGGTCAAGGGACTCTGGTCGGGCTCCAGAGCTAGGTCTTTGAGGAGAATAGCTGAGGCGCGGTCGACGTGCTTTTCGAGGCTCGGTGTGGGTTCATTAAACGTTAACAAAGCCTGGTGCACAACGTGATTGGTGATGCCAACTTCGACAGCCATTGTCTGCCCTGCTATGATCAGAGTCTTGGCATCTTCGCCGGCACCCTTCACGTCTTCCCATAGACACTCGAGGCCAAGGTGAATAGCCAATCTCTCGAGTCCCTGGTTGCTGACTCTACCGCTGTTTTGAGCCTTTAGAAACTAGTTAGCACCTAAGTCGCATCCTTTCATAGAGGGCTAACATTATAAGTCAACCTACCCATAGAGCATTAATAACAGCCTCGATTCTCTTCTTCCGATCCTCCTCGTCCGACCGTCCTGCTGCAGCGACCAGTCCTCCAACGCTGATGTTATCTAGGTTGAGATCATTAATCGACATACCTAGACTGTTGTAGACGGCGGCAGCAGAGGGGCTATCAAAGTTAACGGTAGCGCTGTTAGTGCTGGCCACCATGGTGCCCGTCGCCGGAGATTTCTTAAATTGCTGTGGCGAGGATCTTGGGCCGTGGGGAGAGAAGGCGGCGGCGGTTTGGGGGTTAGAGAATGGCGTCGAGGCCTGAGGCGTAGGAGCCGCGGCAGGGTGTTGAGAAGGCGTGCGGCCCTGTTGAGAGGGGCCATGGCGCATCGGGGTCGACATGGTGAAGGTAAGGGTGATGATGTGGTGCAATGAGATGCGATGCGATTCTTGTGGGTATGTAAAATTGAATGATTAAACAACCCAAGATGATGATGAAGAGAGAAGAGTTCTACCAAGAAAAGAAGCCCCGACTCTTAGGGTTGAAGTTGGGAACCCGATCTTGTGTGTGTTCGGGTGCGAGTGCGTAGTGTGCGTAGTGTGTGTAGTGTGTGTCTGTGTGAAAGTGCAGGTCGAAAGCACATTCTTCTCATTCTTGCCTTTTTTTCTGTTGGCCTCTGTGCTCACTACTAAGTACTCATTATGTACTCATTTACCTACCAGACTAAAAAAAATCAAAGTAACGCCCTTTCCATCTTATCCTTCCCCAGAACTCTAATAATGTCTCTGCACATCAGCCATGTTGTATAATGCCAGTGATGGGAGAAAGATACAGGCGCTACTATTAGTAGTACATTAAATACCTACTAGGGTAGCTTCCGAGGTTGACGCGCTCGCTAGCGTGTTCACGGACAGATATTCAAGTATCGAAGGGTTTAGCTAGCTGGCTGGTGTGCCTGAATACGCAATAGCGGGTTATCTAAATAGGGTGGGGTAAAGCCTGTGCATGCAACTATCAGCTATATGCCCAGGTACCCCCGAGCTCCATCAACAACTCCATTCTCAGCCTCAAAGTTCTTCAACTTCAACTACATCATATTTACGACATCACAATGCTTTAACGCCTACGTACTGCACCGAAGGTAGAAACTACCTGTTTTTTTTTTTCATCAAAGTAATCTTTTGTCTCTAGTAACAGGTCAACTTACGGCCCACTTGCCCGCCTGCCTACTTCCTAATAATACATAAAAGACAATCGCATCAAGTGCTATGAAAAGAAACGAAAGGGATACAATATTTCCATCCGACTATGCCTGTTCCATGGTGCCTTCTCTCTTTATCTCTATTTGTCCCTACTTCCTACTGCTTATAACGCTTCTCGCAGTATGTGATAGTCGATAAAGTAGTTTGGTTGGCAGAAGAATAAAAGCCACCCGCTCATGTAAAACGGTCGATGGCTTTTCTTTTCTTTTGTTCGGTGGCATCCCATGGAATAAATAAAATGCTTTGCCCGTCTCATCGAGGATGGAACCTTCTTTTATCCCTTTTTCTTTCTTTTTCTCGGTTCATTATTGTGTACTTTTCGTCAACTGGCCTCTTCAGAGAGGCACTCCCCGTATTATCGACTGCCCCAGCCCGTATAACAGAAGGGGCTCACGAGATGTCGTATCACGTATGTGATACAAGTTCTCGTTTTCGTTCTTTTGCTCATATTCTCGTAATGTCGTGTTCTCGGGTATTCGTGGGTCATTATATATCGACAGGAACGGAGATATCATCTTCGTTCATGGTCGAAAGGTTCGTGCAATGGATTGTATGGGTAATTATCGGATTGCTGCAACCACAGACTGCGGAGTATGCTTTCCTGCATGGCCCATGTACAATGTGCTTTCGGGATTTCGGTGGGCATCACCAACGGTCCTGCCTAGAAAATGATTAGTTCTCATTTCTCCATAGCGAAAAAGGGGCGTAATAGAATAGAGGATAAACTCACCCACCATATCACCCGTCCGGCGCCTTTTCGTATTGTCCTTACCCTCCCACCCTTCCTTGGACAAACACCCCCCAACCAACTTCGCATATTACCAAGTATCAGATCTTCCGAAACGAAAGATACCCGCAACCCATCAAATCCACATCAATTTTCCTTCTTCGTGTACCTCAAAAGGTCCCATCGTAATCTTCCACCACAGTTACAAGGAGCGAGGCTCATTGAACTCAATACTTTCTTCGGAGGTTGACAGTAGTTCCAGGCCCCCCTGACATCAAAAGGGCGTGAATGAATAAGACTCCTAGCAAAACCCAAAGTGGCTATTGCTAGAGTCATCCAATGCCCATACCCATACCCAGAGCCCCAACGACACACCAACATGGTCATGGTATGGGAGAATGTACAATCTTTCCCAACGTGGTGGTGTGAAAGGGGTATCGTATCGTAAATCAGCACCGCAAAGCCAAGCGGTGCATATCAAGTTGTTGTTTTTTTGGTACACAAGGAAACAGACACAAGGAAATAAAAACGCAAGGAAATAAAACACAGCGCGAAAGGAAAAGAAAAAAACAGGCCAAACAATAACGTATGAGAGGCCGCGAAAAAAAAAATAGAACCGCAAATATCGAATTCCGACCTTGGAGACGCGTTCTCGATCGTGCCGCTGCTGTGGCATCGTAATAGTTGGTGATTATTAGCAGCGTCCCGTCACGATCGTTGCCGCCTCCTTGTTTTCCCTGAGAGATTTCTAGTGGTTATCGTATGCTTTTTCTCATCGTCTTATTGCTCACTAGACACTTCTTTCTCTCTTATCCTTCTCTCGGGGAATCATTACTCGGGTGTACATCGGGATGCCCCTGACTTAAAAGCCAGGCCCCCCCTGCTGCTGGGGCGGCATGCTCTGCACCTGCGGGCCAAGCATGCCCCGCGGCGCCGCACCCACACCGCCCTGAGCAGGCGGCAGCATGCCCTGCTGCTGGAACCTCGGCGCCTGTCTCGACATCACCACCCGCTTCGCCTGCCGCGCCCGGCAATCCAGCGCGTACGCCGGGTCCGTCGCGCGCCGCTCCTCGAGGTACCGCTCGTACGCCTGCTGCTTGGCCGCCGAGCGCGGGTCCCCCGGGATCAAGGGGCCCCGAGGCTTGCGCACGGGCTTCGGGCCGAACGCCATCTGCGCCTGCTGGTACAGCGGCACGTTGTTGTTGTTATTCGCAGGTGCTGAGAATAAGTTGGTGGCCGGCTGCCCGGGAAGCGGGTACTGCGGCGTTTGCGTCGGGGGGATAAACGAGTTGTTGTTGTTGTGGGGCATCGGCATTCTATTGCCGAAGGCGCCGTTGTTATGCGGGTTGGGGCCGGTGAGGGCCATGGTGTTCTGCGGGCCGCTGGGGGCGAAGCCGTTGTTGGCAAAGCCGCTGCTGGTATTGTTACTGTTGTTGGCAAAGCCGGGGTTGGTAAAGCCGTTGTTGTTGTTGAAGGGCTGGGGGCCGTTGAACGGTCCGGGTGCGGCGCCAAAGCCGTTTCCTTGTTGGTAGGCGTTCTGGAATGCGCCTTGCGGCTGCTGCGGCTGGGCGAAGTTCTGGCCCATCATGTTCTGGTTGGGAAAGTTCTGCTGGCCCATGAAGCCTTGTCCCATACCGTTTTGCCCCATGCCGTTCTGGTTTTGCTGTCCCCCGAAGCTGGGAGTAGTAGTACCGTTCTGTCCGGTAAAGATCGGGGCAGTACCGTTCATCGCAAAGTAAGGAGCGGCGCCGTTCTGGCCCATCCCATTCTGATTCTGCCGTCCAAAGATCGGAGTAGCGGTGCTTACTGGAAAGGTCGGCGCAGCAGGGTTCTGGCCCGGGAATGGCTGCACGGTGGGATTATACTGGTTTGGACCCTGGAAGATCGGGTTCTGACTACTAACGAGCTGCGAAGACATTTGAGCTGCCGGAGCCTGTTGCTGGGCTGGCCCATTGTTCGCTTTCAACTGCGTGACCTCGAGCTTCAGCTCGTCCATGCGGCGGTACAGAGCACGCACATCCTCGATGCTAAGCGTGTGGTTTCCAAAAGCGATGTTCTTCAGATGATCAGGGGCGTCTTTCAACGCGTCGGCGATGACCTTCTCCTTGTCACTGTAGTCGTAATCCTCCGTGAATACCGCGTCTCTCCGAGGCTTCGCGGCAGTCGAAGTGTTCGTGTCACCGGAAAGGTTCACGGCCTTCGAGCTAGTGCTGCTGTGAAACTCGATCGCCTTGGGGTTCAGGCTAGGCGTCTCGGGACTCTTGGACGGAGTCTTGAGGGGCACCATACCGCTCACGCCCGAGTCCGACGACGAGTTCTCCACGGGAGGCTTCTTGTTTGTCGCCTCCTCCTTGTTCCAGTGGGGCGGCTTGATGTCGATGGGCTTCGCGCCGTGGCGGTTCGCCGACGACTTGTTGATCTTCTGGACAAGCGCCTCGAAGCGGGCTTGGTCCTCTGCCATCTTCAAAGCCTTCTGCTCCTCTGCCATCCCCAAAGTATCCTGCTCGTCGATCGCCTTCAAAGCATCCTCAAGCTCCTTTTCTAGAGCCATGTCGATACCAGGTCCAGGAGCCTGCTCTTGTCGCTTCTGGGGTGCCGCATCTTGCTGGCCGGCCGAGCGCTCACTGCCTGTCGCTGCCCACTCTTCCTTGTCGTACTCCTCCCGGAGGCGTGAGATAGGTAATCCTGCCGAGCGCGGCAGCTCGAGCTTGCTAAGGAACTTGTCAATGTTCGCGTGCAGGGCGTCCCAATGGTTCGTTTGGAATTGCTGCGCGGTGTTGATGGCGCGGACGGACGCCATGGGGAACGTGTTATCGGGACTGTCGTTTCCGGCATTGCGATCGCGGGGGAACGCGCGCACGGCAGCGTTGCCGTAGGTCGTCTGGCGGCTGCTGGTGGGTGTTCCCTGCTGGCCGCGAAACTCCAAGATCTGCTCAAGACCCTCGCGGATGGTTGGGGTCACGGCGTCAAGACGGACGGTGTCGTTCGAGTGCATAGACGACTTCTTCTTCAGCTCGCGGCGAGAAGTCGTAGATGGAGAGGGTCCGGCAACATAGCCCATAGCCGAACGGCCCGCTCCTTCGAATTGGCGATCCAGGTTACGCATGTTGTTGCCCAATGTCGCAATGGGTGCCGATTGAATCAGGTCGGGATCAATGGGGGTGTCTCGATAGCGGCAGGGGGCTGGCTGCTGCTGCTTGTTGTTGGTGCTGTTCGAGAACGTGGTGTCAATCGAGAGATTCTTGACATTCCGCTTCTTATGCTTCTGCGACTCGATTCCCTCGGAGCCAAAAGTACTCGGACCAGCAAGGCGCACGCCGCCATCATCACCGTCACCGCCGGCACCACCGAAGGAGGCGCTGGGGCGCTGGCTGCGCCAGTCGTCGCTCATGAGAGCCACGCTCACCTTGGGGGAACGCGTGTCGAAGTTTAGCTTGTGGGCGGGCGCAGAAGAGGCGCTCTTGTTGGCGTAACCATCTCCGTCTTGGTTCATTGGATGATAGTCATCGCCGTAGCCGCGATTCTCGGCTGTCATGCGGGCGCGAGCTGCGGCCCGGGATGCCTGCGCTGCGCGCATGGTGGGCGGACTTCCTAAGGGTAGATGACTACTGCTTTCGAAGGATCAGTTTTAGCGATTGGGAATTGAGATTGAGATTGAATGATGCCGTACCAGAAGTTCGCTTGATCGTATGATCAGACAAGCGTGGGATAGTTACTGTCGTTGAAGGACCTTCTTAGAATTGGTTAGTACCTATAAGCAATTGAGTGTTGAGTTGGAATGGAATTATAACTTACCAGAAAAGTTCGCTTGTTTCGAGGATCAGACAAGCGTATGATATTCTTGTCGAAGGACTTGTAAGTTCTTAGAGATATCTCGGACCTTCTTTGGATTGGTTAGTATGAACTGTTGTAGTTGAGCTGGAGTTGGAGTTGGGAGATAGCTTACCGGAAGTTCGCTTGACTCGACGATCACTTGGGCGTAGGATAACTATTGTCGAAGGACCTCTAGGCTCCTAGAGATATATCTATGGGAGTCTTCGCCTTGTGATGTGTTAGTTTGACTTGTCTATTTCCTTTTCCTTTTCCTTTTTTTTTTTTTTGGAATGATATTGACAATAGAGGAAGCCAACGAGCAGGAAGGAAGCGATTGGATGTAGCGATAGAAGGAAGCTTGATCATATGAAGCCAAGTGTTTGGATGGGCAGCTGGTAGCAATGTGTGGTTTGTTGGTGTAAGAGAATAATAGGTAAGGTCTTGGTGGCAGGTGATGAAGGAGAGGTTTATGTATGGAAGTGTGGAAGAAGAAAAGCAAACAAGAGCAAGTAAGTAAGTAAGTAGAAGGGAATTAAATTGAAGAATGACAACGAAAATAAATAAATAGATAAGTAAATACTTACTGATACTGTGCTGTATGTCGATGAGAAAATATCGGGTCAAGGTGTGTGGTTATGGTCGCGGGTGTGTTGGATGTGAGTGGTGTGGTCCGACCGAAAAAAAAGAATTCGAGGTCGAGGAAGTGTATGTTGTAGGTACTGGGTAGAAGACCGCCTACCTAGCACTACTAAGGTACTAAAGTTGACAGTAGACAGGCCGTTAGATAGGCACCCAGGCGCGTAACAGTTGAACTCCCTCGTGAGTATTGTTCTTTTTTTTTTTAACTCAGCGGATGTGAGTGAAGTGAATGATTGATACTTGCGATATGGACAATGAGAATAGAATCTAAGAGTAGATCTCAAAGATTAATCGTAGTCGCCCGTATCGGTGCTCGTGTAGAGGAGGTTTAAGAAGAAGAAGGGTGGGTTAGAAGGAAGAAGGTTGGCGGATGCGGATGGGTGTATGGTAAGTAAGTCGGAAGAGAAGAAGAAGTCGAAAGGTTTTTATTTTTTCAATTTATAGTCCGGAGAACTTGTGGGGGAGGGTCGCTGAAGAACCTATTGCCGAAGGAGAGGGAACTGGGAAAATACCGTGTGTTCCTCAGGCATGCGGTTGAAAATTTTTACTAGGACTGAGGCTGACGGTGATGTCGAATCATCCCAAATTGTGCTATCGCTGAAGCCGAGCCGAAGTGGGAAAAGAAACTGTGTACAAAAGTACCTACGACGGACAGGTAGAATCCAATAAAAGAAAACCAAGAAACCAATCCAAAAATTCACCCAATTCCCATCTCACATCACATCAACGCTGGATATCGACGACTTTTTCACGATGTTTGTTAGAAGCGAAAGAGGGAGATATCTACGTTGAACATTCTGCTCATATTGCTCACTACCTACATCTATTCTACAGGAGAAGGCGTGTCTACCTACATAAGCTGTATACACTGTCGCGGAAGCTTCGTACGTGCATGAGCAGCTTCTTGCTCTATAGCTAGTACCCACCCACATGGCAACTAGATTTTTTGCCCACAGTATAGATAGGTGTATTAGAGGTACAAGGTTACGGAAGTCACCATTGTAATTGTTGACCTTATACTTCAGGTTGCCATTGTCCATCCGCGGTAGGCGCTAGGTTAGAACAATGGGTGGCAATCTAATCGGGGTAGGCATATTCTATATTCACAACTTTGGCCTACCCGGAATATGAGTTCCGAATATATGGAATCGGGCATGATGTTATTGTACAACTGGATAGAAATAGCACTTCATGGGATAGTTCTCGAAGGGCGAATATAACATTAATAAACATCAAATCAACCCATAGGCAGACCGTGTTGGATGCCATGAACACTTCTCAGTGCTGATTGCAAAGTAAAGTCAATTATATCCAAAGACGAGTTGGAGTTTCCAATGATAGATCCCGGGGCACAAACAAAATAACTACAACACAATTCGTCTCCAGGCATCTCAGGAGCGACGTTGACCGTAACCAGAAAGCTGTGATAAAATCTACCCAAAATATTGACAAGATGATTGATAGTAGGTAGTCATAATTTAGGACAGGCTTACCTAATTAAGGGGACGTTAAAGGGGTGATTACTAAGCTAAGTCGTATTCCTAAGATTGCTTAGGTAAGAAAGGGGTCAATTTTAGATGCTTGACAAGTCTACATAACTACTAGGTAGGGTGCAAAAGTACCGCCGGTGATATTATGTACGCGCGAAGCAAACAGAGAGAAGACTGATATCAGTCCGATGTATGTGAGCTCATCTATGTTGACGAGAGAGAAAATGCAAAGCGGTCGTTTATATGCCGTGGCTGACCTGTGAGTGTAGAACGGTTAGTCGTTGTCTGTCAAGCGCGCTGCTGGGTATACATACCAATGAGCTTGTGTCTGTTGGATATAGGCTGTCCCATCTGCCTGGGTCGTGATAACGCTTGAGTTGCCACCCAAATTAGCTAGCGCAGCGCACGCAAGACCAGAGCCGCCCTGATTCTTGGCCTCGAGGGACACCTCATGGGGATCAAGCCCGAGCGAACTCAGGAATTGATCCACGGCATCCACACTTAGACTCCCATGTACACGGGCGACGCAGGCCAGCAAGGTAAACCAATAAAACAAGACCATCGTGGGTTCTATGTATAGAATAACGAGTGCTGCGAAATTTGAAGCTTGGGTTGAATGACCAGGTTGGAAAGGTCAAGTTCCAGCATGGTTTATATCTTTTGCAATGGGTGCGCAATACTACAAAATGATACTTGTATTTTTGGGGCGGACATCTAGAAGCCGAAGGACCATCCTTTCCTCCACCACTGCTGTTGTTGCAAATTAGATTGTCGCATGATCCTGACGGAGTCTTTCATATAGCATCCATATAGTAGCTATTACCGCCATGCGTAGGTAGATAGTCCTATAGTTGGTGTTTGGTGAATCCTAGTAAAACTTCATGTAGCGCCGTGGTTGGCTGCGTGTCTGTAGGTAAAAGGAGAAGTTGAGCTAGATACACGACCCATACATCGTGTTGGAAGAGTGAGGCGTTGTTGCTGCTGCCTCGTCACATCGTCAGCTTACCCTGTCTTCAGGTTGGAAAAAACCAAGCAACTGGTCGCAAGATTTAGAGGAGCATCCATTTAATCGACACCGATTTGTATCACCGCTGCGGCAAAAGCTTTCACTATGGATATCATTTCGAAGATCGCCCTGGGGCAAGAGCTTGAGTGTGTTGCTAATCCATACTTTCACAATGAGTTTTCTAGCCATCTCGAGGCATCCTTCAAAATAGGTTGGACAGTTACAGCATTTCCAATGCTTTTCTTTTCGGCATTCGCGTTAAGAGTCCCTTCCGCAACATCTTTCATCCTTTTCCCGCTGCCCATAACAATTCTAAAACGTGTAAGCTGTCCAGATTTCCCTGGTAGGTTCATTTCGCGATCAGTACCTAGTTTAACGTGTCTCTCTACTTACCTGGAAATGTTTGCAGCTTACAGCGCGATATCTTGTTTAGACCCAAGAGTCTGCCCCCAGCATCCATAGCGGCGCAAGAATACCGGTGATTGATAGGTTAACTGACCCAAATATCGTTGAGGGCTATGTTCCACCAAGCTTAGATGAACTAAACGGCAAGCTCGTAATGCTATTGACTACAGGGAATGATACGACTTCCAACGATTTGATTTTCGGCATTTACAAGATTTGTACCAGTCGCATGGTGCAGCAGCGTTTGACAGAAGAGCTTATAAAGGAATTCCCGTCACTTGACGAGGAGATCACTTACGATCACGCGAGGAAACTACCCTACTTGGTAAGAGGGATACACATCCTATGAATGAGCTCGACTAACCAACGTGCCTGGGCAGACGGCGACAATCAAGGAGACACTGAGACTTGGGAACCCGCTTCCAGGACGTCTCCCTAGGACGGTATCAGCTGAAGGATATAGTCTGCATGACAACTTTCTGAAGCCTGGGGTGAGTACGACGACGTTCTGCTGGCGATTGTCGTCGCTGCTTTGCTAATTGGACTTGATCGTATTTCTTAGGTGATCATACACACATCAGCTTATGTGCTTAATCGCCAGTCTCTTTCGACGTTTTCGGATCGAGCCACACGACACAGCCGATCACGATACGGAGTGGAAGGATCTCATTCTAGTAGTGTACGTCAATAAGCTTTGCAAATCCCCAAAAGAAGGCAGTGACGGCATGCTGATAACCACATATTGCTAGCTACCGAAAGAAATTCTTGGAGAATATTGAAAGAACAACTTCGTAGGTGGAGGTGAGAAGCGATATTTCATCGCATCGTAAATACTGCTACAAGAGCGTGGGTAGCTTACCTAATAATAATTATTCAATTCTCTAATAGTCAAGCAACATTACCAGAAAATGTGAGATTCTGCATGAATTGAAAAAGAAAGCGGTTTCCAAAAATGTTAACATGACAATATTGTCCACGACGTAGAGGATCACGTGACTATCCTGGAATTGCGCTTACATAAGGCTAAATTGTTTATGACTCAGCACGAATAACGACATTTCCAAACAGTACACTGTATAACTTTGTAACCTAGATACATATCCTCTCATCTTTCTCCGTTCTGCCCTTTTATTTAGTATACCGCGCTTGAAACTCATAAACGAGGTCCCCTCAACAGCTATTCCGGGGCTGTCGCCTCCAATTGCTTACCAAAAAAATATATTTGCATCCTCATGACTTTTCAGGCATATCATCCAACTCTTTGCAGTATTCTCCCCGAGGCTGAAACTCCAAGTGAGGTCCATCATGGCTTGAAGTAAAATTATCCAGTAATTTGAACACCCCATCAAGTTCGCTTTCATCGGTCGTCCCCGTTTTACGAGCTTGTGCTTCACCACTTCTTGGTACGGCCCTGAAATCAAAATACCACATTATTTTGGCGACGACCAGAGAAATCTCTAGGTATGCCATGGTCTTGCCTGCACACCCACGTTGGCCAACCGAAAACGGAGCAAATGCGTCGCGCACAGTCCTCTCATCATCTATCCATCTCTCTAGTCGATAGGTAAAGGAGTCTGGGAAGTACTCCTCGTTGTGGTGGATGGAATAGATATTCACCCCAACGGTGGTACCAGGTGGAATTACGTGTCCGTCTACAGTGAATGGTTGCTCGCTTGGATACGCCTCTCTCCAAAGGATACCGGCAACGGGTGGTGACATTCGCATAGCTTCATCAATACAAGCCCTCAAATATTGGCAGCCTACCATGGTTGGGCCGCGGATTTCGCTCCCGTTTGTGAAGCTGGAGCGAATCTCGTTCGCCAGTTTTTGGTAACACTGGGCGTTCTGGGAGAGATAGAAGAAAGTGGCCGCCACTGCAGTTTTAGTCGTATCCCCAGCTAGTCCACTTAGGTGAGTATAGCATGCACCTATAATCGAGTGAGGACAACTTACCTGCAGGTAGGAATACAGTAGCCTCAGCCCAAAGTTCGCTCGACCGGATCCCATCAGACGCATCTGAGTCTAGCTCATCCGCAACGATCGAATAGAGATCATGCTGCGCATTTTTACCCTGTTTGATGCGAGAGCTTATGATATGCTCAACGAGAGAGAGGTATTTACTTCTCAATCAACTGAAAATCTTCAGGGTAGCTAGTCCTATTGAGAACTTACGAGTCAAAGGCCAATGCAGGAAGATGCCGCTCCAGAAGAATCCGGCCTCCAGCATCGGCAGCACAAGTCTGTTCTCTTCCCTAGTCTGAAGATTGAGATTATAGCCAAAGCCAAGAAGCCCAGCGATATCAAATCCAACAAGTCTGGCACGCTCCGTCATATTGATGGCGGTGGGCTGGGACCCCTGAGTGGAATGATAGATCAAGCGTACCAAGAGATCAATCTGGTCGAGCATGGCAGGTTCGAATAGACGCATGGAGCGGTCCGAAAGGGCTCGGCCAATAAGCTGTCGCCTTGCTCGGTGCACTTGACGATCCCGCGCTGTGAAAATAGTCGGGATCTTGAGTCTGGGGCCTATGGCTGAGTACTCCTTGGGCTTGGTAGTCCGATCATTCCTGTAAATGTCTTGATGCAATCACGTCAGCAAGCTCCAGCGAGATTATTTTCGCACCTTACCTTGAAGAGCCCCGACAGAGTTGAACACCAGTTTGTTAGGTCCCTGCCTTACGACATTGCCTAAAGTGGAGATGGGGTTAGTCCATTGTTGATGTGTAAGTCGATGTGACCAAACGTGCACATACCGTACTTGAGATGGCTCTGCCGGGTTGTCGTGTGAAGTTGCCGTTTGAAGGCATGGTAGCCGCTGTAGGCGTCCGACAGCTTTGCCACGAAGGGGCCTGGATAACGGCTCAATGGATGGAACAAAGTCTGATACGCTACATATAGGGATAGCTATGGGGTCTTGCGTCAACTGGCAACGTCCAACACATACAATTGAGGCTGGATGCTGTTCAACATACATAGGATATCACCGCCACAAATCCGTACCATGCCGCTGCGAGGACCTGTGAGCCCAAGTGCGTTACATCAATCATAGTGGAAGCAGGTATGATAGCCGAAGATGCTGTAATGAGGGAGATTGTCACGAGTGAATGATTACATGCCAAGAAAAGGGATATCTTAGGACAATGGCAGGTTTGAAGTATAAGTATTGGCCCGAACCGGAAAGCTTTGGCGACGAGACGAGTCACAGAATTGGGGGCGGCTCGGAGCTCAGCACGACCGACGCTTTTAGGCTGCCGCATTAATAAACCCCATTGTATACCTCTATAGGATAAAACGGCACAATACCCCTCCTAAGAGTCCGAAGGATTTGGAGTTAAAGCCGTTCATGCTGCTGTTCCCAGGGCTGATATTTACTTAAAGAAGAGTGTCTTCGTAATCTAGGCCTCAGTATTGGCTGGTCCAACCGCATTGATATCGACATGTTTCCTCGTCCTCTCACCGAATTATATAAAGGTGTCACACGGTGTGAGTCACACCGCCAATGCAGTTGATTTGCCTACAGAAGGTGCAGAAACGTTACTGATGGGAACTGCTCGTGAATCGATACCGAATCCGGTAGGTAGCCAGGTAAGCCAATCCAAGCTGATGGCAACCACCAAGATAGATAGACGTAGGTATGCTGATCGATTCGATGAAGCGATGCGAATATTTAACGCTTCCCTATTTTACTAAGCGTTCCTAATTTTACTTTCGGGGGTGAAATTTGATTGACGGTCGACGGAAACAACTAAACCGCCACGACTCAAACATCCGTTAACTAACAGCTGGTTGCTGAGGATATCACAAGTGCTGATGGTAAGCATCGTCTAGGTAGGTACCTATTAGGTTGGTACTTAGACGGAGGATTGGAGCTTTTATAGGTGTTACGTTAAGGTAATACAGGTATCGCGTAGCGCATAGCTACCCCTATTCCAGATACCTAGCAGCCATTGAATATCACTTAACAGACCCCTTCCTCTGTCACTGTTCACGTATTCTGAAGCTCGATAATACAGGTGATAACAGGGTAATAAGATATTCTTAGTTGGCTTTTACGGCGTTATTCTTCATCATTCGTCACACACTACAAATGGCTAACCTATCTATATACTTTACATGTGGAAACCCCTTAAAATGATTTACCAAGAAACCATTTGCCTTCAACCTACTCCCTTCAAACTGCCAAACCAAGCCTACTCACATCGACATCGCGCATCTCCGTAGTATGAGACTCCCTCGCATGACAGATCCGTCCACTCCCAACGGGCACATTCTCATCATCACCCTCCGTCCCCCGTCCCGTAACCCCCGTGCTCGCCTGATAATACAACAGCCTATGAAACCTCCTCTCGCGACGAGATCCAGCGACGCCGGCTCCCCATCCAACTCTTATCGGAGTTGCCGTTCTTTCTCCTCCCAGGACCTCTTCCTGCCGCTGCTCCCCCACTAAACGAAGCCCAAAATCCTACTACCTATTGCTAACCTTGTGCGCCTCAGCCCACTAACACCAATATTCGCCCGCGCGTCATCTCCGCCGCGGCCGTCCGCAGGATCTCCGTGAAGTCGGTACGTGAATTGCCCATACGTATATGGTGAAATCCCCCCGACGGATATTCCATACCTAAGTGCGCAAACATGACTAATGGCACAGGAGCCATCCGGTATACGATGGTCACGCTAGCAGTGAGCAGTGCCTGTCCGCAAGCCTATCAATGTCCTAGGTATTTCCCAGAAACTCCATCTCGCCTGTCTTCCTTTACATAACTAGGTATCCAGCTATGAACAAATCTGCACCCGCTTAGTTCAGCGAAAGGGCCCTTCCTCGTTTGCGATAGGAGAACTGAGGTATGTACATAGGTACTTGCAATCTGCATGCAAGCATGTGCTGCTTCGCCAAGATCCATCGGCAGCACCTACAGACGCGCCAGGATCGCTAGTCCCAAGCATGGGAAGAAGAAGACGACGTGGGCCCCCGAGATCGCCGCTCGGCGGGTTATCGACGTTGGATACAACACCCTCGGGGGGGTTGGAGCGCCGGGCTATGGAGGACAGCCTCTTGAGCCCCGGGGCTTGGGGATGAGAAGCTCGGCGTGGTGGGTTAGTGATGAGATGAATGCTTAGGTAGAGTATAGGTAGATGGCCTTGACTTCCCTGGGGGATTGGGCCCAGTGATCTGGGTTGAGAGCGGCGCTAGGGGGGTGTGGGAAGACTGAAAAGGGGTTCAAGTGAAGAAAAACAGAACTGGTGACTGAGAGATAAGGGGGTATATTAGTCTCCTAGAAAGGAAGAGTTTGTCGCAGTCTCGACTAGGACATTAGGCAGGTATATAGGTATACAGATAGTCGTAGTAATTCTATAAGTGTAGATGGAGGTATATTAGAAAAGCGCTCTCCACAATCAAGAATCTTGTCATCGCACCACAGATATAACCTATTTCCAAGTCTCTAGGATTTCATTCAAAGCTGCCCAGAAGCTAGGTATACATAATATCTCGCCTAGTGAAGAACCTGATTATCCTTGACGTGAGGACAATGATGAACGGCCAACTTTTCCCTAACTCCCCCTCTCCACCCTCAAGCACATCTCCAGCATGTGGCGGTAGAGGATTCGACGTGATACTTGGCACCGCATCAGGCGACATGCTGCATGAATCAGTCAAACTTGATGCTCCATTGGGAACGTATATCGATGTAGGAAGGGTTGATGCCCAGAACTCCATGTCGATCGGTCTAGAGCCTTTTCAGAAATGTGCGACCTTTACGTCCTTTGGTATAAAAGATGTTGTCGATGCTGATCCGGAAATAGTTCGAGGCCTCTCAAAATCAGTAGATTCCTATTATCTAAAGGGTCTCATCAGTCCTGTCCTACCTATGACAGCTTCGGATATCTCAGCCCTCGACCAAACTCTGCTTGGGTTCTCCAAATGCACTCATATTGGGAAACTAGTTATCACCTTCCAACAACCAGGCGCGCTTATTAGAAGAGTGCCGGCCGTCCCTAGGGTTGTTTTCAACAACAATGCTTGCTACTTGGTCACTGGAGGGCATGGGAGGCCTTGGTAGAAGCATAGTTCGATGGATGGCAGAACGTGGTGCCCGCCAATTCCTCATCCTCTCGAGGAGCGGAATCAGCACACCCCAAGCGCGGCGGTTAGTATGTGAACTGGAGCTTATGGGAGTCACAGTTCATGCTGCCAAATGTGATATCAGTGTTGCCGAGGAAGTATCGTCAATTGTGGCAAAGTACTCACAAAAGCTCACCATCAAAGGCGTCGTTCACGCTGCTGTCTCTCTCCAAGACCTGTCTTTCGACAAACTCACAGTGGAGCAATGGAGAGCAGGCCTAGCAGCTAAGGTTCAAGGAGCCATCAATCTGCATGAAAGTACCAAAGCTCTGTCACTTGACTGTTTCGTCATAATCACATCACTGGTATCTGTGTTGGCGCTCGCTACCCAGAGCGCTTATACAGCAGCCAGCAACTTCCAGGAAATGTCTGCCCGTTATCGACGGAGACTTGGCTTAAAGGCCTCTACTATATCCTGTGGATTGGTCACAAATGTAGGACAGTTCAGTACTGACGACACGGCGCGGGCACTCATGGCTCGTAACAGGGTTCTCGGCATGGCGGAGTACGAGTTCTTGCGGCTGCTGGAGCTAGCCTTCATCAATGACTGTTTTGGCTCTGCTGACGATGAGGCAGAAGGAAGCTTGGTACGGTGTTCAGGACGACCCTCTCTCAGGTGCTGGTATCATCACTTGTCTCGATCCGCATGGTATGGCTGATGAAAGACGAGAGGCAGGATATGCCAGACAGGGTGGTGTTGCAGACCCTATTCCGCGCTGGTACAGCGATCCGCGAGTGGTTCAAATAATGTGCGCTGTCAGTGACGCCGAGAGGCATCAGGAGGACAGTAATTTGAATGAACGTACGGGAAGACATGAGGATATGCAACTTAATTCTAGTTTTGGCGAGTTAACCGCAAAGGGCCCGGAGAATCGCATCGGCATTGAAACTATGGTCACCAACGCGATTGCGAGGGCAGTGGCAAAGATGTTGTTTATTGACATCGCAGACGTTGACCCAACACAGACAGTTGCTGGTTATGGTATTGATAGCCTCATCGCAGGTATGATTGTGGCCTCCGCTTTAGATACTTGACAGGTGAATATGAATTAAAATCAATATTGTGGTCTGAATTTCATGAGATTACAGTAGTTGCGTGAAGAATTCCTGCCAGTAAGTTAAAACAGTCCTGGAGGCTTCAATGCCAAATCTTCAACATTTGTATGCAAACGCTGGCTTATAATCGTGATATCATTTTAACTTGGCCAGGAAACAAACAGAATGTGCACATCCAATCAAAAAGACATCGGGAACTACCTAACTTAGTAGCTTGCCGTAGATATAACCAAAAAAGACATTTCCCAAAAGCTCCATGTGATGAACCCTTACAAAGCTGAGACATCATCTCGCCGTAGACTTCCGTGCTTTACGGTGGCGCGGCGTTACCCGTCATATAAGCGCTGAAAGCTCTCTGTAACAATCTAGCATTAGCAACAAAGAACAAGAATAAAAGTTAAGGAGAAGAACTTACCGGGTTTCTGGTTTGAATAAACACCGTACCAGGTCCCGTAAACTTGCAAACAAGACCTTCTCCACTGGCAAACCCTCCTATGATTCCACCACTTGCAACGCGCTCCATGACATATTTGACGTTCCAGGCGACCAAGTGCCCGTTATCAACAATGTACTTCTCGCCGTCGTTGAGGTTCTTACGGATAATGGCGCCGAAACTTGTGATCCAGAGCAAGCCAACGCCGCTTATCTTATGAACCCATAAACCCTCACCACTGAACATGGCCTTGCCAAGCCCCTGGCGCTTGTAGTCGCGAATGACGCCCTGCGTGCTAGCAACGTAGGCGTCCTTTCCGACACTCCAGGACTCGTCACCGCCGAGACGAATAGTAGTCATATCGCCGAGCATACCAGGGGCGAGAAGGAGTTCACCGGGGCCGATGAAGGTCGAGTGACCAAACTCGCCGCCACTCGCCATTAGCTTCTTCATGCTGAACTTATACTCTCCCTTTAGGGTGATCGTTGGGCTCATGGCGATCAACACTCCCGGCTTCGCATTTATCGGACACCCCATTGCCAATTGGATGGTGATGATGGTGTTACAGTCTCGGTGGCTGATTCGGTATGACCCGCCATTGAAGGTCCCTACGTCATCCAAGGTGGTGGCTGCGGCTCCTTGAAACTGGCCAGCACCGGTGTTTGATGTATTTCGCGAGTGGGCAAGCCCTGTCCCCAAGATACTCTGGGCCTTCTCGTTGGGATAACCGTCTTGGGCATTAGGGACTACATCCCCGTATGATGGCGCGCCTACGCCAGGTGGTGTGAGGGCGCCTTCGTTTCGAAGGGGAAGAGGGGAATGCTGCGCGATTTGCTGAGGTGGAGGCTGGTATGTAGGGGTTCCGACGTGGGGAGGAGGAGATATGTTTTGGTGCGGCGGCGCGGGATAGTTCTGCTGAGGAGGCGCTGGATATTGTTGTTGCGGTGGTGTGGGATAACTCTGAGCATGTGGTGGAGGGTAGCCGGCATTTCCTGGCGGGGGAGGAAAGAATTTGGACTGGTTCGCAGGTGGAGATGTCGGAGGTGGTGGATAATTCTGTTGTGGTGCTATAGAGGTTTTCGTCAGTCTACTTTTGCTCATATGGGTTTTTACTGTTATGCTCCCAGTATGTGGACATACCTGGTGGTCCACCCGCACCAGGAGGCGCTACATAACCCAGGTTAGATCAAGATCTGGAAGTTATATGTTTTGTATGTTCAAGATATGACGACTTACGAGGATAATATTGCCCAGACATTGTCAGGCAATGGGTTTTAGTCTTCCTTAACTAGTCGCCTTTGTGGGTACGTAATAAGTGATCCTCTTAGGAGCATGCAAATCTAGAAGGTCCAAGATCAGCTGTGTTGGTATAAGTAAAAGGCTCGTGAGATGGTTTGGTTTCTGGGAGGCTGAAGAATCGGCAAAGCGAATTAGCCCCGCATTCAAGGGAATCCTCACTTACACTGATATATGTTCCAGTTGATACACAATATCTATTAGGCCTTAGTTATAGTTGGTCAATGAGTAAAAGAGTACGAATACACTTTGGTTTTCTAACGATAGGTATGAGTCCTTAGAAATGTTGGAAGATAATTGTAGCCTTGTGGCTAAGAGGGAAAATAATGAGAAGTTGAGCTTTGAAATGCGCTTGGTGGATGGCCGCATTTTGGGGCTATCCTGCAGTCAGGGGGGGGCCACTCGATCGCATGCGTGGACATCCATGGATTGTCGTACATGTTGCAGGGATTCGAGGTTCAATCGTACCTTACGGAAGGGCTGTCCCGTACCTACTGGGTTAGAAGACAGGATGCTGCTAAATAACTACAACTCATCCAGTTCGTCGGGGTCGAATGGGGTCGAATGGGGTCGATTACAAGTTGCAGTTGATTTCATTAGGCGCTATGATGCCCTGGCAGATGCGTGGTGGGCGCTAATGTCAGCGCTTAGTGGTTTTAGAAGTCATCTCCAATTGCAAACAGAAATATGATTGGCTGGCCAAGTAAGTTGGGGTTAGATTGGAGAAGTCAGACCCCAATTATTAGTGCATAATCGAGATTCGATACCAACCAAACCTCCAAACTTTGCCGACCGTCCGAACATTTGAACTCTTCAATTCTTCGAATTAAATCATCTCCGGATTGTAAACTCACTAAGTTAAGTGTATTTACGGTAGTCGCCTAAGAAGCCGGTGTCTCCACGTACTGTCCCCGTGCTCTCATTCGTCTATATTCTTCTTGGACGACCGGTTCATACTTGATAGGCCTCTTCTCATCCGTGCAAACGGATAAACACTCAATGACAGTCTTCGGATCTGGAGAAACGAAATATGGAATCGAATATCGCGGCCTAGTCATTACCTTTTCATCCATCGGAGTCTTGTCTTGAGCTAGTGGAGCAGTAACTCGATGAAGTGTCGACTTAAGGAAATCTTGAGGTTTCCGTTAGTATCCGAACAGTCCGGGATTCCTGTGCAGAGAGAAAATGGCTTAACGTACCGTTGCTCCATCTCATCAACAGGTCGCCTACGTTCATAACCATCGCGTTCTTCATCGGCGTAGCATCAACAAAATGACCTGGCTCACTTGGATGCTCTACCTGCAGACCTCCACACTCGTCTTGGAACAGCATGGTGATTGTGCCCCAGTCTGAATGGGCAGGCATCCGAGCGATTGCATTGCTAGACAGCTTCGTCGCTTCGACTGGTGGGTAATGGAGAAGTCGCAACTGATTATTCTCGCCGCTATGAAAGTGTAAGAAAAAGTCTTCGTCGTCCAGACCGACACCAATCGCCAAAGCGCGCAACAATTCTCTTGCCGCAGCGAAGCACTTCCAATAGAACCGCTGCATGAAATCATGGAAGCCAGGAATAACATCCTCGGGCAACCAGATATTTGGTTGCAGTTCACAATCCTCGCTCCCGATTTCGTAACTCTCCTATTCAAGATTAGAGCTATTCTTGTAGAGGCGAGCCGTTACAAATTAGCACAGACCTTGACGTCCGCGACTTTTCGGTTTTCTGCCGCTTTAGCTTCATCGCCATCTTTGATGATATCCTGCGTAACCTTCTCCAACCCAGGCCAGGAGTAACCGCGATGAACATTAGGACCTAAACCACCTACTTAGTCATCTCATTCTCGGACGTCCGCTACTATGTATCTCAACACAGACCTGGTGGATGAGGAGCTAGCATCTTTGTTTCCAAAGGTAAATCAAAGAGCTTCTTGGACCAACTAAACGCTTCTTCAAGTAAGATATCGGGGACGCCATGGTTGATAATATACACGAAGCCTACCCGACGGCATGCCTCGGTGACTTCTCGAGCAATACGTTTCTTATCGTCAGTCGATCCCTGCGACCATGAGCTGAAGTCTACTGTTGGAATTGAATCCTGCTTGGGGATCGCCATCTTTAATAGATTTCCTACGATATGAATTTTTCCAGATTATTTGAAATGGTAGGTTGATTGTTGAAACTGCCATTAACTTTAAGAAGCAGCACGTACTACCACGGTGTATAATACAGTTACATTTTCCTATCAAGACCCGAGATCGCCTCGTCGTTATCATCACAAGCAGTGCGGGGTCAACTAGGACACTTATGGTGTATGTTTCTCTATCTACTACCAACCTATATGCCCTATAGCATTTCATATGTTATCTCCAAGACCCCAGACACCCAAAAATACTAGGTAGGTATTTGTACATACATATTAGGCCACGCTTCAGGTCAACTATCTAACCTAGTAGAGTCCAGGTACTAATCAGAAAGGAATGATGCAGTGTAGACTGCTTACAATTGGTTTACAGCTCCTTTCTAGATTACATACCACAACTGTTTACTAATGGCCAAGCCAACTATCGAGCAGATTCCTGGACCGTCAAATCACCTATAGCTGCGAAAAATGCCACAATATAGACAAGCTCGGGGCTGCTGAAATCAAGCAGTATTAAACGATGGCAGAATATTGCATGACAATCTCGGCAAATTCAATCCAAGCCTCGTACATACAGCCGTGGCCTAGGCTAAGGACCTTTCTTCCCATCATGCTCACGCCAGCTTCCATTAACAGAACACAAAGTCTGGGTATTAATTACCAACGGCAATTTATTATTATTCCTAGCTGAGCAAAAACTCGGACAGAAACCCTTGTTATCGTATGGTGACGCGGCTATTATATGCGCCTAATTCCTTCCATCCCCGGGCGCTGGATAAAGGTCGACCCGAGGATTCCTCATGTATTAATCCGTCGTCTCACTCGAATCAACCCTCTCTAGCTAAAACGAGGTGAAGCTGATTGCCTGAATGACTAGGCCTGGGCTCTATAGTTTTGACGGTCTTTCTTTGTTGGATTGACAGCTAATACGAGCACTCCTCAGCTCTTAGCAGATCCGTTCCTCTCAGCCTCTCCATCGTCCGGGGTTCCGTTATCGGCAGGTTTGCGTAACAGGCCATCCTCCGCGGCGCTCTGGATTGCCTGGACAAAAATGTGTCCCATCTTCTCGTAGCCTTCAACGGTGGGATGCGAACCATCGGGTCCAATATCACTGATCGTAGGAACCCCAGAGCCACCGTCGCTAGGATGCATCTCGGCCAGTATGACCGGCTTTCCGTCTGCCTCGAAGTTCTTCATGATGTCTCGATACTGTTGGTTCATCTTCAAGACCGTTGGCTCCATATTAGGAACTTTGTTAGTCAACATCGTGCTCAGTATGACTGTCGACTGCTCCGAGGCCGTCAACAAGTAGTTGATCATATCCTCCATCTGCTGGCCCACTTTGTCGGTATCCTTGTTCTGCAGGAGGTTGTTGGTCCCCAGGTTAATGACGAATACGTTGGGCAGGAGTCGAGGCACGGCCTTCTTAGCGTAGTCGTGCATCTCTGTGATCTTCTTTCCTCCGTATGCCTCCACGTCGTTGTCGACAAAGTCCCCGAGACGTACTGAGCCCACCATATTGACCGTGAATCCAGAATCAGCCAGCTCGTCACGCATTGGCTTGCGAAAACCTAGGTAGCCGGGAGAAGTTTCACCCTTCACGATGGAAGCGCCTAGGGCCATGATCCTCAATGGAACGTCATTGGAACCAACAGACGATGCACCGACAGTGGAAGTGGAAGACGGCTCATTGGATTGTTCGGCTGTGGATGAAGCTGTGATAGACACTTGGGTGGACTCGACTTTCGAATCGGTAGTTGCGAGATTGCCAGCCGCTGCCGTTCTTGTGGTTGACAGAGGTGAAGTGGTAGTGCCAATTGACTGTCCTTCGGCCATGGCGCTGGTGGATGAGCCGCCTGTATGAAGCTTTCCCGTGGCTGCAAAGGCTTCATGATGTCAGTGTACACAGTTCAAAGTACAGTCGCAGCTCCTTTGCTAAGATCGTGGGGCAGTTTGATTCTAGTAACTTACCGATGATCACAATTACTGCGATCAAGATACCCGTCAAGGCTGCAAATCCTGCAATCACCTTCTTGCTACGAGCAAACGCGAAACGCGACGTCCACGACGTCGGCGCCGAACCCTTCTCCAGAGTTGACATTATCACTGACCCCGACGCTCAACTCAACTCAAACAATCCCGAATATCTCACGTGCAAGTGAGTACGTGGATGCAAGAGATGAGAACATTTGGCGTTGCGGGAACTTTTTTTCTTCTCTAATAATTTTCGCACCAACAAAGACAAACTTAGTACCTCAGGTGTGTGTACCTAGATTTATGACGAGCACAGTAAGAAAAAGGATTTGCCAAGACTTTAATTGAGTGGTTATTAGGCTCCGGGCTGAATCGCAACATCGTGATTTGGTCGCTCAGCGCACCAAAGCGGCACGGCAGCAATGTTCATTTGCCAAGACCCGCTTGATCGCGCCACCGGGTATCGGCACGTACGTACATCGTACATAAGCTCAAGAAAGGGGTTGATCATATTGGTAGATCATGTAAGTCGATCTTATCACTGTTAGAATATTGACAGCCTCAGATAAAGTACATACATCAACTAATACAGTACATAATATCGCCTGCATGATAAGTGTGTCTGCTAGATAACAAGGGGGAGGATCGAGATGGACCTAGATGGACCTCGAATGCGGCAAACAGGAACTAAGACACTCAAGAGCACAGGCCAACAAGCCGAGAATAGATATAACGCCGACTTCACTTCATTACAAGATTAAAACTAAATTCAGTGTGCGAGAAACATCATATTAAGCACTATACAAAACTATTAGAGATGAAGCCATCAAACTCCCCTTCCTACCAGTACCCAGGTCATTATCATTACCAAGTAATCCGGTAGCTCTTAAGGTAGTTATCCCACTTCCCCGAGGATCCAACTAGATATATACTGGAGACTAAACAAAACCTACCTCGGAAGAGGCTATAATGTGTGTGTGTGCGTGTGTGTGTATGTGTGTGTGTGTGTGTGTGTGTGTGTGTGTGTGTGTGTGTATGTGTGCGTGTATGTGGATCAAGACTTACCATCACCAACCAAACGGCCTATCAAGCCGACATCAACTACCCATCTAGTTGTCAAGGTAGTGCACCGTCCTAATCGGCGCATTAGCAACCTCATCCATCCAGCGGATCCTGCGACTAATCGCCGCGCCATCATCATCACTCCCACTCCCACTCCCACTACTACTCTCACTCCTACTCTCACTATCCTCCTCCCCACTCTCCAACAGCCTCTCCAGATTCAACGCCTGCAGCGCCTCCACCACATGCTCGCCCGCGTCGAGCCCGAACACCCGCCCCCCCCTCTTCCCCCGCCGCGTCGACGCGCTCTTGGCGTACACGCTGCGCTCGCGGTCGTCCATCCCCGCGTACGCGTGCGCGAGAAGCACCAGGCACGTCTGCTGCACGGACTCGCAGGTGCGGACCGCGGAGGCGGCGACGCGCGCTTCGCAGGCGAGGTCCACGGCGGCGTCGGCGAGGGAGAGGGCGGAGTGCAGGGAGGAGCGCGTGGGGTGGCCCGAGCGAGGGTCGAGGAGGGAGGAGATCTGCAGGTGGAGGGTGGTGATTTGGGAGAGGGTGGACATGGTGGCTAGGTTAGGTAGGTAAGGTAAGTTGGGTTAGGTGGCTGGGTGATTTGTAAGGTCAGTTGTGATGGTGATGGTGGAATGGGTTTGTGAGGTAGCTGAGATATATATAGGTAGGTAGGTATAGTCTGTCCCTCTGCTCGCAGAGAAGAAGAAAAAAATGATGGCTTGATGGACTTAGTAAAAAAAAGATATCGGGTGAAAGATTAGCAATGTCAACGGGTTAAATAGCACCTGTGCGAAGCCACAAAGTCCATTGTGTCGCTTGATCGGCTGTGCTGAAAGAATGGCCGGTCAAAGAACGGGGGAAAATGGTATTGTGTGAGATGAGGACAGGACAAGAGAGGTGGTCAAAGAGATGGGGAGAGGCTTTTCGTTGTGGCGCAATGGTGATTGTGTAGTTGTTTTGGGGGGTGGTGAAAGGGGGGATAAGAAGGGGGAGGGAGTTACTTTGGGCAGTGTTACTGATCGAGTTATTGGGTATTTTCTTCACTCCCCTTAGGTCAGTAGTACGCACACATTTCAAGAGATTTCTTCCAGGAACTAAAGCGTCGCTATAAGCTTACTTAGAAGCATCAAGTCATTCAATATGTCTCACGACATGCAGCACGGAAGACTTAATACTTGCTACATCAACAGGCTAAGAGATGCCAAATTCTCCAAGAACCCTCACTCGATATCGCACTAGTTCGCAAGATACCTTTACGACCTTTCGAGCGACGCCCCTATGGGCAAGACATCTTGATATTATTTACATTTCCTAGGTACATATGCCCTCCAAATGCGCTTATCTACTAAATCCAGAATACGCTCGCTTTACCTACACAGAAAGACACTCATATATATATATATATATATAGGCAATCCGCATCATATCTGACCGATAGGCGCCACAGTCGGCTCTTGCAACGCAACCTTACACTGCGGCAACTCCACGCCATACGCATCCGTAGCCAAAATCGTCGCATTGCCACCGTCATCCTCCGTGACCACCTCAGGAACATACCAGCGCCGATTCCTCAGATCGCCATCCTGCGCGTTATCAAAGAAGTTCTGCGGCGCGAACATGATGCTACTAACCGCCTCCGAGTACAGCGTCACCGGAATGTCCTCGGCGCGCGTGAAGTGGTGCATGCCCAGGTTGAGCCACACAACGAGGTCCTCGTCCTCGACGCTCTCCCCGTCGAAGAACTTGGCGAAGTCCTGCTGCGGCCGCGACGGCAGGTTGAGGTTCTGCACGCTGTTGCCCCAGGGCTCCGCGTCGTGGTGCCGCGTGACGGCCAGGTGCGCCTTGGAGAGCGCGGTGTTGCGGCGCGAGAACGGCGACCTCAGCGTGCTGAGGCGGATGTTCGACTTCCCCGGCACGATGCGGTAGCCGCGGGGCGACCCCCACCGGTTCTTCGCCGCCGCCGCGTTCACCGCGTACATCGTCTGCCCGTTCTCCGCCCAGCTGAGCTCCGTCTCCGTCGCGACGTCGCGCGCCTCCAGCCGCAGCTGCTCGAACTCCCCCAGCTCCGGCCACCACGGCTGCGTCGTGTTCACCGCCCGCAGCTCCGTCACCTGCAGCCGGTTCGCGGTGCCCAGGACGTCGAAGTCCGCCTTCCACGTCAGCACGTGGTCGTGCAGCGACCCCTGCGTCGCCTCGTGGATCCGCGGCCCCCACGCGCCCTGCTCCCGGTAGAAGGGGGACGACTGCAGGTACCCCGACGCGCGGACGGTGATCTCGAGGGAGCCGTCGACGTGGAAGGCGTAGTCGAAGAGGTAGTCGTAGTTGCCGACGGTCGCGATCGAGCGCAGCGTCAGCAGCGACGCCTTGACGACGCCCAGGTTGGAGAAGCCGTAGTCGTTCGCGGCGCCGCCCGCGCGATGGCGCGACAGGGGGAACCCCGCGTCGGCCTCGAAGATGCATATGGCGTCGGGGTTCACCGTGGTGGCGTTGCGGTCGTGGACGGTGACGTTCCAGAACGTGGCGCCGAAGGGGCAGTCGAAGCCCGCGACGAGCGGGAACAGGTCGGCGCCGAGCTGGAAGTGCGTGTCGTGGTACACGGTCGTCGCGGCCTTGGGCTGGAACCCGCCGTACTGCGCCGCCGCCTCCTGCATCGACAGCTCGTACAGCACCCGCTCCCCCTTGAACCGCACGTCGAAGAGCATCACGCCCAGCGCCCGCGTGTGCGCCACGTAGAACGTCCACCCCAGGTACTCGACGTACTGCTGCGCGGCGTCGAGCCGGTACCGCTTCCCGCCGACCTCGAGGCTCTGCGGCGCGAACTTCTCCTCGAGGGGCCGCGCGCCCATCGACGGGTTGTGCTTCACGAGGGCCCAGTCGTCGCTGCGCGGCTGGTGGAAGTCCTCGGACAGCTCGCCGGCGGCGAACGCGGATTGCAGGTCGGGGACGGTGGGGAAGAAGCGGGAGTTGGTCACGAGGCCTTTTAGCCGGTAGAGAGAGGCGTCGGTGCCGGGGATGTCGAGCAGCACGAAGAAGTCGAGGGGGCGGAGGTAGCTGGTGGAGCCCGGGATCCGGAACATGATGATCTGGAAGGCCTGGTCGCCGTCGAACGAGGTGGGTGTTGTGGTGGTGGCGGAGAGAGTCGTCCGGGGGTCGGAGTAGCCGTAGAAGACGCCGCCGAGGAGAGAGGTGGTTATGTCGGTGAGGTTGGACATGATGGAGGCGAGCAGGGGCGCGGAGGCGTCGACGCGCTTCTGGTCGAAGTATCGGCCGTTGAAGGGGACTGAACCGCCTGTTCCGCCATTGTAGAGATAATCTAATTTTTGGATGGTGGTTTCGCTAGAAATTGGCAATGGGCCGATCATGTATTCCTGAGAAATCGGGTTGGCTCTTCCACCCTCGAAAATAATAGCGCGGGCCCATGGGCTAGGTTTTGATCCTGACCCGTCCAAGTACGGCAGAACGGCCGACTTGTTGACGGGAACGGTGTCGATGTACCAGACATAATTGTCATTGATGCCCGCCGTCTCAGGGTCCGTCAAGTTTAGCCCAGAGGCCGGGTCGTGGAGTAAATTCCAGACTGCCACATTATCCTCCGGTGATATCTGCGCCCAAACATTGGTTTTGGGGGCTGTCACTTTTTCTGCTGGCTCGTATAGTGAACATGCCGAGCAAGCAGCATCCGCATCAGAGTTGTTGCTCTGCGTGAATTGGGGCAGTAGAGTTTGTCTCCGGTATCCCAACGGCGGAACTGTGGCTGCGTCGGTAAACGGTGCAGCCAGGACTATAGCTATCGGTATCAATAGCTGATACATTATTTATTTATTTATTTTAAAACAAACGAAGCCCTTCGCTTCAGTGACACTCTCGCAACCAAACCCCATCGTCAACTACTCGGATTCAAGAATTGGACATATTTATATAAGGTTTACAACCCCTCTGCAGCATACATGCCGACTTCTCGTATACGACCAACTAATCATATGAAGGCCGCGAAAAAAAGGGGGGCCGTACCTATTGTTGCAATGCAGGTCATTTCTCCGACTTGGCAAGATAGGAAGATAACCAGCCATCCGCGGTTCCGCAGTCGGGGGTCGAGATAAGCATTTCAACTGTCGATGTTATACTCGGCCTCCGAATGAGTATAGACTGCTCTTGGCAAGGCGGTTCTGTCCAATGAGTAGAGGGTTGGGGCATTTATATCCATCGCGACGCTTAGTATTACCTAGTAGGGCATCGTTGAACTGCTTAGATGTTAGATTCTGTCAGAGATAGCAGCCTGGGAGTGATGTAATGCGCGGAATCATGATGCCGGGTTGGGATTTCGTACAGCTGTATAGGTAGGCATTTACTACATAGAGGTATATACGCAGTAGAAAGGGAACTATAGCTAGCCTAGTACCTACCTGAGGTGCCCAAAAGCTCATGTATAACAATCGTTGTGGACGGTTTCAGTAATTCCCTAGGCACCTATAGTAAATCATGAGTGCCTGCGTAAGTTATCAAACGGGTTATCTTCTATCCAACATGCAGAATCATACCTACTCATAACATGGGTTAGTCTTAGGTAAATGCCTAACCTAGGATGTAGAGATAGCAACAATAGTCTTTATTAAACATCAGCCATGCATAAATCCCAAGCTCCTGTATAACTAAAAACAATAATAGGATCATCCTTTGATGCTATGTGCGAGCTCAGCTGCCAGAAACAAAGTTGTCGATTGACTTTCTCAGGTCTAAACAAAAGCCTTTTGATTTCCTCCACCTAATGAACGTATTTTCCTTGTATCGAGAATGCCTTCCACCTTGTTGTTTGCATCAAGACCCGTACCGTCTTTCAATCCTTTTCACACACGTAGGTTGGTATTCGCTGCCTTCTAATCTTGGTACCTACCTAAGATATTTGAACATCAAAGAGAGAGGTATCACGACCGGTTCCACCCCACGGCCAACGCGATGTAAGCGCCCCGAGCGTGATGAGTCTAACGGCTCTAAAATCAAAATCGCTTGTAACCCAGTTGTAGCCGGAAGCGCAAATCAAAATAGTGTCCAGCATCGCTAGGAATAGGTAACACCCTAGCCTGCTCAAGGGACTCCTGACAAAGCACCACATAGCGCAAATCGTACTAAGGAGGGCGATGGGAAGGAGAACCTCTAGTACGTTTCCCGCACCAAAGAACGTGGAGTTAATGAGTGATAACATGATGCTGGGTGGTGAAATTGTCGTGTTGCTGTAGTAGATGGATCTCCGCTGGGCTTAGGAGAGTAAGCTGGATTGAAGATTGTGATGATGGGAATAAGTTTGGTCTTATTGGAGGTCGATTAACTGGATGAGTGGGTAGATTTCAGACTGAAGAGAAAGTACTAGGTACTCGCTATTTTTATAGATCTCAAATATACGTCCGAGTCCACGACTACGATGGAAGGTATACTCTTGAAGATATATGAATGGCTTGGTCTTAGAAACTACGGGTTTGAATCAGATGGGTCATTCTAGCTATAGCTATACCTAACCTCCCGCGATAGGTTTTGCTTGTTAACCTAGATGCTGATGATACGCTGGCATGTATTGAGAAAACAAAGAACCTAAACTGCCTTAAACCTGTCTTGAATTATACGATAATGCTTTTTATCCTACTTCAATAACCGACCTATGAGCCCAAGCGTGCACGCAAGAAGGCAGATTTCTATCCTGTTGCTCAAAATGTATAGCTGTCAAAAGCCTATGCTCTGTACGCTTCCCACATACCTCAACCATCAATTGCAAACCTCGAATAGCTCATATATGAAACGAACCACGAGGGACGTAAGTACTAATATAATCTAGAACTTCATGCGTAGTACCAAACATGCCAGACAAGAATTTTCAGCACGTACAGCCAGGGGTTTAATGCGAAAAGAAAGATGTGAAAGGCCAAGTTGATGGAAAAGCCTGCAATCTCGAACAAGACGTCAGTGATATCTTGCCAAAATGTCCAGACGAGGAAGAAGATGACCGCAAGAATCCAGATACACAGGAATTGAAATGCGGGAATGATGAGGCCAAATGTTTGTTGTATATCGTCCATGTTTGTGTTGGTTTTACGGCTGGCAGGTATATAATATATATATAAATATATATGTGCATGGGGGGGTATTTTGAGATGCAAAATAGTATATTACTAGCAGAGATTTTATACCAGCATTCCATACTACTAATGCTAGGTATTGGCACGCGCTCGAGTATCATTGTTGTATATGGGCATTGTTCACATATGACACTTCGTTTGTTATAATTAAGTAGATTCTTTCTTCGGTCCTGTACTTAATCAGGGGCACGTCGCCTTTCTCTCTTTGCTAGGATTAATTGAGACCAAGACTCGCTTTCTTTGATTATACAAAATGCGATTGATCGTAATGAAAAATAGAAAAATAGAAAAATAGAAAAATAGAAAAATAGAAAAATAGGGTGGTGGTTCAAATGCTGGTATCTGGGTGGTTACATACATCATTGATTGTGCATGGCATAGGTACATTACTAGGTAGTACCTAGGTCCTAGGATAGTTCGAGGTGGCTACATGCATTATGTATTGTACCTAGGTAGGTACCTACCTAGTAGCCAGCTGAGTGTCCAGATGTCGTGCATCATGCATAGGGCTGATAGCTGAAGTGGGGGTGGAGGGGCTAATGTCATAATGGCCGCCCGCCATGGCCGCCGTTAGTCTACTAGCTCTAGCGCCATCTACGTCAAAGCTTAGTGTGCCCCATAGCGCGTTTGTATCATAGTTGCCAGGGCATCCTTCCGAGAACAAGCTCGTACCTGGCAAATTTTAGGAAAACATATGTACGACATACCTAGTAGTAGTACGACACGGCGGGGGGACACGTGCTCCTTCCCCTCTCCCCCCCCAAAAAAAAAGGAAAAGGGAAAGGGGTTTGTTTGTTTCTGATCCCTTTCTTCCTTTATATTAAATCTCTCCGCAACACTGAATGCTGGCCCTCTTCGTATTTATCACTCATCAAATCTATCACATTCGGCCTGTCTCCGTAGTCCCTACATACGCGCTTGAATCTTCTATGGATTCCTGGTATCCACCTACACTTCTGAAATTATCATATACATACCTATATTACAACTTGGTAACTGTATCCTTTCTATACGGCGTCCGGGTTACCGTTTGCTGTGGGAACAATGCGAGACTCTTGCAATACTCACCTCCTTGTACCTACCTAGCTGGCCGATGTCAATAAGTTAGAAATCAAAATATGAAACAGATTCACCCTAGTAGGTAGTGCTAGGAGAAAAGCTTCTAGTAACCCTCCCCCTTAGTTAAATCTCGAGATCCCCGTGGCTTCAATCCTACCTAGGTAGCCATCGTTACATAGTACAATGGACCTCGAGAGGGTTGGAACTCATGTAGGCAGTAAGACTGTTCCGCGGTGGCTCCTATCAAGCTCATGCGGTCAAACAACGTTAGGGTCTTTCCTCTTTCCTCCGTGAGAGGGATCTTTTGGCAAGGCGAGCCTGACCACCGAATAATTCGACATGGCCTACGGTACTCTCAATACAACAGGCGGATCGTATACCGTGGGTAATGATCAACCCCACGATGTAGTCGCCTCTTCTTGGCGGGTGTTGAATATATACTACTAGGTAGTCTCAATGGAGGGTACAGATCTGACGCGCATACGATCTTTCAAATATGGGATTGTCCGACTTTCTTTACTGGGAAATGAGCAGGAGTGTTCTGGAACATCAATCAATCTCTTCGTTTCGACCATCTCTATAAGTGCTTGAAAGCCTGCAGTGGTGCAACAATTGGCTGTCAAAGCCTGTGCAGAAAGGCAGGATTGAGACTTCTAAGTTCGAGGACAGGATCTATGGTATATCACCGAGAAGGACGCTCGAGAGGTGCCTCAAAGTGCCTAGCCTATTCTCGACTCTAAGCAGCTGCTCTTTGATCACTGTTGGATAGTTATAAGGTACTCCACAGTCGACTTTGAAACTCGAACCCTGCCTCGACCCAGCTGCTGCCAGTGTTCTTATTCTAGCACCCATCATTCCATACCTAGTATCCTGAAGCTCACTTCTACCATAACAAGTCCATTGCTTATTTCATAGGTGCTTTACCCAACCCGAGTACCTGCATCTGCTACAAGACCTTCGCTACGATTTCTCGACTTAGGTCGTCCCGATAATTCATTCGCAGACTTGATCGTCTAGTATATCGTCATTCTTTTTCGACTCCTAGTAAGTCCTCTCACCCCTTCTGGCAAATTAATCCGATAAGCAAATGTGGCTTGTATAAGCTGTCGCTTCGAGATGTAGAACCACATCGACGCGTCGAGGCATTGTGTCTTCTCGAATGGCATGCGAATAAAGGCATCCCACGCATAAGAAGAATATTGACTAATATGTCTGTGGATAGCTCATTTGCTCTCGCGGCTAAAGCTCAATCCAAGATTGAAAGATTTGCATCACTAATCGCTTCGTTCACCAAGCTTAGGACAACAATTCCCTTCCGTTGTCGGTAAGCCTGTGACCACAATAGCTAGCAAGGTATAAAGACTAATATCTGCCGATGAATAGTCATAATGAATGACTATCAATCGAACATGGATCCTATGATACAAAATCAGGCAGCAGGATTCGATATGAACCACACCATGAATCCGATGGGCATGGTGGGCGAGTGGAACGGGACGGGAGAACTAGTCTGGAACAACATGGACATAGATGAAGACTACTATTGGGGCTCGCAACAACCCAATTCCCCAAACCGCCATTACCGCTATGTCTCATTAAACACGGCAGCAGACGCGGCCTCATATCTAATGCCCACCGAGCCTCTGTTTGGCGAGAGCTGGGGGATGGTACCAGCTACATCGACAGGAGAACAGAACCGCACAAATCTAGAATACTCCTCTTTAGCTGGAGCCGGAGGAGCGAAGGATAATGGACGAGTTAATGGACGAGTTAATGGACGAGTTAATGGACGAGTTAATGGACGAGTTAATGGACGAGTTAATGGACGAGTTAATGGACGAGTTAATGGACGAGTTAATGGACGAGTTAATGGACGAGTTCGTGGTGAGTCATGCTTCAGCCTGCCCAGTACTTCCCTACCTCACTGCCTACCCGATGATTAATAGCTCCGCCTCATAACGGGCAGTAGTCATTTCCGCCTAAAAATACTACATAGCAGAATTTACTGATATATAAGACGCAGGCCTTCAAAAGTCGGGTTCGAGGTCAGGTCAAGAAAGCCCAAAGGATGACAATTGGTCTTATGCTATGGAAGTATGGCCAGCTTTTGATGAACCAGGTACGTTGATTTGATTTCCCTTTATTTGTTTTATATTTCCAGTTATGGATTAGTTTCAATATTTCTATTTATTTATTTGATTCTTTGATTTTCCTCTACATTCCAAAAACAGCTCGAACACCCCCAATTCAACCCCTACGAGCCTTATAACACGCTCCATACATGTACATGTACCCTAAATCCCTGCAACTGTGGAGCAAAGCTACCTAGGCACCCATGTCATTGTGGACGCTTTCCCCGATTTGGCCAAAACGAGGCCAGCTTCTATCGAGGCTAGGCTTTATCTGTCCAGATTCTGTCGGCGCTAGACTTGATATGGCCAAATCAAGGCAAAGCAACCCCAGCACTCTAACTGTCTATGTATTACCGTTGATCAGATCAGAAATGTGGGCCGTGGGTGATCTACGCTACCCCGCTTCCCCACGTTCTAGCATTTAAAGCGGTACCGTTCAAATGTTTGACATTAAATACTTTACATATTTCATAATTGTGCATTGTGGTACATTTCATATTTTTTCAGCTCGCGTCTTCCCTCAGCCTCACCTTGAAGCTGTACACTCACTCACTCACGTTCATTGACATTGACCTTAACAATCATTTTCATTCACTTTGTGAATGATCCAACTCATATTCAATCCTTACCTTTAACTAATTGCCTTTTGTTCCCATACCCAATTAGGTTCTCGAGACGTCTACTACCACGACTACTCCATCAAGGAGAATTTGAGACAAAAAGAGATCAACTTTCAATATAAGGTGACGACTTCGACTGAGGAAGGAACTTATTGCCGCCAATATATATTGGACCGGGCCGATCGATTCAACGACAAGAAACGCCTTCGATTTATGCAGACATTCAGCAACAGTCGGTGGTATAACAAGTCGCTTGACAATTACACGTTCACGATGAGCATCGCTCATCAGGAAAGCGACGCTGTCGCGCCCAGCAATTACCCTATGACCCATGGTCCCCAGCTGGCCACTCAACCCGCCGTCCTTCACCCCGCCGGCATGAATCCTACAGGCATGTTACCTGCCACCGCTTTCCCAGTCAACCAAGGAAATGAGCACCATGGCTTTTATGCAAATATGCCAGCCAATGCAGGGTCCGCTGCGGCTAATATGGGTTTTGCCCCGCTGACCCCTCCCCCGGACAACCTTTTTGTTCCAGAGCAGGTCAATCTTCACCAAGTCGACCTCGAGGAGGATGACTCCGAGGACGATGACTCCGAGGACGATGACCCCGAGGACGATAACCCCGAGGACGATAATCCCGAGGACGATGACCCCGAGGACGATAACCCCGAGGACGATTGCCCCGAGGACGACGACCCCCAAGAGCACAACCCCCCAGAGCACAAACCCCAAGATGGCGACCAGTCGAATACCATTATGCCTCCTATTGTGAGGCCCAATCGCACAGTCACAAGAAACGATGAAGGCCAGATTTGTTGCATCCGGGAGAACTGCGAAGAAGGCAACCCAATTTTTAAACGCAAGTGCGAGTGGTCGTAAGTTCATACCATTCCTTGTAAAAGGAAACAGCAATTAACGAATCGCACTAACCCTTCTTCTATTCTTTCTAGGAAACATATGGATAAGCACGAGCGTCCATATACATGCATCGTAAACATGTGTCCCAAGCAGCAAGCTGGATTTACGTACACTGGCGGTCTGAGACGACACTACAAAGAAGTGCACCGTTTTCAGGATAAAAAGGACATTAAGAATGATAAAGAGAAACCGAAAACTTTTACCTGTCCCCATCCTAGTTGCGTTCGCCATTCTCAAGAAAGAGGATTCATGCGGCAGGAAAACCTCAGTGAGCATGTCCGCCGCGTGCATACCGGCGTTGTGCCAAATAACCAAGCCGATGCTCAACAAGCCGGAGCGCGACCTGCTGAAGCGCAACCAGCAGAGACGCAGCCAGCAGAGGCGCAGCCAGCAGAGGCGCAGCCAGCACAAGCGCAGCCAGCCAGAGCACAGCGAGGCAAAGCGTCGCGAGCTAGAGCAACGCGAGCCAGAGCTCCAGCAAAGGTTGCTGGCCAGAAGCGGAAGGCGGAAGGCGATCTCCGCGAGGAGAATAAACGCCTGGTGACAGAGATTAAGAGCCTTCGCGAGAAGGTTACTGGATTGCAAGCCGAACTTCGAAACCGCTCGGCTTATCAACATCAGCCAGCCGGACAGATTGGGTCTGGTCAGACGGTTCAGCCTAGTCAGGAGCTACAGGCTCCTTCCAACATTGAGGCGGTTCGAGGGAGTTCCCAAGCCTAGGGTGCTTCGGGAATCAACTCTCACTCGGACTATCCTATCCCGAGCCTTGGAGGTTCTCGCTTTGATCTCAACGCTCCTACAACTGCTCCGCAGTTTTCCGCAGCCCAGGGCTACCCTGATTTGAACTTCAACCCTCAGCTGCAAAATGCTGGCGCGGCTCCAACCGCTTCGTATTTCAACCACGACCGAACTTACCAGGCACCGGGGATTCGAAATGCCGAAGCCCCTTCCAACACTGAACAGCGTCAGCAGTATCCCGCCGATCGAGGGTTTTCGGATATTGACTTCGACCTAAACAACATCGACCCAGCGCTTAGAGATACGCAAGATTCTTCGAATGATGACGCGGCTCTTGACGTTTCCGCGCTCGATGATATCCAGGGACTATCTTCCCCCCAGCAGAACTTTTCTGCGCCGGAGCCCCAGAGTGCTCCTACTACTACCGCAGCCCACGATATCCAGGCAACCTCTTTCCCCCAGCAGAACATTTCTGCGCCGGAGCTCCAGAGTGCTCCCACTATTAACGCGACTCATGATACCCAGGCAACATCTTTCCCCCAACCTACTTCAGTCGTTTCGGAGCTCCAGAATGCTTCCGGTAGTAACGCGGCTCGACAACACTCTACATTTCTCGATCTCCCGACCTCTTCCTTCCCCAGCCTCTCTTCTTGGCAACAGTGATTTCTCGTTGTTTTTCTTCTCCTTTCTATCTCATGATACCCCGCATGGTGATTAGGTGTTTGGTGGCCCCTGTGTTTTTGAGATTTGGGGATATGGACGACCACGCTTTGATATGAAAGAGAGTTTGGCAACGATAGGACGATAGTTGGGGGTTTTTCGGATCGGATCGGATCGACATTGATATTGCATTGCATTTCTTGAGGTCGACAACATTTGTTTCCGGCATCTTGTTTCTCATGAAGGAGAAGACACGAATAATGACGATCGATTTGGTGAACGGTACGATATGATAAGGGTCCTGGGTTTTCGATACGAGTTCCGGAAATCCTGGTACATGGGATGATACACATTGATGTGTTGTCCGAAGGTTGTGTTTTTTTCATCCTCTCGAGAAGGGATGATCGACGATGATGATGGATGGAAGGAGGTCTGGTTTTTTTCCCGACAGCAACTCGTGTGCTCAGGGTAAACTCCTATGACGATGATTGACAATGGGTCTTTGGGGCCTAGGTATATTTGGACTGGGGATGTCTTGTGTTGTCCAAAGAACGATGAAGGGTACATGATGCTCTTGTGCATCATCTCCTCGATGATGATGGATCCACGGATGGATGGATGGATTTTTCGATTGTTTTACTATTCCACGATGAGTTTATCTGGTTCTCGATGGCCTTACGCTTGGACAAAGGACACGTTTAGGAGACGTGTGCTTTTTTTCTTTTTGTCCAGGTGTCTAGGCGGAAGCTTCTTTCCCCAAAGCAGCAGTGGGGGGTGTTGCTGCTGCTGCTTAGGGCGGGGGGAGGAAGGCTTTCCATCGAGATACTTAGATAGACGGGAGAGATCGTGTTGACTTTCTGATGTATCTCTATAGGACGAGTAACGTCATTGATCAGGAAAAAAACTGAACTGCCAGTAATTGAGATATTTTTATGGCAAAACCAAAGGACTGAAGAAGTGAGTGACTGGAGGACTGACCTGGTGAGTGGAACTGCTTGCTACTGTGTTATGTGTGCTGTGTTTGATATGCGTGTTACGTTTGCCTAACGCGCATGTCTTGCCCCAGTTCCCCGGGGATAATAACATATACCAGGCATGCTTGCGTAGGCAGCACACTGTAACACTATAGCACCATAACACTGTACCTAGCTATTAACGTAGCTGTAGCTGTAGCTGTAGAGACGGTGATATACATATTATATTATCGTCGTCGGCCTGAGTGAGGTAGGAAGACATGGGTTACTTACTATCGTTGATCGTCGCCCTGAGGAGACCTGAGGCTGGAAGGGTGACAGGTTGCCTGGTGGCCTGGCGTTGGATATCTTGCTCATTACTGCTGTATTTATCGCGTAGGGTGCGTTTATCTCTCTCTCTCTCTCTCTTAGGTGCGCATGTAAATTTAACTACCTAACCTAGATTACCGTAGGCGGCGCGTGGATGCCCTGCGCACGAAGGTGGGCTGGCTTATCTAGGTACTTACTTGTGTGTGTGCCTGCTGGCCTGGTATATCTGGTCGTATAGTGTGAATGGGGAGGGAAGTGTGTATGGTGTGTGTGTGTGTGTGTATATGTGTATTTACTGGCAACCTGGACGGACACACCTTGATGGCGGGAGCGTTGCGGGTTTTGACTGTGCGCGTGCGTGCGTGCGTGACTGTTGTTAGTGCTGTTACTAGAGTTATTATCACAGTTACTGCTGTTGTTGTTGTCACTGTTACTGTTACTATACTGCTAGTTCTACCGTGTTGCTGTTACTATGGATGGCTGCTGCTTTGACTGTTATGGTTGTTGTGGTTATGGCGTGGATATACAGTACATACATACATACACCTTGTGAAGAGATCGTGCGTGTACGCTGTATTGGATATCTAGGTATCTACCAGCCTGTCTACACACCTACGCAAGGGACGTGTCTAAATCGTGAGTTGATGTATGTAGGTCAGGCGGGTAGATTGGGCTTTGGCAATTACGGCGTGATACCATAGGGAATGGGATGAGATGGGATGAGTTATTCCCTCTCGTCGCACTTGTTACTGGCGCGAGGCGCGGGTATGTTTAGACAGAGCAGTGTATCTAGCTAGTTATGCTATCCCAGCTCGAGATCATGTGTATATTAGAAGGGCACTGTCTAGAACGGTGCGGCAAAGCTTGAAAGACTTGTCCGCGTGCGTCATGCGTTGGGTGCTATGGCACCTGATGTATTGTACAAATGCAGATTTTTAGATGGTCTTGTATTACATATCTGTGCTTCTATGTATGCTTCTATATAGGTAGGTGTCTATGTAGGCAGGGCTGGGGAGAGGAGAACTACATAATGAAGTTGTTTTTATCGTTGCTGACTCATCGGTGTCCAGATAACTACCTGCTTATGATAGCTTTATATATACACAGGTATGTGACTGAAAGCACCTGTGTAGGTATGAATGTGGTACAAGCGGACACCCGGGACGGAAGGATTGCAGTCTCGCGGCCTGTCGTGGGCTAGGAGGATGTATTTATCTATTTAGAATATGGCCTTGACTGCTGACATAAGACATCGCAGTCACTATTATACTACATCTTCGCGATGTCCTCCAGGTGTTTGTTCACAATTGATGTTGTTTTCGGTATCTACGTGACACAGCGTCGTTACTACTACACATTTTTGTAGTACTGGGCACTACATATTGACATAAACATAGATAGTACCTAACTACCTGGGTGCCTACATGATGAGGGACATGTAGAATACACATGCTGTGAGGCGCAGGCGTGTATGCAGGTTGTACATGTAGTACTCAGGCCTTGAGCGTACATGCTATCGCGCAATTCGACCCTCGCTATGAGGTCTTTTTTTTTTTTTCTTTTTTTACTACCTTTGTTACCTGCCTCTCTTAGACGCGGTAAAGACAAAAGGAATGGGTTTGGTGACCGAGGCAAAGGCCTGGGCTTTAAGCTAGGAAATCCTACTGACCCGCAATGGTTAACTGAGGCATCTTTCCTTCTTCTTCAGCTTTCAATATCCTTTCTGTCTTCTTCAGCTTTTAATATGTACTTCAGCCACCACTGGAATTATATTATATGTTACCTATCAGTTATCAGTTGATCGCCGTCAGCAGCAACAGGTCTCGGATAGCGGCTGCTGTCAGAGTTAGAGCGCGCTGGGAGGGTTCAGATCATTTTAATAGTGGAAGAAGCTAATATATTTTTAGCGGGACGTGCCAAGCCGGGTGGCTCCTCTAGCTTCTAGTAGCTTAGCTAGCTCCTTAGCTATTCGCCCTATTCAGGTACAGGCTACAGCTAGCCCCCCTATTATGTATTGTACGTGCATTAGGTGCATTAGGTAGATTAGATGAGAGATCCTTACAGAGGGCTCGGCTAATGTTAGTGTTAATCATTACAATGCTTTCTACCTAGTAGGTACCTACTTTCTAGGTACTATGTACTACTAATTTAGTACTTAGTAGTTACATAACATGTCAAAAAAAAAAAAAACAACAACAAATATATTACCAACAAGTACAAGAACAAGAATAAATACAAAAACAAAAAAAAAGAAAACCGACATACATACTTTACGAATCGGAATGGTCTTCCGGCCCAAAGCACGGTTCTCCAAAACCGTAGTCCTTACGTCGTTGTATCCGAAGTGGGATATCAAAGCAACCCAACGATGCATGGAACCGGGTATGTAGCGGTAATCTGTTTCTTCCACCTTACGAGCAGCCAAGCGTCCATTTGCGGCCATATATTGCGTTTAAATGGCCAGCTCAAGGAAGCAACTTTTACATAGTTAGTAGTTATGTACTTTTCATGTCCAACTACTACATGTAGGTATCTAATACGTACACTTCTCAGACCCATGATCACTAGCCTACATGCAGGCTAGACCCTTCAAATCCAGCTGCTATTCTATGTATACAACTATACATACCTACACTGTGCTACACAGTTCCCACATCTCGCAAAGAAGCGGCACCTACGATGTCGTGATCTGCCAAGTGACCTACTAGGTAGTATTCTGTCTCTTGTCCTGCCATCGCAGGAATATGCGTGCCAGGGATCATATGTCAGGGGAGAACACGCTCGCTCGCTCATCGAATCCCGGAACCTGTTTTCGTATAGTATGTGCATAGTAGTGTAGGTCGAGCATAATAATAACAAAGGAAAAGGAAGTGTAGGCAGTCTAGTACGTAAGTATATAAGATCACTGCTTCCATTTTTCCACTTCACTTCCCCAATCCTTGAACTTGATTCTCTCGTTTCCATTCCCAAGCTCATAGTTATATAGGTAGCCAGGCTAGGTTTCAAGGCAAGACACATAGGTGCCTACTACCCGGTCAACATCATGAAAGGCTTCACTTCCATCCTATCCCTCGCTAGCGCCGTGATCGGTGTCGCCTGCGCCGAGCCAATCTACGATGCCATCATCATAGGCGGCGGTCCCTCGGGACTAAGTGCTTTGAGTGGTCTGGCGCGCGTGCGTAGAAACGCCCTCTTGATCGACTCGGGAGAGTATCGCAACAATCCCACGCGACATATGCACGACGTCATCGGTTTCGACGGTTAGTTCTCCCCTCCCTCACATTCTCCCTTACCTTCCCCTTAGCTACATAGGCTATCATCCTATTTTACATCTACCACCTACATGTCCTACCCACCCCCCACTAACACATATATCCCCCCCTCCCAGGTGTCACACCCGCCTACTACCGCTGGGCCGCGCGCTCGCAAATATCGCACTACCCCACCGCCTCCGCCATCAACGGCACCGTCACCAGCGTCGACGCCCTCAACAACAACACCCTCTTCACCGCGCACACCACCTTCCCCAACGGCACCTCGGCCCCCCTCTCGGCCCGCAAGCTCGTCCTCGCCACCGGCCTGCGCGACCTCATCCCCTCCACCCCCGGGCTGCTCGAGAACTGGGGCAAGGGCATCTTCTGGTGCCCCTGGTGCGACGGCCACGAGCACGCCGACCAGTCCCTCGGCCTGCTCGTGCCGCTCGAGGAGGCCGCGAGCTCGGCGCGCGAGATCGCCACGCTGAACAAGGACGTCATCGCCTTCGTCAACGGCACCGACACCCCCGCCGCCCGCGACGCCGCCGAGCGCAGCTTCCCCGAGTGGGAGCGCTACCTCGCGATCAACAACGTGCGCGTGGAGAACCGCACGATCGCGCGCATCAGCCGGCTCCGCGACGGCGCCGCGCACCCCGCCGACCCGAGCCTGCCGACCGCGCCGGAGCTCGACCTGTTCCGCGTCGACTTTGCCGAGGGCGAGGGCGGGGCGCCGGTCGAGCGCGCGGCCTTCTTCGCGAGCTTCCCCGACGCGCAGAAGTCGGACGTGGGCGAGCGCATGGGCGTCCAGCTGTGGGGGGGACGGCTGGCGGCGGACGGGACGAGGGGGCTCGCGACGAATGTCCCGGGCGTGTACGCGGTGGGCGACGCAAACTCGGATAATGTGACGAATGTCCCGCACGCGCTGTTCAGCGGGAAGAGGACGGCGGTGTACTTGCATGGTGGGTTTGCGTGGCTTCTTTTCCTTGTTTTTTTTTTCTGTGTTTGTGGTTGTGGTTGTGGTTGTTGCGCGGGACTTGAGCTGTGATGTTATACATTCTGTGCAATAATAGTGCTAACCTCGATATCACACACAGTCCAACTCGCCCGCGAAGAAGCCCAGCGCCAGTTAGCCGCCAACAGCACCGACACCGACACCGCCGCCGTCGCCAAGCGCGCGCTCGATCTACGCTCCGTCTGGGAGGAGATGAACCCGCGCGATATCCTGTATGCTGGGGAGTTCGACCAGTAGGGTAGGGTACCTTACACCTATAATACACTATGTGAGGGATAATGAGGGAAGAGATATCTTAATTATCTATCTATCTATCTAGGAAGGTGGCCAGACTTGGGTATGTGTATAAGTCAGGTGGAAGGAAGTGTTGTCTAATGAATGCATGTCACGATGCTTAGGTAGGTAGGTACTATTGAGGGGTATGTGTAGGTATCTATCTATCTACATGGCTTTGGTTCTTGTATATATATATAATAGGTATATATGTAATGCAAGCTAGGAACCCCCAAAAAATGAAGGGATGGGAAATGCGGGAAGTTTGGGGGGGAAAGAGGTAGGTAATTAATACAGAATCATGGAACTTACGCTGCACTATCTATCTATCTATCTATCTATCTATCTATCCATCTATCTATCTCACTTACACCAGTTCGTCGGGTGACATGGCAAAGTTGTACATAGGTCAGCGTTATTTGTAGTTTACGTACGGCTTTGAGGTTCATCGTTACGGTCACTGTTGTAACCTAGATGACTAACTAACTAACCAACCACACAACCAACTATCTACGAATGCTTACCTAGTAGTTAGGTACCTACCTACTCGCCTAGTCACTAACTAGGTAGTATTATGTACCGTATATTTTCGGCATTATGGTCCTCTTGTTGGCTCCACTTATTAATGCGCTTTACCTAATTAGGGTGATTTACCCCAAGGTTTATTCAACTACACCTCATTTCGGAGGGATTCTTATCCGATTCATACAATATTAGCACGCAATGTCACGTGTCACCACGTGATACCTGCTCTTTAATATCTATGTTTAGCTGTTATTTCTTAATAGATATATGGATATTTAAAGCTTTTTACTTAATGCGTAATACTTTAAACTTATCTTTATTGAAAAAACACAAAAGTAAGATAGGTAGAATTATGATCACGTGGATTTTGATAACACTAGTACTAGAGCCTCAGCACTGAACTAACCAATTTAGGCAAGGCGTACAGATAAGTGGAGCTAACAAGAGGACCATAATGCCGAAAATATACGGTACCTACGTATGTATGTAGAGTTATATCCATCAGATACATACATACCTAACTTTATAAAGCGTTCTTGTTTCGTTTCAAGTTTCTATCCCACTTAATACCTATGTAAAGGTAAAGGTACAACTGCTCAAGTAACAGATACTAGAAACTCAAGTACTAATTAGTAAAACTTTACTAAGGAGGGACGAGTTAAATGTAAAGTTTTACTTAATAAAATCGTGTAGTGGAGCCGTGCCTATGAGTGAAAATTTCAAGCTCGGACTCTGTTTCCCGCAGAAACTGATAAGATAAGGAGCTGAGCCTCCACAGCCTCAATTCAGCCACTTTCTATTTAATTCCATTGATAAGATAAGCTCAGCCTCCACAGCCTTAAATCAGCCACTTTCCATTCAATTCCATCCATTCAGTTCCATTCTTAATAATCAAAGCTGACTAATCCAATCCATCTTTTCTAATTCTTCCATTCCAACTTCTTCTTTTCAACTTTTTTCCATTCAATCCATTTAATCCATTTGATCCATTTGATCCATTTGATCCATTTGATCCATTTAATCCATCTTATTAATCATCTTCAACACCACTACCTAAATCAAATACTTCAAGAAATATTTGAAATAATTGATTTACATGGTGGTGTTGAAGGTGGTGTGGAAGGTGGTTTGCTGGATTTGGGGGCTGAAAAGCGATGCACCCAATCAATCAATCAACAGCTTGAAAAGTTGGCTCCAAACGTTTCACTTTTTACTAGCGGCTCAATAGGTCCAGATTTGAGCCAACAGGATGGCTTCAATTTCAATAGGCTTACTAGCGCTTAGTTTGCCTGACTGTTTGCCTTGGATGGTTGGGGTACGTACTGATGGAGCGTGCTCTAGACCGGTCTATATAAGGGCTCTCAACCCCCAAGCTGTTGTAATCCTTTTCTTCCTCCTTTCAACCACTTTTCAGGTTTCAAGGGCTTTCAAGAGCTTTTCAAGAGCTTTTCAAGAGCTTTTCAAGAGCCACACAGCCCCAACCCAGTTGATCTATTCAATTAATGGCTGATACACCCATTCCGAGGCGGGTCGGCCGGCCCCGGAATGCTGCGCTGCCGCCGCCGCTGCCGTGACCTGCTCCAGGAGAGCTTTCGGAGCTTCCTGGAGGGTTTATCCCTGACGCTAACATGTACCATCAGCCGTAAATCCCCCCTGGGGCAGTCCCATCGCCGCAAGCGGTTCCCAAATACAGCCGGCCTCCGACAACCGGCTTTCCTCCGAACCTCCCTCCCATACTCCGATAAATCCCCCCAATCCGACAATTTCTCCCCATCCGGCCGAGCCGATTCCAGCCCTAATACCAGTAAGTCCCGGCGCATGGGTTGATCTAGGCTTAGTAGATGGGGCCACTTGGTACTCTCAACAATATCATGTGGCCTGGAGGTATGTATAATTTACTCTTTTCACGTGTGAGTCCGGTCCGTCCATTACGCCGGTATTCCGACCGTCACGTGAGTACCACGTAATCCATGCCAAAGGATCCCGTCGTCACTCGCGTGAGTATTATGTAATCGGTGTCTGATGTGAAAGGAACTTACCGTCACGTGATTGTTATGTAACTATTGCCTTACGTGAAAGAAAGTGCCCACCCAAACTGGCCAATGCCTGGCTTTTAATTGGGTTAAACCATTGGGTGATTTAAACCTGTTTTTCTTCTTTTCGAGCGGAGCGAGCAGCACTCCGCAGGAGCCGCCGGAGGCATGATTAAATGTTTACTGTTTAAATAAGATAAAAACAAAAAATAAGAGTCTTGCTATCCGCACCTCATAAAATTGCTATCGGGGCTTATCCGCATCCTAATACATCTGCGCAAGTTTTTTTACACTAGTGTCACATTAGTATATATTAGTATGCATTAGTCTGGAAAGGCGGTAAGACTAGCGCGCCCCACTTTCATTATACACTTAATCAATTAATTTATTTATAAAGTTTTATTTAATATATTGCGATAATTGTTATAATAGTAATTAATATTTATTTATTTAATTTATTTTTTTCGTTTTTTTATATAATTTTTTATAATTTATTTATTATACGAGGTTTTATATTATTATTTTTTTTTTTTATTTGTGTGTTTATTTAATTAAAATGGTAAGTTTTAACTTATTTTTTAAGTTAAAGGGGCGTTTTTATTAACGGCTTTAAATTAATTATAATATTATTATTATAATTATAAAAAGTGGTGTTAAAGTAATAATATTTATAAAGTTAAATTATTAAAAATTATTACCATGTTTTTATTATAAAAGTTAACGTTATATATTATTATTTATAAGGTGATTATTTTAAGTTTAATTTAATTATTTAAGTTATAATTTTTATATAATTTATAATACTTATATATTTTATAATAATTATATTAATGTAAAAGTGTTTTTATTAAATAAGTTATAATTTTAAGGTTTATCACGTGTATTAATAATTAAATAAAGGTTTAAAATATATAAGTAAAAATATTTTTTTATTAGATTTTATTTTAATTATTAATATCGGTTAATATTTATTTTTTTAAGGGTTTTTTAAGTTATTAATTTAAGGATTATATTATAAATATACGAAATATCGTATTACTTTTTTATATTATTAATATAAGGTTTTAAATTTTTTTATTTAATTAAAAAATCGAGTATTTTTCGGTATTATATAATAAAAAGGTTAATATAATAATAAGAAATTTAACGAGGTAATTTTTTAAGTTATTCGATTTTTATATATTTTTAATAAAAGCGTTTTACTTATGTATTTTATGTTATATTAAATTTACGTTGTTATTTTATAATTATTTTTTTAATAATTAATCGTATTTTTAAAAGGTTATTACGGTTATAAATAAAGTAAGTTTTTAAGTTTTAATAAATTATTTTAATAAAAAATGTGGTTTTTTAATTATAATTTATATTAATAAATATATAATAAGTTACTTATTTATGTTTAACCTTTATATATTTTTTATTAATATATGTAAAAATTTTTTTTTAATTATGAAATTTATTTTATAAACGTTTTTATGTAATTTTAAATTAATTTTTAATTTAAGTAAATATTATATGTTTTTATAAATTAAATAAATTTATGCGAAAATAAAAAGTGTTAATTAATAATTAATTAAGAATTTTTTAAAGGGCTTTTATAAAGGCATTTAATTATTAAATGTTATTTTTATTATCGTTTAATATATTATTTAAGTCGATTAATTTAAGCGGAAATTTTTAATGTTTTTTAACGTTTAAAACGATATTTTAATTAATATAAAAAACGTATAATTATAATTTAATAAAAAGTATATAAATTTAAAATATATTTTATTTAACGTTATTATAATTAATAATAATTATTTTTAATAAAGAAATTTTAAGTTATATATAAATTTATTTAATATTAGCGATAATTTAATTAAACTTTTTAAAGTATTTATTATTTATAAAGTTATATATAATATTTGTAATTATTTTAATTAAAGTAATTATTATATTTATAAAAAAAGGTATTTTAAACTTATTTATTTTATATGTAATATTAAAAAAAAGTATTAAAGGATATTTTTATTATATGTTAATATAAAATAATTTAAATTATAAGTAATTAATTATACGATTTATTTTAACGGTATTTTTATATATAAAATGTGTAATTTTTTCTTATTTTAATTAACGAATTAATGTTTATATAAAAGTGTAACCGTTTAATTATTACGAATATAATTATTAACGATAATTATAAATATTTTTATTTATAAATTATACGTTAAAAAATTATTTTAAAAAAGTAATAACGATATTATATAAACGTATTTTAAGAAAAAATAAGTTTTTCACGACTTTTTTTATTTTAATAATTAAGTTATAAAGGTAAATAAAAGTAAATAAGTTTTTAATAAAGTTATAATTAATATATTAATTATAATTTTAAGATATTTTAAATAGTTAAAGTTAATTATTTAACTTTAAAAAAATAACATTAGTTTTTTACGTATAATTAATTTTATAAATAATCGATTTACGAATATTATTATTTTTTAAAGGTTAAATTATACTTTTAAAATATGTTAATTTAATAAAAATAAGTTTTTTATTACGATAATATTTTAAGCGTTTTTTAATAATAATAAATTTAATTAATTTAATAAAAGTAAAAAAATTAATCATAAGCTTTTTATAAAACTTATATAAAAATTTAAAAATAAGTTAATAATTTAAAAGTGGGTTTAATAAAAGCGGGGGGTTAAAGGTATTTATTATATTAAACGTTAAAATAATATATAAAAAAAAAAAATTAAATAAGTAAAAATTAATTATAATTTATTAAAGTAATTTATAATAAAAATAATTTTACCGGTTTTAAATTTACCGCTTTTTAACATTAATATAAATTAATGTAAATTAATGTAAACTAATATAAGTTAATATAAATTAATGTATATTAATAAATAAAAAAACTTACGTAAATATATTAAAGTGCGGATAAGCCTCGATAATAATTTTATAAAATACGAATAATAAAACTTAAAAATAAAGTAAAATAATATTTAAAATTAAAATTATGAGTGTTGCTATCCGTACTCCTATTTTTTGCTATCGGGGCTTTATCCGTACTTCTATACATCCCATACATCCCTTAAACCTTAAATCCGGGCCTAATTTAGTGCCCCTAGCGCCCCCAGCTGCCCACATCAATTGAATCCAAATAACTCTCTGAAACATATAGCCACAAACGTGCAACCAAATTCAATTGAAAGAGCATTCAAATACCGATTGATTGATATAGGTCTCGAATTGAGGCGATACTCGGTCGCAAAGTTATTCAAGAAAGTAGGTGGCAGCCCGGGAAGCACGTGACAGCCCTTAGGGCCACACTAAGGGCCCTTAGAGCCCTTAGAGCCCTTAGACCCAAACCTTACTCAACAGTTTCAACCTTGAATAACTTTCCAACCACATGTCGCACCAGGATGCACCCGGATTCAATTGAAAGAGAATTCAATTACCGATTGATTGATGCCAGCTGCAAATTGAGGCGATACGTGGTCGAAGAGTTATGTTGGTATTTGTCTCGACAGCAGTCACGTGACACTCCTTAGCGTGGCCCGAGCGGCTCTAGGGCTCTTAGGCGGCTCTAAGGGCCCTTAGCGTGGCACCAAGAGCTCTTAGTGTGGCTTTAAGGTTAGTCACGTGCCGCCCGGCTTGCCACCTACTTTCTTGAATAACTTTGCGACCGAGTATCGCCTCAATTCGAGACCTATATCAATCAATCGGTATTTGAATGCTCTTTCAATTGAATTTGGTTGCACGTTTGTGGCTATATGTTTCAGAGAGTTATTTGGATTCAATTGATGTGGGCAGCTGGGGGCGCTAGGGGCACTAAATTAGGCCCGGATTTAAAGTTTTAGGGGATGTATAGGAGTGCGAATAAGGCCCTGATAGCAAAAAATAGGAGTACGGATAGCAACACTCAAAATTATTATAAAGCGACGATTTTTCAAATATTAAATTAATAAAGTTTTATTAATTTAAATTGCTTATAATTTACCGGGTATTTTAAGTACATAAAACATGCACTCGGTGTTATGTATTGCCGAGGTAAATAAGTAGGTAGGTATATTGTTAGTTAGTAAAACTTTACTAAGAAGGGACGAGTTAAATGTAAAGTTTTACTTAATAAAATCGTGTAGTAGAGCCGTGCCTATGAGTGAAAATTTCAAGCTCGGACTTTGTTTCCCGCAGAAACTGATAAGATAAGGAGCTGAGTTAGTTAGTAGTAAAGAGAGAGAGAGAGAGAGAGAGACGGATAGCTACCTACCTACCTACCTACCTACTTACGTACACGAGAAAAGAGAAAAGAGAAAAGAGAAAAGAGAAAAGAGAAAAGAGAAAAAGAAAATAATGAACCGTATCATCTCGTTCTTCTCAATTAACTAGGTATATAATACATATGTATGTGTTGCGAAGTGTCGCCTTATGCTGTCAGCCAAGTACAGTTCTAGAAAGCCTTGGGGCAGCAGAACAAATACCTAGGAGAATACATACCTACCTAGGTAGGTAGGAGGATAGGTAGGGCTGTAATATATACAATATTAGACGAGTAAACGCCATGTCACTCACTTACTCATCACAGCCATCACATCCATCAAAGGGGGAAAAAAAAAAGACCACAACAAAAGTGCGAAAATTTTCAGAATGATTCCATACTGTCATGTAATGTACGGTAGTGTTGTATTCCTACACTCATCAAGTTACGTTACCTCCCTTCTAAATAACCCATAGGTAATCCTCATTGCCCCTTTGTTTTTGCCTATCCCTTCTACCCATTCCCTCATTCCCTCCTTCTTCACTCACGCACCACCACCACAGGTATATATATCTAAACCTCAAACACCTCACCAGCCCCATACCCGCCACCCCCTCTCCTCAAATCCACCAAATCGAGCCTCCAACCCTCCCAGTTCTTCAACCCACGCTTAATATCCTTGATCCTCTCCAATCTCCTCTTCCCCTCCTCCTCCTGCGCCCTCCTAAACGCATCCTCGTCAAACTCTAAATCATCGTCGTCGAGCAACAGCCCGTCATCGTCTTTGTCGCCGATGGGGGGCGTGGCGCCGGTGAGGGCGTTGATGCCGCTGGCGAAGAAGTCGCCGAAGCCGCCGCCGGGCTTGCTGTGGTGGCTGAGCTTCCGCGCGGACAGGGGCCCGCCGCCGAGGTCGATGTTGGTGAAGTTGTTGGCGCCGGGGCTGGTGACCTGGAGGTGCTCGTTGTCTTCGGCGCCAGGCTCGAGCTCCTTGCGCCGCTGGTGCCAGATCCCGCGGCGGAGGTCGTAGACCTCGCTTTCGAGGTCGCGGATCTTCTTCTCCATTCGTTGTCGCTCCTCGTTCTCTAGCTCGTCGACCCCGTCATCATCGCCGCCGCCCTCAGCTGCGTCCTTCTTGCGCAGGCGTGTGTTTTCTGCCTCGAGTTTGTCGATCTTGGATTTCGCGTCTTGAGCCTCCTTCTCTGCGCGTTCTTTCTCTTTACGTAGGGCCTGGGACCGGCTGTCGTTTTCCTTGTGCAGAGTACCTAGGGCTGTGACTTTCTTTTCCAGAGCTTCCACCTTCTTCTCCAACTCTGCCTTCTCTTCCTTCAGCTGCTCGGTTTCACGCTCGAGGGTTCGGAGTTTTGTCTCTGCACTTGTCCGTTCGCTGCCTTCTTTGACAGCGCGCTCGGTTGTACGCTCCAGGTTACGCTTGAGGTCACCAAGCTCGCGCTGCGCCTTCATGGCAGCCTGCTCCGCACGCGCCAGCTTCTCTTCCAGAGCCGTGATCTGCTCGCGGTCGGTACCCCCGGCGGAAGCCTGTCGTTCAGCCTGAGCACGCAGGCGCGAGATCTCTAGCTCCATTGTCTCAATAGTGGAGGATTTCGAATCAAGCTGAGCTTGAAGCTCGCCCGGAGGCGAAGCCATGGAGACCGAAGGTGACGATCCATGGCGTTTCGTGGCAGCAGATTGAAGTAGCGAGTTCTGGCGTTGTAAAGCTTCAATCTCAGATTTCTGCGTGGATATTTAGTTAGATCATAACGGTCAAGCAGGAGGTCTCATAATCATACCAGCTTCTCGACTTGGGAATCTGAACCATCTCTATCGGCCTCCCGCAAGTCAGCCAGCTCTTCCTCGGCTTTCTGCCATCGTTTTTCCACGTCAGTGGCCTCCTTAGCAAGTCGCTTGTTCTCCTTCTCCAGATCCTCTATACGCGCTACCTGCTTCCGGTAAATGTCAGGAGCTGTTTCGCCGTCTGGGCTTAGGGGGAACCCGGTGGGTGACATGGCTCCTTGGCGGAAGGAGGAGGAGCGGATTTTCGACTGCTCCGAAAGGGAGGCCGTATTTTGGGTGGTAGGAGAGAGTGGAGGTTCGGTAGGTGCATCTTCAACTGCAGGTTCATCGGCAGCAGTGCTCGCAGCAGCGGACTCGGCCTTGGACTCAGCGGCAGCTGTTTCTTCCTTGTCCTTGTCTTGTTGCTTCCCTTTCTTGGCCATCTGCTTTTTTCTTTGCTCGAGCTATTTCGTTTGACAGTTAGAACTAAATGGATAAACGTTCGCGAGTGTTGATACAAAACAACGGGTTTATACCTTTTTCTTGGCCGCAGCAAGCTTCTCAGCTTTTGCCTTGTCTTCGTCCGCCATGATGAGATCGTTTAGCGGGGTTGGATGAGTTGATTTTGGTGTTCAACGTTCGATGGTAGGTATGTCGCTGTGACAGATGAACAACAACAACAATATATGCTTTGACCAGTTTTAACAATGAGTCCACAGCTTGTAATTCTGTAGGGTAGATACCAAGGAATACCAATGCTTCAGTTTGATGTTACTGGTAAGGACGATGATATGATGCAGATTGCAGGTACCTGCCTAGGTATGTACTTAGGGCCATTAGGTAAGAGGACAGCTAAGAGTCCGGACGAATCGTAAACCTGGAACGGCTTAAACGGTTGAATGCACGGGCCATACATGTGTCCCGATAGGTACTTACATACAAGTACCTTCAAGGTTGTCTTCCACATGCAGACCAGACGGTCCAGTTCTAATGTTAAGGTTAACCACAACATATGCTAAGGTAGGTATTAACCTAGTGACTCCTACTAGGTTAGTATGTAGGTAATTGTGGTAATTGTTAAACAATGGCCCTCATTAACTCCTCAAACAGCTTTTATAAGATCACGTCGAACGATATAATATTGATACTTCCATAAAAGTTCCTAGAATCTAACCATTTGCATATCTCATTATTACATACCTGTGACAAGAACATAACCTTTCATGCGCAGAGTCATCTCCACCATGGCTCAACCTTTCCGGAGACGGTTTGCGCCGCTCAAGGAGACGGCGGCTGGACAACATCATGAGCTCCCTAGATTGCAGGGAGTTATATTCGATGTCGACGGGACACTGTGGTGAGTGAGAAGACTTCATAAGGACGACTATGTAGATTGTCACAGTGAGAGGGAAATGATATGATATTTGTGTCGCTCGGGCTTGAGTCTGTACCGAGCCACTGTTTATACCTACATACCTGCCTACATGTATACATATTCCTCGTTATATTCAAGTACACTCAAAGTTCCTTGAAGTAAAAGCAACCCAGCAATACCCATACCCCTCACCCGGGCTCAAGCACCACAACCAACTAACCCCCTTCCAGCCAACCCCAAAACCACATGTTCACCGAGATGCGCGCCGTCCTGGGCATCCCCAAGAGCGTCGACATCCTCGAGCACATCTACAGCCTGCCCACCCCATCCGAGCAAGAAACCGCCATGTCGCACATCCGCGCCATCGAGCGCCGCAACATGGCCGCCCAGGTACCGCAGCCGGGGCTCACGGACCTGATGTCCTACCTCGACGCCCACAAGATCCCCAAGGGCATCTGCACCCGCAACTTCGCGCAGCCCGTCAACCACCTGCTCGCCAAGTTCCTCGCCGGCTCCGTCTTTCACCCGGTTGTGACGCGGGACTTCCGGCCGCCGAAGCCGGACCCCGCCGGCTTGCTGTTCATTGCGCGGGAGTGGGGGCTCGTGCGGCCTGTCCCGGGACCCAGGGACGAGAATGCCGTGCGGGATGTGCTCGGCGCCTCTTCTTCTTCTTCTTCTTCTTCCACGCCAGAACAGCTAGGCGTGTCAGGCGTGCCAGGCGGCGACGAAAACGGCATCCAAGACAAAAAACTCGAACAAGTAGGCGACGCGTCGCGCCTCATCATGGTCGGCGACTCGATCGACGACATGACGGCCGGCCACAGCGCCGGCGCCGCCACCGTGCTGCTGGTCAACGACGTCAACCGCCACCTGGCCGACCACGAGCACACGGACCTGGTCATCGAGCGGCTGGACGAGCTGGTGCAGGTTTTGGAGCACGGGTTTGTGGGGAGGGAGAGGGGGGCGTCGTAGCCCCAGCCCCCCTTGTCCCTGAGGACCTTCTTTAGTTTCGGAAAAAAAAAAAAACTGCACAAGAGATGGTAAAAGGGGAGGGGAGGGCGGCGGGCGGCTGTAGACTAGGTACCTGCTTACCTATTAGGTTAGATACCTATGTAGATAGCCTACGAGGATTGCTTAAGGAGCATCAAACTACTATTAGGTCAGATGCTTGACATAGTTATATATTGTCCAGACATACAGCACTTCAAATACTTAGATGCATACCATTACCGTACCATATCATAGTTAGCAACAACGTCTTCATTATCACTTTTACTTTTACTTTTACTTTCACTCCCATTTTCACCTTCGTCTTCATCTACTTCTTTTCACATTCACCATCTCCATCATCTTACTCATCTTCATCTTCATCTTCATTCACTTCTTCTGCTTCTACATTTTTTTTACCTATCACATCACATGTATACCACAGGCCCTACAACCCTACAACGCTGACCTTGACCATCTTTCACTTTCACCACCAGCACAGCACCACCTTTGCCAGCTACCACCATCACCAAAAAACAAAAAATCGCCAGGTAAACGCGGATATATAACGCTTATGTTATGGGGTTTCTCCTCTTCCCATCAAGGGTTAAGGGTTAAGGGCATGGTCGCCAAGTCACGTTTCTCCGATTCCCTTGAAGTGTACGATGATTCTTTCTCTCTTGTCAAAGTAAAGGGATGCCAGAATATGTGTGTGTATTTGCGTGTACGGATCTGCAATCACCGACGACCTCGCGCCAAGTCATGGAAATGATGGCTATTGTGTTCCTCGCACCCGTTATTCCTACACACCTAGGTAAGGTAGGGTAGGACCGTGTGACATTGCCTAGGTAGGTATACAATACGATGAGATACCAACCCTATTTATTTATCGAGACTGGTATCCGGTGCTTCCGTAGCTGCCATTTGACGGGGGGCCGAACGTGGCTTGCCTTCTGTTTTCTTTACGCAACTCATCCGGCGTCTCCTTTCTCGGTGGCGGCGGCGGCAATGGCCCACCTGGAGGTGCAGGCCTTACGGGAAGTGTGAATGAAGTGCCTAGGTTAGTACTGGCTGGCTGTGAAAGATCTGCCGTCGTTATTTTGGGGATGGATCCAGAGGTTGCGGCTCGTTGGCCAAGCCCTGGATGTATGGTAGAGCCGGATGAGCGACCGATACTTCCTCCACCATTCCTTGTGGGCGATCGGTTTTGGCCTTGGTGGTGAGAATCTCTTGGTGAAGCGATGGCGCCGGCGATGGGGATCTCACCAGATGTAGGTGTATAGGCAGCGTTGCCGTCATTTTCAGACTCGCTAGATCGCAATAGATCTCTCGTGGCTGGCGAAAGTTGAGGAACCAAGTGTGACTTGCGGTTGTCTTTCTCCATAAGTCCGACAGCCCAATCTCTCAAATCCACAGGTGTACGCTTTGCTGCCTGGACAAACGGGTCTCGATCCTATACATAACAGACATTAGCAATATTCGGGCGGATCTTGTATTGCGCAAATTACTTACCCACAGCTCCTGGGGGGTAGGGCGTTCGTCGGGAACCTTTGATAAACATTTCTGAATCATCTCTTCCAAGATAGCAGGGAAAGCATCGCTTTTAGGTAGTTTAGGGGCGGGCTCGTGAACAATCTGTTGGAGAAGGTCCAAGATACCAGCTGGCGCCCCATCCCCATCGGATAATTGCTCGCTCGCAAAAGGGAACTTTCCAATAGCAAGCTCCATTATGGATAGACCAAAACTCCAAACGTCTGATTTGACCGTGTATTTCTCACCCTGAATTCGCTCAGGGGCCATGTATGTCGAAGTACCGACGAAAGTGTCCGCAATAGAATTGACCAATTCTCCAGATACTCCAAAGTCGCAAAGCTTAATGTGGCCTCTTGAATTCACCAGAATATTGGAGGGCTTAATATCTCGGTGCATGATATGTAGTTTGGAGTACAAATAGGTAAGACCACCCAACGTTGCCTCCGCGATCTTGCCGAGTACGTCAACCCGGATTGGTCCAAAGTGACGAGAGACTCTATCGAGAGATCTACCATCATCGTATTAGATTTGTATTTTCCTTGAGGTTAGGTTCGTAAGAATCCCACTTACCCAACGTCCATATACTCCATACACATTATGACATCGTTGTGATCGTTCAAAAACGCACCATAAAAAGTTACGATGTAGTCGGAATGGCAGCCGTGCATGATCTGGAGTTCGCGCACAATTCGTTTCCGTAGTTCCTTTTTTGCTTCGACGTGGATGACCTAAGGTGTGGTTAGTAGTCGCCCTACTGCTTGTGCATTGAATAACACCAAATACCTTTCTAGCCATCGTCGTACCCGTTGGTAGATGCTTGACTTTGCTAACGGTGCCTCCATTTCCCGAACCAAGCTCCTTCACGATTTCAATATCCTCTTGCCGAAGGTCTAGGTTGAACTCGATACCAATTTCCAACTGAGCCTCCTGGCCATCATCAGCTCTTGAACCACCAGCACCCCAACCAGCCGGTTGGTCGTTATTTGAGGATGCGGTTTGTTTCGGGGCGGCGGGAGTTAATGCTAGGCCTTTAACATTCTTGCGCTTCATGGAGCGCGGGGCGAATGCGTCGCTCATGATGGGCAGATTTATGGGCGCTTGGGATATATAGGATATGTATCTAGGACTCGATGATTCGGGCAAGACGGTTGAGTTATGGGAAGACGATGTGAGGCCTAAGAAGACAGGTTGAAACCAGGGTGGATCGAAGTGGGAAAGGCGATTTGTAGCCCACCATGTAAAGGTTTGCTGGTGTCGGTTTTGGGGGTCACTGTAGTTGCCGCGCGGGCCACAATGTCTTGCGCGTTATTGGCGTATGTTCCTCACAGAATTCGAACACTATTACCGCAGACCAAGTATTTGTAAGAGATTTGGAACTATAAATGGTAATGGTAAATATTGGATATTGAAGGTTTCGATGTTGGATTTAGGCCCAAGGAATAGATAAATGTGAGGTGGTGTATGTATGTAGGGTAGGTAACGGTCTTCGCAAATTTGAAATGTTTTACGATTCGCTGAGAAAGAAGGCTTGGCTAGTACATATGGACGTTACATACGCAACTACGCCCAGGGCAGAAAGCAAGTAGCTATAAATGTATCTTGAGTTAGCAGCAAACAAATAAATTCTATGTTGGTCAGGCGTTTGTGGAAAGGAACATTTATTGAAGTGCAGGAAGGGGGGTGCAGTGCAGTACATGTATGTTCCAATGCTAGGTAATGTGCTAATAATATGTAACTACTAGTTACATAGTATGTAATATGTAGCGCTGGTAACGGCACCAATGTGGAACGGTGGGCTAAGTCCTAACGGTCCATCTACTACTAGTACCTAGTAGGTACTCCATAATACTAACATCAAATGTACAATACATAATGTGTGGTAACTCGTACATTCTAGATTATTGCCTGTATCTTGTACTGATTTTAACAACCTTCGAACATGTAATACCTCTAGTGTTAGGAGAGACTGTGTGCCCCACCATGTACCCAGTACATGACTGAGTATCTACAGTACCTGAGAGTTGGGGCATCCCAGGTACCTAAAATAGCCTTAGAGGTAACAAGTAACTAACATTTGAACAGCACTGACTGTAGTTGGTCAAAGCCAACTTAAAATTATTCTTCTCCAGGGCTCAACTGTTTGTTAGGCATCGACAAAAGAAAGCTGCGACAATGAATCGAGATTGAACATTGAAATCCATGCTGATGTGCCTAGTACATAGTAATAGGTACCTGAGTAGCCTAGGATGTCGAATCCCCTAGGTCTGGTATAATTGAATGTTTCTGCCAGGTCAACATGCAGTAGATACCTACGTATGGATGTTTAAGACAAGGACGAAAAAAACAAAGGAACAAAAGAACCACAGTACAGTACTTACTGCCGTTGACGTTCAATATTGAAGGTTCGTGAAGTTTGCTTGCTACAGCCCTGCAGCTACCAACCTTTACTCCATTGGCTGTTACAAAGTACTATCAAATGCAAATGCAAGCTTCTGTAAGCATGTGCCTAATAAATGCCTAGGTAGGTAGTCGGTCGAATGGTTCAAGCAGTAAATCGATAAAATCTGTACGTGATAGGAGCCCCCAAAACGATTGGTCGCAACCTACGACTATGTAGGTACTAATTATGTGGTAATGATATCTGGGACGTCAAATTGCAGGTAATATTGAACACCTATATGTTTGAGTAGTATAAGGAGGTATGTGAACTGGTAGGTAGGTGGTCTGAAGGCAACTATGATAGGATGGTATGGATCCGAGTGGGAATAAATACCTAATTAGCTTGGTCGCATGTCTTGGAGAAACAGATCTTGAGCGTGGCGGAGGATATGTCTGATACAAAGGAAGGGCAAATGCTAGGAAAGAGTCGGATGATGCTATGTATGTAGGGATTCTTGATACTTGGTACTTGAAACCGCATCGTCATGCCTGGTTCAAAGCGTCTACAGGCGTGACGTGAGTGGAAGGCTGTAAAGACAAATGGTTGCAGTTGTGGCCGTGAGCTATTAAGTTTCCACTAACTACCATATCTGTACTAAGCACACGATGCCTACCAACCCGGTTGAAGGGCCGTGATTTTATATTCCATGGATGCGTATCGACTATTCAACTGAAGGGGCTAGGCCGGAGACCACAGGCTCGCCAGTAATAATAATGAGGATGATATAGGTAGATAGAATATAACGAATCTTTGACCTAACGCTTGAGATATACTACCTGCTAGTTATGTGTTGAGATAACTAGACAATAATAGGGGATGCAACCCACACGTAAAAATATATATATCTAACCTACTATAGGTACTTAACATGCGGTCATTTTTGAGACTTCATGTCAGAGAGCACCTCTATATGAGACGTTGAGATATTACTTCATGTATTGGATATGGACCAAACCCACCCTTTTGTACTCTGGAGTCTAGAGAATGAATCCATCCTTTACAATACCTATCATTCCCATAGCGAATTATAGGGGCTGGTGCATCCTACTGGTCTGAAGCATATGCAGCCCCCCCGAAAGCTCCAGATTCGCTATGACCCCTACCCGTTTGTTTGGTGTTGCAGTTTGGATAGTACAGACGATTCTAGTGTAATGTCAAGGAACTAAGTTGTTATTGGCCAAATGGCCTGTGGTCGTTACCCTATCATCGCCTTTTGGCCCTCACAATCCCAACCATAGACGCCGCTTAGCGGAGCGCTTCAGTCTCGAAATACCACATGTGCACTTCACAAGTGATCACCGACCATATTAGGCCGATTCCCATCAATCCGTAGAAGTTATAAAATCTGTTTGCTTGAGTAGGTAAGATATTAGGTACCCCGGACAAGCGTAGGTTTCGGTGACCCAAGAAACAGAAAGGCGTATCATCCCAAGTGCTGACCAAAATATTGCTACGTTCGGCACTAGAAACAGGGAATGATATCTGAATGATCGAGAATACATATAACACCAATTTGTATACAGACACCAACAGGTCTCGCTCTTTGAAGACATGCTTCGTATCTGATACATGCTATATCAAATACCGTATACCTACCCAACTTGTGTTTGGGAGAAAGGCGTTAAAGAAAACGAGGTTCCCTCTAATACGTCCTTGCATCACATTACCTACTTATAGATTGTAGGTATTTTCAATTTCGACATACTGAGCGAGCGCAAGAGAAAACCGAAAGAAAATAGATGAACACAAGTAACTAATAGGTAGGTAATTGAAACTATAGGTATATAAATCATTTTCACGAAGGAATCTATTGATCCCACTCGTCAAATGGAGAAGCTATTTCTTTACAACCGTGTTGCTGAGGACTGGGCCGCTTTCGGGAGCTGTTCTACAATAAAATAATCGAATAAAGCTGATGTGCCCGCCCTTGCGTGCTACTTAGTATCGTCATCAAGGTGGGGCTTATCGATAGACAAACAGCATTGAAGTGTTCAAAGCTACATGTAGATGCACGAGCCACCAGCAGTCAGCTTATCCTCGCCAGTCCACGTGACCAAGTTACCTAGGATACCTACCTAGGGTCCTAACTACCTACATAGGTACAGTTGTACAGGTCATGCTTGGCGTTCTTATCCCCGAATTAACCTTTACCTAGTAGTTAACTAAGGTTAGTAACATTTTCCAATCGCGAGGCTGGCCATTCATTGACGCGCGATACAAAATTTCTAAGTTCTTATGGCGAACAACAGAACCTGAACCTTTTGCTTCCTCTCTCCATCTAAACTCTTCATTAAAATCTAATTTTCTTATCACGTCGGAAGCTGCTACAGCTTCCTTTATCTTCATTCCTCAACTTTTACTTTTCGACTTTTTTTCTTTGACGTTTAAATTCATCAGCATCGTCATCATCAAATCGTCGATTCGTCCCTTAACTTCTACTGCACGACTCAGCCCGTCAACATGAGTAATTCTATGAGAGACTTGATCGTTGGCGAGGCCGAGTTGGACGATGAAGAAGACGATGAGTCTTTTGACGAGGACACTGGCGAAACTCGTCAGAGATCGCGAAATCAAAACCAGGATGTAGATGACTCTAGTGAAGAGGACGATGATGATGAGGATGAAGAGGAAGCGCGAAAAGTAGGCGTTCCTTCAATATACACCATCTCCTACATTATAAAATCTATCTATAATTGCTCTGGGCAATAGCTAATCATACACACAACTTTCGGTAGATTCGGGAAGGCTTCATTGTCGATGAAGATGATGAAGATGAAGACCAGGTCGAAGACGAGGAAGAGCGGCGCAAACGAAGAAAGCGTAAGCGCCGACAAGAACGCGAAGAAGAAGCTCAATTGGATGAAGAAGATCTGGACTTGATTGGTGAGAATATTCCCGAATGGGAACGCAAGCAACCTTCGCAGGTACGACATAACATCGAATTCGTAACCAGGAAATCATATCTTCTAACATAGTTGGGTAGGGCAAGTTTAAGCGACTGAAGCGTGGCCATCGTGATGACGATGTTCGTGGAAACGAGCCACGTCGCCTGAATGACATATTTTCCGACGACGAGGATGATCTTGCCGATGATCAGGGCTATGCTCGACCTAGTCACCGTGCCGCCGCTGGTGAATTCGACGATTTCATCGAAGAGGATTTCCCCGTAGACGAGGACGAGCGCATGCGCCAGATGGAAGATATGGAGGTTGCCCGTCCTAGAGACAAAGGAATCACTGGACGTATTGTTGACCGCACCGGACTCGATAAAGATGCCTTTGAAGATATGGAAGCCATCTTCGGAAATGGAGAAGAATACCAGTGGGCTTTGGACGAGGAGGAGGAAGAAGAGGAACGGCAGAGAGAGGAGCAAACTCTTGAACTCAAGGATGTCTTCGAGCCCTCACAGTTGGCTGAGAAACTCTTGACTGACGAAGACAACGCTATCCGTTTCACCGATGAGCCCGAACGCTTCCAACTCGACCGCAAACCCTTCAAACACCTCAACATTCAAGGCGAACAATTCAAGGACGAGATCCAATGGATTGGCGGTTTGATGTGGCCAAAGAAGCAACTCTCCAGTGACTTGCACAGTCCGTTTCACAAAGCGATTGGCAAGGTGCTCGAATACTTTGTCCTTGAGGACCTGGAAGTACCCTATGTCTTTCAACATCGCAAGGACTATCTTATCCATGCTCGCAAAATCCGTAACCCTGATCACCGCGACGACCCCGAGGCGCCTGAGTATATTGTCAATGCAGAAAAGCTACTTACTCAGGATGATCTCTGGCGAATTCTCGAGTTGGACATCAAGTATCGGTCACTATTCGAAAAGCGTAGCGCGCTTGAAAGGACTTACGACAGCCTGCGAGAAGCAGCCCAGGTGGAAGACGACATGATACCTGAAATGGTATCTCAAGCTGTTACGATGGAAGAGCTCCAGGACCTACAGGATCATATCAACTTCCAATACACGTCCCAGCTAAAGGACATCGCTGCTATGAATGGAGTCGTCAAGGGAAACAAGCGACCTGGTGCGAAGTCGTCCGTTTTTGAGCGCGTCCGCAAAAGCAATGTCTACAAGCTCGTAAAGGCGTTTGGCATCTCTCCCGACCGTTTGGCGCTGAATGCTCTTCACAAAGGCAAAAAGGTAATCTCGGATGACGAGCAGAATTTGCCAATTGACCTGGCGGACAGCTTTACCGACAGCGATTTCCCAACTGGCGATCAGGTCTTGTCACAGGCTAGGTCTATGTATGCGGAGGAACTATTCATGAGCCCAAGAATGCGAAAGCATTTCAGGCTGAATTATTACATGACGGGCGAGATCAGTTGTCATCGAACAGAGAAGGGACTTCGAAGGATTGATGAGTCACATCCGTACTACGAGATCAAATATCTCATCAACCAGACAATCAGTGACCTTGCTCGACGACCCGAATTATTCTTAAAAATGATGAAGGCCGAGGAGGAAGGTTTGATCGAAGTCAAACTTCGACTACAGAACGAAAAGGAATTCCGTCGCCTACTGCAAATGGAATTCTTCTCCGACAACTATAGCGAGCTTGCAGATGCGTGGAATGAAGAACGCAAAAAAATACTTGATTTGGCATTTGCTAAACTTGAGAAAGTGGTGGCTAAGGGAGTCAAGGACTCGCTACGGACAGCATGCCAAGAGGAGCTTCTAAAGCTCTGCCGAGAGGAATACTCTAAGCGGCTCGACCAAGCACCTTATAAACCGAAGGGCATGGTGTTGGGCACAACCCCGCGTGTCCTTACCTTGTCGAACGGCATGGGCGACCCAGCGCGAGACCCAATCTCCTGGGTCTGGGTTGAAGAGGATGGACGAGTCATCGAGCACGGCAAATTTGGAAACTTAGCTCGTGACGAGGCTCAGCGAAATGCCTTCGTCGAAGTGGTGGAACGCAGAAAGCCGGACGTCATAGGCGTTAGTGGCTTCTCAACCGATACTCATCGACTCGTTCGTGACTTGGAGAGTCTCGTCAATGAGAAAAACCTTACGGGTCCTGAGTTTCCAGACCCCGATTCCGATGACTACCGTAGTGAGTTGCTGGAAGTAGTGGTTGTCAACGACGAGGTCGCCAGGCTCTATAAGGACAGTCCCCGAGCACAGGCGGATCATCCGACTTTGAGTTCCAATACTCGATACTGCGTTGCTCTCGCGAAGTATCTTCAAAATCCAATGAAGGAATATGCAGCGCTGGGGAAAGATATTACCTCCTTATTGTTCAACCCTTGCCAACATCTACTTCCTCAAGAAAAGCTCCTAAAACATCTCGAGACATCAATGGTCGACATGGTCAACCTTTGTGGTGTCGACATCAATGAGGCCGTTAGCGATGCATATACAGCCAACCTTCTGCCATATGTGGCAGGTCTGGGTCCCCGAAAAGCGACGAGTGTCATCAAGGCTATCAACACCAATGGTGGTGTGGTGAACTCAAGGGACGAACTGGTTGGCGATCCAGACAACAACAAGCTACCGGTCGTTGGCCCTCGTGTTTGGAATAATTGTGCCAGTTTTCTCTACATTGAATACGATGCCACAAACCCTACGTCCGAGCCTCTGGACAACACTCGTGTCCATCCAGAAGATTACGAGTTAGGTCGCAAGATGGCGGCGGACGCGCTCGAGTTGGATGAAGAAGACGTGAAAGCCGAGACTGACGAAAATGGGGCTGGTGCCATTGTTCGCAAGCTGTTCCGTGAAGATGAGCAAGAAAAGGTCAACGAACTCATCTTGGAGGAATATGCAGAACAGTTGGAGAAAAACTACAACCAGAGAAAGCGAGCAACCCTCGAGACTATCAGGGCCGAGCTGCAGGCACCATATGAAGAACTTCGAAGAAACTTCAGCAGCTTGGTAGCCGAGCAGATCTTTGTCATGTTTACGGGTGAAACAAAGGATTCTCTCGCGGAAGGCATGATTATTCCGGTCAACCTACGCGTGGTGAAGGATGACTTTGCTATTGCTAAGCTTGACTGCGGCATTGAAGGCCGGATTGAGGCGCACGAAGTCAGCACCCGAAGTAACGTGTCCATTAGAGATGTTGTACACGTTGGCCAAACTGTTCAGGCTAAGATTATGGATCTTAATCGCAAAGAGTTTTTGGCGAAACTCTCAATACGTGAAGATGCTCTACGACGACCGTATAAAAAGCATAACGATCATGACCGTGGGACCTGGGACTTCAGACTCGAAGATGACGACAAAGAAGCTCTGCGAGAGAAGGACAGAGTTACTGGTCGTACCCAACGAGTCATTAAACACCCCTTATTCAAGCCGTTTAATTCTACGCAGGCTGAGGAATACCTTGGGTCACAAGGTGCAGGTGACGTCGTTATTCGACCTTCCTCGAAAGGTAATGACCACCTCACAGTCACTTGGAAGGTCTCAGATGGTGTGTATCAACACATCGATGTTCTTGAGTTACAGAAAGAGACAGAGTTCTCCGTTGGGAAGACGCTTCGTATTGGCGGTAAATACACCTACACCGATCTCGACGAACTCATCGTGGACCATGTCAAGGCGATGGCCAAGAAAGTGGACGAAATGATGGGCCACGAGAAGTTCAAGAACTATAGTGTCGCAGAAACTGGTAAGTGCACATCACATATTCTACAAATCAAGGCAGCAATACTAACCTGATGGCAGAAAAATGGTTGACATCGTACTCCGACGCCCACCCAAGTCGCTCGATCTACGCGTTCTGTATCAACCCTAAGCGTGCCGGGTATTTCCACCTATGCTTCAAGGCTAGCAAATCATCACCGATTAACATGTGGGATGTGAAGGTGGTGCCTCATGCTTTTGAGATGATGAAGAACCAATACCCACACATGCTAGCTCTGTGCAACGGCTTCAAGCTGAGGTTCAACAGCGAGATGAGCAAGTTGCAGCAGATCAGGAGGTGAGAGTGAGCATCGGAGTCGGCCAGCTTGCTTTCCGGTTATATGTAATACCAGGCGTCGTTGATTTGAGAGGCTGGGCTGCGTTTGCTTTGCGAGTATATTGACGACTAAACGCAACCCCAGATAGGTTTATAGGGTAATGCACCATGTTCGTATCATGAGAGGCAGCAGGTCGGTAAAAGTGCCAAAAGTGTGGAGGTAGTATTACAGCTCAGCTAGATCTAAATACCAAAAAAAAAATCCACGAATAATAGTCCCAGTAGATGCAGCAGAGAGAATAGCGGTATAGTACATGTTACTTCAGTGTTTGTTCTTGTCTTGGGAATAGGTAAATCTAACTTGATCTACACGTAGTTTGGCCTAGTACTACATACTGTAGTATGCGGGAACATCGAAGATTGAAGTGCCAATAAAGTGCTACAGGTGTAACTAATTTGGAGCTTACTAGTAGCCCTGGAGCTAAGGAACTTGGCAGCTGCTAAAATGCCCCCAGCAGGGCTAGTTTAGGTAGTACACGTGGCGGGAACCACGCTCAGCCACAGACCAGCCACCTGTACCAGAACTGTTTAACCCGCGGAACCAGGCACTTGTTACATTTAAGCCCCAGGGCCTGCAGTACCCTTACAACTGTCACCTGCAAATAGCGCGCTCCGGGTGTACCGTACCTTCAGTTCCGTCATTAAGAAAACATTAAACTTGAAAGTGTCGACCCTGAAGTGAGTTAGCTAAGGTAGGTACAATAATTAATTGACCTCCTTAACTTTCTTTCCTTCTTTATCTTCTTTTTCTCCCATTTGCAATTCCTACCAACCTCTTTTACTTCTTAACGTGGAGGTGTCTATCCTTCAACTTGTCAGCTTGTAGGAGTGAAGGAAGCACAACGAATCCATCCCGCCAGGTACCTACCTACTTACCTACAGATCACAGCCTCGAATCCCTCACAGCCATAATACTGTCCCCCTTTTGTGTCAAGCAGTGAATATAAACGTTAGCACTGCATATGTAGATTGGGAATAGTCTACACATCAATTTCCAGCTGGTTAACTAGAACATAAAAAAATGGCTGGAATAGAGCAGCTAGAGATCCATAGCAAGGTGTGTATAGCTAACCTACCTACTTATGTTGAAGCTACTTTCAGATCCTGTGATGGTTACTTCAACCATGCCCTGCTACTCTAGGGAGAAAGGGGATATAGCTGACATGTCAATCTAAATAGTCTTACATTGTGCGATGGGTTCGAGTTGATGAAGGGCAAACCATCTCATGGAGTGTCCAGCCGCATAAGAAGTCGATGTGAGTAACTTGCTCAATAATGCCACTAGCTATTCACTCACCTCGCTTAGTAACTTCGGTATCGTCAAACACCCAGGCTCCGGCTCCGGCTCGAGCACCGCCTCGGCCAACCTTACTGCGAACTTAGACGGCTCCAACACAACCGAACAAGTCGAGGGCAAGTCGAACCTTTTTGCTAAGAAAGATGCCAGTACGGCCCAGGAACAGTTGGCCACCAAGGGCTTCATACCCATAAAGTGGCATGGAAAATGTGAGGCAGACAAGGTGTCCATGGGAAAGTATGACGTACTCAAGGGTCAAGGTGGTATGTTTGGGTTGATCTTCGACAATACCTTCTCCAAGCAGACTTCCAAGAATGCCACTTTTGTGCTCCTTACCTATCCCACGGGCGCACCACCTCAAGGCGCACACCATCTTCCGAACCACCACCAAGCAGTCTCCCACGCAAATGCTAGTAAGACAAGTCTAAGCAAAGCCAGTCCGAGCGTTGCCGCTGCTGCTGCCGAATCCACCGATAGTCTACAGAGTCAGGGTGGTGGTGGACAAGGAGCGAAGTCGATAACTGGTCGTAGCGACGCAACGGCCACCTCCACCACGCACACCGGCACTCTATTAAAGAGACGAAGAAAGAAGGGCCAGGGTTATGCCCGTAGATTCTTTTCTCTGGATTACTCTTCTTGCACCCTATCATATTACCACAATCGAAACTCGTCTGCCCTTAGAGGTGCAATTCCTCTAAGTTTAGCTGCAATTGCCGCTGATGAACGACGGAGAGAGATCAATATCGACTCAGGAGCTGAGCTTTGGCATCTAAGAGCTTCCAACGCCAAGGAATTCAATGAATGGGCACACGCTCTAGAGAAGGCAAGTAGGATTGCAAGAGGGCTTGAACCCGCTCATGAAGAGGCAACTCCTGAGACGCTTAGCGTAGCTACTCTCACGCAAGCCAATCCCCCAAATACGCAACAAGAAGAGGATCGAGAATGGCAACAAGTCGAGGCCTTGGTCAGTCGAATCGTTGGAACAAGAGATGCTCTACGACGATTGGTGAAGGACATGGGAGCCCAGAAGCAACCGCCGCGGCCGCCAAGTTCGCATTTATCACCGTCCTCGCCGGCCGTTTCGGAGAACAGTGAGGGGTATTTTCCGCCGGGAGCACAGGACAAGCGTTCATTTTGGAAACGCAAACAGACCACTTCATCTCTGTCATCAGATCCATCGGCGCCAACAAGCTCACCCGCCTCGGCACCTATTTCGTCGGGATCGGCCAAGTCAAATGGGTCCGTTGCAACGCAAAAGGCTATTCAGCCCGAACAAGATGAGCAAGGTACACAAGAGCACTGTGCTGCGCTCCTCAATGATTTAGACTTGGTTGTTGCGGAATTCACCAAGGTACTTGCTAATAGCAAGAGACGGCGAATCCCCGTGCCTGTTTCCGCGACGTCTAGAAGGAGTCTCGAGTCAACCGCGTCAACCGATGAATTCTTTGACGCTGAGGCTGGTGAGACAGACAGTAGGGCCCAGGTCGTGATGATTGGCCGCCGTGGAAGCGAAGAGGATTCCCACGGGTCGGATGCGGAGGCGGATGCGGATGCCGACGCTGACGCTGATGAGGCTACCATTGATGATTCCTCTTCTGTTTCAACGGCGGGAGATGATCAAGGGGCTTCAGGGGCTAGCGGAGCCGCGGCGCTTTTCCCTACGAAGCCCAAGTCACTCAGTCCGTTGCCTGTTGATATTGCAGTTGACCGCCGAAAGACTATTCCGGCAGCTACCGTACTTCCACCAAGTCTAATAGCATTCGTGCGCAAGAACGTCGGCAAGGATCTTAGTACCATTAGCATGCCAGTCTCGTCCAACGAGCCTATTTCGGCCCTACAACGTGTTGCAGAGCAGCTTGAGTATGCCCAGCTACTCGACAACGCAGCACAGCAGAGGGCTCCCAAAGACCGGCTATTATGTGTCACTGCTTTCGCCATTTCACAGTTTAGCGTGAATCGTGTCAAGGAACGTGCCATGCGCAAGCCCTTCAACCCTCTCCTCGGTGAAACGTTTGAGCTTCTTCGCACTGAAGGCGAGGTTCCTGGTGGTTTCAGACTAATCGTCGAGAAAGTTACGCATCGCCCTGTTCGTCTTGCTATGCATGCTGACTCCGCTTCCTGGTCATTCACACAGAGCCCTGCTCCATCCCAGAAATTCTGGGGTAAGAGTGCCGAATTGAATACGGAAGGACGAGTCCGGGTAGCCCTTCGACTCTCGGATGGTACCGACGAATTGTACTCGTGGAACATTGCCACTATGTTCTTACGAAACGTCGTAATGGGTGAGAAGTATGTGGAGCCGGTTGGAACCATGACGGTATGCAACGACTCGACGGGGGCGAAAGCCAATGTGGAGTTCAAAACCAAGGGAATGTTTGGCGGTCGAAGCGAGGACGTCGAGGTAGCGTGCTTCGACGCCAGCGGAACACAGACTGGAGCTGGCCTGGTGGGTAACTGGACATCTTCGCTTCGCGTCATGGAAGGCGGCAAACCGACCAGCCAGGAGATATGGAAGGCGGGCAAGATCGTGCCGAATGCGCCAAACACATATGGCTTCACGACATTTAGCGCCAGCCTCAACGAGATCACTCAAATCGAAAAGGGTCGAATCCCACCTACGGATACCCGATTGCGGCCCGATCAACGCCTTGCGGAAGAAGGCAAGCTTGACGAGGCTGAAGAGTGGAAGGTGATACTGGAGGAGGCGCAGCGGGCGAGAAGGAGGGATTTGGAGGAGAGCGGTGGAGAATACAAACCAAAGTGGTTCTTCAAAGTTGCTGACGCACCTGATGGAGAGGAGTTGTGGAGGCTGAAGTCAGGAAAGGAAGGCTACTGGGAAGAGAGATCAAAGGGAGAGTGGAAAGGCGTCGAACGCATATTCGATAAGCCATCCGGATAAACAGTTTCCTACGCCAAAGGACACATGGTCATGGTGTTTCACGATGGAGATGCGATTTAGTACATATGGATGCATAGCAAGTACTCGGTTTGGTGTCATGATGGTTCCCTAGGTGCCTGCCTACTCTTACGAGGACCAAGGTGTTGAGGAGATATATAAAAGGGGGGTGATTAGAACGACTTCACATTTAGAGCTGCCTGAACTAGATACGTGCCTGAAGTTTATCTCAGACAATTTGCATAGCCTGTCTTTATACATAGAAATGCCTTGTTGTTAATTTACATTGTTGGCCTTTTAGTTGTTTTTGTTTACGTGTGTTGAGATTTACTTACATGTATGTACATACATGTAAATTCACGGCATAAAACACTGAGAAATAGGTAGGTTAGATGGTTTTGCTTTCATTCCGCACTCTAAAATATTGAACTCCCACAACTGCCCACCACTACCTCGTATTGACTAACCTACTAACTACCTACAGCAGGTAGATATGAAGCTCCTCAGCGGGATGTAACGTTGAGACGAACCCGGTTTTTCATACCCATCCATACCCGCCCGAATGTTCTTCGATGTGTTATCTCTTAGCCAATGCGGGGAACGAACACAATGTGCTTCTCGGCTATATACAGGCAGCTTGCCTATATTTTATGAGTATGCGATTTTAGACAAAGCAAATCTCGGCCATATAGGTATCGTTGGTCGTTGGCATGTTTATGTTGGATAGGCATATTTGAGTCAAGATAAACCAGAATAGTGGGTGTCTACCTACCTACCTACCTACACAACATGCTTTGGTCCCAACTCTTACCATGCCTCCTGGTTGCCCTAAGCCCAGCATGGGCTTCCTCCTCCTCCTCCTCCCCTTCACCCACCCCTTCCCCTAGTCCCACGCAATCGGCCCCCCCACCAGCCTTCACATACAACCGTACCTCCTTCCTCCTCCACGGCGACCCCTTCGTCATCATCGGCGGCCAAATGGACCCCCAGCGCATCCCCGCCCCCTATTGGCGCGACCGCCTCGTCAAAGCCCGGTCGATGGGGCTGAATACGATCTTCAGCTACGTGTACTGGAACGAGCTGGAGCCCGTGCAGGGGGAGTGGCGGGGCGGCGCGGGCGGAAGCAACGACGTCGCGCAGTTCTTCCGCATCGCGGGCGAGGAGGGCCTGAAAGTGGTGCTGAGACCGGGGCCCTACGTGTGCGGCGAGAGGGAGTGGGGCGGCTTCCCGGCGTGGCTGGGCGCGGTCCCGGGGCTCACGGTGCGCGGCGGGAACGGGCCGTTCCTGGACGCGGCGGAGCGGTACCTGCGGAGGCTGGCGCGGGAGGTGGCGGGCCTGCAGGTCACGCGCGCGGGGGGCCCGATCGTGCTGGTGCAGGTCGAGAACGAGTACGGCTCGTACGGCGAGGACCACGCCTACACGGCGGCGCTGCGGGATGTGCTGAAGGACGCGTTCGAGGTCCCGCTGTACACGAACGACGGGGGTGTCGAGTGGACGCTCAAGGGGGGGGAGGTCCCCGGGGTGCTGGCGGCGATCGACGGGGATCCGAGGTCCGGGTTCGCGGCGAGGGATCGGTTCATCACGGACGAGAGCGAGCTGGGCCCGCTGCTCGACGGGGAGTACTACACGACCGGCTTCGACACGTGGGGGTCGGGGACGCCGCATGCCGGGGCGTCGGAGGCGCAGGTGCAGCGGTACGTGGAGGATCTGGAGTTCGTGCTCGCGGCGAACAACTCGATCAGCGTGTACATGTTCCACGGGGGGACCAACTTCGGGTTCGGGAATGGTGCGCTGTGGAAGGAAGCGGGGGGGAAGGGGTACACGGCGGCGTTCGTGACGAGCTATGACTACGGGGCCCCGCTGGATGAAAGTGGCAGGACGACGCCGCTGTACGAGACGCTGAGGGAGGCGATAGCGCGGTTTGTGCCGGCCGGCAGCGTGCCGAAGGCGCCGAGGAATGTCCCGCTGAGCGGGTTTGCGAATGTGAGCTTGGGGTTGGGGGGGGCGCTTTTTGATTTGTTGGGCGGGATGGCGACGGGGATGAGGAGGGTGGAGGAACCGGTGACGATGGAACAGCTCGGCCAGAGCTACGGCTTCGTCCTCTACCGCCACATCGTCGCCGCCTCCGTCTCAGGCGTCCTGGCGCCCGGCGACCGCGCCCGGGATCGTGTGATCGTGTACGTCAACGGCGTGAGGCGCGGGGTTATTGACAGCACGTACGCTACCCCCGCTACCGTGGAGCTGGACCTGGCGCAGGGGGATATGCTGGATCTGTTCGTGGAGAATCTGGGGAGGGTCGATTACTGGTCCCGTGAGTCGGGGACGGTGAGCGCGCTCGAGGACCAGGCGAAGGGGGTGAAGGGGAATGTGACGGTGGGAGGGGAGGTTATGGTGGGTTGGGAGGTTTTTGCGCTGCCGGTTGAGACGGCGCCGGTTTTCACTCCTGGTAGTGGTAGTGAGAGGGCAGAGAACACGATAAATGCGGTGGTAGAGGGCGCGCCCCCCGTCTTCTTCCACGGCACCTTCCTCGTCGACCCCGAGGCCGCAGCAGCGGGGGACCCAGCAGCACTGGACACGTTCCTCGCCGTGCCCGATGGCGTCAAGGGCGTTGTGTGGGTTAACGGGTTTAACCTCGGCAGGTACTGGATCGTGGGGCCGCAGCAGTCGCTGTACCTCCCCGGAACTGTGCTACGCGCAGACCGGGAGAATGAGGTCGTGGTGTTGGAGCTGGAGCCGAGGGGAGATAAGCTGACGGTGTTTGGGGAGGTGGAGAGGACGTGGGCGAATTATGCGGATCCGGATTATGATGGGTGAGTGTGTAGTTTAGGAAAGTAGAGAGATACCTAAGGGGGGTTAGGGAATATGGTATAGGCATTGGTTTAATCCAAATATCATACCCATATATGTATGTTCTGCAAGACCCGTTGGCCGTATGCTAGGAGCGTTAGAAAGTCTGACTTCGTCGATACCTGAGAAACTTCGTCGAGTGCTGCCCTTGTAGCTCCACCCAAAGCTTCTTATATGAAGTCCGTAGATTCCTCTCCATTTCTGTTGTAACCTTAGCGGGCGTGCTCGTCTTGCGATGAGGCATTGTAGCCATGATATCTGGTGATAACCTACCACCATCGGCTTCCTCATTTCTAGAGAACTTCCATAACCTTTGACCACTCCCTAGATCCGCACACCCACCTCCCACTTAGGCTCGATATCTTGTACTGCGTTGTGTGTATTCCAGTTTAGGCTCATCGAAAAGTGTCCGCTGTTATCAGCCCCTTACGGCCCTTTCCGTCAAGATGAAGCAAACGTCTTTTCCACCCTCTTTCTTCCTTCTCGTTCAAATACCCTCTTTATCGAACAATGATCTTCAGTATTTCGGTCCATATCCTTAGAGGTCGTTCTCTGGGCCTAGTATCGTAAATATGGAAACTTTCATCGGAGATCGGATCACAGTCAGAGTGAGGTATGAGCTTCAAGCCTCGAGCCTGTGCTACAGGTATACTCGTGGGTGATATTGAATACTCCTTAGTGGCATCGAGCTTTCGAGTTTGGTCATATTCGTATACGAACTAACAGCTGTGAAAGCAAGCTTCATCTGTATATTTATATAGGTACCTAAGGTATCTATTCAGGGAGCTTTTTTTAATCCTCGGTTCTACCCCATCCCCAATATATGATAGCTCGCAAAGCAGTTGGACAAGTACGCGGACGCCTATGTCGCCTGCCGCAACATTCGTCCATCTATTTCTTACACCGCAGGAAAACAGAGACATAGACAGACCGCCTGTTCTCAAGGCAAGATGTCTCGGTACCGACAAGTCAGCACTCAAGTCCATGGAGCAGTTCTTTGAGTGGATAGGATTTTCCCCTTATTGCGTATGCTCACCCACTCTCACCGGAATTTCTCGTGTGGAATACTTGCATACCGAAGACCTATAGGTACGCCAACGGCTTACACGGCTTTCTAGAAGGCTAGGCCATCAAGGGGTGCTCCGGGCGAATGGATATGCGAGTCCCGGTGAACTGCATTCCGTGTAATTATCTCTTTGGGGAATTTTTAGGTAGGCGCTGGGTAATAGGCTATCTACCAGGCCAATGTCTACCCAGATAGGGGGATAGATCTAACAAGTCGTAGTTAGATATGTCATTACGCGCGGCATGTGAAGTTGTCTCAGGTTACTACAAGTCCGGACCCTCGCACGTTGCTACTGGTCGACAACAATAACGACACCACTGCTGGGCTATATGGATAGAACCGTGCCTCCTATTTCCCCATACGCGTCTACTTGAGTCTCTTAGCAATTGATGTATTGCTCATTACCCATAAGAATCTTCATTTTCATTTTAGTGGGTAGATATATCGTGAAAGCGTCAAACGCACAGTGCTTCAAGTCCAGGACTAAACAGTCTCGGGGCCAACCACCGGGCTTCTGCTGACTTTGAACGGGCAACCGGGCGCCTCTAGAGGGCAAGTACCGCTTGATTTTATATTGATTAGGTGAAATAGTTGAACTTTCCTCCGATACTTACCAAGGTACTTAAATGGAGGAGAGAGGGTTGGCTCCGTAAGCGGTCTAGGATGATACGTAAAAGTAAAGGCTTACCATCTCGGCAATCGCTTCGGTGTTTCTCAACGGCGCCAAACACTTATAACAAGCAAAGTCAGAAAATATATATCCCCGACTGGCTAATACAAAACGCCATTGAAGCATCTGCCGGTGATTCGGCATCCGGACGGACATACTGGTCACCGAACACACCCTACTGCCTACGTATAGGTACCCAACTCATGTCAAGTATACACAGTGAAGGATCTTCCCGAACTGTGAGCCAAACTATCTGAATGTCTACTAGGTACTCGAGTAAGCAGTGCCTTTTAAGAATGATCGCATTCTTGCTGTTCACATTATAACCAACCTGATGTTGAATTCGTTCGGCTGATAAATCAGGGATGAGATCACAGACTCCATTGGCAAAGATCATATCTCGGCAGCAAAGCCGAAAGAAACACCTGAAATCGGGGAAGACTGCTTCCGTCTTATCCGATGATGTTAAGCCCAATATGCAAAGAAATTGACAGGCCAATAAACTAATACTGATTGACATGTCAACCATCCTCCAATGACGTCGAATCTCACGCCCATTGGACATCTTCATGCCTGGATTGAACACCAACAAATCACAGTTGTTGTTCTACCCTAATACGATTCCATCGTGCTTTTTCCACACAAATCAAACAAAAATAAGAAAGTGTTCGGCATGAATGAGGTAGGTATAGACTCTTGGTAGAAGTTGGGGATCCGAAGCGGGTCATCCGTACGAGATGAGGTCCGGAGCACGGGAGAAGAGCCTCCCTCTCCATTGTGCCGATCCATTGATTACCTAGGTACGTATCATAAGGCATATAGAATCGTTGTGTGCCAGGAGATAAAGGGCTCTGCGCACGAGTTGGCATATTTTGCAACGCCAGACACCATTAACGTGGAGCATAAAATCGCCACACAACGAAGGGGGCTCCCAATGTGCCGACGGCGACTGTGACATTTCCGTGTTCATCAACCACGTAGCTGAGCTTCGTCTGAAATGACAAGGACCGCCGTGTGAACCACACCAAAATTCAGCCCTGCAAGTAGTCACACGTTACCACGACGCAATTCTATCTCTCTTGCACGACCTTTGGCTGAGGCGAGAAGCCAGCGAACATGTTCCCAGGAATCGATTCAGGATTTGGACCCGAGGCAGATGTAAAGAATAGATTCGGATACTGGCGTTCAAGATGTGGGACTTGAGTGCCGTTGCTATGGAATGCTAATCAGGCCAACCAACCAACCTCCCCTGGTTAGGTATACTAAATAAAAATTCACGACCACGTACGTAAGTAAACAACATTCTACCAGGCCTCTCGTCGTGGAATAATTGAGGTGCGACCCAGCGCTGCCACTGCCCACGATCTTACATGGATAGATACTTGGCAAATACCAGACTTAGAAATAGAAAATGCTGCTGCGCTACTCCAAAGCAGCAGTATGGCTACCCGCATCAATTTCGACCCTCATTCGGGTTTTACAACCCGAAGCTGGAGGCAGCCGCCTGACCATCAGAGATCCAACTTTTGCGGGAATGCGATGGTTTTCGTCGAAACCTTGCCAGCGCTATCATCGCTTTCGTTTTCTCTGCGCACTGCACAGCATGAACACGATACGGCAGGGACGGCTGGTAAAAAAAAGGGAGGGGGGGCGGCACAATGGGCCATGACCTCAGAATGCCCAAGCCACAGGTGTCCCCTCTCACCAGGGCAAAAGGAGAGAGAGAAGGCCTTCATCGACCAACCCTCTCACGGGACCGAAGCCATGGCGTTGCGGTCCGTTGGAATACGACAGCTCGTTGGCATAAAAAACTAAGGGAGATTGACAAGATTGACCATGGAATTATCGGATCAGGTCACACGGCATCTGCACGAGAGGCGACACCAAGAAAAGAACTAAAAAAAAGAAAAGAGAAAAAGGACAGAGAGCGAGAGAGAGAGAGCTAAGAATACACATGCTGTCCCGAAAAGGGCCGTCGCGTATCGCACCCGGGGAGAGTAATTGACTGCACTTACTGTACTGTATTTGTCAGAGACTGCGATTCCGGCCGCGCTGTGTGGGACGGATGAGTACAGCATTCAATCATTGATTCCTTGCTCTCTCTCATCCTTCGGTCGGGAGGCCTATCGGGAGAGGAGGTTGAGGTGGGATAGAGCAGCTGCAGCAGAAGAAGAAGATGAAAAGGAAGAAGCGAGATAGACGAACGGCCGTTTCTAGGAATAGCAACAACACGTCCAGGTTGCTGGCGCCACTTGCAGCGAAATCTGGAAAGAGTAGCGTGGTGGAACGAAGTCGTCTTCTTTCTTTCTTTCTTCCTTCCTTCCTTTTCTTCTTGTGCCACCACAGATATACCTACCAAGCTTTTTTTTTTCTACCGAATTATGCTGCTGCTGCTTCTGCTGCAGCATTCGGGGGCACTAGACGTCGACGATTATGGTCCCGCCTATCTGGTAAAACCGGTATACGAACTATTGGCAAAGATGGACAACTATACGACCCCACGGGCATCATCATCATCGTCATGGCTCTCGTGTTTACCTATCCACCTACCTTAGGTAACTTCTTTTTAGACGCTCCTCGTAAATCCGCCGACATAACGGCGACTGTAAGACGGAAGAGATCCGATCCCCTGCCCGGCCAGAGATACACTTGGATTATACCTACCTGCCTACCTATCCATCAATCTGTCTATCTTACTGTAAGAACAGGGGCTACTTGCGACAGCGGAATTGGCATCCCGACGCCTCGTACGTATGGATATTATTTCATTCTATTTTCTTTTTTAACTTGGAGCGAACGGAACATTATCCTTCCGAAAGGAAAGGGAGCCTGTCGACTCTCCCGAGCCCCGAAAAGAAACACCTACCTTATATAATGAACGCTTTGAGCCACGTGGCGCCCGCTTCTGGACATGATGTCGATGAAATATAGGTATTCTATGCGGGAGAGGAGGCTAGCACCTACCTGGCTACCTACCTGGTGTGTACTGACTGCATCAAGGGGGTGTGATAGATAGTTCGCCGGTTTCCTTCACCCCGCCTTGGGTAGGAATAACAACAACAATAACATCAGCAACCATAACAATGAACATATCGATGACAACAGCGAATGGAGACCGAGACAAATATGATTTCGATCCGCGGATAGGGGATTCGGTGGACAATCGTGCCGTACATACTCTCAGAGTACCCAGGTATGTGTAAAATAGGCAGGCTAGTAAGATACTATAAGTAAAGTAAAGTATTATTGCACGCCTCGTTCGGATTTTGTCCCCGGAGATCAGCACGGAGTTTAGGGCTGCAGCGTTGACAGATTTCTTCAGCCTCTTACGGCGGGAACGAAACAAAACGAACCGAAGATGGGGGCAATTTATAGAATGGTGATTTTTGTATATATAAAAGTCACGGGCGGGAAGCACGTCGCACGACAGATAGATAGATTGTAGATAGAGGTAGGCAGGTAGGTGGTAAATATGCGTACGATACCATACTACGCATATCTCATCGATAATAGGTATGTATATGCGTGTATATACCATATATCATCGCCTTGGTGAGAGGTTCAAATTATGAGGATTGCCCAATTGGCGCAGGAGCTTTTAGCATTATTGTCATTATGACGCGATGAACCCGCGCAGATCTCACTACAAAAAAATCAATGAGGCTGTTCTGATATAGGTAATACATAGGCAGAACACATGTAGGCTAGGTAGGTACCTACTTATAAGGTGCAGGTGTCTCTGTAAAATGCATGCAGGACGTGATTATAAGGGGAAAAAAAGGAAATAAAGTCTAAAACAAGGTGTTCAGTTTTTGTTGCAACTAGCGGTAACTGGCCCCAGAGTTTACTGTATTGTGCAGCACTAGAGCGCTAGAGTGAGACTGTAAACCCTACAGAGAAAGTGAAAGAGAAAGAGAAAGAGAGATGCACGCTAATGTCGAGGTGAATTGAAACCCTCCCCCGAGGCTGTTTGACTTGAAATGTAGTGTTGTTCTCTTACATGTAGGTTATTGTTGTTTGTGAGACGATTGGCAGTTATATATAGTACCTAGGATAGGTATATATATCGTGCGATAGGCTTGTGTTCATTAAAAGGGGCTAAAAAGGGAACAAAGACGAAAAAAGGGGGTGGTGGGGGGTAAAGCTCTCACTAGGTGACAGGGCAAACGAATCCATTGAATTATTCACCCAACATGGTTGATATTCCAATCAGGAAACTCAATCGCGGATGGGTGCCGATATAGATGAAATGTTACGATGAGGCGATCCAACGGTTTGGATATGCGATGTTCGTGTAGATGGTAGATGGTTGATTTCAAAGCTGGATGCGACTAGCTTTCCAAATCAGGCATATTTACGGAAGTATACAGGACTTTGTAGGCAAATAGCTGTTTTTTGTTATTAGGCACATACCTCAGGTAAATTTAAAATGGAATAACTGTTTTAAAACAAACTTAAGCCTTATTTTTAAAATATCCGGCAAATTACAAGCAATTTAGATTAATAAAACTTTACTAATTTAATATCTAGAAAATCGTCGCTTCGTAATAATTTTAATTTTATATATTAATTTATTTAATTATTTTTTTATTTTAATTATATCTTTAATAACTTTTACGGAAAATTACTTACTTTATTTAAAAAAAAAAAAAATAAGTTTAAACCATTTAAACGTTTAATTTAATTAAAAAACAGCTATTAGCTAGTTTAAGTAAAACTTTTCTTTTATATTAAGTAATAATTATATAATAATTATATAATGATAAATTCTTTTTATATTAAATATAAATTATATAATATATACGCGATAATAAATTCCTTTAGTATATATTACGTAATAATCACATAACGATAAAAATATTAATATTATAAACTAATTAAACTTATTAATAAAAAGTATTAGCCGATATAAGAAAATAAACGTAGTAAATAAATTACTTAATTATATTTATTTTTAAATTACGTTTATTAAGCTTAAATTAACTTATTTAAAACTTATAAATATTAAAATTAAAATCGGCTTAATTAAATGGGGAAAAATTATTAAATTAAAAGGATTTATCGAAATATTAAAAGTTAATTAACTTGTCTTAAAATAAATATATCAGTTATTAATTAAATAAATTAAATTAAATAAATAAATTAAATAAATTAAATAAATTAAATAAATTAGATAAATTAAGTTATATGGCTAATATATAAGTATTAAAAAGCTATTAAAAATTAAAAAATATTAAAAAGATAAAGAAAAAAATTAAAATAGCTTAAGGATTAAAAGCTTTTTTATGGACCGGTTTAAAATATGCTTTATCGATATATACCTTTAACGATTACGATTAAATTTAAAACAAATAATAAGCATTAATAAGCCTATTAAAATTAAAACTATCTTATTAACTTAAATTTAAAACTATTAAGCCGTTAGTAAAAAGTGAAACATTTGGTGTAAATTTTTAAAGAAATTAATTAAATATATCGATTTTTAACCCTTAAATTTAATAAACCACTTTTTACACCATTTTTAACATTACTATATAAATGAAATATTTGATTTAAACGGTAATATTAAAAATAATTAATAAGATAAATTATAAAATAAATTAAATAGATTAAATAAATTAAATAATTTAAATAATTTGGTTAAATTAAATAGTTTAAATGGTTTAAATGGAAAAAAATTTAAAAAAAAAAAATTAAAATAAAAAAATTAAAAAAAATAGATTAAATTAAAAAGATAAATTAGATTAATCAGCTTTAATTATTAATAATGGAATATAAAGTAATTAAATTAAGGCTGTGAAGGCTTAGCTTATCTTATCAATTATTATGCGAAATAAAGTCTAAGCTTTATTTTTTAGCTATAATAGCCTTGCGATATACTTTATTACATTAAAAAAACTAAAAATTAATCCTTTACTTTTTCTTTTTTTCGTTTCTTACACCCGGCGTTACCGTACTAATTTTAGCGCATTCGCCTACAAAGCCCTATATGCCTCCTTACATATTGCCCTCCCCGTTTGACAGAGTCCTGGGTCACACCTATTCAACCAATATTTTATATTTAACAATATATTTTCACATATTATCACGTCTTCTTAGGTATACATGGATCTGAATATCTATATCAAATCATCAACGTGATCGACTTCTCCCTTTAAACAAAGCTGTTAGATAACGTGACACCATTCTTAACCGCATCGCACTTCCTAATCGCGTCGAGTCCTCCAGGTCTTTCCAGACGTTGCGGGTTTACTTTGCCGTCGCGGGAATCTTATTGTCACGTCGAGACAGAGGTAACGAAGCATGAGCAGTGCACGGATGGAAAGCTTCTTTGTCAGCCATCAATGTCGCAATTTTAGCTATTTCTTATTTTCTTTTTGTTCTTGATAAGCCATGTTATGTTGTATGTAGGTACTGAACTCACACAGACATCGGGCCCCAAAAAGCTACGGTAGCTCGAGCCCAGTAAACAAGAACATTGAGTTGAGCGTTGCAATTTATAATGCGAAGGCAGAATGACTAACTGCATGTGCTCGTCACGTTGGAAAACCTTGGTGTCCTCACTCTTACGTACCTCTGCAACCTGGAGCTCTTGAAGTTCAACTTTGCTGATACATAATGGATCTCTCTGACTTGAGTCTATTTCATGACCACGCTGCCACACTACCTACATACATATATGTTTAGGAATATGAAGATTGAAGAAGATAAATGAGAAACAGGCGTTAATAAAGTTTAAGATTTCTCGAATCGCCGCTAATATTGATGGACTTTGCTTAACATTTAAAGGGCTGATGCATGAGAATGGCGCAAATTGGGACTCGCCGTTGGTTACATGGTTATGTATCTTGCTTTGCTTACTTCATGTACGCGTCCATCTTATCAACCAGCCCGGAGTTAAGAGTAAGTTGTGGTCCAGATGTAAGTGGCACGTTTCGTAGTAGTGAGGAACATTGAAGCCGTCGTTTCTACATGGTATCAACTTGATGATAAAAGACCAGCCAGGTATGATTATGTATGTGTATGTCGGTGCTGTTCTCATATTCACCTATTCATATTCACCTACATATGTAACTATTTACTACTAAGTAGTAGTTACATATTAGAGATTTATGTAGGGAAAAAGAAAAGAAAAGAATAACTAACTACATCCAATAGGTACCTACCTAGGCAACTTAGGCAACTAACAGGGCTATCCAGTGTACCCAGCCAGGTTATCACTAGCGCCACTTTATAGGGTAAGGTTCAATCAATTGGGTGTTTTCGGCCCTGGACGCGCAGATCTTTGCTGCAAGTCTCGGTACTAAGAACTATCAACCCTGCACCACGAGTTTGATCTTACATCTCCATATGGCCACTTACCACCTACACTTACCACTTACCACTTACCACCATGTATCAATCAGCATTCATTCTCTCACTTTCTACTTGTCTACCAGGTACTTTCAATCTTGTCTCTTCAATGTTGTCTCTCTCAAAGTTAGTACTATGTAGGCCTACATCTTACATGGTACTTTTTACTCACTTACACACCACAACTTGTACTGTCGACACAGCCATCAACTGCTGCCATCGCATTATACGAATCAAATAAACCTACTATACAGCTTATGATTTCTCTTCAACTTGCTTACTTACACACCGATTACATCAACCTTTGGATGACAGCCATAGAAGCCCTAGGAAATAGGATAAGCCCCCCCTCTGACGCCATTGCGACTTCATCCCACTGTTCCTACTCCTGTTCCTCTTCCTTCTCCTACATACCATCTAAGTCACCTCCAAATTTAAACCCAAATACGCGTCTACCATGCGTTGAAATATACCGCGACGAGGAAGCAGAACGAGAAGAAACATAAAAGAAGAAGAGAGAAGCTGACCTTGATGTCCTTCTTATTACATTAGATTCTCTGATCGAGAATTCACGCTATGCCCACGGATACTTCTTCGCCACTCTGGTCAGATAATTATACTGTCTATCTACGGTATCTACCTACATATGTATACCCAGGTAAACACATAAACACACATAAACATACATCCTAATCACTGATGTACGAATCGGTCGAAGCTTTGGCTAGTGCCGCAGGACATGGACTATTTCGTATCCGACTTAGTTTCTGGTTGTTTCCGACTCCCTGGGTTGTTGTTGACGGGGATTGGTGATGGTCTAATGAGTCTATGCAAACTCAGAGACTCGCATTAGCTCAGCGAAGGCCAGGCCAGACTCAGGCCCCCCTTAGGCACCACCCCCCTTTTCGCTTTGCCTGCGCGTTAGACGACACTTCAAGATTTCATTCTGTCGCTTCCTAAACGATGTCTGTGGTTCTCTGGCTTCTCTTGTGTTTCTCCTCAAGCACATTATCGTTATATTGCCCCGCCATCTAAGGAACAAGGGGGAGCCTAGTTCATCGTGCCGTACCTGGACAAGTATTTGATGGCGGCTGAAAATGTCTAGGCTAGGCCGGGCATTTTGCTGTGTTCCACCGTTCACCACCGTTCCACGGCCCCCCATGTCTGAGAAGATACTTCCCTAGTTACGTGCAGTCCTATTCCCGAGTGTCAGGGACTGTGCTTGAAGGATGAGTTGCACTGCCTAATACCCACGAGCGGTACTTACCTACTTACATATGGATAAGCCGTTGTACCCATTCCTTCTTACATAGTACTTCATATGTTCCGACATGAATGTCATTCTCTTTCATATTTAGTATGCCGTAATCCGGAGAAAATCTGGTTCATGCACATTCGGCCGGTTCTTGCTTTCTTGTATACTTGTATTTTGCTTGCTTGACTGCTTACCATGCATCCTACCTCGTTTCGTTAGAATTCAGCTGTTCCCTCTAACATAACCGATCAAGCTCCCTCTTCATACAGTACTTCATACAATACTCTCTTGCCTCAACGACTTCAACACCAACCACCTAACCCCCACCCTCTCGGCTCATATTCTTGACTTGATATAGACATTTTTTTTATTGTTTCTCATATTTTCCCTCGGCGACGACCTAGTTTCTTTCGGTGGGATATTCCCCGAGCATACGAGAGAAACCAACCCACGGAGAGAATCTAATATAGCTTGATATGAGCAATATCGTAGCAAGACATCACACCTAATAATCTCTCTGAACGGGGCTTTTTTCACGATGGTGTTTTGCGCATACTGCGGGAAGAGTTTTACGCGCAAGGAACATCTAGAGAGACACATACCTAGCCGTGAGTGATGCTTGTGTACTAGCTCTTGCCAGCTCGGGGATGCTGACACGGGAATGTAATAGATACCAATGTAAAACCACATAGATGTAGTGCATGCCAACTATCCTTCGCTCGAAGGTTCGCTCCTCGCCGTCTCGTCGACGTATTCGACCCTCCTATATACTCATTGATTCATTTACAGGGACTTATTACAAAGGCATCACTCGACGTACCATGAAGCACGAGATCCCATGGAGCCGCTTCCTGGTGGGGTGCCTACGGTGGCAGGACGGACGCCCATCGCATGCCTGAACTGTGCCCAAGCTAAGACAGGCTGCGATAAGAGAGTACCCTGTGCACGATGCGCAGACAAGAACCTCGAATGCCAGGCGAGGTTTGCGCGACGGTCCTCCAAGGCAGCGCTTAGAGCTGCACAGGCAACTGCTGCGATGAGCAGCAATAGCCCAAGTCAAGTTTCATTACCACCTCAGACATCACCAACAACGCCAGCAACGACAGTTAACCCGTCTTTTATGGACGTAGATCCAGGGCCCGCTAAACCAGATCCACCTATTAAATCTTCTATGTCTTCACCTGACAACAACAGCAATATCATGACAATTGATCCGCGGATACAGCAGGATAATTCTCCCAAGAAGAACTCACCGGCGAATTCTCAGCTGAGCTCGGATGACTTCCCTTCTCCACACCCGAGGGTAGAAGCACTCGACGAGTTTCTTCACTTGGGTAACGACTTCATACCGCAAGAGCCTAATTACCAGGATATGTTAGTCTGGTCTGAGTATCCGTTAGAGCTGGATATGTACGCGAATAACATGTCTCTGGCCCAAGCCGATGTTCCCATGCCTACTTTTGGGGAGCTCAGTGACCTCTCTAGCTCAGAGCATATGAGTTCATCTAGGGGATCTATTCACACGAGGAGTACTAGTATAATGTCTACTGGGGAATTTGATCCAGGGGCTAAGCCGGTCGACATGACGTTGCATACTCCAATTGACACCATGATACCAGAGTTCGAAGTGGTCATCGCCGCCGAAGCAGCATGGCCCTTAGCACGGTGCAATCCCCCCGTGTTCTCGGGCACGTGTCCTAGGACAGCCATCGTGCATTTAGAATGCTTGGAGCAAAAGTCAAGACACGAAGGTACTTGGACTGCCCTAGAACAATATCTAGAAAAGGTCGACTGGGACGCCGCCGATCTAGCTTCCGTCATCCCCATGACATCCCGGACTCGCGATAAGATGCTCGCCATTACCCAGACCTTCCTCCACAAAGCTCTCGAGATTCACCGGGGAGGAGTACATAGCCAGAACAAATCTTTCTCCAGTCCCCGACTCCTAAGTTTCTTGGTTCTACCCCCTTCTAAGATACTCGAGTATTTCTTACGAAGCTACGTGAGGAATCTTTCCTTCTTCTACTCCTTGGTCTCCACCGGCTGCGTCGACCCCAACGAGATGCTCCAGAACAATCAAGCGGCAGCCCTCTTGGTGCTACTCATGATTGCGCAGGGCGCCTCGGCAGTTCCCACAGTAGAAGCACGAGCCCTCTCAGCTGGTCTGATTGAGACGTGTCGCATCTCACTTTTCGACATCATCGAGAAGGACATTGAGATGTGTGCGGACCCTACCGCACTTCGCTGTGCGCTATTATTCACGCTACTGGGGGCTTGGAGCGGTGACAAATGGCTTATGGACATTGCCATGGGACAGCGTGGGATGTACCTTTCGGTGAGATAGAACCCCAAACCAATCACAGCTTAACCCAGCCCAACCCCCTTTTTCCCCGTCATCGGAACGTTTCTTTTTTCCTAACTAGGCGTATCATGCAGATGCTCAAGCATGCGGGTATGTTCGAATCTCAACCCTCCATGATCCCGTCTTTCAATAGATCCACCAATTCCGAACTGCAATGGCGTTCGTGGCTGCACAGGGAATCTCAAAATAGGTATGTCATAATAAGCGCCACTGCATTTTCCTCCATCCAACCAATAGTCGTACCTACATTACAAAGTGTGCTATGCTAATCTCTGTGTAATCCTTTTCTTTCTCTGTAACACAGACTGGCCTACAATTTTGTTATGGTCGATCAGGAACTAAGCTTATTCCATGACACCGCTCCTATGCTTTCTACCAACGAGCTCTGCGCTCCTTTGCCGGGACCCGAGCTACTCTGGATGTCGGCTAACGCTGACCAATGGCTGGCCGCCGTGCAGTCCATCTACGGTTGTACCGCCAACGTCAATCCTCAGCTCCTCAACACCCCTTCCCTGACCCCCTCCCTATACGACCTATTCCAAGACTTCCTCCATGACAACCTGTCGAGGCGACAGGGTAGCTTAATGCCTCACCAGCTGCGGCTCTTGCTTCACCCCCTGCAATCCTGGCTCTGCCACGTGCGACAGATGCTCTCCTGCTTTTCCGAAGTAATGATGAGCAGCGCCCGTCGTCCCAACCACAACCACAGCAACCACCCTCATAACCACAACCACAGCCACAGCCACAGCAACCACAACCCCGTCACCAAAGAATCCTTCATCTCACACCTCAACGAAGTGCAGGGGCTCCTGCAAAAGTGGTACGAGCTCACCATCGCGTACTACAAAGCGCACCCCTCGTGCGCCATCACCCGCACTAACCTCGTCCTCTACCACCTCATCTCCCTCAACGCCGTCACCAACTTCCCCGAAATCGAGCGCCTCGCCCGCCGCGAAGGCTTCGACGGCTCCTACTGGGAGCTCTCCCTCTCCCTCCGCCATAAGCGCTGCGTCTACCAGCGCGAGGAGGCCATCTTCCACTGCGGCCAGGTGTACCGCCTCCTGCGCTCCATGCCCGCCGACCGCCGACCCGGCTGGTGGAGCGCCGCGGTGTACCGCGCTACGCTTATTCTGTGGACCGACTCGATGTCCCGTCTTGACCCATCGTTCCAGAAGCGCGATGATCTCGGCCCGAATGTACATGTCGACCAGGTCACCCCCGAGGACCCCGCCGTCATCGCATACCTCTGGAACGGAGAGGGCGTCCCCGTGCTCACGGGCACGGATGGGAGTACGGTGGGGCTGGGACTGCCCGGGGACGTGCTCGAGTACGCGGTCAAGACGCTCGAGACGGGCGTTAGCTCAAGGTTGAGCGATGGGATTCGGCGGAAGCTGGTCGCGCTTAATGATAATTGGCGGCCGGATGGGTTGGCGAATGCTGCGGCTGCGGGGGGCGTGCCGGGTGTGGTGCCGGGGAGTGCGGCGAATCTATGCTAGGTGTGGGGAGGTGTATGATTTTACATGAGTGCCTAGGTACTTAGGTGCTTGCGTTTGTTTTCTTCTTCTTCTTCGAGTATCCCTTATCGGCATAAAGTGCCCTTTACACACACACACACACACACACACATACTTACAGCATAGAAATCATCATCATCATTTATCATTATTGGCTTTTCTTTTTTTTCTGGCTTTGGGGGGCTTTGGGGAAGAGAAGGGGGGAATAGGGGCAGAGTGGTTTATTTCTTGGTACTTATTTATTCTCGCAACACAAAAGGCCAAGGTCGCTGTATACATAAACAACACATATGTAATACTGGGTATCTACTATCTAGGTACTCATCATGTACCTACTCCATCTCAAGTGAGCTAGTTGGCTGTACCTACTAGGGGGTATGTACCTAGGTAGGTGGTGATAGGGGAGAGGTACTGGACAGTGAGAAGGGGGCTCGGAACTTGTGTAGCAAAAGATGTTATGCGAGACGGTGCTTATACATATACCCGCGGGGATTAGGATAGGGGATGGGGGGCCAGGGGTTAGATGGTATCGGGATTGGCAATGGGGGATGGGAAGGTTCGCTTCTTCTTCTTCAACTCATCGTAGTGGTAGGTAGCAACATCAGGGGAGGGGAAACTCATCATTAGGCGTTTTTTTCGGCAGGTTTAAACTCTTACATGAAATGAACCTGGGTTGGGTTGGGTGGGAATATACAAAAAAATCAAAAATCATCAAATGTCAAGCCACATTTTTTTACCTAAGGAGAATGGGAAGAGTGGGAAGGGGGGCGTGTGTCGGGGTATTCGGGGAACGTTCTATACCTATCTACCTAGGTTAGGTAGGTTAGAGACTGATACATAAGTCTTGTCCCGACCTATGCTACATAGGAGGAACGGATTAATTTTTCCAGTGTATGTATTTATTTTACTCGCTCATTTTTCTTTTTGGACTTCCATGTTTTTCAATAGACCTTTTCGTTGTTGCTGTTGTATCCCCCCCCAAGTCTTCTATGTGTGTAGGTACCTACTGTCTTCTCCTTACAAGAAAGTGTAGAAAGATATGTTATGTACATGTAGGTAGAGATGACAATGGGCGGCGGTGGCTTGGCCTTAGCCTCGTGAAGTATTGAAGATTGAAGCGTGTTTACACTACATACCTAGGTACAGGAGGGGCATGTAGCTACTAGCTAGGCAGGCAGGCAGGCAGGCGTACAACTCACTCACAAGCCACGACTTCGGGTTTGCTTGCCGTGGGATCTTTACTGTGTACCCATAACATGTATGTATGTGTAGGTAGGTAGATACTAGATAGATAGGTACATGTAAGTGCCCAGAAAGGTGTGTCTATTGGATGCAACTTATATTGAGTTGAGTGGTCTACAACGAGGTCGAGGGCGCGATGGGCCGGGCCTTTCTTAATAACTAGTATTTTAGTTCATCTACCTACATTGAAGATAATCTGTGATATAAACCAAGTACTAGGTAATAGTTATCACTCGCATTCCCGAGTCCCGCGCCGGTTCGGTTTCTCCGTTAAATCCCCGCGTGTCTGTCGAAATCCCCGAGCTTACCTTTTGCTTGGCCTCCCCGGTTTCTTCGTATCTGCATGGGGGGAAGGGGGGGGGGTTAAAGATGTGCATATTTACCTGGTACATACCCACCTACGTAAAATAGACGTCAGACCTATATGTACATAGAAATAGTCTCTATGTATGTAGGCAGCTTTAATGCCATCGCTTACTTACATAAACCTGGCTACCTAGGTCAAGAGGTTAGGTCTCGAGAAAAAGGCAGTAGGTAGAGATACTGTATATAGAGTTAAAAACAGAGGACGCCCACAAACGCCACATTCTACAGCACCTGCCTGTGTGTCTCTCCACATGACCTCTTCGTACATACAGTACATGGCGTTTGCATATGTATACTTCAACAACATTGAATGCTGTAGGCTAGATGATATTGTGGCGGTGTATAACTACATGCATATCTAGTACCTACCTGGGTATGCATGCCTCCTTAACTTAAGGTTAGGTGCCTATCCGTTTCTCGTATGTATGTAGGTACATAGGCAGGCAGGCAGGCAGGCAGATAGGCAGGCAGATAGGTACCTACATAGGTAGGTCAAGTGGAACGGGTCACTCATCTAGGTACATACCTACATACATACATACCTAATCTATATATCCACGTACAGCGCATAGCATACGTACGTAGGTGAGTATGTGTATATATTGGACGGGCAGGCTAGACCTCGGAATCTTTACCGGGTGGTGTCTTAGCTGGGAACTTTGACAGGACAGCCTCCCGCCGTCGCCCGATGTCCATCTGCCTTGGAAAGTCGACTAGTGGTACTGCCGGCTGCCGCCAATGTAACAGACAACTTCTAATAAGCCTACCTAGGTATCTACCTACCAGCCTACCATAGGGCCTAGGTTAGATATGTATCGTACCTAGTTATGTTTCCTCCCCGGTTCAACCTCAACGTCGTGTTTTTCTGTCGCGAGGGAATACCTAGATTGGGCGCGTGCCTCGCATGCGCATCGCGAATATGTATGTCAGATTCCAACAACTGCACTTCCGCGCATCAGAGTGTAACGTGCAAACGAGTAAACGTTCTTCTTCTTCTTCTATCCGCCATCGGCTTATGCAGATATGTACGTCAGTAGGTAGGGGATGCAAAAACAACGCCTCGTTTGCGCGTTCTCTGTTCTGCTAAGGGGGAGGGGGGTTGGTTGGGTCTAGGTAGGGTGATGGATGTGCAATCTGTTTTCTCGGTTGACAGGTCAGTTTCTGGGGTTGTACCTGTCAACCACACACACACACACACACACATCTTAGATCTCTAAGGTTATATACATTAGGTGGTCAAGAGATTCCTATCTCCTATCCGTGTAGCACTTGGCACAGTGTTGGTTGTTGCTTATGTAGAGGCAGCCTACAAGTCGCTAGGCGGTCCACAGGCTCTATAGATTACATGTATGTCTTCACGACTCTGTATAGATATATTCGTAGCTCCCTAAGGTACCTATGTATGTAGAGAATGTAGATGCACCCCATAGCTATGGATCTGTACGACCTGTACTCGAGGCGAGGCAAAAGCTGACATCGGCACCCCACCCCCTTCGTCTGATGTGTGCCGTACAATCATAGGGTCTTTTGACGTTTCGAGGGATCTGCTAGTACACACATGTAGTTGAGCACTTTGAGGGGGTGGTGTAACGCAACTCATCATGTCTATGTGCGCGTAGGGAGATGTTGAAGATGCACTTTTGATTAACTAGGTATGTACCTACGCAATGAATGATCCCATGTAATGTTTAATTTTTGTACTATTACCTATGCTTCGATGTTGATAACACCTACATACATACATACGTGATAACTTAGGAAGCTTAATGCAAGCATAAAGTATACAGTCCAAGGTAGCATACATAACACTCCTCATGCAAATCCTGCTCGCGTAATTAGGTATACCTAGTAGGAGCCCTGAAAGAGTTATATTCGGATCCGACCTAGTGGGTATTGGCGACTAACCGAATGCCTGGCCATGAGCTTATGTAAATCTAGACCTCCTATTTGGTACGTACATATAGGAGCGTCAAAGACATGATGTCTGCATCCTCGAATTCGTTTGATATGCCTTGATATTAACTACCTGGGTATCACGTCTCAGATGCCTACAGGTTCGTAGGCGGGTTTCACCACGTTTGAGTCCTTTTCTATAATTTGTCCTCCTACGCTACGCGCTTTGCTAAAATCTGCTGCTGTCTAGATGACAAGCAAGGCATGGTTACTCGGTCCCTCTCACCCTGACAAAGCCCTATAGTCTGACCAAAGGATTGTCGCTCGTTGCACGAAGAGAGGTGGTTTTACGAGCCACGCGATGCGTTGGCAAGAGACTTGAGGCAAGTTTGGGATATACGATGGGCAACTGTATCACGAGCAACATCCTGCTTGTTCTACACCACTTTAGTTTCGCCTCGCGACTTCGCGCTGATGATGATGGCCAAGGCCCTGCCTATTCAACGTCAAACGATCTAGAGGTTGGAGAAACTTGCCACGCTTACCCAATGGCATGCGGAGACTGGGGATGGGCTTCGCAGAATTGTACCGACGAGATCGTGTAACGGCCAAGCTAACAGTGTCGGCTAGGGAAGGCTGTTGTCGATTAGTACTACCTGCTAATGGCCCTCCAGGGTAGTTGGGCTGAGAATTGCTCGCAGATAACGACAGCGAGGTTTCAGGGAGCGAACGATGATTAAAGAGTGAGTTGCGGCAGAGAGGCATTATATGAACTACCTACCTACTAAGTAGGCATGGACAAATTTCTCCCGTAGGTGCGATTTGTCCCCCCCTTCTCCCAATCCCCGATAAAGGGGCTACCTATCCGAACTACCAAACCCAATTCACACTTTTCATCCTCTAGTAGGTATGTCCCCATTGCCTAGCGTACGGACAAAGAAGGGCCAACTTTCTTTTTTCCATTTTTCCCCGGACTGTAATCAACTCGTTCTTCTCGTCGAGCGTCTCAGATTTTGCTCTTAGCCGGAAGTCCGACGAAGTGTAACAGCGCACAAGCTTCTATCTAGATATAGTCTGAAGGGGCCGGGGAGGGGGGGGCCAGTTTCGTGCCCGATGAAAGGGAAAAAAATGCCAGATAAGTCAAATAAAACCTTAGTGGCGAATGAGATCGTCGTTGTGTGGCATTCTATATTCGCTGGCCCTGGTGGATTACCGGGGCTTGAAATGCCTCTCTTGTGAGAGTTCGCTGTTGGATGGGGCCGTAGTTCCGCGTGGGGTGAACTTGTGGGTAACCAAGCTGCCATGCGATTCTTCCAGTAGGTACCTAACTATCGAATCCATCACCCGACGAAGTTTTAAGGCTGACTGACAAGCCATCGCCTTTCGGTTAGTCGATTGGATAGGAGTCTTCCCTCTATATCCATGATTGTGACTACCTAGAATAGGGGCCCCTGAGGCTTTCCCAATTGAGGCCAGTATCTTCAACACGCCTGCCACCTTTCGCTCTTCGCTATGTCAAATAACCTCCGTCCGCCATGACTTGTCCGTCGTGTTACGGATGCGGGAACCCACATACTTGGCGTGTCACTTCCGTCGCATCGGAACTCCTTGGGGTGAAGCCAGCTATAAGAAAAAGGCATTGGGTGAGCTTTAAAGTACAATGTAAGAGCATATCATTGATCTCCTCGGTCCCCTTTTCACCAAACTTCGCTATTATTTTCCATTGATTTGGTTGACCTTCGCTTGACTAGGACATACTATCCCCTTCATCCTTTCCTTGTTAATTTGTGTGCCTCATCGTTTCGCGCGCGAGAGAGAGACAAAAGAGACAAGAAAAAGAATTGGTACAGCCGAATTGCATTTCCCCCCCCTCAGTTTCCTTCCCCTTCCCCATAAAATGGCGCCGTCTGCTATCGGCAGTGCCACCACACACTCGGCCGGCGAGCCAATGAGCAACCAGGTCAAGCCCCTTGCGGGCAAAGTCGCGCTGATCACGGGATCCGGGCGCGGCATCGGGCGGGGGATAGCGCTGGAGCTCGGCCAGCGCGGCGCCTCCATCGTCGTGAACTACGGGCGCAGCTCCAGCTCCGCGGACGCCGTCGTCGGCGAGCTGGCCAAGCTGGGGTCCAAGTCCATCGCCTTGCAGGCCGACATCTCGCGGCCGGCCGAGGTGGCGGCGCTGTTCGAGAAGGCGGTCGCGCACTTCGGCCACCTCGACTACGTCGTCTCGAACTCGGGGATGGAGGTCTGGTGCGAGGAGACGGAGGTCACGCCGGAGCTGTTCGACCAGGTCTTCGGCCTCAACTGCCGCGGGCAGTTCTTCGTCGCCCAGCAGGCGCTCAAGCACTGCCGCGAGGGCGGCCGCATCGTCCTCACCTCGTCCATCGCCGCCCAGATGGCCGGCGTACCCAACCACGCGCTGTACGCCGGCTCCAAGGCCGCGGTTGAGGGCTTCACCCGCGCGTTCGCTGTCGACTGCGGCCGCAAGAGGATCACCTGCAACGCCATTGCGCCCGGCGGCATCCAGACCGACATGTTCGATGAGAACAGCTGGCACTACGTCCCCGGCGGCTACAAGGGCATGCCCATCGATACCATCAAGGAGGGCCTCAAGAGAATGTGCCCGCTCGACAGAGTCGGTGTCCCGGCTGATGTCGGTAAGGTGGTCTACTGTTTGATCAGTGAGGAGGGCGAATGGATTAACGGTATGCTGTCCTCTCCAAGGGCCTCTAATAAGTGATGTGTATACTGACCATTACCCCACGTAGGCCAAGTTATCCGTGCTTCGGGCGGCGGTGTCTGAACTACACTCCACATTACCCCGTCACTATTGCCATACTGTTTGCATAGTAGCCTTTGGGCCAAACAGTGTCTCTATATATAAAACAAGTGCACTTGCGTGCTAGATTATGGTTATTAGATATTCGTTTTTGGGTGGATGAATAGGTAGGTAGCTACGACACGAGTTCCAAGCAACGCACATAGTGAATACAACGATAGAATCAAAGCTGTCCAAATGAAAGTTCATCGAGGTTTGTATAGAAACTCATTGGTGCCTAGCGACCCTTGGGAGTTAATTGAAATTCACAAGTTCGGCAAAGTGAGGAATCCAGTGTACCTAAAGTGAATAGGGGTAAACTAACTACCTAAACCAGCCAAATTTCTACCAGCCCAGCCCAGCCCTCCCCTCCTCTTCCTCCAAGCCACGCGAAACTCATTGCCTAACTCACAAGCACCAAGATAGAATCTACCTAGGTTAGTACTTACTTACCTTTGGACCAGATTATTCCTTTCCTTTCCTTCATTCCTTCTGAGGTCTATAAGATAGTAAATTTATTGTACACACCTACTAGCTATCCAACCGAGGTAGATAATAGGGGGTCCCTCTTCGAATTTTCCAACTTACCCAAAGTCTCTCCAAGCTACAACACCAACGTCGCACGTCTCCAAGTCAAAAAGCAATTCATTCCTACGATGTAAACCTTTAGGTTGGGTAGGTTGCCTTAGGTGGTAGGTAGGTACAAACCCAAAACATCACGAACCCAGCCCCCTTTAAACCACTCAACGCTTATCGGCGACATCATTACCCAAAGCACTCGAAAACATATCCATTTTGCGGTGCATGAAGTACTGACCTAATCTAGATAGGTACCCAAGAAGACACTTTCTGCCCGGTTTAATCGCATCGCGAAGCTCGTCCCAGCGCGACCCCCCCGTTTCTCTCTCTCTCTCTCTCGCTCACTTTATCTCTCCCCTTCTTACATACCTACTCTATGAGCATGCGTGTCTATGTGTGTGTATGCGCTTGCTTGCTCGCTTGTGTGATGTAATGTAAGCGCACCCACAGACAACACTTCCCTATCTATCCCCTTACCTACCTACCTAACTACCTAACCTAACCTACCTAAGCAGGTAAGCCAAACGTGACAGCTTCGTGTAACCGAGGAGTCTTTTTATGCATCGCGAAAAGATGACCGATGACTTGAGAGTTGACTCAGATAATGTCTACACTACCGCTAGATAGCTGCCTGTCTCCCGAGCAGCTACTTACCTAGGGTGGGTAAGGTAGGTCAGTGCTTGCCAGCTCGCTTACCGGCAGTAGTGAATGTCTCATTTATACTTATTTGGGTAACCCAGTAGCAGTTTTAGGTAATGGTGATACACGACGGTTTTGTTCTTCTTTTTTTCCTTGACTGCCTAGGTATTCTAAGCCGATGTGACATAGATACCTAGGTAACTGTAGGATATGCCGTTGACCCTTTTCCATAACGGTCGGTTGGGGGTATGTAGATATATGCCTACTAGGTATCTACCTACCTCTATATCTCCGCGTACCCAGGTAGTTACCCAAAATTACTCAACCCCTAACTATCACAGAGCAAAATCTATGTGTGGTACACAAGAACCCCTTATACCCCTAGTTACACAGGCCAATAATATTTGGTAAGAAAAGTGTATGCAGTAAAATTCGGTAAGGATGCAAAATTGCAAGGTAGATGACATACATACCTACCTACATATCTACACATTCAGGTATAATTTGCACTGCCAAGACTATCTTAGACCATGCAAAGAGACGAAGGGGGAGAGGTAGAAAGAGAGCGCCAATTGATCTTGGTATATGCGCGGATATATACGAAAGAGTGCCAGTGACCCTATGCAAGTAAGCTGCATCTCCGTGGTGAATCCGTGGAGGTGGAGGTTATACAAAAAGAGTCTTGGAACTCAAAGCATGGGGGTACAGTAGGATCGGGAGGGGCACGGGAGGATCCATTCGTAGCAATGATATTGTAGAATGTCAGACTGCCATCATATTGTAAAGGAAAGGGAAAATGAAGGAAGGAAGGAATGTTTCGATCATCTAGATCTTTCTTCTGTGAGTATCTTACTTGGATATTTCAATATTGGCCGGTCTAACTATCTTATCTGTGTAGGTGTCGATTGAGTACCTAGGTAGATAGGTATCTAGTAGGTAAGAATTGCTTTGCAAAACAATCTCGTCTTCATTCCGTTACTTCAGCTAGATTTTGTCCGGACCCCGGGTCCGAGATTGTGAGGTGTATGAGGATGCTGAGAGAATAAATTTGAACTCCCAACCCCATCTATCTCCGGGATGAAAAAGACATTGCCCCTTTTATCTTACGGGAGATGTTTGATGTAGTGAGATACGCCATGTTAGATTCCGGGAGTTTAATATACATCCCGTCATTGCATGTGTACGCGTTCAGTGAGAATGACTGGTGTTAATAGAGAGAATTTGGTTATCATGTGTGGTCTAGGATCTCGGCCCGCCGGTATTCATTCAGCCCTGCCACATGGCGTCAGCGTCGCAACCAATTTTCAAGGCTCCAATACTTGTCGCTTCATCTGCTCACTTATCCCTGAGCCACTTGTTTGTCAGTCGGAAGTTCCGGAAACATGAGATGAAAATCTACATTAGGTACTTGATCAATCCATTGTCGCAATGAGCAACACCTACTTAGGGTAGGAAGTGGTAGATTGGCTAGAACTCCTCATGTCGTTATTTCCGTAGGGCTCACCGTAGGTTGATAGGAGTATCGATCGTGTGTTTTTCGTTCGAGTCGATACCCGCTAACCTTACGTAGGAAGCATGTGGAACGATAGCTTGATTGCCAGCGACGTTTGATATCTGTTTAAATCAAGAATTGTGAGGTGTTCAGAATAAGCCGAGCGATGATAATCATGTAGAACTTTGCTAGCTTTCGAATTAGTGTCGTTCCTTGTTATACATGTTCGGAAAGTTGTTCAAGCAACTCTCACACATGTCACGAAAACTCAGAGACTTACTCACGATGTACAATGTTATATAGGGGAGATGCCTCTAATCATATGACAACGTATCGGAGAAATTTAGACTGATAAAGTAGAGCCTCAATATCAGAGCAACAAGAAAGCATCGGAATTAGGGAGCTGTCAACTAAGCGAGGTGGCGCAAGGCGTTACCCAACTCGGCGACTTGGGATGTGGCTGATTGGAGAAGTTTAGAAACGTCATCTTTGACTTGAAGGCCCGAATGCCTCCTGCAAGCACTGAACTTTTGATGTGGCATTGACAGCTACAGCTGCATCGTACACAGCTCGAAGCTTTCCTCGAGGAAGCAGGCTGTGTCACATAATACAGCCTTAAAGCAACTATCATGTAGACTGTCAGAACTAGAAAACCAAAATTTCCGGGATTCGTCTAACTGAGGTTTGAATAATGATTTTACTGGATAAAAAGCGCGTAGTGAGAATAATCGCCAGTAGCTCAAGTGACACTAGGCACGATGTGACGGTATGGAATTCATGTAACTGTCAGACTACTGCTGATAGAGCCCGGCAGTGTGGCCAGCCAATGGATGAAGCATCGGCTCACGGGAACGTAGTGGACCTACTCAACTGATATTTTGACGGATACTGATACCGCAGTGAGATTGCGAAAAGATGCGAAAATAAGCCACCGCGTTCCAACGTAAAAGTTGATAGGAGCCCGGTGAGGCGGCCGTCATGTACGTTGCTTCAAGGTGGTATTGCTCCGCCTCAACCTTTAGAGAAGCACCCACGCCTAGCAAGTCAAGGCTGTCTTCCGGTATCTGTTACAAGCTTAGCGGTGAAGAGCGCCTACCCACTAAACTAAGTGTTTGAGTAAGTAGACACGAATCATGCCAAAAGTCCTCGATATTAAAAGCCCAATGTGCGTGAGGTACTGTTAGACGATGATATCTAGGCTGTGTAAAGCCCGACATCGCGTGCGAGGTGCTTCGCTTTCCCTTTCCACGCAGCAAACCCCTGTTACAGTTTTAGCTTCCAGCTTATCTCGCACCAACCTTTGTGCAATCAGTTTAGACAGTTGGTGATGACTGAGATACCAATGTAGTTGAAAAAAAAAAAGACGCTTCTGACGGTCAGTGAAATTCACCACTGTCAAAAGACGTTGAGGGACAACTGCGCCTGGGGAAGTAAGGAAACATGCTTCCGTGTCCAGTGAAGATTCTACAGATCTATGAGATCAGATATTAGAACTTGTGTTTTTGTGTTGCCTAATCTAATGTAAGTGAGGCAACGGAGGAGTAAGGCAGTGGGGATTTGATGATCCTTCACGGCGATCTTCAAGCCTCTAGAAGTTCTGGAGAAAAGTAATACGCCCAGTCATGTATGCTATCATGCGAAGTACCTAACCTTAGGTGTGTAGGCATGTTGTAGTTCGGTATCGGGCTAATGAAATGTCAATCAGCCGACGGAGGTCGAATCATATCGAAGGCCGAAAATGATTTGGAACGACTTCGTAGAAGTTGTTTAACCCTTCTAACATCTCTCAGTTGTGGGGATAACGAAACGTGTGGGTTGCGATGTGGGATGTTTGGGGGATGAGGGGGGATTAGGAGGGTGTGAGAGATGTGAGAGGTGTGAAAGGTGGGGAGGACCAAGTCTACGGTGTTTCGATATTTAACGGTGATAACGGACAAGGGTAGACCCGAGATCTACATATGCACTAAGTGCAGCTCTAGTCCCTAAAATGAGCTGGGCTAACATCAGATAGGTTTAGTTTGAGCAAAACCTTCAGATAAGGTTTTCTAGGGTTGTAACCCGTTGGTAAATCATCTTGGGCTTCAGGGTTGTCTGCTCTTGAAGCATCCATGACCCTTTTTTGGCTAAGTGCATGTGGGTTCAAGGTTCAGGTATGTAACTTTAAATAGCTGGGTACAGTAGTACCTTATGTATGTAGGGCTAACGTACTTCAAATCATAGTAGGTACCGAGACCGAGGTACCTAGTACTGAGTTTGTATAGCGCTGGTACCGATGTAGTACTGCCCCGTATCCCGGGTGACACCCCATGGAGATGGGCAACATACCTACATGTAAGTATGTAAACGTACTTACTATTGAGTCGGGTTAATCAGTCATCATTGATGGTCTCGATTATATAATTCAGTCAGCAACATTATTCTCGGACGGGTTCACGATTCCATGTATTTGAGTACCTATCAAAGTGCATAATCATAGGTAATATTCAGAGTTATGGTTGCAGTCTCGTGTAGGTATGTAACTTCTAGAGCTCGAACATTCTTAACTGTGTACTTAGCCTAGGTATTACGATTGGTCATCAGCAAAGCGTCAGTTCCAGCAATACAATCATTGCATTTCATCCCATACGACTGGGTATCTTTTAATTATTCAGCCTTATGAGCCCCAACACGCAGCAACGTAGTAACGTTGAAACTCCCCGCCTAGAGATATACGTATTGTACAGGGTACCAGCAGGTAACTCTGAATATATCATGTATGAAGTACCTATTAGTTAGTTGTTATATGTTCAAAGTACCTCATGAATGCAACTTCAAGCGTCGACTCCCAACATTGAATGAGGCGTCGCCTATGACTTAGCGTCCATCGATCGTTCCTGGGTTACCCACCTGATATGGTTTAGAACTATGACGGTATTCTCTCCGTGAATGTGATATGTGATAGGGGCAAGGATCTACATAAGCTGAGCTAGCACGACAAAGTGGCTTGGAAGAACTCATCCATAGGAAGGTGAAGGAGAACCTTGGAAGTAATAGGTACTGTGCCCTACGAGTACCTACCTAGTAGTAGTATGTATCAGTGTACTTTACCTTACCTACTCAATTATCTACTTACAAATCTCCAGCGCTCTCTTCATTTGCCATCTAACCTAGACAAATTAAAATAAGATGAAGCACTTCAGCTATACCTGCAGTTCTTCATGCTAGGATGACTTGAGCGCTATTATCTCAAGACGTAAACCAATAGTTATTAGTTCGTGAGATTGGGTTTTCTATGAATTATCTCGCCCGTGGCTGCCCGATATTTGCCCCTAGGTTACATTGCATCGTCTAACATGCCGTACCTGGTATTTATTAGATGCTACTTGCGAAGGTAGCTAAAGTACCTATTTACCGACGTGCTTACCACCTACTAGGTAGGTATGTAGAGCAAGCCATGTAAAATATATACAGCATGCTGCTTATCAATTACCTAGGCAATTGACCCAGGCCTGTAGTTGTTAGTAATATTACGTACCTAAATACCTACGTTTAGGCGACTCTTGAAAGACCTTGTAAGAGGTTCGGAATTTTCTCGATACTATATGTGTAGCCGAGGTTACGTGAGTACCTCTAAGGGAGTATAGTTCCTAATTTAGGAGCTATATTGAAGAACATTGATGTATATCTACTTAGGGTAAATGGTATTCAGTCTGACTATGACTAATATTTGTGTTCTCCCCACGTTTGCCTACCAGACAGTTTCGGCGCTGTCAGATCTTTGTTATCCAAGGCTATTCCCGTGCTGATAATCTGACCTTCGGACTGCCGGGGATTTTCCGTCGAGAACACAGCTCTGTCAGCGTCGTAGAACAGGATGACTAGTGGCAGGTCAGATCGTAGAAGCTTGCGGTCGCTCGACGGGGGCTAGCCCTTTCTCCGCCTCCTTCATAAGCCCATAGCACTCTATGCAGGCAGTGGCACATCGTGGCCAAAAACAACGTGTGTCTAGGTCAAAGAACTGGCCTCGGAGAAGAGCGCGCCAAACCAAGGTATTTGATAATGGCGGTGTAGAAGTACCCAAAGTTATAGCTTGTAAGTGCAAGCTACTTTCTAGCCAACAGATATTCCAAACAAAAAGTACTGTCGTTGTCGTGCAATCATGATGTTGGTACATAGTCACGTCTCTAAAAAGATCAGAATGATTTGATGCTCACCGTCAGAGCAACACACTTCTCAGCCGCCATGACTGACCGTGTCATAACGCCTACTGCCTCATAACACCGATAACCGCCCAAATGCTGAATAATATCCCAAGGTGATGGTTCAACGAAATAAATCAGTTTCCCCCAAGTAATACACATCGCAGACCGAATAGAATATAGACCAGGTGTATTTTGTTCGAATACACCGTGTTTCCAAGAGCTGAAATTCGCTTTCGTTAAAGTGCCGTGACATAGTTAAACTCATTGTTTGACCGGATATATAAGGGTTGAAGATCACAATAAAATGTAATCGATCTCGAAACGTAGGCACGAATTGCTGCGTAGGCCGTCTTGACCTCTTCTGCGTCATGTCATAATGTCGCTCGATAGCATGGCCTGAAGTGTCGTGTTCGTGCGACTCGTGCGACTCGTGATAGGGCTAGAACGTGTATGGCTCTATGAAACAAATGTCATGTCGCCTTTCCTATGGCTGATGACTTCTAGTGTGGAGCCTAGATTTTGTCCAAGGTAGCCGATCATGGCCTTGGTAACCTCTGGGACGTCGGAAAAATCAGTGCAAACCACTTCCCTGAATCTGGCATAAACCTCCTCAAGCTTATGGAGTTCCCTAGCTAGGATCTCAAGCTCTAGCCATCTGCCATCCTCGCCATTGAGATGGTACACCCCGAAGCTAACTCCTAGGTTGTTCCCTAGATTGTTTGGTGCAATCCCCATATTCCCGGCCTCGAAATAACAATGCGATGCATTCTTGTAAAATGATGTGATCTTACCGATCACGGTTGCAAGGAGCATCGTAGCAGTATGTGTGCCGGACCGGCTCATGCATTTCGAACAAGATAGCATGGCGGCGCATCCTTCTACCGCTTTTCGGTTAAGGGATAAAACGAGATCAAAGGGTGGAGAGGCTGGCGAAGAAGCATTATGTAGCGCTTGAAGTGACTGCAAACAAGCTGTAAAACAGGTGCAGCTACCTCCGCCGATAGTCGAGGAAGAGGAACTATGGCGTGGGCCAGCTGGCCTCATTGTGGGCGTAGTACTTGGGCTGGGAAAATAATTCGAAGACATACTTGTTGGGGTTGGGACTTGGCTGTACGGAATCATATCCGGTGCAGTTGGATCGGCCCAAGGCATATGTGCTGACATGGACAGGTCGAACGACTGAGATCGCATCTGAGCACCAGGTATAGGGCCTGTTCCAACGGGAAGATCGCCAAAGGAGGCACATGACATGTCTGTCGGCGGCGTCCAGGGCATTGTGGATGAATACAACTCTGGAGGGGCCGACATTGGGTCCTGCTCGCCGCCCATGGCTCTATCTTCGACCCCGAGCAAAGCCAGACCAGTTGAAATAGAGGAATTCCGGCTGATACTACCATCGACGTTAGGAGGAGTGGTCCATCCGGTTTCAAAACTAAACATGTGCTCCGATGGCGGTTGGTGTGCTGTGGAGTACGCCATATTTTTGTCTTCCATCATATTGTGATGCATCTGCTGCATGTCTTGATGAGCATTCGCTTGAGTATTTCCATTATGTTCGGATTTAGGCTTGCCCGCCCTGCTTGAGGGGGAGTATCGGCACTCGATGCCGCAAGCTAAGCATCGGGAACATATCGGTCGTGCCTTGGAGCACTTGACTTTGGCTAAGAAACATCCATCGCAAGAAGCCCGGAGCCGAGGTTGGCGAGCCTTAGAGGATGATGCCATAATGAAACGAATTTCTATCAACAGCAAGAGCAGGGTGATTTAAACAATACTTTAGCCTTCAGGCAGAATGAGAGGCGAACATGATTTGGGAAGACGGGAAGGGGGGCAGAGAGGGTAATATTATAGAACTGAGATATGTATGACACACTTTACGGGCGGCAGTCTAAAGTTTACGATGATCTGACTTAAAGATCAAAGCAGGAACGGGGTAGAGAAAGCCAGACCGCTACAGTGTTGATGAAGAACAGATGAAGAATATTACGCTCGGTACCAGACGAACGGGAAAAGTCTAAGAACAAAATATAAGTGAGAGGCCTGGTAAGTTGTTTATGAAGGATATGTGTGAGATGTGCAAAGGCGTAAGATAGATGAGAGGGAGTCGGCTTATACTGTACAGGGACCCGGTCAAAAAGACTCAAGGGGTCAACTAAAACCTGATTTGGTCTAAGAAGAAGGTACGTAGATAGGTACTTACCTAGGTAGATATGTAGGCATTGAGTGATTGGACCCACATGATGTACGTAGACTGCTGGAGATGGTTGGAAAGAACGTTAGCCCAACAGACGTAGGTGGTGGTAGTAGTGGTCGTGGAGGGTACTAGGTACTAGATACTAGAAACCCGGGGTCTAACAGCGGATGAACCTGACTCCTAGAGCTACATATTTAGCTTTATTGTTAACTCATACAGCAGACGGGGATGAACAGGAGGGGAACCAAGCAGCAAGTCTGAGCAGGCTCATTGGGAGTCTCGTTTGTATCGACAAGGTGGCTGCAGATGCCGAGCTCATTATCAACTGGCTGATACGGAACAATAGGGGCATGCTGTTGTCTTTTTCCCCTCTCGTAAACTCTGATGTCCTTTACATCAGATAGCTGATATGCCTTTCTTGAATGGACAAGCGATATCGCCAATACCTAGGCTGCGAGGAAACACGGGGCCGGCGGAAATCGAACATTGCCAACAGTGAGAAACTTTGGCGCTGATTGGTGCCCATGCAATGAGCTGAACTTGGCCCGCAGACAATACGCGTTGTGTATCAACACTAGTCCCAACGAAGTACTGTGGTAGATTAAGCATACATAAAAAATCTCTAGAAGGAACAGCCAATGGATCTCTTTCATATAGAGGAGAGCTCTAGGTTTGTGTGTTTATACGTAATTCAGGAATCAGGGACAGCATAGAAGAGTGAATATGTGGCCCCGGCTTTAGAAGGAAGCACATACTAGGATGCCAGGTACCTAGACAAACACCCTGAAGGGCGAGGGGACAAGCAACATTAACAGAGGGTCGCAGCATGTTGCATTAGTGAACTGCAGAGGAGTTAGAAAAAGCAGCCCAAGAGGGGTCCCATGGACAGGGTCTTAGCAATCGAGTGCTTGGCCGGCTGGTCGGATGGCTCATAGCTCATGACTGATGGCTGAAGGCAAAGGCGTCCGGGCCGGAACGGGATAAAGTGAGGATAGGTACTAGGCAGACACATGCAGGTCTATCTTATTGTACTATTGGCGTCTTTGGTCTAACACAAGCATGTAAATACCTACGGGTCCCTGAGCTATCTTGCAGTAATTGAAAAAAGATGAGGCTTGAACCCGGGAGGCGACGGTGGCACGGCATCTAGAGGTTAGAAGCCGACGTCGATGATAAAACCTCACTGAAGCTATCCGGTCTGATGTGAAGAGAAAAAAGAAACAAAAGAAGCATATGGATTTCATAGCTAGATCGAACCAGGTAGTAAGGTAAGGTAGGTACCTAACTGTTGAAGTGAAACAGCCCAGTCCCTACTGTATTGCGTTTGTTTAAAGGGCCCTGGAGGATTTGAGGCGTTGAAGATTTCAATGTTGAGGAACTTGAGAAATCTAAATTGCAATTAATAGGGATATTTTAAAGGTACCTAGGTACATAGTATGTAACTGTAGGGTTGCACCATTCTTAGTACACGCATAAATGCATCATACCTACTAGGTATATGCCAGGCATCTATGACATGACCCATGCCCTTGGGAATCCATATGAAATCGGTAGTCGGAATAACTTGTCTCTGGGAGTCTGGGTTGTCTGTATTAACTAAAATTCATCTTGGTCGAATCGAATCAGCTTCAAGTGCTACCTAGCCCTGGAGATATGGTCCGTGCTTTAATTACCTTGCAAAGTGCTACCTACGGTAGAACCTTAATAACTACACCTCGATTAAGGCACTTTTAAGGATTGGGGGACTTTCAGACTTTCAACATTGAACCTTACCCTCATAGCCCTGGTAAATATTAATTTCCAAGCCCTAACGTGCGTAGTGCTATCAATTGATGTAGAGGTTCAATGTTTCAATTCAATTCTAGATTCCAATCTCTCCAAACATTGAAGTTCCAAAATTACACCAATGTTCCCTCCAATCACTTACCTAGCAGAGCCTCATTAGAAGTCAATTTCAATACCTACCTACCTACCTACCTACCTACCTCCCACATACATACTATATACAAGTAGTATGCATATAGTAGGTACGTAGGTATTGAACCTTGCCAAGAATCCATGGATCCTTCATGGAGCCCCCTCTACCAGAGTAATAATGCCCAATCTAGGTATAACGACAATGTACTGACATCATATCCTTAGGTACCTGCATACCTGCCTCCTACCTCAAGTGCTATCTATATAGTACCGAATAGGTACACCATGTAATATCTTTATTACCCACATGTACTCAGCTTCAGCCTCGTTGATCCCTTAGTGCCACGGAAAACGATGAAGACACTCACGCGTCACCTATACACTGATTCGCTACCTCATTATCCGATCCCATCGGTGCTATAAACCCGGAGCCGCTCGCTCTCGGAGATACCTAGCTAGCACCTACCTAAGTAGGCATCTACACTTTATGTTAACAACTATGAAACCCGGCAAGTCATGATTGGCTTCATCAACAGGCACAAGATATGCCCTGTTACGAACTCACAGTTTCTCCACGTTCCTATAACTCCCACCACATCCATATAAGCATTTGTACCCCTAATGTTCCTCTCGGCATGGTGGGCCTCAGCACGGTTCTGCCGAGTTTCTCGGACCTCCGTTATGGATGTGCTAGGTGACGCAGTCCAACCTGCCATTGCTCTGGGCGAGTTGATCTTCAGCATTGAAAGGGTTATGGCAGAAAAGCCTTCACATCATATTTTCAAGGCAGGAACCGAACCGATGGAAAAGGTATATCACAAATGTACACGTTCATGTCCCTAAAAGCCATGTGGTCCCCGCCCGACCCTAGGTACTTGCAATCCGACAAACCTACCTACATATGTAGGCCAGGGTCCAGGCCTACCATCACTCCTCAGTGTTCCTAGTACCGAGTTTATTGGGGTTATCACCACCTTGTGAATCTGGATTCGGTCGATCGGTTTGACAAATGAATCCAAATTGGCTTAGGTTTACCCTCTAGGCACTCAACCCCAAACTGTAAGGAGTGTCGAGTTGGTCACTGACTGCCCGTTCTGGCTTCAAGGTGCTAGATTCCTTCTCTAATTGATCATTTTATATCCTCACATCTGCCAGGCCCATCCTTGGTAGTAACAACTCTTAGCTTTTACGTGGCTGTAGTTCAGCTAGTTCTTATCCGGTCCATTGCTTTTATCCGCTACATACCAAGTTGCAGCCAAGGAGGTTCTGATGCGTTCCGCCAATTATATCTATACCCTAGCTGCATCCCAATGCATTTAATGACCTTGCGATCGCTTCTTGTAGTCCCCAAGGCTTAACTACCTAGTATACATAACCAGCATAGACTTGAAGCAGCTTGGTTGTTACCTCCAGTTTTCCAGTTTAATCCTCGAGCTGCTAGTTGATTGGCGCGATCAGCCGGTGGCTTCGGCCAACGTTACTGACAAGGATACTAGTTATCACCTAAATACTATTCTACAATACATTTCTCTAATTTCCCGCATATAGAGCTCCATTACTATTATGTACTCTCTACATTTTGCCTCTTGTTCTACTCGGGTAGAAGCCTACTATTCAAGGGGCAAATATGTACTAGTCATCAAGCTAGCTAACCTAGCTGGATACCCAATCACCAAAAGCGAGGCCATAGGTGCGAATAATAGGTAGGGCTGCAATCTTAACTATAAATGAACCTAATACAATATACATAAGCAGGGACCATTAACCTTACAGTTCACTTTGATGAATATCCTACTATGCTTCATGCCAGTTACAGTCGCTTGTATATGACAGATCGGGGCATCAGTACGCCTCGGAGTGGGCTAGCGACTTCAAGTTTCAACCGATGTACGACATGAGTAACATCCTGGTTTTGCCATACGCAAAGTAGGTATCCATCCTATTTCGGATGCAGCACTGTCGAGCTATTTCTACAGTTTGGGGGGCGAACGTTATGGCAAATGCGATTGGACCTAGTGGTGCATTAGTATGCTGATTCTACGTAGGTGGAAAGCAACCGACATCCATTCAACATAACAACTCGCAACAACCAACCTTACATTGTATGAATCGTTAAAAGCCAGACTTTGATGCAAGGCTTATTCGGACAGGATGGTTCATTTCGTACACAACTACAATGGATGCCATCTATTCAGATAGGCATTAAACTATCAAATCATGGCGCAATCAACATTGCTCATCATCGTACAGTACCTAGATCCTCCAGATTCGATATGGAATGAGATGAATCTCAATGACGCCACTCAGCACACAAACTTTAATAGCCAGTCTCTCTTAGAAATTTCAGTTAATTTATGTATCTAGATCTTTGAGTATCGTTATATCCCTCCACGATGCGCTCGGGGGGCGTTGATGCCGTGTATGCTTGGACAGCATGTTGATCGAGTAAGTTTTCGAGTTTTCGAGTTGATAGTTGGTCATATGTATGTCAAGGGCTGATATTAACATGAATAAGTTCCTGCCCTAGATACCGAAGTACAGAAAGTCAAGGCTGTGAGCCACGATGCCGAGGCGTCAAGATCTATCTAACCTAGGTATGTATATTCCACGCTCTTCTCCTAACTCCGTAAACCCCTTACACGCGGACATCAACAGACCATGGGCTCATTGTTGACTTTGGACTTACACACCTCAACTTAGAAACATACATAGTAGTTCCTGTTTTGCTAGGTTCATATACTAAGTAGTTCTTCCAAGCCTCAAAGGATTCGTATTGGGCAATATAAAGACTCGCTTAGGTGCGGCTTATCCTAGCAGTGATACATCAAGAACTCTACCGGCACGGATCTGTCTCAAACTAGAATGATCAGTTAGTACTTCATAAGCGCCTAGCCTGAGCTTACTGCCTTTTTCGAGGGTATGTACTGACATGGACTATCGCTGATCCATTTGACCCTAGCTTGATTTTACATGTGTGAAGGGTGTGGACGGTAAAAGATGCCGCAAGTTCGAAGCTGGACTAGTGAGTAGATGTAAACCTTCGAGTATTTATTTCGAACCTTACCATCCCTCTAGCTTACTTGAGTTATCCCGAGTCTTTGGGAGGTGTCAGAAGCCAGGCCCCGGCCTAGGTGCCCATACTGGGAACGAAGTCAAGATTATGAGAGCCCAATGAGCAACCCAACTTTTTGCTAAAGTATGAGGGAAGTACCGACCTCTCTGAATGTGCTGTCCGCTCCACATTCCCACAACCGTCACTTGGTTACGCGGCATCTCAAGCTCAGACGAAACTGCAAGGTGTCCTGGTGTGCTAACCAGACACGACGTCACGAGATTTCGTGGAACCCCGTGTCGGCTCAACCAAGAAAGGCAATTAATTCATGACGGCGTCACAGAGCCGGCATCATTTCTTCCTTGGCCCATAGTTGAGGTCGCGGGAACCGACAGTTGAGGGAGCTCAACTGATTATGTCGTCGCATGTGAACCTGCAAGATCAAAGTCCAACATGATTCGAACCGCGAGCTTATTCCTTTTCCTTTACGCCTCCCTCCCCCTTCCACACTTTTGCCCTTGTCTTTCAAACCCAATGCCCGAGGTTGGATTGGACTGATTCGCTCGAGTACTCCACACACTCTTCACCAAGCCCTCGAGCTGTTAAGGCAGTACCCATCGGGGATGTGCAGATGTCTAATGCGGTATCTTGCTCGTGTCCAATCGATGTAAAACAAAATAAAAAGGAGGCTCAACGTACATGCTGTATTGTTATCCACCTAGTATCTATCTTTCTATCTATGTGCCTGGCTGCCTGGCCAGGGCATTCAAATCTTACTTTCTTTTCTTTATCTAGGTAGGTAAGTGTACGTTCATTTACTCATCAGAAATGGCCCCCTGTCACCTATTATTATGCACAATATGACGACGATATTGGCCACATTAGGGTGTTTCGGCTACTAAAAGAGCTAAAATCCAAGACTTACAACTAGCGAAGTCTACATGTGGTTCTTTTCCCCCTTTTCGAAAGTCCTTGACGTCAATCGTCAGATAAAGGAGAGACAAGGGCCACGGTTTCGAAGCTTCCGGTCTCACAAACTCCACATGGGGGTTTTTTCTATTTAACTAAAAGCCCAGCTGAAGAATTGCGGTGTTGGTAAGTAGAGCTAAAGGGGTAAAAAGGCAAAGAAAAAGCAAAAAGTAATGACTAAATTTGGAAATAGAATAAGCTACCCAGGTAGGTTAGGTATATTCAAGTGCCGAAACCAGCACAGATTCCAAATATAAATTTTGCCCTAGAACGTACGTCTCCCTATGATAGGTGGGTAGAAGACACACATACAGAGTGTATGTGTCAGTAGACGAAAACAGGGGCTAATGATTTTCTCCCAGGCATACCCTTTTGGGAGAATTCAAGGGGCTTTGGTTGGTTGATTGGCCTTCAATTCAAGCCCTCCGTAAACATTCACTGGCACTACTATCTAGTATCTACTAGTACAAAGCACTATCAGTCGGTGGTTCGTTCATGGGGGACATGGATACCTATCACCAGCCCCAAGAGAGCCTATCTGCTGTCGTGGCACCCAGGGTTCTCTTCTCCCCCCTCAGCAGTTCAAATGAAACAAATCGCCTAATGGTGGGCTGTGGGCTGCGAGACATCCGCGCGCGGGCGCGGGGGAGAGAGCTCTTACCTACCATAGGTGATCAGGTTAGGTACCAACGTAGGTTGATAGGGGTTTTTTGATGGACAGCCTACCTACTACCATACCTACAAGGTACCTATGGATATAATCCATGGGGTTAACATGTTGTGCATACGGTATGTAGGTCGCATCGAAACGTGGTGTTTCTCCTCCACACATGCCGGGCCCGCTGCTGTGTCACACACCCCAGCGCATCATTTGGGGGGGGGGGACTGAGGGTTGTTTCTTGGGTAGGTAAGAAAGAAACGTCTGGTTGATATGTACTTCAGCTTTTTGCATCCTTGATGATCTGCGTTTGCTAATGCTGCTGCTGCTAGAAGAGCTTCGCCATGGGAAACACAGAAGCGCAAAACAGAAAAAGAAAAGGCTCGCCATTCTTCTGTTTCTTCTACATATGCCGTCCCAGCGGGAGCTAATTCGGGCCGGTATCTATATACCTTGGTAGGTACTGCAGATGCGCCACATGGTGCTTGAGAAACAACTTACACGGGATGAAATTGCTAGGTTAGGTTACTTGTCTCTTGATCTCTCGTATATTTGTTTATTTATTTACTCGCCTATTAATTGTGTTTGACAATTTTGAGCGACCAGAGACACATATATAGGTCTATGACTGTATGTATTACATAAATGCGTATATATTTGACGTTAGGCGATAAATTGTTTCTTGTCTATTGGCATATATTAACCAAAAGTGCAAAGAGGACCAAGACAAATATGTATCCGGTCTTGGGCGGAACATGGTTCGTCTTTGCTTTTCGTCACATTGTCATATTCCCCTGTATCTATCTATCAGCCTATCTATCATTGATCTGTCTATCTATCTGTATGTCTGGCTGACTGTCTGCCCTCCACCCACATTGGCTCGTAACAAGAAAGTCATGACCCCGTCATGTCAAATCTCGGTGATCAAGAGTGCCTACATGATGAAAACACCCACTCACACACACATGCCTACCTGACACAAACATACAAAAGAGAAGAAGAAGAAAAAAAATGAAAGAGAATAACCCAGCGAATCCCAGGAAGATGGCGTCGCTGTCGTGCAACCTTGCGTTGTTTCCTGCTTGGAATTTTGCATTACCTCTCCCATGCGGCTACCCGAGCCTGTCGTGTCCTCTGTGTCTCCTGATAACCATGGAAAAATCCAATATCCAACACACTCACCTCTCCACTGCCTACCCAATGCTGACACTTTGGAGCCTGGGCGCAAAAACAGCCATTTGCCTACCTACCTAACCGTTCAATCCTCTCTGCCTACAATCTACATGCCAGGTATGTATGTATGTATGTATGTATGTAGGTATGTAGGTAGGTCATGGGAATGAGGTGCAAGCGCCACGAAACAAGCAAGAAAAAAAAAAGGGGGTCATGGTCATGGTCATGGTCATGGTCAGGGGGGGCGAGACCCGCCGCCGCGGCAGCAGCAGCCTCCGACAAAAACACACAACACAACACAAATACACAAACACACACAAGACAGACATTAGCAAACTCGGTACCTTAGGTTGTAGGTAAATAAATGTTTCTCTCGAAAAAAAAAAATCGCCCTTGATCGGAAAACCTGCAGTCCCCATCGCAAGTGGCATACCTAGGGAATGGGGGGTACGAGGAGGAAGAGGTCGGAGATAGGCTCATGGGGTTAAGGGACGGTGGGTGGTCGTGTGCCCTTTTTTCTCTTTTCTCTTTTCTCTTTTTCGTTTATTTTTTCTTTATCGTAGGTATTTTCCTGCTTCCTTCCTTTCCTTCTAGAACGTTAGGAAAGTAGATAGGTAGGGAGGTAGGTACCTACGTATGTATATTCTTCTACCCATGAAGCATGAAAGCTACATACATACCTAGGTAGGTAAGGATGAACCAAAGAATCCGTAGAACTAAAACTGGTGGCTGGCATGTGAATGAATGAATGAATGAATGAATCGAAAACTCCCCGGTGCCGACTTATCCACAGATCTTCGCGAGAACGTGGGTTGTTACCTACCTACTTAGTAATCCATCTATGCCTTGTAGGTGGTGGATGGATGGATGGATGGAGATGGATAGATCGGCAAGAACAGCGTGGGGTGAAGTTACGGGTGATCCTTTCATGATAGGTAGAGCTTCTCCCCTGAGGTTGTAGGGTGTGTAGATGGTTCGTTGGGGATGGTTTCAGGTTAGTTATATCATATGACTGCCTACGTACTGGGTTGGTGGATAACTAGGTAGGTATCTCCCTAGGTACTAGGTAAGCACTTGGATCTCGTTCAACCCCATGTAGGAAAAGAGCCTTGATAGGGCGTGTATGCCGGCAACAATATCGTGAATACACCTACCTACCCTAGATACTTACTTAGTGCTGAGTAGCATACCTGCCTCGGTAGACTATGAAAAGTAACCTATCCTCAAACCACCACATCCCAAGCAAGAGATCCAAAGCCCGCAACTTGCGAACTTGCGGTAAGAAGATGAAGGAGGAAGTGCAACACAACACCAAGAGAACGAAGTGAGATTGTCTTAGGTTAAGCGGGAAGTAAGTGAGTAAGTGAGAAAAAATCGAACGATGTGTGAAGCGAAAGTGTTCAACGACGCCAACGCAGTGAGACCGTTACTACCTACAGTAACCAAGCAAAAGAAACAAGAACGAGAAATGAACGATCAAATCATCAAGTAAGAACCAGGGAATGAATAATAAGTGACCGTGATATATCTCTATATATATTTATACCTATAAAGCCTTCTCCAGAAACTTCAGTCTGCGTCTGCGAGTAGAACCTGTCATGTCCTGTCCTATTCCGCGTTATTCGTTGAAATTACAACGACAATAAATGAATCCCCATCAGAATATATATCAACAAATTTTCCTCCCCACAGCTCCGCCGTCCTGTCTATAGATATCTTGGGTAGATAAGCCCTGATCTCCGGACCACTTACTACATCGCCAACTGCAAGGGGTAGCCTTTGCAGGATGTCCCCAGTAGTGTTATCAGCCATTCCTCGCCAGCCAGTCATGCCAAGCATTAAATAAAAAGAGCGTGAACATCACGAGAAGAGTATATACAGTAAACCTGACGGGGAGGTAGAAGGCTTGAAGTCATAAGGGACAACGGTGAGCAAAGTGAGGGATGCTGTGGTCGATCGAGGAAGTTATCCTAAGAGCGTATCCCTTCCTTCATGAAACTACCCAGCTGTTTCGCGAGGTCGCCGTGCATCATCGAGAAGTGGTTGCCAGGCATATGGTGAAACTTCATCTTACCGATGTCGAGATATTCGTCCCAACGGTTAGGGCCGAAGTCTGTTCGGTTGTCAAGGAGGAAGAGGGCGTGGCCGGTCGGATAAGGATCGGGTCGAGGGTCTGTAGGTAACTTGCAGACACCGTCCTCGCACCATATAGCCGTGACCTTGGGGCATTTGTCCTTAGGGATTGGCTCGGCGGTATAGTTGGATAGAGCGGTTACCGATGCTGCGAAGTGGGGGAGTAGCCAAGAAGGAATCTTCTTGGCCTCAACACCATCACCCTCTCCAAGGAGACCAATTTCGGCAAACCATGCGTGGAGACCTGCGGGCAGGGGCTCAATGGTGATAGGGCAAGGTGCGTCGATGATAATGAGGTGCGAGACTTCTTCATTGGCCTTGGTGAGCTGGTTGACGATTTCATAGGCAATAACCCCGCCGGCAGACCAACCAGCGACAGCGTAAGGGCCTTCCGGTTGCCGACGCTTCATCTCCTCGATGAACTTCGTGGCCATTCCATACACCCCACATTTATACTCTTCAGGTGTTTTCATGAACGGAGAAAACATGCCCCATACGGCAACATCGGAGCCCAGCTGAGAGATTTCAGTGTAAGATGTGGCACTACCGCTGCCATCGGGTATCATGAAGAGCTGACGAGTTGCAGTACGGTGGTTTCCCTGGAGGAGGACAGACGTGGCCTTTCGGTGAGGGTAAGGATCGAAGACCGACTCGGCCTTTGAAATGCTCTTAACCACGGACTTGGAGTCAGACTTAGGCTTGGCAACCTTGGGTGAGGCGGGCTTCGGGGCAGCAGCAGCACGTTTGGGCTTATCTTCGACTCCGAGGACTTTCTCGATATCCTTGAGGGAAGGGTTGTGACCTAGGAGATCGGAGGGAATATCAAGGCCTGTTTTCTCGCGAAGTATACCCAAGATCGACAAGCTCATTAGCGAATCCATTCCAAGCGCGGCCAAGTCAGGGGCGGCAATAATCTCTTCAACCTCGACACCCATCTCAGCGCATATGGTTTCGCGGATAATTTGCTGGATTTCATTGTTGTTTCCAGCTTCAGCTGGAGCGCCATCACCCTTTATCGATCCTTTGTCGCTCTCACCAGGAGTAGTGACCTCAGAGTCCGACTCGATATCATCGTCACTATCAGAAGTGCCGCTTGATCCACTTGACTCCGAAACCACCGTTGCCGTCGTTGATTCAAACTGGGATAAGAATTTTTTGAATGCTCCAACTGTGGCATGGTCATTAAAGGCGTGTGAGTCGACATTGAGCTCGAGTTCCTCACGAAGTCGCCCGCTAATGGTCAGTCCCATTAGTGAGTCGACACCAAGATCCGCAAAGGCAATGTTGTCCGCTAACTCATCATGGCTGACACCGGTTTCCTTAGAGACTATTTCCATGACTTGAACAACAATGGAAGTTTGTGCAAGCTTCTTGTTGACAGCGGGAAGATTAGATGTGGTAACTTGCTTCTTTTCCTTGACAGGAGCCTTGGCAGCAGCCGGGGCAGTACGAGCGACGGCGGCGGCGGCAGCACCCTGGGGAGGCAGAACAGTGTTAAGAATCCTACGAGGGATAGCCTGGAAACGTATATCACCGCCAATGCCAATCAGCTTATCTCCGTCGAAGATATATGCGTCGCCCGCCATCATCTTGGTTCCTTTGACATTCTGCATACGAATGTAGGTCTGGTATGTTTTGGAAGCGTCGAGTCTCTCAGCGAATCTCATATTGCCCCAACCGTGGGAAATGTAAACCTGCTCGCGGGAGTCAACAGCATCGGTACCGTTTACGATGAAGCCGGAGATATGGCAAACGGAGTCGATCCAGTATGGCGCAGTATGGAAGCTACCATCTTGGGGCGAGGTCTGGAAAACGACCTTAGCAGTAGCTTCACAAGTCTCGCTATCCAGGATGACAGATTCCATGCCTCGGTATCGGGCATCATAGTCGACCAAAGCGGCAAAGAGCTTGTATGCAAGCCCCCGACCAATCTTCGAAGCTTCGCCCCGTTGTTCAGCAGCCTTCAATGCACCGATGCGCGACTTGATCAAGTAACTGACCCGCTCGAATTCATCTAGCCACTGCTGGTTATCGCCATAATAAACTTTGCATACGGCATGTTGTGTCTTTCGAGCACCCTCACCGCTCGTCCATGTAATATCAGCGATGTTCTCAGCAACGTTAGCTTTAACTTCCATTCGCAAGATCTGACTTGTCGCCTTGGCATCAAATATTAGGGTTTTTGGTACTTCCATGTGAGCAACATTCATGCCAATGTCCTTCGTTTCGGGACGTAACAGTTTATATGCATATTCGCAGATTGTCATGGCCATGTCGCCGTAAAGACTGGATGGAGTAAGGCAAGTACCGTTGACACGATGACCGGAGCAGATCTTCCGTAGGTTCTCCTCGGCTAGGTCGGATTCGGTCTCCAAAACAACAATGTCGCCTTTAACCTCTTCCTTCGTGATTCGCTGGACGGTAGTAGTTGACAATTTCGGCTTGCTCGCCTCAATAGTCTTGACAGGCGCAGTAATAGCGCCACGGTTTTTGGTAATACACCAATCACCCGTGTATTGTAGCCAGTAATTCTTTAAGTCGAAGGAATATGCGGGTAGGTCTAGCAACCGGACAGATGCGTCGAAATCACGGTGAAATTCGTTCCAATCAATGTTCAAACCAGCGGAATGAAGAGTGCATAGGGTCGCACTGAGAGTCTTGTAGGTAGGCTCGTTGCGACGCATACTTGGGACGGCGATGGTACTGGCACCAAAGGCTGCCTTGACCATGTTGGCACACACGGGATGTGGGCCAATTTCAAGCCAAACGGTCTTTTCGTCGATGACGCCAGATTGTTGAGCAGATACGAGGCCTCCAAGGAAGTTGACTGCGTCTCGGGCATGCTTGCGAAGATATACGGGGTTAATAGGCTCTCCTTCGAGGAGTTTGCCGTGAAGAGGTGAAATTACGGGAATCTTGGGGGTTTCAAAGCGAACCGAGCGAACCAGTAGCTCAAATTCATCCAGGATAGGTTCAACTTGAGCGGAGTGGAAAGCAAAGGGAACCTTGAGTTGAGTGCACTTGAAGCCGGCTCCACCGAGTTGTTCGGCAATATCAGCAATCTCGCCAGAGCCACCACTAAGAACGGTCTCCCGTGGGCCATTGATGCAAGCAATGTTGGTCGTAGCTGCGCTATCGCCAAGTGCCTCCGTGACAGTCTCCACGGAACCTTGCACGGCAAGCATGGCGTGGGTGCCCGCCGTGCACTTCTCGACGAGAAGTTGGGCACGAGCACCAACAAGGAATATAGCATCACTGGCAGATATAACACCAGCAATGTGAAGAGCAGCATATTCGCCCAAGCTATGGCCTAAGACAGCACTGGGCTGGATGTCCCAAGAAATCCACAGTTTTGCAAGAGCCATTTCAAAAGATGCTAGCCCGAGCTGTACGACAACAGGCGAGAGCTTCTGCACATCGGACTCGGTGCCGTCGATAAGAGGGAGGAACGATGGAAAGCCGTGAACGAGAGAGAGATGATTATATTCATTAATCGCCTGGCGGAATATAGAGTAATGGGAATATAGATCCCTGCCAAGACCAGCATAATGGGAACCTTGGCCAGTGAAGAGGAATGCAACCTTGGGCTGCTCGGGGGAAACAGGTACGAAGTTCGACTTCAAACGCTCCTTTATGGCTTCTTGGGCTTCGACTAAGCTGGAGGCAGTCACATTCATGCGCCAGTAGTGTTGAATCTTGCGAGCAGTTGTAGTGTAGGCCACGTGAGATACAGAAGTGGAGGGATTCTCCTCCATCCACTTGACCAGATTTTCCGCGTTCCGGATCATGGCAGCCTTTGACTTGGCAGTTACGGTGATGACATGCTGACTGCGAGGGTCTACGATAGCCGTCTTATATCGTGGAGCGTCTTCAAGTAGAAGGCCAGTGTTACCACCAGCTGCGCTAAAATTGTTGACAAAAACTCGCCTTGGCTTTCCGTCCCTTCGGGTGAACGGCGTCTTGTGGAAGGCAATATTGACACCGCGCTCACCAAGGTCTGATGGGAATGTTTTATTGATCTCCTTCTTGATGCCGATGTGGGGAGGGATAGCGTTCTTCTTTAGCATCATCAGGACTTTGATGAGGGCAGTGACACCAGATGCGGCCTCGCCATGACCAATGTTTGCCTTCACTGCGCCGAGGAACAACGGTCTATCCGCAGCTCTATGTCGATTAGCCGGAGCGAAGACGTCGGTAACAGACACCATTTCCGTACCGTCGCCAGCCTGGGTACCGGTACCGTGCATCTCTACATAGTCCACGTCGAGTGGATCTACGCCAGCTTCGTCTAAAATGGCTGACGACAAAATAGATTGTGTTGGCCCATGGGGGTGGGTGATAGAGATAGCATCTGCTGAATGATTCGTCTGCGCGCCGAGTATAACTGCGAGGATGTTGTCTTTATCTGCTAATGCATCATCAAGACGTTTAACCACCACCGATGCGCATGCATCCGCTCTGCAATAACCGTCCGCATCATTGTCAAACGTGTTGCAGTTGTGTTCTTTAGACAAAAATTGGCCGCGACTTAATCCAGAGAAAATATCCGAATTTGTCATGCAGGAAAGACCGCCAACGATTGCAGTATCACACTCCTTTGCCCTTAATGATGTGCAAGCAACCTGAAGCGCTGCAGCACTGGATGAACACGCCGTATCGATATTCAAGCTGGGCCCGCTGAAACCAAAATGGTAGTTTATTCGGCCGGGGCCGAAAGCTCGAACACCGCCGGTAATATAATAGGTATCGACTTCTTGTGCGGCGTTGATCTCACGCCAGTCGTCTGATGTCTGGCCATAAAAGGTACCGATACGATCTAGTCTCGTGGATGGCGTTCGGTTTGGTACGTAACCGGACATCTCGAGAGCCTCGTACGCAGTCGTCAGGGCTAAACGCTGCATTGGATCGGTTTGAAATGCCTCCCGAGGTGACATATTGAAAAACCGCGGATCGAAGAAACCCGGGTTCTCAATCCAGTTTCCATATGGTGTATGGCTGGTATTAATGGCTTTCCCCGTCGGATCGTAATGGCTGTCAACCGGAAACCGGTCAGCAGGCACAACACGATGAGCGTCAATGCCCTTTTCAAGAAGTTCCCAGAGGGCTTCGTGACTAGCTGAATCTGGAAAGCGACCTGCCATGCCTACAATAGCCAGTTTGCATCTCCCTGAAGACCCATGGTTTCCAATTGGAGAAGCTATGGTCTCACGTGAAACCTGAGGAGTTTGCCGTAATATGACTTCGGCGTTCGTCTGTGACCGGAATACGTTTGCCAATGTGCTGGCAGCCTGAGTTGGGCCGTAGGGAATCACCAAAATACGAGATCCGCTGAACCCGTGTGCCTCGTTAGCGTTTCCGCTTAGAGTCTTGTGAAATAACAATGGCCCATTCAGTATTTCGTGAACTACGGCAGTGAGAAGCGCGTCGGTCTCAGTCTCGGGAAAAGGTGCACCCGTAACGCAGGACATAACAACACTACGGGGTTTGGATCCCGCGAGAACGGCGGCAACAGCCTCATCGTCGAGTCGCAGCATCTTCCTAATGTCTAACGAGTTGTGCAAATGGGAAGCATGGTATGGACCATACACTGGTATTGCCGTTGGTCTCGACTCAAACAAATCCTTGCTGAATAGAGTCCGTAGCGTTCCTGGCGGACCAGAAATTGCAATATTATTTGCGGAGACGGCGCTTACATAGGCTTTTGCAGCTTGTGAGATTCCCTTCACAGATAATTAGACATATTGGTAAGGTAGTAGACACTTGAAATGGTCATCTTACCTCGGATTTGTGAAACTCCTCGAGAATGGAATTTGCTTGCGTCTCCTGAACGCTAGGGAGGACATATGTCCAGCTCTCGGACTTTGCACCAGATGGGCTAAGTCTTTCTGCTAACGAAGCCACGTGGGACCCGGTTCTGAATGCCATCAAAACAACTTGGACGGCGATCGGGAGAAGGGTAGAGAGTGAATGACTCGACGCGATGGCGGTCGCGGCGAATAGACCCGTGCAAAGTCCAGAGAGTTTTGTGTTGTTGTGGCTGGTGGCATCTTCGTATTCTTTCTCGGAGCGGCTATCCGATAGTGTTAGTACTTGTTCGTAGTCAATATGAGCTCTCTATGTGCATACTCGATATAATGTGCTAATTGCGTTATACATAACAAGGCGCTGTCGATCCCAGGGAATTTGATTGGCTGCGCATGGTATCTTTCGTTGAGTTGCTGCAAAGTTCGAAATATTGGGATCTTTTTTCGCTCTCCTCGGGGCAGTCGATCTATCTCGTCTCGTAGGGCATCGCCTGCTAGTCGGAGGAACTCTTTCGACAGAACACTAGGGTTCCCTCTTCTGTAGAAGTCGGCTAAGAAACCATGTGTATCTAGAGATTGATCTCCGAAAAGGAGAAATGCCATCTGATCCGCCATGTTGTCCATGATGGGTGAGGCTAGTATGGGTTGTTAGCGAAATAGGGAATACTCCAGGTCTATGGCAACGACCGAGATGTCTCCCACTCTTATATATATCAGATCAACAAAATATTACTTGAACCAGTCTAACATGAACTAAATATAACAGCAAAGAAATGCCCAGTCCTAACACGTGCTTGATAATCTAACCTATTGCTCCAGGCATCATCACTGGAAGCCAAGGGGGGGTGCAGACGGAAACTGGAAACTCACCCCTGGGTCCCCATACAATACCTACAACTAGTCCGGCATCATTCGATCCTCGGTGACCGAAGTTTCATGGAAGATAAGCGTTATATTTCCACATCGAGAGGTAACAATGGGGTGGTAGGGCTGCTACTGCCACCTAGGTTGGGTGGGTATTCCATGTCTTGTCCGATGAGTACTAATTATGACGGGAACCAAGCCGTGACGTCTCGATCTTCCCTTTAGACCGAATGGTAAATGGCTGGTATTATTGCTATAGTTTTTGACAGCCACATGCCTGGTTACAGGCGGACCTGTGTCATTTCAGGGAGATATGGTATAGTATAGCTTGCCCTGACTAGTTTGAGGCTCTCCCTCGCGTGCTGTCGACAGTACGTAGAAAAACTAGCATAAAAGGTATAGCCTCTTGAACACTACACACACGGAAAAGTGTGGGTTCTCTAATCCCGGGTTTCCAATGGATTTCTCTCAATCTTACTTGGTTACTAAACGCGTGGGTCGTTAATGGTTGACCGTTGGGGATGTCCGCCGAGAAATGCAGCCGCAGTAAGCTTTTGGTGCACGTCAGGACAGACGAGAACGAAAAAAGGGTGCCTTATTCAGTAAACCCCCTCCACGAGAATAAGGGGAAATAGAAGGCGACATTGTAATAGGGTGAACTGAGACTCAGTAAACTACAGAGGAATCATTGTGTCTCATTGAAGAACATAGACCACGGAGTTAGCGCCACCATTTTGCAGGAATGGATTAATGATTCATTATCGTCCGTCTTCACTAACGTCCCGACTGATGGATAGCTTGGCTCTACTGCCAAGAGGATGGTGAGGTCTTCCCTTATCGATGATATTACCAACACCATCGCGTCGATTGGCAAAACATCAAAAACAAATTGGAAGGTTGCTAAGTGATTAGAGTAGCGGCATTAAGGAGCCGCATCGAAGCTTTCCTCGATCAAGCATAGCCTGGTCTAAGCATCTTGGATGTCGGCTAGACTGGATTGTCATTCAAATGGCCAACCCTGCCTAGCCTAGGTACCGAGTTGGGTAGGTTATGTACCTAAAATAAAGGGCAACACATTCATGGATGTGTGCCCGCCACCAATAAGTTAGGTACCTTATGCCATTAATGTCTCTGGAGGACAATCAATGTACAATGTCTCTCACGACTGTCTCAGAATCTCACCTAGCGAGAGATGGAAATCCTCTATCCTCCATCCTCTGGCATGTGCATGTGCATAGGCTCTTCAGCCGGCTGGATTGTTCGTTGTCCACAACATTGAATTATTAACGAGATGGTGTCCTGCCATAGTGTATAATGCCCTGCAGTAGTATGCCGGCACCCACGGACTTGGGCTAGACTGCTTTGGAGGGGGTGGCGCAAGGATTTCAACGTGATAAATGGAGAATACCAGAGTTTAATTATTATTATTTTTAATTCTTAGATCTAGCAATGTCCGTGATGGTGGGATAGTAATTGGCATGGGTATTGGCTGCTTTGCGTCGATGTGTATTCGATTTCGATGTATTCGAAGCATGTGTGATGGTGGTTGTTTTGTATGAACGAGGCTGGGTTATTGAAGTTTAGTATTATATTGAGGGGCTGTATTATGTGCTGTATTATGTATAAAGGGAGGGGATGAATTTGATTTCACGGGTAAAAATCGATCCGCGACTTCCCAGTTCAAAATGTCTCTTATTATTATTGAGGTATCGAGGTAACTTAATTGACTCTTGAAATCAATTGATGTGTTAAAATTTCAAGGTTTCGAGTTGGATCGAGACCTAGCAGTCGATACTAACCTACCTAAACGAAAAACGTGACCCGGATCGTAGTCTTATCCGGCCCCGCACCATATCTCCACATTTTATCTATCTATTCCAATTATCGGATTGCCTATACCTCGAATATTCATACACATATTCATAAACCTTCAATGTTCTTCCCAGGAACAACACATATTAATCACCTTTTTCTGCCTGCTTGCTAATTAGATCTGTTCACTCTCACCAATTACCCCAGTTCAGTTCTTAGAAACATAACTGTAGGTACATACTATTCACAGGTTTTGCGGTATATGCTATGTTTTTAAACATCGTCATGCCGTTTGCTGACTCCAGATGTCACTACCAAGCTTCTTTCTTTCTAGCTTGGACTAGACTGAATACTACCTCTCAATCTTATCTTGACCTAGTCCTTCCAGACTCTATATATAGGGACTATTTAATGTAGGTAAGAGATGACAACCTTAGTATACATTACACGGACCTTCCATGGACAAACCTACATACACATGCATACATTACCCCCAGAAAGGTACAATCAAATACCTCTTTACGTACTTACCCACCTAGGTAACTACACTGCACCACGTGGATGAGGTGGAAACGTGTGCACAGAGTCCGTCTGTTGCTGAAGACGGGAAGCTCCACCGCATTTTTCTAGAACACAATACGAACTCGAACCCGTAATCTACAGCCACCCTTTTCACATCTTCCAATGTTCTCCTTTGCCCACTCTCGACACGAAAACAGTATTCGTTCTTTCGGAGATAGATCCCGCATTTTGTTTTATCCCTATCCCGCTTGGGCAATCATGATTGGGGTTCGAGTGATAGAAACTCGGACTTCCGGCCTCTTACCGTACAGGTTTAAACCGAGTTATTTTTACTCGTTCCATCTCAACTATGCACCATGACCATTTACCTACCGAGGTACCTATCAACCTGGTACCATAGCCTTTTTACTAATGTAGACTGCAAGCTCATTACTTATTCTAGAGGGCCTATGGAACAACACCGACTGCCCGGTTCCTGTCAACAAACTCGGAGGTTATACGGGTCGAGCAGTAGTGGAACGACAATACCTACATGTAGGTTAAATCTCACCTAAATTATCATCTGGTAAGTATTCTGAATACGTGCCAAGCTTCGCCATGTCCCACCCTTTCACGCAGATTATGAATCTCGTCACATTTGCTGAGAGAGGCAAACCCCTGAATCCCTTAGAACCCTGAGTTCTTGGGCTTTGGCCGCTGAGGCCGAGCATTCGATTTTCCTCGGTTTTAGTACGCACAAGAGTTCCAGAGCTGGTGATTACATCGGATAGGGTGTGTCTTATGGTGTACGCCTAGGTAGGCAATCTAGAATGATACCAAGCATGGAAATAAGGCTTGGTCAACAGATCTCGTCCCTGACTGGCCTGGCTGGCCTATCACACAATCATTGGGATTGTGCATGAGCACACCGTATCCAGTATTGCATCATATAGGTTGTACAACCACAATACTATCCCAAACGTCTTATCTATCAGCAGAAACTCATTTGAGGATGGGTAGGTAGGTAGGTGCAAGAAATGCAACCACCCAGCATCCGCAACTCAATCGGGACGATATAATTCAATCGTATCTTGCAGATACAGGGCTTACATGCTTAGTAGTACAGGGCACTATTCTCCTAGTGATATTGTCCGGTCTTGAGAACTTACAGACCTTCAGGTAGAGGTGTTCCAGACCAAATCGTTGGTTCATCCAGCCTTGCGATCGGCATTGAAGGTGACGTCCCCACGTCCTTCACCTCAGCCTTCAATGCCCGTCTCGGACTCGGATCAAGGGATCCCCAGTCTGGGACCGCTGTCAAATGGACGTCTTTATCTCACGTCTGGTTCTTGTGGAGATCTTATCCAGTCTATATCCCAGGGACTCGACCCACCTCTTTGCTGACGCTTTGCAGTGCCGAATCCTGCGTCTCGACTTAACACCAGAACCAGACAACAGACGACACAATAGAATGCTTAGCTAATCTCACGGCTGACACTACGCTCCAACAGCCAGGAACCATATGCTTCTTTTCCCTCCAAACACCAATAGGATCTTCACCAGCATATTCTAATCCTTCCCGCGGACCGAATTCCAGCACCCTGTCCGGATGTTTGGACCTAGGGCTGACAGCACCGTCCCATCAGCGTTGCACTGAGAAGTTTTCTTACGTGTTAGCAATATCTACAAGTCCCGTTCGCTTGGGCAGCACCGCTTGAGGAGCTGAAGATTGCTCTTCGCCTGCGTTGCGCACTGCAACCTAAAGCCCTCGTATATCCGAACTGCAGGTCCGGTTATCAGCTCGAGACAAAAGCAAATATAGATCATATTGGTGGAGGAAATCCGAGGCTTGCATCGCCCTATGCAGAGTAACATTCTAGGACGGACCAATACACGTGAATTTTCCGAATGGCTACTCGAATCCACGCGGTGGGTTCGACCATCACCGAACCGCTTGCGCGTGTGGCGTCCGGAGCAGGTTGGAGCTCTTTGACACAGCCCCGGAGCAAGATTACAATAGCTTGGCTGCATTTGTTTTTACTTGTTCTGCCTAACCATGATACAATCACCTCAAGGAAGTCCCTGGGTACGTAATTAACAAGGCCTGTCTCCAGGCCTGTTTTCCTGACCGTTCCGGTACACCCGGCAACTTTCCAACGCTGAGAAACGAACTACCAATTAGCCACACATGGCTTTATGATTAACCAGCAAAGACAAATCAACGCCACGAACAGTACTGGACACCGTGCTTTGCTTGTCCATCGAGCCATTTTCTTCCTAATTTTGCATATAGGTAGCCCCTGATAGCGCCGAATCGCTAGGATGACCTTGGAAAGTCTCCCATTTCCTAGATTTGAAATCAAATGGATATTTTACCAATCTATTTGCCCCTCCGACTATCTGTTCTTAGTCAGATTCGGTGTAAATCGAGCTACATCGCGAAGATTAGCACTTGGATCACAAATTCCATGCATATTGGAAATCTTACCCAGTGTAAGTGGTAGGTGGCACTGTGACGAAACCGTCTGTATTGTCCCATTCCTCATTACCGGCCGCATTACCCGTCGTAGGTATTCCCATGGCATCGCAGGCATCGATATGGTCCTGAGGGATCGTGTAGTCGCGAAGTTTGTCAGGAGCCTCTAGCAGGGTTGCGGTAAGGCCCATCTCCACGTGCCACTCCACGTGGCAATGGAACAAGAAGACCCCGGGATTGTCAGCTTTTATACGGAACACAGCGTACGAATTGGGGTTCACGGCGACGGTGTCTCGCCTTGGTGGCACGTCATTAATGGCAACATCAGCGCTCCAGTTACCAGCGTTGCTCTCGGGCCGCGTGAGGACTTGGAATTGGTGTCCGTGTAGATGAAAGGGGTGGATGGCTCCGTTATGGTTGTTTATAACAATCTCCAGAACCTCCCCATACTCGACGACGAAGGCACCAATCGGTCCGTACGCTTCAGTCTGGGTATTGTTCTCTCCCAGTGATGCGGCAGAGTACAGGGCCGGGACTTTCTGCGCGATGTAAGTTGAGTTATTGAAGCAAGCTCGAGGATATCCATTTTCGTCATGACAATAGTCAAAATCCAGCACCCACCGCCTATCGACCGGGCTGTAGACTGTTTCGTTGTCGTGGGGTTGGAAGGTGATGTCGTCGAACGGGTCAAATTTCTGCACGGTGAGTGAGCCGGACGTGTCCTTTCCTGAATCCGTCACCAACATGCCCGTGACATTGAACGGAAACTGAATGGGCCTCGGGGGGTCCGGATCCGTGAAGTCTTCATTCAAGTCCAAAGCAACCAAATACGGATAATTCCGGTTAGCATTTCTGGGGATCGTAATCAAGACGTCGAACCGTTGGGCGGCAGATATTCGCAACTGTTTCGCAGACTGTCTGCTCACGTACGTGGCGTCGATTGCGATGACGTCCATGTCAAAGGAGTCGAACTGGATAAATGTAGAGAACATGGCGGACCAATTGATCAAGCGAAGACGATAGGTCTTACCAGGCTCGACGGGGATATGACCGTCGCCGCCGTCGTTCACAATGGTACTATTTGGGATGGGAGGTGCGAATTGCGTGTTGTTGGGTTGAATCATCGCTGACACGAGAGACGGAGTTTGGTCGCGATACCTAATCGTTATGTGAGTACAGTCTCCCAATATGAATTCATCGTCAAGTCATTCAAACTTACCAATCTGATAGGCTGAGGATGACTTCTTCATCATAGGCGTTTTTATAAGGGTCGTCTGGATCATGAATTATGAGCGGACCACGGAGGCCGTCTGGGTATTGGCCCATACTATGTGAATGGTCTTGTGTTGTTAGCACAGCGCAACGGCCTGGTTGTCTGGAATATTGCAACTTACACCAATACGTGCCGGGCTCATCAGCCTATTCGTATACAAAATTAGTCTCTGCCTCACAAAGGAACGTGGCGGCTCGATCCTTACATAGAAGCGGTACTTGACCGTGGTATCCGGAGCTACAGGGCATTGGTTCACGCCAACAGCGCCATCCATATCATTCGAATTGATTTGGTTAATTCCATGGAAATGGAGACCTGTAGTCTCATTGCCCAGTTTGTTGTTCAAGTTGACAGTGACGGTATCGCCAACGTCCGCCTCGATTATTGGGCATGGCCAGGCGTCGTTTATCCCTATGACAGGCCTGGAAAACCCATCGGGGCTGGCCATAACCCAAGTCACGTTCCAGTCATAGGTGACCGTCTTCGCCAGCGACCCGGCGACCTGGGCCAAGGCAATGAGGATGGGAAAGTACCCCCTCTGCATCACGCCTGATATCCTGTCCACCGGGGGGGTGAGTCTTCGAAGAACGAAGAAGAAGAAGGATCGCGGTCGTATCCAAGGTGAGGATGGGGGACAAGACAGAGATTGAAACACTTGGAGAGAGCAAATGTGTCGGATCTAGGCTGCGCTCGTTTCTTATAAACGCTAGGTTGGCGGGCAACGTTCAGCAGCAAGACCTCCCCCAGTTAACGGCAGACTATAGCCCACCGCGTATATCCACGCTACAGACCCATCTTCGAAAAGTTCGATGCTTCAAACTCACCAAGCGCATCATGACGCAAATAAGGGGGGGGGGGAGCACGAGGTCAATAATTTCGCCTCCTGGAGATAATAGGGCTGACGCGTTGAGGCTAGATCCTTAAGTGCACGGCTGCTCGGGAGCGCGATCGCTAGCACGGATGTCCGTGATGGTATAGCTCGATGTCGAGCTATCAAGTTGGCTGCCATGGGAAGGCATGCTGCTGAAAATAGACCACATGGAAGCCCACGGAGTGGAAGGGTGATAGCTCTCTAGGTTAGCATATAATAGTTAACATGATTTCTACGTACATACTTTGGCAGGTAGTTAGCTTGGGAGTGTGGTCTGTGGTCTACGCTCGGATCGCCCACGGCGAAGAACCGATTGCCTTTGGGAGCCTCTAACATACATACATAGTAGACTTGACTTGGCGCAGCGCGTTTCAGGAACTTGTTACATGTTTTGCTTACCTACCTACCTAGAGATCCCCGATGTTACAGGATAACTTTAACGTATCTACCTACCTAGGGAAGCAAATCATTTTGGCATCTTTGGATGATATATATTCCCGTGAAATACGGAGTGCATAGGTTTGTAGAGGTCTTGAGTTAAGAAGGGGAGGGAGGGGGGGGGGGGGGGGGGGGGGAGTAGTTTAAATGGGAGGTTATACGTGTCGAGTGCGACGACGCTTTCAAATTTCCAAAACAACACAACTGCCTGCCGAACCTAGGGGTGATGTGATGTTTGTACATCTGAGATGGTAGGCATTGAAATACTTTCCAACTCTCCCTTTCTATCTATTGCCCTACGTTTCTTTCCGTATACCTACTTCAAGGTTCATGTAAAAAAAAAAGGGGGGGGAGATAATAGTTATTGACTTTCTGACAACTGCCAAATGCACAGACGGCTATGTATGTACCTGCCTCGTGCTAGGTAATCATCCACATGATGTGCCAACCCCTAGCCCGGTAAGAGCATGACTAGTTATAAACGACTATAAACGGTATATCTGCTACCTACTCTGGCACCTATTTATGCAGGTAGTTACTTAGACTTCCAAGGTTCAAGGTTAGTTAGTAGGTAGCGGAGCTCTAAATATGGTACTCCGAACGTACCTACCTACCTACCTACCTCTAGGTAGATTTAGTGTTCGATAGGTATTCTATTCTTGAGTTACAAGCACACCTGGGCAAGTTTTCGTTTTATAGACCACATAAAGTCGAGTATCTGTGTTCGAAGAAAAGCCTAATATGCCTGGATACCTACCTACCTACGTAGGTACTTTGGGAGGCAATGCTGGACTTATATCTAGGTAGGCTCAGTCATGGCCATAGGCACCTATCTCATAAGGCGTACCTCGCTAAACTACCCCTTTAACCGTGAAACAAGACACCAACTAACTAAGCCAAAGAGGCATGCTTCCATTAGTAAGTTCTTAGGAATCGATGGCCTGATTACGTAGGTAAGTCTCTGAATATCAAACCGGCATAAAGTATTAGGCAATCGTAAATAGAGCATCAAGGGAACTCGCTACGTAAGCCGTGTCATCTTCTCACTTCAGTCCAACTCGATGAATAAAGAACGTACAGTTTTACATCAGGATTATATTCATTGTAATATATAAGTCGAATGCTTTCGAAACCTGTCATCGTACATAAACTAGAAACGAAGCTGTCATTCGTAGCCTATGGCCATACCCTTTCGTTCCACGTCGGCTGTTCCAAATCCCGCAGACGTACCTTTGACTCATCAACGTAATTAAACCTAGGCCATACTTTTGGAAATCTTTTAGAAATCCAGGTTATATCCTCATTCGCCTCTTCTTGTAGGACAAATCCTCTTCCGCCCAAGCGTCTTCAAAAACCGTCGGCAACTTCGTAAAATGGCTGTCTCTATGGCCGAGATAGCGTACGACCTGAAATGCTCCTGTGCCGACGGTCATAGTCTGTCCCATAATGATCTTTTCACTAACGCCTTCAATGCGATCTGCTTTCAACCCAGCTGCTGCATCGAACAGATGATCTGCTGTTTTCTCGAAAGATGCGAGTTGCAACACGCTGTCTCGCATCTTAGCCAGACCGAAACGGGTAATACCGAGAATTTCGCCTTTGTATGTCATGACATCGGCAAGTAAGTCCATATGTCGTGGATCAATATTCATATCGCCCATGACGCTTGTGATTTCAGCGGCAATCGTCGTTCGGGCTGCTTCAATGCCTAGAATATCTCGACACTCCAAGACACTGTTCGTACGAGTCTTGGTGCCCACGACTCCTTCGGTATTCATGCATTCCCGTAAGCCATATCCTTCGACTAGAACAGTGTACATCTCTTTCTTGTCCTTTTTGTCTATGTCTGTTTGGATGATTGCACGAGTTGCTTCCGGATATCCAGAAATTGGAACGGACGGCAGGACACGTTTGAGCTGGCCTACCTTGACCATCAAGTCCGCTGTGGCCTCAGCAATAGCTGCCTTGCTTCTTGGCGCTCGCCTGGCTGCCGCGTCCGGGTCGGGAGGCTTCACTGTGATTTCGATGGATGCATCTTGTTCGAATATATCAATATCGGTCGCAAGTACCTTCAATTTCTTTTGCTTGACAATAGAATCCGCAATATCTTGAAGGGTAATACCCAAGTGCATCCCTTCCACGGTTTCCATGTTGATGTGCAGAGTAATAAAGGCCCTAGATGGGCTCCATTCATCGTCGATGAATCGAAGAATATCTTCAATATAAGTCTTCTCGATCCTAGCTCTTACAAGGTGTGCGACCTCTATTTGCCTCGAGTTCTGCAGAGGACAGCTGATAACTGGTGTACTGATCAATCTCGAGGCGTTAATGATTTCCTTAATACGCGGCACACCCTGTGTAATGCTCATTCCAGCAACACCCGCAAAATGGAAAGTTTTCAGCGTCATCTGTGTTCCGGGTTCGCCGATTGACTGAGCGCCGACTGCGCCGACTGCATGACCTGGCTCTACATGCGCTTTTGAATATTTTTCTAGGCATAATGTAATGAAGTGCCTAAGTGTGCGCTCTGATATCTTAGCCACCCTCTCTGATGCAAGTCTTGGGACGGTCCCCTTTTCCTTCTTGTAAATTGTCGCTAGCGAGCCAGTAGGTCGATCCAGCAAGGGATCAAGACCTGCAGAAGTTCGGAATTTTGCCAGCTTCACTGCCAAGCCTTCTATGTGTTTATACACTGTATCAAGAAACCCACGGGCACTCTCATGCTCGTCAATTGCATAGTCGCTGGTATCATTGTATTCCAGAGGCTCGCCATGCAACAGGCCTCGTCTCCGGTAATGTTCGCGTTCGTTGTCAAGAATGGAGCCACACAGTTGTATAATCTCAAAAGGTAACAACGCCTTGTCAGAGTTATTCCAGGTAAGGGCTTCGGCATGGGACCAAGTCCGCTCGAAGTTGACCGGAACGGCCTTTCCTTCCATATCCACAGGGTCTAACTTGTCTGCACCGAACTGGAACTGCACCACCCCTCCACCAGAGGTTCTGACAGTGTCATCATATTGAGTAGAGAGATCCTCCAAGGATTTCATTAAACGACGGGACATATATCCAGTCTCTGCGGTTTTGACAGCCGTGTCGACTAAGCCTTCTCTGCCGGATACGGCGTGGAACAAGAATTCAGTTGGTAACAGGCCCGTATAAAAGCTGTTTCTGACGAAACCCTTCGCGGGAGCTTGGCGGGCGTTCTTGTGGAAATGTGGAAGAGTTCGATCTTGGAAACCATCAGCTACACGTTTCCCACCGATAATCTGTTGGCCGACGACGGCAATCATCTGAGCGACGTTGATGGTTGAACCCTTGGATCCGGACGAGGCCATAACCCAAGGAGCATTGTTCCTACTGAGAGTCTTAATACAATAGTCTCCGGCGGCCTGTCGAACTTTGCTTAGAGAACCTGAGATCTTGTTTTCCAAGGTCTCTTCCATACTGCACCCGGCAGCTTTCTCCAGTTTGTTCTTGTTGAATAGCTCGATAAGAGTATCTGACGCTTTATATGCTTCCTCCACCAGTGCCTGCTTCTGTTCAGTGAGAGCAGCAGAAGGGAAGACGTCGCCAATGCCGATTGAAAACCCTCGATTGGTTAAAACTCTTGCACACAGCTTAGCCAACCGGTTCATTGCCGTCACAGCCGCGTCAGGTCCGAAATCTCTTAGAATGACATAGAATATTGACTCCTTCTTGCCGTCTCCAACTGTGGATTTGTCCATCCTGCCACACATGACTTCTGAGTTTCTCACGACAAGCCATCCGTCGTTCGGACACATGTCCGGCGCTCTTGGTTTTCCACCCGGCACGGATGGGCCTGGATCCTGAAAATCTCTGCACTTGGCATCAAGATTGACCTTGACCGGGTCAGCCTTGTTCGGTCGCATGAGCATACTAAAGATTTGCTTCCCGGTCCAAAGACGCTTAGGGGCAAGAATCGCAGGAGCCGGCAAGTCTAAATGGGTAATACCATCCATCATCTGCATGACCATGTAGGTAAATGTTGAGCGATCATAGAAATTGTCTTTGCTGCTGAGGAGATAGGCAGCCGTGATAAAATCTTGTGTTGCTGCAATGATGGGCTCTCCGTTCTTTGGGGTTACTAAGTTGTACTTAACACCCATGAGAATCATAGCTTCAGCCCGAGCCTCTTCGGTCTGCGGGACATGGAGATTCATTTCATCTCCATCAAAATCAGCATTGTAAGGTCCACAGACACATTCATTCAGACGGAAGGTTCTCCAGGGTCGGATTTTAGCAAAATGACTCATGATACTGAGTTTGTGAAGAGATGGCTGTCGATTGAATAGGACAATATCGTTATCCTCGAGGTGGCGTTCAACTATGTCTCCTTCCTTCAGGTCTCTGGCAGTTAACTCCTTCGGGGCAAATCTCAAGGAAATTTTGAATGACTGATCACCATCTTCTTTCAAAACTGCCTGAGCACCTGGCCACTCAGTAGGACCGTTAATAATGCATTTCCTAAGCTTTTCGATATTCCCTCGATGAACCCTCTCGGGGTAAGTGAGGTTTTTGGCAACGAGTATCGGTACGGCAACTTGGTTGATAGCCAGGTTGGGATCGGGAGAAATGACAGTACGGCCAGAGAAGTCCACACGTTTTCCAGAAAGATTACCACGGAATCTCCCTTGTTTGCCTTTCAAGCGCTGGCAGACACCTCTCATCGTTTTCATTCCGGTATTTTGTAAACCAGGGACATCACTGTTTACGTAGACGGCGATCTGCAGTTGTAAATACTCCCATTGTTCCATGATTGTCTGGAGTGCCGTGCCTTTTTCTAATGCAGCTCGAATGAGGCCACATGCCCAAACTATCTCTCCAAGGCGAGTCGTTAGATCATCCTCATTACTTGCTCCCTCTTGGGCGACGGATGGCCGAATACAAACTGGTGGGGCAGGAAGATATTGCCATAGAAACATCTCAGGCCGTCCCTCAGAAGGATCCAGTCCAATTAGCTCGCAATCAGTAGGGCTAATCTGCTTAAAGAGATTTAAAACCCGGAGAGGGTTCAAATCTTCAAAAGCTTTCCTCATATGCTTATCAAGATCATGGACGTGCTTTTTGGCTTCTCGAAAGGAGTTGTCGAATTCAATTTTGCTGGAAGGGGGCTGCTTCTTCTGCGAAGTTGATTTGTTGAAGGCAATAAACTTGTCATGAACAAGCTTGAGAGCTCCAACTTTCCTAATCTGACCATTTACTGCTCCGCAGTAAGGACAATTTTTGGCCTTTCGACACTGCTCATTGATCTTTTTACAGATAGCAACACGTCTCATGTTGTCGATGAAGGGCCGTCGTAATTCCTTAAGATACATTCGGCGTTCCGGCTCTGTCAACAATACTCGTGAGCAGTCCTTGCAGATGTTCTGCAAGATGGTGATTGTAAACTTGATGTACCCAATGTGAAAAGCGGGCAGTGGTAATCGGACATGGCCAAAGTGACCAGTACACTCCTGTAACCGCAAACCACATGTCGAGCAAATACCTTGCTTGCTTGAAGTACCCTATAGATGTTAGGTTAATGAATATCCTGGAATAGGCCCTTCAGATCTTCAGAGACTTACCAGGCGCTTGTCAAGCACACCATTCGCAGTTGGTTCTCTACCCTGTTCAACATCATACATAGTTCGGTTGGAAATCTCTATGACAGCTTGGTTGACTATGTCTTGGTTTGACTGAATGCCGAACTTCATATGCTTGAACTTCTTTGGTAGCTTGTCCACAACCTGGTGCTTAACCGGCGCAACCGCCGTGGTGAGCGTGGCGGTGGCCATTATGGTTGATTCTTAGATACACCAGGTGTAAGTCGCTAGGTAATTGGAAATGTCAAGATAGGTCAGTCGGAAGTTGGGAATATATTGTGAGAATATCTCAATGCCGAGGGTGAAAGACACTTCATCACCTAAGAAGTAGTCGTCGTTGAATCAAAAATGAAGAAACGAAATGTGAGAAAGACTGTAGTTTGACGCGTTAATTGTGAAGATTAGCAACTCAAGTTGTATTTGGTTGATGAAATTTTGAACTAGATAAAAGCTTCTGGAGATATTTGGTTAGAGTCATTTCTCAGTTGTGCCCCACCATTTCATCTAAACGGATAAAGTTCACTATTGAAGGCTGATAAGAACTTTGAACTTGAACCATGCATAGGTACATACCTAGGGTACCTCTGGAATCTCTAATGTGTACTAGCCTACTAGGTACTGTGTGGCTTGGTACACCGTACACCTTGTAACTAGTGGGTACTAGGTAGTACCTAAGCCTCAAGGCGGGGTCAAAGAGTTCGGGACCCACTATACCTGCCTAGTACATATGTACTATGTACACTTCAGGCAGTGTTTGCCTCAGCTCTCTCAGCTAATGTTGATTATCCCGATTATCCCCCTAGGCTCACCGGTACTTGTAAAATCGTCATAGCTTTTTGGAGAATAAATGCATATGTCAACCTTCATACTACCCGTGACACCTTATGCAGGCCGCTGTATAGGTACTAGCCTCCGGAATTTAAGGCTGACAAGGACAGCTTTGAACAAAAACATCAATTATCCACCTGGCTGGCACCCAGCTTTGATCCGTTTCCATGTGATTAATTACCTAGGTATATACGGAGTATATATTTCTATTATTCCTAATATCTTTAAGGTATCTTTTATTCCTTTCAAATTGTTGCAAACAACATGCAACTTCTCTCATCTGAAAGTCTAGACAAAGTCCAGACTCGTATAGTAAAGAACGTGTATATCGTATATTCATTATAAAAAGATCGTCTCTTTTTAGGAGTTGACCTTCTCACAGCCAATCCTGCCTATCCTGCCTATTCTAACGGTAGCCAAGCGGGCTGGGCGATCGATCCTAATAATAGTTCAGTATTCCTGACGCTTTTAACTCGTTGATCTCGTCCTTCTTACCACCTAACTATCCTTCTCTATCTTCCACGTTGGCGAATTCACTGATCTGTTCTCGACGAGTTTGCAGAGGTTCCCGGGCATTGCCTTTATTATCTGTCATTAGTCACATATCTAACAAGTCTCGGAGAGGCATCCTCGGATGGCCCTCCAGCCGCAATACTAAAATGGCTCCAGGGAACGTTGATACAACACTACCTATGCCCAATGAAAAGAAGGATACTATTAAAAAGGTAGAGAAATCATATTTAGCCAGCGCCGTCGATTCCATCAACCCTTGGAATATCAACCGAAGCATCACGCCTAGCCGCAGTACCACACCTACACCCACACCGAGAGATGACTCCTTCCCCAAGTCGATAACGATGCCTACTCAAAAGGCCGATGACCATAGCACCAATACTCTCTATGGACAAAGCTTTAAGAAATACCCGCCCGACTGTCCACCATTAAATGTCATGTGGTTTCACGCCGTCGATGTAGGTAACAATTTCGGTCACATGGCCCAATTTATACAATAACTCTTCTCACTATTTTGCTATCAGGTCCCCAAACGAAAACCCAATTTCCTCAAGACGAAGAGGAGAGACGATGATGCACCGAAGCCCATACCCAAGAAATACGTCGCCTTCTCCAAAAACGATTCCCGGTCGATTGAGAATGCGTATCAAAAGCTTCTGGAAGAGCTTGAGGACGAACGAGGCAAAAGTTCAATAACCAGGCAGATGAGCTCTAGGTCGCAACGTAGGAGGGCTATATCGTCAGAGGAAACTCCTAACACAAACATTGATAAGGAAAATGGAGGACGAGAAGGCGGTCTACGAGTCCCGGTGAACGAAGATTTCTTATTCGATGTCGACATCGAAGAACGTGAATTAGCACCGGTGTACTGGCTAGGCGCAATATATGAGGTCCGTCGCGGTACCTGGTTTTATCAAGAAGGGTCTACACTCCGACCTTGTGAGGAAAATCTGGCAGCTCAGCTTGAGGAGGGTTATTTGAAAATCAAACCTTGGGCATATCCTGCGCCTAGGAACCGCACCAACTCTGGGCTACAAGATATAACTCCAAAAGCCTCTACAGAAAACCTGAAGGCGGCTGCGAGGTCGCAAACTGACAGCTCGCTCAAGCTTCCTTCCCAGCCCGCAGTCCAACACCAACCACAAACCTATCGTCTATTTGGCACTTACATGAATAGCATAGCAACTTATCAAGATTCAACCACAGCTTGGCTATCCTCGGAGAGTGTTTTTTCGTGGGTTACGTCAACAGTCTATCAGAAGTTTGCTGGCGGTGGATACATGAACGGTGTAAAACTCGTACGCGGCTATTCAGAGCCTGGAAAGTCAAAAGATGGGAAAAGGCCACCCACACCCACGACAGCTACTTTACCTCCCGAAAGACCAGACGAAAGGGAAGAAAAGGCTCTCAAGCGAAGGTCTGCCCCGCCTAGTACACGAACAGACAAGGAAGATGACGATAGTACAACAGAAGTAGAGCGTCGGGAGAATCGGCTAAAACGTCAATTTTCGTCATTCATCGAGGCTTCGGAGGATCCAGAAAAGCAGGAAGAGCAAATAAGAAAGCGTGAGGAGCAGGAAATACAAGATGACTACAATGGCCAAGATGGTGAAACCCAGGAACGCGAGATTGAGCATCTTGTCCTCGTTACCCATGGTATAGGACAGCTCCTAGGGCTTCGGTAAGTCTTGCAATGAAACATTTCAAGTCCATTCACATGCTAACCTTGTTTACTCAGGATGGAGAGCGTCAATTTTGTGCACGATGTCAATATGCTGCGGAAAACATTTAAAGCAGTCTACGCTCATTCAGCCGACTTGAAAACTCTCAACGGGGAAAGCGAGAATGGACCGGGCAACTGCAAGGTCCAAGTATTACCCGTCTGTTGGAGACATCTGTTAGATTTCCCTAAGCGGAAGGAAAAGAAAGGCGAGACCGACTTGGGCGACTTCGCGGATGATGAGGATGAGTGTAAGGATGGCATCCATGTGTATGATTCATTATGATATGTGCTAATGGCCCTACAGACCCTTCGCTTGAAGATATCACCATTGAAGGAGTTGCTTTTGCTCGCTCGCTCATATCAGATCTTGCGTTAGACGTTCTACTCTACCAGAGTGCCTACCGAGAACAAATCGCCGAAATCGTTTTAAAGGAGTCCAACAGAATATATAAGCTATTCATGGAACGTAATCCCGATTTCAAAGGAAAGGTGCATATTGTCGGCCATTCTTTAGGCTCTGCGATCATGTTCGATATCCTTTGCAGGCAGAAAGAAAATCCACTGTTTTCGGAGCCGCTCCGTAGCCCCCTACGCTTTTGGCCCCCCCAAGATCGATCTGAGCCCTTCAAGGAACCCCCGAAGGAATCTCGAGAGCTTGTCTTTGACTTTGAAGTCGAGGATTTCTATTGTCTCGGTTCGCCGATTGGGCTCTTCCAGATGCTTAAAGGGCGCACTGTCGCAGCTCGAGGCAAGTCCAATGCGGCCCCGTCTGAAAGTCCACTCGACTCTGAATACGTGGAAGACGCTTTTCTATCACCCAATATCAATACGGACCAACGTGTTTCAGCCATTACTGGCCTTCCCTTCTCGGTATCGTCGCCAAAGGTAGGGCAGTTATTCAACATCTTCCATCCATCTGATCCAATTTCATACCGTCTCGAGCCGCTGATCTCCCCGGCTATGTCATCCCTCAAACCACAAGTTCTACCCTACACCAAGAAGGGCATCTTCGGAAACGTAGCTCCACAAGGATTGTCAGGTCTTGGTGCTAAAGTTGGCCAAAGCGTGAGCGGGCTCTGGTCAAGCTTTAGCGCCGGCATCGCCAGTAGTCTCCTCAACCGCAGCTTAGGGCTGAGCAACGAGGATGTTGCCAACTTCAACGCCGCAAATAGCAGCAACCCCCAAAGCCAAAGTATGCCTCCTGGTGCCGGCACGAACATCGTCTCGGGCGGTGTAATCGATACCAATGCACAGTCTGAGAAGACAGACGCACGCAAAAAGGCGCTTGCGCGTCTAAATTCTTCCGGGAGGTCGAGTGGGAACCCCAACTACGACGCCACTCTCATAGATGACGAGCTTGAAACACTGTTCGCCCAATTCCAGAAGAAGCGTGTCGAAGATCACAAGAATAATGACAGCCCCACGGAGGAAGGACAGGAGATCAGTGAGGCGTTGGCCGCTGAAGAACGGAAAGCGCAGAAGTTACGAAGGGAGGAGGCGAAGGTGCGTGCTCTGAATCGCAATGGTAGAGTGGACTACAGCATCCAAGAGTAAGTAATGTCATTCCTCTTATGCCATCGTCCCCTTTTCCTTGGGCTAGAATCTTCAAGTGGAAGGGGAGGAATCGGGAATTACGCTGAGAAATAAATGTCGAATTTGCTAACGGAGACCACGATAATTTAGGAGCGCACTCGACTTCAATCCGATCAACACCATCGCTTCGCACATGAGTTACTGGCAGGATGAAGATGTCAGCCACTTCATCATCTCCCAGGTCCTCTCTAAGAAGAAGGAAGAAGAGAAACGCAAGAAAGATTCGCCCGGCGTCCTTATCTGATACGAGCGTGTCTGCCTACCTACTCTCTTTCTATCATTGATACGCGAAACCACGCAACGTATCACATGCAACCCAAACACAGCATTTGCTGTTTAGAATATTGTGACTATTCCTACATCCTGACCATTGCCACCGCCTATACGAGAAACGAGACATCGGGATTAATTACTGTTGGCGTACTGGGTACCTAGTGTCTATGCTTATTTGAAGCCGCAACGCATCACGCCCATGTTTTAGGCCATCCATTCATCGTCTCACTGGCGTAATATGAGACAACACGACGCAAGTTCATCGAGGTCCAGGTAGCGGAACTCCAGGATGTATAACAAACGAAAACACACACACAAACTTTGTATTCTCTGTAGGTAGGTATCTGCCTCGTGGCTAATGTTACTTGGACGTTTTGGGTAGTTGGTCATGTTTTCAGCCTACCTATCCATTTGTCTATCCTAGGATTGATACCTACCTGATATGTATTCGCCCATAAACGATAACAATTCCCCCTATAATTCTCCCTATCCATTACCATTACCATTACCATTACCCCTTAGCATCATTTACCATTATCACCGTCACTATCAGCATTACCATTACCATGACCATTACCATTATCAACATCAATGAAAAAAAATCAAACTTTCAACAACAATAGACTAGACTAGACTACCTAGATTAGAATGGACTGGATTAAGTTAGGTTAGATTATTTAGATTTAGATTTAGATACCTAGGATACCTAACTAGCGAGACTTGTTTGTAGATTTATTCATCATATATCATCTATCTATTATCTACTTACTATCATCTACCATAGTATACTTACTCTATAAATTAACCAAGGCTGGACTTGAGTTGGTAATTTAGTAGTCACTGTCTAGATACCTATATATAAGTAGGTACTGTGTAGTTTGTAACCGGCGTCTTCAAGGCGAGGGCTTGCTGCCCCTGTCGAAGAGTCTCAGACGACAACGATACCTGCCTAACCTAGGTACCTACCTACCTACCTACCTACCTAATTGTTTTTACTCGATTACATTTCTTGATATATTGTGTATCTACCGTATACCACGTTATCACGTATCACGTATCGTGTATAGTATCACGTCTGCCACAGTCGAATTATATCCAGGCATTGGTACCTTTGATCAGGTCGGTACGCGAGAAGCACAGTAATAGCAAAGCTACCTACTGCTTACCTACCTGGTACCTGCCGAGGGTAGTCCACGTGTTGATCATGTCCAAAGGCGCGGGTCTCCCCACGCTCGAGTCCATTACATACCTAACCTAGGATGTCCGGGTACTTCATAATCAAATTTCAACGTTAACCTTCAAGTCGTAAGCACTATACATTACATTGCCGACTTCTTAGAATAACGGTGGCTATACTACTCGATCAATGTTTTACTATGAGCAGCAGAGAAGTATTAGAGGTACAGTCAAGCATTGAAGAGAAGACAATTGAGTGGTTTAGGCCGAATTAAGACATTCCGTTCGTGTTCAGCATTTCTATCTTCCGAACAACTACTGTAGAAAATCCGTTCATAAGGTGCTGGTGTAATGAGTCCGAGAAACCCTGCAGATCTGACGCGATCAATGCCGTAAAGAACCTGCGATATCCATAGCAAAGCAAATCCATGACTCCATATTCCGTGGAAGAACTTTTTATGCCCAGGTGACCACTACCCCCTAATTTTTAGGTGCCGTTGTCTCGTCTCATGATGTTGAATATCAAAAGAGAAGATGTTTGTCTCGGGGGGCTGTCCATTTCGTTCCGTTCCAAATGAGAATGCCCGGCTTTACCAAATCGCAATCAGCCGCAAGCGACCACGCAGAGGCCAACCATGAGAAGAAATATACAAGGTGTTTTGCCGGAGATTTTTGAGGAGATGATTCATCCCAATCATCTACTGTTCTGGTGACCTTTCCACAGGCCACGGTCACCAACTGCCTTCATAAACTTTTGATGGTAGAGAATATAAGCGTAGGCGGAAGTAACATCATGAGGTGAGGAGTCCGCCGCCACAACTGGAAGAGGTTGAAGCCCCCCGGGCGTAGATCTACTTAGTTAGGGCACTGAGACTGGACATGTCCAGGCTGCTGGCACTTGTAGCAGATCTTCTCGCCTCCAGTCGAGGCCTTCGGGCAGTCACGAGAGAAATGGCCATTCTCTCCGCAGTTGTAGCACTTGCTACCATTGACACACTCGCCTAAAATGAAAGTTAGGGCGAAGAATTAAATCCAAATTCTCAAGATTACTTACGAGACATGTGGCCGTAGCCACCGCAAGAGTAGCAAGTCTTGCCTCCCTGAGATCCACCATAGCCACCACCACCACCTCCGCCGCTGCTGAAACCGCCGCCGCCACCGCCGCCGTAGCCGCCGGAACCGTACGCATCAGGGCAGTTGCGTGCAATATGGCCAACCTTGCCACACTGTCATCAAATACGTTAATTACATGGTCATTAGTGAGTAAAGGGTATTAAGGAACTTGCCTTGTAGCATTCCTGGGAGCCGCCTTGGCCGCCGCCACCGCCGCCAACTGGGCCGCTGCTTTGAGGGCACTCACGGCTGATGTGGCCGGTCTGGCCACATCGGTAGCAGGACTTGGTGTCCTTAGGACCCTCGGGGCATTCACGGCCTGTATAGATATATGGTTAGAAACTGTTCAGTCCAATATAAGAAGTCACGGGGCACTTACTGAGATGTCCGTCTCCACCACAGTTGTAGCTTTGAAATGTTAATATAAACCACATAACGTGACTTGGGTCCATGTATTACTTACCACTTGGCCGGGCCGCGGGGAGTGGTACACTCACGGGCCTAAAATCTGCAGGTTAGAGATCATGCCCACTATCAAGTTTCGATCCGATATCAATGTATCTGGTCTCAACATACCTGGTGACCAGGTTGGCCGCCTATACAAGAAAAATGTTAGAAAATGCTAAACGAATGAAGGAATAATATTGAGTGGTCTTAAAAACTTTAAGCTCAATAAAGAGACAATACTTACAGTTGTAGCATGAACGCGTAGTACCTTGGAAATCCATTTTGTCTTATGGTCTCAAATCTGTCAAAGCACAAATTGAATGTTAGTTTTTGAAGAACCCCAAGCATACAGGGTGTGACAATCAAGTTGTAGGAATGAACCCGGTACCAAACCACCAAATCAAACTAAAGTTCGAAGCAGCAGTGGGACTACTAGGTGCATAGAGCCAGACTTCAATGGATTGGATCATAATGGATAGATAAGGAAAGCATAGGGACGTAAAAACAGGTGTTGCTACATGAGTAATATGTAGGTAAGAATAGGGTTAATAGATAGACAAACTTGTCTATACCACAGTAAATAATCAGTGGGGCGATATGAGTGTGGGTTGATAAAGTGTAAAAGCGCAAAAGCGTAAAAAGCAATGGTAGTGGGGTTGTGAACTTGTAATCCAGTGTTTATGGACGAATAGAGGGGTTCATAATGCAAGAATTTGACGCGAGAGATTCAACCTGACTCACCAAGAACTATCGTAATCCTTGCGCACCTAACAACGATGTGAGAATAAACCCTTGTGAGAAGAAAGTTGTTAGTAACGAATTGGGATAATGTTGGGTAGAAGGAAAAATGTGATCGGCGTTGTAAACTGCTGCCGAAGAAGTAATCGATTGGCGTGACACCGAAGAAGCCGGCCAAGATTTTTGTGTGAAAAAAGGTGAGGAAAGCAGGTAGGTGAACGAACAGTGAATTTCTTTTTTCTTTTTTTCTTTTCCCCTCAGAGAAAATAGACAGGTGTGTGTGGGTGCGCTGGTTATTTTGTGCAGTTGGTAGGTAGTATGTAGGTTAGATGAGATAGATGGGACAGATGGGATGAGAGAAGCAGCGTTAAAGTATATGTTCAGGTATGTAGGTCCACCCTAGAAGTCGGCCAAAAAATGCAGGCGCCGGAATTACATAAACACTAGCCTAGGCATCGTAAAAATGTGGCAAGGGCAGGCACATAAAAATGCAGGAGCTCTGAAAAAAACATTGGAGATATTGATGGTACTGGGGGACATCTGGATATAGAGAAGGCAGGTACGTATAAAAGAGTACCTCGAATCATGTACGGGCTGTGTTGTCTGTATGTATTACTCACTTGCTTGTAAAAGCAGCAAAGGTGATGAGATCTGAAGTAAGTGTTTTTGAATTATCAACTGCACACACACTCTCTAATCCACCTTGCTACAACAGGATCGTGTAGACTGAAAATGGAAGAAAAAAGGGTTTGAGAAGAAGAACAAAGTTGTTGTAAATGGTTATCAAAGTAATAATATCTTGTAGATAACTTTATTGCCTTGATCGTCGTCTGAATCACCTTGCGCACGTAACGTTCGGTTGATTGTTGATTGATTGACTTTTCAAAATTTTGTGGGAATCACCAATTTCCATTCTTGGAACGGCGACAGGCTTTTTTCTGCCACTCTAGCGGCTAGAGGGCACGTGCCTTGCTTTACCGCCATGAACTGTATACGAATTGTCGCTTCCACCTCCAGGGCTTTCTAACAAGAAAAATTTTAAAGTGCATTTTACTTATCCAGGTGACCTATGTACCTAAGGTTAGTGGCAAGCTTGAGTCACTAATCCCACGGACACCAACATAACTGGATTTATCGATATGATGACGATGTTGAGACGTTGAGATTTTAAAATGGAACCAAATAGAACCCGTGCAATGATGGATTTATCTTGAGAATTTGAGGGCATGTATGATTTGATGTTTACTTGGGTATTAGTTGCATAACATAGTATGTTATGTAGCATTCGATATAGTAGTCTATTATGGGAAATAATATATGCTTCTCCGCACAGAGCCAGTATTGCTATAGCTATCTACTTATAACTACATGTTCTAGCTGGGAAAGTATAGTAGGCTGAACTCACCTACCTACCTATATACCTAGGTTAGGTGCATCGCATTGTCCACCGGATTTGTCACGGCGGGGAGGGAGGGGGATTTGCCTACATACCCACTTGGATATGATCGATAGGTACCTACCTACCTACTGATTCTCCCGTCCCGGAATGCTCCTCTCCGAATATTTGCAAAGGGAAACGGTTGATATGAATTCATAGTATTCATACATATCTAGGGTAGTAAGAATCACCCAAGTGCTTACAACATGCTTCTTAGCAATGGCAAGCAACTCACGTATATCTGTTTTTCATAATTCGACTATATTTTGAAAATGGAGACTGGGGTGAGAGTGTGCGTGGGCCTTGCAGGATGGGGGCAATATGCAGCCCTATCCCGATAAACATAGTATTTTTTGTTTAACTTACATACCTCCACTTGAAGATGCGCGTGCGTGTAAGTCGCATCCAAATGTGAGCAAACTTTGCATGCATGTGGTGAACACATTTGCCTAGGTTAGGTCCTACATATGCATATATACATAGTAGATAGTCTGAATAGTAATCTCAATGTTGAAAGGATAAGAGCGTACCTCTAGGTTACTGATCTTGATATCAGTTATTAGAGTATCTAGGTTAAGTTCATTTTCTTCGGCACATGCATCAACATAGCATTACATGTTGTACCTAGTAGGCATGGAGGGGTGCGAAGGTTTAATGGTATACATGTACCTAGGTACTTAATTGTGGGGCTTTTAAGACTGTTTATTAATTGATCAACTCATTGGCGCGTATGCCATCCTTCAATATACGCGTCGCACCTTACTGCTATCAATTGGTATGGTAGGTACTCGGTACTACCTGATAGGCTGCCACCTTGGCATTTCAAATGTTCAAACATTTGTCAATGTCAAATCCATTTTCCAATTGACAACTTATTTAAATCAAATCAAGTCAAACTAAAGCTCTCACCTATGACGACAAATCCTTGAGTTCAATCCAACTCTACCTAGATGGAGAGTTGGTTCAAGGAAGTGGGTCGGCCTGCCCTATTTGACGCGCTCACTGGAGTATGTGATCAGATTGATAACCAGCTCGATGCGGGTACGTGATTCAACTAATCCCCGAATATCATCTGTCAAAGAATAGCTAGGTACTAAGGTGCAGAACAGGTCTCAAGCCATACATTGAGGAGAATTCTCGGCTTCATGCCGAGGTCAAGGATCTAAAAAGCAAGGTCTCTGACGTAGACCGCTTAAATGAAGAATCTGGACGATTAAAAAAGGAACTTCTGGCTCTCCAGAACGACAAGCTTGCAGGTGCCTCAGTCAAAGCCCCATCTGATAGATTTGATGATGACGCCAGGAACATGCGGACTCCCCTTGCTCCCATGTCTACAAACAAGGTCACAAATTCCAAGCGATCTACCTCTACTAAACCTAGTACTTTCAACATCGAGGGTCTCAAGTTTTCTGAGCTCAAGGAGGAATATTTGAAACTCGACAACAAGTTCACAAAATTACATGGGAAGTACTTGGAACTTCAAGATGCTCATACAGTGTTGAACCAACTCCTTCGAGAAAAGACGAAGTCCTACCATGATTGGATGAACCATGCAAATGAGTTAAATGAGCTATGTCAAAAGCGGCAGCGGATAATTAAGAAGCTGGGTATCAAGTTAAAAGCGTCAGCGGCGGCAGTATCTGGTCCCTTTGAGGGGTATGATTCTTCTGACACCTCTGTCTGGCCTGCAAGTATGCAACAAGTGGCTGAGTCCGAACGATTCGAAGGAAGACCTAGCCATGTACCGGAAGGGACTCCATCGATACGACCGCCTACTATCGTCGAGGTTGCTGACTGCAAGCCTGCAAAGTCAGATTTTATGGGGCTGATGACGATGGATGAAGAGTCACGAGCCAGCCAAAGAGACGAAACCCCTGACTCCGAGCTCTATAATACCACTGAAGACGACGACGCAAATATATTGCCACCTCTGGCTCAGATTGAAATTTCGGGCCCAAAAGATGTGGTCGTCAAGAACGAATCATCATCAGATCCACCAGTCATAGTTTCAGAGCGTTGCTTGCGCAAGAGGAAACTTGGTGATGATGAAAGGAAGAAGACTCCAACTCTAGCCAAAATTAAGCTAGAAGATAGTTCCGATCCATTGGTTATTGGGGAACAACGTCGTTTTGTGCCAGATGAAGATATTGATTTTGACGCTGAAGGGGGGAGGGTAGAGACGCCGAGGAAGCGGAGCAGAACTAGGCCAGCATCTGAAGAAGTACTCGCTTCAAAACCAGCTAATCTACACAACGAAAATAGTCGACTCAGAAGCAGAGGTGGAGAAATACATATACTAAATTCCGCGGCAAAACCGAACCACGTTCCCATTACACCCACTGATCATCATACGGCTGCCCCTCTACCAGAAACTGAGAATCACTCTTCCCTGTTAACGCCCTCAGACCGCAATTCAATTCTTCGTCACAGACCAGAAGCGCATTATGTAGCAAAACAGAAGGCATCGCCCTTATACAATGGTATTGCTAGTCTCCTAGAAGATGGTGACCACGATGAAGAATCAATATCCACGATAAAGAGGAAGTCAAAAGCAGGTCGCCTCCAGGGACTCCTCGGCACTCCTCTACCAGAGCGTGAGGTCATTTCCATATCTGCCAATGTACGGCAAGGTCATTTTCCCATCTCTAAACCTTCCACGACCCAAGTACCGCAGAGACGCGAGTTGCCTTTTGACAAGAATAGCCCGAGGGAGCCTCTTGCACTCATTCGGCCTCATTATAATACGGAATTATCCAGCCGTAATGAAGGATCTGCAACTAAGAACGCGAAGCGGGCCTCTGATAAGAGAGTAGCAAACGAGGTGATTGATGGCCATAAGCGCTTACGAGAACGTCCCAAATCTGAGTTAGGCATTGGTGACTTTAGAATTAACCCCAACGCTAACAATGGCCTCGATTATGCTTTTACTGATGTCGTTCGAAACAAGGATGAACGAGCTGGGTTGGCAGGGTGCGTTCAGGAAGGTTGCTGCGGTCAGACGTTTCGGCTACAAGCACGTGTCGCACGTGACCACACTAGTTCATCAGACTTTCAGGCCTTGTTAGAAAGATATCTGGGCGATGAAGCCTGGAAATTGGGAACTATGAGCAAACCAGAGAAAGAAGAGTTGTGGCTTGAGGCCAAGACACAGGAACTCGCCAACGAGGATGGTAGGCATCGCCATCGCTTTCACCGTGCACCATCTCCAGCAGGGTTCTGGCGGCCAGATTTTCCAAATACCCAAGAGGAACAAAAGGACAAGGAAGAAGCGGCCAGGATGACACGCAAGATTATCGACGAAAGATATCGGGAGGCTATGCGTCCCGGTGGGAGATGGTTATTCAGAGACGAATGAGGCTTGTGCCGCTAACATGTTGGTAACCAGCTACAGTAACAGCACAAAGAGAAATCACGGTAACATGAATATTTCAAGTTTGTTAGCCTTGAAGTTGCAAGGCAGGGTTAACAGCAACTTGAAAATACATACCTAGTACATATGGATACCCAAATTCAAGTGTATGCAAACACATTTACAAAAGGCGTAAAGTCACATAGCATAGCAGGGCGTTATAGAGCTTTGGCATCAGTATTCAGCTATTTAGTAGTTTAGAACATAAATGACAGTAGCTTGTTTGCCGCTTCCAATGCTCTTATTCATCGGTGTCTGTAGGCACTTAACTACTATAGAGCATCATCTTGAAGATATACATATGCACATGGCATACCTAGTACTACATAGTACATGTATGTACATAGATGAATGGCATTAAAGTTATGTCACTGGTACATGCATATTTTTAATGCGCTCAGTTCAAGGTTCGATGGTCAAACTTTGAAGTTATATCTAACATTGAACATTGAACTTGAAGTAAGTTAGTTAACATAATGTGGCTGATCAATGTGGCTAAGTTGGACCCTAGCATGTACACATGACCTACCCGTAACTTACCTCCAGCCTGAGGCTCCAGGGTACCCAGCAGTACCTAACACTAGCCGGGATAAGGTAGTATGCACTAAGTACTTACGTACCTATTTTATTGGTCGGAAAGTTAAGAAAAAGTCGGAAAACAACTGGGCAAAGTCAAGTTGACCTCATCTCGACTAACTTCAACCTTTTTTTATTCCAACGCGCAAATCTGCCAAACTCCCTTAACACCCACAGGACATCTACAGGTGTGCTTTACCTTACCTTTAGCATTTGCGCATGGTTTGATACACTCCCTCCTGATTTTATCTGATTACTTGCCCCTTTCTTAAGCTTCCTATAAGGTCGCGCCACTCATTTTTGCTGTCTCCTACGACTGCGGAAGTGGATCGGAACTGATAATACAACGTGACGCATCAGTTGCTAACGCGCACCTATCAAGCAAATCATCGTCTTGGGTATCCCATTTCGCATCCTCGTACTAACAAAAGGTTGCGATTTGTCTATTGGCGACAAGAACAGTCGCAGAAGCGGTGGATAGCCACTGCTTCATCATCCCCAAGCCGGCAAGATGAACGGTAGTCATCTGCCGGCTGGGCAGCCCATGCCGGGAGGTATCGGCGGAGGAGGGGGGGGAGGAGTTGTGGCAAGAGGACAAGTTGATATGGGACCTAGCGGTGGGCGACGACGACCACCGCAGTATCCAAACCACCATCACCCATATCACCAACCGCATCAACAACACCAACACCAACATCAACATCAACACGTCAGTCCTGTCTACCACAACAGTTATATGAATCCCTATGCCCAGAGTTTCTACTCTCAAGCTCCTCACCAATACCAGAATGGCGCCATGGCCAATCCACCATATATGCATTACAATCCCTACTCTCAACGGTCTCCTCCCACCATCCATCAACAATATCCTCCTATCGTCTCCTCCACCCTACAGCCTATTCCTCAGCCTTACTCCCGGCCACCTCCACCTCCACAGCAACCTTCCCCGGCGCTTGCGACTCCTCCTCCTCCGTATGCGCTCGCTGCGCCGCCTCCACCCCCACCTGTTTCTGTACCCGAAACCCCGTCTTCGACGCATTCTTCACAGCTCCTTCCGACCCCCATGACACCACCTACCCCCCAAAATCAAGAACTCACTTCCAGTACTCTGGATGTCGAGTTTAGGCCAACCCAGTCGCCATTTAGACCTCCTGTAAGTTAAATCTCGACTTAAGGTATCTACGCAATGACTGATGAGTTTGTTCTAGTTGCCTTGGTTGTCGCGACCTGATATACCTTTCCCCACGAAGTCGGCGAGATCCAAAAGGAGAAAGCGGGTACAGCTTCCTAATGCCGAATTCATCAAGCTACCTTCAAATCAGCCAAAGGGATCAGAGCCTACTACTAGATCGAATGGTGAAACCACGGGAGCTGATGCCTCACTATCAAAAACGCCTACACTTAAACCTACCGTCGCTACCGATTCGACTACCAATGAGCAGCCAACACATCCCGAAATGCCTTCAAAGTCGGATGAGTCGTCTGAGAATCCACAACCGGCCTCACCATCCACTCCTCGATTAAGTCAACCGATCCAGAGTTCAACCGCTACATCAGTCACCCCTACCAAACCTTTAAAGCCTACCCCTCGTACAACTGTGCCCGCCATTCCTATCGTCCCCGTAATCCCTAAAGCAATCCCTAAAGAGACAATTACGCCTAGTACTGTTGCCAAGTCTTCAGAAAAGAAGCACCCAGCTGAGAACTCTTCCTCTGAGACTCCAGCCGCTTCAAGTGAGACTTCTAACGTCGAAGAAAAAGTTGAAACTGCGCCTGCGCCTGCTCCTGCTCCAGTGAAGACGGGTCCAAAACTTTGGACAGGACTATTTGCACGTACCACGTCGGCTGCCTCTCCTGCGACTGGCACAACTGGTGTGAGATCTGCGAGTACTGGAGCTACGGCATCTGATCTCAACTCTGATAATGTAGACCAAAGCAACGGGGGCGTTGGCTTGGGTAGCTTTGTGAAGTCGAATACCAATTCTTTGGCTGAGGCTCTACGAGCCTATAGTGTTGATAATGGCCAGAAAATTGCGTTTTTGGAGCCCAGGGGATTGATAAATCCTGGCAACATGTGCTATATGAATTCGGTAAGTCGCTGATTACTTGCTCGATAGGATATCTTGGTTAACAGCATTAAAAGGTCTTACAAGCCCTCATTTTTTGCATTCCATTCTATGAGTTCCTTGACCAAGTCGGCAAGAAAGCCGCGTATAGTTTCAAGAGTGAAACACCCTTAATTGATGCCATGTGAGTTTTTTTTTGGCCTCCTACAAACAACTGACATAACCTCGGAGTTTGATCTAATCTTGGTGTTAGGATAATGTTTATGCGTGAGTACAAGGTGATTGATTCAGCAGTTTCTACTGAACAACTTCGACGAAGACTCAAGAGCGAGGAACTTGAACAATACGGAGAGCCTTTTACCCCAGAATTTGTCTATGATGCCATAAGGAAGCTTCCAAGGTTCGCTAGTATGAGGGTAAGAAATATCTGTGCACCGATATGGAATTCATCTAACATAACTTCACAGCGTGGACACCAACAAGACGCCGAAGAATTCCTTGGGTTCCTTCTGGAGGCATTGCATGACGAATGTGCACAGGTAATGCGTCACCCAGCTAGTTCCTCAGCTACAACAACCGCAAACTCCGCAACGGCTACCCCTGCCGCAACGTCTCCTACGGCCACTTCAGAGGCCAACGATTGGTTGGAAGTAGGGCGACGCCAGCGCGCTACTATCACTCGGTCCTCTGGTCACCCTATCACGTCATCTCCTATTTCTAAAGTGTTTGGTGGACAACTAAGATCCGAATTAAGGGTTCCAGGCTTGAAGGATTCTGTAACCTTGGAGCCCTTCCAGCCGCTTCAGCTGGATATTGGCTCCCCTCACATACACAACATCGTCGATGCACTGAAGGGGCTTACTGGGCCAGAAACTCTACACGGCGACTTTAGATCACCAAGAGGAAAAGATGCGCCAGCTACCAAACAGGTTCTCATCGAGTCCCTACCACCAGTCCTTATCCTCCACTTGAAGCGTTTCCAATTTGATGCTGAAGGTACTGGAACTGTCAAAATCTGGAAGAAAGTTGGATATCCGCTCGAGCTCGAGCTTCCCAAGGAAATCTTTTCACGCCAAAAACGTAACGCGCTTACGGCCGAGGGGGTTGGTTCTCCTAAGTATAGGTTGATCGCTGCCATTTATCATCACGGCAAAAATGCGAGTGGCGGACATTACACTGTCGATCTCAGGCGCCAGGATGGCCGTGAATGGATCCGCATGGATGACACGATTATTAGACGGGTCAGAAGTGAGGATGTTGCCGAAGGTGGCGTTGAGGATGACAGTGCCAAGTCATCGTCTCGTGCTGACAAGAGAGATGTCCCTGTCGGCGTGCCCGGGAACAGATTTGACGGAATTGGCGACGACGAAGGTGGTGATGATGAAGGATGGAACAAAGTCAGTGCTCTAGTAAACGGAACCAAGAAGTGGAGCTCCGTTGTCAATGGTGCATCAAACCCGGCCCCTCAAACTAAGGGAAAACAGATGAAAGACAACATCAAGGACAACAAAGTTGCCTACCTGTTGTTCTACCAAAAGGTGTAAGGGGGCTCTGCTACTTCGGTGTAACGTCCAACATACATGTTGGTTAGCTACTGTATGAAGAGTAGGTCAGGATGGGGGTTGGTATGCCTACTGGAGGCTGGCTGCATTGGTATGACAAGGGTTTAAAGGTGTGTCAAAAGTTTCTCATGCAAGGTGGACGGTATTCAGGGACAGGATTGTGCGGCGGGATGCGGAGGCGGTAAACTGCCAATGTTCATGTTATGGATATGATGCATGACTGCATCATCATCTGTATTGATCTTCCTGAGTATCTGTATGCGGGATGCCGGGAGAGGGGGATGGGGGTCTAGGTATGACATTTCTCCCCAAGAGGTCATCCAGCATCAATACCCCTATATCTCCATCTGTCTCTCCTGGTTTTTTTATCCCCAAAACCCCAGCACCCGATAATGGAGATTTGCCATACCCTTGTTGTAGAATTAAAAGTGATTTACAAATCCTCATGAACACAATGTCATTATGTAAAGTTTTCTGTCTATGGTCTTGTGATGAGTGTTAAATGTGCCTGGCTACGATTGTATGTAGGAGATGCCTACCGACATGATATGTACCTAGGTTTCGGTTTATTTTCACTTGATGTTGTTGATGTTAACCCGTCTTTACCTACCTACCCTAGGTAGTTGGTGTTATTCATCTAGGCACCTAGTTATGGGATCTATTCAACTTTCTCATAGGGGGTTTATATCTAAATGCTTACCTAGGTACCTCACAGGTTAGTAACTCGGAAATTTTAGAAGGCGGCTAACGAACGAAAAACCACAAGTCCTAAAAGTAAGTAATATTTCACAACTCCTGAACTCGATCTGACGCTGGCAATTTCCCTAAATTAATTTCATCGCTAGGTTACCTTCTATTCCACCCCCCTTTCTCAGATAATCCCCAAAAAATCATCGCTCTACCCCCTTTTCGCTACACTCAAAATGATCGTCCAATCTCCCAAAGAGTGTACCCGGTTATTCCTACGCCATCTAATAATCCATCACCAAACTCGACCCCTTCCAGCTCATCTGTAGGCTACCGTTACCGTTACCGTTACCGTTACCACTCTCCACAGCCTCCCTCGCGCGCCGAAACTCACGCGCCCAGTCCCGCAGGATCAGGTCGTTCGCGACGTGCTTCGTGACATCGGTGCGGTGCTGCGTGAACTGGGGCTCATACCCGTACGCAAACACCGTCCTCGGGTCCGGCAGATACACATACGTCGAAGGCCACCACAAGCTGCGGCCCGGGATCTCGGCGTCGGGCACCTGCGCCGTGAACTCGAGCGTGAACTCGCGGTACGCCGAGTTCCGGCGGAAGGGGACCCCCAGGGGCCCCTTGAACTCGCCCGTCTCGTCGTAGAGCAAAGCGTCGCGGAGCAGGGTTACGCGCTTGTCGGTTGAGCGCATGCCCATAGGGAGGGGGATGGTGATGACGGGGGCGTAGATGTGCGTGTCGAATGCGCCTACGCCCATGCCTCCAGCCCCGAGACCCCCAACTCCGCTGTGGTGTGGTGCGGGCGTTGGGGAAAGCACGCCCATGTAATCGTGCATCCGGACGGGCTTCCCACCCACGTCGATGACGACGGGCTGCAGCGCCCAGCTCGCCTCGACCCGCTGGTTGAAGATGGAGTGCGCGAGGGTCTCGACGGTTCCCTTGATCTCGCTGAAGACGGCGTCGAGGCCTGAGACGATGACGGATTTGAGGGTGGGGCGGTACCGGAAGACGTCGGATTTCTTCCATTCGTCGCTGGGGACGTCGTCGGGGATGTGGATGGCGGGGTTCATGGTGATGGTGGTGGTGGTGATACCGCTGCTGGTTATGGTAGAAGAGTGTTGAATATGAGGGAGGTTTGTCGTGTGGTAGGTAGGTAGTGTACGAGACGCGGTTTGGCTGGAGGGAAGGTTTAGATGGGAAAGGGGATGTAGGAGTTTTATATATTGGCGAGATAGAGCTATGGAAGCTCAACGAGGGAGATATCAACAGTCACTGTCGTTCACATTCAGCATGGTATGTCTATATACTATCTACTCTACTAAGTCACCCGTGAAGCGAATGGAGTGTGACTCGTTCTGACTGCAAAGATAGTATACTACTTTAACATATGTCGTTTGTTGTTTTCCTTGCCTGGAATGGATTCGTGAACTTGACTGGCCATCGCTATTCAGATTCAAGACAAACAGACTACATGTTGATATAAGATAATATTGACGATGATCAAGTTTGAGATCTTCAAATGTCTCCTTAACATCAGTTATACTCCCCGAGTTGCACCCACCCAGGCAAGCTCACCATATTTCCAGATTCACCCCTTTTCAACACAATCTAGCACACCATTACGTAACACGCCTTGTTGCTTTCTGATCCTCAGTCCCTGATCATATGTAGGTCAGTAGTAGGTAGCCAAAAACGGTGCTACATTGGTGATACTCTTCTCAACACTTGTTCCAGGGAATCATAGCCCCTATCTAGGTACTAGGTACCTACACCATGACCACGTTGTAGTTTGTGGTACCTACTAACACTTACACCTTGTATGCGAATACCACTTGTCACCAAGCCAAGTGATTTGCCAAGCTTCAAAGTAGGTATCTTAGGTATGTTCGAGTCCCATGGTAACCTACTTACCTACTAAGTACCTAGGTTAGGTTATAATCAAGGTACCTATATGGCTGTAGCAATGTACGTACCTAGGTAAACAGACACCCATAGGGACTAGGCTATCACGGAGAATATCATCAATCGCCGAAATAGGCAAAAGGCGAAAGACGGTGATTTCGGATTCCATGTGAGTGGCTGACTGGGAACACCTTCGTAAGTGCGTCATGTGCAATTCCTGTCTTCTTGAGTCTTGTTAGGAGCAGTTGCGTGGTCATTCCTGGTGGATCGTGATAATGTATGTTCATAAATACCTCGTACCTAGGTAAGTTGCTCGGAATTTTCGTCAAAGGCTCTTCGCTCTTACATTGCTTACCTACCTAGGCACCTAAATAGTAAGTAGAAAGCTCGGTACAGGCCAGCTCCCGAGCGGGCTTTCCACGTGTAGAAAGAAGTAAAGTTTCACACTTCGGACTTTTTCTCATCCTTCGAGATTCTACCTACATAGATACCTTAGGTGCCTAGGTAGGTACTCATGTATCTTCATAAGCTCGTAAAATTGAACATATACCTCCCTATCTAGGTATCATCATCAGTCATAACCAAAGATACTGGCTTCGATCTAGGTAATGCACATATGTATACGCCGTGACAAATGCTAAACCCCCCTTTTCCCAGTAAAGTCGTACCCAATCCTATTGCCCCTAATTCCTCTTCCCTAACCATTCTGGGCATATATCCACCGTCCCTTTATTTTCTTGTATTCATAGTTGTCGTCCTCATGATGTAGTAGTACCGGGCTCCGTGGCGTCGAAGCAAGCGAGGTGAGCGTCCCGTCCGTCTGCGGCGATGATAAAATCCCGTTAGGTAGTCCCTTCGTATCTCCACAGATTACCGTCCGAAGATGACGATGATAGCGACGAGACTATGGATAATCCCCTCCCCCTCGTCGTCGCCGGCGAAACTAGTACATCCGCACCAGCATCCGCATTCCTATTCATCACTCTCACACCCACATCCACATCCACATCCACATCTAAATTGACCTTCGCCCGCGCATCCACGTTCCCAGCCATAACCACCCGGTCCCCAGACCCTCTCCGCATATCCTCTTCATCGCTCTCCCACAATTTCAGCATCTGCGCATAAACCCGCCTTTCCCTCTCCTTCTCCTCCTCTCTCTCCCGCTCCTTCCTCTCGCACCACCACTTCCTGCCTATCCACACCGGGATACCTACTAACGAAGCCACTGCTGCTGCTCTTCCCAGAGCGCGTCTATACCTCGGTTCCCTCACATCACCATCATCGTCATCGCCATTATTATCATCGTGGCCCCTTCTTTCTATCCTCTCCCCTTTACCCTCAATCCCATCTCCATCATCATCATCCCCATGCGTCTTCCTCTCCCTCCTCCTCCTCCTCCTCCTCTTCCTCTCACGCCCGCAAAACACCCACAGCGCAACCGTAAACACCAAAACCATCACCCCTGCTGTAACCAACAGCGCAATGCCCCACGTCGGGAAGCCCGTCGGCTTAGCAACGCCCGTTCCTCCGGCGCTTTTGTCACTCTGCGGTACTGCTGGCACGGGAGGAACAGGGATAGGTGTGTGGTACGACGACGTAGAACCCGCAGCGCCTGCTGGCATGGAGTTGTCGTTGCTATTGCCATCGCCATCAGTGGCGCTGACACCACCACTCGAACCCAAGTCCGGCACCTCGCTAGGCCTACTCTTCGGCGGCCGTAGGTCCACGATGCCGTTGGCGAGGTCGTTGGCGTTGTCGTGCGGTCCGACACCGTCGTCCAGCGATGGGGAATATGATGGTGGTGGTTTGTGCGGGCCAGAATCACCAATGCTGCCGTGTGGTCTATGACTGAGAGAATGGGGAGGGCCGGTCGTGGGGAGTTTAGGGGGGATGATGGCCATTTTGTTTGTTTCCCCTTGTGCCGTGCGTGCGTTTGTGTATGCGCTCCCTGGTTAATGCTTCATCGTAACTAATATGTGTATATACCCGAGGGTACTTATATAGGTAGGTAAGTAGGTGAAGGCAGGCAAGCAGTCAAGTAATGCGTTTACAAGATACCCAAAACCACTCCAGCCCGGATCAGTAGGTAGATTAGGTTTTCAGAACACGATCCAATTCAATTTAATTCAATTCAATTCAATCGAGAGGAGGCAGGATGGAACAGTTCTTTTTTTTTTTTTCTAGAAAACCCCATCCTCATCCTCGTCACCGATACAGCGGGTTTGGTTTAGCCGGGGAAGAACTTCTGCGCATCCATCGATAATAATTAGAACAGGACTAGTAGCTAGACAAGAGGCACAGACTGCCATCGATATGGCTGGAGAGGGGGGCGCAGTTAGCACGATGGATCGTCCTTCGTGCGGTGCGGTATGAGATGTAAATATCTACCTAGTACCTAATCGACAGACAGACAGCCATCGGTGGCGCGGTACCTAGATAATGCCACTGTGATGCTTTTTTTTTTTTTCAACTGTGTTTTTCTACTCTATATATACCTAGGTACATACAGATTGACGATGGGGGCATACGATGTTCATTCAAAAGGAGTCAGGAAAGAAGGAATCGTACCCCTGTCTCGTTCAACTACAAGTATTTTGCTTTTGTTTTTTTTTTGTTTTTTTTGTGGCTTTGATGCCAAGATTCTTCACGAACCCATTCGGTAACACAGCAGCTCCTTCGCAGCTCTTTGGTTTAGTCACCAACATGATATTTTTTTTTCTTTATTTCTGTTTTCAAAAAGAATCAAGTATCGGGGAATTTGTAAATGATCGTAAAGTTTGATTGGCTACCAAGCTCGGGACATGAAGGAAATGTAAGTAAGCAAGCAAGCAAGCGACGTCCGTTCCGTCGTCCCTACTACCCAACCTCTCCATCTCCACTACCTGCTCTGCTCTGCTCTGCTCTGCATACCTACCTACCTAGGTACAAGTATTCGTATATGTATATGCCGTGGAGGCCTGTTACCCACCCACGAGTGTCTTCTCGTCCCTCACAAGACGTTACTGTTACTACAAGACGACAAGATTCCCAAACAAACAAACCAACCCCTTACCTAGTCCACCAGTCTCGCCAAGCTCAGCCCATCCCAAAGCGGGCACATGAACGTCTCCAGCCGCGCGTTCTCCGCCGCGGCCTTGTTGTACTCGCGCACCGCCGCGACAGCCTTGTGGTCGAAGCTGTTCGCGTCGCTGTAGCCCGCGTGCCTGTTCGGGTTGTCGGCGCTGTCGTCGGCGACGAGGCCCTGGCGCAGCGCGTTGTCGGTGGCGATGATGCCGCCGGCGCGGAGGAGGCGGCGCGCCGCGCCCGGCGCCGACATCGCCAGGATCTGCCGCAGGTACCCCGGGTACCCCGTCTTGTCCGCGTCGATGAAGATGATGTCGTAGGGCTCGCTTACGTCGGCGAGCTTGGGGAGGCTGGAGAAAAAAGGTTAGGTTTTAGGTGTTCATGGGGGATAGGGGATAGGGGGCTTACGTCTCGGCAGCGTCGCCGACGTGCACGCCGATGTTGTCGAAGCCGCCTTCTTTCCAGGCCTGCTGCGCTAGGTCGGCATACTCCTGTGAGTACTCTAGGCCCGTGACCGTGCCTCGCGGGCCGACGGCGTGTGACCAGATCATGGCCGAGTACCCGACGAAGACGCCGATCTCAAGAACTAAGTTGCATCTGTTAGTATATCGATTTCATCCTGAATATACCCTATCGAAGGTAAGGATTAGATGAAAAGAATGATAAACTCACCTCTCTTAGCACCCATGAGTCGCGAGAGAAAGATCAAGGCCTGTGCCTCAAAGTTCGAGATGACCAGGAAGGAGTCGGGGCGCTGGTAGATCTTGGTATGGTAGGCCAAAAGTGACTGAGGAATCTTGAGCGATGTGGACTCGGCGTACTTGGTGACGCGGTCGCCCAAGGTCTCCGTGGAGTAGAGAATGGTCGTTCCCTCCTTCATGATGCCGGTGTTGGCCAAGAGCTTTTTTTGTTGATGGTGATGTCAAGTGGGATGAAGTAGCTTAGCTAGGTAGCTTGATAAAGCTACTGCAGGTGTTTTGTTACCGAAGTCTGGCTTGCAGTAGACTAAAGGATACCTTGTTGTTAAAGGTAGAGTAGTCGAGACAAAGAAGCAGACAAGAGTTAATCTGATAAATAGATGAATAATGGAAGAAAGAAGTCGGGGAGGAGAGCTCTTTTAAGTACTCTGGTGTCCATCCTACTAGATATCCCGCCTTACCTGCCTAAATGCCTTTTCCTTGTGACGTGACTGGAAATGCTGACTTTAGGGTGTTACCTCCTCTTGGTTGCTGGGTACGAAACATACCTCTAACTACATAGTATCTAGTATGTTACATAGTCCTTCAGCAAACCCGGAAGAGTCGACAACATCCAAAGTATGATATCAGACACAGCAAGTTTAGATGCTCGGTTCTTACCTTGAACCCGAGCTCGCTCTCGATCTCCGAATATCTACTATTAACCTATGACTATGTAGGTACTATCCATGGATGTAGGTAGTAGGTAAGAGTTACATACCTCAAACAACATCCATGCTGATGGTACGGATTGTAGTAGTTCGAGGTGGTATAACATTGAACATGCCATGTGGATATGCATAGAAGCCAGCATCACCCCACTAATATGTCCACGCATCAGGTACGATACTTTAGGTAAGTTAGCATGTTAGCAGCCCCGGGGGTTAAGCAAGTTCATGTTAGTTACGTAGTAGCATTAATGATCGTCTCCGGGGCCATCTTTTCTTGCCTTTATCCTGTCGTATTACATCGGTGAATACCACCTAGCTCCCTACTAGTACTTAGTGCACCTGTTGCGCAATGAATCCACGTAACCGAGGATGTACACGATATGTCCATGTATGTATGTATGTATGCATGTGTGTATGTAAGGCTGGGCGCTTTGAGGCCCTTCTACATAATCACTTACATATTCAGACTAAGCATATACCTAGATAGGCAAGCAGGCAATATATTCATCATGTAGCAGTCATACCTAGTACCGATACAGGAACCAACCGAAACGCACCGGCAGTTTACGCCGCGTGGCAAGGCTCCGGCATCCTCGAAAGAACCAACCGGATCTGATAAGATCAATCGAACCGGAGTCTTGAAACTTACGTACTCACCTACTTCACATCCCTACTCAGCGTATAAGCATTGACTCTCGCACACACATACACACACAAACACCGCACCAAGTTCGAGTAAATTCGTCTTTGTGTTCCCGTGAGACTCGGGTCTTATTCACTCCCTTCTTTCTTATTTCCCTTTTCAATCTCTAAATGCCGAACCTACCTAGGTAGGTATACTAAGATTCGAATCTCCCGCTCGCTCCCAAGAAAAAAAAAGAAAAACCTCGTCACTCAGAGATCGTAGTGGCGCCTGAGTCATACCAAAACAAATAACCCCCTCTCCGAAACGAAACACCCCCCCCCCCCCCCCCCCCAAGAGAAACCCCACATCATCCTCAATCTATTCATGGATCGGATGTCACAGAAAACCCTAACCCAACCTGCCCCAAAGAAAAAGGCTACCTAAACACCGAGCCGACCTTACACTCAAAACGCTCGGAGATCCGAGGGACCACCATCATATGCCCACCTCCCCTCTCCCCCGGCCTCCGGGTCCGCATGCATAACATGCAGGTAGGTAGGTATGTATGCAATGCATGGAGAAAAGAGAAGGGAAAGGGTATCGGCATGAAGAGGTGTAACCAACCCGCCTGCAAAACAACGCATAGGCACACCTTCGTCATCTTGTAACCAAACCCCCCCCTTCCCATCCAGGAACTTATCTCATACTATGCTCCCATCGACGGAAAGAGAGAGCACGCGCAATGTTTTAACCTAGTGCTTAGTGGCAGCGTAACGCAAGCACAAACCCAGAAGTTCGGAATTTCGTTTCGAGTGAAGCTTGGGGCCGTAGGTAAGCGAGGCTTGGAAGAAACCAATACTCCGAGAGAGGAAGACGTGGAAACGATGTAGGTAGGTAGGTATGTAGATATGTATGTAGTAGGGCATCGACGATCGTGGGGGTAGAAAGAGGTAGGCTAGGTAGGTAGGTAGGTATAGAACGTCCATGGAATAATGTATGTGCCGCCAAAGAATCGTGTCCAAAGTAGGTAGGTAGGTAGGTATCTCGTTGTCGCAGTTCAACCTCTTCATCTCGTCCCCCCCCCCCCCTATTCCTTCCCCCAACCACGACCCCCTAAACCAGCACAACCATCACCCCCGCCAAGACCCCCAGCGCCGCCCCCGTCGCCAAAACCCTCTCGTTGATACCGAGCGTCCTGGCCACTTTGTTCGTCAGCGCGCGGACAACACCACCCCCGACACCAACTCCACCGGGACGAGCAGCAGCCGAGTCGGGCTCGTAGATGTAGATGGGGAAGAAGGGGAAGGGGAAGAGGGTGTTAGTGGACTGGGTGGCGATCATTTCGCGGGCGGTGTTCGCTGCTGCTGCTGCTGCTGCTGGGGTTATTGTGTTTGTTGCTGCTGTTGCTGCTGAGGTTGGCTCTGGTGCAAATGTAGGCTCTGGTGTTCGCGCTGACTCTGGATACGTTGTCAGGGTTGGGACTTGCTCGGTTGGCATGGGTTCGAGTGTCAGTGTCCATGCTGCTGGAATCGGTGTTGGTGTTGTGCGGAGGGAGAGGAGCTTCGGGACCTCGGTTTCGTTGACGTCGGCGTCAACGCTGGTGGTGCGGTCCTCTACTGCTGTGCCTGCTGCGAGTGGGATGGCTGCGAGGGCGCCGGCTACGGCTGCGGTTACGCTTATGGACTTCATTTTGTTTTCCGTGATGAGTTTGTATCTATCAGGTGTCTATCTATCTGTATGTGAAGACAGAAAGAAAACAGAGAGTAACAGAGAGCTATTCAGAGTTATGTGTACAGACAGTACAGTAAAGCGACAAGTACGTATCGATACAAGACAAAAAATTCAGACAAGTCAAGATAACTCGGTATTAAGCATACACATCCACATACAATCCCCTTCCTCCCATTTTCCCCGGGATGTCTCTCTACTTATAGGTCCCACCCTCCGCAAACCAACAGCAAGAATAGAGTTATCTGTCAGAAAATATGGAGGCGACTGAGTTTAGTAGGCAATGAACAACAAGGTACTACATACACATGAGATGGCTAAAAGTGTACGATAGTTGCGAATTAGGCCTTGTGGGCGCACGCCCCAAGTTGCGCATGGCGCCAGGGAGTGGGAAATGGGCTCGAGGTGATTATGAGATGATCTAAAGTCGTCCCAGTCAAAGTTAGTCGAAGCCAAAGCCAAAGTCCAAGGGTAAATAAAGTCAAAGAAAAGTTGTGTTGGTTGTAAGCTTTGCTAGATCTTATGTTTAGCTTTTCTCACTTGAGCTACTATGTACTCTCTTCTGCTACTACATAGGGGGCTACTACAGGGGGAGTGGCACATTGAATGAGACTAGGGGCATCGTCCAAGCCCAAAATATATATTTCTAAGTACGGTAGATACTTCATCCATCTGCGGTAATGGATAATCCAATGGACAGTTCTTGGATCGGCACTGGATAAATATTACCATTACTGTCACAACTATTATGTATATCTGAGGCAAATGTAGGTACGCTTTCGTAGGTACTAGTTCAAAACCGATGGTTCATTCTTACGGAAACCAAGCGAGACAATTTAGAACAATAGAGCAGCGAGTTCTTGAATATAGCACTTTTCCTGATTGACTGGCTTATTTCCTATGGTCGAAGGATTGGCCTAGTCCTCACTCTACGCCGTCTGGCTTCATTGTACCGCCATCTTTATGTTTTGCAGCTTCCCAGCGAAACCCGCGGACCCCCTTTGAACACCAATGCGCACATGCCAAATGCTATCGTGTCTTAGTCTTCCGGCACACCGGAAAATAGGCCTACTCTCATGCGGTGACTCTACAAACCGTTATATTAGTCATGATACTCGGCAATGATAGAAAGTAGCTCGTGGGGTTACGTACAAAGGGTAGTTTCGGTATAACTACGGCTAGCACGGCTAGAAAGTTGATGGTGAAATAGGTGAGGTCGTAATGAGTGTAATGCGTGCTCAGGAGGAAGAGCACAATCGGAACACTGAGTAGGAATTTCTTGGCTGGTGTGTACTGTGCGCCATCATCGATTTGCTCCCACATATTCAAGTTGTCATATGCGCCGCTGTTGAAGTCGAACGGCACACCACGGACGTAATGGAACATAATATAGGAGCCGAACATGTAGGATATATTGGTCAGAGTCCAAGAAGTTTCCTGAGAGACGCCAGGGATCACGTCCCAAAGAATCTTTAGCGCAATGATCAGAACAATGTGGATGGTCCACGCTCCTGTTCGTGTTCGTCCTGGTTAGCAAATTCCAAACTTTTTGATTTCTGTTTGTTTGGAGGGAGTAAAGCATCCGGAGACTGATGTTTCACAGCGACGTACCTTTAGCGTTGACCCAGTTCGCATTGAGATTCGGGAGAGCAGACTGATCGCTCAGTTGCTCTATGGGTTCCTGAGGTTCTTGATATATCTGGAGTATGCTGCTTGACCTCCGTCTCCTTGTGGACTTTGAGTCGCCCATAGCTGTCAGGTAGGTACTACTCTGCCCCGGAGGGTTCGTACCGGCGTCGTAGGAGACGGTGCGGGGAATAAGGATTGGGGAAGACACTTTGGCGGTATTGGACGGTGACGTCGACTTTGGCGTTGTGCTTCGGAATCTGGCTGACATCCACGCAGCTCGAACTTGAATCTCGTTCGCTGTCGGTGGGCCGAAGGAAATAGGAGCAGAATGATGTATCTGCTATCACGGCAATCGGAGAGAAAGAGGATGGGGGATTCGATTTGGGGAAATTATCGATTGCTAGAGAGATAGGAGGCGAAGGGGGCCAGGGGCGAGACTGAAGACTCAGGAATAGGAGGAGAGTAAAGGGTATCGTAAAATGAATGTAGCAGCAGATGCCGAAGGATAAAAGGGGAGCTAGAGATGCTGCGTTAGAAGAAAGTACTGAAGAACATTCGCAGGGGTTGAAGTCGCGATGAAAGACAGAAGATAATCAATCTAATGCTACAACACTCTTTGTCTGAACTGGGATAAAGGCGCAGATAAATTGATTGATGAGGAATACAATTAAGTAAAGCAACCAGCAACCATATTGCGAATAAACTGGGAACTGGGTAGGGGTAAAGGATGTTCAGAGCATTGGAAGATTATTTACCTTAGGAGGTAGGTGGTTAGCTACAAAAGACGTGACGATATCGTGGGACTATGTAGCCGTTGTAGGTAACTAGATAGTAGGAGGTAGGTAGAGGTGAGTAGGTAGGAACTAGGGTAGGTATGTCTACAGCATGAGACTTTTAAAGGTGAAGTAAGGTAAAAGTGAGGTTTAAAAAGGGTTGTGATATGATGTTAGAAAGTGATGATCAAAAGCAGCAAGCAGCACGCTGAGTACTTCTTTGGGACAAGGACAGGTTATGTCAACGTTCTTTTTTAGTTCCAGTACTATGTATGTAGTTATCCTGTATAATAATACAATATGTAGGTATGTACATACATACTGTACTTTAGAACAGCAGGACAGATTGAACGGTTAAGTTGTATTGTACAAGGGGGTACAAGGGCATGTTCAATGTTCCCCCCCAATTTAGATTGGAGACTTTTTTAGGAGAAGACTTTAGGGTAGGGGTTAAAAAAGAATAAACCAATAGAATCTGTACGATCCAAATTTCTGGCGTGGACTTGCGTGGCTGCGGCTGGAGATTTCGGGGTCAAAATTGGGTCTCTCTTCATTTGTGCTCATTGCCCGAGTTTTCGAGGGTTACTGTACGGTTTTTTTCCCAAGGGGATTTGGATTACTAAGCAAACGCGCTAGGCTCAAATAGGAAACCTTTTCCACTTTAGGAAGGTGGGGATGTTGTTCACGTAAGCTTGTGGGTCTCTAGGGGAGGAATTTTGGACTTTGCAAAAGAGGAAGGTTTGCCAAGACTTCAAATGGTTGCTCACGTAAGCTTGTGGGTCTCTAGGGGAGGAATTTTGGGCTTTGCAAAAGAGGAAGGTTTGCCAAGATCCTCAAGCCACATATGGAGCCACACATACAGCCACACCTCAAGACTTAGAGGAATTTTGGGCTTTGCAAAAGAGGAAGGTTTGCCAAGACTATCAAGCCACGTGGGGAGCCACAAATGCAGCCACACGTATGGAAAAGTGCTTAAGCTTCAAGTCTCATTAAGTGCTTAAGCTTTCAAATAAGGAATATTGAAGGTTTAATATTATTATAAGCCCTGGAGACATTCAGATCCGTCAGCGGCCATTAAGATCTGATTAACCTATTACAGCTGTTATAAGAATGGAAAATATATATATTCAATTACCTCAATAGCCCGTGCAAGAAAGTCGAGATTGGCTGGAATCACTGGAATTGTGGGTCCCAGAGGCTACTCTCAGGCTAGTGCCACGCAAAAGATTTTCAAGGTTTTGACACGATGATTTGATTGGGTGCAGTATCCATTGGATCACATGACCTGCTTTTTCAAGCTGCAACTCTTTTTTTTGGACTGTAGGAGCCATCAACCCTTCTGATGCAACCTTTCCAATTGAACCCTTCTTATTCAATTCAGCTGATTAAATTGATCGGATTGAATCAATCGGATTGAACTGATTGGATTGATTGATTGATGGATTGATTGATTGATTGGTTGATTGGTTGATTGGTTGATTAATCGATTAATTGATTAATTGATTAATTGATTAATTGATTGATTGATTGATTGATTGATGGACGGATTGATTGAATGCAGCATCTTTCGGATCACGTGACAGCCTGCAACACTGTCTTTTTTGGTATGGCAGGGAACACACCGGCCATCAACCCTTCTAATTCAACCCTTCTTATTCAACCCTTCTTATTCAATTCAACTGATTGAATTGATCGGATTGATTGAATTGATCAGATTGAGTGAATAGCTGATCTGCATATCCTGTTGCAAGCTGGCTGGCTGGCTGGATAGCTGGTTGAATAGCCCGGGCCAGCTCATCCAACGTTGGATCCAAAGCTGGATCTAATAGCTGCTTGAATAGCTGATCAAATACCTGATTAACGATCTGATTTGTTGAGTGATTAAAGACCTAATTGAATAATGAATCAAAGAGACCAAGGGATTAATGCAATCAAGGGGATCTAAGAGCTGATCGAGAAGCTGAGCAAAGATGTTCCGGTCATATAACTTTAATCAGGTCCTTAATCAGTTCTTAAATCCCTTGATCCCCTTAATCCCCTTGATTCCTTTAATCTAGTATTCAATCAGGTCTTTAATCAATCAATAAATCAAGTTGTTGAGCAGCTATTTGATCAGCTATTAGATCCAGCTTTGGAACCAGCGTTGGATAAGCTGGCCCGGGCTATTCAGCCAGCTATCCAGCCAGCTTACAATAGGATATGTAAATCAGCTATTCAATTAATCAATCCATTAATCCATTAATTCAATCAATCCAATCAGTCCAATCCGATTAATTCAATCTAAATCGATCAATTCAATCAGTTGAATTGAATTGGAAGGGTTAAATCAGAAGGGTTGATGGTTTGTATATTCCATACCATCAAAAAAAAAAGAGTTGCAGCTTGAAAAAGCAGGTCATGTGATCCAGTGAGTGCCACAGCTGCCCACATCAATCCAATCACATAACTTTTCAACAACATGTGGCACCACGATGCATCCGGATTCAATTGAAAGAGCATTCAATTGCCAATTGATTGATCTGGGCCCCAAACTGAGGCGATACATGGTTGCAAAGTTATTCAGGTAAATAGGCTGGCAAGATGGGGGCACGTGATTAGCGTTGGGGACACATTAAGGGCCTTTAGAGCCGCCTAAGAGCCCTAAAGCCGCCTGGGGTCACCCCAAGCGGTGTCACGTGACCCCTCTCAATAGTTACATATACAAAAATAACTTTTCAACTACGTATTGCCTCAATCCAAGAGCGGTATCAATGGATTCGTAATTGAATGCGCTTTCAATTGGATGCGGTTGCACCCTTGCAGCTATATGTTTCAGAAACGTATTCAAGGTTGAAAGGGTTGAATAAGGTTTAGCTCTAAGGGCTCCAAGGGCCCTTTAGAGTGGCTTCAAGGGTGATCACGTGCCTCCCATTCTGCCACCTATTTACTTGAATAACTTCATGACCAGATATCGCATCAATTCGAGACCGGTATCAATCAATCAGCAATTAGAGGCGCTTTCAATTGGGCCCGGGTTCACTATGGTGCAATATCTGATTCAAAAGTTATTTAAAGTAGAAAAAGGGTTGAATGTGGTTTGGGCTGGGGGCGCTCTAAAAGTGCACCTAAGGGCCCCAGCTTATCCAACGCTGGATCCAAAGCTGGAGCTGTTTGAATAGCTGATCAAATACCTGATCAAATACCTGATCAAATACCTGATCTGTTGATTGATTAAAGACCTGATTGAATACTAGATTAAAGGGATCAAAGGGATTAAGGGGATCAAGGGATCTAAGAACTGATCAAGGACCTGATTAAAGATGTTCCGAGACTTTGATCACATGATGTGATTGAAGTCACATGATCGGAACACCTTTGATCAACTCTTAGATCCCTTTGATCCCCTTGATTGCGTTGATCCCTTGATCCCATTGATTCAATATTCAATCAGGTCTTTAATTAATCAACAGATCAGGTATTTGATCAGGTATTTGATCAGGTCGTTAATCAGGCATTTAATCAGCTATTCAAGCAGCTATTAGATCCGGCTTTGGATCCAGCGTTGGATGAGCTGGCCCGGGCTATTCAGCCAGCTATTCAGCCAGCCAGCCAGCCAGCCAGCCAGCCAGCTTGCAACAGGATATGTATGTAGATCAGCCATTTAATCAATCAATCCATCCATAAATTCAATCAATTTAATCAATTCAATAACTTCAATCAATCCGATCAATTCAATCACTTGAATTGAATAGGAAGGGTTGAATTAGAAGGGTTGATGGCCCAATAGTGTTGCAGGCAGTCACGTGATCCAGAAGGTGCTGCATTCAATCAATCAGTCCAGGAATCAATCAATCAATCAATCCAATTAGTTCAATCCGATCAGTTCAATCCAATTAGCTCAACCCGATCAGTTTAATCCGACCAAGTTAATCAGTTGAATTGAATAAGAAGGGCTGAATTGGAAGGGTTGAATTGGAAGGGTTGAATTGGAAGGGTTGAATTGGAAGGGTTGAATTGGAAGGGTTGAATTGGAAGGGTTGAATAAGAAGTGTTGATGGCCCGTGTGCTCCCTACCATCTAAAAAAAAAGAGTTACAACTTGAAAAAGCAGGTCATGTGATCTAAAGGGTGCTGCACCCAATCAAATCGTCTTATCAAAACCTTAAATACTTAGCGCTGCGCTAGCCCGAAAGCAGCCTTTAGTAACATTAAAATTGGGTCCGAGAAAACTCGGGCATTTGTGGCGCGCGCGAGCGTGTGCCCTCTAGTTGTGTTCATTTGTGTTGAGATGGTAAAGTAAGCGTGCTACACTAATCCTCTCTAGGCATCTACCTTGGTCAATGTATCCTTCCAACGTAGTATCCTTTCACGAGGTCATGTGACTCGCGTGGTTCTAGCCTTTTCCAAGATTGTTCCATCCCATGCAGTTGGGTTGGGTCCGGGTCTTTTCTCCCTTTTTTTTCTTATTGGCTTGTAAATTGATCTTGACCTACATATCAAGATGTAAGCCTGCATTATGTATGTGTGTATATTATACTACTAGTAGTAGTTATGTGCAGATAAAACGCCGACTATTTCTAACTACCTTCTATGTGCATATGCATGTGGATCTGATACATATGTGCATAGAGAGCAGCTACTACTAGCCTACTAGTGTAGGTATATATCAGACTAACACATATATAGATATGTACCTATAGTATATACTGCTTAATCCATATCATATAGTATGTAACAAATAACTATTGCTATATAAGGTATTGCCGTTGATACATACCTAATATAATGGAGAACTGCAATCTGCCGTCATTTTCCCGGAATCTAAGTGGTAGGTACTACTTGCAATACCTAGGTACCTACTAGTTAACTACATGTAGTACGAATTGTACGCCGCATCTTTAACAGTGCGATATCAATTTCTCAATTGCAACCTTGGAATCTTCAAGGAATCTTCAATGCAATTCTTCACCAGAGCCGCCTTTTATACCTCCACCTCCCTTACCTAGGTACCTACCTATAAGAGCCGCAACCTCCTAATTCGAGGTGGATTAATTGCCTCGTCTAGTCTATATTCTCAATATACCGTGTTTATGGTAATCCTCGAGTCCAGATTTCCTTTTCCCCTGCCTCTTTATTCTTCCGCGTCAAGGGCCATGTTAGGTACTTACACCTAGATACCCAAGTAAGCTTGACGCGCTACTATATCCTTTGAAAAGGGAGACGATTAATCCTTTTTTCTCCCTTTTCTTCACATCAGGTCTCCCCGCCAGGCCTCGTGTTCTCGCTGCTTTTAATGAGTAGGTGGGTTCTGGCATCACATTATTCTTTTTCTGGAGCGCAAAGATCGCTTTCAGTACCCATCTTCAAATTCCATCATCCACTCCCCCATATCGACACTATCTCCTATTAATTCTAATTCTGATGAGTGAACCATCTGCTCCCGATGCCCCCCAAGGCGCACCTGCTATGACCAATAGTTTATCTAGCCATAAGCGGTCACGCCATTACGGTGAGCAGCTGAAGGGTTTATCTTCCTCTGACGATGAGAATGATCATAAGTCGACGTCGTCGCCTACTTCCAAGAAACAAAAAATAAATCACTCCGATGATGAAGACGATTCAAGCTTAGATGACGGCGAGATAGTAGAGTCGAGTCCTGCTCCTGATTCTGCTCCTAGCCCTTTCTTTACTGCACCTACTCTACTTCAGCAGGTACCTGATCAAAGCACTTCTCTAAGCGTTGAGAAGAAGGACTCGAAAGGACTTGTGTCTGATACTGCTACACGCGAGCCGTCTGAGGACGGTGAAATTAGTAGCGCTGTAACTCCATCACAGGGTCCTGATCATCCAGATGAGCCTTCTGTCATCCTCGACAAGCCCCAAGTTGAAACCCCACAGCATTCAAGCCGGAACCAGGGAATCACTGTAGGAGCAAGGACATCATTCAAGAAACCAGCCACGCAGCTATTTCCTTCAGCTCCTTCACACGAAGCTCGCCAAGATGGGGACGAAGGCGAAAAGCCGGAAGAACCCGAAACGCAGTCTGAACTTTCCTTCACTTCAAAAAACGGCTTAGTATGGAAATATCCTCAAATGGAGATTCGCCTCGCTGAATGTGATTCGACGCCTGCTTTTTGGGTTGAGACCTTTCGGAACTGGGTGGCTGCATTGCTACGGGCGAATGCCGAATCGGCCGATAGCCTAACCCCCAGGGCTGCCCGACATGGGTTCAACGAACACATGATGCGTCACAAAATTGGGCTTCTGCAAGGCGCCAAGAAGGAGCAGAAACGTGCCAGAAGCATGGCCAAAAAGGCTATACTCGACTCTAACTTTATGGAAGCAGTTTTGAAAGAACAAGCTGAATTTCGAGGGAAACAAACTAAGGTAACAGAGAAGTTGACAAAAGGTGATATTCCCTTACCTGTCGAGTCTAGCCGCGGAGAACCTATGCAAGAAGTCGCAGCACTAGGTCGTAACGACCATTTGCAAGAGAATGAGGTCGATAGTGAGGAGGAGCTAGAACGACAAAAGAAATACTTTCCAGGAGCAGAAGATCCGTCTCGACACTGTCTATCTTGCTCCGCAGTCGGACACCGTGCTCGTGATTGTCCACTGAAGCGCTGTAAGTTCTGCGGAAGTCAAGACCATAGCCTATTTGGGTGTCCCACAAGGCAGAGATGTTCTAAATGCCATCAATTGGGGCATAACAGCTCAACTTGTGTAGAGAAGCTTGCTCTGTCACGTGACGAGCGAGGCGGTTGTGCGTTCTGTGATGCTGATCACGCCGAAGAACAATGTCCTGAGATATGGAGGAGCTTCGTTCCGTCCGCAGAAAACATCAAGAAAGTCAAGGATATTCCGGCTTACTGTTACACCTGTGGTGGTGAAGGTCATTATGGACCGGAGTGTGGTCTCCCAGACAGAGGTAGGAAAGTGTCAGGATACACAACTTGGTCGCAGGAGAATCGCCTGCGCTACATCGATCCCAATTCAGAGAACACCGCCATTGCCTGGGTCGGTCTGAACACTACTCAGTCAGAGCAAGCAAACTTCCACATTCGCGGTCGGGCTAAAAAGCAGGTTCACACCCACTTCGTCTCCGACGACTCGGAAGAGGATCTCATTCATGAGCCTATCAGAAAGTCAGAGCATGCAGGTGAAATTCGCATCTCGAGTAACATCGGTGCTCTCGGACGAGGTGGCCGGTTCCGCAATTCAGACCAGCCCCCGCCTCCTCGTCCATCTGCACATGGCAGCAACAGAGGGTCAACATGGCAGCCTCCTCTTCCACCCGGCCCACCACCGAACTCGGGGAACAGATCTCGGGGTTCACTCCTATCTGCCCCGCCCGGTGGCCTCCCTCCGCGCCCCCAGCCCTCCTCCCATCAGGGATCTAACCGAGGCGGCCATAACAGTCGAGGTCGAGGAGCCGGCCGAGGTGGTGGTGGAGGTGGTGGTGGTGGTCGCGGAAGAGGCATGCGTCGACCGAAATAAACCTATATGCCTTGCATACCTACATACCTACATACCTAGACAGAAGTCAAGTGAGAGTATGAATTCCTCTCACCTCTCTACTTTATGACTTCCGAGCACCCCGATCTCTCGGCCCTTCATCCATATAGATGGAGTTAGAGAGCTATGGGGAAACCCCCCCACCACCTGCAAATAAGAGAAGAGCCTTGTCATGCCACTGGCTAGTAATGTCGATACGAGTGACGCCGGGCAAGGATCCATGGATTAGACTAGAGATTAAATACGAAGTGCATTCTATCATACCTATCCTACGTTCATATGCTTGTGTATAACTAACATGTATGCATAGGTACCGTGATATCAACTCTTGGGAGTTATGATTCGTGATTGCTAACTACCAGCCTAATCTAATCTGTCTTTAACTCCTATAGCTGTAACTCACGAACTAGGCACATGATATCTCGTAGTTATTACCCAAGTAGGTACCTAGTATTAAGTAGGCGTGTATCTAACCTAGGTAAATGCCTAGGTACTCACGAAATTCTTTGGTATGTACCTACTATGTAGGTAGTAAGCAGAGTGGGAGACATAGGTCCAGATACAATAATGAATTCCAAGTATCTATCTACCTAGTAATCTACTTATTTTCGATATACCTACTAAATAAAGTATACCAACAACAAAAAAATGCTCATAAAAAACGTGTGCAAGTAGGTAAAGGGGAGGGGTTTCCCTAGGCACGATACCCAAGTAATCCCAATCCCACGAGACGAGCTCCCTAAACGATAGCGCGGAAGCATTGTCGCCGGTCCCAGTCTCGGCTGCAAACACGCCGTCCCAAGCGATGGCGTAGGAGCACTTTCGCCGGCGAGCCTTTTTTTTCTTTCTTTCTTAATTTCTTTCCTCTTCTCGTTCGTAGAGTAAAGAAAAAGAAATGTTATCCTCGAAGTGACAGCGTATCCAAAACACAAATGGGGGTATCATATGCAAGCGCCCAAAACCAACTTAAAAAAATCCCATGAAAACCAAAGGAAAAAGAAAACCAGGTGAAAATTCCCATGTAGGTACGCCACGTTCCCATAAGACGGGCAGGAAAGCGATAGCGCTCCAGCATTGTCGCCCTGTCCGTCTTTTGTTTTCTTTGAATCCTAAATATGCCTATCCCAACAATGGCGCAACGGCACTGTCGCTGTCCGAGATTAAAAGGGTGAAAGGAATCAATCCTGGAAAGATATGCGTATCGAGCTTCCTTGATGGGCGTGATTTGTACTAGGTTAGGTAGTGAAGAAGTTGGATAGAGTCGAAAGCGAAATAGTAAGAATGGCATGTTGAACTGCCCGTGTCCTTGAGAAGAATAACATCCGCACTAGGGCTGCTCTTGCTTGATCGTTGAGGATTTTGGCTGAGCAAACCCATGATCACCTTGATGGTCTATGAGGCAGGCAGCTACCTTTTTTTGTTCCACCACATGCGACCGAAGCCGCGTTGTTGGACCTCTCGCCGAGCCGCGCCGTCTTGGAAGCCGTCCGAGCCATCACTAATGGAACCTCCGCTGTTCTTGATTTTGCGGCTAGGCTTGTTACCGAGAGCCTCCAGTGCAACAAACATGACAGCACTGCTCAGGATACTTACGCACAATATGCCAATCATAACCAGATTGCTCTTGCGGTATTGGTGTGGTCCGCGAGCAGCATCCGCCGGCCAACCCGTGTACAATGCATAAGTTGTTGTGATGCTTCCTAGATTTCCCAGGCCGGAGACTAGTGCTGATGCAGCAGCTACGCCAACCTCGCCATGACGTTGTTGAAAAATCTCATTGGTCCAAGTCATACAGATTGGTACTGTTGGACCGAGCCCGAAGCCTACCATCAAAAGCCCACCGTATCTCGCCCAAGGGTTCGAGGTAGGAGCGAAAGTTACTGTGAGAAGTCCAGCAATCTGAATGCACACAGCACAGGAGAAGAATAAGGGGCGAAGGCGATGAAACCTATCCGAAATTGGGGTCACGAGTAGGATCGCAATGAAATCCATCTAGTAGAGTTAAAGACCGAAAATATTAAACATGAAGAAAGTAGAAACTTACGATCCAGATAGGGGCAAAGAGGAGACTGAGCTGCACCCCTGTGAATGATGGGTTGATGCCACGGATGATTACGGTACCATAGAGTTGTGTACCGATGCCAACTCCCACAACACCGAAGTACATCAGGGTCAATGGCCATAGCCTCCAGTCTATGAGGACATATCCCAAATCCTTAAGTGTCCAGGGTCTTTGGTGATAGACTCGCTTGAGGTCATGGTAATGGACTACTGCATCTTCGCCTGTCAAAGCTTCCGGGGTTGGAGGAAGCCATTTAGAAAGGCCAGAGCGAACCCTTTTTTCTCCCGGTGGTAGTGGGCGCTCTGGTAGCCACCATAGCAGAGTCCAACCGAGGACTATAGCAAGAAGTCCATAGATAAGAAACATCCACTGAAAGCCGACAAGCCCACCGGCGCCGTCCATGAGCTGAAACCCTGCGGAGACCAGGCCAACCACGGCAGCAGAGATTTGCGAGGCAGTAAAGTAATACCCAATCCGCTTGCCCGTCCGAGAGGGTGGGTAGAAAAGGGTCAGATAATAAGACATTCCGGGCCACATACCGGCGATAACCATCCCAAGTAGGAAGCGCAATAACCTTGAGCAACGAATTAGCGATTGATGTAAGACTAGAAACAAGATGTATCGGGACTCACTTCAGACTCCAGGCAGAGTGGACGACGGTGAAGCAAGCTCCTATAACGCCTACAGCGAAAACGATCCTAGCCATCCAGACGCGCGGGCTGAGCTTGCTCATGACGAGGTTTGAGGGGCAATCGAAAATGACATAAGATACGTAGAAGAGAGCCAGCGCGGTGGACACATCGTTGGACGAGAGTCCAAGCATAGTCATCAAATCGTGACCAACATCAGCGTTCATCGTTTGTGCCAACCCGATATTAGAGCGGATGGCAGAGCACAGGAAATACAGGATCCAGAAAGCTAGGGTTGACTATTAGTGTTTACCACGACTTTCAGGTATGAAGATATTCTTACCAGGAATAATACGAAGGTCTAGTTTCCGGTAAACTTGTTCAACTCTCTCAATATCGTAGTCTGTATGGACAGGCTGAGGTCCTTCTTCCCGGGCGGATGCTTCATGGTTCGCGTTGGTTTCGACGGGAGACTTACTCTCCGCCGCAGTAGTAGCTGCAGCCACTACGGCTGGGTCTTGATTCATGCCTGCTTTGGACTATGAAGCAATGGAGGTGCGTGCTACTAGTCTTTTCAAGCAAGCTACGAATTTAAGCCCGGTAGATATATACCAAACCTATCTCGCCAGGTCCAATTTTCCTCAGTTTGACTTATGTCTACTTAAGGATGCCTAGGATTTCTTGGTGAGGTAAAAAGTGAAAAATTAGAAAGAGAGGAAAAGAGGAAAAGAGGAAAAAGGACATGAATAAAAAGAAAAGAGCTTATAATTGATAGTTAGTACTACCTAGTATGTAAGAGCTTAGCCGAATACTCGACCTTAATTCGCTCATTTCAAAAAAGAATTAATGGGGCTTTAACTCTGTAGCCAATCTGTGAAGCTCTAGACAAGCTTTAATGGGTCTAAACTTTATTGCAGCGACAGCTATGTACCTCCCTGCCTATGTCCTAGTACCTACCAGATGCTGGGCAGGTACGCCACATGAAAGGTGCGATGCACTATAGCAACTATTTATTCAGAATCTCCAGGCATTAGACTACTCTTATCTCTGCCCTACTCACATAATATGTACTACTACCCGATAGACCTCTACAGATATGTGCGAGAGAGAGAGAGAGACGAAAGGGAACAGAGGCAAAAACCTATAATCGTTCACTTAGTTTCTCTAAGAATATTCTCTCCTCCGGCGAAATATATACATCTTCAGGGATAAAAACTTGTCCTCGCTTGATGATCACCTTAGACTCCTCTTCCATAACAACTCTCCCTTCTTCTAAATGCCGTGCTTTGGTAATCTGAAACTTAGCCCCGGCCTCACTACCATCATAACTACCACTCCTCTCACCATCATCATGCTGCTGTTGCTGCTTTTCTCGACACCCGACCTCCGAGGGAGTCCACCAGTACACGGGAAAGCGCCGCTGAATATTGTTCAGGGCTAGGGCCACACATTGCATCAACATACAGTCGAGGAGAACAACTGGTATGATGAACCACCCCAGCCGCACCACGCCCGCATCCATTACCGCGAGCAGGGCCGTGGCGCCTGCTGGGGGGTGGATAGTGCCCGTCAGGGCCATAACAGCGACCGCGCATGCACAAGCCAGCGATCCTCCCAGCCACGCCAACTCCTCCGACACAGGACCTAAGGCAAACAGCTTACTGATGCCCACGCCAACGATGGATGAGAGAAGCTGGCCTAGGATAGCATTGCGGGGTTGCGAAAGGGGCGACTCAATGGCGTAGAACTCGAGGACGGCGGCGGCGCCCTGGCTCGTGTTAGTCCCTCGCAACTCTTTGATTTACTTGGGTTCCTAGGTAGGTATGCAAGCCTGACACAGATGGAGACATATGGCAACAAGAACCTACAAAACTACCGATAATGATGGGCGTGTCGTGCTCCCTAAAGGCGGGAATCGCGCGACTCACAACTTCGATGATAGTGATAGCGCAGAAGACACCGATGAAGGCCCACAGGACCATAATTATATTACCCAGCGGCCGCTGCTGCTCCGTCCTGTAGCCAAGGAAGCGGGCGACCGGGTACGGGAGGTGCTTCCATGGTGCGGGGGGCAGCCAGGGATTAAGGTAGTCGTCGATCTCGAAATGCCATTTTGTCGGGTGGACGGGCATCTGTAGGCACGTGCGTATCTCACGTAGGCCCCAAGTTTCTTTGAATCTGGAAAAGTGGTGGCTCCGAAAGAGCACCTGCAATTCTGAAAAGACAGACAAGGTACACGCGTACGTATATATGCCAGTAAGCGTCAACGACGTAAGGGCACACGTTGGCAGCAAACAAGATCGTAGGTATTTATCGATTTTCCCACCGTTCCGCGCCAAACGTTCGCCCTCCCTTTATTGGCGCCTTTGTTCCGCTTAAAAACCGTCCCTACTCGCTCATTCCACGCAACAATGGTGCCATGGCGCGTCGAAGGGCATGTGTTTCCATGGACCAAAACAGTTCTTTGACTAACAAAAATCAAAACCTGTGTACCAGGGGTTGCTCGACCACGCGATCACCAATCCGTGGTATTCCTAGCATCATATAGAGTAACGGAAACTCCCAAAATGGATCTTTTGGTTACTCTGACCAGCCTGGTGGGAATCATGATCGTACGTACAGGACGGGGGGGCCCTTGACTCGGGCTCCCGAATTCCGAATCTGTGACATCTCCGCGGAGCTAAACGCCCCCATCATATCCTTCAATGTTTTATATATGCAGGTAGGTAGGCGTGTCTAGCTAATTTCTTTGTTTCGGAATGACGACATATAGAAGAAAATAAGAACGTATTTAGGGTTTAAAGAGTGAGACTCGCTAAGTAGCCACGCCGGGTTTTAGAAGTCTAGAAGCATGGTGGAATCTTCTTTTCTTTTTCTTTATGGTTTTGGGAACACTGATTAATATTCAATGAATCAGCACTTTGGAGATTCCGAAAGGCGAGCGGGGACAGAAGACCACAATTACAGGTTGTTAGAAACCCGGCCAACTATTTTGACTACAAGAGTATGCTCAATCGCCTCTGAGGACAGATATATCATTTTCGACTACAAGTCATCTCGAAAGGTGCACTCCCTAAAGCTTCCGGGTCTATTATTATTCTATTTTATATACCTACCTAGGTAACTAGCCTGGCATATATGCACTATATCAATATCTATACTCGTTCCTAGAGTCTGCCATACCTATTCCGGGAAGTGCTCTTACACACAGACCTCAACGCCGAAGATATAGTCTATATCCGAGGGGGAGAGATTCCATAGGTACCTTGCGTCGAATGTTTTTATTGCCATCAGCCGCCCCCAAAAGCAAAACCTCAGGCGCAACAAACGACCAGCCAAAAGACCAAGCCAGAACTACAGTCTTGACTACTCATTTCCTTCTCAATATAGATATATAGGTACCTACTAAGGTTAAGTACTGGGTAGCTAGCTCCTCAAGAACGGATTGAAGTGTCCGTCTTCGGGGTGTCCCACGAAGGTGGAACCCCCGGTGCCGAGCGCCGCATACGGCTCTCTCTACCTTTCCGGGGCGGAGGCAGCACTAGCAGACGTCATAGCCTCCTGAGAAGTCGTCAATAATCCCGGGTATCAGCTCAGCTCGTATATTTCTAGCAGGCCGTGGTCAAAGGAAGCAATTTGCAAGACTAGGTTGCTAGACGTGCTCGTGTTGCCGTCGGCGCCGCTAGAGCTTGGGCTCGCCTTGTTAGGGGGCTTAGGAGATATTCGTATAAGCTCGGTTGTTTCCAGCTCTCGTTAAATATACGAACTCTTCTTCTATGCATGTCAATGGTAAATTGAATCATGAGGCTGTAACTATGAGTCGTGGGTGACTTGATACCTGATACTGGAACATTACACACCATTCTCGGTGAGTGCCTTGCCTACATGTAGGTAGTTAAGCATAATAGCTGGAACATTTTTGTGCTTCGCCAGCAGCAGGGTCCCTGTTGCACGGCAAGCTGAGTCAATGTATGTATGTACCAAGCTGTATCCTTACTCGACGAGTCCTACATGTACCCGCAAGACTACATCGTTGACGATACATACCTATGAGTATACTATATACGGGTAGATGTGTGTAAATAGCTGCCTACCAATATCAAATATAAACTACACAGGTGTCCTCTGTCTGGGCAGCATCGAAGGCAGCAGTACGATACTGTACACACATCTTGACAACGCAACATACATACATACATATACATGCCAGGCATACACCCACCCACTCATGCAGCCATGTAAGTATAAGCTGCAAACAGCAGATACGATGCATCCCATCGACAAATGCGCGCAACCGTCTACTAACAATACCGGAACCCGTCGCCTTGACCGCAGACCAGACCAAACCAGGCCAGACCAGCCTCTACCTACGTGGAGCAACCCCCAATCACAATTAATCACAGGTTGGGGGGAGGAGGGCGGAATCGAGTCAATGTGCCTTTGCTACCTAAATATGTACCTACCTACATAAGGTTTTCCCGAGCTCTGGTATGTAACCATCAATGCTGCCTGCGTATACATACGTATATAGTATGCACCACGTGGGAAACACCAGGCACCTGAGCACGTTGCATGTAGGACCTCGAGAGCTATATATATATATATTTAAAGAACAAGACAAGAACTAGGAATTTAGGGGTAACATCAGTATATTCTAGGCAGAAATGGAGCAACAGGGCGACAATGGTACGTAAAGCAGCCTGTGTTCAAGGTTCTTTTAAAAGAAACGGGTTTACGACGTGAGGTGAGGTGAGGTGAGGTAGAGCCTCGTAGCACGACAGGCAATATATACGCGACATGCAACTGTAGATACCTACCTACATACCTAGTATACGTAGATACATACAAACGCCAGAACCCAGGCGGCAGTGAACAACATTAGGTACATATGTATGGAAGGACAAGTAGAACAAGGCCAAAGAATAGCAAAAAAACAACATGGCTACCCGCATCACCGTAATTCCGGCACGAGGAAATCAAACCGTACCTACGTGGCCCATCCGCCTCCCCCCTCGTCCCCTCTCCACCACCCCAAAATGCCCCAAGCCAGCATGCGTGGAAGCTGCATGGAAGGATTACTGCTTGCTCGGCGAGAGTCGATGGGCTGGCTGGCACATAACTATCTACATAGGTGGCACTACTACTCACCTACCTACCTACCTACATATAAATGCATTGGATACCTATGTACATCATCACAGGTCTAGCCTTGCTTATATATACATCGTTTGTTTCGGAAGACGCGGAGGAAGGAAGCATGTAGGTAGGTGTCTAAAGCGGATTCGAAGACGGTGGGTGACACGGCACGCGCACTTGGGGCCGTTTGGTCCACTCCCCTCGGGATACCGCATTTTTGTGGTGGGGAGAGGTGAAGGGAAGAGAGAGGGAAGGGGTGTTGGTTGGTTGGTTGGTTGGTTATGACATATATATCGGAAAGGGTGGACGGGAGTGCTGCATACACTATTTAGATACATGCCTCTGTTAAGTTATTAGGCAGGTAGGTTAGGTGTGTGTACATATTTTACTAACTAACTACTCACCCACTTAGTTATGTATTATGTAACTATCCCTCAATGCAAAGTGTTTGTTATGATCTTGATCTCATAAGTTACTATGAAAGCAGGCCATCATAAAAGCATAATGCCCTCCCCCCCGCCCCCTCCAAAACGTGAGGCGATTACACAAGCTGGACTGATGGGGGGTTCTCTTTTTTTTTTTTTTTTTCTTCATTCAAAAAATAAAGATCGCCGTTGGCTTCAGGGAGAAGAGCAATTACATCATAATTGGATTGGCCGATAACCACATGTATCTGTCTGTCCATTGTCGAGCAAGCAAGCAAGCAAGCACGGTGAATTATGTAAACCACGCGCCCCCCCCTCCCCTCCCCTCCACCCCCCGAAAAATCCGGGACTGTGGGACACTATGTTTGAGCTTCAGTCAGCAAGGTTCAACTGCCGTCAATGCGGCTCGTTGGGTCCCTCCCTGGGTTACGGCGTAGATGCTCAGCTGGGAGTGGGTGGGTGGGTGTTATGTATTAAGGGTCAGGGTGCCCGGGCCTTTCGTATATCGATATTGGGTATTTGCACATACATATTAACGGCGCTCACCAATGTCTGGCTTTGTAAATCACGATTTATAGGTAGATTACGGGCACGTAGGAAGAGCAAGAAAGAAAGCAGTAAGTGTTTACCGAAATCTTGACGTGGTGTTGTTTCGAAGCAATGTGTTCTGGGCAGAATCGGATGGCGGCGGAATCTGTATAGAGCTTCACACATCAATGTAGGCGGACGATACGAGGAAGCCTGTTACTAAGGTGCCATATATCTGCAACCATGCGAGGTTTTCCAACACTAGTAAACATTGAGGCCTTGGAATCTGCAATGTCAGTATAACTTACTAGGAGTGTCGGAACAAGAGGGTTCCGATGTGTCGTCGCTCTCCGACATAGCGATATACTACTAGTATGTCCTTAGGTAGTACGGAGAATAAGAGAATTGTATGTCGTTAGACACGACTATTGAAAAAGCTTTCGTGGCCGAGTACATGTATCGCTTGATGGGGCTGACTACAAGTAACAGATACATTATTCGTTAGGTTTACCTTTCGAGATGAATCATAGGACTCGGTCTAATCGGGCTCGGACATGACGGCGACGGCTCATAGCATTTGACAGGTAGGTGACAGGTGAAGTCATTGCTTACCGCGACCCCAACATCCAGAGTTATAATTCCAAGGTTGGCCTGTCGCTTGCCAACACAACGGTAAAGCCTATTGCTTAAAGTGTTATGGTGTAAGGTATCACGTGTGGAATGCCCTCAACATGGTTTCTCCGGGTTGTAGATTGACGCAGGGAATATAGGTATGCACTATGCGTAGATCAGTTGGCAAAGCCATGGCTCATCGGTCGTCAGTCATACGTTCATATTGAGTATTAATAGGTAGGTACCTATTTAGGTTACCCGCGATGCGACGGCTGATATATATACCGCCTTGTCGCGCCAGCAGTAAGCATCCGCTGACTGTTGTGGCAAGGTGCAGAACAATGGCTTCGAAGGATTGTGAAACCAGCGGACAATCCGGGTCGCAAAGTAGTCTTGCGCCCGACTTTTCTTAGTAGACAGTTGATGTTTTCAAGACAACTCTCAAGCTGTGAATTATCTACCACCACTGTGGCACTAGGTAGGCAAGCCTGGCAAGGTAGACACCTACATAGTAGGTTGGTATGTAAGTTACGGCGTAGTATCGCTATGTAGTATCGCACCAGACAGATACTATGGGGGCCAGCTGAATTTCGGTAAGCGATACCTCATACTTACAAGGTACTGGGTATACGAGGGAAACAAAGAAGTCCATTTAGGATCTTTGGCCCTAACCAAGAGAAGTTTAATACTAATCTTTCAAATGATGATTGTCCTGTGCCTGTACAATTTAGCACGCCCGCATGTTTTTAGGTGCATAATCACACTGACGATATCTTAAGCCGGCAATTCTGAAATCGCTCCAAGTGGGCCGTTTGTGCCGTTTGCCTATAGCACTATGTAATAGTCATAAGTAAATATGTGTGTGGATTAAGAAAGATCGAGAGTCCCATAGTGTCCCAGACTCCCAGCGGAGCGAGCTCTGTGCTTTGAGCCCCCGAGATGGGTCAACTTCATGGAACTCGGGTCGACACTTGGAAGTCTTGGAGTAAGTTTGAAAATAAAACATATCAAGAAGGACCGAACGGAGTAGGCGAACTTGTTTTCTTGACTTGCCATCGAGGGACGGGTGCATGTGTACTTGCGGTGAAGGATCCAGTACATGTAATATATGCAAATCCTGCCCTCAGTCGTAGATCGGCAGCTTTAGCACGCAGCCGACGTAATAGTGTGCCTCGGAGCTTAAGAAACATAGCCTGATATTCGTCAAGCATGCTGAAGGATGGGTTGTAATGAGTAAGCTCTGGGGATTGCATCAAGAGTGCATCAAAAGATATGTCTCGAAAAACCCGGCTGGCATCGAATCCTGCATCCTTTTAGGTCAAGCATTAAGGTATTATCGTATCTACATATGTTTATCATACGGACATCTCTTAGCCCCCATTCTCATGGGTCAAGCTGAATTTATGTAGTGATGATGGCTGGCTGTGTCGTTGAGACATGCAGACTGCCAGGTGCAGTATCGTTTCTCTTGCAGAAGGGTTTGGTGGTTAATGTTAATGGTCATAGCCTAATGCGGCCACCATCTCATCTCAACTCCAACATTGAACATTGAATGTGACATTGCAAGTTCTTCGGTATTATATTTTGTTGTAATCGGGTCCTTTTTTGGCCTCCCTTCTTTTTTTTTTCACTTGGATCGCCAACTTTTAAGCTCAAATGTTATAAGTCCAAAATGTTGTCACAATATGTGTATGTAATACATATGTAGGTACCTACCCAACTGCATCAAGCTCCTCCAGTTCATTGAAATTCTGCATCGGAGATAGCAACCTAGATAGGTATACATACCATGTACCTACTACGTATTGTACATATGTACGATGTAGTAGCATACTAGGTTCTTGGAGGTAGGTGTGTTCTGTAGCACCTCCATACAGGTACATACCTTGTAGCTTACCTTGTAGCTTACCTTGTAGTTTACCTAGTACCATAAACCCTGTCCCTTTTCGCGTGCCGTCGCAGTACTAGTCCGGATCTAAATGAGCGAAGCAGCTACAAAGGCTGCGAGGTAAGCCTAAAAGGGCCAAAAATACATAAGGTGGATAGCCTTTCCTCCACCTCCCATGAGATCTTCTGTGGGTTGTACGATCCTTTGAGCAATATCCAATCCCGTGCCTTCCTAACGATTTGGGGCATAGCCTATTTATTTCTTGCTGCTTGCTGTATTATCTTAATGTAGTTATGTAATATTGGAAGTTTCTTATGCAAAAATTTGCTGAGGAGAGCTTTGGCGATTGATATATTACGGTATATTTTCATATATTGAACATGATATATTGGAGAATTATTACCACCGGCTCTTTACGAATGCTGATACGTAATGATCTTTTAATAGGCGAGTTTAATGATATCCCTTCAAGGCTGAAAAGAAGATCGTGTGTAATTACATATGTATCATATGTAAGACTTAAGTACATACAGCCAAATTGTAAGTATGTAACTACTATGTATCTACTGTGGTAGCTAATTGACTGCATGTTTGCACCATAAATCTCCGAGATTCGAATTCGAAACGTGGATACACCCACTCTCATAAACGCTACAGGTCATTTTTTTATAGTTATTTTTCTGGATTACCTACATATGTAGGTATATCATGGATTTTGAAAGTTGATGATACATGTATTATATCGTCTATGTGATACAGTCCATCTCGGACATTGAAACTGATGATAGCGATCATGTGAGATATGTACTGTACCTGTTACCTGCCTACCTACCCTCAATGATACTACCTAGTACTATGTAGACTTCAAGTTAACATTGAAGATTGACACTGATATCTGGTACCTGGGTACTCTCTATGATGGGCCCAGCTCAGGGGTGCACACCTATTCCTTTCCGACCCCCTTACCCTACATATTCTAGCAGGGATCACAGAGGTATTGTACCTTACCTAGCACAGTACCTAGGATACAATGAGACATAGATTGGTCCTAGCTGGTAGGTAATAGGTATTAGCTAACGGTTAGTAGGTATTTGACTAAAGCACCAATGTGTACTACTAGTATCCAGGTCGCTTAACGAACCTACCGTAGATATATCCATGGATGTAAATGAGATAAATGAGGTAAATGAGCTTCAATGTTCAAAATGTTCATTGCGTTCTCCAAAGATGGGTCTCGGCTTAGATAGAATGGGGCGATACCCTGCCTGCATCATGTACACACTCATGAACACACATCAATCTATGCTTGTACCATAGTACGTGGGTACAGCATCGTTGGTACGAACTCTTCAGCACTTGAGTGTTGTGCTTCCCCCGTGTTGGGGGCGGAACTTGCATACATCAAGTACCTAGGGTACCTAATAATAAGTCTGGCAATCACAAGCGCAAAGTATCTAATACCTGCGTAACCACGACAGTTGGAAGTTGCATCTGCGAAACGTTGGAGGTTCAAGGGTTCAAATGTTAAATGTTACTTTCACAACTGATTACCCTACCCTGCTACCCTGCCGACCTGCCTACCTGCCCAGACCTTCCTACTCATGCACATCGGAGAACTAAAAGTAGAACAAACGTCCAATCTTGCTCAAGTGCTTCCTTCTCCCTCTCCTTCTCTTGTATATTGCTACACTACCTAATAATACATACCTACAAACTTTTAGTTCGAGTTCAATTCTCTATCCTTCTCTTGTTTCCCTTCTCCAACTTCCCGCTCGACCTCTTTTTCTTATACATGTAGCCCTGGGGGAATTGGCTACTTTCGATACGTTCAGCTAGCCAACAAACATCATCTACGATCTTAGATACATTGGATATTTTTTATTCATTTCAATCATACGACCATTATGCCTTCTTAGCACTAGGTAGCTCCGAACCTCGATATCAGCCAGTTAAATCGCTTCCAAGTTGCTCCCAAGTTTCAAAGAATTGCGCCTCAGCTACTGGTAATACATTTTGCTTCTTTCAGAACTGAACAATAGGTATTCATAGGGTATGTTGGTCTGAATCTATTTTTTCTTTATTGCACACCTTGTTTTTTTTTCCTTTTCCTTTTCATGATTATCTTCATCAGAAAGCTCTCAAACTCCGAAGCTCCTGTCGCTGGCGGGTGGTGCCGGATCAAGATTTGATCGCGTTATATCATGGAGCTTCTCAATAAGTTTGGAAGAGGCCGGGTTGCCCACTGATCTTCTCCGTTTCCTTCCTTATAGGTACCCTAGTTGACAAGGGCCAGCTTCTGTGCGTAAAGCCTCATTCCCACGTTATTTACGAAATAGGGGAAAGCAGCCAGTATCATTATCCCTTCTTCCCGGCCTAGTGGTTATCCCAATCCCTCGTTCTAATCTCTTCGCATCAACACCACGTGTGATCACATACCTGTGTTCTACGTAACGGCAGCTGGCTAGCTAGCTATCTATGTGCATGCCTTGTAATGATGCATGACGCATGAAGAACTTGTCTAAAAGTCTTCAACTAGAGACGATTCCATTTGTAGAAACCCTGACTCGACAGCTTTCCCTAGTTTCTCTATGGAATGTTTCATCTGCGAGTTCCCATTCGCTCAATTCACTAATGACCCTACTACTCTTCTCGGCAGCCATTTTGGTGCAATCCTAGTTCATTTTTTGACCCTTTTATTCTTATTCTTTAAAGAATCTACTGTTAATATCACTCTCGTTTATCATAGCTTCTGCATGTCGATGACTTCATAGGGCTTCGAAAGCCACCGCTGTTTTACTGTGGACGACGAGTCTACTGTCCTTAGCTGCATTCTGTCACCCTACCCTAATCAGGCCGTCCTGACGGGATCTGCCGTTATAGCAGACCATTCCGATCGAGACTTACTACCAATAGTGACTCCGTGTCAAGCACTTTCATAGTCAGTATGGCGAACGCGCCGCGCCGCGTTCGTTCTAGAACCCAAAGCATCTCGAGCGATCGTCCGTCCGCGACTGGCCCCAATCTTATGGCGCCTCCTCTCACTGTGTCGCCCGAGGCGGTATATATCGCCGCGTCTGCCGCCTCGCAAATCGTCACGAATGATCATGACAGCCATGCTGAGAAATGGTATGATCAAACCGGCATTGAGCCTTCGGGGGAAGCTGCCTTGGTTTCACCAAATGCGCTCCAGCTCGCAAACAATTTCGTTGACCAGATTCTGTTCAATATCATTGCTATTGCCAAATCCACTTCGCTATCGACACTGCGACCGGCTGTCAGTGATGTTCTGAAGCCAAAGCTAGCCAAGGATGCCATCAACAACGCAGACGAGGAACTAAAAGAATATCTGGGCGGCGGTGAAGCTGAAGAACTTGCGCGCTCTGTCAAACCTGAAGCGTCTACGGAGTGGGATCTCGAATTGACGTGGAAGAGAACAAGATTACGATGCATGGTCTACTCCTCTCTTGGAGACATGGAAGAGGAAGACGAAGATGTTTACATGGAACAAGAGCACCTTCGGGCCGAGTCGGACGATTACCTGTCAGAGGTAGTTTCACCTGCGGTTGCTATCTTTTTGACTTCAATCCTCGAATTTATGGGCGAGCAGGTTTTGGTTATAGCCGGTCAAGCGGCGTTTAATCGGTTGCGAAGTAAATACGAGAAGGAGCTAAAGGAAGGGACTCGAACCCCCGGGGGGTTCTTTGATCGTATTGTTGTCGAGGAGCTGGATATGGAACGCGTCGCTCTCGATCGAACTCTTGGTAGACTTTGGCGAGCCTGGAAGAAGAAGATTCGGTCGCCCATGGAACCTAATTACTCACGGCCCTTTTCGCGCAATTCTGTGAGCACCACACATCAGCGACGGGGGAGTGCCGCTACCGATCGACGCTCGTTATCGCCAACTCATAGAAACTCAGATTCTGCGCTTGCGGTGCAGAAAGAGCATGATGGCGGGGTGGCCAAAGAAGAAGCGAGCCAGAAGGTAGTTCCGAAGGAGATAAACCCGGCAGATATGCCTCTACCAGAGAGTGATGTTGAAGGGACATACAGCGACGAGGGAGAATCCGCAGCAACGAGGGGCCAATCTGCCCGACCCATGAGCCTCGTTGTTCTCCCGCGGTCTGCGAAGGCCGAAGCAACGCATACATCTATTCGGCGCGTACGGTCTCTCCCTACAGGAAGACGTCCTCGCCATCTTAGATCGCGTGCTTCTAGCCGAGGGACTGGTAACCGACAGTCCCAAGCTGAACGTAAAGAGGCAGAAAAGGATGTCATTTCTACGATGGAAGGCAAGGAAAGTAGCACCAGCGCCAACAAACGTTTCGGCGAGAAGACTACCGCGAATGGTCTGATACTACCAAAATTAGATACTCGTGCCTCATCCTCAGCATCAATGGCGACCACCAGCGACGCGCTGCATACTGATTTTGAAGAGGATGAAATTGATGATTTCACCGAAGAACCCGAAATATTGACATCCTCTCGGATTTCCATAGGGGGAAGAAGTTCGCCTTCTACCTCGGAGTCCGGCAAGCCCGCCTCCCTAATTCTCGGAAGATCTAATAGCGTTCGGTCTGTGCGTGTTATCGAAGTGCAAAGCCCTCGCAGTCCAACCGTTGGATCTCGCGCAAACTCTATGGACGTGTACGATCCTGCTTTAAACAGTCGTAGAATTGCGACTCCCCCGATTGTGGAAGAGAATAGGGCTGATAAGAGAATCATTACGCAAACGGCTTACGATAGATCCCAGGATGTTGTGGTAGCACCACCACGGAACCCAAGCCCTCTGAGAAGTGTTCACTCACAGTCATTACAGCCGTTGCATGAGGTTCCGGCCCCTACTAAAGTGTCAATCGTGAGTGGGCCTGGCCCCGACGGATTTCAGGAAGAAAAGCCGGCGACACCTCTAAAGATGCCACGGAATCCACCACTGCCAACGCTACCGGAGAGGAGCACTAGTAGGCCAAATTATGGACGGTCGAGCTCGGCTGGCGTCTCCTCTGATACATCCGCTCGAAGGGGCACGCCCGAATCACCTTTACCACCGCTCCCTGTACCGAGCGAGTCCCCCTCTTCGACGTCAACTAAGTTTAAGGCTGTTCGTAGTTCTGAAGATAACGGTGCTGAGGAGGGACCCAACTTTGAGCAACTACTCAACAGTGGAGAAACCATACAGTATACTCTCACGCCAGAGACTATGCGTGACATTGAGGTAAGTTTCTTGCTAATTATAAGCCTATCGCGATGTTCGACTAACAAGAGCCAGTCTTCTTCTAATGGAAGCCCTAAGCCGTCTACCAGGTCTCACAGAAGCGACGACGCCAGACTTCACCGCTCACGATCCTCCTCTAGCAAGAGGTCCACGTCGGCGAGCAGACAAAGCAATCCCATAACCAAGCAGACAAGTCTGGGATCCCATCCTCCTACAGACCTGCCCATCACTAGAAAGTTTCCCGGGTCGGTTCCGAATATGCCCATCTCGGTTCCACCGAAGGGCCGATCAGCTGCCGTGCCGCAGGCAAGGGAGGCGCGAATTCCTCGGGAATCATTACATGACTTTGCTGAATTTATTCGATCCACCGGACCCCCCGGTGAGCATAGTGCCAAATATAGCCGGATGCACGCAGGTTCAGTTGGCACCGTTCGGGTTTCAGCAGACCCTTCCCATGCGAAGAGTGCAAGCATCGACAGCCGAAAGACGAGCTCGACTATGCGAACCCACTATCAAGCTAGGGAGGCTGCCGTCAACCCTGGCAGTGAAAACTCGGATCTGATTGATTTTATTCGACGAGGACCACCTAACAGCAACAACAACAACCACCGGATTCCTCGCCATGTTGCGCCGTTCCGCACCACCATGGACTCGGATCAAATGCAAATGACTGGGGCGACTGGAGGCAAGGCGATCGACGCTGTGATTCCTAATATCCGAAATAGCGAAATTCCTACGAATGTCATGGAGACGTCTGCTCCTTCTTCGATGAATTCGCAGAGTGCTCTTCTCCACAAGGCAAATAGAGTCCAGCAACAACAGCCCGGCAACAGCTTTGACGATGATGATATGATGCCGAAGCGGACACGACGTCGGGTCCGCGACCCTTATGCAATTGACTTTAGCGATGAGGAGGAGGAGGAAGAGGATGATCTGTTTGACATAGTGCCAACGCCAAAGCCGAAACCGAAGAGGGAAGAGAGCCTGATCGATTTCCTTAACAGTTACCCTCCTCCTCCCGAACCTATTCAACAATCCGTCACCATTCCAAAGAAGAAGCACAGCGCACCAAACTTGATGGCACGCTTAAGATCGAGCGGAAGTTCCATTGGCAGGTCAGCCTCGAGTGCTGGCTCTAAAGCATTCAACATGGCTGAATCAAGGTCGCTCAATAGCCGGGCCAGCCTCAGCAACAACAAGGGCCACACTCCTATTGTTATCCCGTCCAGGCCAGTCAATTTTGGGCGTGAACCCGTACCTAACACAAACGCACCCCTTCCTCCTCTACCCACGACTAGTTCGTCAGGGCGTGTTCCGATGAAGAAATTCGAACCCCGCGACGCTGTTTCTGGTCGCAGCGCAACATCGGATCTAGCGACCTTCTTACGTGATTCCGAGCCGCCACCACAAACGATGGCATCACTTCCCTCTCCTACCGAGAATAAAAGCAATGGCCTCTCACGAATGTTCGAACGTCGGAAGAGATACACAGCATTTTGATCATATAACTGGACCGCATTTTAATTCTATAGTGTATAAATTTGCCCCTTATATTTGGGATCTATGGCCAGGATCTTATTTATTTTTTTAAAAGTTCTAGAGCGAGAATGGTGTCGTAGCAGGCTGAAGGATGTGGTGTTTTCGGCCTACGGATGGGGAGGATGTTGTGTATATTAAGTATCTATCTTTGATACCAAACGGCTATTTCTCATTTTCTATTACCTGTCTCGGCGTCGACTGGAACTAGTTGTTCGGTCTGAGTCTTTTACTTGATACCACGCAGTGCTCCTTTCTCGTTTGTGTTGTTAGATGGCTGGAAAGGGGAGGAGAAAAGAGAAAAGGGGGGAAGCGAGAGATAGGATGCGGTGACTGCGATTTACCGATTTTATATGTGTACCTACCTATCCATTTAACCTTAGGCACTTTGGAAGCTTGTTGAAATGAGGCTTGTAATGTTAAGTTGTCATGTTGTGAAATACTTGGATGATGTAGTAGTATCTGAATGCTAGGTGAATGGCCTATTATCTATTTGACTCGGGACCTTGTATGTTGGTGGAATCACGAAAAGTAGGTGGGCAGGCAGGTAGAGAAGGGAGGCAGCACTGAACACAAAGAATAGGGGCATATGTTTGTACGCTTTTATATCGCTGTTTTATTTCTATTTTCGATGCTCGCTTATGAATCGCTGCAGACCCAAGTGCCTGCCTACCTAGGGTAGATAACTTGAATGTACGTCTGGAATATCAATCAATCGCTAGCTCCCTTTCCCTCTCGCTTTCCAGTTCGCTTTCCCTCTCTCCCTTCCGTTGTACATATGTCTCTATCCCTATCTCTATCCCCATCTCCAAATTGACAAGCCCCTGATACGCCTCGCTCTTTTTTTTCTTTTTCTGTTTTTTATCCTCCTTTTCCCATCCTTTTTCTTTTTTTTTTTTTTCTCTTTCTCTGTATATAGGTATGTATATATATATGAAACGATTCCGCTGAATAAAAGTAAGTAAGAAAATCCGCTATGCCCATTCGCTTGTTCCTGTTTATGCTGTTGTTGATGCGGTCGCTATTGGTATCACTGTTCGTTGTCGCTATCGCTGTTGCTTTTGATGTCGTGGTGTTTTTTTTTTGGTAATGATGGCCATATCCACTCCATTCGCTGATTCTTTGTTCATGTTATCATTGTCGCTAGTTCGCTGTCATTTTTTTCGCTGCTCTGGTGTCTTCACGATCACGACCAAGCTAGTCATGATCATACCCCTCCCACCCACCCACCCACCCACCCCCTTCCCCTTTCCCCATTCCCCCCTCAAATACCAAATATCAAAAGCAACCCTCGCTCCCCCACCCCACCCCCTCCCATTTTAACCCTTATTCCCCTTCCCCTTTCCCTAAGCTGCTCGCCTAGACCATCGCAAGCGAGAGCGCGGCCAGCCGTCTGACGAGAAGCAGATCTCCCTGTCTCTGTCTCTGTCGCTTCTTCTCCCTCCGCCGCACCGCTAGCGCGGAGCCCGCGGCGGCCGGGTCGGCGGCGAGGCGGATTATGGGGAGGAAGAAGGGGCGGAGACGGGGATGTTGGGGGGGTTGCTTGGGGTGGGTGGCGAAGAGGGGGAGGGTGGGGGAGATGGGGGGGATGAAGAAGGAGGAGGGGGTGGGTTCCGGACCGGCTGCTGCGGTAGTAGTAGTGGTGGTGGTGGTGGTGGTTCGCATCGAGAGGCTGAGAGTCTCGTGGTCTTGGTCTGCTGTTGAAAATGGTTCTCCGCTGCTCGAGCACATGCTAGGGGTTGGTGGCGCGCTGAGAGACATGAGGCGCAGAGACTGTTCCAGTGCCAGTGCCAGCTGGCTTGCAATGGTACCGGGAGAAGATAGTGATGCCCCGGGGTTGTGGCTTTGCTGTGCATTGGTCTTGTCTCCGGCTTCCTCGCTTCGGGTTTGGGCGCAGCCCGAGGGTGTTGGGTTGGAAGGATGCATGACTGGTTCTCTGAACAAGTCGACGCGTTGGATAGGTAGGTAAGTCGTTGGATAAAGATTTAGTGGAGGAGTTTAAGAGTTGAAAGCTGATGATTGCGAGATATAGCTTTGGGAGGTAGATAGTAGGTGAGAATGCCGAGTTTGAGGTGTGCGTTGAAGAGGGGAAGAGAGAGGATGAAAGGAGGAGATATGGAATGGTTTATATACACACATAGGCACGCACGCACGCACATCCAGAGAGAAGACTTGAAAGGAGGTAACCTTGATAGTCAACAGTGGGAGTAGAGCAACAGCAACAGTGAGAATAGAGTAAATGATTAAGTCTGATGGCATACCTAATAGTCAACAAGGTAGGAAACCACAAGGGTTGTATAGTATATATTATACACACACATTGGTAAACAAGTGCCCTGGGCGCATCTATTAGTCTTCGTTTTGTTTGAGCGACAACTCCCACTGTATGTATGTATGCTCCTAGGTCAAGGGCCTTTGATGTCTTTGCTCATGATTGCTTTCTCCCCCCCTTTAACAATCTCTTCTTTTTTTTTTTACTTGCAAACCACAAACTTCACACTTTTCAGTTTCTATTGCTTCGCGGACCCATATCTCTCAGCAAGCACCTCCTCCGTACTCCTATTCATACCACTCGCTCCCTGCTGGTATCGTTTCTGCAGAGCTTTTTCCTCCGGCGACAACAACACATTACTAGCCTTCTCTTCTTCAGATGCACCCACCAACATCTGCTTGCCCCTCGAGAAAAACCCCCCAATAGCACCGAAGATCGAGCCCTTTGCCGCCTTCGCCTCCCCCTCCGCCTTATTCGCCGCCTCGATGCCCTGGGCCTTCAGCGAGTTCCCCGACGCCGCCGCTACGCTGCCCGCCTGGCTGCTGATCGTCTGATCCCTAGCTCTAGCCACGATCTCCTGCGCCTTCCCCTCCGCCTCGGCCCGTACGTTCTTATCGTCGCTGCTGCTGCTGCTAAGCGCCCTAGCCCACAGCCTAGCAGCAGCGGCCTCGAGGTCATGGCGCGCCTCGTACCAGTCCTTGTTCTGGGCCCAGTGGACGGCGCCCTCGACCTCGGCGTTCCAGCGGTCCTTGGCGCGCTCGACGAAGTTGGCGCGCTGGGCGGCGGCGAGCTCGGCGCGGGTGGGCGGGAGGGCTGGGGGGAGGGGGTCGATGATTCCTGAGAGGGCGCGGGTTTGCTGCCGCAGGATGGCGGCTTGGTATTCTCGGTTTCGCTGGTGCGTGAGCACGGTTAGGTAGGCTATTGAGAGGGTGAGGGTTACGCCTCCGGTCTGTTTTGTGGGTTGAGTTTTGGTCAGCTTGTAGTTAGAGGAGGGGTTGGTTGGTATGGTGGTGGCATGGGGAAAGCGTACGAAGCCTGTTGTGAAGCCCATGTTGAGCTACTCTTTGTGTGTTTCCCTCTATCTAGCTGTGAGGGTAGGCGCACTATGGCGCAGATACTATGAGAGAAATACTCGGATGTTGAGGGAGGTATGTATGGTAGACGAGTGTGTTTAATACCTAGAAGTGTGTAATTAGGTGTCTATGTCTATGTAGGTACTAGGTTGACGTGGGTAGTGAGATATAGGTATGGTGAGGGCTGGAGATGTGCAGTATCACGAAATAAATATTTATGAATAACTAGTTAATTGAATATTCAATAAATCGAATTTCGATCAGAAGAATTAATGACGTGAAAGTCGCGCTATCAAGCTAAGGTGCTAGTTATCAATGATGTACAGTACAAGAATACTTACACTGTGGCACAGCATCCCACCAATTCACACACACAACTCACCAATCAGAAGCTCGAAACCAAAAAAATCCGCAGGCGGCTCTAAGTAACTCTGTACCCCTGTCAGTTCAGCATTTTTGAGCCTTCTAATCAGCATTTGAACTTGACATCACTCCAAAACTTCCCCCTCCACCAACCACCACAATCAATCTTTCGACCCCCAAGAGCAAACTCGGAAAGGTAACCCTACACCACCCCCGAGGCAGCAGCAGCAGCAGCAGCAGCAGCAGCAGCGATGGCCGGCGGTCTAGTGAAATACCGGCACCTGAGCCGGAACTCAGCGCACCGACAAGCCCTGCTGCGAAACTTAGTCACGGCCCTCGTCCAGCACGAGTCCGTCCGCACCACCTGGCCCAAAGCCAAGGAGACCCAGCGGCTCGCCGAGAAGCTCATCACCCTCGCGAAGCGGAACAACGAGGATGCGCGGAGGAAGGCGCACGGCATATTATTTGTACGTCGTGCTCTCTCCCCCCTCTCTCTCCCCTCTCCCCACCCCCCCATCCCCAAAAACGAAAAAAGAAAAAAAAGGGGGAAGGGGGGGAAGAAAGAGAGAATAGCTAGACTAACGAACACAACCCCCCCCCAAAAAAACAGACCCCCAACGCCCTCGTCCCCAAACTCTTCAACGAGCTGCGCAAGCGGTACGCCTCCCGGCCCGGGGGCTACACGCGCGTGCTGCGCACCGAGCCCGTGTCGCGGTACGACCAGGGCGACTCCGCCATCCTCGAGTTCGTCGACGGACCCAAGGACCTGCGCTTCGCCATCACCGCCGCGACGGTGGCCCGCGACCAGCGCCTCGGCCAGCCCTCGAACTACCTGACGATGCTGAACAGGAAGAAGGTCACGCAGTTCAGGAAGGGGGGGGAGCAGGCGTTCGAGGAGATGATCAGGAAGGTTGGGGCGCTGGGGTTGGGGGGCAAGGGAAGCGGAGGGGGAGGGGCGATGGGGGTTAGTGTGAGGAAGGGGGGAGAGGGCGCGGCGGCGAGCTAGGGGGGGTTGAGGGAGGGATCAATCATGAAGTAAAATCTATGCAAAAAAAGATAAGAAGAGAAGAGAGAGGTTTGAGGGGTCAGTCAGTCAACGGCAGCTGTGGCAGGTGAAGGGAGCAAACCTAGCTAGCCAGCTTCCTGTTCATGGCATCTACCCTTGATCAACGCTCGTGGGGTTTATACGGATGCTGTTGCGAGCAAGCAGAACTCTCACTTACTCGCCTAGCAAGGAATGGATGGGTGGATGGACGGATGGTTTACAATGGGTAGAACCTCCATGAGCCCATGTAAGTATGTGTGTGGGTAGGTGTATACCACTACGACTTACAAGTCTCAGTTCATCTCCAGGACAGACGCTCAGGTGTTCAGACGAAACATAGCTATTGTACCATTACTGCATATTCACAATAAAAAAAAAAAATAAACAACGAAGAGCATTGAACCTGTATAACACATCCAGGCGTCCAAGTACACATCGATGCATGCTCTCTCCAACTCTCATTATAAGCTACGTCTCGTAATCCCAGTCCTCGTAGCTCTTTATTATTTTAACTCTCTTTACCAAGGTACCTACCTACCCCCTTTCCAACCACGTTTTCCTTTTCTTCCCCCCCTTTCAAATAAAATCAAAAGTATCCCCCTTCTCCCTCACCATCCTCCCCACTCTCTTGGACCCCACCACCCTCTCGAGCTTCAGCACATCGTACCTCGAGAACAGCGCCCTCGCCGACCCCTTGCCCGGCTCAAGCCGCGACTCCTGCTCACTCTTGGCGAGAAACCCCCCCACGATCTCGCGGTAGAAGACCGGGTTGTCGGGGATCCCGTACAGCAGCACGCGGCGCACGCCGCGGAAGACGTAGCGCCGGAAGTGGTGCGCGCGCTCCGTGTACAGCAGGACCTGGTGGCGGCCGTTGAGGAAGTGGGAGCGCGCGCGCGAGGCCTCCGACACCTCTGTGTACTCGGACACGGCGCCGAAGGTGAGGCCCGAGCAGTTGGGCGAGGTGGCGAGGTAGTTGCGGATGCGGACGAAGTCGAGGTACGACGGCACGAACACGAGGGTTCCGCTGGCGGAGGCGTCGCGGCGTTTTGTGAGGGCGGGCAGGATGGCGCTCGTGAAGTAGTCGAAGCGGGCGTCGGGCTCGGCGGCGACAGAGGGGGCTTCGAACCGCGAGAAGGTTTGCTTGGCCTTGACGACGGCGCCGAGGTCCTCGATGGCGCCGCCGTATGAGGCGGGTTGCACGCGCACGCGGCCGGCCCAGTTGGCGCCGAAGCGGCGGTGCAGCTCCACGAGCTCGGGGGTGCTGAAGGCTGAGAACACGAGCGTCTGTCGGAAGTTGTGGGCCTGCTTGTCGAGGTACCATTCGCGAACGCGGCTGAAGTCGCAGTCGTGGGCCTCGCGGGGTTGCTGGTTGAGGTGCTCGAAGATATACTCGACGTGCTCCCAGTTTTGCATGAGTAGGGCGTCGGCTTGGTCGACGATGACGACCTCGATGGAGCTGAGGAAGTCAAAGTCTACCTTCTTTTGCTTCTTGTCCTCTTCGGACCCAATTGCCATGCGTAGACCCAGGGGAGAAGCTATTAGAATGTCCGAGTTGTAAAACTGCGAGAAGTACTTGATGGTTTTCCTCGTGAATTTTACACCGATGCGGAACATGTCATCGTCGTTGCCTTCGAAGAGCTCTCGAAAGTCTTCAGGTCGGTCCGACGCGAATTTGGCCTCTTTGTCTAGGTATGAGTCATCGAAACGCTTTCTGTTCTCCTGCTGCTCTGGCTCGCATATTGAACAGATTGTATTTACCATCTTGACGGCCGAATTACGTGTTGGTACAATCATCAAGACTTTTGGGCGTGTAAACCCCTGATCCCTTGGCTCAAAGTCAGTATTTTCGCCCTCCTTTGCGAGCTTAGCATTGTTTTTGATGACTCGATCCCGAGTTCTGTGCTACGGTTAGCAAGAATATTCCGTTGTCATGGGCTAAGTAACAGGGGCTATACTTGAAAATGTGATTGACACTATGCAGACATGCCATCCGTCGTAAATCTTCTGCATTCTTCGTTGTTCGCCCACAGAATAGGACATCATTATAGGAAAATGTTAAAGGATAAAGAACCTGCTCGAGCTTGTCATAGGTGGAGCGTTTCCGACTAGCTGGCTCGATAAGTTTCTGTTTGAGCTTGAGACCGGAAGGCCCTAGTATCAAGGGTGGGAGAGGTGCCACTTGTGTGGTGTCCTTTCCTGGTAGGTTTCTTATGAGTCTCCAGCCGTTCTGCTCTGAATGCGATTGAGAATATTCGTTGGCCTGGATTGATTTCAAGCGGGTTTGCAACACATCCTGATCAGGATCGACGAAATGGGTCTCAAATGGGTCGGACGAGTCTGGTATATCCTCGTCATCATCATCATCATCATCAACTATGATCTCATTTTCGGGCCCTTCCTCTGGCTCATCTACATGATCAATGTCTCGTTCCTCGTCCTCTTCTGCTTCCACCTCCTGTTCAGATTCAGGCTTAGTGGTACTTGACTTGGCTTCTTCAGATTGATGGTCAAGTTTTCTCCTTTTAGCGCTAGGAGCCGACTCCTTTGATAGACTTTGCATTAAAGCCAAGTATGGCTTGTTGACTGGTTGATCCTGTTCGTCTTCCGACCCTGAGTCGTCATTTTCAGATATTTCATCTGGCGAGGGCGAATCTTCCTCAGATTCCTCCTCTGGTACATCTCTATGTCAAGTTAGAATATGCCTTTACTGAAAATGAATAGGAGTAGTGAGTGTAAGAGCAACCATACTCAATTTCTGCAAGTCTAGCGCTGTCGAACTTGGGGGTACGCCCATAAGTTCTCTTCCCCGTTGGTCCGCCACCTCTTCCACCTCTGCCGCCTCTGCCGCCTCTTCCTCTAGGTGGCCCTTGCCGATTGCCTGCTCTGAATTTTGGAGGCATTATAAGAGCCTATGAATTCAAACCTGCGATCATGTACATATGATTTTGTAAGTCATATATAATGAATAAGTCTAGGCGAACTACTAGAAAAAATTCATACAAGTATGAAAGTAGGTAGGTATGTGCTTAGCAGTAGAGAAGCTACACAGATCGATTAATGATATCTAGGATAGTAGCACATAAATCTGATGTAAGTTCATGTAACTACTGATATGTACATAGCAGGACTTCAAGTTTGCAGATTTAAAAATTTAAGAGTGGGGACCTTAAGCTTCAAAGCGCAAGCCACAACGCCACACAATTAGTTAATGGACTGCATCAGGGGTCGCCCCTATTACATAATACATGCTCTACTGCTTTGTAGTATAACTACTTTGTAGTATATACTTAATATTTGGCTCTCAAAGTTATCTCGCCATCTTCTTCACGTCTTAATATAACATCCCCTGCGAGTTCTGGGAATTGAGCTTGTCCAATTTTCTCCACCTCGTTATCTCGTAGACGGCCTAGTCGCTTCAATATCAGCAGTGCATCATGTGTTACTATCTGCGATAATGCCTGCCAAATATTTCCTAAATCTGATTTGTCCGTATACAGCAAGAAAGATACCGCGGCAGTCGCTATTACGCAAAGATGCACTGCGATTATGATCGTGGCACCAATGAAGCCGTTCCACCTTATAGGAATGAGCACGGTTGAAGAAAATATAGTAGATGCCTCGCCTGACAAGGCTGACATCCGTAGAAGATCGTAGTAGGCCATCTGGGATAATCGCGTGAAAAATGCTTGCATAGCTAATGAAGGACTTTCCGTTACGTGTAGCGTGTCTTGGTATAAAGCGACGTGCGAGAGATGCACTGTATTGGAACCAGCTGTGGCGTTTGAGAGTGTAAACCCCAAATTCGTAACGGTAGAATTTACCAATGTCGTCAAACCGCCCATCATATTATTGAAGTAGTCGGCATGGTATTTTTCATTATATGGTGAGGATACAATCCACTCTATCTCGTCGATCTCTTGCCAGTCTGCTGGGTGGTTGAGATCCAGTACGCCTCGATCTCGGGTTGATGCTGGCTCCAAGCTGGCCCCAAGCTGGTGTCGCGAATTTGCCGTGTCATAGGCTCTCAACTCGCGTTTCCAAGGCATTCTCGGTTCTAGCATATCCCGCGAACTGTGCATTTGCACAGACTGCACTTTCCAACCTTGGTTCATATAACATGCAGTGGCTCGTACGAGGTCTTCACCCTGCTCATCCACACCAATTGCCCACGGGCCATCTGTACGCACTACTTTAATAGCAGTTTGATTTGCACCGGGAACCAGGAACGTGGTCATATCCTCTCTAATAAAGTCGAGAGCAATGAAGATTGTAGTCCAGGGGTCATTCAGAGGGTCATTGAGAATGGGGATTCTATCACGGTTAAGGTTGCACATAGTCGTGAGTCTTATAGTTGTGCCATTCAAAACGAAGAGGGGGCGAGAGATTGGACAGACAAAACCAATGGTAGGCTGAGCATTCAGCATGGGGTATGAGCCGTTGACGGTCATCGTCCCTGAGAATACGTAGATACCCTCGGTTTGGCTGAAAACGAGATTGTTTAGGGAAGGACGGACACAGACTACACGGAAGTCAAAGATATCAGCCGGGCCACGGTATCCGCGTAGACTGGTTCTTTGCACTTCGTCTTCATAAGGCAAAAAGGCACGATAAGTATGGCCTGTATCGTGGAAATCGTCTCCCCCTGTAAATGGTTCCGAGTACTCGGCAAACCTCCAGTGCGCTGCTGGAGGTTCAGCTATGTATGATTCCCTAAATAAAACATCGGTCCTATAAGTGGAACGTACCGTTGTCGAGTTCGGTAAATTGCTGACCGCCGTATTACCAAAGTCTGATATCAGAAGCGTTGACAAGAATTGTGAAGATATGGTAATCATGACTTCAATAATGGCAAGTGAATACACCATTGTAGACTTGAAATTTCGGCGTCGGAATGTGATGTGACTTAACAGGTTGTGTGGTTGAGTTTGGAAAGCCCTCGACATTGAAAGAAAGGGCACATCGAGTATGGAGACGCCAATCTTCTCCAGAATCAGTGCGCTTATCATTGATGTGAAGATGCCAGCCTGAGTTCCCATCACGGTTCGTATAACCGCTGTACTGATAGTGACGATTTTTGTTGCCCAACCATTCGTCGCAATATGATGCCAAAAAGGTGCAACATCTTGACCCTCAATTGCCAGTAAAGATTGCTGCCAGATTATTGCTAGGAAAATCAGTATAGAAAGAATGGCTACGGAGCCTAGAAGCAATGTTATGAGACCAAGAATTCCAAAACGTAACGACCAATTGGTGCGCCGGTCCGAACTTGCATCTCGAATAGAATAGCCGTAACTAGAATCCCTTGGAGCGATATCGACGAGAGGAACGGCGACATCGCTGGTTTTCCTATTCGATGACTGATTCAAATGATAACGCATCGTGATTTTCCGATCTCCAAGTTATCCATTCCATGGAATTGCTAGTAGAGCAAAATGAGAAAAAACATTGCTGCCTTATATATCTAACCTAGGTATATACCCTAGGGGAGGAGGCAGACATAAGCACAAATTGCCTTGAATGCAACCTTGCCCCTTTAGAGACGAGGAATACGCCTGGGTACCTACCTGCCTGCATGACTCCGACGACTAGGTCTCTCAGCCCAGCCCATTGACTGGTTGATTGAAGATGGAAGGCATGGCATGAATATGTGCTTATTATCTTGGCGGGCTTTCTGTAGAAGCTCTTGTTCGTAGCTTTCACATGTAATCCCTTACTATGAATCTCGAGTAACAAGTAGCAAATAGTTGGTGATATACTTGGCGTATAATTAGTCTTTTATAGCACATAATTAGATCGTATTAAATTGATGAAAGAAAAGGAAGAGATGTTGAATCCACAAAGTTCGTCAGAGTCACACCGAGTCACACGAAGCCTTGAGGTTAACCGCTAGGGTTCAAGTTGCACAGGGTAGAATGCCTAGCCAGTGATCACCTGGCAATCATGGTCCAATAAAGGCTAAAGTGTAAGCCACGACTCCACTTTATGACATACCTTGAATTTCTTATCTTATCCCCCCCCCTAAATTGTTCAGCCTTGCCCACAAGCTGAGAACCCCGCTACGCTCAGAAAGTTGAAAATTACAACTTTGAAGAGAAAAAAAAAAGTAGCGAATCATTATTTGATTTCGGTTAAGACAGGAAGACAATACAGGCGACGTTCCGCAACTTAGTCTTGTTTAATCCACTCTTTTCTCTTCTACTTTTCAACCTACTTTTCGACATAATCCTAAAGAATCGAATTAAATCGCAAACAAACCCCCAACCTATCACTCAACCCACCGTTGACCATATCAATCATGGCTCGGGATACTCCCAGATTCTTGCACCTGGCGCGTCCTCTTGCGCCCACCGGCGCGAATTACCAGAACCATACCGGCCCACTCTCTGTCACTATTCAATCCCAGGTATGTTCTATTTCATTATCCTCCTTGCTCAGTCCTTATATCATACCGTTCTCGCTAACCATATAACAAAAAGGCCATCGTCTCCATTCTCGACCATGCCACCCGCCGCGATATTCGCCCCACACCCACACCTACCAACGAGTCCGCTGTCGTAGCTGCTAGTTCCTCATCGCGGGTTATCGGAGCTCTTGTTGGCACCCGATCCGAGGATGGCGCCGAGATCAACGTCTCTTCTTCCTTCGCCATTCCCCATACCGAGAATGAAGACCAAGTCGAGGTTGATGTCGAGTACCAGAAGAATATGTTGTCCCTGCATCTGCGAGCCCACCCTCGCGAAGTCTTATTGGGCTGGTATAGTACTACCCAAGAGCTCAACAGTTTCAGCGCTCTTATCCAGAACTTCTTCGCGAGCCCCGAGACCGGCACCTTCCCACACCCGGCCATCCACCTCACAGTCTCCGCTGACCCGGGCTCCGATATCAAGACCCGGGCTTACATCTCTTCCCCGGTCGCCGTCAACGCCGAGCGCGCTTCTGAGTCATGTCTCTTCATGCCCGTACTTTGCCGTGTAGGCACTAGTGATGCTGAGCGCGCCGCACTTGACATAGTGGGCCGAGCTCGTGATAACGTTACCCGTTCTGCCCCTGTCATCACCGATGTTGAGGCCCTGACTACCACACTCGAGCACACACTATCCATTCTGGATCGCGTCTCTGACTACGTTGGCGCTGTGATCGACGAGGAGCGAGAACCCAACAATGCACTTGGCCAATATCTGATACGAGCAGTATCCCTTGCGCCCAAGGTCGACCCTGCCACCATCGAATCCGACTTTAACAACCACATCCAAGACGTCCTGATGATCAGCTATCTAGCGAACAGCATCCGCACCCAGATCGGCCTAAGCCAGCGCCTCGCCACAGCCGTCCTTGCCGACGGTGACAAAGTCGAAGGAAAAGATGGCGATGCTAAGGATGGTAAAGGTGAAAGGGGCGAACGGGGCGGCCGCGGAGGTAAACGAGGAGGTCGTGGAGGAGGTCGCGGAGGCGGACAGCGAGAGCCGCGTGAACCTCGCGAGCCCCGCGAGAACGGTGAATGAAGTTCTAATTCCTTACAACTACTTGACGACGGAGGCGAGCCAGAACTCGCCATTGCCACGCCAGATGAACGATACAATGCCCCGTGATTTTCTCACAACAGGAGAAAAAACGTGGTTTGGGGGCGGGGTTTACCAGCAGGGAAGCTAGGCATATCTAGCTTAGGTGGCCATTACGGAACGGTGTGTTTATAAGTAGGAAAAGGAAAGGAAAGGATGGGAAGGAATAGGCCTGTATTACTGCTACTAGCCCTAAACAAAAGAAGAAGACTTGAGCATGATGATGGAAGAAATGGTTGACTACTATCTTACCTACCTTACCTAGAGATTCCCGTTGACACGAAGGAAAGAAAGACACAGAGAGAGATGTAGGTAGGCAAGCAGGTAATCAAATGCAGCAGGAAGGGTAAAAATACCAATACCACACTACTACCACTGCCACTATATATACCATTACCTACTGTCCGAGTAGATGTGTATACGAAGTAATTGATTGATTGATCAACTGCAATTAAACTCCCATACAAAAGATAGGTAAATTCGATTCCAACTCCCACCAAACATCCTAACCATCCCAATATACCTAACCTAGTTAGTTACCAGCGCCTCCTTTTCGAAGCTCGTTAAGTAAAAGAAGAAAAGAAAAAAGAAAAAGAAAAAAAGAAAAAAAAGTCCTACCCAGGTACCTACCTACCTAATTTCTATACATTTTATGTGGGAAGGATGTGATGTGATGTGATGTGGTGCTTACATGTACTGTATAGGTACTCTACCTCCATACCTACCTACATATCTACTGTACCACCCTGCCGAGGTATGTAGATTGGTAAATGGTAGATAGGTACCCAACTACCCAACTAACTGACCACACCAACTTACTGCCAACTTACTTCAAACTGTGATATTTTCAACTCCTGGGGCAGTATATGTGTTGTCTGCCCAGGTATATAGGGGTAAAAAGTGTAAGAGTGCAAAATGGAATATGGATACCTAGTGCAAAGTAGAAAGTGGAATGGATATAAAATTTCTTCGCCTGCCTTTACCCTGCTCTGACTTGCTACAATACTACTCTGGTAGATAATACTATGGATAAGTTATCCTTTACAATCCTATGTTTTGGTCGCAATTCCTAGAGCCAATTTCCTCGCAAATGGAGAAAGGGGACTCTGTTTAACCTTAATGTATGGTGTATGGTGTGATAGAGGAAAGATAGATCATCCCATCATTTCGTATTGGCTCTTTGCGAGTCGTGTATGAATATATTTACTCCCCATCGCCTTGAACGCCTACCAATGATACCGTTACAAACCACCCGCCAAAGTTTTACGCCGGTGTCGTTGTCTTCGCGGGTTTCCTGTATCCATCCGCCTTGATTTGTCAAGTCCTCACCGAAAAGAATAAACACCATCAATGCTTGCTAACTTTTCATGCATGTGCTTACGTTGTGCGACTCCTCCATCTAAATTCCCGAAGGGGGCTTCTGTGGTAGAGTGGCCGGATTTCCAAACGCGGGGAGGTGGCTATAATTCTGACCCGGCCCGGTTGGTGGAGGAGGAATGCTTGGCTTATTCGGCATCTGAGGCGGAACCTGCGGCAAATGTGCCGACGGGTGTTGGGGAATGTGCTGTGTTGGGTGATAAGCCGGTAGGGAGCTGTTGGACCCTTGCCGACTCATTCCGTATCCCGGTCCGCCTACATACGGCTGAGGCGGAGCGGGCGAGCTATAGCCACTATAGGCTAGATGAGGTGAACCGACTTGGGGACTACCGTGGCCGCCCATGTTATACGGGGGCATGGGGGGCTGGACCTGCATCATACCATTGCTAGGCACGAATGATTGCGTCTTAGGATTGAACGCGTGCCGATTATAACTTCCAGGGATAGGGTGCTGGCTCTTCGGATCATGGGGGTTGGCATTAGCAGGAAGTTGTCCGAAGGCGTAAGGGATACCAATGGATCCCGGGCTACCCTGAACCTGAGGCTGGGGTTGGGGTTGCGGCTGTGGCTGAGATGGAGGTGGAGGAGGAGGTGCACGACTTTGATACGGGCTAGAAGACGGTGGTACTGGGGCGAAAGTCGGTTGCCAGGGCTGGTGCGGAGGGCTTGGAACCGGCCCACCATACGTTCCCATCGAACTGTTGGACGGGGTGTATCTCGGAGGCGTGGGTTGTGCTTGGGGTGGATACTTTGAAAATATATTAGCCTCCTCCGTCAAAGTCATCAAGCCATGATTGACACTTACTACTGGCATATTGCTATATTGAGGGAATGCATTATTCGGCATCATAGTAGGGTTCATAGCAGGGTATGCTTGTGCAGGAGGCGCATATGCTTGGGGAGGCATTGGGCCCTGATAAGGCTGTTGAACTGGACTGCCATATTGTGGGTGGTTGATGGGGATATACTGAGGCGTCGTCCAATTAGGTTGGTGTGGGTGGTAGTATGGCTGGTACTGCGAACGGGAGTCGAAGCTCTCAGAGTCGTCTCTGCGTTGCTTGCCAGTCTTTCCTCGCTTGCCCAGTGTAGATTTATCCTTTGCCGACACGGAGCTTGCCCGGGAAACACCATTTGCGTCTTCATTATCTAATAGTAGTGTTAGGATGTTTGGCAAAAACGTGGAAATAATATCAATAAGCATACCTGGTGTCGACTCTCCCGGCTTGTCTGAACTGCCAAAAATTCTTTCCCGAGCTTTTAGATACGCTTCTTCGCGTTCTTCTCTAGTGAGCCTAGTGTGATGTCAATGAGATGCACACTGGTTGATATATAGCAGTACTTACTTTTGATTCGGAGCCGACTTGTCCTTGCCGTCACTCCCAACTTCGGATGTTGCTTTGGATGGGCTGTTACTACCATGGCCGGATCCTTCTTCACCACGCCGCATAATCTTCTTCGGCAGAACTTGGGGGGGTGTCGTAGTGGCAGGGGGTTTGACATTGGTTCCCGCAATGCTAGCTAAGGATGGGGGAACTCGGCAGAAAGGAGTCCGGAAGATACGGACGGAGCCTTGGACTGCTTCGAAGGAATGTGTCATGTGATAATAATCAGCAAGCTTATGAGTCAACATTCTGCAGAACGAGTTGTTTGGTGGAAGGTCCATGTAGGGCTCCCTATATTGGCGTTAGCTTTCCTATTATTATACTAGGTATTGCTTATAATACAGATCTTATGGGTACTTACTTCGAGGATTGGACGAAATTTATTACTTCTTGTTCTAACCGAAGCAAGAAGATACGGTCTTTAGGAGACTGCATGGCCTCAAGAAGCTTTTCATCTGGGTTCTGACCGTAGAGTGAGGTGAATGCATCAGAAGACCCATTAACTATACCTAGAGTCTGAGGCTGTTCAACAGGAGGCTGCTGGCTGGAGACACCACTTTGAGGAGTAGACACGTTCTGTTCTTGCGACTCAGGTAGTATCTGTACGATTCGCCTTTCGGGCATGTCGCCGATTCGAAGGCGATGGATCCGGGCTACCTCGGAGCCTATGCGAGTGTTGGCAATTAGGGAACCCCTAACCGAAAAGGGTTCGTCGTCCTCTGCAGAGGCCTTCACGCTGGCGCTGTCATCTGGACGTAGGGATTCCTTCTCGTCTAAAGCGAATGTAGTTCCTGAAGTGATGCTTTTTCCATCAAGACTAGGGGCCTTAGTGCCCATCTCAGAGTTAGAATCAGCCCTTTGTGAAGCGTCATCAGATACTGAAGTTCCATTGTCGTTTTTACCATGCGAACCGCCAACAGAAGAGGAAGAGCCGTTTACGACCAAACTAGGTGTCGATGAAACGCTGGCAGCAGAAGGGGAGGGTTGCAAGTCTTTCCCGCCCTGCACAGCCTTGGCGCCGTTCGCTGCCTCGCTCCTGAGCGTATTCGTCACTGAGCCGTTTTCCAAGAAAACTGGGGTTTTAGTGGTAGTGGTAGTAGTAGAAGTAGTAGTTGCCGTTGTCCCTTTGCTTGTCGCAGATGCCACAGGGATAGCGGGTGGTTGCATGCGATGCTCCATGGCTGGTACAGCAACTCTTGTAGTTGAAACAATAGGGATATTCTCTTTAGGTTTAGATGCTACAACCTATACTCAAAGTTAGCTATATGATATAACCCAGAAAGCGGAGTTGGTGCGCTCTCATTGTGGCATTCTAGGACAACCACATACCTTGGCAAATGACAGCTTTTTAGGGCCAGCAGATGGTGTGGGTACGGTCGCCATGATTTGTACTAATGGCGTCTAGATATAAATGCGGTAGGCAGGCCGTATCACCTTACTCTCGATAGTGACAGATGCAAGCGTAGTGCGCTCGTGAACTCTAGGTACCCTGAACAAAAGTACTTCAACAACCGAACTGTCCAATAGCTTCGGTAAATCGACGTCAGAAGAGGTAGAAATCAGGAAAGAAAATGAATAAACGCAGCCCTGTGGGAGTACGGAATACGGCTAATCATTGTGCGATTCGGGTATCTCAGGGACGTATCGTGAAGTTCCTAGGTTCCAGGGTTCGAAGCCGATACAGGCGATCTTGGAGCTTTTCTGAGCTGTCGACAGTATGTCTACACGGGAGGAGTGCCGAATGGTGTTGGTGGAAAGAATGGATACTAGATAGAATAGGGCTGCTGTCAGCAAAGTAAGAAATATTGGGGCGGGATGTTGGATAAGAACTGATGGAATAGGAAAGGGAAGGGAAAGGAAAGAAGGGGGAGAAAGAAAGAGACAAGAGCGAGAGAGGAAAACGGGTTGAATGTGATGAGATTGGTTGATAGTGGTCGACAGGCTGACTGGTTATAGAAAGTTGGGTTGCACGAACAATCGCATATAATAAAAAAGCGTAGGCCACTTACGGCTCGAATGGTTCGAATGGCTCGAATGAGACTCGGTCGCAAAGAACCAAGATTGATGATTACTTATTACTTAGATGAAGCGCAGGAAAGGTTTATAAGGCCGTTGTTTGGGTACAATCGTAAACTTCTCAGGCACAAATGCAACTGTTGATTCTTTCTGACCGACAATACTGACGATAGTTCTTTTCAAATATATGTTGGTGGTTTGATTTCGTTCGTTGGTCGATCCAGAAAAATGGAATAAAATAAGGTGATAGTCAACCTCTCCTCCTCTTCGTTGACTAGGTCTTGGTCCTGGTCTTGGTCTTGGTCTTTCTCTTTCCCTTTCCCCTCTACGAATAGTAATCTATCGCACTCGCACTCGCACTCGACCTCTTCACTGTAGCGGGGGTCGAGGAGGGCGACTTTTAAAAAGTCGTTGTGCGAAGGAAGCAAAGCGAGGCTGGGTATATTGTGTGTTGTGTGTGTGTAGGTGTTTGTTTGTGTGTAATCCGCAAAAGGCAAGGTAAGGTAAAGTATGGTGTGGTATGGTAGATTCTAAAGAAATCGGCGAAACCACATGTGCAGTTGTAAGTTGTTGGTTGTCAGTTGTTAAGAGTAAGGTAAAGAATGGCAAAGGTTAAAAGTTAAAAGCCAAGGCTCCAATTCCAATCTCACTCTCTACACTAAACTAAGGTTAGGAAGTTTCTCCAGCCCCGGGTCTTACAATGTAGCAATGTAGTGTAGGTATGTAGTAATAACCTTGGAAGATTGGGGAGCGTTCAATGTTAAAATAAAATAAAAATGGCAGGGCTTGAAAACGTCTGTAAGTAGCTAATTTTACTAGGCAATTAGCGAGTTAGCGCCCTAGTTTTACCTACCGGTAGGAGCCGTGTCAACCTGGAAGCGAATTAATCCCCTGATTGCGGCTGGCTGACGTCTGAGGTTTTGCTCTTTCGATGCTTACCCAGCACTGATCATTGAGGTACATCCCTGTAAGTAACTAATGGGATTTCAACTGATGGCACTCTGTGGCTGACAAGGCTTGCACGGCCACAATTTATAGATAGTTCAAGTTACTGCAGTGATATCATTGGCCACTGATGATGTGTATTTCGAGTTGGAAGTTTCAATATGTAAATACATCCATGATCCATGTCGCTACAGTGATACTACATATACATAGGTACAAACAAAGCTCTACATGGCCATGCCTGGCATCAATTGATCCATGAATTCATTGTTCGATATTCAATGTTCGACGTTCTCACTGTAAGTACTGAGCAGCAGCACTGAAGCCTTTCACACAGACCACAGACCAGAGAAATAAATCGTGGAAAAAACACTTTTTGTTCATATGCATATGGATACCTGAATATCTCAATTAAACACTGTCATCATTCTTTCATACCGAAACACCTCCTACATACTACATAGGTATACATACATCCCACGCCATCTCATAACGAATCAATCTCGCAGCCATGTATCGACGCGACCCAACAAAGGCGACTCCCGCTAATGTCCAATGCCAAAAATGTCTTAAGAAAGATATGTGTACACCATCAAACTTTCTTAAGCCTCTGCTAACCTTCTCAGCACGTCACTACTCTTATGAATGCAAGGCTTCAACACAAGAGAGGCCTTATGTCTCCAGGCCCTCACGCACCCAGCAACTCCTCAACCCCAAGCTTGCCCCCAAACTGGCTAGCGATGTTCAAGACGCTCTAGCGAAGCAGTAAGGGTACTCCCGACATTCTAGTTTTGAAAATTTACTAACCAGCTTACAGAAAGGGCGTAGCCGATGAGGAGCTCGCTAAGCGAGAGGCTGAGAGGGCCAGGAAGCGAGAGCTGGAGGACAATGACTCAGAGGGAGGGTCTCCTAAGCGAAAGAGGTCGGTTTCGTACGACTCCGTATCCTCTATCTCTACGAGAGGATCGCTTTCACCACCTCGAGCCCAGCAAGCTTCTACTGTGGTACCAGACTTCCTTATAGAAGCATCAAACCGGCCACCACCACCACCACCAGCAGGCCGAGCCCCTCGAGAGCGGTCATATAGCTCGGATAGCGATTCACAGCGACGCTATTCGCCAAATCCTCCCAGACGAGCCAGGAATGATAGCCGGTCTGATAGACCGAGTCGAAAGCCGCTCTCGCCAACGCGGGGTGGCAGCCCTGCAACGGGAGACGAAGGCCCATCCAGTCGGCGTAGAGGATATTCTCCAGAGTCTGATGTGTCACCCCCGCCTCCACGTGAACGACGACGGTACCGTTCAAGGTCTCCAGAACCATCAAGAAATCGTGACAGGAGCCCGCCACGACACTCGGACAAGCGAGGCAGTCGAGATCCCGTGCCTTCTCGTGGAGGTGGTCAAAGACGGGGAGGGGCCCCGCCAAGGCGAGAACGGGAGCAACGTGATAGGAGTTTGAGCCCTTTCTCCAAGAGATTAGCTCTGACACAGGCAATGAACACGAGTCGTTGAAACTTGGGTATCATAGTCTTTAATTTAGTCTTTAATTCGGCTCAGATCAACCATTTCTAGTGAAGTCTACCTACTTGTAGACTAGACTACTTGTATGGTAGTACCTGAATACCTAGGCATTATTATAAATCCATCTTTTTTGCCAAGTCCATGAATAAACCAAAACGCCGTAGCCATGCAAACGATTCTTCCCTCGAGGTCCTGATTGAGATTGTTTTATTTTATATAGCATCTTCCTCCTCCTCCTCGCGCTCTTTCCGCTCCTCTTCCTCCTCCTCCCTTTCCCTCACCCTTAGCCCTTCCACCAGCGCCACGCCATCCATACCCGCCGCCTCCACCCTCCCCCCCTCGTCATCGTTCTCATTCTCCGCAATCGGCTTAGCCGTCTTCTTCGCAGCCGCCGCCTGCGCGCCCGTGATGCGCTCCCGAACCAGCTTCGCGATCGCGTTGTCCGTGCGCACGTTCAGCACCTCCAGCTTCTTGTCGAGGTCGCGCTTGAGGTCCCAGTTCGGCTTCTTGGGCTGCAGCTTGAACAGGTCGATCCCCTTGTCGTCCTTCGCGTCCTCCGCGGCTTTGCGCTTGATCTCGGCTTCCATCTCCGCTGCTTGCTCCTCGAGTGTCGGACCTTCCATGGTGAGTGTGGGCGGAGCCTCGAACCCGAGTTTGGGACCTTTGGTCTCGGCGTCGTAGTTCCGCCCGGATAGGTGCAGGCGGGCGATGGATTCTACTTCGGTTTCTGCGGAGGGTTCTGGAGCTGGGGTTGCGGAGGGAGAGGCGAGGCGGTCTGATTCGGGGGGTGCGATCTCGTCGGCGGGTTGCTTGCGCTTTAGGGACTTGAGCTTGGCGAGCCGCGCCTTGCGGTCGTCGGCCGCGGCGCTGAGAGCTGCTTGTGATGTTGACATTTTGATGAAGTCGTCAAAGACTAAAGAATGAATGAATATAGGGCTTGTGGTAGTGATGGCAGGTTGAATTGGATTGGATTAAAATGCCACACCTAAAAAAAAAAAACACATGTAAGTACATACAACTTGGTAATGGACCTTCAATGCTTGCAATTCAATGTTGCTGGCTGATTATCATTTATCGATAAGAAGTTTTAGGGACCGATAAAGAATTTTAGTTGACAACCCACATGGCATCTACCTATTAAAACCACTAATCTCTAAAGTTAGTGACTTTTTGGCTTTGCGATAGTAACATAATTGCATTTTAGAGCTATTAATTACAACATCAATCTTGAATCTTGTTCTTGTTTTGTATATTGTGCATGGTTCAAGAACAAGATTCCTTTCTTGTTCCTTTTTTTTCTTCTTCCTTTCTTTTATAAACTTCTTCGATACGTATATAACTTACTATGTACATGTTCCCTACAATACATGTTGCGCCTGTGTCTTAGTAGACCCTTCAGTCCAAATATTGAATCCTTTCGCGAGAGAGACCAGGACTCTAAGCATTATTCATCCACGACCATAAAAATGCCCTGTCAACCTCATGTCGATCGAAGCCCTCTGCTAGCTACATTCACGATACCGACTTACTTGCGATCATGTCCACGCCATTCATATGTCGCAAATGTATAACCCGACTTGCTCAGTCCCGTATGGGCTATATAGGACGACTGAAACCGAAGCGCCTAAAACTACACACTCAAGCGACATCAACGTCGGTACCACCACCAACTTGGACAATTTTAGAAGAGGAACAGAGGCGGGAGTCTATAAACCAGCAAAAGCCTACCACTGGTCATGAAATCCCTGTGGCCAGACCCAATCAAGTACCCGGTTGGCAAGAAGTTCAAGTTCAAGAGGAATCGGTAGCAGAACGAGGAGTGGCACAGGAGAAGCGTAAAAGAAGGGGCAGAAAACGACGAAGACCAGTCCCTACGCCGCTAGCTTCATCTTCACAAGAGTTAAAGGCGAAGATATTAAAAGCAAACGGAAATTATCGCATTGTCTTCGACGACCTCGAACATATATATCAATTGTCGCGGGAAGAAACCCGTCATACAGTTGGCCAACTGAAAAGGCTGCTCCGGGAAGCATGGGAATCAAATTCCCTGGAAAGGGCAGAAGCGCAACTTGATTTGTTCCATGACTGGAAGAATCATTTCAAGTTCTTAAAACAGACAATCAGCCTTGCTTCTGCCAAGCTATCTTTCAAACTATCTGCCAGGCTACCTAATGCGGATTTTTGGATGACTGTGTCGAAGCAAGGTTTGGAGACTATGAGGGATACATGGCACAGATCGAGCCAGGAGAAGCGCGAGTCCTTATGGCCACGTGTAGTAATGGCCGCATTCCAAAGCCACCTCAACTGGGTGCCAGTTTCCTTTTTATCAACGTTTCAATCTACATCGTGCCCAAGCTACATCGTCGAGGATTCGGTTTACCTCCTTTTCCGAATGCTGGATGACGATAAGATCGCCAAGGGCAACCATCAACAACTTGTCGAGCTCGTCATGTTCCTCCTTGAGAATTGTCCTCCAGGTTATATGGTTCTAGAGCAGATGGTGATCCGGAGGGTTATGTCATTGATATCAACTCGTCAGCTGCTTGGGCTTCATGAAGCTCTTGAAAAGATCGAACATCCGCTTAGCTCCAATACACTTCTCCATTTTGCAAGTCGGTACGCTCATACAACAAAATACAAGGTACAGGCTGCCGAAGTCATTCATTCTCTCGCATCTAGGCTCGGGTTCGATATAAACTCACCAGCGGCTGCCAGTGTTTGTACTTCTCTTCTAACCATATACGATAAAGAAAGATTGCCGAGCGGTCACGCTGCGCCAGACGAGCTTTTCAAGTTGCTGCTAGACTCTGGGTTTCGTCCCAATCTACTAAACTTATCTGCCCTGATGCAAAACTTCTGTGCTCGAGGACATATTGAGACCGCGTGGAGTATATTTGACCTCTTAATCAGACGTGGCATAGAACCCGACATCAATGTCTTCTCGATCCTCTTGAACGGGTCCAAACTCACCCTTGATATGGCATATTTCGAACGCATGTTTCATATTATCGAGTCTCGAGGAGCCTGGACTCTATATCTAGTTAATGATCTTCTGGATTGGATATACCGATACAATGAGTCACAGAAGGAGCATCGGCGGAGGCAGCGAAAACACATTGAGGCGTTGCGGCTGATGGCCAGAGTGTATACCAAATTCTTCCGCGTGGAACAGCTACAGAAACTCACCTTGTTTCCCTTAGAGAACCTACTTCTTCCGAGAAGAGGTGGTCGACCCAAAATGCACATGCTAGAACTTGCTGAACTAGCTGATACTCTGGTGCAACGACCAGATGCCCTGCTTATGAAGCCGGATACTACCACTTTATCAATAATGTTCAGGGCCATTTTTCGAGTCCTTAAGGCTCCAATGCCTATAAGGTTGTATTACCGCCATTTCATGCGTCTCTTGTACCAGCGCGATCATACATTAGTCAAACTCATCAAAGAAAAGGGAACTCTAGTCCACGACACCTTTCTACGAGATATATTACAGTTCTCCAGGGCCCTAAATAATGGCGTTCAAATGGTTGAGAAAATGCAGGCAAACGCAAAAAAGGAGCGAGAAGAGTCTGGGGAGAACATAATTCATCCACCACCGTCAGTCCACACTTATACAGTATTGATGAATGGCCTGAAAAACCATAAGCGCACCCAAGCGGTGGTAACAGTGCTAAACATGATGATTAAAGAAGGTCTTACACCCAATGTCGTTACATGGAACATCGTCATTAGGGCTCTCATTCAGGACGGTTACCTTGTCCACGCTGTCAGGGTTGTGCGCTTTCTGGAGCATATCGGCATTGAATCCCATTCTCGTACAATTTATGAATTTAATCGTCTGAATGGAGCGAAAAGAAAACGGGTGGCTACACTAATTCAGGCTTTACGCAAGGAGACCATCAACTTCAACGAACCACGACAATTTGCCGAATATCTACTTAGTATTTGGGAGGCAGATGGTTCTGAACAGCCGTTTACACAGAAGCGATACCAAGCTCCAACTTCCCCATCAATAAAGGAAGAGGTCCAGAAGATACGTACAGGCACAACCAATGATACAAATGAAGAACTTCCTAAGCTTAAGCCTAGGTCCATAAGCGAGGCAGAACAGAAAATCGTACAGGAGAGTTTAAAAGAACCTTTAGGCATAGCCTCTGCTACAGGTAGCGAACACGAACCTGGAACCAATCAGGAGGAGCAAAAGGCACCTTTGGCCCTCGCCTGTAACCCAAAGGAAGAACTCCCCAAGCCTAAGTTTGGGCTCACGGATCAGTTCAGACCACCCGCTCCGCTGGAGTCGACTCCCCTGGGATTGAAAGCGCAACCTCCGAAGAAGATGCCCATAGGAAAAATGCCGGTTCTAGACAGGGAACTCTCCAAACTCAAGACCGACGCTGAGAAGTCCGGGGGCCAATCCAAACAGACGGCTGCATTCCGAGCACCAGATCCAAACGCAACTCCCATAGGATTAAAACGGGACACGTCGAAGAAACCGCTAGGCATAGCCCTTGGTGAGAAACCCGAACTCCCGCCTAACCCTATCCTGGCGATCCCGAAGCCGATCGGCCTGTCCCGTGCCCCGGATAAAGTGGTGCTCCCTTGGGTTCGCAAGGGGGGTACGGGTATTGGTGGGTAGATGAGATGGGTCATCGGGTGGGTTATATAAATACCATATAGACGGGAGAGAGAAAGTGGTTTTCCCCTCGAGTTGTTAGACGTAGAGGTAGCGGATCTAACTGGCTGGGAATGTGTACCTGTATATACCGTGTATAGTATCTAAACAAATACTACGTACAAATATATTCAAGCGATAGCTCCGTCGACTGATACTTTTACTAGAAGTGTTACTTGCCTAGGCTAGGTAGGTACGATACTTAGTTACATTGTCTTCGTGATAGCCTCTCCTCTGCACACATATCTCTTTCATAGGTACCCCTTTCATACCCCTTTTCTATAGGTATGCGCACCTAGTAGTCAGTCACAATTGAATCGAATCGCCACCTACCTACGTATCTACCTATACATACATAGGTACCTAGGTAATATACAATCCACCCGCCTAAGGGGAACCAACCATCTTACCGAGGCACCTAGGCAGCAAAGAGGTCTAGACGTTTTTTTTTTTTTCTCTCTCTCTTCCGCCGCGACGATGGACATCGTTTCTCTCTACTACTACTACTACTACTACTACTACTACTAGCCTTGGCTATTTTATTTTACTTGGTTACCTATACAGTATAAGTCGGAGTAGGTATGAGAGAAAGAGCGAGAAGAAGAAGAAGAAGAAGAAGGGGAAGGAAAAGGGGTACGGGGTGAGAGTTGGGGGGGAGGGGGGGGGGGGCTCTATTTCAAGTCTCTGTATCCCGTGTGCTGGCTGCTGGAGCAGCACTTTGCGTGTAGGTACGTTTTCTGTATGTATGTATGTAAGTAGGCCAGAACAATGCCTACCTACCTACCTACCTACGTATGCAGGGGTGAATCGCGAAAGTACTGTACAATACAATACATAACTAACTAGCTGAGGCTGGAAAGCGAAACTCGGTTGTTCCAAGCGAGCATCTATCACAATTACCTAACCTAGTACCTACCTACCTACATACCTACACACTGACTGACCCAAATACATACCAACACAGTAACTACTTCGTACATCCAACTAGTTAACTATCAGCAAAGAGAGACAAGCTCCAGTAGTTACTGTAGTACTAGCATAAATAGGTACCAAGCCTGTTATAACTACATACCTACCTATACATAGGGGCCACTACGCTGAAAGAGATGCCCATTCTAGGTACCTGCCTCATACTAGCTATTTATTAGATAGACAAAAAGAAAAAGGGAGAGGTCATTTCCAACGATCTGTACCTAGTTATTGGCCTAATATATAGGTACCTACTTCACTGACTGTGTATTCTAAGGGGAAGGGTTTACCCAGAACAATATCATCTATCATCTAGGTATCCGCATTGCCCAGGCTATTTCTTTCTATTTTCTTTTTCTTATTAAAAACCACGTAGAGGATGGATTACTAGGTAGGTAGTATTACCATTATAAGGAGCCACCTGCCGACTACTAGCTACCTCCCTACACCTTTCTACCTGGATAGTACCTAGATAATAGGAGGTAAATATATCTATCTTCCTTTCAAAATATTTTTTAAAAAAACAAAACAAAACAAAACAAACAACACCCCTGCTACCTTTTCAGTCCACCAGACGCCATGGCGCCCGTAACGATGCATGAGCATAATAGAAAAGTTCGCGTCTAGGTCAAAGCCAAGTATCTATACAGGGTACACAGGGTAGACACAACAAGAGAAAAAAGAAGCAGGTAATCTAATGGTGGTTGACAAATACAACAATGTTCGCGTCATTCGCCTGCGTTCTTCTCAACACGAGTACAACATCAAACATACAAATCCATGGCTCTACTACTAACGGCGAGATAGGTGGTAGATCGATCGCTGATTCACCACAGGCGTGGAAATGTGATAATAAATTTTCGGATGGTGAAACTTTTAGGGCATAGTAGTTCTAAACCCGCTGTCTGGCCTGTCCAGAAGGAATTGGTCGATAGTGCCCTGCAAATAAGTGAGCAAAAACCCAGATCAGAGATAGATAGCCAACGATTCTTACCCAATCGACCGAGCTGTGATTGTTCAGCACGGTATCTAATGGTACGAAGTCCATGGAAAAGTCTATGGGGAGTATCATAGAGTCGAACAACGTAGACGAAGGCGCTGGCTGGACATCATTGTTAAGCAAACTAGCCAATGAGCCATCCCGAACCTCAGGTTTTGGAGGTGGAGGAGGGGGCGGGGGTGAACGAGCGGTAGCAGGATCTTGCATCGAAACCTTGCGAAGAATAGCACCAACCACTCGGGTAGCATGAGCTGCGTCCTTGGAACTATGCCTCCTTTCGGACCACATCTTGTAAGATGTCCCCAGAGCCTTAAGCTTTCTTGATCGATCGGTAGGACTAACATTATCGTCAGCAGATAATAAAAGAACGTCACCCTCGCATTGCCTAGCTTATAACTTACCTGCTCGGTAGATTCTCCGTTAGATCAAGACATAATATCATTGATGCGATCAAAAAGTCGTGGAGCGTTAGAGCCGAAAGCATATATTTATCCTCGTAGATCCGGCCCCCTGGTCGGCTCTCCGCTTCGTACTCGGCGTGTAGATCTAGGATCCGGAGGGCAGCATCCCGACAAGTCGTCCGTGATCCATCGTAATTAGGATTATCTTTCTCGCGATTTAGATAAGGTCTGTGCAGCACACAGAGACTCTTTAGAAACATCATTTCCAACATGAGGCGATGCATGATGTCGTATGTCTGGTCCGTGAAGCTATATGACCGGACAGGCTTAATTTGTAAAGAAGCGGGAACTTGAGCGTGGTACTGATGTAGTTCATCGTCTAACTTCAGCACTTCTTCGTACGGCGGAGGGTGGATCGACAACGCGTAACGAATCACTCGGCGCAACAGTCGGCATAATTTTGATTTGTAGCACAGGTATAAAGTAGACGTGGGCTCAGTAGGGGGTCGTGGCGGAGGGAGCGTCATGACATTCTCGTCAAAGTCGGAATCATATAAATTACTTGGCGACTCGGTATCGCATTCGTCGTCGCGAATGACCGGGGGCATGCCAAGCTGAAAGGAGAAAAGTACATCGAATACTTCGATGAAGAAAAAAGCTCGTCTACGAAGCTCACCCTCGAACGGTGTGACGTTGGAGAGATATTTTGGATCTCTATGATATCCCATACGTTGCGCAAGCCGGGCAACCAGTCCAAACTTGGCCCATAAGCTTGAGTCGATTTCCTTGTTCTTCTGTAACTCTGTATAGCTATGCAAGAGAAGCGCTTCGATGCAGTAGGGTTTGCTAGATAAGTAATCTCCGGATACCAAACACTCAGTCGCTAGGGCATTTAGATTGTCAGGCATGCTTGCTTCAGACTCATCACTTTCGCCCTTCATTATCGAGATTGATGCGGCAACCCAGAGCATGGAAGCCAGGCAGCTAATCCAAAGAAGGCTAGCCGAAGACGGATCTTCCCAGAATGCATCGTACTCTCTTTGAAATTTTGTGGTATGGATATATGGCGCTGTGGTGAATTTATGACGAAAGTACAATAATATGAGTGCATCCGTTTTGCTTCGAGGTGGTAACCGCGCAACAGCTTGCGACAGAGTGATAGGTGGTAGCTTGCCAAAGAGAACATCCAGACCAGCTGAGCACACTTTCTGTGGTGGGGGTGAAGGGGTAGGGGCATCGTCCGACTCATTGTCCAAAATCCCTTGGATGTCGTGAATGCTTTCTAGAATAGAAGCCCAGTGAGTAGCGCCGACATAGCTATGCTCACCAAGTGCAGCAGGCAGAAGGGGTCCGCCTGACGTAACTACGCTCGGTGGTGAGCCTAGATCAGAGCGAGTCTCAGTAGTGTCCGTCCGTTGGTCTGAGCTCGAGGGTGTGTCAAGAGCAGGCTCCCGACCCCGAGCTGTATAAACTAGGCCGTTTACCATTTCCTCAAGCTTCTGAAGACGGACTTGCAAGACAGGACGAGACATGGGCTCATGTCTCGCCCGGGCATCTACCTGCGGACGCGAATCGGCGCGGGTCTTGCGAGAGGCACGCGGCGCATACTCGCAAAAGTTGGCCTCGCCGCTCTTGACACACCTTTCACATGGTTGCTGACGGTCGCATTTTACTCTATAAGGGGGCACGGTAAGTAAGAAGGGGATGGATGGTGGGGGATAATAAGGAACTCACTCACTTGCGTGTACGGCAAAGTAGACATGATACAGGAGGACGGTTGCGCTTTTGAATCTTGCGTTGAACTCCTTCGGTCGGCTGTGCGCGAAAGACACTTGTCTGATAGCTGGCGGGCCGAGAGTCCATGGCGCCGAGCTGGAGTTTGGGGAGTTTGGGGAACTTGAAACTGGGGACTGGACTGAACTGGACTGAACTGGACTTGGGACTTGGGACTTGGGACTTGGGACTTGGGACTTGGGACCTGGGACTTTGAACTTAGGATTGGTTATACTGGTAACTCGTGGTACTCGAGGTACTTTGATTGAAAAAGGATTCGGAAATAACCTCAGCTCAAAGCCTCAGCGACATGTAAATTGTGCATACAAAACATCAATGATACAGGATTGCGAGGACTTAAGAAGATTCCTGATTGAGAAGATGTCCGGTAAGGGGGTACTAAGGTAGGTAGTATCATGGATGACAAAAAAAACAATAAAAAAAAGGTTACAAGCGAATACCTTCAAATCACAAAAAAAAAAGGACTTCCTTCAATTAACCTTGGCTGTGGCCGTTGGAGTTTACCAAGGTTCAAGTCTTCTAAGCTTCCAAAGCTCAGTGCAGCAGTGCTATGTAGCCCTGGAGGTATGTATGCTACTAGGTAGTAAGTACCTACTAGATAGGTACCAATCATTCAGGGATCTTTTTTTCCCACGGTGCCACCGGTGCCACGGTGGTTATCGGAAACAATGGGATCCGTATATCCGGATAGAGTGAGAACTTTGTAAAAGTGAACCTTGAATTGATGGAGATGATATTTTAAAAAAGGGTACAGTACCTGTGATTTTGATTGTCCTTGGAAACTCCGTTGCGCAACATTGAACCCCCTAGGCTTTACATGTTATGCAGGTGTATTGTACTTGCCAGTTCCTGCCTGGGCTACTTATTTTAACCTATTAAACATGCTGAGACCCAGCTGACCTTGGCTCCAATTAATAAGTCATGGTCATTTTTGGTCAGTTTGGTAAGCAGCTCCTACCAAGTAGAGTCTAGAAGCTAGAGATACAAGAGATACAAGAGATACATCATTACTTACCTAGGGTAGGTCACTTCTCCTTCTGGCATTTGCGACCGACGGACATTCTTCGGCTGGATTTAAAGGTAGCTCCGCATATTACCATCAACATTTGCATGCACCAGCGATACATGCAATCGCGCCTGTACGGCACGGCACAGTAAATAATAACTACATATATGTACTTGTAACTTGGTACTTCATACTTTACTTTTCAAATCTTCGTATCGGTAATAATTTTTGAACCTACACTTCGCATTTCGTATCATTTCGTACTATGTACGCATCTCGTACACATAACAGGATATTCCCTACCGTTAATGCCGTTTACTGTGACTGGCTACTAGTTACATGTAACATTCAAAGTCCGATTAATACACAATCTCCATATAAATTCCTAATGGAGTATGTCTTACCTCCATCACGACGCCACCAAGGGGTGTGAAATACTATGTACGGTAACTATCAATACTAACCTAACCTAGATATGTAGCTATATAAATAAGCCTTTGGTAACTCACGACTTCGAAAGAGGCATGGAATCTAGCCTCCCCTTACCTCTTTGAGGAGACGACTAGGTAAGACAAAGCTGACTGTCTTAAATGCTGTGTATTACAATTTACCAAGTTGAGCATAGCCTAGCCTGCCACCATCACCTACCACCTACCGTCTTTCTTCGGAGGCTTAGGCCTTCCCCCTTGTAGCTTACTGTGTGGTTGACATTGTGTAATTAAGCCCGGCACGATTGGAGGCTAGAGACCGGAAAACGCGGTAGTTTGAGAAATCCATAACCCGGCAGTATTCATTCCGACAGCTGGCCCTCCTCTGCCACACCCGGTGCCCCAAATCTGAATTTGCCGGCCCCGGCATCTCCGGTAATAATACTATTGGCCCGGATTGCTTCACCCGGTGTAGGTGTAACATGATGGACACAGGTTTATATTATTGATCAGACAGAACTGCTCCAACTCGATTTTACGTCGATATTTATTGCTCCTAAGAGGAATGCGGGCAGTGACATGTTAACTATATCGGTGTCTATATAGGCTTATACAGGTGTTTATTACTTTCGTTGCCCATCCGCCATAGCCCGCTCGCTCAAAATAGTCCCGCGGGAGATCATGTAATTGAAACTTACACGTAGGGAGGAGGCGATCCGAGAGCATCTAGGGATGGAGCCGCATGCGCCCAGCCCATGTATTTGTCATGCATCCATGACGCACTAAAAGCACAGCGGTTGATGTCCTGTCCACATCTTTAACCGTGACAAATTAAAGTGTTTTACGAAGAGGTTTGATGTTTATCATTTATGATTGCTTGGCCTCGCGCTTACGTATTTCATGCGTATAAATACTACTTACATAAACGCGGTTTGTTTACTTCAGACTTCAGTAGGCCCTTCTCCCTTCTGTTGTCCAATTCGCGAGCAAAAGTTATTTGAACAGAAGGTTATCATATATGCCTACCTACATGCGAGAGAGAGAAAAAGAAAAAAGAAAAATAGAAAATCTAATCGAGCTCAGCAGGGATCGAACCTGCAATCTTTAGAGAGTAGTGATTTCAACCGAAATCTAACGCCTTACCATTAGGCCATGAGCCCGGATGTTTCTGCTTGATGTTGTGAAAGTTTGTGCCCTAAAACTATACTATAACCGATGTTAGTGAAGCGGGCACTTTTTGGTAGATCGGGTCAGTCAGTGGGTCCTCTTCGGGAGGAGCCCCGATCTTTTCACGAGCACAATCTCTTCCGAGTCGGACGTGTGGGTACTCGCCTAGGTACGAGGTGCTAACTAGTTCTTTGGCAGGAGGTAGATGAACCCAAGTGCCCCCCTGTAGATCACCTCAAACTCCCCCCATTTTAGGCCTAGTGTCCCGCTATAAAGCCCACCCAGAATGGGGCTCGGTCACACGAAAATCCGGAATTTAGCTAGCTGTAATTGGCCACATGCTTTACAGGGGCCCACCTGATTATTTGAACTTTCGAGTCTTATTTTTTTGAGTTTTGCCTTTGCACCCAGGTACAAAGAAAACGGGCTGCAAAAAGCCCAAGCTTCAAACCTTCAATCAGCCCAAGCTGCCGCTTTAGTGCATCCTATATCATTGGAATCGCCTCAATTAGAGCTTCCAAACAATATATGTTTCAGATTAATGCGATATCTGAATCTGAAGTTATTTGAATTTAAAGATTAAGAAGCACCTGAAAAAAGATACATCTGTAATCGGTACCTTGATCACGTGATAGCCCTCGGCTAGCGTTAAAAGTGCTTACTTCATTCAACCCCGAATAACTTCGCAACCACTGGTCGCATTTCTTTGAACCATATATCATTTGGAAGCGCTAATTGAGGCGGTTCTAATGATACCGGTTGCATCAAGATGCGTCTATTGAAGGAAAAGTTATTAAGGATAGTATGTTAGAGGCTAGCTGGAGAGCCCGGACCAGCGCTATGTACTAGGGTGCGGATAAGCCTCCGATAGCAATTTATTTTTAATTAATTAATGATTAAATAAGAATCAATTAAAAATCAATTTATAATTAATTTGTAATTAATTATAAATTGATTATAAATTAATTAAATTAAAATTAAAATATATAAAATATTAAACTTAATAATTATTATAATTATCTTTTAAAGTTATGTTTATAATTAATTAATAATTAATTATGAATTTTTTGTTTTTGTAAAAATAAACCTTAAGTGACAAAAAGTTGAACCCAAGTGCCTAAAAAAGCAGTTAAGCCCAAGTGCCTGTCCGAATGAGGTATAGTCGTCGGCCCAAAATGGGGGGAGTTTGAGGTGATCAACAGGGGGGCACTTGGGTTCATGTACATCCTCGTTATTTGGGAGTTCAGTTCAGTTCAATCAAGACGGTGCCAGCGTGCACTCCTCCAGTTTCCTCCCTTACATAACTCCACAACATATACCCGCTCCGCATGAGAGGAGATAGTTTGGATAACGAGATAGGACTAATAGCTGTTCTTGTTACTCTATTCACTTTCCTTGCGTATCTAGTGTATGATGTGACTTGAACTGCATGCACTACCTACCACAATCACCTATCATTGGGAATCTTACATAGTACCTGCGATAGCTATAAATCCAATGACAAAATAGAGCAAATTACCTGCCTAAAAATTCAGAGAAATGGGATAAAAGGGGACGCACACCAACTCAAACCAATTACGTAATCCGATAACCCTGACTTTAAACCGTGATTCGACATTACTAGGTAGTAGGTACTGTGTATGCACCTAACTAATAGTTACCTATCATACGTGTGTAATGGAGCCAGCCGGAGCTAACGCTCGTCATCTCTACTACTGATGTACTATGAGGTAGTTACCTACTACCTAGTATGTAGGGCCCAAAAATGCGGAGGCCGAAACATTAAAATAAAAAGCACAAGTGGAGGCGGGCACGGCGAAACTTATCGGACCTCTCCAATTAGTTAAAGTACCTCAAACCCGCTCAACGCCTTCGAAATATTCCATGTTCCTGAATAAGCACGTGAAATTTAACCATCATACAAAATACGTAAAATAAGATAAAATAAAATAAAACAAACCACAACCATGGTCTACACAATCGTCGTGCACCTCCGCTCCAAGCCCGGCGCCGACACCATCGCCAAGCTGCACGCGAAGCTGAACGAGGCGTCCGCCGTGTACTCGCAGGACAAGGAGACATTATCGTGGTTTGTCAGTACGTTGCTCCCCCTTTCTTCTTCCCTCCCCTTCCTACCCCTTCCTCCCATTCCCGTCTCATCTCCCCCCCTTTCCCTCCCCCCCCAAAACCAAACTTGTAGGTGCTCACATACATAAACAGTGCAATCCGTCCACGACCCGCAAGACTTCACGATCGTGGAGCGGTACGAGAACGAGGGGAGCCAGAAGTACCACCTCTCGAACCCGTACTGGAAGACGTTCGATCCGTTCGTCGTGCCGCTTTTGGAAAAGCCGATGGATCTGCGGAGATTCGAGGAGCTGGTGCCTAAGGAGGGGGAGGAGGCTTTGTTGAAGTGAAATTTTATTTTTATTTATGGGATGGGAAAAGGGGAATTGGGGTGTTTGTGTAGGTAGGTGGTGAATCTGATGATTGCCTCACTATCGTCAATTACACGATATTCAAGTCAAGTCATAAATGCGCGGCTTGTGAGTTAATCACGTTACGTAGCAAAGCACTCATCTGGGTATTCTTATAGTTCGGATTATTCATGAAGCGGAATATCAGCTATATGTTGGCCCTGCTTTTATACACTTATATCCTGATATCCCGTGACCTCGGACCCCAATATCCCTTAACTATTCTTATGTCTTTTGTCCTTTAGGCATCTTCCTCTCCTCCAACTCCTCCAGATCCTTCTTCTTGTGGAAGTGAGGCGCAACCTCATTCAACCACTGCGGCTTGATGGGCATGCAGCTTCGCATGTACTCCTTGTTCGTCAACACCAGCTCATAATAGATCACCATCCTCTCCGGCGGCTCCGACTTCATCAGCACGGAGCTAGGGTGGATCCAGACCGTCGTGTTGTTCTTGACTGTTCGATAACTATCGCCACTGCGTTGTAACTTGGCAGCATTGGGGAAGAAACCTGCAGTGAGCGCTTTCTTGATGGGCTCGATGTTGGACGAGCCGCACGTGGACGGTGCAACCTCGACCCGCTCGCAAAGCTTGGCTAGCTGATCTCGAACATCTCGGGCCCGAGTTAGGGACCGCTGTTGCAGGAAGTTCTCGCGCGACCAAATAGGAGAGAAGTCACTCTCAACCCATTGGTTCCATATATTTAAAAGTGTTAGATGATCACCACCCTCCTTGACAGTAAACCGGTTTCGGGCACTATCGGCGTGGATCTTCTTGTCCTTGGGTCGGAAGAATAGAGCCGAGGCTTCACTCAACATCGCCACAATCGACAGAACTTCATCAACGCACTTGAACTTATCTGCAGCGAGCACTGCCTTGGCAAGCATCGGGTCTGTAGGGAATTCAGCCATTTGCCTGCCGACTTTTGTGAGCTCGCCCTTATGGTTAAGAGCTTGCAACGCAAAAAGTTGATTCAAAGCTCCAATCAGAGATTCAGTAGGGGGTGGATCCATGAACTCAAACTCAAGTAGCTGATTAATGCCAAGCGACTTTAGCAACAAGACGACACTGTTGAGATTTGTTCTTTGGATTTCGGGTGTAGTAGATTCATCCATCTCGTTCATGTAGGCAAACCTAGTATAGAGACGAAAGCATTTACCGGGACCAACACGGCCAGCACGTCCGCTGCGCTGATTCGCTGAGGCTCGGGAGCATGGGACAACGACGAGATTTGACATACCCGTCGCTGGATTATACACGTTCTCCTTCACATATCCCGGATCAATGACATATGTGATGCCATCGATTGTCAGACTGGTTTCAGCAATGTTCGTAGCCAGGACCACTTTGCGAGCGCCGTCGGGAGTGGGCTCGAAGATTTTGGACTGAAGCTCTGATGGCAAATTGGCATAGATAGGGCACACGAGTAATTCTTTTACTCGATTCCCCAGTTTCCTGGCAGTCTCTGTTAACTGTAATTCGGCGGCCTCGATCTCGTCTTGACCTGTTAAGAACACCAGAATATCCCCCTTTCCTTGGCTCGTGTGGATCTGGAAGATAGTCGTGATAGCTGCTGTCAAATAGTTCGCTTCTGGCGCTGGGGTGTAGTAGATATCGACGGGATACCTTCGTCCCGGAATATTGAAGATCGGAGCATCGTCGAAATATTTCGCAAATTTCTCGGCATTCATTGTAGCCGAAGAGATCAAAAGTTTTAAATCTGGTCGCTCTCTAGCTAGATCTTTGACCAAGGCTAGTAGGATATCCGTATGAACAGTCCGCTCGTGGGCCTCGTCGATCATCAAAGCTGAATAGCCGGAAAGGTCCGGTTCCGTCATGAATTCTCGGAGTAACATACCGTCGGTCATATACTTTAGGACAGTCTTGTCGCTAGTAGAGTCCTCGAATCGAATCGAATACCCAACCTCATTTCCGACCTTCACTCCCATTTCTTCTGCAACTCGAGCTGCTACACTCATAGCTGCAACTCTTCGAGGTTGTGTGCAACCAACTTTGAGGCCATTTTTGGTATAACCGGCCTCATGTAGGTATTGAGGTAATTGTGTAGTCTTTCCACTACCCGTCTCACCTACGAGAACAAGGATCTGGTATTGCTCGATAGCCGCGATAAACTCATCCCGGTATTTGTAGATAGGTAAACTCTTCCGAGTCTCCTGAATCGACAAGGCCTTCTTTTCGGCAGCTTCGATCTGTGCGTCCAGAAACCGTTGTTCCTGAGTTAATGCCTTTCCCTCGCCCGCTAATGTCGAGCCTAGATTCCATTGTATATACTGTTCTGGGTCTAGCACAGGGGCATAGTCTCCTTCATACTCTCTTTCCGCCCTGTTGATCTGGGCCTTGGCTTTTTGGGTTTGCTCTTTCTCCCATTCTTCATGTTCGGTCACGAATTTCTCTTGGCCATATTCGTCTCTTTCGACGTAGCGTTTGTACAAAGCCTCCTCTTTCCGCTTCCTATCGATCTTTCCCTTTTCTGTGATATAGTCCTCCGGCATGTAATATCCATCGCGATGATCATCAATCCGTAATCGTTCTTCGGCAAGGCGTAAAATTTCTCGATTCTTCGCAAACTCTGTCTTTTCGCGCTCCGACAAACGTACGCCACTGTTTAACTCTGCCGTTTCTTCTGCCACCTGTTTCCGTAGCAACGCTAACCTTTCCGTCTCTCTCTTCTTTAGGTAATCTTGCCTGGAACGCTCGCGCAAATCTGGCATAGCAGCTCGACTTGAGGAAAGTTCCTCAGCTAGCCGCTGGCGTTCTCTTTCAGCTTTACCCTCCGTCTTTGACTTTCCCCCGTCTCGTTCCTTGAGACGTTTGGAAAAAGCTTCTCTTTCGGCGATATCACGCGCCGTATCGGATTCAGCACCATCATTTTTGTCCTCATCCTCTTCATGCCTTGTTTTTACACGTTTAGGTAATTCCTTGGATTCGGGTTCCTCGTCGCGTCCATCCTCCGACGGGTCAGGCTCGCTTCCTGGTTCTTCATCGCCCCATCTATCATCAAAGTCTTTCTCGCCTTGCCTTCGTATTGATTTGGATTTGTGTTTGTATGTATCTGGGCGGGGCGATCGACTGCGACTCCGACTTCGAGTGCGATGCGACTTGCGATGGGAGTCGCGACGAGAGCTTGATTTTTCGTTTTCATCACGGCGTCGATGTTTTGATTTCTTCTCAACTTTCTGTGGACCGACTTCATCTACGTCCATAGGGACGAAGGCATATCGTTTGCCACTCATGGCTTGTTCGATTTTCGCGGTTCAGGGATGTCTAGTTGCAAAAAGGTCCAGGGTTTAGATGGTGATGGAGATGGTGCTGGTGTTGGGTACGAGAACGTGCTCTTGTATTCCCAAAATTCCTATGCTTCCCATGTCGGATATTGAGTTATGGTCAAAGACATATGAGACAAAGTCTTGATTAAAGATAGGAATAAAGTTGAGGGTTATTAATCTCGAGAATTCAAGGCTGATTTGGATGATAAAGAGGTCGTAGTTAATAATTTTGAGAGGCTGATGATGACTGTTAACTAATAGTTGATTGCCTTCCTTGGGTGATACTAAGTTGTTATGGCCAATCAAAGCTTAATTAGCTGCCAAGATATACCCACTATATAGAGTTACGGGTCTTATCTTATCATTATCCTGGTCTGGTGGTTTTTACCACGTTGACACGCTGGTATTTAGTTACTATTTTTCGAGTACAATTCGTTTGCAGGCGCTATAAATAATATGAAGTAGTGAAGTGACTTACATATACTTTAAAGCTTACAGGTGTTAAGGCTACCTAGAGATACCTATCTCTCATCTTCATCTTTATTCTCCTTTGCTCCCTTCTACCAACAAACTATATATTCCCAACATACCACCTTGGCCAATTCCTATGCTTCTCTTTTTGTATTCATGGGAAAGCTGTCCTTTAGCGTTACTTACAACTTGGTATCTTTTATCGGATTGGCCTTGATATAGAACCAACTTACATTTCTTTCCTTAATCACTAACGGGCTTTTACAAGCCGCCTATCTGGCAAGATGCTATTCCACTGGGCAACCTTTGGGTTGCTCGTAATCTTAGCACAACTTGTCTTCTGCGCCGAGGACTTTTATAAAGTACATTTAATCCCATTATGCGCCGTCGTATCTTTTTGCTAATTGTATCGTCAGATTCTTGGAATAGATCGCCAAGCGACGGACAAGCAAATCAAGTCCGCATATCGACAGCTTAGCAAGAAGTACCATCCAGATAAAAATCCGTAAGTCGCCAATACCAATTGCGCGTTGCAACAAAAACACAACTTCTTCTTAGCTACCACTAATACGCAATATGCAGAGGTAACCCGACAGCCAAGGATAAGTTCGTCGAAGTATCTGAGGCCTACGAAGCATTAATCGATCCAGAGTCGCGAAAGATATACGACCAATACGGACACGATGGCCTGAAGCAGCGCAGTCAAGGTGGCGGACACCACCACGACCCATTTGACCTGTTTAGTCGTTTCTTTGGCGGAGGTGGCCACTACCAAAGAGGACAGCCGCGCGGACATGACATTGAGGTCAAAATCGGTGTTGCTCTGCGCGATTTCTACAATGGCCGGGATACCGAGTTCCAATGGGAGAAACAGCAAATTTGCGAAGAATGCGACGGCACGGGCTCGGCTGATGGTGCCGTAGAGACCTGCGGCCACTGTGATGGACACGGAGTGCGCATCGTCAGGCACCAACTAGCGCCCGGCATGTTCCAACAGGTTCAGACCACGTGCGACGCCTGCGGTGGCCGTGGCAAGACGATCAAGCACAAGTGTCCGGTCTGCGGCGGTAATAGGGTTATTCGCAAGCCGACCACCGTCTCCCTCAAGATCGAGCGGGGCGCAGCACGGGATAGCAAGGTTGTCTACGAGAATGAGGCTGATGCAAGTCCCGACTGGATAGCTGGCGATCTCGTTGTTACCTTGACTGAAAAGGAGCCTGACATGGAAGGCGATAATCCGGACCATGTAGACGGCACCTTTTTCCGACGTAGGGGTAACGACTTATTCTGGCGAGAAGTACTATCCCTTAGAGAAGCCTGGATGGGCGATTGGTCGCGCAACGTTACGCATCTAGACGGCCATGTGGTGAGGCTAGGACGGAAGCGCGGCGAGATTGTGCAGCCCGGTCATGTTGAAACGGTCGAGCACGAAGGCATGCCTGTCTGGCACGAGGAAGGCGACTCTGTATACCACAAGTTCGAGTTCGGCAAGCTCTACGTCGAGTACGTCGTGGTGCTGCCGGACCAGATGGAGTCCGGGATGGAAAAGGAGTTCTGGGCCGTGTGGCAGAAGTGGAGGGGGAAGATGGGAGTAGACCTGCAAAAAGACAGCGGGAGACCGGAGGTGCCCATCCTGGCTACGGAAGAAGACGGCAAGGATGAGTTGTAATGATACCTACTACATACCAAGATTTACAGAGATGCAATGTATGAATGATATACCAGGAACTGAACACCTACTACCCCTACCCTGCTACCAACGATTCATGTACGTTATGTGCCCTACTAACCTAGGCTAGTACGTTTACCCATCTCGAACGGTGCAATTCACACAATATGCCCCCCCCCCCCCCCCCCTTGCCAGACTACCTAACCTAGGTTAGTATTAACTATGTATGTATCGCAATATCTCGGTACAAAAGCGTCACGGAAAGGTGGCGCAGCAACATGCCCTAGCCAACCACAACACCAGATGTCTCTCCTCGCGATATTCAGCTCCTACAGTACATAATAAAGGGGGGAGAGAAATCCAGGTATAAGTAGACCAAGCGTTAAAATGTGAAACATTGAGGTTTTGAAGATGGTAAAAGTGATGGTAGAGCGAGTTAGGTACCAGCTGGTATAAAAGTTGAAGCTATTCCAATGTTCCTCGCTAAGTGTGGCTGGCTGCGCTATTTTGCACCTAACACTTTGGGGGGTTTTTTTTTTTTTGAAGGTGCAAGTGGGTTTGGGTCTCTTGGGCTGCTGAACCCCAAAATCACCTGACACCTGACAAAAGTCCGAGATAGCTGGATGCGCATGTAATTGTACAGTAGCATACCTAAGGATGAGATGGCGGGGGGGGGCGCTATATATATATATATATATTTCCTACCTAGACATACCTGACCTACCTACCTGAGGATATGTGATATGTAATCAAATAGGTGAGTGAGACTCGGGGGGCCTCGGGTTATATATACCCAGGTAGTAGTGTCGCTATCTATAGGTATAAATTATCTACCTAAACCCAGGCAGACGCGCTGGTTTTGCTTTCCTTATATATTTCCCCCTTCCCATCTCGCACCTTGTTTCCCCTTTCCCTCCTCCTCCTTTCTACTCCCCCCCTAAATCAATCACCCACACACAAATTTTGTCCCTCCCCCCCCCCCCCCCCCTATTTTCCCTTTTCCAAGACACAACTCCCCTTAACCAACCCAAACTCAATCCCCCCTTTTCAACTCAATCCCAATCCCAATCCCAATCCCAATTCCCACCCCCCTTTTCCAATCCCTCCCCCCTTTCCAACCCGAAAAAAAAAAAAAGAAAAAAAAAAATGCCCACCCAACCACCCACCCTCCTAACCCGCACCGCCCTCGCCATCACCGGCCTCCTCGGCCCCTGGTCCTTCATGCTGCTCTCCCTCTCCTACCTGCCCCCCACCATCCTCCGCCTGCTCCAAGCCCAGCAGCCCCTCACCACCACTCTCCTCAGCCCCGCCCGCCTCCAAGAACTCTGGTTCAGCGAGTTCTGGAGCCGCGCCGCCGGGCCCGGGGTGCGCGGGGGGGCCGGGGACAAGGTTGTCCCGCTCCTGCAGGGGCGGACGAGCGGGGGAGCCGTTGTCGTTGAGGAGGAGGGAGGGGGGAAGGGGAAGGGGAAGGGGATCGGGGGCGTGGTGCTGGAGGTGGGTGCGGGCGCGGGGCTGTGGGTTGACGTTTACAAAGCTGTTGGGTGTCGGATTCAGGGGGTAGACGACGACGATGACTACGACGACGACGACGGCGATAATGAGGAGGAGGAGGAGGAGGGGGTGAGGAAGCGGAAGACGACCGGAGCAGCAGCAGCAGCAACAAGCGGCCGCATAACCCGCATCTACGGCGTCGAGCCCTCGCCCGGGCAGCACGCGCACCTGGCGCGCGCGATCGCCACCGCGGGCATGGAGGCCGTGTACCGCGTCGCGCCGGTGGGCATCGAGGATCTCGCCGACGGCACGAAGTGGGACGGGCGCGTGGAAAAGGGGTCCGTCGACTGCGTCGTCACCATCCTGTGCCTGTGCTCCATCCCCGAGCCGGAGCGGTGCGCCCGGGAGCTGTACGGGTATCTGAAGAAGGGCGGCAGGTGGTATGTGTATGAGCATGTGCGCTGCGGGCATAGCTGGTACATGCGGGCGTATCAGCGTGAGTTTGCTTACACACCCGTCCAATCGTGCCCCTAACCCCAATCCCCCCAACCCCCCCAACAGACTTTTCCATTTTTTTCCATTTTTCCTTCAAGAAAAAGAAAAAAAAACGAGACTAATTCATTGCACCCCCCTAGGCTTCGTAAACCTCTTCTGGCCCTTCTTCCTCGGCGGCTGCCAGCTGACGCGGCCCACGGAAGCCACCATCCGCGCCGCCGGCCCCTGGGCCGAGATCGACGTCGGACAGCCCGTTGCCGAGCCGTGGTTTCAGGTTGTCCCGCATGTTATGGGGGTCTTTACGAAATAGATGTCAGTTGCCTTTATGTTAGGTACCTACAGAATTGTAAGGATTGGTAGTGAGGGAGGGGGGGTTGCTTTATTGTTGAGCTGAAATATACTAGGTGTCTGGAAGGAGGTACCGAGTAAAGAATGAGTGGTGGTTTCTCATTTGTCGTTTGTGTGGTTGAGAACGTTGGGTATGGTGAAGAGTACCAGCTATGAGTTAGTGAGTTGTGATAACCCATCGTGATGAAGAGTATGATATGATATATGAACCTGGTCATAGGGTGTAATTTTCATATCACATTGATGATCACACAAAGACTTAAAGTTAAAAATTGATAATTGTCATCAATTCGTGCCAACTAATAGGTGAGTAAGTTGGTACCTAGGTATATTTATGAAACCGTTTTCATCCCGTCATTACCGAACCCAATAATATCCCATTCCGTTCCTTATATGCCCCTGTGTCTCTCTTGATGAGTGCCAACACTGTTCCTCTGATCACGCTGATGTGTATGATCATCGTGCTCGATTAGGGGCTCGCCAACATGGCGGTGCATGACAGAGGGGGGTACCTGTGCCGCATCTGTAGGGTCCTTGGTAATATGGTTTCCACTTCGTTTATCGTTAATACATGAAATTGTGGAAGCTGGACATGGCCCGAGGTTTGGCCATGATGGCGACTTACGATCGATGGGCAGTGCCGTCAGCTGTCTTTGTGTCTACTCTGGGGTCGAGCTTGTTCAGCAAGTTGCTCTTGTGGACGGGGCCAGATGAAGTATCATGAACACCTGATGAACCAAGTCCCGCTGTACCGTGTGTACCGGTCGTACCGTGGGTGCCAGTGGTTCCGTGGGTACCTGTTGTACCGTAGGTTCCGGCCGTGTTGTGGGTGCCGGCCGTGTTGTGAAGGCCGCTTGTGCCATGAGTGCCGGTGGTGCTGTGGTTTCCAGTGGTGTCATAAGCACCCGTCGTACCGTGTGTGCCTGTTGTGCCAGGGATGCCACTTGTGCCGTGAGTACCGGTAGCACCATGGGTGCCATGAGTTCCAGTCACGCCGTGAGTGCCAGTCGCTCCATGTGTACCGTGAGTACCGGGAATACCAGACGAGTTACCAAATCCGGCGCCAGTTGATCCACCGTGGGATGAGATAGGAATGCCATGAGCATCGGTGGCAGAGCCGTATCCAGCTCCGTTATGGCCAGTAGTATGTCCCGTGGTATGTCCCGTGGTATGTCCCGTGGTATGTCCCGTAGTGCCAGCAGGGTTGTAGCCGGCGCCTGTGGTTCCGGCGGTGCCGGAGCTTCCGTATGTGTTTCCGACAGTGCGAGAAGCGTCACGGTCGGAGTCGACACGAGGGTCAGCAGCGTTAGCTATCCGAGAGTTGTGAGGGCCAGCAACACCTTCTGGGCCGCTACCGCCATAGTCGCCGGCTGTATTGCCGGTGTAGCGACCATCTCTATCGGAATCGATTCTGGGGTCTACTTTGTTCGCTAAGTCTGATCGGTGAGGCCCAGAGGTTGTCTGACCAGTGGTACCGGCATGGCCGGCGGTACCGGAGTGGCCGATGGCGCCGGTATGGCCTGTTGTGCCGGTGTGAGTGGTGGGGCCAGTGTGGCCGGTAGTGCCAGGGTGGCCGGTGCCAGCATGTGTGTAGTTGTCATTGGCTGTGTATGCGTGGTTGCCGCCTACAGTCGTGCCTGGTGCGGCACGGTGGTCACCTAAATCAAGGTTAGCTTCAACAATGTGTAAAAGGACGGCATGGGAGGAACATACGATCACTGTCCACTCTGGGGTCTACTGTGTTGCCAACGCGGCCGTGGGGGCCATGAGTACCTTCGGGGGCACCCTGGTTTGTGTTGTGTGTGGTAGATGAGCTGTGGTCACCAGAGACGGCTTCCTTGACTTTGTTGATAATACTAGACATGATGAATTATTGTTGATATTCTTTGTTGATAAAATAGTTTGCTTTGTAGGGTATATGATGATTGTTGTAGGTTATGTAGTTGTTTGATGATGGTAATAATGAGTAAATCGAAATATTCAACCAAACTGAGACCCCGAAGGATAAGTCTTATATAACAACGAGAAGCAAGCCATCAGTAGTTGTGTTTGTCCCCGTATCCAGCGTCCCCCTTCGATCTGCCCCGGTATGTCATCATCGACAATCTCGATCAAGTGCTACGGGCGTTTGTTGCCAATATTTCTAGCTTCCGAAGGTTGGTTGGGTTGAGTTTCACGCCCAATCACCAAGAGCTACGGGGAGGATTTGGCTGTGTACGAGCTACTCTTACTTCATACATCGTCATCCGCCCCTGATTAGGGAAGCATGATCCTTGCGGATTACGCTTGTCAAGACTTCCCGGTACACCTGTTCCGGCCAATATCTAGATTCAAGCACTACCAGGGCTCTAGCTTAACTTGAGGAGCCTTTGTCTGTGGCTATCCGGGCTCTCTACCATATGAGGGATATGAGGTACATGTAGGTAGCAAACCAAGTTTGTTCAACATGGTCGAAAGAGTGCAGTGATGTGGCTGAAATACTTGCGTCATAGAGCTTTGGGTTGGATTCGGGATACCTAAATGTAGCATTATTGAGTGAATATCGAAGAACATTGAACAAGATGTCGTGACAGCCACCTCCACATTAGATACCGATGGATAGGTACACATTACATCTACATATGTAGGGCAATAAGTTGAAACACAAATGATCCTTGTGACTTCAACATGTGAGGTATTAGGTACCTACCCTACGTACATACAGCAGACTGCAGTTGAACTTTGTTCAATGTTGTACTATGTAACTAGCCAGGTACTAAAGTTAGAAATTTCCCGATAACTAGACTCGGCGCCGCATATCCGAGGTACCCTACGCGGCTACGCCATTTCTTAGTGGAATAACTGGAGCTAACCTCAGTGCTGGAAGTTTCAATCTTCAGAGTTGAAAGAACAACTTCAAGGTTCAAGGTTCTAAACGTCGATGTGATGTTAAAAACTGTGGCTAGTGGTACGTCACACCCCCGGGCCCCCTCTCGAGTCTCAATGTTATTGGCAACTACACAATCACCGCCACAACGCCTCATCATGGATCTAGCTATTTTCCCCTGATCGGCCCCACTGATGCTGTCATAGACTTCCCTCTTACCAACTTTCTCTTTCTCTCGTGTAACTACCTGCCTACATATGAGGTACATACTACATGCAGGCGCAAAGAACAACATGTATCACAAAAAAGAGCTGAGGTTTTTTACCCAGGTCAACATCATTGGTCCCTCTAACTTTCTCGGTTGCATAACATATCATCGATGTCTGTCATATAATCAATACGTTACCATCGAACACATGCGGGCCGGAGGAAACTGTCGTGCATCTTACATCAGCTGAGGGAGGGGGGGCTGAACGGGAATGATGCTATGTACCAAGATAATCTTCGAGAGGAGGGGTTAAGCAGGCCGAGTTGTGTTGTTGTCACGAGTTTTTCGTGACGAGCTTTTTTTTTCTATGGAACGTTCGGTAGAAGCCAATCAAGCCAGCACGCAAGGGAGACTATGCGCAAGCAAATATAGGTCCCGATACTATAATAATATCGCGGCTTTGTTTTAGAGCGTCATGGTTCATGTAGTTCTCCATCGATATAGCCCTTTATACCTAGGTACGTACATACCTACACATCTAGATGTACGTCATGTCTTGGAAGTATCAGAGAGAGCATGTATTGTAAGCGCTGATGCTCAACACCAATTACGCCATAAGCTACGGGAAAGACATTTTACTCAATCACGAGGCTAGATAGATATTTTTAGGGGAGAATCAAAATTTCATTACTAAGTATAGATTACTAGATAGGCAATAAGGGTATCCTTCATTTTCCTCTCATAATGTTGTGGTTTCGTTTAGGGGGCTCCGGTAGCCCAATGGGTATCGTGTAGGCAACACCAACACCGCCAAAAAGAATCAAATCATAACCAATGTTGCTGTTGCTATTCATAAATCGTCGTAAGTATTGGGGTAAAGAAAAATTCGGCGCCTAGGGTATTGGGGGGAGGGGTTGAGCAAGTGATAAATAAAGTAAAGATCGAGAGGCTAGTTAAGGAACGCGTATATCGGTTTGTCATGAAATATGAGGCAAGCCGTCAAATTTGATTATTTTCTGGCTTTTTCTCTAGACGCGCGATCTGTTCCAGCGGCGACGGTAGGAACGGGCTTCGTGGTCACGAACCCAGACGATGCCGACGATGGCCGACACGAGCCAGCAGATAGCGGATAGGAAGGCGAAGGCGATGACGGCCTTCCATCGGCCGCACTGGTCTCCGCGGATAGAAACATCGCCCCAGTAAAAGACGTATCCGCACGCGCCGTCAAGGTACTAACGGGTGAGGCGAAGGTTAGCGCTGAAAAAATTCTCCGAAGTGGGTATTTAAAGGACTTTGCGGAGGAGGACGACTTACATTGACTAGTAGACCGAAGACGACAAACCAGCAGATGGAGATGATGATGTCGACGGGCCAGTGGACGAAGCTGCCCGAGAAGGGGAAGAGCCAGATGATGGCGAGGAAGATGGCGATACCCGCTACCACTTCGGTATAGATAAAGCGGCCGTGGTCCCAGCTATCTGTATGTCTCACAGCGTGGAGATATTGCCCGTTGATCCCGGCGACGATGGCGGCGAACGCTAGCTCCGCCAGCCGGAGGATCATGGCAAATATGTCCGTCAAGATCATTTTGATTTATTTATATCGATGTTTGATTTAGTATTATTTTTTAGTTGATGGGGCGAATGGTGTACTGGTTACACACTCAGCGAAGTTATGGTTAGTAGTTAAATAAAGAAATCGAAATCAAGAGGATCACTGGGTAGGTAATCAGTATTTATCTGCCGTTCGAGCAAGGTATCTCCGGATCAAAGCTTAAGGCGATGACGCTGACTCTGGTGCCCAAGCCAACAACGACAATGTGATATCAAGTTACCTAACCTTGACAGATTTAGTCACATCCCCAAGGGCTGCCTCCCGGCACGCACACCCATAATCACGACAAATCAGAGAGTCCCTGTTAAGTTAAGCATTTTGCAAGTTTGTAAAATAACCCGGTTGCTTTTCTAAAACCCTTGCTGTAGATCGAGCTTTCACCCCAGCATCTAACCCACATCCTACCTTGAAACCTTGCTATGAGCCAATACGGTTGACGAAGAGGCAAATAGGTCACGCGGTATGCTTTGACGAACCCCGGGTCTTTCGAGAAGGATATGGAAAGACGTGGCCAATGTAGAACGCGTGTTGCGTTGTCAGGCTATGCAGAGGCGTCACTCCATTCGCTAGCAGTCGCTAAATGAGGTCATGCTGAAAACTGGAGCATTGAAAGTAACTTACTTGCATAGCCTATCCGTGGCTTGTGTGTGCTTACGTACAGCGCGTTGGGGCTTAGCCGAGCTAAACCTGTTTAGGGCTGAGATCCTGTTTTACATAAGCCACCACTGCAGGATCCATTTTTAATGAAGCATGACTGCGGCTTGCATTTATACCTGTCTGTCTCTCAATTCTGTGCAATCTAACTAAAACCTCTACTCAGCTCTTTGACAGTCCTAACGGCTGAGACATTTAGATCATACCGGTTCTCTTTCAAAGACTTTTTGTGTAAGCACTGATGTGCTCGATCAGGGTATTCACATGACTACCCCACCACATTTTGATGCCTTCGAATCTCTCCCTCTCGCATCATAGCTCCAAATGTCGTGTAGCACGTTATGGCCAGACATCCCAAGTCATCAGCTACCTGCTAGATATCCTCAAGACGGATTTGATCTCAATCCAGGCCCGAAGAAGCTAACTGGCGCACGGACACCTGAAGACTTTGAGGCTCCGAAAGGTGTCGCTTTGAAGGATATCACGTGATATGGCTCACTTATTGTTCCCCCTTTTCAACCACCCCGCTCCGGAGATGCATATACTGCGGGATCAATTCTTTCTTGATTTCCTCGAGTTGAAGCCAATTATGCTGGTCTTTTCCCATACAGTCTACATATGGAGTAGTCTGCACAGGGATTCAAACTGCAATCTTGAAAATAATCTTACGTATTGTAATAGCCGATCCTCGTTATCGTTCACGGTGAACTCAATATTATCTTCCAAGACACTCCTAAATTCACAAATAATGGGATTGGGTTCACAGGTGTCAATTCAGCACAGCTTGTAGAAGATCGTTCATCAAAATCGTAAATGCTCACTCAATGTGGCAGTATGTAAATTTCTACCTAACCAGGCATGCTTCCCCCTGCCTTCAGGGGGGTTAATTATCCGTAACATATTTTTTTGAACGATGTCAACCAGCTAACCAGCTGAAGAAGACCACTTTTTATAGTTAGCCAAGGGAATTTCGCTTGGTATCAACTATTTGATGCTAGACCTCCACCAGGTCAGTTAGTTATCGAGCTTGCTGCATTCAGCAGTGCCATTAGAGATGCTTGGACAACATCTTCGTGAATACCGACTCCCCACACTGCTTTTTGTTTGCTACCACCTGTAGTGCATTCTATGTACGTTGCGGCCTTCACATTAGATCCTTCTCCGATGGCATGTTCTTTGTAATCCGCAACGTCAAGGTCAATTCCTTGAGATATGTTTAGGGCATTCGCTAGAGATGAGATGGGACCATTTCCGGAACCTTTCATATGATACTCTTGGCCATCAATGGCAATAACGCCCTTGAACATACGCTTCAGGTCCCTCGATGACTGAACCTGGCCATTCGGGCGTTCTGGTGATGAGGATCGATCAGCTGAAATATCGTAATCGACAAGCTCGAATCGCGGATTCGGCCGTAGATAAGTCTCTTTGAAGAGATCGACAATCTCCGTCGGTTTCAGCTCGCGTGAAACCTGATCAGCTTCCTTTTGGACTATTTTCGAGAAGGCTACTTGTAAGCCACGTGGAAGGTCGAGATGAAGAGAGCGTAAGATGATCCATGCTGCACCACCTTTTCCAGACTGAGAGTTCACACGTATGATTGCTTCATAAGTACGCCCAATATCGGCCGGGTCGAGTGGGAGGTATGGAACCCGCCAGAAATCTTCGTGTTTTGCTTGAGATGCTTCGCGAGCACTGAATCCTTTCTTGATCGCGTCTTGGTGTGATCCGCTAAAGGCGCAAACAACAAGTTGGCCACCTATCAGAGCAGTGTCAGAGAAGGGCACATAGAGAAAAAAAAAGATGCTCCAATGGAGAGAAGCACTTACCATAGGGGGCCCGGGGATGTATTGGTATCTTGTTGCTTTTCTCTACGAGATCGATAACCTTCGTGATGTCCGACTTAAGACAACAGTCAAGTTAGTATATAGTTATCAAGAACAAGCAGTTCTCTAATTTTACGTACGAAGTTGATCCCTGGATGAATTCCTTGTGTATATAGATTGAGCGCCAGAGTGACAAGGTCGACATTGCCAGTTCTTTCTCCGTTACCAAATAGAGTACCTTCTACTCGGTCGGCCTAACATAGAGTTAGTATATCACTTTGAATAGGCGAGACTTTATACTAACCCCTGCCATTTGGGCCAACTCTGCAGCTGCTACAGCACACCCCCGATCATTGTGAGGATGGAGAGATACACAAATCTTCTCTCGTTCCGAGATATTGGTGCAAAAGTACTCGATCTGGTCGGCGTAGACATTAGGCGTTGCTAGCTCGACTGTCGCGGGAAGGTTGAATATGATGGGATTATGAACACTGGGCTCCCAGGCGGCCTTAACGGCCTCACAGACCTCTAGAGCAAAGTCCATGTCTAAAGGTAAGACATATATTAGTATAGCCCAATTCCCATTATGAGTCACACATACTGGAATCTGTGAAGGTCTCGGGCGAGAACTCAAAGGCCCACTCCGTATCAGCGAAGCTCGGGTCGTCCTTGGTCAAGCTGCGCGCAAGCACCGTGCATTCAACTGCCAATGCCTTCGTTTGCTCATTGGTCATATTGAAGACGATCTGCTGGAAGCATGGCGATGTAGCAAGGTAGAGATGGAGAATCGCCTTCTTGGCACCCTTTAGGGACTCAACTGTACGACGAATAAGTTCAGGGCGGCATGGCGAAAGCACTTGTATCCAAACATCGTCAGGGACTGCCTTAGGCGTGGTAATAAGTCGTCGTACAAAGTCGAAATCGGTGTCACTCGCAGACGGGAAAGATACTTCGATTTCTTTGTAACCCTGGTTTGGAGTTAGGTAATTGGGAATATAATTATTTAGTTATTAAATGTTCAACAATGATTTTACCTACCAATTCTACGAGCATTTGAAAGTAAGTCCATTTTTGGTCACTGTTCATTGGGTCTACTAGAGATTGGTTTCCCTAGTGTTGTTATTAGCATATTAGTAGCAGGGAGGTATCCGTTACAGGAGGTAGCCCTCACGTCGCGCAAATCAGTGGACAGCCATCTTGGAGGCTTTTCGATGGTTTTCGAAGGCCATTGGCGATTTGGTAGAGAGAGAGGTGGAAAGGGACGATATTTCGTGGAACTGAGGTAAAGGGTTAAGTTAAAATGATTCCATTGAGATCAGGTTCTATAAGGTAGATTTAGAGGTTTGGTTTTACATACGGATCTTTGAGCATCGGCATCTTGATTATAAGATTTGAAGAGTCACAATAAAGAAGGAGAGAGGGGGGGAATGAAGTAATAAGTAGTAATACATAGGGGAGTCATAGTAGTAGCGTGGCAAGGTGCACATGTGATTGTAAAAGGGTTTTTTTTTAAAAAAGAAGAAAAAAAAGAACCACCCCTCATAAGTGGAGAGCTAAGCTTTGTGTGAAGGTTATTATCGGATAAAGTGAACAAGGATTTAAAGTGCAGTCACTTAAGTACCTATATAGGTTAGTTGAAAAGCCGTTTGTAGTTAATGTAATGTATATACTACTACTAGTATTTTATATTTGAATACTAGGTACCGACATAGGAATTTGGTAGGTATATCTTGAAGAATGCTGCCGCGAATCGTGAAACATTTGCCGACTCTACCTACTTCGTACTATTCCAATGAGACATTCTATCAGCATCAGCGTAAGGAAAAACATAGTTGGTGGATACGGAAAACGTAAAAAGGTCTGATGCTGTTAATCGATAAATCCAACTGTCTCATGAAAATCCGACATATTATGACGAGCTGCGGGCCAAGCAGCAAATTTCAACCTATAGCAAATGAGGGAAGTGTCATAATACTCGCAGATCAGCTTGACTCATATGAGGCTAAATGCCCATACAGATATCGGGGCCCCGGATATCGTACTCACTGTAAACAGCTTATACTTACTTAGGCAGAGATCAGCACGCTGTACATAAAGTTGACTATCAGTAAAGATACTTCTATCGGTGCCAGAAACAACTTCCAATCGATGAGCATGAGAAGCATGAAGAGCACGTGGCCAAATGTACCTACATCAAATTCTACCTACTACCAATGTGAAAAAAAGTGTATAACGGGAGATTGATAGACTGCTCACAGACTGACATGTTCTTTTTATCGATGCTATCACTGTCAGATCATTTTTGATAATGCCCTAACTTAGAGATGACTATGTTGTTGATATCCGAGAGTGGGGGTCACGTGTGACTCATGTGGGCAGCGACACAAGAATCCCCTCTATCCCTCCGATGACAGTACCGATGACAGTACCGTCATATCCCGCTCTCCGAGGAGAAATTTGCTGTACGCGATATCGGTAGATGTGGCTGGCTAAACCCTCTAGGTGCCAAAATTCCTAATCCACAAGTCAATACTAGGTAGATAGTCTAAGAATCTAACTCACATGGATCTAACCTAAACACATCTGAGATAGGGGCTCTAATGTTCGGAGAAGGAGGCTGGTACGTTTTACCAACAATAACCCACGATCAAGCATAAAAACAAGCCCTGTATACACGTAACGCAAACTGTTTACAACTCGATAACAATTATCACCAAATTCTACACTGGCCTCAACGAAATCGAAGCCCAAAGCAACGGTTCAAGACAACATGGTAAGCTAAATAGCTTGAGGCCTATCTACCTAAGCAAGTAAAGAGAATGGAAATTTTGACGCCTGGGTTAAATGGTCAGGGGCTGATTGCGACCGGAAGCGTGTGTACGTCGGATTTTATTATGTTAGCTATGAGCAATTGACGCCGCTTCGATCATATTACGTATATTCTCCTTCCCCATAGTAGGTTAGGTCAAAGTTGGAGAGAGTTTTGCTTCGGATCTAATAAGGCTCGAACTGAATTGGCGAAAGCGCGTGACTGATATGGTCCCATTACTACAGCAAATATGTATCCAAGAATCTCTCAGTATTAATATGCAATATGAAAGAGAAAATATCGAAAATCTTTCTAGATATCTGGTTGTATTACAAGAGTCTTTCCTCGAATACTCGAGGACGGCTCGTAGTTAAACAACCTATTAAGTGGTACAAAAAAATAAGCCTCTAACTCCATGGTTAGCTCAAAATAGGAGCAGCCAGTCTTAAACTTCGGGTCACACACGGAATAGGGGCTGCCATTCTCAGATCTCAAGACTTCAATTCTTGGAGGTCTCTAGGCTAAATTTCTACCTAGGCACATAGGTGTTGCTTGCTTTGAGACTCGAAACTTGGAAGGAAAGAACGTAGCCCTGGTTCTTACAAATGACTCCATAAACTACACAAGCATCCGTGATCTGAGTACCTAACCTAGGCGAACCACCCGTATATATCTGATAATAGCTAGGTACCTAGGTAGGTATTTATAACCAGTTAGTTGTACTTCCTCCATACCTACAAAGTGGACTCCCAAGTGCAGTTTCGACATTGCTTGTCCCATCTTGGATGCTACAAGGCACATCTACAAAGTCAATATTCACAACCTGTCCAACTGTTTACTCCTTTGGCCACCTACCTCTGAGGAAGACCACAAAAGATTGAGCTTGTGCTTGGCCACAATGCCCCCCATCTGTACCTGAGCAACTTCCATTCAGTGGCTATAATGGTAGTAGGTCTTTAAACCAGCGCAAATCTGAGCATATCAAATCAAGAGCATGATTAAATAGACTGCTTGTATCCATGTACCCTCCACAACCATTCATCTTCACTGATCTCATTCCGTAACTCAGGCTACAATACGGAAGAGCAAAGTTTGTGTATGTACTTAACACCTATCTACCTACATACCTAGCTCTCTCCTTCACACACACACTCTTCTCTTCCATCAAATTACAAATTACCTACCCACACTGTCCAAGTCTTTCCCCTCTGCCACAGAATAAACACCACCAAGAATCGAAGCTAGCAGCAATTCCAAGCTTTCCATCTTGAACCTCTTGTTTTCCATGACACTCAGCTTGTTTCTTGCCAAACATCTACCCCGACTCGAACAGCTACCACCACTTCGAACTTGATCATTTCTCACTTCTCACTTCTCATTCCTCGTTCCACCTTACAATACAGTCGAGCAGAACAATCTTCCTTAAACTATACCTTACCATCCCATACCACCACTCAACATAATCCTGACCTTTCCCCTTCCAACACGCGTCACTTCCCATCTCATTCTACGCTGGTACCTACCAAGCAAACCCTCCCCAAGATGGCGACGGAGCCCGTCTGCATCGACAACGACGCGACCTTCTATCCCTTTGGAAACACGCCGGCCGTCAGCCTCACCCAGGCGATGCCGCCGAATGTAAAGGCCGATATCTTGCTCCTAGGCTGTGGCGATCTGCGTCATGTCTTATTTACGAACCATGTTGATGGTGGTAAGTTTTCTACTCTACTCTACTCACTCACTTACTTGGTTGAACGAGAAAGGAAGCGATGAGAGCGATGAAAGTGAAATAAGTGAACAGTGTGAGCTAACTAGGAGTACCTAGGTCGGGAAATGGACATCACTTGCTCTGATTCTCAGAGTGCTATCATAGGTAAGTTGAGACTTATTACTGAACATCCATCCACACACATACACCCACCCATACCAACAACCATCACATGATAACAGTTATGCGTGATTTCATGATTAACGTACTAACTCCCCCCGCAGCCCGCAACATCCTCCTCCTAACCCTCATCCTCGACAACGACCCGCAGAAGAACGCGCACATGTGGAGCCTCTACTTCCACATCTACATCGACTACTTCGCGTACCTCGTCCTGCGCTTGCAAGCCGTGAAGCTCTTCAACCTCGCCGCGAACATGGAGACCTGGACGCAGGGGCCCTATAGCTCCATCATCCGCTTCGTCGACAACGGCTCGCTCGCCGAGGCGCGGCAGATGTTCGAGTTCTACGGAAAGGACCGCGCGAGCTTCGAGCTCGTGCGCTTGCACCACCGCCTCGAGGCCGTCATGGACAAGGCGAAGACGATGAACTTTGGCCTCTATCTTTCCACGTACTGCGGCGTCCGCTCCGCGTTCCCGGCGGCGGTCGATAGCGGGGAGTTCCGCGACGCGCTGCAGAAGCTGCACATACATTACTGGCGGAACGGAGGCCTGAGTCTGCTCGACGACAACGAGAGCATGCGGTTTCCGAACACCATGTTCCTAAGCTTCCACGAGAAGCCGTTCGTCCACCCGGCCGCGAACCCGCTTCTGGGATTTCATCTCGCCTTGGCCTGCGGCCCCATCGGACCTTTATTCGATTCGACTAGATACCTCTGTCTGCGCGAAAGACTCGTCGTCGCAGCCAGGAGCGAGTTCCACTCCTGGGTAGAATCGTACCGCAAGGAGACGACGAAGATAACCCTCCGCTTCTGCATCGCCGACCCGGTGCCCCTCGCGCACACACTGAAGAATCTCCAAGTCTCGAAGACCCGTTCCGCCAACTGGTACCGGAAGCAATTTTACCCGGAGCACCTGATCCTCGATGGGCCCGACTACCAAGACCGCACCGCCCCTTTAGCATTCGACGTGATCGATACGGCGAGTCTCTGCGACGATATGGGCCCGCTAGTTCTATTATCCGCCGTCTCGCCCCTCTTGCGACACGAGGTATCCTCGACGCTCTACACGGAGCGCCTTAAGCCGCGCTTCATAACCGAATGGCCGACGCTCCTCAAGATGCTCAACGGTAATTTCAGCGCCGTTACCATGCTTCTCGGACTGCACCCCGCCGAGTTCTGGACGGGAGTATCGCCTCTTTCTTCCGGCGAGGAGGCTGTCCTTGGTATCCGCATGGGCGCCTCGCATGGTAATCAGGCAGAGCAGACGCGCAACACTCTTGGCCACCTGCGAATCAGCTGGAAGCGCCCGGTCTGCTTGCAGGGACAGGCAGGCCCCAGCATCGGATTGATGCCTATCGAATTCGACCCGAAGGAGCTGGCCGGCGTGCTCGGCCTGGTATACAAGCATATGTTCCTCGAAGACAGGCTTAATGAGGGCAGAAAGGACCCCTCAGGCCCTGCTGTGATGTGGCATCACGGACTTAGTTTCGTCGCATTCCTCCGCCTCGTCCAGACGCGTGTCGAAACTGACTGGAACGCCATGATGTGCCATCTCCTAGACTACATCAAGAGCCACAAGCCGGACAGAGGTGGCGATAAGAAGTACCAGCCAGAGATATTCAGCTACCTCCAGATCCTGGATGTATTCCGAGGTCTCGAACTAGAGACCCATTTGAAGGAGTGGCTGGCCCGATGGTGGCATCGCGAGTTAGTCCACCACAATCACCCACCGCCGCCGAGCCCACCACAATCGAAACTGGCAGACTGGAAGAACATCCCTCCCGTAGTCTGTGTTACCATAATGATCAATCATTATATCTTCAAGGACTTTCATAAGAGAGGCGGAAAATGGGCTTTCAGACCGAGTATCAACTGCAACTTGCGCAGTGTGCCGTACGATACCGCGTTCCCTGCTTGCCAGATTATGCGCGGCGAACACACTACCAAAGGACGCCGAAACACTCATGCGTTCAAGATTCATGTATTTGAGGTGGATGGCAAAGCAGACCCGAAATCGCCATGGTTCGTTTCTTTCTACGTCCCGTCAGTTCTCCTGCTCGAAGAGCCAGATAATAGCAAGGTTTGCCTTACGATTCACCAAGATGTGGTCGTCAGTGATGGTCGAGTGAAGCTAAACCAGGCGGAGGTGTTTGGGGGTCGCTTGTGTAACCACAAGAATGTCTTCATCACCCGCTACGCTCCAGGCCAGGCTGGCTTCCCGAAAGTCCCCGGCTTCGGTCCGGACGATCTAGCAGGCCCGGACGAGATGAACCTGGGCGCGGAGACATTTTTCAGCGCGGGATTTAATCCCCCGACTAGCCAGGTGATTACCGTGGTTGGCCAAATATACCCAGATCGCCTTCAGTTTCGCCGTAAATCCAAAATTGTGTCGGGGCCTGGAAAGAAACTGCAGTGGAAGTCGGCGGGGCCCTGGCAAGTTAATATTGAGGATGAGAATATGTCGGTGCCCTTTACTTTGCATTACCCCATCCCCGTGGTGCCAACCCCTACTGGATCGTTGGATGAGAATGCGCCAGAAATGAGTGTTCCCGCAATAGCCGGCAAGACGGGTGATCGGATTTACCCGATTTATCTTCCATGTGGAGAGCCGGTCATTTGGAACCTCCCATACCTGAACCTAGAGAAGTGTCCGATTATTGACACCCTGCAAAGTGAGAAGGTAATATGGCTGAAATGTCACTTCCTCTCCGCAACATCAGATGTGGAGTATTTGATGCTTCAGCCGCGTTCGCCGAAACCCTCAACCTTCGATGACGCCTACAGAAACTACAAAGAGTCAATCTATCTGATTTTTATGCGCTATGTCGGCCACATGGGTACTCGACCCCGTGTGATAGTCATCCGCGACAAGAATGATGATCTCCAACTCATCATCATGCCTTCGAGTCTGCGATTGGACCTCTCCAACCGCTCTGCAGTGCTGGACTGTGCTATTATCTCGTGCCACCCTAAATTTGAAAGCGAGAACCAGAACTTCCTCCAAGGGGATATTTGGAAGAACGTGTATTCGACCTCAGCGAGTGATGAGGAGATAGCGATGTGGCAGAAAGCCGTCCCCGCCTTTGTCGAGCGCTGCCGCACGTGGTCCCACGAACCAAACGTCTGCGAGTATTATCAACGCAAAGAGGTGCCCGTCTCGAGAGACGAGCAGAAAAAGCCACACTGTTCCTGCGGTGATGGCAAGTTCCCTCCAGGATTCTTAGAGGACGTGGACCACTGGGACAAGGTCTCTCCATTTGCTGTGCGCGCAGCAATATCATCCCCCTTTTGGGCCCCATCTGTGGCCGACTGTCGCTCGATCGTTGCGAATGAAGTTGATTCCAAAGCAATTTCCAAAACAGATGGAGAAATTTGAGTGAACAGATTGGTGGCAAGGGGACGATGAATGTGAGTGTGTATGAGCGGTAGCCAAACTACATCTAATGTTTGAAGGAGGGTTTAGAGGTTTAGAGATAGATGAATAATTGGCAAGCTGGTAGTGGGCTACACATGACTGGCTCCAATGAATTGGTCGAAGCTCGAATAAGTGAAAGATGGTACACGAAAGGGGCTAGGAGATGAATGTATCTTTGAAGGAGTGTGGTGATACTACATAATGTACTAAGGAAGTACAGTAGTACATTGTCTTCCTTCTATGAATAGGAACTTGCCTACTGGGATATTGGAACGCTTTCAGAAGCTTGTATCATGCTGGCTTAATCTGATACGTCTCTTAATAATATACCTACTTAGTCCTTTAAATTGTCTGCCGCTTTTCATGCCGTGCTTCCCTCGAGTCAACCATTCAATTTAGAATATTTGCCCTTAAGCTCTAAATGAGCTCTCAACATGAAAGACAGAAGGTACCTTGATTAATCATGCCTGATGCTCAGGGTAGTCCCTCCTAGGTAAGCAGACAACCAGACTTTCCAACAGTTCAATTAAACGGCTTATTTTCCCATGACAAGGAAACTCCACTGGGAGGAAAGTCGAGTCTGTTGTAAGGAAACTCGATTGTTCCGAACAGATTAGGTAGTTAATATTTCCTCGTGGAGTTACTTCTCCAAATATACAAAATAATAGGGGTTCAGGGGTAAAGGCTTCGCGAATTTTGACATACTAAGGTGCCTAATGAGAGACTACCCAAAAGATAAAATCTTGCCAGTTAATACTAAATTCCGTATCCAAACAGCAGCCTATTAGGTAGGTGTCTGGCATGTTTACCGTCTTACAACGATCATGATACATCCATCGCTCCCAACAACGGATCTGGACATACAAACTTAGGCATACAATGGAGACGTATATCGGGTCATTGTGGGACAGCCAGCTAGGAAACCTTTGACTGTGGAAACTACCGGGTTCGAGATTGGTCTCCAAGCGCTATTTGCGCTTGAAATAGAGTGGCAGGAATATTTGTCGCTCAAGTTCAAATTTGCACCTATAGAATAGATGAAGGTATACGGAGAAGAATATCCTCGCTGTTAAAGCGGCATTCCGGGGAGTCGGTCTTGATGAATTGGACAAATCCTTGGGCTTGGAAAAATGAAGAATCCCTAGCAATTTCCATTGGACTGCAGATAAGCGAGTATTGAAGTGGAAGTCCCACATCATAACCGTGTCCATTTATCGTCATGATTTCGTAATTGGCTAGATAGAGAAACGCTGTCCTAGTTCGTAGCAGGCGAGAACTCAAGAAATTATACCAAGAGATGGATTTAGTCGATATATCTCGGAATGCCTGAAAGTTCTGCTTAGAAGACGAGGGAGTGCTTATGGCCTAATTGGGTAGTCAACAAATAGTGTAATTTCCTAATCTAGGTCGGATCACGCGGGTAGTGTGAGCTGATTTTCAAATATGATGAAATCGAAGAAGGTGGTAGTAATATTGAATCTAGGCGCGTGTGTCGTGAGTCGAAGTTGACGTCTGAACCTGAATTACGCCACCATTCGGTTTCATAGTGTCTGCTGACCTCTATTGAGTGTTCGTCATGATAGAACATACATGCCTTGTTTTAATAAGGATCTTATTGGTAAATATTATGAACGAGAAGAGCCATAAGCGTAAAAGAGAAATGACAATTTTCCATGATAGGACATCCGCTTGCCAAATATAGAAATGCTCAGGCGTAAATGCGTGATGCAGTACCGTAAAAAGTAAGAGGGAAGAGTTCGGTACTGGCAAGGGGTCACTGCAATGTGATCCAGATACAGTACGTACTGTCTGCAAAAAGTGAGCAATAAGAGCCAATACCAATACTTGACCTGTGGATATTTGATGCTTTGTACTCTGAGGATTAGACCGTGTCTATTCGTCGTCTTGAAAAAATGGGGCGTGTAAGTGAGGCGAACCATGCATCCCTTGTGTATGCACCTACCGGACCATAGTCGCATTTGAGACGAAGATATGGCGAGCCAGATGGCTTAGATACAAAGCTGCTAAAGCTTCTCCCGCACATATAGAGCGGTGTGAGCATCAAATATAGTAGAAGCTCTTCGGTAGTACCAGGCCCGTTATTTAGAACTCGGCCTTTAAGCTTGCGCGGTAGTTGCCGTTTGTCTCTCCCACATAAATAGCCCTCTTGGCCAACTTTTATAGTAATTTTTGATACCCCTTGAGCGATTCCCCCTTTGACCTGCTAAACTTCGAAATATGGCATCCATTCCTATGAACAAGTATTGGATCCCGCATCTAGACATCCACAAGAGGGTCATCACCCAAGAGCTTCAATATTATTTGGGGCCAGATGCCACCGTGAGACCGTACACTCGAGAAGTACGATGATCATCATGATCTTCCGCGAACAGTAGATTAACAGATCCTTCTAGGGAGAAGATGGATTCTTGATCACGACACCTGGGCCGTGTCTGACAGACGTAAGCAAGGTTAATGTGCCACGGCCCCTGCCGTGTTAACTCGCGTTTAGGAACAGATTGACGACATCTGCCTGAAATCCAAGGAAATGTGGGAGCGGCAGGCGGCAGCGCGCTCGCAATTGAATCCCGAGAAGCCGTTGAAACGCCCACTGCATCAACCAATTTTAATCTCCAAGGGCTCTGGGGAAGGGTCAAAACGCCGCGGAAAAGATCGAAGAGGCCACGTTTCTCGGCGACCATACGATGACAAAAAGGGAAGCGAGACATCCCGAAAGTGATATTTTGGGAAGCTTGCAAACTGTCTGGGGATGCGGCAGATCACCTGGGTACCCGATGTAACGAAATTGTGCCCGTCAGACAGAGCGAGAGCGTAACTCGCGAAGAACCCAAGCCATGCGTTCCACTGCGGAGAGGGATGTGGGCGAGCCTGTGTTGGTCGAGAATGGATTGTCTGAGATTGAAATCTGCAGGAGGAAGCCTCCATCCAGCGAGGGATTGCCATCTGGCATTGCTGAAGCCCCTGTGGATCCCGAGGTTGAAACACAATAGTTCAATGGTTGTCTGCACAGGCACTCAACTTTCCACAACAAGTCAAAGAAGCTTAAGCTCTTTTAGCTGTATCTAGTCCCAATTGGCTCGTACCGAGCATTTCACCCTATGGTTCTGTGCATGACATGCAGAAGCTGTGCAGATATATGGACCGTGCCATGTAGAGTCGAGAAAATTAGGTAGATATAAGGCTTGATATAGCCCCTTTCGTTTGTTCGGTCTGGTGGCCAATGAATTAGCTCGACTGATTAGCCAACGGCGTCAATGAAGTCCAAAGGCCACGGCCGGCCGAGAGCGGAGTATTGGTGAAGCGAGGTAGCACCGGAGATCGATCGGAGCATACATATCTCAAAGAGTAACTCCCTTAGGTTTTGCTGAGTTGGCACAAAGTTACTTGGTAGGGCCGCTGCAGTAACTCTTGGCATCGGCCGCCGAATGCTTGTAGTCCACTGATAACCTAGCCGGACCACCATCAGTATATTTGTATCAAGCAAAAGCTTTATACCCGGTGACACAAGTTACTAAACGATTAACAGCGCTACTAGTGATTTCCCATCTGGGTAATTCGGTTTGCAATCATATCTTCTTCTTTGAGTGTTGTGTTAGGTAGGCAGCATCTGGGGTTTGGGCAATGGCCTCTCAGCGCATTGCAATTAAGGTAGGCTGATAGTGATGGGTGATGAGCGACGCATGCTAATTCCATCACCATTTGAAGAGATTCCTGGAATACCTCCGCCGATTCGTTGGCAGTAGTGGCATTTGGGTGTCTTCCATTTCGGTTAATCAAGCTCAGAAATGAGTGTCGTCTCGTATGATGTAATATCTAAGTCCTCGGCAATCCAAAGAGCAAGAGCTTGAACTTCAACGGTGGCGGTAGAAAAATCCGTCGTCTTAAGTGGTCTCTGCTTGATAGATGTAATGCAGCCAATTACATGAACCCACTGACCGATATCAATATGTTCGAGTTTGAGACTCTCGAGAAGAAGCGTAACATTGACACCAACTTTGATATTGTTCTGCTTGGGAAAGTCGTGTTGAAGGGTCAATGTCGCTGAATGCGTTGAATATTCAGTTACGCTATGATAGTATTAGTGCATATAGGCTTCAGCTAAGAAGATCTAATAGGTGAAGTGAAGTTTAGGGCCTTTGTCCATTCATCTCTGAATTTGCAAGGCTGCATAGGTGTTATACGGTAGAAAGGTATGGAATTATACATAGAATCATAGGTAGACGAAGGAAGATTGCGTTCTTACCATCCTAGAAACCTAACCTTGTCCCATATATTTCTTGTACAGAGATTGGAAAGAAGGCATCGCACAGACGGAAGAGCAGCGCGGGACATTTGCTTAAAGGCTTGTGACTGTTGATGGAATGCCTTTTTACCATGCAATCATTGGTTTGAGGCGGATGTTAAATAGGTATCGTAAGTATAACGGTCAATTGATTGATAGCTTCACCTTACGTCCAAGTGCAAAGCAGTATGAAATAGTGAGAGAGCCTCGAAGGTAGTAGATATTTGGTGGTGCCTAGCTACATACAACGAGATGCAAATGTGCATGCATGTGTGTGAGATGTGAGATGTGAGAAATTGAGAATATATTATATATGTACATGGTACTTTTTAGTGCTTCTGGTCAACAATGAATGATTCAAGTTCATGTTAACTAATAATAAGCTTTTCCTTTGCTCGATTACATAATGCAATTGAAACCTTGAAGGTTATGAGTAATCCGGCAGAATATCGGAAAGGCCCTAAAAGGAATAAATAGAGGGAAAAAGAAGGTCAGGCGGCGTCACCTGTAAATTTTGGGCAGTTGAGGCGGGCCCACCTTATCCCCTTGTCGCCCATGTCGTTCCTTGTCACCTGCGCGGCGTCATCCAAAACCATATCACCTCTATCTCCATAATCTATTTATCTACCTGAATTAGTATCTCTAGTTGTACCCCGAGACCGAACCATTTTCATTGCATCTGCCTAGAGTTCAAATAATCTTGTGATAGCCAACATCACACTTTCCTCTTTTGATTATTCGCATCAACAACAAATCCCCCGCACTCTATACAACATCTTCTATCCTCCATCTTCCATCTTCCGTCTTCCGTCTTTCGTCTTTCGTCTTCTTGTCTTCTCGGTATCTCTAGACAGGCGACGTCATCTTCTTGACTGCGATCAACGACTACGATCAATTCTACCCCGCGATCGATATCGTATCGTCTATAACAGTTGCTGGATAAACCTTCTACCCGATCGGGATTCGTATATTACCCACGCCAAATCAACCTTGATCTCGATATCCATCTTTCCCATCACCATGTCTGGCGTCTGGGGCTGGTTTGGCGGCGGTGCTGCCCAGAAAAAGAAGGATAGTCCCAAAAATGCCATCCTCGGTCTTCGCGCGCAGCTAGATATGCTACAGAAACGTGAAAAGCATCTCATGACACAAATGGAAGAGCAGGACGCTATCGCGCGAAAGAACGTAAACACGAATAAGACTGGTGAGTGGTTCACAACATGGCATACTGACCCTGGCCCGAGCTGACGTGTACCCTTGATAGCTGCGAAGGCCGCTTTACGGAGGAAGAAGACGCATGAGCACAGCCTTGACCAGACGATATCGCAAATCGGAACCCTGGAGCAGCAAATTAACGCCATCGAATCGGCAAATATCAACCGAGAAACCCTGGCGGCGATGGAGAGAGCAGGAGACGCAATGAAGCATATCCATGGGAAGCTTACGCCCGAAAAAGTCGACGAAACTATGTATGTCCCCAAAGTAGAGTTTCCCGCATTGGTATTGTACATTGTAGCTTACGAGGATCAAACAGGGACAAAATACGAGAACAAAACGCGCTCAGCGAAGAAATCGTCAATGCCATCACGAGCAATCCGATCGGAGGAGAGCCCATTGACGAAGATGAACTGGAAGGCGAGCTCGAGGCGATGCAACAGGAACAGCTTGATCAGAAGATGCTCGAATCAGGTAGCGTGCCGGTATCAGATGCAATCCACAGAATGCCTGCTGTCGGAAACCAAGAAAGTAAGTTTATTTTGTCCACTGAAGCATATATTCACGAATGACTAACCTCTCAAAGTCAAAGGCAAGCCTCAGGCCATCGAAGAAGACGACGAAGAAGCCGAGCTCCGTAAACTCCAAGCAGAGATGGCAATGTGAAAGGTTAGCCAGTTTCAGTATCTACTTGCTCTTATATGCCGACAATGGCAGCATGGGATTTCAGTCTGGAATTGCGACAGCGGTGGTCCAAGAATGAGCGATTGCACGAGGGGAAGGCATTTGAGTTGCAGTCGGAATTTGGACCAGATCGTAGGGATCTGAACGAGGTGTCAGATGCATAGCAGTCCCCTTTTTGAGCCATATTTCCCCATTCCTGATTTCGGCGTTGGCGTTCTAAGACTTAGGTGTGCTTCGTTGGCGGTTATACATTTTCAACATGATCCGTTGGTCAATGAAGTATGTTCTAGTCTAGGTGCGCACATGAGTCTAATATACCATCGATGGTGCTAAACTAATTCAAAGACCCTCTATCGAATATATGGATGTCGGTGAATGATGTCGCTCGATTTTATAATCATGTAGAAGCTGACTGCGGTGTCCCTTACCAGGACTCCCCCTTAGCAGGCCATGTTAGGTAAGATCATAAGATTTAGTTAAACAAGTCACCGTAACGGCGAACCCCCTCTTCATATCTACATAGATATGTTGACACCTCAACTCGCGATGCTTTACGTAGTACCTCATACTCCTGTCTTTACGAAGCCTGTTCCCGCCTCCCTTTCCTTCTACTGATATACAATATCATCTCGGCTTACCAAATGTAGGTATACAATAACCCTCTTTCAGGAGTTTTTAGGATGAGCCAATTAATCTATAGCAACCCGTTATCTTCAATCCATACGAAATTTCTTCCAGTTGCTGGCCTTAGATATCACACCTAAAAAGAATCAATATTGAAATAGCTGAAGCGTGAAGTGGCAGCCACATCTTCCTAAACTTGCTATTGGTGCTGAGGAGTCTCTAAGGCATTAATCAGTCGCCCCTTTCATTCCTAAGTTGATTATATACTAGATGGCCAAGACTCCATATGTACATCACTCTTCTACTGGCACGCTACGTATCTATAAACGCCGAAAAGTGTTTTCTTCGAGTCCACCATCAGTCCTACGCAAATATATATCTTGTATCACCTACACGGGATACCACCTACAATCTGCAATCATGCGAGTTTCTATGTGACTTAAAGTGATAGGAGGCGCATGTGATGAACTCATGTGACAGTCTTCTCCTACATCGGAGCATCACATGTGGTAGATACTTATATAAGGCTACATCTACGACACCTCGCTCAGAATGGCTCTCTATTTCTTTATTTAAGCCATAAGGATCTCTTGCTTCGGCTTATACTAACGAAATTTCCCATAATCATGATTTATGTTACACTCTTTCCAAGGTCAAGGGGGAGGTTATCCATTATAAATTCGTCGGTGAAAGGTCCAGATTAAGAGATCGCCAATTATCTCCATGAGGTTCTCAAATCACTCTAAATACTATGAGTGTGCAATTGACATAGAATGTTCGCGTACTGTAGGTCACTAGTTATCGAAAGACGTGACAAGTCACAAGTCACAAGTCACAAGTCAAATGCTACTACCGCGAAAAGAAAGAATGGGACAGCACAAGAGAGAGCGTTGTATTAGTAAAGGAAACCCCCAGAAAGGAAGCATCCTTCAGCTGGAGAAGAAGTCATCTGAAGATCTCAACTCTTGAAGGAGTGCAGGAAGTCACCCATGACAAGACCTAATATACCGAGTGTGAAGACCAAAACTGCCAAACACACACACACACACACACACACACAAACAAAAAAGGAGTCATATTCGTGAGCATTGGAGTTTCCGTAGAGAAAGATACTGCCAAATCCATCAGGACTTGGAGCCACTAAGCTGGCTATGAGAGAAATGTTGGATCCATAGGAAAAGTCAGCCTTAGCTAGATTCTGACTGACTGCTGAGAGCACGCGACGCGTATGTATATGAGGTAAGAAGGCATTCTTCCACCCCTTCTCTTTAACATAAATAGAACGTAAGTGCCTAGTATCAATATAGTTATTCTTCGCAGTATACATCCTAGCTTATACCTAGCTCAGGTTCAGTACCAGGCTTTTATCACTCAGTGCAAGACCTCTAACCACGGGATGGACCCTGACAAAAAGCCATGTAGGTATGGGCCATTAACGCTCACGGTAAAGGTTATGCCACGAGCTTTAGAGATGTGATAATGCCTTCAGCAGATAAATACGAAAGGCTCGTTGAGTATCCTTGACTGGATGGCAGCCTTGAATCATTCTAGCTGTCTAGAAAAGTGAAGAAAAATCATTAGAACACAAAGGAGCACCGAGGCCTGCCAGGAAGGCCATTAGCTGCAAGCCATTATCGTCTCCCTCCCCCGCTCTGTACTCAATGCTGGATACGGAGATCTCGTTCGCGCTGGGCTAACGCTACCTTGAGCATTTCTATTCTGCGTTTCCTTGCGGTTCCTCTAGTGCTGTGCTTCCAGATATCTAATCTCTATGCGAAGCTCTGCGACAGTCACTGAAAAGCCTCGTGATGGTTATTATATGTATGTAAAGTGAGTCCCAGGGGGTAGTAATATATGAAAGTATATGAGGCGCTCTTCGACTCCGGAGTACAATGAAGCTACGTAGGTATCGGTGAAGATAGGATAAAGGGATATGGTACCCTGTTCTACTATAGGGGTAAGTCAAGTCTTCCGTGCTTAGTTCATAGTTGGCAAAACTGACGGGTCCCATCTCTCCATACCATAGGGTGAATATGATGATATAGAGACGCAATAACTATTACAGGGTGCATATATCATGTCAGTACCTAGGAAGTCGGGCCAAAAAGTCAAGCTTATGATAACCTTTCCGCGAATCGTAGTTGGAGCTTTTCTGATAACAGCTGGCAAATGCTGGCGTCGTGCCCCTATTCAGGGCCAAGATACATGCGTGGCAAGCAGTATGTGCATATAACACAGTATTCAAACTACGCCTGGGTCATCTCAAAGCATTTGGTGAATACTTGAGTCGCGGAATACACGATCATTATCAAGGTATGATGTAGGTTGAGTTTACTTATCGTAAATTTGCTCGTAACAAGCCCCACTCTCAACTATTCCTCTGGAGACTAGCAACCAGATACCTACTTAGAAAAATCCTCAAAACCATACGGGTATCTATGGGGCATCCCCCTTTTATGCTTGTGGACCTCTGTCCTGACAGCCCTCTGATGGTTCTTGTCCCTAGTCATATCATCCCCGAAAACCAGTTCAGAATCCAGAAGACTCAGAACAGCATCGTTATTATGCGGGGATCTCTAACGTGCTTCTGGAGACAATAGGGGCTACATATATACGTAGTCTTCTCTACTCTAGCTAGCCCCCGAGTAGACACATGGCAACACAGAAATAAGGACCTGTCTACCTGTCCCGGACGAAATATGAGGGGCTTTTACTATCAGGTTGTTGAGAAACTCTCACCTGTGTCCAGAGTGAGTTTCCACACCTGGACCACACCTGGCAGCCTACCGATTGGACACAACATGTAGGGCTGAGTGGATGTAAAGTGATCATCCCCTAGCTCTCTCTCTGCTGGAAAGTGGATAAAGCCTCAGTCTCTAGTTTCTTTGCATCTCTTGGTTCCCCACCATAACTGTTTGATTGGAGACTACGGAATCTGCAGTGCAGATTCGCGGAGACTTCTATGTAAACTCTATTCGACAAGAGAAGCTTGAGTGGAGATAAAGAGTACGATGGTAGGATTTCGTTGTCTTGGTATGTGGATACCTACCTGCATTATAGCTAACGTTTCTATATAGCTCAACAACATTATACCAAAATCGAACCGAAGGGGGTAATGCTATAATATTGGCCACCATCAAACGCTTATTAGTGGCAGAGTGAAGTTGAACCCCACTGATATAGTTATAGCTACAAGCCATAAGCTACTCAAATAGAGGATTAACTACCCTGCCACTCCATCTGCATCCTCCCCGCCCTCTCGGTATTGGTTATAGTCAAGCCCCCCTGAAAGCGAAGACTTCATCGTCAGGGGTTAGCTACTTAGGTAGACAAGAAATACGATATAGTGGTTTCCACGAGGAGACTAAGGCTGCGGTCAAGATATCCAGTAGTCTTACGGGATTGTTGACGTACCTTACATCATATATCCCGCTACGTGCTCCCCACCAGAAGCCCTAGCACTACCAAAGTATGAAATAGCCAGACAGACTGTTATTCAGAGCATAAGAATGATGAGTAAAAGGATGACTGAGAGAGCCCAAGAGTCCACTTTGGGCTATGTTATGAGACGTGGCTCGGCGACGCACGAAAGAGCATACCGAGGAGAGAGAAGCAAAAAGGGAAAGACCAAAATTATAATCAGGTGGGGTTTGAGGTAAAGAAGCCTTATTATTTCGTGATATCTTTGTGTTACTGTGCCTCTCAATATAGGCCTCTGCATACCTAGTACCTAATGACCAGGGGACCAACAACCATCAGGCAACGGGGCCCAGGCTAGCTTGCCCTAACTAGTTCCATGGTACGACTGAATGGTGTTTTTCTCGAAAAAAAAAATGATGAAAGTCTAGGAAGTTATCCTAAAGCCGTTGGTTAGGTCTCAATGGCTCTGGTAGTCCCATGTGTCTAGGTTAAAGGGCTGTGCTATCTGGTCCAGTGAGCCTTGAGAGCTGATATCTTTACCCACTAGGTAGCTATCATCAATTCATCATCATTGGGGGGTTGGGATGGTCGTGGGTATTTCGGGCAGTGTGGAATCTACTTAATTCACACCTACTTCTATTCATGAATATATACTTGAACTAATCCTGTCAAGTTAGGCCGTAATACCTCAGAGCCTACCTACCTAGGTAGATAACATAGGTATTGGGCGATTCCCATAATAATAGGGATAATTAATACATGCATGAATGAATGCTGTTGGGATAAACTAATGTAGTTTAATTCGAATACATTTCCAATGAGCGCTGTAGATTTGCCAAATAATGCATATTGACATCTTGATGCAAGGAAGCTGTCTAAACGTTGGATAGGGGGGAAAGGTAAGGGATGTAGGGAGGGGGAAGGGAGGGGATCTGGCAGTGGAGGCTCTAAAAACCAAGCGGCCCGAGCTTATGTAAGTGATAAGGTATTTTGTACATTAACTAGAATTCCTAGCATTCGACCACACGTGATATTTTATCGATAGGCTTACTCTGTAAAACACCTCGTCGATCGGCTGATCAATTTAATTCATCTTTTTTATTTGTCAATCTAATCACGTCTTCCGACTGAGAAGCACTCATCACTCGTCAATATCATCTTACTACTATGTCGCGTTACATTATTTCGTACTTGCCGTCCGGCCAGGTGGGAGAGGCCCTTCAATTAAAGCGAACGGCTGAGCGATAAGACCAGAGATCTTGTCCGGTTGTTAATCCAATTATGCTTCCTCAATATCTCACAATATCTCTCTCCGCGTCCTCTCCACGTCCGCCCCACCAAATGGTTGGTTGTCGTGGCTAGATCAAGGCCTCAAGTTAGAAAGTGAAGCCAACGAAGACGTCCACGTTGCACACGACACTATTATCGGCATCATGCAATCTGCATAATCTGCAGCTGATGCTGTCGGTTGGGCGGGTTTACCCACCTGCGGCCAATCCAGGGACCACATACATACATCCAGGACTTTTAGATACTTTGCCTCTCGCATCGTTTCACCCTCAAAACATGCACACCTAGCAAGTATCTATATGTAAATACAAAGTTGTATAATGTACCTAGTACTGGGGAAAGGGAGACAGATGCCCCGGGAGGGTATGTTGAAGCCCAATGGTTTTGATTTGAGGCGTTGTCGCCCGTTATCATCCTGAACAAGTGGTCATGCATCATGCTGTCAAACTTCAACCTTCACCTCTCCCACCTCGCCATTTATGGAACTTTTTATGCGTGGGTTTCTGTCTGACCCATTATGTTGGATTGTAGCCCCTATCAGCTGTTGGGCCGCTACTAGCTTCCTTGTCGAGCTATCTATCTCGTTGCCCTTCACTCGGTACTACTACAAGTCGTAGAGATGGCGATTGACTGCCTTAGATCCAGATCTGTCTCAAACCTAGCCCAACCAACTCCGCGACGTGGCGCCAATGCTGTCGTGTCTGTCGGTAGCTCCTGGAGCACGATATGGGTCACAAGAGCTTGACATCTTTCTCCACTTCGACATATTCCCGCCGTGGGGTGTGTCCCATCCAAGTAGCTCCTCTTGAGAATCTATGTAGTCAATCAGACATCTTACATCGCCTCCCGGTCCGACCAAACGTCATCCACCGTTCCGAGCTCGCATTGAGAGAATTCTTTTACGCTCCATATGCCCATCTTTTGTCCACTCAATTCGTGTTCCTGACACCCATTATCCAAACCGTAACCCTATCTAGAGGTAGAGCCTGCATTGAATTGTCCATCAACTAAAGGAGTTTCCCAAGTTTCATACAGAACGGATATCCAAATAACTGGGAGTATCAGCTCGCGGTCCAATTATCTAACACAACTGCTGCAAATACCCGCATTATAGTTGTCACTTTGCATAACTTAGGAGATAATTGGAATGTCCCATCAAGTCGTTGGTGGGGCCTAATTCCTGTTAACCAAACGGAGCATGTCAAATCAAGAAGGAATCGCATTTTGTCCCTTTCGGAGCGATCCAATTGGAAATGTTCAAGTAGCTGACTTCTCAAACATACAATATCTTCAGCCTGAAGGTCCAGACGAAGAAGTTGCATACTCAGGTACACGAGCTAGACCATATCTGATATATCTGCGCTAATATGACCTGTAGCTGGAGACATTGCACCAAAGCTAAATGATGTAAATGAAGACCAATCCCAACAGAGAATATATTTAAAGCCTCCGTTACCGAAATCTCCACCCCCAGTGAAACCACACAAGGTGAAGACTGAAAAGCCTGACAAGCCCGACAAGCCTGCTCCAGCAGCGCCCAAGCCAGTGAAAGACTCCAGTACCGAGCTTACGGGGAGGGCGAGGAAGAAAGCTAAGAAGAGAGAAAAGGACAAAGAAAAGAAGAAAGTCAAAAGCAAGACTGACGATGCAGTGAGGGGTATGGAAGAATCAACCGCCAAACAGCCGGAGCCCGAACAGCCGCCGGAAGCTCATGTAGCCCCGGAAGAGCCCTCGCTTAAGGCTGAGGCTGAGGCTACTGAATCAAAGGATGTACCGACGTCCACTCATCCAGCCGACCAAAAACCTGTCGTGACTGAGACGAATAAAGAAACTAAGAGTGATACTGAGTCGAAACCTAAATCTGACAGTCCAAATAAAGACGATGAAATCAAGGAGGCATCACAAAATAGTATTTCATCAGATGCCGCACCAACTCACGACTCTTCAGATCCGCCAGTTCCAGAACAGCCGAATGAACCAGCAGCCTCAGAACCTACCCAGAAAACTGTGGATGCACCAGCTACAACCGAAACACTAGACGATATTAAAGCTGCATCAAGCGATAAACAGGTGGAATCTGAAATAACTCCAGAGCCTGTGAAAGATGCCGATAGCGCCGCTGCCAACGATACTGCATCAGCCGAGTCTGCAACTGAAACTTGCTCCAAGGTGCTGAGCGGAAAAGAGGCGCAAGAAGGGGCAAGTCAGTTAACAGAAGAGGCTACAACCTCGCTACCTAAAGAGCTGGAGAATATTCACGATGATATACAACCCGGGGCACTCGAGGCGCCAGGAAAGGTTGAAGAATCTGTAAGTTCACTCACTCTGTACTTGTTCTGTGGGGAGGAAGCCTGCTTTGCCCCAATTTCCAAGCCACTTGACGACATTTCCGGCAAGCTAATAGTACCATGAAGATGTTACTAACAACTCACTATAAGGTACCACCAAGAGGAGAAAGTGAATCTCCAAAGCCGAAAGATCCTAATGCCCCTGTGGATGAACAACCCGATGTTAATACAGGTGACCAGTCTTCTGTCGAGGCTCCTGTTTTTAGCGAGGGAGTTTCGGGCACTGCCGTAGAGTCTCAAGGTCCAGTTGCAGCAGAAGATACTAAACCGACTGAGCCTGTCTTAGACTCAGCTACGTCCAATGAGGAGGGTGATACTAATGAAACTACTGCCAGTGAGGTGGAGCCACAAAGCGAGACTGCTCCCAAGACGGTAGATAAGCCCGTTGCTGAAGCGGACCTCGAAAAGAGCTCTGAGAATAAAGAGGTAAAAGATGTACCCGATGTCACCGACTTATCCCCTGAACAAAAGCCTGCTCAGACTGAAAGCCATGTCGAAAGTAATGAGTCTTCAAGTACAGCGGCTGACGATGCGACTGCTGCCCCGGAGCTCCAGACTCCCCCCGAAGAGCCAAAGGAAGAGCCGCGTACCGAGCCAGCCCAGCTGGCGACTGAACCAACTGAGTTACCTGCCGCATCGGACGAGGCCGCGAGTGATCCGGCTGAATCTAATACACACTCTGAAAAGCAGACCGCTGATGTTGCTCAGCCGGACTCAGCTGCAGAGAAAAGTATACCAGACCCGGATCAGTCAAATGATTCTCCGATTACGAAACCCCCCACCCCCACAGCCACAGGCGGAGAAGCGAATGAGTTAGCTGCCGAGACTTCTGAAACAACTACTGAGATCAAGCCTCCTGACGATGATTCCAAAACACACGACGACAACAAGACTCAACATACAGTTAAAGACAGCGCAACAAAAGATGAGTCGGATCATACTCCTGTTTCTGAGGCCAGTGAAACATCGGACGAGCCACTTACAAATGTTGAAGCGCCAAAAGAAGTTGTCAAATCAGAGGAGTTGGCAGACACACAGAAGTCAGAACCGGAGTCTAATGATTCTACAAAGGATGACAAGGTTTCCGAAGAACAACCCACTGTGGGTTCCGGCGAAGTGCTAGCCGATGAACCTCTCGCTGCCGATGCTAGCAAAGATACGGAAAATTCCAGTGACGCCCCGGAGCACGAAGCAAAAACGAGCGAGGTCAGCCCCACAGTTCAAGAGGTAGCCGGTGATGGGACTGAGCAAAGTGTTGCTGAAGCGACCGATGAAAAGACTGACAAAGAGGCTGCCGATGCCCCTGTACCACCCCAAACGGCCTCGGCGCTGCCAGAGCCAGCGGAGAAAGAGGAGGAAACTGTAGCCTCTGCCGTTGCTCCTGAGGAAACTACTACTGCAACGCAATCTAGCGGCACCGAAGGATCCGTTGCCCCTGAAGGTATTGCTAGCGAACAAACTATCCCTGAAGAGCAGTCTTTCACTACGGAAAAGTCTCTCGATGATACCTCGGAATCTGCCACCCAAGAATCCGCTGCCGAAGAAATTCCTGCCGAAGTTGCCGACCAAGACCCTGATAAGAAGGAAATCGCCGTACCGGAAACCGCTGCCAGTACTGCGGAACCTATACCTGAAGCTGCTGTCGCCAATGAAGAAGCTTCCAGTAGGCAGCCTACTGTTGAGTCCCAGGCACCTGCCGCTCAGGAGCCAGTCAAGGAAAGCACTCCTGTTGATACAAATCCGGAAGAGTCAACTACTCAGGAAGATCCAGCTACCAAGGAGCCGACAGTCGATGAGCAGGCTACTTCAGAGGAGTCTTCAGCTGGCTCTAACGCACCTATCACTCAAGAGCAAACCGAGGAGAAAGTTCCCACGGAAAATGTTTCAGATCAGCCCAATCCTACCGAAGAGGCCGGTGATACCAAGGCTCCCGCTTCTGAGCACATTGTTCCTGAAACACCCACTACTAAGGACGATGTTGCTATTGAAGAGACATCTAAAGTCTCTGAAGAGCCTGCACCTCAAGAAATTGCCGCAAACCCTGTTGACAAGTCGGAGGAAAATGCTACTGATATCAATAAAGTGGCACCGGTTGCCTCTCTAGAATCGGAAGTCGAGACCACCACATCTGACACTGGCGCACATGGATATAGTGAGGATGGTGTTACTCCTACTACAGCTGTTGAACCCAAGCCTACGGAGGAACCCGTTAAAGAACCTTCTCAGACGGAAGACGTCCAGACAGCACCCGAACCATCAGAAACGGCCAATATTAGTGAAGCAGCTGACGCTACCGAGGTTGCAGTGCCTGAGAGCGTGCCCGAAATTAAGTCAGAAGATGCAAAGGATTCCCAAGACTCGGTAGAAGACGGGAAGGCAGCAGATATCAAAGAGGCGCCTGTGGCTCAATCGCCTGAACATACAGGGACAGACCAGGGAGGAAGTAACGAAACCCAAGCTTCCCCAGAGCAGGCGCCAGCGGACGAACAGGTATCTACGGAAGATCAAGAATCTTCCGAGAAGCAAGCGGCTGCCGAGAATGATGCGCCCATCGTTGAGCAACCTATCACGGAGGTGCCAGTAGAGGAGCCCGCAGCCTCGAAGGGGGTACCTCCTCAAGAGGATGCTGTCGAAGATCACACTATGGTAGAACACGTGTCGGCCGAAGCACAGGCCCCAGTGCAAGAAGAGACGAACACGTCGGAACAATCTGTTGTCACACCCGAGGAAGAAGGAAAGTCTCCTGCAGATGGACCAGTAAGTTCAGAAGAGAGTTCGCCAGAAGCAGCCCAAGAAGAGCAGAAACTAGCAGAAGCGCCAGAGCAAACAGAAGAACAGATCCCAGCAGAGGTACTGAAGCCAGAGACAGCTCCAGAAGAGAAAGAGGTTGTACAAGAGCAAGTAGCTACGGAGGAGCACATACCCTCAGGTGAAGACGCAATAGAGACTGAACAAGCCCCTGCAGCAAAGGAAGTTACAACTGCTGTTACTAGTTCCGAGGATCAAACAAAGGAGGCCGTTCCTGACGTGGCTAATCATGTTGCCAACAAGCCGAGCGAGTCTGGCAATCCCGCAGAGGATAGCACTCCGGTCGATGTTTCTAAGACCGAGGCGTCTCCTGACGGAACTACCGACGAGCCCTCTCATCAAGAGCCCGAGAAGGTAGAGGTGTCAGCAAATTCACTACCTGAGCCTGAAAAGCTGGAAGCTGCTGAGGCTAGCCAGGAAACTCCTGCGGAGGAGCCTTCCGTAGTAGAGCAGAAGGCGGACGTTGCTGAGAACAAAAAGGAGTCTGTTCCCGTGGAAGCGCCTCCTATCACGGAAGTTGCGACGCCAGCGGTTGATGCATCGCCCACAGATCCTAGCGTAAGTCTATTTTTTTTTCGACCTTGATCAGTTAACCTCCTCTTCTCTTCGACATTTATCTTCATTATGTCCATTATACAATCGTGAATTAATGAGACTAATTGTTGGCATTATAGGCTGAAACCGGCAAGAAGGCCGATGTTACAACGCCAAAGGAAGACGAGCCAGTAACAGTCATTCCGGCGGAAGCGCCCGTTGTTGAAACCAGCAGTGGCGAGCCCATCACTGAGTCAGTTGCTGTCGAGCCTTCCGCAAAGGAAACTGAAAAGGCCCTCGAGTCTACTGAGGGGGTCGTGGGGGAGACTACCGCGGAGCCTACTGCCGACGTGAAGGAAGCTACTTCCGAACCAGCCACTGAGGGACCTGCCGATGCACCGCCTCCTACGCCGCCTGATACGCTGCCTGCTACTGTTGAGGTTATTCCTGACGAGAATACTGCCGACCAGAAGGCTCTGGACGACAAGGGGGACGACGAGAAAGAGCCTATCGAGAACAAGCCTGTCGAAGAAGTGGCCGAAGAGAAGGCTGTTGTTGAAGAACCTACTGCAACAACCGACGCTAGCGAGGGAGGGTCTACCCCCCAAGTTACGACTACCGAGGACCCAATTCCCAAACCCGCTGAAAAGTCCGAGGAAGTGGCTTCTGTTGAGAAATCTGAAGTTCAAGAAGTGCCCGCCGAAGTTACTACGGAGTCGGCCCCGGAGCCCACGCCCGAGCCACCGACTGCCGTAGAACCACCGGTTGTAGAGACGTCCACTCCCGAAGAACCTAGTGTGCCGGTTGCTGAGGAAGTTACAACGGCAGAAGCCCCGCAAGTAGTAGCACCTGCTATTGAAGCTACCGCCGGAGAGTCTACAGCTGAAGCACCAGCTGAAGTACCGGTCGAGGCACCAGTCATAGAAGAGCCTTCTAAGGAGCCTTCTACCGAGACCCATCCAGAGGTAACTGCTACCGAGGACAGCGCAGTGGAATCAAGTAGCGGACAGCACGTCGCCAAGGAAACACTTGAAGAAACAGCTGTTTCTCAAGTACAAGATGAAAAGGTCACAGAGAAAGATTCCGGTGATCATCATCCTGTGGAGGCTCCCGCCCAAGAAGCAATTGCCAATCGATCTGCTCCAGAAGCGACACTGCCCAAAGAAGAACCGACCGCTCAAGCACTAGTGGAAACTGAGACTACTAAGGAACAATCAACAGACACTCCTAATTTAGAAAAAGCTGTTGACGAGTCTGCGCCCAAGGACCCCGTGGCAAAGTCCAGTGATGAAACTCCCACTGAAGCTGTACTTGATGAGAATCCCCCTACTGAACATGCCAAGGAAGAGCCTGCACCTCAAGCTGTTGAAGAGCCTCAGCCTGTCATAGTGGAACCTGCCAAGAAAGCTGACCCCGAGCCTAGCGAAGTACCTGCTACAGTTGATTCTGCAGAAGAATCTACGGCTCAGCTGAGCGAGGAGCCCGCTTCTACCAGTCTCATTGAGGAGGTTATCAAACCTGCCGAAGAGCCCGTCGGAAAGCGTACCGAAGAGGCTACCGAGAAACCTGCCGAGAAACCTGCCGAGAAACCTGCCGAGAAACCTGCCGAGAAACCTGTTGAAGAACCTTCCAAAGAGCCTGCTACTGTGGAACCTATCGTGGAATCGTCTAACGCCCCTGACCCTATTGCTGAAGAAGTTCGTATTGAAAACCCCCAACCCACAGAAGAAGCTGAGCCTACTGAGGAGCCTGTTGAAAGGCCTGCTGTTGGGGAGCCCGTCGTGGAATCGTCTAGCGCGCCTGCCGAGGAGGCATCCGCTGCTGAGCCTATTACTAAAGATATTCCCATCGAAGCGCCTCAACCCACAGAAAAGGCTGAACCTACTGCAGAGCCTGCTACTGAGGAACCTGTCGTGGAATCATCTGACACCCCTAAGGAGACATCCGCTCCTGGGCCTGTCGCTGAAGAGGTCCATATCGAAGAATCTCAGCCCCTAGAAAAGGCTGAGCCTTTTAAGGAAGCTACTGAAAAGCCTGCAGAAACTCCTGCTGCAGAGGAGCCTATAGTGGAATCGTCTAATACCCCTGCTGAGGAGGTATCCGCTCATGAACCCATTGCGGAAGAAATTCCTGTCGAGAAACCTCAACCCACAGAAGAAACTTTGCTTGTTGAGCAGCCCATCGCCGCAGAAGATTCCCCATCAAAAGAGCAGCCAGCAGCTGCTAAGGAGCCTGTCTCGCAAGAAGCCAAGACCGAAGCCCTTGCTGAGAAAGCAACTCCCAAGGCGCCTTCAGTCGAAGAGTCCACCTTGGTCAACGAGCCCTCCGCCGTTGAAGAGCC